ACGAGGGCGCGCTGGTTTATGGGACATGGGCTTCCCTCGAATTCGCCAGCACCGTCGCATCTTCACGCCGATACATCTTCGATGACGGCCCCGCATGCGCCGGAAGAGGGGGCGTGTTTGCGGTAGTATCGCGACTCTGGGACAGTGTAGGCAGAATAGGGTTGCGCTGGTGAATGTATTGTACTTCAGATGTCTCTAATCCTTCATGTCCCTCGCGCGTGTTGCGCCGCTCTGCCTGGTCACGACTGCCTCATACGAACGAGGCTTATGCGCCGATACCGGAATGTCCGACGCTGCCATTTGTATTGTACGCACGAACTTGCCGCAGGGTGACGGGAGGGGAAGTCGTCGACGATGGACGTGGACGCCCCACGGTATCGTCATGAACTCAGCATAGTTCACGCCCGAGTACCCGGAGGGTTAAGGTGCAGGAGCTCGAGAGGATGTCGTCGTTCAAGTTAAGCGTACATAGCTCACCTTTTTTGCATTATAAGGGACTTCTGTGGGGAACCTGAGGATCACTTTTCTAGGGATGATACCGTTACAGTGCAGCTTTTTTGATTGCACTTTTTGTGCGAGTGCGTCCAGAATATCGTTCGGGGAGACGCACTTCGATTTGGCAGATTGCATCTACGCGTTGTCCCGGCGTCGGGCGAACATTCGCATACATCAGTAAAGCGGGCGTTGTGCAATAACCTGGAATCTTCATAATAGATTACAGCTTGCATCATGAGGGCCAGGAGTATCATACCGTGAGGTCGCGTCCTTTCATATCACCTCGCGCTCTATTTTTTCTACTCCACACTGGACCTCTTTGGCCTTTATAGTACAACACCAGCCCGTACCGCACCGTCTGAACCGACGCCCGACGCCTGCCGCCTACGCTCGAACCCCTCCCTCGCGCAAGCCGGCGTGGGCGCGGGCGTGATTCCGGCACAAGTCGCTGTACACGTGCGGCAAAGAGGGCTCTAAGTGAGCGGGTGGGCTTACATCGGCTGGCGTATACATGGACATCCGACCACCAATCCAATCGGCGGCCTCTGTCTGTAGAAGAGATGAGGTGTAAGCAAGTAGGGCATGCGAGAGCGAGGCGCTTGCATTCTCGCGCGCCAAGACAAAAGCAAAGTCTCGGTTCTCCTCCAGCGTAGTGTAACTTGCGCTGTTCTTGAGAATCTAGCTCCGCGCAGGCTCCCTTGAGCCTCTCACCTACAGAGTGCATCGCTTGTTCATCGTCGTCCCTCCTAGCGATCCCACAAGAATGCGATCTCGTTCTCCATCTAGTCGATGGGACCCTTCTTTGCGATATGTTGTGCGTGGAGTTTCGCCAGGTCACGTTAGACCTTGCTCCTCGTGCTCTCTAGATGCTATACGGAGCCGGCAGTCGATACATGTCCTTGCCGCATGTCCTTACGCTCCTCGCACGTTTGCACTACGAGCGGTTGTGTTAAATGATTGAAGATGAGAAGGGAAAAAGTGATGTTTCACTAACCTTGACTTTATATTGTACTATACGAGCAGTAACCGCGAGTAAGGATCGGACAACCCCGGGGGAAGATCTGCCAGTTCCTCTAATGTGCGAGTACGCTGCAGCAATTCGTCCTGCAGAATTATACTGGTCATCTATCATGCCACACGGGTATTAGGCCCACCTGACGCCGCTTGACGGTGTGCCGGTGTTGGAGAATGCGGAACGGTTCCGCTTGAGCGTCGTAACCATCTCGCGCAGAGAGGCGGGCCCGGGGGTGACCCTGTCTAGATAACGAGAACGCACTATACAGGACTGAACTCCATCCTCGTACCGTAGGTTCTACCGGGCGATTGTCGGAAGGCGAGGCGTATACAGCAAGTGCGCGACGGGGATGGATGGCTCGGTGATGTGGGCGTCGCAAGCTTCGGAGCGGCTTCCGATGTGTAGCTGGTTATTAACGTTCGCGCACCTCCTACCATAACCGGAGGACGCGATACCGCTGGCGCTTAGATGTCATGCTCGGGCATGTCGGTGAACACCGTTCCTCTGCTCTTCGGAGACTTTTGACCTGGATTTGTATCCATTCACGCTTATTTTGGCGCATTTTGTTATTTTGAACCTATATGAGCAATTGAAATTCACTCTAGCACATTTCGTACAATGGGACTCTGAGCGACACAATCGAGATGAGGATGTCCTTGTTCGGTGCAGCGTTTAAAGATGCCAAATATTTCAAGAATTGCATTTCAAAGTTAATAACAGGTCCAATCCGATATTTTGTGAGAGGTACATCAATTGCAAAGGAACAGAGTGGAGGAACGGTGTTAACCGACATGCCCGAGCATGACATCTAAGCGCCAGCGGTATCGCGTCCTCCGGTTATGGTAGGAGGTGCGCGATATCCAATTGGCTTTAGCTTTATCGCTCTTGCACCGTGCGTAACGTCTTTGTATCGCTACTCCAAGTTGCTTGCCTCGCTGCCTGTACTGCGCCGTCCGGCGCGTGACACTTTCAGCTTGCATGACCTTTGTCTATATGCTCCCCTGATCCTACAAAAATCGCCTTCAGGATGTCACCCAACACCTCCCTTGGCCCTTCGAATCCCCCACAATAACATGGCTCCCCTAACCTATCGGAAACGTAAGCACAGTAGCCTTCTTGCAGAACGTTCTCATCACTTAAGTATCTAAATAGGTGTTCAGACCATTCTCGTGGCTCTCGCAAGGGGGGGAGAAGCAAAGGTCGAGTACAATACCCTGGTCGGTCAAGGTATGTCGTCGACGCGTCTCCATCTAGCAAATGTTCATCGATAACCGTATACGTAGTTCGCAATGCACTCCTACAGGACTCGCGACCTGTAGGCTCTCGTTTCAGAGAACGTATTGACGATGCTTTGAGGCGCGAAGTACAACTCTAGTCCATGCTTCTGCGATAGTCATTCTCACATGTTCTCTCAGAAACTATCCCTGCGTCTCAAAATCGTTCGTGCTCACGGAAGCCCGTCTACCATAGAGTTGACAGACGCTGGCTATCGCTAGTGAGTAATCAGCATCGACTCTTCCGGAATATGGCTTATGCAACACAGCTTCAAAGGCGTCGGGGCCGTCTCTTTGTATAAAAAAGGCGATCCCAAATTTGACCGCCTCACTGTGGACCAAGTACGTGAAACCTTCCTCGACCGGCGCGTCTTGGAGTCAACGTATACCACAGCTCGACAAAGAGATCCAGGTCCTTCGGGATGTATTGATCAGGACTCGCGAGGTCCTCCAGCGCCACCCAGCATGTCATGTCGACGTCGCGGCCGTGGAAGACATGCCCAAGCTTGTAAGTAACATTTGACGTGTTTGTCACTCAAACTGACCGTTGTACTTAGTGCATCAACCTCGTCACCCAAATTAAAACCTTAAGTGTGCAGGTGAGCGGCACACCGGATGCCTCTGACCTCATTTCACCACTAACTGCATAACGGTAGATCACTGAATTGCACAGTGCGCACTCGAGTGACCGGGCCACCATGCGCGCCCTCGGCATCAGCTTGTATTAAAGTTCGTATGCAGTTTTAATACTGGGTGCCTCCGTCATATTTGTAACCTGTGATACATGTAAATCACATGTCGTTGGGATCTGTCCCCTTCCTGTTGCCGGGATGCTAACGTCGACGTTCGACCATGGAGCCGGCGCTCTGAGTCACCAAAGTATATGAACATTACATGATCCTGACCTGACCTAACAATTAATCGAGAACAGTCACTTCTACCAGGAGGTTGTCGCGCTTAAGCTCGCCCAAGGCGAGACCTCTGAACTGGTGTTTGACCTTCCGAGTCAAGGAGAGACGGGCGTCGAGGACATTTTCGGACAGCCGGAACTACGAGGAGCGCACCACACCCACCTTTACGCCTAGCCCGGACAACAGACCGTCCGGGAAATTAGATTGACGTACCGCTATTGGTAATAATTAAGCTATAGGAACCATCTGAGGGATGACTTGCACGCAAGACGCACACGCAACATTAGCAAGTGCCCATGGATGCATATCTCTTGAGACTTGAGGCTTGAAGAGCGGCACGCAATGCATGCGAGAAACCGCCAGTGTGGCGGCGGGTGAAGACGGTGCGTCACACTGGACTGGGTGTGCCCATGAAATCGCGTGCATGAAACGGCGCGATCTCATCTGCGCTTAGGAGGCTAAGACGCCTGTGTAGGTGCAGTGTAGCGCAGTGGGCCGACTTTAAGGGGGGGGGCAGCCATAGTAGAACGCGAACCTGGTCGCGCAGCCATCGCCGCGGGCATGCACAAGGGAATGTGTCTGATTAGCACCCGTGTTTATTGACTGTTTGTTCTTTTGTTACGAAGACCGCATGCCGACCTATGCGCATGCCTGGCTGCACTTCACGTGCGTCGACGCGCATGTCTTCTCGTGTTGTCTGTTGGGTCACTTTAATGCAAAGCTTATATAATTACATTCGACGTGTGTGGCGGCCGTGAGCACGAGCGGTGTATTGCTGGTGTGTCCTGACCAGACGCACCAGCGTTATTCTCACATAAACGCTTAAGCCAGACTGACTTAATGGCGTCCGCGCAGCACCTCGTCCGAGACGTCTCACTACCCAAGGACGAGAAGGCAGTTAGGAATGCCATGACGTGAATAGGGGACCAGAGAAGTAGAGGGGCTCGCCATCGGATAAAGCGGTCCGGAAGACGGCTAGACGCGGAGGCAAACGTTGGGGATGGGGCTGAACAGGTCGAAGAATGGTACACACCAATCAAAAGAGAGGTAGGCGACTTCCGTGTGATTTGATAGAGAAAGGTTCGAGGAGATGACAGAGGAGGCGTTTGGAGGAACCATCGACCTCTGCAAAGTGAGAAGTGAAGAGGTATATGAAACGGAAGAACCGGACGCACCTTTCTCGGCGTACTCACCCAGTCCCTTCACCTGCTGAGAAACTGGGTAAATCCTTCTCCCCATACTTTACGTAGGGTCCTGAAGCTCCGGAATCGTCGCTGAATCTTGGGAAGGCCGCAAGATGCCTGCTTCCCGGGCATCTTCGCGTGGTTGATCAATCTATGCAGCGGGCTGAGTTTACGACTCGAGAATCTGGACGCAACGTTTCCAGCCACTTACTCCTCTATCATAGCAGGACTTTTGCATACCTTCTACTCGAATGCAACCTCGGCAAAGATGGATATTGAGTCTGTTGCAGCCATGCTTAGTGGCTGTTCGCGCCAACTGAGGTCAGATCGTCCAAGCAAGCGGGGTCACAACACTCGCAAACAACTCATCCGCACTGCTATCGAGCGCCCGTTCCTAGGTTCAAGTGGTCTCTCGCTACCCCGGGTCGCGTACTGCCTGCCGTCTTCGCCGCTGCACTCGCCGCTCTCTTCTCATCTTGCCCGGAATGGCTGGAATACGTACATCACTATAAGAGCCATATATGCCCATGGTATGGAGTCGCGCGCACACGGAACCGACGTTTCAAACGGAATGCTTATTGAGCGTATGCCCCCCCACCAGGACTATGCCGCCAAATCCCGAACTTCCTAGTAATGTGGAAGCTGCAATGTGCCAGGCTATCTCTACCCTCTCGTTATATCCTGCATGATGCTACCCAACCAGTATACTCCGCCACACTCGTACGGCGATATAAATCAATAGTGAGTTATGCAGCTTCCCGTCTGTAGTCCAGCTTGCTTCGGGCGTTCGACGTGTCCATGCTGATCATCTCTCTTTGAATTTCTGTCGGGGCCGGTCTTCTGCTCTGCCGCACAACGACGTCCCCGCCGCAGAAACACCAGGAAGCGCCCCAAGTCCAACCGGAGCGACAGGATCACATAGCCGATCCGCCAGGCTGGGTGCACGAGCGCGAGGAATGGAGTTGAGAGCACAATCAGGACGACGAGGCATAGTGTCAGCAACAGCAGGCAGCGCGCGAAGCGTTCGAGCAGGAACGCGAAGAGGGTAAGCACCATTGGCCCACAGCAGGCGATGCGTTCGAGCCCAAATTAACAGAAAACGACGCCATCTGCTGGAGATCGCGCACAGGATGCAAGGGATATTCTGTGCGGAGTCGCACGAGTGCTGGCGCTTCCGTGCGCACGGGACCCGGATGTACACTTCGTGACTCGGAGTTAATTATGACGGGCAGTGAATTAGCTCGAGGTGTGCCACAATTTGCTACCCGTCACAATCCATGGCCGACCAGTGAGGTTGAAGAGCATGCGCGATGTGAGCTGAAGATATTGGCTCATAAGCGAGGCTTCGAAGTACTATTTGCTCATCTCGTGCTTGCAGAACAAGAGCGAGGTAGTCGGTGACTCGTACGTTGGCTTTGACGAAACCCACCTACACCCGTCTTGGGATGACACCTTGCGTAATCCCCGACGGCCATCACAAGCTCAGGCGTACACTTCAACCGCCTTTCACTTTCCGGGACAGGGTACGTGCGTCCGCTCGATGAATGTGAGTGGTTCCATGCTGATCAGACGATCAACCAGGGAGATCGTTCTGCAGATGCCTACAGTGTATATATTCATTTGAAGAGCTTTGGGGAAGCTGTCACTCACTGATTACAGAAACACGGTGCGCAAGTACGTTAAGGAACTCGTAGTGTCTTCGAAGTCCCGTGAAGGCCGTACCTGGTCCCATCCCGAAATATGATGCTGCCACAAGAACCTGAATGTCCGGGGCAGAACGGCTGTGTCGTATCCTCAGAAATGGCAGCGGAAAACGCTCGCTGTGCCCAGTGTCGCTTGTCGCCGATGCGGGGGTGTAGATTAGTCTGCATCTAAAATCTCGAGCTTAACAACATAGTACCGGCCTTCGCGCGCGATGCCCCAACGGACGGCAGACGCACCTCGACGCGACCGCGCTAGCATTTGACTTGTATCGCCCTCTTGTTGCGTAGCGTACTCTCGCCCACGACTTAATCGCGCGCCCTGAATCCAGTTATGACATCAACATATATGACCCCGCGCTGCGACGAACACCTCGTCTACTCATTGCGCTCTACCAGGGTGAGACTAGTATAACACACTGTCCACCGATTTAGGTCTGTGGTCGTCCATTTGAACATACTAGGTACCTGACTGACTGGGACAACCCTCGTCTGACAGCTCAGTGCGGCAGTATCGGTATCGACATATCCTCTACTGAGGACGCAGCCGTCAACTTCCCCCAATGTGAGGGGACCAGTTGGCCACCAGTATGAGTAGTCGTGCTGTTGCTTACTTTCCTTTGATAGCATCTACCCCTGAACGGATGTTTTCGCATGCACGCGGGGCACCCGGACGTCCGGTGTTGTTCCGTACTATCATCCGCCGGAAACCTGCCTTAGGCATCCTAGACGTACGGGATCGCCATCTCGACGCATGCCACGCACATCGCGTACACCAAGTGATATGGCCATCACCCAGCACGCGGTGGATGCTCAGCACGTCAGCACCGTTGTAATCTCACCGCGGATCATATGTCCCTCGCGCGCAGAGAGCTTCTTAGCACGCGATGTTGTTTGCGCTGATCTCGCGCGCGGAACGTTCAAACGCTCCGAACGTGTCCATCACTGTCGCCTCTATCTAAGCTCAGAAAATTCATGGAGACCGCTTGGGAATTTCTATCATGAAAAGTCAAGTATCATACATAATGGTAAGAAAATATTGGAACGTGGAGGACTCATTCCTCACACCAGCACTGCCCAATAACGGTCATGTCGGCTTCATCAGGCCATCCATTCTGCACACGCTGGATAGGAAGAACGCCCGGAGCGACTGACAGAGCTAACCCACAAAAATTGGCGTACACCGTCTCGCGACCGTTCTCCAGCGAATGCGAGCTTGAGTCGGTAGGCCGCAATTTTGCTTGGGCTATGTCATCCATGAGCCCCCAGAACTCTTCCTCCAGGCAAAATTTGATTAGCACGTCATCCCCAGCACTGGTTGGCTTCCACCTGATTGTGCGCGTGTTCTGGGAAGATCTGGTTTTAGTAACATGGACACGGAGATTCGCAAGAGACCAACCTCGTCGCTCGAAAACGACGAGCTGTTGACAAGTGCAGATGCGATCAGCCGTCCGGGAAATTCGCAGAGGGGGCATGGACTCTTTCGAATGAACAATGCGGCTATCAAAACCAATATCAGCATGTAGCCACACACACAGGCGTCAGCTACTCACTGGTTCCATCATCGTCGAAATGTACTAAGAGGAGCGCACAGAAATCCCACTTGACTTCGCTCGGATCAGTCGTATTCCCGCAGAGCGAATAAGTGCACGCTGTTGTGGCGAATAGAGGTGATATATCGCTTGATTACACCCTCCAATTAGCCAGGAACAAACTAAATCGAACGGTCACTCACTTCGGTGGAGCCATGCTCACAGGACAGCCTGAGGTTTTCCAGGACGAGCGTTTGAATAGTATGGACGAAACACACCTCTATGGGCTTCAGCTTATATGTGCATATCGATACCAAACAAAAGGTAGGCATGCGAAGCAAGCGATCAAAGGCACATTGGGTGAGTATGCGAACGCACTTTGCCACTCAGGCGTCTGCCGCCGTGTTTCGACGTCCAAAGGTCTTAATTATCGCCGTTGAGCATCCACGCCCAAAGCTATTGTTTGTAATCAGCATGATTTAATTTAGATTAAAAACAGAGATAAAGAATCTTCTGGTCCAAACTGATACTCTGGAAAGTTGCAAAGCGAATGACCGAGCTTGAGGGCCTGATGCCAGATGGGACATAGCGATATATTAGACGCCCGCTTGCGAGGAGAAACGCTCAAACGTCCAACCAAACGTTCACATCACGCGTTCACCGAGACCAAACACGGTTTCGTACACACACTCTCCGGCTGGCAAAGGCTGTCCTCGCACGCGTACGCGTTGCACGCTCGCTCGCGGTCTGGCCATACGTCGGACAATCAAAGGTTTCAAGTCGGTTATGTTCGCACATACGCTGAAAATGCCTTTGTCAGACCCCCATATAAGTTCTATGCATGCATAACGGACGCAGCGATTGCACAATATACGCTTCCGGCGCTCTCTAGCAGCTCTACAACTTACACCAACGTTATCTTCTCTCTTCGATTGCCTGTATGGATCCGCCGCACCATTCAGCTGAGGACGGCAGTGAGTATTGACTATTTCCTTTTAAATCACGGAGTGCGTTCTGCTGGCTGACTCCCTCAATCCCAGTGCAGAACTATTGGAAGCTATACGAGTCTAATCCATGGTCTTCTGATGCCATGCATCCTGAGTCGTCCACACGCCCACGAACTGAGCAGCCTTGGTCTGGTAAGTGTATACAAATATCACCGTTGTGCTCGCCCACATTGTTATCATAGCTGCTGATGACGCGTCCGCAGTACATGGTGCGTGAGCTTGCATTTATTCATAGCACACGCGTAATTTCTCATGGTCCGTGTGGCTTTTAGAGACAGCACAGTATGCCGCCGACGGTTTGCAGCAGGGCGCTTTTGGCCCGGTAAGCTATCCAACCTCCTCTCCAGACCCTCTAGATCTGATTGATATACGGAATCCCACGACAAGGCGTGGGAGCGGCATTCACAGGAGCCTCTTTTCTCCGCCGCGTCGTATGGAGAAAGCCACCGCCAAGGTCATGAAATTGGCCCTGTCCCGCAAGACTATCACGGGAGACACGATGATCGGGAAACACATAGCCCGACCACTATCCCCGCACATTCTACAAATTGGGCGATGCCGGGTGGCTTTGGCGACGACGGCACATTCATGGAGCAGGAACGTCTTCACAATTCGCGCGCAGACACCCCTGGAGAACACGAAGCCGTCTACTACGATCGCGTCCGCTCTGAGGGATATTCTGAGGACTATAGGGGCGCAGAAGCTGGTCCCAGCGGTCATCGAAGGGACTCCGACGATGACTACAGCCACGCAGATGACGAAGACTCCCTCTTCGACGGAGAAGAGCGCGAGTCGATCTACGATGAGATGATGGAGGACTTTGACGAACATCCTGCACCGAGACACGCCGGTGAAATGCATTCAGACCATGAGTTTCCAGCCCCTCCTGCTGGAGCAAGCCAGTCGAAGAGTGTCTTACAATCGCGTGGATACATTTCATTCGGTACTCGTGGTCCCAAGTACGCCGTATGTTCACAAGTCTCAACCCTTGGGCTGACGTTTGGCCGCAGGTCTGGTGTGGAGGATCTGGATCTTTCGTCATCAACACCCCTGCAAAATGTGCATGCTGGGGCACCCCGGGGAAATCTCTCGTATGTTCCCTTTTCTTGCTTTTGACAGCAGTTGACCATATCGTACAGCTCATCTTACTCAATGAGCGTGGATTCGGCGCACTCCGATGATGCGCAGCCAAGGTCGGATCTGCCATCCGGCAATCCCGTGGCAGCCTTTCGTTCGTTTGAAGGCTACGCTCAATCTGCTATCCACAACAAGTGAGATTGCCAATTCCGTTCATCCAGTGGGATGATGTACTGACCATGGCATCATACGTAACGTCTTCGGATCTCGGCACGACCGTCAAAGTCCTCCCAACTTGCGCACTTATTCCATACCGGTGTACGTCCTTGGATCTTATTCTACTTGAATGTGGCTTCGAACCGCGTATTAATCTGTTCCACCAGCGCACCAGCCACCGGACAGCAATATATGTATCCAGGAGTGAGCCTAAATATGCCGGGCGGTCCTCACGTTCCGTCGACCTCGCAAACAAACCAGGCGCGCCAATCTGACGCAATGGCTCCGTCCGGAAGCAAGCGCTTTCGATCGCCGACCAGTTCTATCACAAGCTCGTCGTATGCCAGGCGCAAATTCGGGAAAAAGTTGAGGTTTGATCCACTGGCTGAGGTTCCTGCGGCCCAGCATGAAACTCCTCCTAAAGTGCTCCGTGCTCAACAGGCTATGGCAGAGGTATGCATACGGAGGCGGCTTAGTGACTAAGCATCGACGCTGACTCCTCTGATCGTAGGGGATTAGTGACACGAGCAGTGAGACTGGAAGGACTCCCCCGCATACCGAGCAGGCCGTGGCAGAGGTGCGTGCATGTTAGCACCTTGACGAGATAGCTCCCGTGTTCATACGTGTACTGCGATAGGATCTCACTGGTATGAGATCGGGAAGGATGTCCCGTCAGCGGGGAAGGAATACCGTAGCCGCTGAGTCCTCGTTTCAGGCCAGTCAGCATTACAGAGGGGCCCCTATACCTGGAAATCAATCGCCGTCATCCTCCAACGGCCGGGGCGGTAGCGGATTTCCCCACGTAGAGCCTCGATTCAGAGCGGCTCCAGCCACAGCCGCCCAGCACGCCAACCCTTTTGTACGTCGATGAACTTTCTTTATGCGGAACGCTCTTCCGATTCTCACGCAGACATGATGACAGGACACTCCTGCGAGCCGAGGAGAGGTTTCAGAACTACGACACACCCTAGAGAACCTCGCCGGTGTCTTCAGGGAGTTCTCTACCTCAGCCATGGACATGCTCACGCAACTGGCGCAGTCCCAGTCCAATCCGGTCATCGGGCTCCAGCGTGGACGGTCTGGCGGAAGGTCTGGGACCAATGGTGGCTCATCTGGAGATGGGTATGGTGCACATGACCCGAATGGATCCCCGCCACCCCAGCGGAAGCGGCAAAGGACCCCCGTACGTCGTACGGACGCGGAGTGCACGTTGTCTGTACGTCAGGCATTTATGTGACTGCGGCTGACTTGCTGATCTTTCATGCAGTGTGAAGTGCAGGTATACGCACGCGCACTGATGGGTCGCCCTAATGCCGATTCTCCCTTTCCCCCTACGTGTCTGGCGACGCCCGACGAAGCCAAACGCTTTGAACAGGCCGGAGATGGGGCACACTGCTGTGACCTGGCCACATTCCGCATCAACATCAATACGGGCGCCCATAACCGATGGAACAGGTCTGCTGCGCGCGTGTTCGTCCGCGGATTCTTGCAAACGGGAGAGTTCGAATGCGAGGACGGTAAGAAGATCTACGAGGCGTTCATGACCCACGTCCGGACACTTCGCAAGAAGTACCGCGAGATCGGAATGTCCAAAACCACTGCGAAGAGCAAGAAGAAGGACGCGAATCGTTACCAGCGCAAAGTGACGGTAAGATTGACAGTCAGGTATACGACCTTTTTGCTGATTGCATATAGAGCTACTATCGGCGACGTCGTGTGACCTCGAAGCACGCACATCTCAAACCCCATCTTCCTATGCTCGAGAGCCTCGGGATCGATGGGATGAGCTCTGACGAATCGGACGAGGAAGACGGTGTCAAGCAGTACCGCATTCGCAAGAAGTCCTGGCGGGCAGAGCCTTTGACGTCCTGGTTGAGGGGTATGGATGCTGTCGACGCTATCACGAACGTAAACACTCGGGGCAACAAGCCGCGCAGGCGAGTACAAAGCAATCAGGTTGACGATTCACGCCCGCCGGTGCGTAACCTGCCGAAGAGTGCGTACGACCCGGTATGGTATGCTCGACTGGGTGACTTTGCGCGCGAGGATCTACAGGCCACCGATGAAGATTATCAGTTTTACCACCACGACAGCGTATGGCGGTGAGTTTTTGTTTTGTTTGATCCTATGGTACCCAGCACTGATGCACAGTGTTGTTAGCGCCCTGATCGCACACACCGCCCAGCTCAATCGCCCAGGACCTTACGTTTAGGCTATCCGACCATGCATGCTGGCTTCTCTCTAGACTCTGCAGTTTCGATTCGCATAGTACATCTGGATCCAAGATTATTCGGGAGACCGCGAGATCCTCACTTCGGCGCAGCTCTCTCTTACCGTGCGCTGTAGTATTGGAATGGGCTTGACACTCTGTGTACTATCATGTTTATACCGTTCATGTCATTATTCCCGTTTGTTGTTAGTCATATGGCTTGGCATAATATAGTGTGGCATGGTCATTTTGCTTAGATATAATTATTCAGCGTCGTATCCGCGATGTCTCCAACTTGAAGTAAATCTGAATGTCTTAGTAAGGGGCCAGCTCAAGGGATGCTTTATGTAAGTCGACATCGCCTCGTCGAGCAGCCTGTCGTAGCGATGTGTGCAGGATGGGCCGTGCAGTGACTAGCAGGTTCGGGAGCAGATAAGTTTGGTCTGTTCGCGTCTGGTCGTGTACGTGACTCGGACGTGCATCTCGTGGCCGCATCACTTGGTGCTACTTTGGTCTACTTTGGTGCGTAACCGGGATATGCCGGACGCGTTGTTCATCGATCATCTCCCCGAGTATGGCTCTCTACTATCCAACTACCACCATTGCCTCGTCTTTTTTGCTCAACCGTCTATTCCAACATTCTAGCCAATAGCGCAATCGGTATAGGCCAACAAATCATCTTACTATCTCGGTTCTGGACAGCAAAAACCAGCGATTGCAGCAACATCCCACATCCATCATCCACCCCTGTATATCTCCTGCCACACCTTCTGGGAGTCTGCTGCGTGTCACCATCTACAGAGGAAACAGTTGGCATGGCCTCCAGATGAGCTCCCTCGGACAGCCAAACCCCTTCCAGTCTCAGGCGCTTCCGGAGGTTGCAGGGTTACGGAAACTGGCACAGGACTGGTGAGCGTATCAATATAAAGCAGTACGTGCGGACATGCAGCTCGGGTAGATGCACTCATTTGGTACCGCTATCCAGACAGCCTGCATGCGGAGATGCTTTTAGAGATGAGCACCGCGCATAGCTGGCTGACTGGGAATGGTCAAAGAAAGGAACCCCGGCCTTCGTGTAAACGACTGGCTGAGGACGGTCATGTGCCATGGATGGGATAAGCACAAGTAGCGGGCAAAGGTATGTTTGAATCAGGACCAAGCCGACATTCTCACTAGACGCAAGCTGATTAGTGCCCAGCCGCTGAAAGCCCCTTTGTCGCTGTGCTCGTACTAAAGGCGGGACGCACATGCATACGCTCACCAGTCCATCTTCGTCAGCCTTTCGCTATACCGGTCTTCAGTATGAAACTACCGACCAACAAATCGCGCTCACTTCGTATCCAATGCCATCCCAAGTTGAAAGTATGTAGGATCGCTTGACTTTTTTCTTCTTGCTTTCGCTAATCGTACTTAGATCGATCCTCCGACGACTCTTAAAGCGCTCTACTATGGGTCTCAATCAGCCCATCCTTCTCTGGTGGATGTGGTGACCGTTATCCAGCGTCGCGGTAATGCGCAACCTACGAAGCCCTTCCCTGCACTCGAATGTGTCCTCGGCACTACGACCCCCATCCACGAATGCCTGGTGGAATGCATCGCTGATTCTGGGTCGAGGACCTTTATCGTCGCCATACAGGAGCGGCCGGGAACACCAAACGCAACGCTCATCGAAACCCTGCGACTACCTGGCGAGGATTGGTGCATGGAGGTGATAGTGATGCAACTAGGACCAGATGGGTCTGTAGTGGACTTCGGCAGCGGTGGGGACCAGCTGAATCTTGCCAAAAACGCTGTTTGCCGGTACGTCGTCTTTCGTCCACGAGATCTACGTGGTGAGTTAACTGCTCACCACGTATCCGGCCAGCCTGCTTGCCCAGATCCATCATCTGTTGAGGGTCGAGAGCGAGATCGGTCAACCATTCCTCTTCCCTGCGAACCTCCGTGTTGATTCTGCTGCGCCCGTTCGGCGCTGATAGGATTTCCTCAGCGCCGTGCACGGGCAAGGCATAATAGGTTGATGTATACCTGTTACATAGTCTCCAAACCTCAGTTTCTTCGCCCGTTATCTGCGCTTGCCATAAGTAATCAAGTCTGTCATTGTGGCGCCGCAGGTGGGTGGTTGTGAGTATGGTGCCGTACGGGGGTACCTTAAGCTGTAATTTCTCATCTCGGTCTGACAAACGTTGTACTCACTGCCGTTGTACGCGTCCCACCTGCGCTTGTTAAGTTAGAACATGCGCAGGGGGGAGGTGTGCTAAGCATCAGGTTCGAAGCTTACCCCGTGAATACGACGCGTATCGTGCCCTCGACATACATCCCGTCCCGCATGAGGCGCACAGACCGTCGGTGCACACGTCGCACTCGATGGACTTGCCTCGTTCGACGCGTACCCCACATGACGCCCCCCTTGCGCCCGCAACGCGCATCCACCAAGGATAGGGTGCTTGGGTAGAACGCGGGACAAATGTGCGATGCCTACGCTCGCTACGCGCTGCTTACCACACGCGTTGAATATGCGAGCACGAGGAGTACGATGGTATCCTGTTAGGTGAGCATGTGTCAATTCTTTGGGGAGAGCGGCTCACTGACGGGGGCACAGCTACAGACAACTCAATCGCGGAAGGGCGCGTTTGGGGCCAACACTACGGTGGCCTTTTTCATGTACATATTGACCAGAATATGTTAAGGTAATGAGCCAGCACGAAATAACGCAGAGATGTCCATACGGCGCCGCGAGATACGGACATACGCGCTACGGTGGTTGTGCTCGCTGCTTCGCACACACACGCTTTCTCCTCCACAGTCGTCGCGCCCAAGACTTTACCTTCAACGACCCACTACAGAAATCCACGACGTCGCGCCGTCCCTTGTCGCGGCCCTTAAATACCAGGTGTTACGGCCTCGTTGCGGCGACTCGCTCTTTCTCCTTTACCACCACCACCGTCACTACCACCACCGTCGCTGCTGCCACCCTCATCACAAGTCATCAACATGCCCGTCGCCTACGCGCTCATCAAGCCGCTGTATATGGTGAGCCATTCGGACGTTGCGGATATGAAGTATTGTAACTCGCGTTTAGGCTATGCAAAGCGTGATGTGTGGGGATACGGCTGCTCCGCGGGGGGCCAATTTCGATCACTTCGTCCAGGCGCGTACTACGCCCACATCCAGGCGCATAACGCTCACTCTTGTGCAGGCCTTGCAAGTTCTTGGGTTCACGCCGAGGGTCGTTGCGCAGCCCCAGGTCGTACTCTTGGACCCGCCGACGGGGTTCAATCAAGAAGCCGGCCCGTTGCAGCTGGTGCGTCCCAACGCAGGGCAACTTTGGTACTCTTTCGAGCACGCGGAGTAAGTCATTCGGATATGCCTCATAAACATCGCACGGTCTTACGGTGCCCGAAGGGTTGCGCACGCTTTAGAGGAGCGGTACGGGCTCACCGGAAGTTCTTTCATTGAGCTTCCGGGTGATCTGCTGCCCGGGATCAACGGGTTCGTCATAGCTGCAGGCGGAGGGCTGTAGGTTGTTCGCCGCGCCCAATCGCGCAAGTTCTTGATGTGAGCGAGTATGGGAATCCCGAAAAGTAATGTATATAACACGCTACTCCGAGTCATACGTTCGAGATCAGCTTGTATGGACCTTCCGAACCGCGTGTGCTGTCCCGGGGGGTGTATTACAGTACCGCAAAACTATGCGGGTACATGGCAGGGCGATTGCTAGAGCGAAAGCGCATACACAGGAGAGGGACGATCGCGACGAGCGCCTTGAGGAGGGAATCGCAAATGGACATGCGCAGTCCTTCGTCGGTGCGGCAAGCAATGTTTCCGATATATGCTCGCTGCTGCCGTCGTGCGGGTAGTAGCCAATGTCCGAGTGCTTAGCCAAGGGTCGAGCGATGGGGGCTCGAGCGATGGAACGGGGACGTGGGCAATCAAGATAAGAGCGCGCGCGCTCTCGTCTGCGACGCAGAGACCGAACGTTGAACGTAGGGGGTCGGGCGAAGGAGATGACGATGACGAGCGTTATGGAGGGAGATGGAAGGGGCAACCAAATAGCAGTGAAGTAGACATACTGTTTGAACCTCGAGCAGTCACTCGATTCATGCATCCCTCCCTGTCACTCGATTCATGCGTCCTTCCCTGTCACTCCATCTGGTGCGTCCCCCTTGAGTGGGCTTGTTGTAGTGTCTGTGGATCAGGCGAACATCTAGCATCTCGGCGTATACGCAGATCCAGAGGGAGTTGGGATCGAGAATGAGTCGGATGCATGATAGATGGCCGATCGGTGAAGAGATGATCGACTCCGATCGGTGGAGAGTGGGGGCGATCGGGAAGACCATGGGCTCGGAACCGGGTGGCTGTGAAAAAGTGTACGCGACGGTGCCTTGCGTTAACGTGCCGGAGCCGATGTTCGCATCCGGCGTTAGGCGCTTTTCGGAATCTCCTCGTTCCTCCCTTGAGCCGGCGCCCCGTCCTTCGACGACCTCTCAGCCCGCGCATACATTGCGGCCGCGTGCATAGATCCATACTATCTTCATTACAGTATTCGCACTGCATGTAAGCGTACAGCTCATACGGAGGGGATCTGCGCTCACAAAGCTTGTTTAGATGGGCACCGAAATCTCTTCGCCCTGCTCGCGGACTCCTCCGGTGTCCTTTCCAAACGCGAATATGGCGTACATACAACCTATGTGATGACGCACACGCGCATACAGTCCTGAGCCCGTCGTACGCCCCGCTGCAAGTTGTCCACCGCGCTGGGACGCCCAGATCACAATTTCTCGTCCTCCCGCCCGGTCCCCCACGTGAACGTGCGGCCTAGTGTCGCAAGACGCTGCAGATAGCATAGGCGCACATACGGGTGCGTCCGCAGGCTAGTCGGACGCGAACCGCACTAATTATCCCCGATTTACTAGTGCTCGGCGCCGAAGAATACGCATACCGCACGCGGCCGCGCCCGTACAGACCTCTCCGTCTGGATTCTACCTCGCGGGGGCACGCCTCGTTGCTCGCAACAACTCGCGCGGCAAACAACGAGGGTGGCCGCGCCCACGCTGCATCGTTTCCGCGGCTGCGCCTCACAAGCTATCGCTCGCGCCCCGCCTCCTCGCCGTTCCCTACGCCTCCCAGACCACGATGGTGCGCTTCAGTGTACTAAGACACATCCACCCACGCAGTATCAGCGCAATACGCGCAAACCATATTCGCCTCGTGTTCGCGCCGTCGCATGGGCCCGCAAGACAAAGTCGCGCGTCGCAGTCCGCCATCCTCGTTTCCCGCTCCGGCCCTCCGCCCACACGGGCCTTCGAACAACCACAACCGAACGCCGCCGCTTCCAAACGCGTACGAGCACCTCGACATTTCGACATTTTCGGCATTCTCGCTGTTTACAGGCAGACATACAGGCAAAATCGCGCGTCCCGGCTCGCCCTCTCCTCCTCTCCCCGCGCGCTTTGAACACAGCACGCCCACGCACGCCCATGACCGTGCCCTACTGCGTTCCAGCGCGTACGCGCACATCGGCCGGCCTACCTTTTGCCCACGCCGTCCATGTCGCGTCCTGACGCCGCTCCCCGCGCCCTCGGAAACGCGACGACGCACGCCCAAGCCCCATGGCGAGTCTCGGCGTACCGGGGGCAGGATCAGATCGCGTCGGGGTCGCGCCGTGTCGTGCGCGGCGACGAGCCGCGACGCGCGTTTGGCGGCGACTTCGACAGGGACGCCCATGGGGACGAGCACGAGCATGCTGGCACGTCTAGGGCTGTTGCTGGGCACGCCAGGACCACCCGGGTCGACCAGCTCGAGTCGGCGCAATCGCCCCGGCGTCGCATTCACGGGCTGCAAGGTACGCGGTTGCGCCCTCCATGACGCTCGTTACTCACCTCCACCCGCCAGTTCATCCGCCCCATGTCGCGTTCTGCGCCCCCAGTCCCGCCCTCGTCGTGTGCGGGAGACGCTCCAGCCATCGACGGCAAAGGCGCCGCAGACACGGGGCCTGGGGCGTGCATGGGCATGTCGCGGGAGGGCGGGTGTGCAAGACGGCGACTTGCACCCTCAGTGTGCCGCGCCTGCGCGTACCCGCGTCGCGTAGTACACGTACATTGCTATTCTACGATTCCCGCCTCCGCCCCGCCCGCGCCTCTGCCCGCCGATCCGGCCCTCCCTCACTTTCCATGCCGCTATCTGTGCTGTCGCATCCCGTTGGCTCAGCCGAGACGCACCGCAGCCCGCCCTCATGCTCACCGTCGATCCCGATTCGCCACTGCTGACACCTGGTGTGGACGACAGCCCGGAGCTGGATAGGTGAGTTGATCAGTACGCGCTAATCGACGGACGTCCACGATGGCTTACGGGGTGTTGGCCAGAACGGGCGGCGGGGCCTGCTAGCACATGCAGCAAGACGGCGGTGCGCGCCGCGTCGTTCACGGACAGCGCGCCGCTCGTCGACTGGGAGAACGCACCGCGAGGATGATGGTGCCCTCGTGGGAGGAGCTCGCGCAGACGACCTCGACGACGTCGGCGGGGGCTTACGTGCCGCGTGCGCGACGGTCCCGACATCGATGTGGAGACGGCGGTCTAGTCGTTGGCGACACCCACCCGATGCGCCGCGCTGCGATGAGCCGAGTCTGCCGCGCCGCGCCGCACCTGCGCATCGACGTTGCGGGGACGGCGATATACGACGCGGCCAGAGCGGGTTGTGGGACGAGGGCGCCGCGATCTCATCTCCTGGAAACCCAAATGCGCTCGGCCACCAGGGCCGCCGACGCGAGAGACACGACGACGGAGTGCGAGTGCGGGTGGGGGTACATCGAGCTGCTCGCCTCGTGCGCGCGTCCGGGCCACAACTGCATCCTTTCCGGCCATGTACATAGATACCTCTGCTCACCTGCGTCTCATCCGCTCGTCGGCTGCGCCCACCGTCTAGGCGCCTCATTCCCGCCGCTCATCACGTCACACCTTCTCCCCCGCGCGAAGTCATAGGAAGACGTTCGTCGGCTGCGACTGGCTTGTCCCGTTGTCGTTTGTCCCGATGTGCACACTGTGCGGAACACGCGCCGTCAGAAGCATGACAACATGCTCGAGCTGCAACCGCCCCACTCACCGATCGGCGTCGCGCGGCGCACGGCCGATGCGCCTCCCAGTTATGCAGAGGTCGTCTTGGTGTGTCCGCGACGGCTATCCTAATCCCAGCTCGGAACCTGCGAGGTGAGGTGAACAGCAAGCTCGTATCGCGAAATGGCGCTGACTCACCGCTGTCGTAGCAAACACACTGTGTGATGCAACGAGGAAATCCCGGGGTTAGTCTTGTTATGCCTCCGCTGTAGCCCATATTGACGTACCGTGATTGACGCTAGGCCTCCTCGAGTCGCACAAGGGCGCGTACGCGTGATCGTGGCGAGGCGCAGCGCGCTGGAGCGACTGGGGGTGTGCGAGGCGGGTGCTGGGCGCCCGGGGACGAGGGCGGGATGATGCAGGGGCCCCGACGTCGTACTTACCCGTCACGGGCTGTGAGGTACGCGGTCGCGCCCCCTACGACCCACGTCACTTACTCTGGCCCGTCAGCTCGCGTACGCGCCGCCCCGCGCCTTGCACGCCCGCTCCCGCCCTCGTCGCCTGCGGGAAGCGCCCCAGCCGTCGAACATGCCACCATCGACAGCAAGGGCGCCGCAAACTCAGGAGCGTGCACAGCGCTGCCGCGGAACGGCGGGAGCGAGAGACGACTCGTCCCGGGCTGTGTGGGGCTAGCCTTGCTATGCGCCCGCGTGCGCCGCGTCTCTGCGCGCCATCCCCACTCCTGGCTCTCCCCTGCCGCGTACGTACATCTGTAATTAATCTACGAGTTTCCCGCCCTTACCCAGCCCCGGCCCCGCTCCCCCGCCGTTCCGCCCCTCCCGTGGTGTCCACACTGTTGCATGCCATCGCTCCTCATCTCTGCCACACAGCGCGGCGCGCACTCGTGCTTACCGGCGTACATATCTGATTCCCGATTCGCTGCTGTCGAGAGGCGTGGCTCCCGCCTTGTGTGGACGAGGGCCCGGATCTGGACATGTGAGTTTGTCAGTACGCGCGAAGCGATAGTCGTTGGCGATGGCTTACGAATGTTGGCTAGTGGGGGGTACTAGCACATGCAGCAAGACGGCCGTGCACGCCGCGCTAGTGCCGTGTCTTCGTCGGCTTGCAAAACGCACGGCGAGGACGACCGCGCCCTCGCGAGAGAGTCAGAGAATCCCGCGCAGACGACCTCGACGGTGTTCGCGGCGACTTACGTACCGTACGCGCGACCCGACCCCGACATGGAGACGGCCACCCAGTCGTCGGCGCCACGTGTGCGAGTTCGCGCGACACGCCGCGCTGCAACAAGTCGAGTCTGCCGCGCTCCGCCTCTGTCTCAGCGGGGAGGGTCACGGACGACGTGTGCGCGCGGCACACGTCCTGGTGCCCTCGCGATACGAGACAAGCGCCGCGAACTCATCCCTGGAAGCCGAACACGCCCGGACGCTGGGATTGCCGACGCGAGAGACATGACGAGGGCGGGTGAGAGCATGTCGAGCTGCCTGCCCCGTGCGCGCGTCCGGGCTGCGGCCGCCTCCTTTCTGATACATGTACATAAATACTGCTCACCTGCGTCTTCCCTGGTCCCGTCCGCGCTGGCGGTTGCGCTCACGATCCGAGCGGCACATCCCGGCCTCCCCTCGCGTCTCCTTTGTCTCGCCGACGCGCGAAGTCGTTCGTGGGCTACGATAGGCTTGACCCGTCGTCGTGTGCACTTGTGTACACGTTCTGTGGGGAACATGCACGGTGAGAAGCACGACAACGCTCTCGAGCTGCGACCGCTTTACTCACCGTCTTGCATCGCACAAGGCAGATTTGATACAACTCCCAGCGCGGCAGACGTCGTCTTGGCGTGTCCGCGACGGCGATCCGGGTCCCGAGCCTGGAAGGTGCGGTGAATAGCAAGCTCGTATTCCGAAATAGCACTAACTCACTGCTGCCTAGCGTACGCGCTGTCTGAAGCAAAGACCAAATACAAGTGTTAGTCCTATTCTCCATTCGCTGAAGCCCATACTGACGTACCGTAGTTTGCGATAGGCCTCTCCGAGTCGCACAGGGTGCATGCGTTTGATCGCAGTAGGACGGGAGCGTTGCCGAATCTGTCGAGCGCGACACAGCGGGATGCGCGGCGCGACAGCGGGGGATAGACGTACCGGATTACGACGTGTCGCGCACGTCTATCGCAGTCGTGTCACGCCAGTCAGTACATGTGCGAACGACGATGGGAACGCGCAGCAGTCGCACGGAAAGCACTACCACGGCGTCAAGTATGCGGCATGTTGAAATTCAAGCCGGCGCAGTACTTCCTCCCTCGCGGTGATCGCCTTGAATACCATGACACGGAGCAGAAATTGCGCCAGAACCGATTCCAATCAACATGACAAACATACAAAGCACAGTGCACATAGTAGAGGACGCTCCGTAGCGTGGTCTTCGGTCCTCAAAGTCTGGCGGGCCTTAACCTCGTTCTTGAGGTGCTACAAGCGGATGAATCTGAGTACAGGTTCATGATGAAGTTGACCGCCGGCATACGTACTCCTAGATCTGAGACAAGTCCCGCTTGGGTCTCGAATTGCCCGTAGAGGGCAGCGTGGTAAGCCTCCATCTCAATGATCATTGCACATCTATCCTCCTTAGATGTTTGGAGCTCGTACCAGACCTCCGTAGCGTCGTGGGAGAGACGCCGGACAGCTTCGCTGACCGTGTCTCTCTCGTCGAACAGGGATCGGACCTGGTCGCAGAATCGCTCAGCCAAAGTCCTGGCATGATCGCTCATGGGGAGCTTCAGCGGGCTGACAAAGGCCTCAAAGGTATCCTTCGGGGCGGGATTAACTCTAGATCACGATCTCTTCACTGAGCCTGCGCACCTCAGGGACCCTGAGTAGCTCGCTAACCCGCTGCACATTGTCAAAGGCAGTTCGCAGGGTTAATTCTCGGGCCCGTATGTGAGATTCTAAGTGGCATAGTTAGTAGATTAGTATGTGGTCAGTGGGTTAGTAGGTTAGCGGTCAGTCAGTCAGTTGGTCAGTAAGTCAGCAGGTCAGTAAGTCAGTAAGTCAGTAGGTCAGTTTGCGAGGGAGGGGGATGGTCGCGAGGGAGGGGGGCGGGGGGCGGGGAGAGGACGAGAAGAGACTGCCAGCGCAGAGAACATCAGCGGAGGAAGCAAAGAGTGGAGGGGGATGTGCGCGGTGGGGGGAGACCGTTTTCGAAAGCAATCACAGCGAATGTCGCAAAGTCAGATGACATCATGGCAGAAATGTGCCAGGTGCAGAAATTTATCGCGGGAGTCGACAGAATGGCCGGTGAAAAAGCTGGAATGGAAGGGGTTGAGTTGACGAAAAAGCAGTCGGAAGGGACACATGCGAAGTGAAACGAATGGAAAAGGCTCCCGAAATGGACATTGAATATATTTAAATACGTGCAAATACAGCGCACTCGATGGCAATAGCTCGCAATGTATGGCAATATTGTCGATTCTCACTGGGATTGAACTCCTGACCTGCAAGCCTAAACCTTTCAGTTAGTGTAAACAGGCTGGTTTGGTCCCCATTGTGACAGGACGAACATTTGGTTGTGTTTGCTCTGTTATTCGCTTCACCGGATCTGGAAGTAGTATAAGTTCCGGACTCCCACACCTTTGTTGCCTCGTCTTACCCCCACGGTAATGAAGGTGCGTACGCTGTACTCGCCCCCCGCATTTCATGGTCTTATCCCCATGGCAACGAAGCTCGTTCTCGTTCTGCTGTTGTCTGTCTAGTGCAGCTGCGTACCACGGCTTTACAGTTAGGCCTGCATCTCAGTTGCCTGTCTATCCCCCCTCGTTTGATGGAACTCATGTAATGGGCTGGTGATGCGCACTCACTATGCCTGCTGCCCGCTGCAGTGTGGGCACCACTCTCGAGCTCAACTGCCCTGATGCCTACCTCTATGCAGGTGTCCGGCCCCGACTTGCACCCCGAGCTGCCCCGAACTGCCACAAAGACCGCCCGGACTCTCACGCACACCCCCGTTAGCCACCCGCAAGTTCAGCAAAGTAGGCTGCAACAGGCAGCCCCAACCAAGGGCACCAAGCCCTGCCAAGCATCGGGGCTTGGGGAACAGTGTGCCATGCCTGACGTGCTGGTCGGGGGTTGCAGTGCATGCACCCCCACTCACCAATCACACTGTGCGGTACAGTCTGTAGAATGTGGCCCCTGTTGGGGCCCCAATTATTGTGCCCATCGCGCCCTGTGCGGTGGGTGTATCCTTTATTTCTATCCTTCCCGTATGGCTTTGGCCCTCCTGTATATATGCGGGCCCCAAGTTCTGGGAAATCCACTTTCTCTTACCCCTCCAGAACTCAAGTTTGCAATTGGGACTGGGACTGAGACTGCAACTTTGACAGCATCAGCGAGCCCTTCCCTGATAGCGTCCCCGACGTCCTCTCCCTGCTGCATACAGTGAGTACCTCCCCAAAGTTCACATGCCCTGATATCCCATGTTGCAACATGCCCAATAAGTAGCATCTGCGCAACTCCCTCCCCCAAGGTCAGGAGTGATAAGCTCGCTCGGCCCCTCCTTGTGCCCTCCATGTTTGTAGGGAACTCAGGATCATACTCGGAATCCCCCGCCCATACAAGTCACTTCTCGGGTCTTGTCCTCTCGGCCCATCAACCCTGATGTCCTAGCAGCCATTATGGGAGGCTTGAGTGCATCACCGGTGCCCCATGCCGGATGATGCTGTACTGGTGTTGGTTCGTCGAAGAGATATGGGCATGTATTGTAGGTGTATAGTAGTAAGTGTGAATAAGGCAAGTCACGTGTATGGTGACCATTACAAAGCATTACAAGCATGTGGACATGGTTTACAGTAATGTAACTAGGGTAAGCAGGCGGTCACAGCTGCAGGCAAGGGCAGGCAAGTAGACGGGTGGGGCAGGTGCACAGGCATGGCGTGCAAGTGCAGAGCACAAGCAGGTGTGAGTAGGCAGAGATGGGCATGGAGCACAGATGGGTGGGAATATGCAAGTGTAGGGCACATACTCGCAGGCATAATGCAAGGCAGGTGCAAACGGGAAGGTGTGAAGTGCTGGTGGGTGCATAAACAAGTAAGACTTTGTTGGGTCAAACAGGCAAAAGAAAAACTTACAGCAGACTTACCTGATGTAATAAAACTGGGCTATTGTTGTCTACTGCTCATTGTAGATGGCTCCAGATAGACACAATGGGCAAACACCTGTGGCTCTGGTCCAGAACAGGCTAGGAATATGACCTGAATTGGTCTCCTGGTTTAGGACTGGAGACAGGTTCCGTACGGACTTTCCAATTGTTCCTGTACTTTCACGAGGGGCATTGGCCCGTATTCCGGTCCTGAATTGGCCAGGAATATGCTCGGAACTGGTCTCCTATTAGCGTTGGGGGCAAATGCTCGGCGAAGCGCTCGCCGGCGAGTGGCAAATGGCGGGCTTCTCGGGGCCCTGGCGAGTGGGTGGCAAATGTGGCGAGAGGTGGCAAATGCTCAAAACACCGTATTTTCGCGTTCCCGCAGCGTTTTTCGGGTTTAAAATGCGCGTCCCGCATATCTAATGGCGGGGTCCACCTAAAAAAGCTCGAATTTACGAGCTGAATGGGTAAAAGTCGCTGTGGGACCTTTGCGGACCTCGAGGGATAAGCGCCAAATCAGGCGCTCAAAGGCGCAGCGGTGCACTCCGCGTCCATTATTTTCTTCCAGACCAGCTGTGATGTTACAGCGTCCTCTTTGGATGGCTTTGCGCAGACCACATGCGGCTGAACACCCACATATCAATGGTTTGCAGTGCTCCCCTCGTCTAGGACCCAACAAGTGCCCGGCGACTCGCCAGCATTTGCCAGGGCCCCCGGAAATCCTCGCCATTTGCCACCCATTTGCCAGGGGTGGCACGTGCCGCTTGGCGAGGTGGCGAGGATTTGCCAACAACACTATCTCCTATTCAGGACCGGAGACAGGCTAGGAACCCGGGCAATGGCCAACAAAGTGCCACTCCAATGTGATTTGTTATCCGATAAGTAGATTTACTAAACGGGATTCTGGACCTGAACCAGTCTGGTAACAGGAGACCAGTTCATGCGCTGTTCCTAGCCTATTCAGGACTGGAATTTGGGCCAATGCCCCTTGTGTTTCTGAGCTACCTGTAAATCCTTGCCTCTGTAAATACTGGCCTCAGATTTGCACAATCAATATTCTCCTTCCCTCAGAATTTCATTTTTTTCCTACATCTGTAGCAAATCCTATGGCAACCCTCTGTGATTAGTGACTTACAGCTGGAAATTTCAGGTCATGGCAGTTATATATATATATATATATATATGCCCAGGCACAACCAAAGTTATACATGCACCATAACCCCTAAGCATGAGAAGGGCATAAAAATGGTATATTTGGCAACCCTGCAGGGCCCAACACTAATATATACCCTAGACGGTCATGGTCACAAGCAGTTGTGTTGCTTGAGACAGCTGTGCCACTTGATCCTAGAGGTACATAAAGACTGATTCTTTTTATAAAAAGATCACCCACACCCCCCTGAACTTATTGTGAAGTGATCATACAAAAATCATCTACACCCCCCTGAACTTATTGTGAGTTGATCATACAAAGATCATCCACCCCCCCTGAACTTATTATGAATTGATCATACAAAGATCATCCACACCCCCCTGAACTTATTGTGAATTGATCATACAAAGATCACCATGATTTCTGTGATGCTACTTCAAAAGTGGTTTCAATAAGCTCACAATGCTCTTCATTCCCTTTCAGAGTGCAGTCAAAATTAGATCATGGTGATCTCATTGAGATCTTCCTCAAACAATTCACCCTTGTTTCGGCTACAAATAGGTGTGCCCAGTTAAAATCAGATCCTGTTTTGTTTCACATCTTCTGCAAAGTCTGAATCAAAATCTGAACAGGCTGATTTTCAAAGGACTTCAAGGAACTGAAATTGGAGCCAGGGCCACTCATGATCAAATGTTGTTCTGGCTTTGTGAGAATTCCTTGGTTATATTCAAAAAGTGGCCACCATGCTTTGACTTCACACCAAATGTGTCCACAATGGGGACATAAAGATGTCTCTGTAATATATTCCATATAATCAGTGAACTCAGGTGAAAGCCAAACAAATCCCATTCAAACTGCATTCAAAGCAGACAGCAATTGCTAACAAAGACTTTTTTTGAAAACAAACCCCTGCTATAAGAGATAAAGATCCATTATAACTTTGTTTTAAACAGTTCAAGACCATTTCTCTAACAAATGACAGCATATATACTACATCCGAGCACAATCAAAAGGTAGAGATGAATGATAGATATATTACAATGATATCACTACATTTACCGTAATGTATTCAGGCATGCCAAAGAAATGTGTTCAGAAACAATCACAGTATTACATTCTGCTCTATGTAACAAACAGATCAGCATATGCTCTCAGATATGTGTCGGATTCTCTGGCAGATCACATCTTGAACTCAGGCAAAGCAGCTTTTTGAATTAGTGCTACAATGAGCCACTCGAAATAATGGTGATTTTATTTCGTCATTTATCTCAATCATATCACGATTAGATCATAGATTTAAGGGGGGGTGGCCCACAGTGTGACGTCTGCTCGTCCCAGCTGTGCTCGCACTCTCGGCTACGAATCCTGCGTTTAGGGAGGATGGCTCCTCTTCTGGACGTAGCTTTGCGCTGCTGCTCGCCGCGCCCCGCTTCGCCCGACCGGCGCCGTACGACTTGCGCGTACTGGCTACTGAGGCTTGATCGTGAGATGCTATGCGTGTGCTCCGACGCACAGGGGCAGACGCGCTTGCCACGGGCACGAGCCCCTGGCGACGGAGCATCTTTCGCGATATTGTCTCCTGATCTGTCGCGAGCGAAATCGAGTCCATGCTAGCACGCGACGGTCAGCTTAGCCACACCCCCCACAGGACTGGCCGATGGACGTACTACGGGACCGGGCGCGGCTCGTGGCGCTGCACCAAACGGTCAATAATGTCAGAGGTCGTCCCGACTGCTCTCAGACCGTCTCGCTGGGTGGGCAGAGGGGCCGACAGTCAGCCACAAGCGCGACGGTTTAGCAACCTAGCTGCGGGTGGACTTACCTTTGCGAGGGTTTGCACGTCGGCGCGCGACAAGTTCGAGAGAGTGTTACGGTTCATTGTGTCGGGTATATGCTTGAAGGTAGGCGGTGAGTTGGTGGATGGTGCGCAAGGGGCGCGGTGGCAGTGGTTGTGGAGGGAGGAGAAGATGGGCACTGGGGCGAAACGGAGCGCAGGCGCCCCCTTATATCCTCAGCGGAGGTGGCTAGCGCTCACTTAGCCATGCCCTCGACCAGTGCGGTGGCTAAGAAGACAATGTGGATTGCCTACCATAGGGCCAGGCCCTAAAGGGCAATAAACGAGGATCCAAAGAAAGAAAGAAGACAATGAGGTCCGCGGTGAGCATCCGTCTCACATACTCCACCCTCCGCAGTACTGAGCGACTCGTAGGACGTCATTGTCAAGACAGATTAAGACATCCGCTGCAGCTCAGACTGCTCTCTTGCTATTGTTATGCCGCGATACGGATAAAGCCTGGGCGTCGCTAGAACCTAGGCCTAGCGTCGCTCTACGAGGAGGTTTCCCTGGTCCTCCTGGAATACGCTTTACCTAGCAAGGTATGCCGCTTCTCCGAGTCATCGCGATCATGGCTTGAGCGGGATGATACTGACAGAGAATCCCTCTGTCTCAGCCAGATGCCGCGCAAGCTTGCTGGTCAATTTCCTCAAGCAGTGGCAGCTCGAAATACGCACCCTCGACCATCCATGAGTCATGACGTCCTGGAGCAGCATTTTCGAACGGATGCGCGAACGGCACGAGGTGTCGCCTGAAACGTACTGGTATTGCCGGTATGCGACCCCCGAAGGCTCAGGCCGCAGGAAATTCAGCACACGGCGGATGAACGACCTGCTCGGCGCAGTGCGTTAGGACCCCGATGGCTAGTAGGGAACAAGTGCGAGGACCGCCGCCCAAAGGGCTTTGAAAGTGCGAAGATCGAGCGGACTGACATCCGCATAATGCTGTTGGACGATGTCCCTATCCTGTGTCTTAAATAAAGCACCCGAACGGCCTGAAGTGAAGCTTGCAGCGGCCAAGAGGAGGCGGCATGCGTGAATGTGATCACACCCAGTCAGTATTTCTGTCCGTATACAGCTTCCTTGGAAAAACTCTTACGTTTCCCTCGCAGTAGTCCTACGGGCATGCGGCGGTTTGCGAGCAGCTAGTCCAAGCCAAGGACTTGATCTCCTGCATTTTCCATAGTATCCTTTGTATCTTTGGCTCTTGTTTTACCTTTCTATATTCATTGGTGTTATGTGCTTCATAAACTTGTCGTAAGGATGCACGGCACGGAAGAGCCCGCAACCATTACTCGAAGTGAACATGTACTATCTCGGAAACCGACGAGTGCTCAAGGATGCGCTTATATCTGTGAGCCCCCTACTAGGTTACAGGAACGCACACGTATCAGAAATTTATACACACTAATTACCCCGCTACTAGCCTCAAAGTATCGCTCACTCTACAAACAGGCCGGGTCTTTGATAGTCTTCCTATGATCAACCGCCCAATCTCTCTCCTGGAAACGTAACGCCCTGAGCCACCGATATAAATGATGGGTCCTTTCCCAAGTCGCACGAGGGGTGGTGCCGCCGAATGGCTCAAGCAATGGCAGCGCCAGCGACAGGAAGGAGGCGACCGCCCACGGGTCCCCGGGCACGCACCCCTCCGTACACAACACCTTCACCTGAAAGGCGAGCCTGGGGTCCTTGATAAAGACGGGCGGGTGTCTGTGTCCGTCGAACGTTGGTACAACGCGCATGTCGATGGCGACCTTCAATCGTTCTAGGTGCGTGCAACGCAGCGCGAGCGGGACAAGGCCTGCGAGCCTGAGTGTCGCATGGGGCCGGTCGGGAACGTCGGTACCGGGTGGGGTGTATGCGCGGTCTTCATGGTCCTGGGCCCACCAGTCCAGTCTGGGCGACTCCGGTCAAACGAATTGTAGGGTACTGATGGAGGGCCACGCGCGCGACATCGCATCGAGCATCGCGTCGTCCACGACGACCTTCGGGCCGCCTTCGATGCTGAGCGACTGGAGGGCGTGTAATTCGAGCAGCGGCGCTAAGCACGGGGAGTGATAGATGTTGCCGTCGACGCCGTGCCTAAATCCCATAGTTATCTTGATGGTCTTGACCGTGCCGCCACATGGAAGACCACCTAGGGCAGCGCATAGAGCCGCAAGGAGCGCTTCAGCTGTGCCGTCCTTGGGCCAGCGCAAGTCGAGCGTTACCGTGCGGAGAGATGCTGGAGTGATGAGAAAAACAAAGTCGATGCAGTCTGCTCCTCCAACGCAACAAAGAACGCGTCACACCTGCCATGGACGGGTGGAGCCCTATCACTCCGCTCAATCTGCGGGTTGATATGCAGTTTCCGGAGATGTGGAAGCCCTCCGAGGCCGAGCAGCGCGTCGTACACGACGACTATTTGGCCCGCCGTGATGAAGCTGGTCAGGCACGATAACTTGCAAGTCTCGATGCCACGAAGCGTCGGCCGGTAATTTTGGGATGCAGAGTTAGCATAACAGCGATTAGGGGACCCATCTCGTCGAAGCGACAACTCCTCTATGCGCGGAGCCAGACGGAATAAGCTCTTGACGAGGTCGCGCAGGTGATTCGGGTCCGGGTGCAGAGCAAGGGCGAGTGACATTTCCTTCAGATTGTGCGAGAAGTGGAGGCTTGCGGGGAGAACTACACTGTCGCGGTCGCCGCCTGAGAATTCGCCCTCAAAGTATTCGAGTACACGAATATTAGGCAGCAACGGTTTCGGACAATGGGCCTGTAGTTTGTCGACGACGCCAGCTGTGAGTGTTGGCGTGGGCACGCGGCGCATGCTTATACGTATTGCGTTTGAATCTATGCGCCGGACGCGAGCGGAGTACTTGATCCAGAGGACGAAGTCGGCCGGTGTCGGCTCCCTGCGGAAGTCCTATAGGTGCGAATACAAGCTGCGATGTCAGCTAGGTATGTGCCACCGACTATGCTAAGTACTGACAAGTCTTATCCGTCCATACTTGAATCTCTGCACATATTCAAACTCCGTTTCCGAGTCTTCAGGGTCGAGGCTTTCTATGTGACAAAATTCACAGAGATCTTTAGGAAGCAGGAGTAGTAAAGGCCAGATGGACGGAAGAGTATTCCAGATGACATCAAGGACCGGCTCGGAGAGAAAGCGGCAGCTACGCGCGAGAGAGAGCAGTCTCCTCGGGAAGGTGCTGTAATATTTGGTGGACACTGCGTTCCGGCATATCAGCAAAATGATGTCTCGAGGAAGCGAGCATATTCCAGTTCTGGTAGCTTGTGTCATGGCATACGATGTTTCGAAGGCGGCTAGACCGGCGAGATCATCTGTGAGGAGGATGCAAGGATATATTTAAAGCAGCACACACCTTCGCTATGACGGAATGGCCAAGTCGGGCAGCGGATGGAAGTGATAGCGGGTTCGAGCTCAAGGCCGCCTGTGGCCGCCCGGAGTGGGATGACAGATGATGGTGGTGGGAGGGGAAGAGGGGAAGTTCGCGCAGTTAAGACGTTAAAAATTAGCCTTGATATCGCAATAAAATGCGCGGAGTTTCCGGCCTAAGCTACCAGGAAGGAGAACAATGGGGGACTAAGGATGACCACCGTAATCGGTACTCTGACAGAGGCGGCAGAATGCGCGCTTACAACGAGCGCCTATGCACTCGCTGGCATTTTCGCCCGCGGCCGATGCGAGCCGCTCGCAACACGGTACCACCACCACTGTGGCCACCACGGTCGACTTGACTTCTTGCAAAGCTAGCTGCATGGAGCTCAAGTTATTATTATGTTTACGCATCACGTAAATTAAAATGTGAGTCGCGTCTCCACTGACATCTATGTAGGTCTCGCAGTCCACCGGTAATCTGATGTACTTGTATTACCACATGTTGCTGAGCCACGCTCCAGCATCTGAACGACGCCATATCTTCTCACCCGTATCTTCACTCATATTATGTACAGAATGCTTCCGACACAGAGCCGCGCACCAGCAATATCAACGTGTTTACGTGGAGTGAGGCGCGCGCGAAATACGCGCCTTCCAAGGGTGGCTTTTTGCCTCGGAGATGCCAGATACTTGTATGCTGTCAGCAAAGGATCATCGGCCACGCACTGGCCAAGCTTGGTAAACACAAACTTAGCCATTCGGGTCACTTGCAAGGCGGCTGTGCCTCCCCTCTTTCTCTTCCGTCAGCAACTCATGTTTGCTTTGCACTTTGCGTTGGGTACGTTCTATGCCCGGTCAGGTCCGGTGGAATCAATACGCTAATTAATGATGTTTAGATAAGCCGTGTTGAGCACTGTATCATTATGTCCTCGTCCGCACTTCACTTCGACCCCCGTAGATCGAGGTGAAACGAAGGGCTTGAGGCGCTCTACTGTTCCACGAGTTGTCAGAGCCGACCCAATCCGCTTTACGTCAGAGGCTTACACGCCGCTCCATCACGTCGGACACACGCGGCGGGCACGACATAGGAGTCAAGCGGAAAGTGTTCTACACGCGCAGAGCACTGACATTGCCCTTCCTTTGAACGCTGTTGGACATGTGTCGAGGGCGGACAGCGACGAGGTCACCAAGAAGCTTCTGCCCTTGTCGCCGCCCTGCTACGCATGTGAGCTATCGCCGATCTCCGTCACGATGAAACCAAGAGATCTGACGCTTCCGTACAGAACAGATTTTGGTTGCTTGCCGGGGGCTTCTCCCCAGCAGGCATTGTGAGGCATGCGCGGAATACGAGGTCTACGTAGGGCCGATTCGGACCTCATACCGGGTCCGTGAACTTGACACACTTCCTTCGGTGCGGGTGAGTCAGACGTCCAAGCCGCAGTTGCTCCCTCTTGGAGCAGTCGTAATCAACTCCGTATATATCAAAACCTAACTCCTGACGCGCAGAACGCGCTTCGATGGCTGTGCCGATGCGGGGAAGAAAACAGCAGCAGGCCGCTGAGTCAGCAATACACAACGCTGTACCCGAGGACGGCGTCGCCTCGAGGGTCGGAGCGCGCGGGCGAACTCAGACGAATCGCCTGCGGGGCTGGCGGCGACGCACATCGGCTCACAGACACGATTGACGCAAGCAGTGTCCATCGGACATCCACACGCCGCCATCGCTGCGGGAAACAGCCGTGCACCTGGGGCACGGTCACTCTGTGGGGGCTGCGGCGTTGTGGCCTGGTGGATAGTCTGACAGATCGTTAATGGTTTGATTGACTCCCGGACGTCCGAGCGGATGGAGACCGGGTCTAGATTGGCGCTTCAGGCCGCCTTCCATTTACCCTTCCTTCATCCAGCTTTGAGAACCCGAACTCGTGTTGTCTCCCGGAGTCCAGTCCGATCACAACGCCGAGCGGCTGTGGTGCTGACAGATTAGGACTGTCCTATAACGCGTGTCCCGATGCCCGTAGTCGCTGAGACGGACTCAGCACTGCAAGCCGGACGCTACCGTATGGAAGATAAGGCGCGCTTTCCGCGCTGCGGACTAATGTGCGCTTCTGTACTCATCCAAGCAGTATAAGTATGCTTTCGCTACCTGCAAGCTGGGAGCCACACGCACTTCTTGAAATCGCTCGACTCATGTCGCACTCCAACGACCCGCATGCCTTGGAGGCAGACAGCACGACTTGCAGGACGTCTGTCACGGTCTGCACCATGCTTGGCCCATCCGAGGAACCTGTGTACATCTTGTCGGAATCCGCGTTGCTTGGCCAGTGTCTCTAGGCATCGTCCCCCTCCAACCGCTACCTGACCGACATTTGCAGATGCTATCGAGAAAGGTCAACTTCCATTAGTCCACGGGTATTTCCAACACCCCGGAACAGCTCCGAGGCAAGACGGTGGTCTTTCGGACGCTTTACAAGATTATACTATCATCCCCGAGGTCAGTTTCCCCTTTTGAACCCGTAAATTTCCTTGTTACTCTCGGTCTCATCATATAGCGGCGTCTAGGCAACGTACGCCGGAGCTTTTCCCACTACCGACGCTCCAGACGACGGAAACAGATCGGCGACTGTGGAGAATCCCAACGTGGGTGACATCACTCTGGACAAGGAGAAAACGACAGGCTCTGCCAAGGGCCTGAAGACTGATACGAACGGACGGGCTCGTCGAGCTGCTGTGCGTCGCCCCCTTCCTCTGAGATAACGTGGTGCTAACGGCTTTGCAACATCATGTATGACTACAGTGTGAGCATTGCTACCAGGCCCGGAAGCGATGTGGATGTCAACGGCCGTGCTCGCGCTGCACGCGGATGCGCCTACCGTGCGCCCCGCGCGGCCAGCGCCCCTGCGAACCGCGTACCGTCCGATTGCTAGAAGAAGACACCACATCACGCGACCCCCTACATCTCTTCGCCGAGACTGCCGGACGCTGTATGCAACCTTCCGGCGCGCCGTACCTCCAGGACGAGCAGAATAATGGTGCGTCGGCCCGTCGAAGCGTCTTTCTTGTTCGGGCACGAGAACGCTGACCGAGAGACCCAGCCGACCCTCGCGTTTCGCAGACCGCCTGCTTCCCAGCGTGGTGTCCGGGTCTGAGCTGGCATGACGGCGCCGCATACGACACCCTCCAAGCAGGTGTCTGGCAGCAATCGACGTCCGCTCAGGCTCCGTCGGCCCCGTCCTCTTCGAGCATGCGCACCGAAGATCTTGCCCGCCCCGCCTTTGGGTATGCCTCCGGCGGTTATGTCAAACGCCCCTCCTGAACGGTCAGTACGGTCAGAGGATGGCAAACGCGGACATGATCTCATTCATGTCTACTTAGTTACTCCGCAGCCGTCGCTTCGGCCGTCAGCGCCCCCGCTAGCGCTTCCTGCAACACAGATGGGGGGGCACAGACCTCGTTCGCTCTCGACCGTGCCGAGGCAGGCCCACTCGTGATAGCAAGCCCAGTCTGTTCTTTGCTCGCCTCTCAGACACCCTTCCGTCCAGCATTCATCCCGGAGCCAGCAAGGTCAGATTCCTGAGCGACTCTAGTGCCATATACTTGTACTTCATTAGGATTAGGACTTCATCCCTGATCGCACTCGATGGAGGCGCGGGTTCACGATTCGCCTACAATAGACTTTCAGTATCGTACCACGTATCGCTTCATACATGTCTACTATCTATACAACCCTCCCTATAGTGTACGTCCCGCTGTATCACTGATATCCAATCCCTTTCTCAAGTGCTAAACATCCATTATACTCTTGAGGATGAGCAATTGCGGCATGTCCGGATATGTGGCCTGCATACGCGTTCAGCAGTACTTCCCTCCGAGTTGCACGGCCATCAGGAAAACCCTCCCGCCAAATTTTCAGCATTTTACATCGATCTTGAGGTTGTCCCGGCGCGCAGAATGTGTCCGAAATGAAATGCATGATAATCTGTGTAAAGCCGTAAACCGACACAAAAAGAGCACGTAAAACGGTGAAAAGCGCTGTGATTCACTAAATTATGAGGGGGACCTTCAAATGAACTGTTTTTCAATGGAATCATCAAAATGACCAAAATGCCCACAGTTCAATGTTTTTCGCGTATTTTACTGAAATTTTGGCGGGAGGGGTTTCCTGATGCGCGACTATAGCGTGGCAAGAAGAGCGGCGATCTGTGAGCGCGGAAATGGGATGGCGATGGCAGGGCTTACATGGCTAGCGCAGAACCGAGCTTCACTCGGGCGCAAACTTCAAATTCGAAGCGCTTTGACACAGCCGCGGCGGCGTCCCGCTTCCACCACTCGCACACTCGCCCGCAGAGGAGTCGTCACGGGCCGACATACCCCGAAACGCCTTCGGCGCGGCGCCATTCCACACCTCGCGAATCCTGTCGCAGTCCGCCTCGACGCGCCGCAGCGCCTCGTCCGGCCGCGGTTCGTACACCGAACCCGCCACGCTCGGCGTGGCGGCGAGCGCGATGTAGGGGTCCAGCGGCAGCGTGCGCCACGCACGCAGGACGCGGACGCAGTCTGCGCGTTTGAACGCGGCTGCGGGGATGGCAGCGGCGGGTGGTGGACCGGCGGGGCGCGGGATGTCTAGGTCGGGCATGTGCTGGGGCGGAAGATGACGAGGTTGAAGAGGCCGCGGTCCTGTTGGCGCGTTGGGTGTTAGCTATCACTTGAAGTCCTCCGTGAGATGTGACAGGACAAGCTCTTACGGTGGCGGTCTTGGCTGTTGCATGATCTGCGTCCTTTTCGGGGTCATCTTGCAGGCCGGGGCGACATGCATGTACCATCTCCGCCCGTGCGCCTTCGAACGGGACGACTCTCCAGACGGCTTCGTCGTAGGTATACGCGTGCTGCGCACACGCTGCCCGGCGTCAGTAAACCCCCGCCGAGAAGCGCGCAGATCTGTACGAACGGGACATGAGGTTCGTCAGATCATGCATGCTATAGTCCTCCGGGAGTAGCTTGAGCGCTTTGAGCCAGTATACAGGCTGCGGGATAAGGCAAACCGAAGTCAGCCGCCGTTATACCATGAGAGCGAGACGGTGGGAGACGACGGAGTCGGGGGACCCGCACAGAAGGCACTGAGATCGATCGCGATTTTGCAAGGCTTGGATGACTGCTGGCTCCAAATGTTCTGGACGATTGCTATAGGATGCGTGTTCAGAATGCGGTGTGGGAGATAGCTGAGAATTTGCTTTAAATGGAACACCTTTGCGCTGCATCAGCAGACGGGCTCACTGGTACCTCGAGCTCGTTGTAGCGAGCGTCGATGGACGAGAAACGAGTTGGCCCACAAGTCGGGGCTTTGTGGCGCCCGTTGTGGCATGTGTTTCGTTTAGCGCTCTACACGATTGGCTGGGATAGCCGTCCAATCACAGAGCACAAGTGCTATTGGCTGGCACAACGCCTACACAGTTGACCAGCCAATCAGAAGCCGCACCGCTTACAGGAGCCCAGACCTGGACTGTGGTCTGGGCTGGGCGGTGTGGACCTGGGGGACGGGGGTGGGGCTGTTTGACTCCCGCCCTCTCTCTCTGCGCTCTCAGCGATATCTGCGTCTGCCCCAGTCCCTCTTCCTCTTCTCGCGCTCATCCTCTGATCCCATGGCTATATTCTGGGCGGCATGATGTTTGCTGTGCTCTGCTGGCCTGGCCTAGCTCTTGCCTCGGCGCAGGCGACTCACTCCGACGCCTCCAATCATCTATTGTTCTCGCTCGCGGCCTGCTGGAGATACGGGTCCTACATGGGCAAACATTCGTCAACTCCGGCAAAATACACTGCAATCCAGTGCTTACATGTCTATCCAATCCTTGGACGGTACAGCAACCGCTGGTCGTGACCGTAGGGACGACGGGTGCTAGATGGTATGGAGGACGTTAGCGTAATGCGTGCGCTCGTCCCGTACGGAGACCTATCAACCGCACTTAGGTAAGCTTTTGCAGTTATCTCATTCTTGGGGACGGGGCGGGGCGCGGGGTGGGAGGATGCGGAACGTCGACATCCGCCGAATAGGATCGAGCGTTCCCCGTGAATTGGACGCTCTGGATAAGAAGGAGGTATCACATATTGCTTTGGCAAGGGCGTCTCTTGCCAGAGCCTGCATGGGCAAAACCCTAAAGTACATGAGATATCAGCTCATAGCCTAGGGGATGGACCGAGGAGGGGCCTCCTAGGACCGACCTACCTTGGGTCATCCTGGCCTGTCCTTGCGCCCATGTCTCCCGCCCGGCGCCCGCTATTTCTTGCGGTACGGTGCCGGCGTATACGGGCCATCCGACGTCGGGCGGGAGCGCGGGCGGCATCTTCTGCGACGCCACGCGCCAATGTTTATTGTGCCGTACCGCATCGCATCTTCGACGTCTGGCCAGCGCTGTTCTCGCTGGATGCTACGTGACCCATTATCCGGTTTCTGGAAGGTCTCGATCTCATTAGATGAGAGAGTGCGTGGTTATAAGGCCGGATCATCAGTATGGGCGGCCGTATACCCATGCTCTGCTCTGATCTAGCAGCACCCACCGTAACAAATTGAGCCTAACAAGCGTGCGGCGTCTAAGCCCTGCCTTGCGATACGTATCTGGTTGTTGGTGATGAGGCAATCCTAGGAGCAATCGACTAGGTTGCGCTCGGTGTTCCGGTGTTCATCTCGCCTCACGTCCGTCGGCGTCTAGATGACGTTCGCACGCAAGAAGCGCCAGGAGTATGCGTCTGAGTACGAAATCGTCCGCCACACCCGCTCCTCATAAGTGCTCCGACCCCCCATCCTCCTCAATACTCGCCAAGCTCTATCCAGATGGAGTACTACACCGGCACTGCAGCGCAGTCCCAAGAGGCTGCCTTTCAATCTTCTACTCCCGCTCGCATTTTTGCTATGGGACCGATTTCGGAGCCCTTCTACATAGTCCCGCAATCGACGCTATGTGGTACGTCCTGACCTCTGGCTCTGTTCGTTCGACCCTGGACGCGTCCTGAGCGCAATTCCAAGATCTGCTACGCGGTAGGAACACTGCGATCGTCCAGGACCCTCAGCAGGCTTTCTATATGCCCCATCACTCCGATATCCCGCAACTCACGGGCGATCTACCTCTCTCCGTTCAAGGTCCTTTCTCTCCATCGGACGTCTTCCAGCCTCTGCTCGAGTCATTCTCCGTCCCTCGCAGCGACCCCCTCCCCGATTCTGTGCCTAGCTCGACAACATACGCATCGGGGCCCGGGTACGGCTACGAGGCTACTCCATCATCCGGCGGCACACAATACCTGTACCCCACCCAGCACTGGAACTCTTCCCTTCCGTCCCCGAGCCCTAACTTGCCCTATGCCGCTCATGCAGGCATGCTATCGGCCAATACCCCGTCTACCTATAGCCCATCTGCAGCACAGGCCTATATATCCCAAATGTCTTCGCATCTGCACCCGGCGCCGGACCGCTCCGTCCACACGCATGACACGCCGTCCGCTGCGCGCTCCCCAGCTAGCGAAGCGCCCGCGATGACCACGCTGCGCGCCCCCGCCGTAAGTCTTGCTATCCTCGCTCTGACTGCGCGGAGTGCGTTTTTAACGGTGACGGTGCGCGCGAGATAGTGCACACATTGCTACCGCTCGCGCAAGAAGTGCGGCTGGGAGCGCCCGTGCAAGCGCTGCACGGACTGCGGGCTCGTGTGCGTCGAGCGCGAGCGGGCGGGGCGCAGGGCGCGCGACGTCGTCGGCGCGGAGGGGCTCGCGCTGCATGGTTAGTATTTTGTGTTGTGTCTTCGCGCATCTGGGCGTTGGCTGAAGGATCGGTTGGTGGTCGTGTGTAGACGCGGTCCCCGTTCCGGCCGAGACGGCTGTGGGGGCGGATATTTCGCTCGCGGAGGCGGCGTCCAGCGGACGGCTCCCGCGCACGCCGACGGCTGGGCATGCCGTGTCCTCCGGGCAGGAGTAGGTGTTCCGAGCGGGCGCTCCGAGTGGGCGTTCCGAGCGGGCGCTCCGAGCGATGCGTGAGGGGTGCAGTGGGCACGCGGGATGCTTATCAGAGTTAGGTTCAAGTGCTACTTGTTATCCTTGCCGGCAGTTCATATCTGGATCGCGGAACTTGTATCGTATATGTGGGTGGCTGTTCCTAGTTTCTCCGTACAGCGGCTTCCTCTGTCTTCGTGTCATGGCTCACTTTCCTTTGGATGGACATCGGGGTTCCTCGTGTGTCACGGTTTGATCGTTGTCCCGTGCTGTGTATAGTAAACTAATTCATCGTTACGTTCTGCCTAGTTCGCACGATTTTCGAGTGGCCTGTGCTGCCGTCGATGTCTGTAGGGGAGGGAGAAGTACAGTCCGTGGTCCGTCTCCGGCAGATGCTAAACGTGGTATCTCTGGTTTGCGTGTCAGGGTCATTTGGGGCAGCCGGCTGTCTTATTTCGCCAGCTTCGTCCAGGAAAAGTGGTGCGACATGACCATCGCGTGCGGTCTCGGGGCGCTCCCGCAGCTCCGGGAGTTCAAGTTGACCGTCACGGTCGAAGGCAAGCGAATGGGTGCCGCGTCTCTATGGGAGGCACGACGGCTTCTTCTCCGCGCTGAAAGGCTCTTCCTGACGGGCGGAGGGGAGTATGATCTTGATGCTCTGGACCGTCCCGCGACAGGGAAGGCCGCCGGAGCGGTGCAGAGAGCGGCGGACAGCGCCTCGGACGTGTCGTCCCGCGGCCAGTGCGAACTAGTAAGCCACACGGACCGACTGTCGCGGGCCTCGTTGCGCTCGCGCGGCGCTGCACGGCGCTGGAGAAGCTGGAGGCCACGCTTGCTATGCGTGTCATGGCAAACGTCGACGGGCACTGGGGTCCGCCCGTATTTCTAAACAACCCCAACAACGCGTGCCCGCTGAGGGCACTGCGCACGGCGGAGTGTGTCTGTAGGGACCCGTGGGCGGTCGCGTCCAAGTTCCTGTAGCTGGAGCTGTCGAATCTAGACTCAATCGATGGTTACGATGTGTTAATCAATATATGGGAAGAGATTGAAGACTGGCGCTGTCAGGAAAGGGATTGGGTGGACAAGAACGGGGAAAAGTACAAGGGTATAGAGACCCAGTCTCCCCGTAGAACGGACTGTCCTCTGCTGCCAGTCCAGTAATATACATGTGTCTTTCCTTCTGTGAATGTATTTGTATCGGATACAGAGACCCCAAGACAGCTTCTCTCCAATGTTCTATCCCGGGATACGCCAGGGGCATCCTTTTGAGGACTGCTCAGCACGTCCACCGAAGACCTCCGCGTAGTATGCGGCGTAGTCGAAATAGGTAGGATCGTCGGCAGGGTGTAGCGATGAAATCGACGCGGGACGCCCATGGGACTCGAGATCGACCCAGTCATGAGCGGCAGGAATCGTGTCCGAAGCCACCCCTGCGTCCAGATATTTATGAGGAAGGAAAGGCAGCATGGGGTGCAAGGGACTTACTGCGCAGTTTGGCCTGGGGCTGACTATCGCATAGCCCTCCATATTCGTCCGTGTCCATGCTAAAATTCCCACCGAGAGTGTTGCGGGGGCGACCTGCGGTAGGAGTGCGACCACCAAGGCGGCGGGGTGCCCGGGGAGGGCGCTCGCGCGGCACGCACTCCAGCTGCATTCGTGTGCAGCGCGAGCACGGACGGCTCTCCCCAGGCCCGCATCGCTTCCGCACCTGGTAGCAGCACTCGCACTGTGTGCAGGAGGCTGTTAGTGTACCGTCCCGGGGCCGTATTGCAGCTGCGGACTTACAGCACCGGTGCGACTCCGGCCGCTCTGTGTTCGGGGTGCCCGAGTTGTATGGAGATTCCGGGGGAAAACGTCAGCGGGGGCGCGGTGCTCCGTTGGTCTGTCGGCGTGAGGGAATATAGCGGTTAGGGAAGTCTCTGAATTCTCTGCGGCAAGGAATGCTGGGATAGACGGTAGAAGACGGGAACCATTGTTGTCGGCGCCCCCACCAATTTGCTCAGGGTCCGGGGAAAGTTGAGGGGAGCTGTTATAGGATCCCCCCGCAATAAGGGGCATTGCTAGTTCGCAGGTTGACGACGCGGCACACGGGGCAGGGTCGTTCGCAAATGAGTAATTGAAGGCTTCACTTCCGAAGTGCCACGGAGAAGCCGGCTGTTGATCCACAGTGTTGCGTGTGGCCGCAACGTGGAAGGACGGAATCGAGTCGAATCCCGGAAACGAGTTGTCAAGCATTTGAGGGATGCTGCGGTTGTGAATGATGCCTATGCAGGAAGCTCTAGAGCCTCAGTTGCACTGGCAGTGATTGAATACCCAGACGTACCTAGGAGCGCAGAGCGAGACATGATATATAGCGGTTCCGGAGAGGGATCGACCACTGCAGCATAGTAGACTTTGCGGCTAGGAGTACTGCCGCCTGCTGCGTCGTTTGTGGTACACGAGGGAGAAGTCGAGAATTGCATGTTGGATTAGTGTGGCCCCGCGTACGGATGCAGACTCGGGAGCTGGCTGAGGACCGGTGCTAATACGCGCGGGTATATATACCGCGCCAAGTCGCACTACTGCGGAGTGCAAGTGGGAAGTGCAGACCTGATGGAACAATAAAGGGAGTGAAAAGTGGCAGGTGTGGCAAATTTCCGAGTACGAGACGGCGCCGGCCATAATTGTCTAGTACAAAGTTCGCACATTAAGGTTTATCAGTTTAAACTCCTGCTACCAGCTTGATAGTGTTTCTCCTACGGAGAAATGGGCACCGGACGTCAGATCACAACGGTCGCTTTTGCAGGTACATACCTTTACAGCACAGGCTATGAGCTTCTGATATCCAGTGGTGGACCGCCACTGTCGCCGCCGTGCGTGATTTGGAGGGTACGGAAGCTCTGCAATCACGACTGTTGCCAGAGCATGTGCGGGGCGGAAGACGCGAGCTAGAGAGCGTCCCAGGGTCCGCGGCATCGGTGGGGTAGGGAGAAAACAGTGCGGAAGGTAGCTGTTAACTGCGCGAGTACTCCAGGATCCCGTGGGCCGATCATATTGTGATAGTTCCTTGTTGGACATGAGCGGGAGGGAGACGCCTAGATATAGAGCATCGCATAGTTGGCCTTGGTTCGGTGAGAATATGTGGCTCGGATCCAGTGAGAGTTCAGGATAGGGCTTAGAATGGGAAGCGTAGGTCGAGGGGAGTCGAGGGCCAGTGATTGATGCCCTACTGCTGCGGCGTTCTGGGTCAGTCTTGGGCGGTGCCCCGCCGCTGAGCGAACCTTGTACGGTGTATGTATCAGATACGAGCCCTTGGGTCGCCTGCCTCGGGATTAGGGAATTCTTTTGGGAAATATACGCACAGCAAATCGGGGCGCACGATGGTAAGGGGCCGTGCAGGGGGGCCGTGCAGGGGAGGAAGGCGTCTGTAGATACACGGATCCCATATACACCTGAATATCAGCCACACCGAGTGGATATAACAGGAATCATCGGGGCGTACGTAGGGGCCCATGCGTAGGGGGCCGTACGAATGTGGCGTGCGTGAAGACCGTGGACGGAACGCGCCGCTCTGCGTGACTGCACCTCAATGTCAACCATATACATCAGCGCCACCAATCGTGTAGACACAGAAGAATACTTAAAGTTATGGTTTATCATCCGGGGGATTCATAACAGGTGTCCTCTGCCTTCTGCTCTACCGGGGCCCCGCGGTCGATGCGGCTGTGTTTCCTTTCCAAATAGCAATATACAGAACCGGCGCCGCCGCGGTGCGCTATATTCCGAGTTCTTTGTCGGGCCCCCTAATTCGGCGTTTACTGAGGAGCGCGGGGTGAAGCATCCGAGGACGGCAGGATGTCCGCATTCTGCCGTAACTATATACATAGTCCCAATGAAGCCATACATCACATTACGGGTAGACCGGGGTTTTCATGTCCTTCCCATTATCAAAGCCCCAGTCTCGTTCTTGCCAGCGCAGCGCCGTAAGCTTCGCATGATAGTCCTGCACCTGCTCCCATCTGCAGTAAGGCGGGCTCGAATTGATGTAGTGTAGCTGTGGGAGTACAAGCGAAAGGAACATCGCGACCGCCCACGGGTCGCCGGGCACGCATCCCGCAGTTTGGAGCGTCTTCACCTTGCACAAGTTCGGGGTCGTGAGGAAGACGGGTGGGCGCTGGTGGCTGTCGAAGCTCGGGACGATGCGCATGTCGATGGCGACCTCGAGATCGTCCAGATCCGCACAGCGCAGCGCAAGCGGTACAAGGCCCGCCAGGGTTGCCCGCGGGCGGTCCGGTGCATCGGGTGCTGGCGGACGATACCCAGACTCGTGCCAATCAAAAGGGTCGGATTGGCCACCGATGACGGGTGACCATACAAATCGGAGGGTGCGGATGGCGGGCCACGCGCGCGACATTGCATACAGCATGGCATCGTCCACAACGACTCTGGGACCGCCATCGACGCGCAGAGAACGGAGAGCGCCGAGAGAGAGAAGCGGCTCAAAGCATGCGGAATGGTAGATGTTGCCGTCTCCGAAGCTGGCACGACCCAGGGAGATTTTGATTTCTTGGAGGGTATCTGGGGAGGGAATGCCGCCCAGGGCAGCACAGAGAGCCGTGAATAGTGCTTCAGCGGGGCTTCCTCTTGGCCAGCGCAGATCGAGAAAAACGGAGTAGAGCGACGTAGGAGCGATGGCGCCCACAAGTGCGATACAACACTCGTGGTTCGCGTGCGTGCCGTCCAGTTTAAGCTGTTGAAGTGCGGGGAAGAACCCGTCCCGTCTCCCATGAGGGAAGGCAGCGGCCCAATCGTGTGGTTCAATTTGTGGTTGGGCGACGAGCTTCCGAAGATGGGGTAGCCTTCCAAGGCCGAGTAACGCGTCGAATGCTACGAAGAGCCCAACTGCATGAAAGCTGGTCAGACAGTATAGCTGGGAGGTCTCGATTCCGCGAAGGCACGGCTTATACGTCTTGGATTGACGCGATAAGAAGTAGTGATGCGTGTATCTGAAGAGCGATAGCTCCTCTACGTGCGGTGCCAGAAGAGCCATGTCGTTGATGATGTCACGTAGATGGTCGGGGTCGGGATGTGTAGCGACAGTGATGTCCACCACTTTGAGGTTGGGCGAGAAGTGGAAACTGGCGGGGAGGGAAACACTGTCGCTTTTGGAAAAAGTACGCTCCGAGTATGAGAGTGTGGCCAGTTTTGGTAGGAACGGCTTTGGGCAGTGGTGCTGCAGCGTGTTGACGGTGTCAGACGAAAGGAAGCCGAGGAAGTCACTCATAGCATCTGAATCGACACTGCGAACACGGCTCGAATACTTGGTCCAGAGAAGGAAGTCGTCCAGAATGGGCTCACGGAGGAATGTCTACAAACACGGTACAAAAGGTCAGCGAGCGCGTCCAAAGGAAGCTAGTGTCCAGGACTTACAAATTCCCACCTTCCCCGATCATATTCGAAGAAGGATTTGTAAATGCTTGAAAATTCTTCTTCATTTTCATCTTCTATCTCTATGTGGCGTAGTAGAAACAGGTCCTTGGGGAGCAGGAGAAGCACGGGCCATATGGAGGGCAACGTGTGCCAAATGACGTCGAGGGCCGGCTCGGAGAGGTAACGACTGGTTCGCGCGAGATGCAGCAGTTCTTTTGGAGACACTGTGGGGTCCCGGCCGCAAACCATATTCCAGCATATCAACGATATGGTCTCTCTAGAGAGGGAGCAAATCATGGTCCTCGTGCTAGGCGGCAACGAGTTGCTACTGCTGGCACGCCGTTTGACGTGTCGGAGTCTGGTCAACCCTCGGAGAGCTATTGCTGAGAGACGGGCGCCAGAGTACTGCAGTCGCCTTGCGGTGGCCAGACAAATGTGACCAAAACGATAGCAGTAAACGTTCAGAGTGAGAGTAGGTGATTATAGTTTTGGTCCAACCTCGTCGAGAGTCGAGACGTCGGCACTACAGAATAGGCGCTCAAGGCCGCATGATGTCGCGTAGCTTCGCTTGCAGCCCCGGATCCGACAGATTGTACGAGAAGACGGCAAGGCCCCAACACAATTTATGAGTGGCTAGTTTAGTTATATGTCCCCATTCCCCGGTCCGCGAGCTTACCGCATTTTGTTTGCAGCAGCTGTGCAGCCGCACTGGCATCGGCCGTGGGCAGTGCTCAGTTTATAGAGCACTGGAATTGAACACCAGGACGATAGTGGCAGTCAAGCGGATCCGACTCGAGGGCTTGAAGGAGGACGAGATTTCCCAGCTCATGAGGGAGGTCGACCTCATCAGGTACCTCTCGCATCCGAGCATTGTCCAGTACGAGGGCATGTCCCGGGACGACACTTGGCTCAACATTGTTCTCGAGAATGTTCTCGAGTACTCGCTGTGGCACGGGAAGTGTGGACTGACATGGTTTGGCACCTAGGTATGTGGAGAATGTGTCCTTAGGACAGACCCTGAAGGCGTTCGGGAAGCTCAACGAGCGACTCGTAGCAAACTACGTCGTGAAGATCCTGGAGGGTCTGCACTTCCTGCATCAGAACGACGTCGTGCACTGCGATTTGAGGGCAGCGAACATTCTGACGACAAAGAACGGCAATGTCAAGCTGTCTGACTTTGGGAATTCGTTGAACGTGAGGGCAATGGAGCGGGAGATGAAGCACGTCGCGGCCATGCCCAACTGGATGGCGCCCGAAGTCATCGAGCTTAAGGGCGTTTTAACGAAGTCGGACATCTGGTCGCTCGCGTGCACCGTCATCGAGTTGCTGACTGGTAGGCCTCCGTATGCTGATATTTCTAACATCATCTCCGGTACGTCTTTTCGTTGTCCCCAGGCACTACCGCTAAAAGTTGCTTGCCTATTAGTCATGTTCCGTATCGTAGAGGACGAACGACCGCCGCTGCCTGAGTGTTCTGAAAGCCTGCAGAGCTTCTTGAAATGGTGCTTCAATAGGGATCCTATCAAGCGACCAAATGCTGAACAACTTTTGGAGCATGACTGGCTCAAGAAGTACGCTGGGGCGGATTTGGAGATGCGTGACTCTAACCGGTCGTCCACGGATGAACACTCGAACCCTCTCGACCTGGCCAGCTCCCCGCCACGGCGAAGGCTATCGAACGACACAGAGCCAATTTCACCTCGTGAACATAGCTTTGTCAAAGTAACATTCAGCAAATGTACGTAATATGGCCGTAGTGCGATTCATCTACTGACGTTGGAACCCAGCGGTCATCTGCAAGGTCTGTCTGCAGAGCGTCAAGAAGTATGCGGTGCTCTGTGAAAAGTGCAGTCTCATTGCCCACGCGCGGTGTTCGGGCAACGCCCCACCCAGCTGCGACCTCCGTGCTCAGCTGCTGAATTTCGCAAAGTACGCGGAGAACAGCAGTTCTTCCCCCATGGCCATCCCTGCTGCCGCAGCACAAGACGGACCGCCCATTGGCCCTACCAGCCAAACATCCGATGGCGGCTTGTCACAACGCGATAGTTTACATTCTGCTGAGCCCCACGTCCAGGGGCACCAGAACTACATAGCCCATTCGCGCTCAGCGTTCCAAGGCTTTTCCGCATTCGATCGCTCGCGGCCTCCGCCTACTGTATACCGAGACCAATGGTCTACGACTTCACTCGACAAGGGCCGCCCACACTTCATTTCGAGCGGCAGGACGTCCCTCAACTCGACCAGCATGCGCAGCGCAGCTACCACGTCGGCGAGCACGTCGAGCAATCAGCACAGTAGCCTTGCATCGGGGTTCAGGTCCGACGGGCTGTCGAGCATGACTTCGTTCTCGGCGATGTCTACGACATCTGAAGCAGGGGCGGAACGAGACGACCCGAGGCTCGTAAGCGGGCCCCCAGCGCCCCCGAGCCACCGCCAGAAGGGGCGCGACCGAGATGGAGGGAGTTGTACCGTACAGTGAGGCCCCTCGTGTACCACTTTCCTGTCTCGCATAGCTATGCTTTGGTTCGATTGATCCCGTAGTATTTTGAGTTCATTCGTCTAGCGCAACATCCTGCCAGTCACGCATCCCTCGCCTACGTACTACTACTAGGACAATATTTGGTGTATACTCATCGTCTGTACGATGAATCTCTGGCCATGGAAAACTCGATCAGCAGAAACTCTCCAGTAGACTGAGCTCGAGGCGATGCCGTACTGACCTGGATGCCAGCAGTTCGGGCCTCATTCCGCGTGCGCACAGATTTCTGCGACCTCTGCCCTCACACGACGCTCCCTCTGCAAATCCTCGTCTGTTCTTGAGTACAGATCCCGAAGCTCGCGCAGGAGCCTCCGGTAAATCTCGGTCGGATTTCCCACCGGCACCTGCTCCGTGCAGCTGCCCGTGTCTGTACCTTCCGTGTAGAACAAAAATGGAGGCGAGTATGCACCCCCGAGCATCTCCAGCGCCCAGACGATGGTGGCAAACGGATTCACGCGCACCTGCCCGCGATTGAAGGTGAACTCCATGTCGAACAGCGGCAGCGGTTCGTCTGTAGTACGGCGGTCGTCCTTGGGGATGAGCTCGTCTAAGCACGGTGCGCTCCATCGAACGGCGCGTTTTGAGGCCTGCTTCCGAGGAGTCCATGAAGGTTGCCATTCTTTGAGGTAGTGAACGTGCTGTGGAAAGGCCGGATGGGGTGTATCTTCCGATGCGGTGTACCACGTACATTCGATGCTGAAGTCGGCGAGCTCGTTAAAGAGAACGGGATCGGAGGTGATCCAAAGGCAACTCAGATTGCCGCTGAGCTCCTGCACGTCACGGTCAAGGCGAACGAACGTTCAGTGCAAGTACTACAGCAAGATGTGTGTGCTCACCTCCACCGGAGTGGTTACTCTCGCGCTAGGTGTGCGATCCTCGTACTGTTCACGCAATCGACGGCTCCAGTCGTTCTTCTCCCATATGAGCAACTTCTGGAGGTCGCGAATGGGTGGACAGAGAATGATGCGTCCCTGCAACAGCATTTCCTCGTGGTCCCCGCACACTGCAGATCGTCTGTCACTACAGTGGCAGCCCCGATATGCAGAGCAAACGTGCTCACCCGGTATGATATTCTGTAAGCTGTCCGCAGAGAAATTGACCGGTGTTAGGTTCGCGAACTTCAGCCAGGCGAGCTAGACAGCGCATCGCATTAGTGCATGTGTGAATATCCGCGTCTAGTAATTTGAATAGCTACCTCGGCATCGCCCTTGGGAGACGAAGAGATGATCCGGTATTGGCTGGGGCTGGTCAAGGATGACGACGATCTCGAAATGTCGGACGGTACGGGGCAAAATGGACACAGGCCGTGGTACATCTTTGATAGGGTTTTGGAAGTGTTTTCAGTTTGCGAGTCGTTGTGCAACGTATTGTCGTTGAACTTGTGATACATCACGGAAGGCAGCTTGCGATGATCCAAGTTGCGAGATACCAGTCGACGTCGAGGGGTGTGGTGGAGAGAGGCGAAATTCTCCCCGGGCGCCGGGACATTGAGGCCGTCCACGAGGTTCCTGTGGGAATCAGACCATCACACATTTTGATTTGTGGGTGCACGTAGTACGTACAACTTGGCTGGACGACGGTCATCCTAATCGCATCTGAAGGCTTGCCAGACGCCAGTACTTCGTCCAATTGCCCTCAACTCTGCTGCTAGGTGTAGTCGCTCTAGATTCTCAAGTCAACCTCCTTCCTGGTTTCGCGACCATGGCCACTGTTAGCCCAATGCGTCGAAAGTACAGACCCGTCACCATCCGGTTCCATGCCGACAACACCGATGATGAGCATCCCCCTCCGGAACTTCTAGATCCTGAAATCATCGAGGCTGTGGAAAAGCGCGATGAATACAGATGCCTTCTATGTGGCTCGGAGGAACTCCTCGTCACCCATCGGGTGGTGTCCGAGCACGGTAAAGGTGTAGAAGTGCGTATCCCACGATATGCTCTACATGTGTATATCCTAACACGCAGCGCATCACAGCCAGTGTACTGGTTGGTCCAGCTCGGGGTCGTTCCGCAGAGCTACCGGTCGCATGAGCCTAGTAATATCATGATGTGTTCGTACACATTCACGGGCTACCCATTGCAACTAGGTCGTACTAATCCGCAATCTAGTATGCGAACCGCACGCCTACGCCTACGATGAGGCCGTTTGGCGATTCATGCCCTGCGAGGGACTGCGCGAAGAGATGCGGCACGCAGGCCGCTCCAGCGTGCGCGCGAGATCCAACCCTTCCCTCCTCCGAGCTGATCAGGTCTGTAACACGGGCCAGCCTGAGTGACATTGTGATTGGATGCATCCTGATCCGGCGTTCTTCGGTCTTCAGAGTGAGCTAACGGATGCCGTACACGTACAATCCTCAAATTCCAGCCATGCAAAGGACAGCACTGTAAGAGACCGTCGTAAAATGACAATGACAACCGCTCACACAGACTACGACCGCAGCCCGATAAACCGGTGCCAATGCTCTTCGACCTCGTCATCTTCCGCCCCCAGCACATGCCGAAGATATCCATACCGTGGCTCATCGGTGTCGAACCGGCCCAGGTGGCGATCACCGCGGCGGCATTTGCGCGCGAAGACTGCCCGCGGGTGCTGCGTGCATTCCGCACCCTGCCATTGAACCCCTACGTCGCACTCGCAGCCACGTTCCCGATCGTCGGCGCGGCATACTTACCCTTACCCGACGCGGCCATACGCAACGTGGAGAGAGGGTGTGACGAGATCCGCGATGCGTGGAACGCAGCGACGCCCAAGGCCAGCGCGGACATGACTTTCATAAGCCCCTTTGGCATAAATTGAGGTTTATAGAGCCGACGTATGCATTACCTTGCGCGCGTGAATGTTGTAGCAAGAGTACAATCCATCGTCACCAGAATGCTCGACGTCACAGCATGGTCTTTCAAGCGCGTGAGCATCGCGATGCTGGCCGCAGATCCCAGTTGTTGCTCTACGCCAACGCACCATGACGAGTTCCCTATACGCTTGCTTAATGCATTCGCAGTCCCTGGATTGCGGGCTCACCTTGATTTCCTCCGCCTGCGGGAGGAATAGGCAGCAGACACGCTGCGACTGCCCATGCGTCGTTGTCGTTTCCGCCTATCCTATCAGGTTGAGCTCTTGCAGCGTGGCAAAGAATCCGCGGTGCTTTTAGATGTTTGGAGGGAAAGATGAAGAGTACAGGGTATGCAAAGCAGGAAAGCCGCGGGAGGGGCAGATGGTGGCGAAGGGAGAGGAGCGCTCGCCCGGCGTTTCCCGAGAAGCGTAATTGACAGCACGCAGAGAGCGAGTCGACGCGTCGGCCACGGTGCTCTCTCGCGGCCATGCGCTACTGGGTTCGTCAAATTCGTCCCGCATCCTCTGTGCACTTGTGCTTCTACCCGCTGTGGCATTTTTTGCAGCAATAGGTATCCGAGTCTCTGAACCATACATACTTATATCGGGATCAGGCCCGCCAGTACCAGCCTGAGGGTAAGTGCTTAGTGCACTCGGAGTTCGTTTCGCATCGGCTGTTCCCCAAAGTTGACCACTATTTCCAACCTACCCAACATGGCGCAAATCGCTTTCTACTTCATTATCTGCTGTTTTTCCTAGTCTATAACTCCAGTTTCTGCCGACAGACCATAGCAAGGGGATGCACCGCGCACGATCCGTCCAAATAGGCAAGGCATAAACCGCATGGAGAACACCGAAACTCTTTACGAGCTCTCGGCATTATTACGTGCACTACTAGTGCGCACCGGTGGAGTCATGCTGGATCCCATATAAACCTTTCGTCCGACGTGGATTTTGTTGCCATCTTGCCATCTCGCACTTTCTCCTCTTCGCTCGCCATTATGGTCGCCCCTTGGGACATCTATGCCGAAAAACTATTCCCTCTGGGATACGGACACCCCCTTTGGGCGCCGGAGCCATCTCGGGAGTTTGGGGAAGTACGCATCGGCGACGTCGGTTTCCTGTCGAACGGGCGTTTCCGCTTCTTGTTCAATTGCACACGAGAAGCAAACGACCCGCTCAACTTGAGAGGCACCCCTACCCCTTTCCGACCGTTCAAGATTCCTCCCGGGTCGGTGGCGGAGATCCCAGACGAGATTACGCAGCCGCTCCTTCAGAGCCAAGGCATGCACTCCGTCTCCGCCCAAGGCCAGGGTACTATTGGGTGAGTGACCTCAACGGCGGCACACTCGAAGTCTACGATGGGGACCGTGATCATACCATCGCATATACTGATACCTGATCGCGTTCACAGTGATCCCGCCACTCAGGGCGGCGCGCAAGCCTTGTTGCGCTACAGGTGCACCGAACAAAGCGGAGCCTTGCTCATGCTGAAACAAGCAGGCCATGCAACGCGTCTAGACTGTACTCTTGCCGTTCAAAAATACATGCGCCAGAACCTGGAGCACTGGTATCTGTTCGCGACAGACAAGCTCGGCATCGATCTGCAGGATAGCGACCTCATCTTCGTGTACGGCTTTACCAAGACCACGGTTTGGGCTGAAGCCGCGTTCAGCAGCTCTTCCGCCGACGGTGAGCTGAGCATTTCCGCCGGAGTGCCCTCCCTGGGAGCATTGGGCGCGTTCTCCGTCGAACTGTCCAAATGCGAGCTTCCTGTCACCTTCCACCGCTGGGGTCCCCGAGGGAGAGCCGCCGCTGAACACGAACCAGATCCTCTAGCCGCGGCTCCCAATACGAGCGTCAAAGACGCGTTCGACCAATGTATCTTCTTGAATTACTTCAAGATGAAAAGCCGTTTCCGGCGAAGGATAATACGCGCCGCTGCGGGTCCTCACGACCTACCAAGCCCACCCCCGGACGAGCTACCCGGAGAGTTCGATGAAACACAAAAGAGTAACGTACGAGCGATCTATTTTTCGAGGGATGTTCGATTGCTAATAAGGGCGGTGGTCCATGACAGGCATTCGATCCAGCGTCTCATATCTTGGACTACATCCTCGAGGTTAGTAAACATTTAACATGTTACTCACGATCTCATTCCTGCTTATCGACAAGTCTGAAAGCGAGCGACAAATGCCGACTATGCCTGGGCATCCGATCAAGATATTAGTTGCATGTTGCAGGCACAGCTTACGGTGAGATACAACCGTGCACTGGCAAGAATACACCGTTTGCGTGAGTTTGATCATGGTTTTCGTATATGACTGATAGACGTGTCGGCCCGGACATACACCTGCCCCTGTTACGGAGGACTCCAACTCTACTATAGAGACACCAGCGACCACGCTACACGCCCTCCTTGTCATCGATTATGGAGGTACGTCTGCTATCAGGATTTTCCCCTCGTCTACCGCAGAGATCTTAAGCCTGTTCTCAGTGGGTTCACTAGCCTGGAAGCCGGTGACTCCGATGTGCCATGAGCCACCTCTGGAATCGCAGTCTTCGACCGGGAACCGACCATGTCTGGGAGTCGGTAGTCCACAGACACTTACTCCTCATCCCCGAGCCCCAACAGACGTTTGTTCGGCGTCATTTCGACCCAGCTTTCCACCAGACGCTGCTGTGGACGCCGGCCTTCTCCGCGCACCTGGAGTAATAATTCCCTTTGCGGAGCCGTCCGATACCACACGCAAGTTGACCGTACGCAGTGCGTCCTATTCGTTTGATATACGCTGTCCGTTTCGATGCCGTGCTCTAAATATGCCTTTCAAGTACACTTACCAGACCGGGCATCAAGGTCCGCTCCTCAGCCCCCGCCGCCGCAGCCTATGTACAGCACTCCAGACTTTTCCTCTGCTGGGAACTCGCATGCCGGTACACGTGGCCCGCGTACTCCTGTGGGACCGGCCCGATCATTTTCGGCGAACGGTACATCTACAGGCGACAGCCCTCCTCCCGCCCTGATACAGATGTTCGATGGCTATGACTATGGGTATCTTGCACTATTGAGGGAGGCTCGCCGACGGATTTATGATCCGGCGACTTGGGGTGTATCCTTGTTATCCTCGAACTACCCCTACCGACCCGCTGCCGAGTCACCACAACTTCTGCATCTTCACCGGGTCTTGATGTTGGATATTGACTCTGCGTTCCACGGACCACCCCTTCCGCGTTACCGCGGCACGGGCCTCGTTCATGGTCCAACGTCCAGGTCCGGTAAACCGTTCTCAGCCGTCAGCCATGCCAAGCGGATGTACGCTGCTATAGCTTCAGCCTATTCAGATTGCCCTCGACGGTACGGGAGTGTTGTAAGTGCTTGCCCCCCGTCTCTGGCTACGTACACGTCTGACACCACGCTCATGCACAGTGTGCGGATTGTGCTAGAACAATGGTGCCGTGCCGCGGCCTCCCGGAAGGGCCATGTGTGCGATGCAGGATGAATGGCTTAGCGTGCATCGTCAACGCGCCTCCTTTCCATCGAAGTGTTCATGCCACCGGCGAACTTGCATATGAGGGTACGCCCATTCGCTCAGCAGAATGACGACGAAGACTGATGCATGTCGTGCTTAGCTCCTTCCGCACCGGAGTCTCCGTCCGAGCTGGGGCCCGTTGACAGGGCTGTGGACAACGTCTCTGCCCGTGGAGACAACTCCCGCCCTGCGGCGGCATCATCTGGCTGATTCTGGTCGTTAACGAGGCGTTTTTTTCTCAATCTGCACTCGTACGACACGCATGGATTTAGGTCTTCAAGCACTTTCGGGGACGATGTAAAGCTTCCGGGTGTCCAGTAGTTGGTCTGAGTACCGCTTGTGCTGCTCTTAACTGTTTATATTATAGTGATGTTGCAGGCCAACCGCCCTAGGTGATCTACGGAGACTCTGGCTGCTCGACAGCATTGCCGTGTTCCCGAGCCCAGTTCCTTTCCTGCGCGCGCACCGCGACGAGCCTCCAATACAGATTCCCAAGGCGCTCCCAGTCCCACGACGGAGGGGTGTACTCGATATTCCGCAGCCCGGGCAGCACGAGCGACAAGAACGACGCGACCGCCAGCGCGTCATCACCCGCCACGCACCCGCCCGTCCGCAGCCGCCTGACCCCACTTGTGCCAGAAACGGGCGGGCACCGCAGCCCGTCGAAGCGCGGCACGGCCACGCGCATGTCGATCGCGACCGCGAGCACGCGCAGGTCTGCGCAGCGCCGCACGAGTGGTACGAGGCCCGCGAGCGTCGCCTTGGGGCAGTCTGGGGCGCCCGCGCGGGGCGGGTTGTAGCACATGTTCTCCGAGTACCAGTTGACGTTGCCGGTGAGCGCGGGCCACTCGAACTCGAGCGTGTGGAGGGCAGGCCAGGCGCGCGACATTGCGTCGAGCATCGCGTCGTCCACGATCACCTTGGGGCCGCCGAGGAACTGGAGCGCGCGGAGCGCGGGGAGGGCGAGCAGCGGGATGAAACACGGGGAGCGGTAGATGTTGCGGTCCGGGCAGTCGTCGCTGCCGACGGAGATCGTGATGTGGTGGAGAGTGCTGGGGCAGGGCAGCGCGCCGAGGGCGACGGAGAAGCCCGTGAAGAGAGCCTCCGCTTCGTCGTCTGGCCAGCGCAGATTGAGCGAGACGAAGTGAAGAGCCGTTGGGGCGATGACCTTGAGGAGCATCATGCAATATTGGTGGGCGTCGTTTCTGGATACTAGGTCGAGCTCCAGGAGCGCGGCGAAGAACCCGTCGTGCCTCTCGCGGGGGAGCTCGTCCCAGTCGCTAGGTTCCGCGCGAGGTTGGATGAATAGCTTCCGGAGTTGCGGAAGTCTGCCGAGGCTGAGCAACGCGTCAGACGCGACGAGCACCTCTTGACCGATAAAACTGGTCAGAAGAGAAAACTGCGCGATTTCTATCCCTCGCAAGCACGACTGCCGACCTTTGACGAGCTTCAGTGTCTCCACATGTGGGCTTACCGAGGATAAGCTCTTGATGATGTCCTGCAAGTGGTCGGGGTCGGGATGTTTAGCCAGAGCGAGAGTCACGGTTTGAAGAGGGCGCGCGAAATAGATGCGGGCCGGAAGGACGACAGCGTCGCCCATGGCGAGATCCTTCTCGCGGCAGGAGAGTGAGCGGAGGTTCGGGAGGAACGGCTTCGGGCAGTATGCCTGCAGCATGTCGAAAACACTGGGTGAAAGGAATTCGCGATCCAGCCGCCAGATGCCGAACGAAGCCAAATCCCGTATATGGTGAACGCGGGAGGAATACTTAATCCAGCGAGTGAAGTCATCCGGAGTAGGCTCTCGGGAGAATACCTAAAGTTCAAGAGAACAGCGTCAGCAAAATGTACTGCACAACCAATATTATCAGCACTGAGAAACACTGGTTTCGCCGGCCGTCTTAACCATAGAACTATGGAAATATGCCAACCGGCTCTGTGAAGGGATTCTAGAGCACTTACAAGCTCGTCCTGAGATATGTCCAGAAGGCGTGTCATGAAGTCGAGTTTTCGGTCTTCAGATTCCTCTATGCGACGGAATACTCGTAGATCTTCGGGGAGTAGGAGGAGCAAAGGCCATATGGAAATGAGCGTATTCCAGATGACGTCCAGGGCCGGTTCAGAGGTGGATCGGCAGGCGAGTGCTAGAGACAACAACTCTTTCGAGATATCGTTGAAGTGTTGGTTTTCCATGGTGCTCCAGCATATCATGGATACGACCTCTTTGGGGAGCGAAGAGAGAGTTGGGGTAGGCGGTGCCATCGCGTCCACGGAGAGGTAGATCGACAAGATGGGGAAGGCCGTTTATACTCGAGATATTTCCTGGTTGATGGGGTCCAGAGAGAAAATGGCTTGTACGGTTGAGGCCTGGAGGTGGTGGTCAGAAACAAGGAGTGAATGTGGTTGGCGTGCAATGAGACGCGCTCACTGGCAGGCTTAGCCACATCTCGGGGGTTGCCGAAGCGCGTCTGTCACATGTGACGACACGCGACTACCGCCCTGACTCGGAGCTCGACGCGTCTCTCTCTGCCTGCTCCTCGTCCTCCTCCCCGCTCTCCCCGCTCTTGTCCTCGCCTCTTCATCGTCGTCCTCGTCTTTAGTCAACATGGCAGTCTCCGACGACATCGAGCCCACGACGCCCGACCTGATGCTTGCGTTTTACCGCCGTCTCTATCCGTTCAAGTCGCTGTTCACATGGCTGAACCACGAACACGCACCGTCCAAGCTCTTTACCCACCGTGAATTTGCGTTTACCCTCCAGGGCGATGTATATCTCCGATACAACTCCTTTGCGAACGCGGAGGAGCTGAAAAAGCAGGTCTGCTCCCTCAACCCAACGCGTTTCGAGATCGGGCCGGTATACAGTGCAAGGGTGAGTGCATCTGCTCTTGTTCCGGTCGCTCTGCGCTCTTCGCAAAACATGTGTTGCTTCTCACACCAGGGCATGTACCTATGTAACCAGAGGTTACACCGAAATCACATCGTAACCAAAGTCCGATCGTGCTTTCGGTGCCCTCAACTTGTGCCGCCGTAGTTGCACGCTGATCACACACTGCATTCAAAGGGTGATCAGCATGTAACGCGGCATTTTCGTTATATCTCGAATGTGCTCAGGATGTGGAAGTCAGACAAGAGGGTGCTACTTTGGGCCAGACATTTTCATGGTATCTAGATGTAACGGGGTGCCTTATGGACAGCTGACACGGAATCCCCCTCCAGCCACGAGACAAGAAAACCGTCCGCCCCGCCGCCTTCTCCCCCCAACTCCGCGAGCTCGTCTTCGACATCGACATGACTGACTACGACCCCATCCGCACCTGCTGCTCCGGCGCGGACATCTGCCGTCGCTGCTGGACGTACATCTCCGCCGCCGTGCGCGTGCTCGACCGCGCCCTGCGCGACCAATTCGGGTACAGGCACCTCCTCTGGGTCTACTCCGGCCGCCGCGGCATCCACCTGTGGATCAGCGACGCGGAGGCGCTCGCACTCACGGACGACCAGCGCCGCGCGCTTGTCGGCTGGCTCACTGTCATTCAGGGCGGCAAGGAGATGCACAAGAAGGTGAACGTGCGCGTCGGCGCGAAGCCGCTCCCGCCATCACTTGCGTAAGTCACCCCGCTCCGTCTGCCTGTTTAGTGTTCTCAGTCTAACTATCATTCCAGATCTGCTTTGAAAACGCTTGAGCCAACCTTCCACGACCTCGTGCTCGCCGACCAGGACTGCTTTGCCTCCGAGGACGGCTGGGAGGCCCTCCTGCACCTGATCCCCGACCGCGAGGTCGTCAGAGAACTGCGCGAGCACTGGGAAGCGCACCCAGACCGCTCCTCCGAGGCCAAGTGGCAAGACCTCGAGGACTCGATCGCGCAGCGGCGCGGCAAGAAAGACCAGCGCGAGCGCAACACCTTCGTACGCCCTACCAAACCCCATCTATCTTCGATACAATACTAACGCCGACGCATATTCACAGGCGGCCCTCACGGCGGCGAAGGAGGACATCATCCTGCAGTACACATACCCGCGGCTCGACGCGGAGGTGTCGAAGCACCGCAACCACTTGCTGAAGGCGCCGTTCTGCGTGCACCCGAAGACCGGGCGCGTGTGCGTGCCCGTCGACCCGCGCACGATCGACCGCTTCGACCCCGCGCGCGTGCCGACCGTCGGGCAGCTCCTGCGCGAGCTCGACAAGGCGGCGCCTGCGCCGACGGCCCCAGCGGAGGGCGCGGGCGTCGCAGAGCATCATGCGGACTGGGAAAGGACGTCGCTGAAGCCGTATGTGGACATGCTGGATAAGCATGTGATGGGGTTGTTGGAGGAGACGCGGAGGGTGAAGCAGAAGACGGGTGAGTGGCGTTTCGCCCTCGCGCTGGTTTGTTGTGCTCACTGTTATTTGGACAGATTTGTCGTGGTGATTGAGTATAGCATGATCTTGTCCGAGTTGTCATTCCCTGGTTTTTGCTCCTCCTATGTATTATCCATGTGTATTTGTGAAATTTACGATTTGCAGGATGGAGACGATCGATACAGCGCCGCCGTCCGGGTACAGCAGACGGAGGAAACGCGAAATACACCCTATTTCTTGGATATTCGAACGGTGCCTGCTGGCTAAGTTTTCTCTCTCCGAACGTGAGGGTGGACTTTACGAGCCTACGCAGTGGCGCGGATTCTTTCTTGTCAACTTCGCGTGGACTCAGAAGTATGGCTGTTCGAGGTAAGCCTTAAATGTCAATGATGCGGATAATTTCAATGCGTCTCTCGTATGAGGGTAAGAGACTCTGCCCTGAGGACCAAGCAGCTGCTCGCCCTCGCAAATACTCGATCGCGCGGTTTGCGATATGCGCGAAAGCCCGCTTCGCCGCGAGATTATATTTGTGCGCTCTCCCGTACCTTCGAGGCCCGGAGCACACCAGTGCGTACGTTTCCTCGTTAACCCGACCATAATCGACCAGCGATCACCCTCCAAGTCTCTGCAACGCTTCCTGCAAAGCGCCATCCCGCAAAAGCAGACGGCACAACGCTTTCCACGCTTCGACCCTGGCGCCCAGCCCAGCCACCTCTGCATCGAATTTACCGATAAAACGCACGTCAGAAAACGCGTGGAAGCATTGCCTCAGGTACACCGCGACGGCCTGGGGATAGGTGACGAGGGAGGTAGTGAGGTCCAAACAGACCGACCGCGCCATCCGCTCCACCGGCGCGAACTTGCTCGCTTCGGCCGCCCAATGGTTGCCAGACGTATTCACTTGTACACTTATATCTTCGAGCCCAGGGCAGCGTTCGGCAAAACAGCGCAGGCCATGGAGTGTGACCATGGTGGGCGGCGGGTTGTTGACGGGCCTGCTGCTACTGAACTGCACCACGCGGAGGTACGGCCATGCGGAGGCCATGTGTCCGCAGAGCGCGTCGGTAAGTTCTCTCGGCTCCAGCTTTCCCAGACGGACTTCCGTAAGATTCCGGAGCTGGCAGAGGAGGGGAACGAGGTCGATGGAGAAGCGGCCGTATACGACAGTCTCGGGCTGCGAGGCGAGCCTGAGGTTGCCGCTGGGCAAGCGCAGTTCGAGCGTGCTGAGGGACGCCCTAAAGTTGCCCACGACCCTCTCGACAATAGTGCGCTGGACGTCCACTGGGATCGTGTCGTGCACGGTAACGGTGCAGTACCGAACGTTGCAGGGAGGCATGGGGGCCAGAAAATAGCGCACCACGGCACTCGGCCCGTCGATCCAGAAGGTCTGGAGGGCGGGAAAACCGGCATCGACGAGGCCTAGGCCTATTTCCCTCAGATTTGTGTCTTCTAAATGTTGAATCTTGAGATCTCGCAACGCCGGGAGCCTGGACAGGCTGTAGATTGAACGGCGAGACACGAAAAGGTTTGTACTGATGAATAAGCTTTGAAGGTGAGCGAGGGGGGGCAGCAGGTCGAGCACGGAATGGGGAGCAGGCAACAAGCGCCCTTTTCTCCACAGGATCTCCACGGAGGTCATCCAGACACACTGTTGAGCGATGGTTTTCATCGCGTTGAATAAAGTGCTGAGGAAATGCGCGTCTTGTGTTGGGTCCCTGCGGGATTCGGCATGCACGCACAGTTCTTCGAGGGATGTAACGACGAAATACCGGAACGGCTGGATGGAGGAATTGGCCTGGACCACCCAAGCAAGGCGCCTCAGCTTGGGGAACAACGGTGGGGTCCGGCGGTCGAGTGCCAACGGAAGGGTGCCCGAAGAAATTTCTATGTCACGGATAAGGCCTGTAAATTCACTCATTCGCTCTGGGAGAGGTGATGCAGCCTGCTGAAAAGGCCGTGAGCGTGGATCTGTTGATCGATGGGGCAGACATACATCAAGGTTACAAGGTCGTGTAGCCAGAGCATTCCAAAGCGAGAGAACCGCGTGGATTCCTGGTGGCCGTTCCCAAAGTATCGCGACCGCCACCGGATACATTGCCCTGCAAACTCTTAACAAGGATGCAAGCGTACGCCTTCCATTAACGAAGTCGTCTATGGGCTCTGCGAAGAACAGCATGATGTGTCGCAGTAATTCGTCGCATGTAAGCACTGCAAAGCATGCGGACTGTCTACCTGGCTGAGGACACAAGGGCACCGGGCACAGTGAGCGTCCGAATAGTACAATTGTAGCGCAGCCTCACTCACCCTGCCTATGTGCGGAGCCGTGTTAACGTAGCCTGAGCTCGCGCCACGGTATCGCTGCATGAGATTGACTCCAGAGGACGTTCAGGAATGTCCTTGCGAGTGGTGCGGAGGGAATGCCAGTGGGCGTCACTGGTTGCGAAAGAGTGAAGCCGGCTTAGCGCTAATCGATGAACCTCCGCCGCGTTCTTAAATACTCCCCGGGCCTCCCCTACACTCCGTAAAGGGAATCTTCGTGGACCAGCGTAGCGAACAATCACAGACGGACAATTGAAGCTGTAGTGCGCCACTACGAAACTCGAGGTTCCCGATCGACGTTCTGGACGATCGTATCGAACATCGAACACACGCACTCAGGGTAGTCCGGGCACCCACCAAGTTTACAAAGCATCAGCGGGAGAACAATGGATGGTCATGACAACCGAGGCCCACCAGAACTTAATAGCGCACTCACACGTTCGCCGCGTGCACCACCACGCCTACGGTGCGGTAGACCCGAGGCGGATATGACCTTCCTCACAAAGGACATCTTGGCAGAAGGGCATACACGACCGCCTGGGGCGGACTTGAAAAACCAACGACGACACGCATGGGCGGTCGGCATCTGATGGATGTAGGTTATTGTGGGCCCTGGGGAGCTTCGGGGCAGCGTCACGACGAGAGTCGGCTTTGAATTCTCTATCCCTGCTGAACACGGCTTGAACGCTAACCTAAACATAATCCTATACGATCAGCATCAATCGCAAATCGCATCATCAAATCAGGGAATGCGAGAACATACCGGACGACCCCCCCACTGCTACGTTTGTGCAGATACTATAGCGCACGGGTAGTCGAAAATCATTTCCTCTACCTATTGCTATTGTCTTCATCCCGCATCCATTCATGCTCACTAGCACCCCGCAACTTGTGGCACTCCGCTGAACGTCGCCTCAATCTCACCGAGATCGCGATGCAAGTGGATGGCCTCGGAAGACGAACAGTGTGCGAACAATACACGGGTTAATTGTCGGGGAATACTCCAAGTCCGACTTCGAGAGAGGGCTTGGAGGGCGCGCGCAACCGCGCCACACTGACTATTGCACTAGGTGAGCAATGTCCATGCTCACGCGGTATGATGTTACTGAGTCGTGCTTTGTATTCGAGTTTCGCTGTTTACCGGAAATCGTCACCCAACAAGCATTTGAGCGCCCCGCGTCAGGTGGACTGCACCGTATTGCACAGTCGGTTGTGGCATCCGTCAACACGTCCGTTACGTTCATCCGTTTAGAACACTGGACAACGCACCCTTCCAGCCCGCCGCTCGCGCTCCCTGTAGCAGGACTCCGTCGTCCTGGAATACAGCTTTCGAAGCCGTGACAGCCGCGTCCTGTATTCTTCCAGGTTGTTCGGTATGTCCGAGGACTCTTGGCGGGCGACCTGCACAAAGGTATCTGGGGGCGCGTTTCTACCCGACACCGCAACCATTGCATCGGCCAACGCAAAGTACGGATTCAGCCGGCACGGTCGATAGCCGTCGTCATCTACATGGTTGATCCGGAACTCGAACTCTGCGGGGGACGCAGCACCCGAGTCGCCGGATGCACACCATATGAAGGCGACGTTTCCGCTCAGGTGCTGTACCATCGGAACGTTCTTGTCAAATGTTAAGAATTGAATTTGTATAGCGCGTTCGACCCACCTCGAGAGGGCAGGGCAAGCGATTCCGCATGGACTTGGACTCCAGCCGTTCTTCCCAGTCCTTCGTTTCCCACTCTTCTAGGAGTGCAAGGTCGCGCAGCGGCGGAGAAAGGGCGAACGGGTGCGTTTTATAGAGACAGCCGTGATCCTCGCACACTAGAGCAGCCAATCCCGGTGAGCACTTGCTTGCTTCTACAATGTCACCTCTGGAAGTCCCGATGCACGTACAGAATATGACGTTGCTGCCGTTCTGACAGTCTTGGGCGCTACAAAGTCCCGCATCGCGAAGCCAGTAGAGCTGGCGGTAGATATAGAGAAAGTTGGGTCAGCCTGATCGGGGTAGATCGAACGGCCGTCGACTTCTCACTTGGGCTGCTCCAATGGGATCGCTGGTCGCCAGGACTTGAACGGGCATGTGTCGATAAGAATCCTTTGTTTTGAACAGCAAACGTTTGGCACCACATAGGATGCATAGAGGATGGTTGGATGCGGGCATCCTGCTATTGTCGTGACTGGTTGCAGCGAACGAAGGGGTCGCACACGAGGATCGATGGACCCCAGCATTCGAAGCTGTGTGATCCATAAGTGACCTTTTCCTGACTCCAGATGTGACTCTCACCGGATATAAGATCATATCATTAGTTAACCATTCATAACCACGGTACGGAATACTTTACAGGTGGCACGGTTGACATCCATACATCGATCGAACTTGCTTTGCCCTGCAAGTACAGCTTGCCTCAATAATTTTGCCCCGCTGTATCATTTTGCTCATGGAGTATGCTCCTGATGATGGCATGCGATTGACGATGATGCCTCTGACGTTGCAGAACTCAGTTCAGTACACAGCTCGATGAGCGAGCATGCGCTCTCGTCTCCAAGAGCCACCGGACGCCTTCCCGAAGTTCATGGTCGACCTTCCGAGCAACTTGCGTCTCAGGAAATATCATGTTGAATGTGTGAGGGCAGCCCGGATACCTACAGCGACGAAGTGTTAGCATAACACAGGAGGTGCAAGATGAGAGCGCGTACACGTTTGTGTATACCTCTACCCCCGCATCGCGTAGGACGCGCGCATACAGCAGGCCCTCGTCGCGGAGAGGATCCAGCCCAAAGACTTGGACGACCGCCCGCGGCAGCCGCGCGTGGCTGGGCGCGAGCAGCGGCGACACGCGCGGGTCGTTCGGCGGCGCGCGGAGTGCCCCTGGGCGCAGAGACGCGGATCGAGCCAGTGTTAGTGCGCTGAGACGAAACGAGGGCGGATGTATCACTCACGAGCGAAGGCGCGGATCTTGCGCGCTGTCAAGAAGGGCGCGTCGGCTTGTTCCTCCATTGAGCGCAGCTCGGATGCATACCTATGCGAAAAAGTCGTATGTAAGGAACATGTGCATCTGAATTTCCCTGAAATATCCAGAAGTGTGATATACCGGACGACACGTACCTCCCGATCTCGGCCTCAGGATGGACGACCTGGGGTGTCTGCAGCAGCTGCCCAGTGATCTCTCTCCCTGACCCCGGCGCGAAAAACGCGTCGTCTCGCGCCCGCAGGGCCACCGAGGCGGCGAGGGTCGCGCCTGCCGAGGTTCCGCCTACTAGAAAACCCCGCGTCAGGGAGGCGTTTAGCACATGGGCATTGGTCGCCGCCTAGGTGTTCGGAGGAGGGTGAGCACTCGCATGGAACGTATTTTGACTACTTTGGTGCGCGCATACCCATTTCAGCCCACTATATGCGTCGTTGAACCCGGTGGGGAAAGCGTGTTCAGGCGCTAGCCTATAGTCTACGTTGACGATTGCGAGCTGCAGGTCTACGCAGATGCTACGGAGGTAGCCGTCGTCAAGCTCGATTGAGCCCGCGACGAGACCTGCGGCGAAGGTCAGGAACTTTCGATGCAAGTACTGATTGAGTGCATATACTCACCCCCACCATGGTACCACACTAACAAAGGGAAGGGCCCACCGAACGTGGGTGCATAGCACCTCACATGGATTATGCCACCCTCTCCGCCATCCTCAGCATCAACACGAACGTCGTGCTCGCGCACGCTATGTGTCGATGCTGCAACGCGCCGGGACGTCAGTAAACCTTCAAATCCCGCTAGGCATCGCTCTAAAGCTCACCTGCGGGCGCGCAATCCTCCCATTCGGCTTGGTGTAGCAGACTCGCGACCTCGAACTGCTCGCGAAGAACGAGCACGTCGTCAGTGCCCGGCGCAGGGGGGCCCAACTTAGCGAGCAAAGGGGCTAACTCTGGATCAGGACAGGCGAGATGCGCGTTCAAGGACATAGCAAGAAGCCGGAGTTCATTTCAGGAGGATTCGCGGACCGAGGTCGGGGTGGGTGAGAGCAAGACACAGGTACGGCGATGCGGAACAAGCACAAGCAGAACTCATCGCGGTTGCCGTTCAAGAAACTCGGCGCTAACCAAGGGCCGGCAAGCACCCGCATGGATATCAGACACGCACACGCGATTTGAGACGTTTGCCGGGAGACTAGACTAATGTAGGATAAATAAAAAGTACACAATAGAATACAACATAAGAGAACCACAACCGAAGAATCTACTTGGCACCCGCGCTCGAGAACTGTTACACAAGTAAGGTCAGATGTTGTTCGAATTCAAGACGAGTGAAGTACACACTTTTGTTACAGACTTGGTGCCTTCTGAGATAGCGTGCTTGGCGAGCTCACCGGGAAGGATGAGACGGACAGAGGTCTGGATCTCGCGTGACGAGATCGTGGACTTCTTGGAGTAGGACGCGAGCTCTATAGCATGTGTTAGAGAATGCTCTCAGTACGCCAAGTTAAGTAACTCACTGGAGGCCTCGGTCGCGATGCGCTCGAAGATGTCGTTGACGAACGAGTTGAGGATGGCCATCGCCTTGTTGGAGATACCAGTGTCAGGGTGCACCTGCTTGAGCACTAAGGAAGGCGCATGTTAGACAAGTTCAGACGGTAGTAGCTGTTTAAGGGCTCACCCTTGTAGATGTAGGAGGAGTAAGTCTCCTTGCGACCCTTCCTACGCTTCTTCTTCTCGCCGTCAGCAGCGCCGCCAGACGCCTTGGCGGTCTTCTTCGCAGCCTTAGCACCACCTTCGGTGGTGGTCTTCGCGGGCGCCTTGGAGGCGGTGGAGGCGGGTGCCTTTCCGGCAGTGGATGCGGGCTTGGGGGCCATTGCTGAGGTGGTTGAGTTGGGAGAGGGGGTGGTGCGGGAAGGCGATAGAGTGGGAGCGGCGAGGAGAGTTGGATGAGGTCGGGGAAGCCAAGCAGTGCTATTTATACGGACGCGTTGTCCTTGTTTGGCGCGACGCGTCGAAGGCGTTGAACCTTATTTTGTTGAACGCCGTCAACTCCGTCACGTGCCAGTTTGGCGCCCGGCGCGTGGCTCTCCGCCACACCGGGCCCGCGCTCGTATAAGAAGGCTTGCCTCCGCCCGCCATGTCTCCTCAACTCCGTCCTCGCACTCAGCCGCCTTCAACAACACACCCACCCTTCTCAACCACCCCACCAACCCAATCAACCAACAATGTCTGGCAAGGGCAGCGGCAAGTCTAAGTCCGGAAAGGCGTCCGCGGAGGCGGGCAAGTCCCAGTCTCGCTCGGCGAAGGCGGGTCTCCAGTTCCCCGTCGGTCGTGTTCACCGTCTCTTGAAGAAGGGCAACTACGCCCAGCGCGTTGGTGCCGGCGCACCTGGTACGTCTGCAGTCCTTGAAGACATTATCTTGTCTAACATTCGCTTCTAGTCTACCTCGCGGCGGTACTCGAGTACCTTGCTGCTGAGATCCTCGAGCTTGCGGGCAACGCGGCGCGCGACAACAAGAAGCAGCGTATTGTGCCTCGTCACTTGCAGCTCGCTATCCGGAATGACGAGGAGTGAGTTGTCTCCTTCGCCCTCTGCTCTTCAGTGTCTAACCTTTCCGGTAGGCTGAACAAGCTCCTCGGCGACGTCGTCATCTCGCAAGGTGGTGTCGTACCATTCATTAACCCTGAGGTAGGCTCTTCGCCGTATCTCCAGTTGCAAGTCGCTCACTGCTTCCTCATAGCTCCTCCCTAGCAAGACGCAAAAGGGCAAGAAGGACAGCCAGGAGGTTTAGAGATCCGTGTTGTATTCACCACTTGTTGTATTATTTATGTACTATTTCTCTATTTTCTCGTCTAATTGGATCACCCTACCGCGACATTAGGCAGTATGTGTGTCTGAAGTGTTAACACTGCTTATCCTAGTTGAATGTGTAACTATCTGCCGATAGGATATGTGGTATGAGTGAAATGGCAGCCAAGGTTGGTTCCGTGCATGTTAACGTACAGCTTGGCGGTTGTGATGTTGCTACCCTTCCAACTGTATTCGAATCAATACCCTCGTTGCAGAGCGTACAGAAACGTACAGAGAGCCTTTCACGTCCAAAGGTGGCGGGCGACTCTCCGCATGGGGCGAGTAACAGGTAGCGGGCGACGCCAGGAGGTACGCGGATATCGTTCTGATGATAGCTGTTAAAGCTTCCAAGTTTCGCAGGAGTCCCAGTTTCTTGTGACAATGACATGGTGTCGTGCTGTTGTCCCTGGTTCCTGGCAGCTTTATGAATACAAGCATCCTCGCACGCCCGGCGTGTGCGCTGGGTGACTGCGGCCAGTCCGAAGAATGCGGGCCCGAATATTTCGGGCTGCGAGCCACGTGGCCGGGCCGTTGGCTTCCGCAATGGGTGTTGGCCGAAAGCATACGCTCCAACTTCCGGGGTAACGCGCCCACTAGTTATGCCTTTGGGTGGTAGGGTAATAACGAGATATATGTATCAGTCCGCTTCGAAGCTTGCTGAGATGGAAGCACCAAACGAGATGGTCGGACCGAAAGACTTAAAAGGAGATATTGGCCAATATTTTATTTTAGGCCGAACTGGGGAATCAACAAAATCATGATTTCCCTGCCAGGAACACAGCTCAGCCTGGCAGGCTCCGTCCTTGGACCCCATCCCCATCCCCCATCCATCCGCCGCTCCCTCCTCCTCCCTCCATCTTCCTTCCTACTCTACATGGCCACCCTTTCACGCCCGCGTATCTCATTGCAAGCTCCAGAGGGAGACGAACAGCGACAGCAGCGACTACTCAGCCTCGACATTCCTACCCCATTTCCGAGGCTTCCCGCACGAACGGAACAGCCCCAAAGGAGAACTGCGCCAGCAGAAGAGCCCCTGCGCGAAGAAGAGCCCGCGAGACAGTCGAATGCAACTAATGAACTGCAAACGGAGGCCGGCGAGAGAGCGGCGGGGGAGGCGACTGGGGAACCCATGATCGAGGCCGAGGGTACCGACTCGGTCAGTCAGTCTCCTCCGCAGACGTCTCCTCCACCTCCAGTGGCAGGAAAACTGACCATTCTATAGGACGAACTCATGTCATCGATCGTGAACGTGCAGCGGTCATGTCTTACGACACTCAACGATCTGCTCTCAACCTCGTCCAACTGGCGCCCCATCATCCCCGACCGCCGACATTCCATGCCCTCCCCGCGTTCCCCTCTCGCCTTGTCCGCCCTACCATCACTCTTCGCTAACTCCGCAGCATCTTCCTCATCATCAGCCGCCACTACTCCGCTCCAGACCCTCGTTCTCAACCTCCGTGCACAAGAGGCGGAGAACATGACAGAATGCGCCGCTTCCGACCTCTCAGACGAGCCCGCGCTCGTGCACGAGTTGGAAACCCGCATAAGCCGTCTCGCCGCGGGGCAACTACCACCTCACCAGGGATCCCTCGCCCGGTGTCTCGTGACTCTCGTGGCACAGTTCCACAGGCTTGCGGAGCTGCACCCGAAACCCCCACGGTCAAAGCCGTCCGCAGTACCGCGGACGGCGTCGTGGAGCACATCGCCGGCGGATGCCACGCATTCCTCCGCTGCCGGCAACCCGCTCGTGACCCTGCAACGGCAGCTAAGCGATCTGCAGCTAGAGCGGGACGCGCGGGGAACCGAGCAAGCATATTCTTCCTTCCCTCCTGTACAAGCGGTAGAAACCGCGCTCCTTTGGACACGCGTCGACCAAGAGTTCGAACGCATCCTCGACCTGTGCTCCGACCGTCCACTTGACGCGGAGCTCGACATGGACCACATGCTCCCGGAGTACGACGAGGGCGAGTATGAGGGCGCTTTCGGCTCAGATACGGAGCTGCCGGTGTATGAAGCGGGCGAGGGATACGAGCATTACGCCGCGGACAAGATGAAGGGCGACCTCGCGCGAATACGCTCCCGCGAGCCGACCTCCGCCTCGAGCGGCGGCGTGAGCGAGAAGATGCGGATGGACCTCGAGGCGGTCGCGCTCGCAATTGATCGGCTGTACCTCGTCGCGCCTCAACTGCACGATCAGCGCGTTGAACTGAAGAAGACTAAGCAAGAACAGATGGAGCGGGCTCGTTTGGCTGGACCGTCGAAGAAAGAGGTCCGCGAAGCCGAGCGGGAGAGGATGAGAGACAAGGTCAGGAGCAGGCTTGGGAAGGAGCGCGAGCAAGACGTGGGCGAGCTGGAGAAGATGGTCGAGCTCATCGGCCGCGCGTCCGAGCGGCGGCTCGTGGACCAGTCTGTCGTGCTCGACGGGGGCATGAAGGCGCGGTTCGAGCAGGCGCGCGTGCGTGATCACGAGAAGGTGAGCTTTCTCTTCGCATTCATATGCAGTTGGACCATAGCTCATAAGACACACAGCGCGAGGCGTTCGTCACGCGTCTAGTACGACATTCCGATGCGGGCCGACTACACTCGCAAGACGCCGTATTGGGTAGGAACAGGGCGAAGGACCCGGACGCGATGCTTTCGCTGCCTGAGTTCATCCGCGAGGGCGTGCCGGAGGGCATGCAACTCAAGATGCAGATGGAGGACCCGAAGGCGCTGCTTACCCTGCCCGAGCTGCTGCGGGAGCCCGTACCAGAACATATGGTGCAGCCGCAGCCGAGGCCACCGCCGCTGTCGCACAAGAAGTCGTTCAAGGGCATGCGCAGCAGGAGCATGTCAGCTCCGCCGCTGGCGTGGCTGTTGCCGTCGTCGCCGCGGTCTTCATCTCCTGGAACGCCTCCCGAGTTGAAAGAGGCGAAGGAGTCCAAGAGGTCACGGATGAGCAGGTTGAAGAGGCCAGGCTCGTCCAGCGGTATCTCCACGCCGCATTGGCAAGGTTCGTCCTCTGCTGCCAGTGCCTGTTGTCGTAATCGAAGGTACTAACGAAGTCCTTTGGTAGCTGGACTGGACGCGCACTACGTCGCGGAGTACCACGAAACGCTGCAGCACGTGCTCATCTTCTTGAACGTCCAGGGCATGACTCCCGGCGCGAACCTGGAAGCGGAAGTGGTACCCACGTCCGAGTCGCGGATCGAGGAGCGCAGCCGTCTTCTCCTGAAATGCGGCGCCTCGACCTCCCCTCTGCTCGCGCTCCCCGCACCTGTATCTCCCGGCGTGAAGGAAGTGAAGGTGATGGGCCAGTTCCACGAGATCAAGCTCGCCGTCACCGCTCCCCCTCCTTCGCCGGTTGATGCGTCCCCCGCCCTCCTCGACGCAACGCAACTCTCGTTCGTCGCCCCGACGAGCTTCGTGTGCGCGTCGTGCTCACTACCCGTCGTTCATGGTGCGCGCCTGCACGAGTACCGCGACCTGCCGTCGGAGCACTGGGCCGAGCTCGTCGACGCGTGGATGTGCCACTCCGACCAGCGCCTGCATGATCATGTCCAGCAGCACTCCCGTGACGGTTTCTGGCCGCGGGAGGGGCAGGCGCTCGTGGGCGGTAGTTACATCCTCTTCGAAGAATCTGCTATCGTGCATAGCAACATGTGGCCGACGACCGACGAAGACTACAAGGTGAGCGTTCGTTTGATGTGGGATCATCATTGCCTCGGAACCCCGGACGAATAGAAGGTCGACGCTGGGTATACCTACCGGTGGTCGTCCGTCTTGCCTGTCGGTGCACGCCGCAGCGCCCTCGGAGCCCTCGCTGGTTCTGCGGTCTACGCCTGGTGTCGTGCTGGCTTGTGGGGCGGCGGCAGGAGCAATCCTTCGGCTGATACAATGCGTCCAAGAACGAACGGGCGCGCGCGAGCCGCTCGAGTCGCTTGCTAAACAACTCTCGTGTTGCCAAGAACACTGCTACGGGAGCTACCTGCGAGGGCACAAACCTTTCACCTCTTGCTTTTTTTCCTCCGCTATTCTACCTTTTCCGCTGTACTGGTACTGACACGTTGACGCGTCGTATAGCCCGAAGACGGATGGCATCGAACACGGTGCATCTGTGGTGCCATCATAGGGCGCTGTCAAGAACGGCCTTCTTTGCCGGGCGTCGAACCGTCGATGGTCTATCGCTTTGCCAAGTACGCTGTGCGGCCAATGAGCGCAAACTCGGAGTACGTTTGCTGTTTATCATTGCCCGCGAAGAAGAAGCTCATCGTCTCTCAGGCCATCGCGACTCCCTATCTCGGCGTTCATCGCGGAGGATATGAACGAGTTCGTTCACGCGCATGCGACTTACCGGTTCGTCATCTTCGATGAGGAAGAGGAGCGTCCTCGTATCCTTGTAAGTCTTGCCGTATGGTCACATATGTACTCCGTTGACTTTGCGTGTAGGTCTGGTTGTTCAAGCCGAGCATGCGGTTATCGTACACCGTCCCGACACAGTATGTCCTGCCCAAGACTGGATCTATCCGCGCTGCGAAGGTGCTCTACAAGATTCTCGACACAGCAGCGGCATATTCAGATCTCCCAACGTGAGTCATCCTCGTACCGTAATACGTCGCAGTCTGATTGACCCTCCTATAGTCTGTTGCAGCGATACCCCGGCTTCCCGCAGGCCGAACACCTATATTACCCGCGTGGGATCTGTCGTCGCATCGGCGCGTCGCTGAAGGAGAGCAACACAGCGTACCCCGAGAACATGCGCACGATGACTGGCCTTGACGTTGGATGGCTCCAGCGTGCTTGAGACAACCTCATCCGTCCCCTTTTCCTCATCATCATCATGCCGGCCTTCCCCGCACCCAACATCCACTCACTCGGCCGCGCATCTATCCACACATCTTACCCATCTCTCGCCGCATCTCTGTCATTCTAGACCAGCCGGTCGCCGACCGCCGCACGCCTTCGCTGTTGTATTGTCTCACGTCCCATGGACTGCACACACATCTTTGTCCTAGTTCTGCACCCTGTCGCAAGCCGGCTACGTACTTCTTGTAGAAACCCAGTCCAGTCCAGTCCAGTCCCGAGGTCCGTCGTCGCACTCCCCATATGATAGAGCGCGGTGCTGGCGCCCATAAGCTGACAGTCGTTGTCGTATATCATCATCATGTTTGCATAGTCCCATTGTCGCAGAGCGCCTGCTTATACAGTTTTTGTCGGGCAGGGCTCGACGTCCATTGCCATATTGCGATATGATGGTCCTTCCCTCGTAGCGCAAGCGTCCACCCAGCCCGACCTCCGGCATTGAGTCGTCTTAGCTGCACTCAAGCCTGTCATCAATGAACACGCCGCGTGAATCAACAAGGGCCGCACTCACCTGTTCCGTTTGGGTTTTCTCAGCTGCAAATATCGCCGCCGTTGGCCCGCCGGCCGTCTGGTGCCTGGTAAGAGGGCTCATGAGGTGATACACCGACTCAGATGCTCTCGAATCTCAAACAGCTATCTTATGTGAGTCGTGTGCTAAGCTGTGTTGATACTTGTTCTCGTAGCCTGTGCTGAAGGACCTCACAGGTTTTATAGCACGAATACGCCAAGTCTCGCACCAGATCTAGTTCCCCTAAATGGCGAGCTTCGGCTATATAGAAGTTGCAGCGGGTCCTGTATGTGGAAGCCACGCAGTCATTCCTTTACTGTCAGGTGGTGCGCATTGTACGCACACGTTCCCATGCTTCCCCGACGCGAAGGCTTATCTGACGGCTTCGCACATGCCAGTGCGACGCCGTCGGCAGTAGACGAACCATTTATTGACCCCTGAAGTTTACGCTCAAAGGCCGATGTTATCGTTCGCCCGAAATCATCCCCCAATCACTTCAACCCACGATGACTAGGCTCCTGGTCCAAGCATTCGTGCTGGGTGGGGTGGGGTGGTTGCTCTGGAAGCTGTTGCGACCCTACGTCGTGCGGAGCACCTTGGATAACTTACCTGGGCCATCGAGCCAGTCTTTCTTTTACGGTGAGCGGACCGCGTCTCGTAGAATTCTGCGACGCGAGGCTGAAAGATCAACCTTGTAGGGAACCTTAAGCAGATTTACAACAAGCAGGACTGGGACTTCCACCGCAGCCTGGGAGATCTGTACGGTCCAGTCTCGAAGCTTCATGGAAAACTTGGAGTAAGAAATGCCCTTGCTTTTCGCGTACTTTCCATTTTGCTCATGACCGGACGCGTAGCAAAAGATCCTATATGTGTTCGACTCCGTGGCGATGCATCACATCGCGGTGAAAGAGCAATACATATACGACGAGGCTGACTGGTTCCTCAGGTGAGATGCGGTGTCTGCTTCCCAGCCAGATTCGCATCGTCTGGGCTGACGAGAGTACTAGAATGAACAATTATACACTTGGGCCCGGACTGGTCGCCACGACCGGTGAGTACCAGCGATGTTGAATTCCACGCAGATGTAGCCGAACGTACTCCAGGCGAACAACACCGCCGCCAACGCAAGATGCTCAACCCGGCGTTCAACATCAACCACATGCGCGATATGGCGCCCATCTTCTACGAAGTCGCTCACAGAGTGCGTGCAGATACACTCCTGCGCGCTTCCCTACTGATTTCCCGAGTCTATTGCCAGTTGCGACAGGCTCTGAAGATTCAAATTGGCGAGCGTCCTGGAGAGATCGATCTTTCCCAGTGGATGGGCCGAACAGCCATTGAGCTCATCGGGCAGGCAGGCCTTGGACACTCATTCGATCCTCTTGTCGAGGAACGGTCGGACACCCTCGGAGAGGCACTAAAATCCTTCGTGTACGGTCCGCTGTACTCAACGTGCTCGCGGGCGGGGTAGACTAACAGTCAACTTGAACTTCCGCAGGCCGTCTCTCTACGCCTTCTCGGACTACTTGCAGTTCTTATCCATCATCGACGCTGTCGTGCCCCGGCTGGTGCGGAATGTTGGCGCCGCATGGCTCCCGCACAAACCTTTTCAGACGCTTCGCGGCCTAGTAATGACGATGCACAAGGAGGCGATCGCGATCTATAACGACAAGAAGGCTGTTTTGCAGTCCGGGGACGAGGCGTTCAAGAGCCAAGTCGCGCAAGGAAAGGATCTGATGAGCCTCATGCGTACGCCATTTCACCCCACTGGCATCACGAGTGCTGCCGCTCAATACAGAAGCAGTCAAAGCGAATATGTCAGCAAACGAACACGATCGTCTGTCCGAGGAAGAACTCATCGCCCAAATTGCGTAAGTATCAATTATCTCACAGTGGTAGCTTGTATGGCGGTTTGACGATACTGGTTTTTGTAGCACCTTCACGATTGCAGCGGTCGATACGACGTCGAGCGCGCTGTCTTTGATCCTCCACCTCCTTTCACAGCATCCGGATGTCCAAGATAAAGTACGCGAGGAGATCGTTTCAGCCAGCGACGGCAAGGACATCGGCTATGACGACCTCGTCTCCCTTCCCTACCTCGACGCGGTTTGCCGGGAGACCCTCCGGGTGTAAGCATTATGACCGTAATTCTGAGAATACGGCGCGCTTACATGAGTTACCACAGTTACCCTATGGCACCGTTCCGCTTCCGAGAGTGAGCCCCATTACCGGTGCAATTGAACACCTTTTAACCGCATATCAATAGGACTCGCGAGGACATCGTGCTGCCACTCTCCGAGCCAGTCCGTGGGCGGGATGGATCCATGATCTCCCAGATCCCTCTCCCGAAGAACACGACTGTTTTCGTTGGCGTGATATCTGCGAATACGAACAAGGCGATCTGGGGGCCCGACGGACACGAGTGGAAGCCGGAACGTTGGCTGTCGCGCCTTCCGGAGACCGTAACGGAGTCAAAGATTCCTGGGGTATATTCGAACTTGTGCGTTCAGAGACGTTTCCTCTTCAATCAGGTCGACGTTCGCTGACTCGCTCACACGGGCAGAATGACGTTTTGGGGCGGTGGTCGTGCGTGCATGTGCGTATACTCATATCGCTGACGTCTATGGCGTACGGTGCGATGGCTGACTGACGTGCTCCGGAACAACAGCGGCTTCAAGTTCTCCCAGCTCGAAATGAGTGCGTGATACACCTTTCGTATGATTCTAAGGAGTCGACGGTGCTGACGTGTATCTTGTAGAGGTCGTCCTCGCTACTCTGCTTTCTACATTCAAGTTCGAGTTGTCAGACAAACCCATCCACTGGAATCTTGCCGGAATTATCTACCCGACCGCGGAGTTGGGGGGAAAGACGTCGATGCCTTTGCGAGTAACTCTCCTCAAGCCAGAGTCCGAGTAATTCCACTGTATCACCATATCGCTCAGAACGAGTTTCGCGACGCCGATGGGCTCGCATGTCGCATGATGGATCTCTCGCCGAAAAAGCGTAGCCGCGAGCCCACGCTGGGCCACCCGTCGAGTTGATACACTGTGCCTTCTGCACTCGATCGTTATGCAAACATATGTCGGATCGGATGCAATACACCACTAGATTTCGGCATGGTGTAGCTCTGCTCTGTCAGCTGAGTCGCTAGGGAGGAAGCCACGAAAAGTACGCAAAGTATTGTACATACAGATCACCCATTGACTCGTAAGAAAGCGTAGCATCACGCGACCCGCATAAGCAACCAGGCAATACCTATGATAAAGTAAGCTCATCTACAAGTAAGTGCAACTCCCGGATGATCTGGGGGCCATTGAGGCTATGTGTAAGGAAACCCCTCAGTGACAAAACGGACATCCGGCACGCTACTCCTAAGCGTGCCCGGAGGAACGCCAGTAGGTGCTCTCCCCAAGCGTCCCTGTAGCCATGCAAGTCAATGGATAGCGTGCCCAGGACCGGACACGGGATGAGCGTCGCAGCCGGAGTCGGAGTGAGGGCGAGGAACAGGGGTATAGGAGGGTGCACCGCGACGTCGAGCGTCCGCAGGTTCGGGCACGCCGAAAAAAGTGTCTTCCATGAGCTCGCTTCCGATACGGGACGTCCGGTCAAAAATACGGACAACGTGGTGAGGTGGAGGAAGGCGGCGATATGGACGATGTCGTCCACCTGGGCTTCCAGCACGGTTAGGCCTGAGACAGATATGTACACGCGATGTAGGTGTGCGTCTCCAAGGTCCACCGCATGTTGACCGTGCACGCTGGGGTCCCTAACTGTGTACGTGTTGGCAGTCATCGATATGACAAGCTCGACAGAGGTACTGAGGAGAGGCCTGATGTTCTGCGGAATGAGTCTGAGCAGGTGTGATCGGAAGGACCCCGGGTTGATCATAGAGTTGGCGTAGACGCGAAGGTGGAAATAGGTGCAGACGGGTAAATCCAGCATTTCGAGTATCCGAGATGCAGCGAGGTAGTCGAGGTTTTCCATGTAGAAGCTGCTTAGCTCGGGGAAGTGAATCAGAGAGTCTTGGAGATGGTCGAGTTCGTCAGGCCCGCCGACCTGGGGAAGCGGGATGTCTACGTGAGAGAGGTCGATTTCCCGTAGCTGAGACGAGGCCTTGCGGAGGATACGCATCAGATGCTGGAAGGAAAGGCCTTCTCGCGGGATACTCCTTTCGTGTAGAGCGAGGGATTGTAACCGGGAGTACACGGATAGCTCGATAGGGAGGGGCGTGCCGGCGAGTGCCAAAGATCGTAGCCTCGGATGCCTTTCGGAAGACAGCCTGAGGTTGACCTTCGGCTGATCGTCGTCTCGCCAATTAAGGGAGACGGACAGGTTCTCTAGCGCATGCATGGGTGGGCTGAAAAGCTGCTGAAGGAATACGCTGGATATTGTCTCCGAGTAGCTCTGGAATGTGAGACTTCGAATTCGAACGCTCGCGGCCACGAGGAGTGGAAGTGCCGCCTTGAGTAACTCGGGAGGAAGTCCGACGAGGCGTACGTCGATGGAACTCCGCCCTGAGCGTTCTAGACAAAGCTCTACCCAATTCCAGTTGTCCACGAAGTCGACGGCGGTCCAGAACTGAGATGCGTTGACGATGATGGCCCGCCAACGCTGACATACGAGCATGAGTCGCGTCCACTGATAATACCTGGCAGCGGCGCCGAATGGAAGGCAGTGAAGGGCGAGATGGGCGATGTATGTGAACACCTCGAGGAGTAGTTCCACCGGGAGATTATTGACAGTGGTCGAATTTCGCATGGTGAGCTGCATCATCGTCGAAGGCTGTCGAAGGGGCGCTGCGGCGGTGCTGGTAGTGCCGTCCCTAATATATTGTACTCCGTGGGGTCCGCTAGCAGTTCGATTCTGATCAGACCTGTCTCTCTTTCTCGACGGAAAGCTAGTCACCTGCTGACGGGCCCAGACCAGTTTTCAAATGGTGTCGATGTGAGTGAGACCGGCAAGAGGAGAGAAAAGGTAGGATGGCCGATTCACCTTGATACGTATGGAGGCTGTGCAGTCGTGCGTCTACTTATAAGGCAAGCGCGGCTGCTGTCCAATATGGAGTCCAGCCCGTACTACGTCTCGGATATGAAGACTAATGCGCTCATGAATTCGAGTCGCGAGCGATAGAAAGTTAGACGTTTTGGACTCGCATGCTAACATCCAAATTGCAACTGAGGGATCACCACCTCAAGTTCGAGTCCTTTGATATACGTACAGTTTTCTCCAACATCCTCTTTACTACCGAAAGCACGTCCCACAGCCAGGGCTCAACCCAAATTTACAGGCAGCAAGACCACTCATAACACTCCTGATTTGCGCGAGCCTCAACGAGCGATGCGCCGCGCACAGTGGCTATCGCTCCCAATCGTGATGCCAGAAGTGCAAATCCAGCTCATTTATGTGCAGACCGGCGCTCGCGCAATTCCAAACTTGACTTCCAAAGAATCCAACGATTCGTCTCCATCGTTGCCGAACTTGCCGTGAATATTCAGCCAGGTGAGGAGCGGACACCGTGGAAGCTCGAGATGGTCCTTCGCAACGCCAGCTGCTCTCTCCTCAACTCCGTGCGATGATGACTGGAGGGCGCGGAACAGCGTCACAAGGTCGATGCGAAAAAATTCGGTCTGTATGACCTGAATACACAGGCGCTCGATTGACGGGAATCCATCGAACACGCCCGCCCAAAAGGAGAATGAGCTATTAGTGGGACGCGAAATGGCGACCCTGACCTTCAGGCTACGCACGGATATGGTCGATAGCGTCCGCGCGAATCCGCGCAAGCACGTTTCCCGCTCGTTCGTTCCTAGCACCCCGCAGGAAAATCACATCCGGCCGACGAGCGCGGCGCTGAACTGCGGCAACGAGTTGGGTGGCCGCGGAGGGGGAACAGATCGGAGTTGGCCACTGCCAGCTCCCGTTGAGCATCACGTCCGACATGCGTTCCAGCACCGGGCGGAAACGAGGGATGAGGAAAGCCGAGACAGCCTCTTCCGTGAGTTCTTCCCGAGGAATATAGAAACGCACATCAAGGTTTGCGATATCTTCTGGGAAGCTTCTCGAGCTCCCCCACTCGCCAAATGATCCATTCTCAGAGCGCATGTAGGCGCGCGACGTAATGAACAGCACGCACAGGGCCGGACATGGGATGAGTGTTGTGGCCGCAGTCGGAGTGAGGACGAGGAATAGTGGTAGAGGAGAGCTCTGAGACGGCCAGCGTCCGAAGGTTCGGGCACGCTGACAAAAGTGCCCTCCATGCGCTCTCCGGGTGCGGGGCGATGATTCCCTCCGAGAAGATAGTAGTCAACATGGTCAGGTGGAGGAGGTTGGAGAGATCGATGTCTGGCAGCGGAGGAGCCTGAGCAGCCTCACGGAGGATATGGACGAGATGCGGGTAGAATATGTGCTATGGCGCCGAGCTGCTGCTTCACTGCCAGTGTATGGATAGGGATTTCATGGGGAAGCATACTGAGGGTTCGATAGGAAGCACTGCGCCCCTGACTGACAAAGATCGCAGCCTCGGATGATTTTCCGCAGAAAGCCTGAGGTCGACCTTCGACGAACCGTGCTCCGAGTCCTGCCAGTCGAGAGATACCGACAGGTTCTCCAGAGCGGGCATCGGTGCGCTGAAGAGCTGCTGAAGCATTGCACCGGATATAGTCTTCAAGTTGCTCTGGAATGTGAGGCTGCGAATCCGCGCCCGTGCGGCCAGGATGAGGGGAGTCGCCGTTCTGAGAGATGCGCAGGATAGGCCGACGAGGCGTACGTCGATGGAGCTCTTCTTCGAACGATGCAGGCATAGTTCTACCCACTTCAAGTCATGACTGAAGTCGATGGAGGTCCAGAATCGTGATGCCCCTGTGATGATGGTTCGCCAGTGCTGACATACGAGCATGAGCTGCGTCCGCTGACGGGCCCTGGCTTCGGCGCCTGATGGGAGCGATGGGCAATTCGAGGCGGGCTCGGCAACATATGCAAAGGCTTCGAGGAGGATTTCCACCGGGAGAGAGTGCACAGGTGCTGTCCGTCCGAGCATGCTGGTCTGTGCCATAGTCAAAGTCTTGTGGTAGATCCTACTACGGAAGTTTTTGGACGAGTGGTTGACCGGTGATTTCTAGCGGTACGATGATCAGATGAATTTCTCTTCGTCACTCAACCAAAAAGGGCCGAGTACCTGACAATACGATCCAGAAGTGTTCGACGTGATTATGATTGACGGGATGAGAGCAAGTACTTGGCCAGCCAGCAGGAAGAGGAGCTGGCTCAGCAGGAAGAGGAGCTGGGCTGGCTGAGGTCGCAGTTCTGGTGTAAGGTTCGGTAGGCTGTGCAGCGCGTGTGTCCAGCAAGGCAGGTGCTGCCTTGTATTTTTGGACGTTCAGCGTTCAGCAGCTTACACGGGAGTCTCGCGAATATGTATCCATGATAAAATTCTGCCCGAATAGAGCTATTTCGCAACGGGCGATTTTGCGTGGGGTAGTACCAATCAGGAGTGGAGCAAGGCCAAAGTCCATGCGAGAGACGTCTGGAGCAAGGCCAAACGAGCTCCACCCGAGGCAGGGCAAACGCGTTGCGAAACAGCTCTAATGCGAATTTCGATGCGGCATTTGCATGCGGCCAAGTCGACCGGCGCGCGCTGAACTGCAAGAAACAACAGACATTGTATACTTCGACGGTGGTATATACGACACCTAGTGGGGAATGAATAAGATACTTGTTACCTGACCATGCATGCCTCTACATCCCGATTCAACAACAACGCAATGCGACCAACAAATACTGAGTAGACTGTGCAAGTGTGCGAGGGCGGAGAGCGCCCGTCCTTCTCGAGCTCCCCGCCCGCCAAATGATCCATTCACCATCGACCGTCCATCCCCCCATCGCCATCTCACCCGGTCCAGACAGACTTACTCAGTCTGCTCCAAGTTCACAACGCGCCCTGCTCCGCCAACGCCTTCCTTACGGGATCCGAGTCCGCGCGCTGCAAGCCGCGCTCCGACCCCGCGCCCGCACCCGTCTCCGCCGAGTACGCGCGCGGCTTCCCGTTCCCGTGGTGCCCATCGTGCCCGTTCGCAAGCGGCGACTCGGCGTCGTCCACCGCGCCCTCCGAGTCCGTGTGCCACGACGTCCCGCGCGAGCTCTCCGCGCCCGCCGTCGTCCCCGTCCCCGCCGTCGTGTCGCTCGCGCTCGGGCTGTCCTTCGTCTCCCGGTGCGCCGCGGCCGCCGCGTTCGCGCTCGCGCTGTCGTCCCGCAGGATCTCGTACGCGAGCCCGCTCGTGCGCAGCTCACGCTGCTGCTGCTGTTGCTGCTGGTGCGCCTCTGCGGCATTGGATGGCGGCACCCACGGGAAGTACCCCGCGGGCTCCTCGCGCGCGACGGCGCTGCCCTGCGCCATCGCGACCGACACTGCGACGGGCGGGAAGTACCCATCCGGCGGGCGGCCCTCCTGCTCGCCCGCTTGTGACTGGCTCTGCTGGTCCGGCTCCTGCTGCTGCTGCTGTTGCGGCTGCTGCTGCATCTGCTGCGGGTACGCGGTGTAGTACGTCTGTCCAGGCCGCACAGGCGCCCCAACCGCGGCGTTGATGAACGGGTTCGCGCCCGAGCCCGGACGGCCCCAGAATGCCCCAGGGGACATCGTGACCCCGGGGGAGAAGGGGGAGAACGGCGTCATGACGTGCTGCATGTGCATCATCGCCTGCGCCTGTGCGTGTGCGTGCTGTGCCTGGCGCTGTTCGTTCGACTCGACCGCCGCGGGCGACGGCAGCCCTGGGGAGGGTTGCGGGAGGAACGTGAAGGAGGGCATGCTGGGGGTGATGGGCGGGAGCCCGTGCGGCGTCATCATCGGCATCGACATGCCCATGAGCGGATGGTGCATCGGGCTCATCGGGTGCCCCTGCATGTGCGGCGACGCGTACTGCGGCGAGAGCGTGTGCGGGGGCGGGACGGGGAAAGCCGTCACTGGCGGTGGCGGCGGGAGCGCGATGGGACCGGGGTGCGCAGGATGTTGCTGTGGGGTCGCGTGCGATCTCGACGATGTCGGTGAGGTCGACTGTCCCGGCTGCGTAGGCGTGCCCGAAGCTGCCAACGACGGAGGTGATGTCGACGATGAAGCAGACTCGGAGGCCATCGCGCTCTGCGACTGCGCGCTGTCCCTTTTCTGCTGTGACGACGCCGCCTCCATACTTGCGGCGAAGGCGGCGTTGTACTGGTCCTGCTGCTGCTGTTGCTGCTGCTGCGCCTGCTGGTACTGCTGCTGGTAGTACGCCTGGTCGCCCATGCTCATGCTCATCCGCTGGTACGTCCCGAGGTCGTACACGTCGTACGGCGTCGTCGGCCCCGAATGCAAGAAGTCGAATGTATACGGCGACTGGAGCGCAGAGGGAATCGGGATGTGCGTAGGTGCCTGCGACTGCTGTCGTGCGTACTGCTGCTGCTGCTGCTGTTGTTGCTGTTGCTGCGCGAGAGCAGACGTAGGTGATTGAGGCACCGTAGACGACGACGCAAGCGCGAGCTTTTGCGCAAGCTGCTGCGACAGGCTCTCCATATCCGCGCTATCGTCGTACCCGCCACTTGGATACCCATACGGCCCGCTCGGCCGCCTCGCTGCGAGTGGGGATGCCGGGCTGCCGCCCCGCCCGTGCTCGAGCTGCTGCTGCAGGAGCTGCTGCGCGAGCGACGACGTGCGCGCGAGCGACGGCTGCTGCTGCTGCTGCTGGCCGTACGGCGAGCCGAAGGGCGACGGGGAGAACGCGAACGTCGCTGGGGAATGCGGCGTCGACGACGCCCCTGGCCCGACGAGCGGCGCCGAGGAGCTCGACGGCGCTGCGAACTTGTCGAAGTGTACCTTGAGCGGCCGGCCGTTGTACTCGTACCTGTTCGAAAGGAAACGTCAGCGTCGGGCATTCGCGCTGCGTATCGCCGGGACGCATGCACAGGTTCGCGGGGGATCTGTGATTCTCTGAATGAGGTACCGGGGTGCCCTGATTAGATCGACGCCCTCGAAAGGTGGCAGTGCCCCTGCTTAAGGAACCAGGACCACCTTCGCTGAGTCGACATGCCCCGGAAAACACGGACGTTGTTGTCCCGAGTCCGAATCGAAACACATTACACACGACACTGTACGCAGCGTAGGCCCCAACCTACCGAGCGGTCCAGACCGGTGACGTCGTTGGCCGGGGATCCACAATATTCCGCGCGCCCATGCGCCCTCCCTCAAATACCAAGAGCAGTCCCCCAGAGCAGATTCGTTATGCACACAGTTCGATATCCCCGCAAGACAGGCTCAAAGATGGCGCACTCACCCGTTGAACATCCGCACCGCGCGCTCGGCGTCCGTCTCATTCGAGAAGCTCACGGTCCCGAAGCCTCTTGATCGACCGTCAGCACCGAGCGCAACGTCGGCACGCTGTACTGCGCCCGCCTGGCGGAACAGGTCTTTCAAGTCCTGCCACTGGATGTGGAACGGCAGCTGTTATACGCGCTATCCATGAGTACATTTCTTGTATCGCTGTACGTGCAAGCACTCACGTTCCCGACGAACAGATTCCTACTCGACTGTCCACCATTGGTACCAGGTCTTGATCCAGGGCCATCGTCGTCGCCGAGCGTAGACCCCGCACCAAACGGCGAAAGGCCTGCAAACCGCGCTAACGAGGGCGCAGGACTCGCAAGCCCCGATCCGCCCGCAACCGCGGCGGCAGGCGTGCCCGCCCCGCTCAGCGACGCCGCGGCTGGTGACAAACTGCCTAGCAGCGGCGTTCCAAACACACCTACGCCCAGGTTCGCGCCCAGGCCGCCAACGCCGATACCGACGCCGACACCAGCGAACGGCACGGCTGCGGCCGCGGCGGCCATCCCGAGCTCCTCGCCCATGCGATCTGGGCGAACCTCGAGCGTGCGCGTCTGCCAGGTGTAGCCGTTGAACATGTCGACAGCACGCCCCGCGTCCTCTGCGGTAGCAAGAAGCACGGTACCGTACCCGCGCGAACGGTTGTCGGGCCCAAGGGAGACATCCGCGCGCAGAACTGTGCCTGCGCGGCGGAAAAGGTCTTTGAGGTCTTGCCAGCGTACGCGGTATGGTAACTGGGAGCCATGGCGTCAGTGTTCTGATTCACGGACATTTTTGACGGTAGATTCGACGAGGACGAGACACCGCCACCGCGCTGCAACTTCGAAGAGATGCCAATATCGGGTCGCGGCACAGCTCGTACAGGCCCGAAGTACAAAGAAGTACGCGAACCAGTGAAGCGCTGTACGATCGGCTCAAGACGCAGATGTTCGCGCGCCGGGTCCAAAACAACCCGCGCCTCGTACAAAGGTTGGCCACCACTTTTTACACACTGCGCATTTGGACGCGTCAAGCCCGGCTTTACGCGCTATGCAAACGCGACCAACCGCCGTAGAGACGTGCGCAGCAACAGAGCCGACGCCGGCGAGGCGATCGCCACCCCACACCGGCTCCCACTCGCGTCCGTGCGCTCCACTCGGGCGTTGCTACCCTCCTTCTCGCGCGAGACAAAGGCATTGCGTAGACGGATTGCCGCCGGACTGTCCGACGTATCGCGGAGACGAACTACTTCGGGAGGTATTCGGAACGGCGTTCGTAACGCATGCATCCCGAGCGGTGGATCGTGCGCAGGACGGAGAAAGAGAGAGCAAGACGCAAACGCACAACGTAACTGGAGATGGACGTACATTGCCTACGAAGAGCTGTGTCCGTGTGTCCCTGGGTGGGTTGGTCGTGCGCGGTGAATTTGACGAGGCCATCGCCATTTGAATGACAGCTTCGATGTCGTCGTTTGTAGGGCCGGAACCCGCTGCGGACGGGCGGGCGGCAGATGGCGAAGGGTCTCCGCTTAGCGCGGAAGGAAGGTTGCTCGTCCCAGCGTTGCTGTCACCGGGCGAAGTGGAGTGAGGGGAGGAGCGCGGATGTGTCGCAGCGTGCGCAGGTGACGGTGTATTGTGTAAACTGGAAGAGTGGGAATGCGACTGCGAGTGCGGGTGTGGAGGGAGGGAAATGGCGGAGGGCTGCGCGGATGGAGGAAGGGGTTGTGTCGGTGGTGGTTGGTGGGAGGAGGGATGTGGAGGGAGGGTGAAGGCGGGCGGGTCTGGCAGCTGGCGAGGGCAACGGTGGCGGCGGTTCGGAGGAATGATTGGGTGCGACACACACGGCGGCACGCGCGGGGATCGAAGAACGACGTCAGCTCGTCGCGAGGAGGGAGGGCCTGGACGCGCAGGCGGGGGCGGGGGACGCACCGGGTGGGCCATCGTCGGGCCTGCCATGTCGAAAACAGGACTACGCACTCAGGGCGGGTCCTGCAGTGTATGTTCTCGTGCTAGTCTGACTGGGGACACTCAACTGAGTCCGCCAGGGCTGCTCGCGCGATCGTCCGCGTCGCGCGTCGGGGGGAGATCGTCGTCGTGTTCGTGGTGGTGTTCGTGGTGGTGGTGTGGGTGTGGGCCGTGCTGGCAGCGTCTGGCGTGGTGGCGACGGCGGGTCGGGTGCGGGGTGGGTGGGTGAGGAGACAGTGGCAGAGATCAGGACGAAAAGCGGCGAAAGAGAGAGTCCGGATATGGAGCGAGGCCAGTGTCGCGCTCCACCGACCCCGCCGCTGCATCTTTTACCCCCACGTGGCATGACGTCACTCACTCTCCCCCTCACAACCCTGAACATTCCCCGCCCGCCGTTGCGCTCTTTCCCCGCCCCCCGACGTCGGCCACTCGCAGATCACCGCCGCACCCTCGCACCGCCGGCGCCCCTGTATGCACGCTGCCACGGACCGAGCTCATGCTGAAACGCGCCTCCGTTGCGCTGCGCAGCCGCGGGACCCTCTTTCACGCATCAGCACCCTCTAAACTCGCTTGACGTCATATCGCTCTCATCGTGCTCTTCTCCGAACGCGTCTGCGCTAGCATTCGTCGAACTTCACGTTATAGCGATTCGCCCCAGAACTACGAATTCTCGGGTGCTCCTCCCACACCGGCAACCTGTGATTCTTGGTCTTCCATCATGCGAGATGCAAACACTTCGAAGAGATTCGCAACAACGCATCAATAAACATACACTAGCATACCCATACACGCTGTTCATACACGAAGAGACCAGAGAAACGTCCACAGAGCCGAGACGAGCGCGCTCAGACCTCCTGCGACGCGTCGCTCTTCCGCCCCTTCTGCGACGTCTTGCTCGGCAAGAGCTGCAACACAACGGCATACGTCAGTGCGAGAAGACGGACAATTGAACGGCTGCGCTCTCACCTCGGGGTTAATGAACGGCACCACACCACCCTGCGAGATCACGACGTCGCCCAAGAGCTTGTTCAGCCTGTGAAGAAGCCACGGTTAGCGCACGCCTGGTGGGAATGCAATAGAAGAGACTCACTCCTCGTCGTTCCGGATGGCGAGCTGCAGATGCCGGGGCACGATACGCTGCTTCTTGTTATCCCGCGCGGCATTGCCCGCCAGCTCCAGAATCTCGGCAGCGAGGTATTCGAGTACCGCCGCGAGGTAGACTGCGCATGCCGTGTGAGCCCGTGCCGTACATAGAAGAGGGAAAAGAACGGGAAGGGAATATGTTCAATGCAATGTGTAGAGGGCTTTGTAGCATTGACGCGCTTTGGAAAAGCCACGCCATGCCTTGCTTTGCAAGTCACACTTGCTTTGCGTTAAACTATTGCTTGCATAGTCTACGCCCGCTATATGCGCACGTCATGGACTAGAAACCAACTCCGACTAGCCCCCATCGTTCCTCAATTGACACATCGAGCTCCTTGCTGAGAGCCTCGACGTACCAACTGAGCAACGAGTGAATGCGGTGGTTGTGGCTGTGAACACCTAGGTCCACAGCGCACAATGCAATATATCGCACATGCTAACCCAACCCAAGTTCCACATAACGGCTTGTGCAGAGGGGACGGTGCTTACCTGGTGCGCCAGCACCGACGCGCTGAGCGTAGTTGCCCTTCTTCAAGAGACGGTGGACACGACCGACGGGGAACTGGAGACCCGCCTTCGCCGAGCGAGACTGTGACTTGCTTGCGTCCGCAGACGCCTTTCCTCCAGACTTGGACTTGCCGCTACCCTTGCCAGACATTGTTGGTTAATTGAAGTGTTGGGGTGGTTGAGGGTGAAGAGTGTGGGTGGTGAGTGTGAGGAGGTCTGAGACAGAGCCCGGTATAAGTACTCCCGCACGTAAAAGGCGACGAGGCTTCAAAGACAACAAAACTCACGAAGTCAAACAGCTGACAGAGAGGCAAAGCGGGGGGGTATTGAGGAGGAAGGTGGAGGGCGCAAAGAAAGCCACGCCTTGGCCTTTATAGCGCGCCGACGCGCGCGTTGTTCGGCTCACGTTACCGCGCCTGCCTGTTGATCGCCGTTCAACAACGCGCCCGCACGTGACACGCGTCGCGCGCGCGCGCAAACACGGCCACACACGCGTGGCGCCAGTTTATAAGCGACACGCCCCCGAGCGCGAGCAGCCTCTCGAACTTCAGCCGCAACCACCACCCCGCCCGCCCCCAGCCCTCGCGCACTACCACCTTGACCACCCTCACCCACCTCTTGTACGCGTAGCGCATCCGTTGCTCGCGACTTTCACACCGAACCAACTCCAACTACCCGAGATACTCTGAGATAGCAATGGCCCCCAAGCCCGCATCCACCGCCGGAAAGGCCCCCGCGTCCACTGCCTCCAAGGCCCCCGCGAAGACCACCAGCGAGGGTGGCGCGAAGGCCGCGAAGAAGACCGCGAAGGCGTCGGGCGGCGCCGCTGACGGCGAGAAGAAGAAGCGCAGGAAGGGCCGCAAGGAGACCTACTCCTCTTACATCTACAAGGGTGAGTGGTCCGTGCGCGACCTAGGCTGGGGCGCGCCCAGTGTAAATGTGATACGGTTGGACTGACTTCGACGCGTCACTAGTCCTCAAGCAGGTACACCCTGACACTGGTATCTCCAACAAGGCGATGGCCATCCTCAACTCGTTCGTCAACGACATCTTCGAGCGCATTGCGACTGAGGCGTCGAGTATGTGCTATCTTCTATGATTCATATGTGTTCGATATTGACAACATCTTGCAGAGCTTGCGTCGTACTCAAAGAAGTCGACGATCTCGTCGCGTGAGATCCAGACCTCCGTACGGTTGATCCTGCCCGGTGAGCTCGCGAAGCACGCCATCTCCGAGGGCACGAAGTCGGTCACCAAGGTACGCTTTACAGACCATCTAGTTCGTTACCTTTTTGCTCACAATGCCCTTTACCGCAGTTCTCGAGCGCGGGAGCGAAGTAGGCGCCTCCATATACCAGCTGGCGTAGCCGCGCGCTGTCCATCGACGGCCGTGGTTGTACACCATCCACTCTGCGTGGTTGGTTGTGGGAGGGGCGGACATTGTTGTATCTCTGTCTGTGTGCGTGCGGCGGTACGCGTATCCGGTCTGCACTTGTATTGTACGATTCCTAGTCTTATCTTTCCTCTTCTCTCATGTCTTTGTCCGCGGTATCAATCGAATGGATTTACCCTGTCTTGTCGAGTCTGATAGGAGCGCACATGCTTAAGTCTATCGAACGTTCACTCTGGGTCACCCTTCAACATGCATACATGCACATCACACAGACCCGTAAATTATATATGTGCGTTCTACTTCCTTACGCAGTTGTGATGGGCCCTGTGGTTAACATAGTTTGACAGCCCACGTAGCAGAGGCATCGTTGCTTAATCCATCTCAATGCTCGCGAAGATTTCTCTATTCTCTTGGTCCAGGCCCACCCCTTAGTCCCGTTCTGCTGCACGGCGCAATGAGCCCCACATGTGTTTAACGAACCCGTTTAGGACTGCAAGGGGGTAACCCCGAACTTCAACGCCCCATATCCTGCTTTACTCAGCATACACACGACGCGACTTCCGCCCAATATCCGTGCCGTGACGCCTGCTGTAAGGAAGACTGCGTTGTATATCTGACCCTCAGGGACCCACACCGTTCTGTTTGGAGTTCAACAGATCATCCAACTGCTTCGCGGTGTGTGCGTGCGACGAGCTACTACGATGCATCTTACGGTGTCTTACGAATCCTCTAGCGGCGGACCTAGACGAGGGACGACAGACGCTTGCATCCCTGGCAGTAGTCTGCAAAACCACATCTCCTATGGCTGTGGCCATGCTGTGAAAGTGTCTGGACAACATCAATCCAGTTCTTTCGCTATGGGACAGTTTTGGACACCGAGTCCGGCAGCGCCATTGTACGTTGGCCTTGCATGCCATCCGAGCTCTGCTTACACCCTTCCGTTAGATAACCCCAACGGTCCCTAGGTGTGTAGCCAGATACACACGCCACGTCCATGACATCGAATTGGAGTCGGACACAAGTTTCCGAATCTCGAGCGTCTCCGCTAGGACATCCCTCACGAGGGGTTCGTTCAGCCATTCTCGTCCTTCGTCGTCCTATCCCTCGCCGTGGTGTCTATCAATGCCGCATTCATCGCTACCGACTTTGGCGGCACACGCTGGGATGTCCTGACCACGCTATCGGAGGGGACCCGCGGCATTACTCGCCACTGTTGTGCGTCGCTGGCCTATCTGGAGATCATATGGAACGGCGGGCCTTCTTGCGCACTTCGTTCTCTATCGTTGACATGCTATGCCCCCTGGTGAGCCTCCGGACATCAGGATCAGCCCCAACGTCCTCGCGTTTCGCCAGGCGCTCTTCAACCTCTCGCTGTCTCCCACTTCGACGCCCTCCTTGCATTCTCGATGGACGCGCCGTTTCAAGTGGTGCATGATCTGCTCAAAAGCCTGCCCTGCTGCCGCGGCCGACAGTACACCCTCTATCACCGGCGGCACCTCAGAGCGCCACCAGCACACCGTCGTCGACCTCTTCGTGCGCAGGTTCGGGCCGCCGCTCGACACGCTCGAGCTGTCATTCCTCGCGAGCGCGTATCACCTGTGCAACGCTCCAATGACGCTTTCCACGCTTTTCGTGAGTCTCCTGTAGGCAAACGTTCCGAGGTGCCGCTCTATGAGGGGGGGCAAGGACGAGCACCACGGACGCTCTTCATTGGCGACGCTCCGCATGCTGGACCTCGTCGACGTCGCCCTCGCGTGGCTGGAGATTCCGCGCAAGATCTCCGATGCCCTCTGTGGAGACATGATCGTCGTGTGGCCGCGCCTCCGGGCAATGCGCCTCGGGTGTACGGAGCCCGTGCTGGAGCCACCGCCATCCACGGCCACGCTGCGTGGTCTGCGCTACTTCGCGGAACCGCCGATCGCCATGAAACTAGTAATTCAAGTACTATTCTACATTTTCTGACAATGCCAGGCGGAGTTAATCGCAGCTCCAGACTCTCCAGGACCTCAGATTGCATGCTTCAAACGGAGACTGCTATTTTGGCTGCGAGGGTATCGGAGAACGACGATGAGGAGGAAAGAGAAACATTCCGAGCCCGCAGTCGGACTGGGAGACGCGTCGAGCACGGTGGCCGCGTGCCGTCACCTATGATAGACGCGCTTCGGAGTGTTGCCGGGTCCACGAGTCACTGTGATGGCAAGTACTCGCCCTTGCTCGCTCTTGAGTCTGACTACCGTGGTCGCCCCGCCAGCGAAGGAACATATTGCGAATATCACCCGCCTGTCCACCTGCAGACGTAGCCATCTCATCTCGTTGGATGCGATGACCTTGGCTGCCCCAACACTCTCTTCACTCCCTCCAGATATCATATCCTTGATATGCTGGAACACCATCAGCGAGCACTCCTACTGTCACTGCCAGTGGCCGAAAGACTTCAAAGAGCTGCTGTCTCTTGCACGCACCTGCCGCTTTCTCTCTGAACCTGCCCTTGACGCCATCTGGCATACTCTTCCGTCTGTTTGGCCTTTGCTTCTCCTCCTTCCTGAAGATCTACGAGTAATTCGCCCTCAAGCAGAGATGGTAAGTGCTCCGGCGCATTTGATCCTATCGAAAAGCCCTAGTCATGGCTAGGGAAACCAATATCTCCAAGTGTTCGACATATTGCTTCTGAGATATAGTTTGCTGATGCAGTACTTTCTACCTCTAGTCGTTCTGCCGAGAGCCCACTCCGGATGACTTCACACGCTGGCACAAACATTCCCCGCGTGTTCGTTGTATTCACAGCCAAGATCCGCGCAAGGTCGTCGAACGCCTCGCATGCAACGTTTACGATATGCTGCAGGCCCGCTGCCCGAAACCATGCCTCCCGAGCCTCTGCTCGCTCTCCTGCCCCGAGGGGCCGCTTTCCCCTAACAACGGTGTCCTTCTGCCCGTCAGCTTTTACTTCTCGCGGTCTCTGCAAGCGGTGAAACTCGACCTGGTTGACCATCCCGACTTCGACCACCTGCGCGACGTCATCAGGGACTTGGCTATGCTAGCTCCGCACGTAGAGAGCCTCAAGCTCTCTGAACGCTCTACAGATCAGCTGCATAGTCTGCGGGGCATTGAGATTGCACAGCTCTCTCGTCTGACCAGCTTCATCGGGCATGGAGTGTCCATTGCATTCGACGCATTGCTCGCTCTCGGGAGGCTTCCGTATGTCCGGACGGTCTATATCCAACCACGCGCAGAACCCAGCGACTGGAATGAACTCTCCCGCGAACCGCACGGGGGGTTTTTCGCCGCGCTCCAAGAACTCGACCTAGTAGCGATGAGGCCCATGAACGACACCCACGAATATTGTCTCACGCTCCTCAAGACCATCACCCCCACGTCTCTGCACTCCGTCACACTGTATTTGCGCAGGCCAGAGAATAACGAAACTGAGGCGCTCTTCACCAGCTTCTCCGTGGCCCTCGGCGGCCTGACCTGCCCCGGCACTCTCCAGCATATCACGATCTTCCTGGGCAACCAAGACCATGCGGACCACAGCATCATCCTCCACTCCCCGTGTTTCAAGCCGTTGCTCGCCCTGCACGCGCTCCGGTCGCTCCGCGTCCAGCAAGGCGCAAAAGTCGTTGTGGACGACTCCATGCTCGACGCGATGTCACGCGCGTGGCCCGCCCTCCACACGCTCGAGTTCGAGTGGCCGCGTCCCCGCTGGCGCCGCTTCAGGGGAGCCACGCACCAATTGCCCCCCGGCACTGACGCCCCAGATCGCCCCCGGGCGACCCTCGCGGGCCTCGTCCCGCTCGTGCGGCGCTGCGCGGATCTACGGGAGCTTGCAGTCGCGGTCGACATGCGCAGCGCCGTGCCGGACTTCGACGGGCTGGGGCACCCGCCCGTCCCCCTGCAGGGCGGTGCAGGGTGCAAGGTGAGGCGATTGCAGACGTGTGGGTGGTTAGTTGGGGACGACGTGTTCGCGGTCGCGTCTTTTTTGTCACTTGTGTTCCCGGAGCTGTCTCATATCGAGTGGTCCCCGCCAGGGTCGTGGGCTTGGCGGAGGTTTGAAGTAACGTACAGGAGGCTTGTCGTGGTGCGCACGCAAGAGAGAAAGTGGGCGCTGCGTAATGGCAAGGACCACAAGCAGCCGGTGTTGTTGTAGAGCGCTGCTCTGGCAGGACGACTGGCCCGTCTGGCGTATAGCTTTTACGGGGCGCGTCGCTGTCGGGGCCGGCGAGTCGAGTCCATTCGACTAGCTGCTAGCACATCTCTCTGTCAATACAGTTTGCTGATTTCAAGGAGTACAGATGGCATCGTGCCGCAACCGCCCCCAGACCATGTCAGACGCTCTGTGCACACTAGGCTTGTAAACCAGCCTCACGTTCGGGGTAGAGACAATCGTTCCTCCCGATTGTGGGAGCACCTCGTGAGTTGATATCCACATCAATACAGTTACATTCGCGAAGGCAATCCCGATAGAGGACCAAGCATCTGGGACGATATCATCGTTGAACCCTTGTAGCATGAGAGATATGAAAGCAACATACCAGTAAAACGTGCCCTGCCTGACAGGCATCGGATGCCTCTCCGGATGGAGCTTGACCTGCTCGCGATGGAAGGCACGCAGGCGCTCGCTCGCTCCCGGCTCGACAAGACCCGCATCTTCAAGGTGCTGCATCCCGGTCATAAGCCAGTGCAGGCACCCTGAGCCACTGTCGTCGAACTTGTAGCGAGCCATGCCGTTCTCGAAGAATAAATCCACGAGCCGCTGAACAGTGGGAGGTGGCGTCCCAGAGGTGCTGATCGCGAGCTCGATCTTGGGTTGGGCGTCGAGCCCTCGGGTGGAAAGACTACTGAGGTACATCGTGCCAGTAGGAGGATTGGCGGGGATCATGTCGATGAGGACGGATTTTGTGTCTGGTGCAGAGCTATCCGGTGCCTCGTCCAGCGCGAGGTACAACTGCCAATGAAAGACGTTTGGCTCGTTCACTGTTGTGTTGACTGAGCCGGACGCAGTCACTATGATCTCGGAGATGCCACGTTGCCTGTCCTTAGACCGGAGAGGCTTGTCGTAAACACAGTTGCCACTGGACATTCCTAGCGATGTGCAAGGTGATAAGCGGGGTCGCCGCAGCGTGTTTCTGCATTAATTGAGCGTCAGCAGTCGAATGAGTTACAGTTTGGTAGGATGCTTACTATCGTTGTTCTGGTTTAAAATAGGATACAGCACGTATGCGAGAGGAGTTAGGTAGGTTCAAGGCTTGCGCTGTTCAAGATGGTACAGCTGCGAATCCGTCAAGAATCGGTCGAATTCGAACCTAGACACTGCTTCGGCAGATGCCGCGGCACGTTGGTAAGCACATCTCCTGCACAGAGTCAGCACCGCAGCAGGGGCCACTGTGCTGGTGACAATCCAACCACTGCGCCTGCAAGTCGAGTCACTTGACTGAATAGTCGGAACCGGGATAACCTGCCAGTGAGTGCCTTTTCGCAACCTTTCTGTATGGCGTATAGGCGGCCATCACGGGCAGCGTAAGTTCTATCCACTGAGAGACGCCACTATGCCGAACGAATTCGATATACTGCAGGTACAGCTGTAGCGTAGGAGTACTCAGCGACACTGACTGTTCGGTTGGCTGCGAATGGTAGCCATCGCCGCGCACCTCGACCACGGCAGTACGAACATCCTACTAGCTTTCCCAGCGACGTCATGTGCTCCGACCGCCCGCTGACTATAAGAACGATCTGCATCTGAACTCTGTATGTTTATCTTCTTCCGTCTCACCACCACCACAGCGAGAACCACCACCCACGCCAGATCTTTCAACTCCGCAAGACTCTCGCACACCATGAGCGCACCCAAAAAGCAACGCACCGACGAATATGTCCTCTACTACGTGAGTCACCCCTGACAGTCTTTGCAGCCGCCGTCAGAACGATGAGCCCATCGCAATAATTGTCACGAGCAGCTGGTTTGGGCGGCGATGCGGGGAGAGCAAGGGGGCACGCACCTATAGCCAGACCTCTCCAGGCCTGCGTACCTCCGCTACTTGCGAAGAGTCGCCGCCACCTCTGCGCATAAAAGGCTATCTGTGGAGTCTTTGACGGGGGCCTATCGTTTTGATAACGGCTAGGGGGACCTACAAGATGGATGCTGATAGCGTTACTTTCTAGTGGCCTGGAATACCCGGACGGGGCGAATACGTCCGTCTCGCGCTCGAATACGCGGGCATCCCGTACACCGAGCGGTCGTCAGACCTCATGAGCACCCTCGCCTCCCCCGCCAAAGTCGGCACCCCGCCGCACTTTGCCCCACCCGCACTCCAACTGCCCTCCGGCCGCGTGCTGTCGCAGACCGGTAACATCCTAAACCACATCGCCCCCCGATGCGGACTCGCGGGCGTGCACGGCAACGCGCTAGACACCCACGGCGAGGCCGCGCGCGAGGCCTTCCGCGCGTTGGACGCGGACGCGCTCGAGAAGGCGGAGGAGGAGCGCGCGGTCGTGCACCAACTGACGCTGACCGCGCTCGACGTCCAGAACGAGACGCACGACGTGCACCACCCGGTCGCGACGTCGCTGTACTACGAGGACCAGAGGGCGGAGGCGGCGCGCGCGGCGAAGGTGTTCCGCGAGGTACGCATCCCGCGCTTCTTCGAGTACTTCGAGAGCGTGCTCGCGACGAACCCCGCGACTGCGGAGAGTAAGGCCGGGCGCACGTTCCTCGTGGGCGCGCAGACGACGACGGCGGACCTCGTGCTGTTCCATGTCATCGACGGGCTGCTGTTCCAGTTCCCGAAGCGGCTGGCGAAGCTGAAGGAGACGAAGAAGTACGAGAACCTGTTCAAGCTCCACGAGCGCGTCCAGGAAGAGAAGGGGATCAAGGAGTACATTGCGAGCGGGAAGAGGCAGAAGTTCAGCTTGGGTATCTTCCGGCACTATGAGGAGCTTGATGGGGAGGAGTAGAAGTGCACGCGGCGTCAGAAAGGGACATCATGCTTGTACAATGTAATGACTAGCCTGGTCTTCTTTTGCAGCCAGAAAATGTAAACGGCTCGTCAAATCAGCGTGGTACGGGAATGGTGCGAACGTCGAGAATATCTTCCGATAGTTCAACGCGACAAAGGAGCTCCTCCACAAAATCGGAATAAGCATGCAGCGAACAGGTATGTAGAAGAGGAAGATGCACCCGGGCTACAGGCTGTCGCCGCAGCGCGCTACCCTGGTGTGCCACTGTCGGAATCCGTATCGACTTCTCTCCCAGAACGGTGTAGAGGCGAATATGAAGCTCCTCCAACTTCGGGTTTCGAGCGAGGACGTCAACGAGGTCATCTATAGAGCGGGGGATAGAGCCGGTGGACGAGTAGTCGTACAGCTTCAAAACTCGCAGGGCCTGCCAGAAGTCCCGGGGAGACGGGAGCACAACCTGCTCGACGGACAGCCACCGGAGGTAGGGCATGTTTGCCAGACAGATCCCGAAATCCCATGTCTTCTGCCGTGCATAGCGCAAATCGTCGCGATCGCGCAAAGGGACGAGTTCCAGACGCTCCAGAGCCGGCATACCAGCGGCAAAGAGGGGTTTCAGGATGTGCCAGTAGTGTCCACGCCCCATTGATAAGTTGGCATATAAGGACCCGATCCGGTGCGCATGTGGCAGCACGAGGTCCAGCACATCCGTGGGGTCAACATGCCGCTCTAGAGTGAGGGAGACGTCGAGTGTGCAGCCTCGTGAGCGCTCCAAGCAGAGCGATATCCAGCGCACCGGTCGAGTGCTGTCAATGTGTCGCCAGAATGAAGGCGTGGAGAGTGCAATGCTGCGCCAGCGCCGGCAGACCTGCATCAATTTGGCGACGCCAGTTGTGGAGAACCAGCCGTCGCACAGGCCGTTCTCGAGGGCAGTTACAAGTTCGAAGAGACGTATAGTGAGCTCGACAGGGACGGCATGGATCTCCGAGTGGATCTGGCTCTCGTCCGCGCGCACATCGGGGACAACATCAATGGTATTGCAGGAGGGCTGGACTGCTACCGCGGGGTCTCGATGTTGCAGGTTGGATTCAACGCCGTTCAGATCGTCTCCAGACACATCCTTCCGGGGAAGGTGAGAACAGAGCTCTGCTCGCCACGAGCGTGTGCTGAGACGCGTGAGTGCAGTGTCTTGCTCCTGGAGTGCGAGGGCACAAAGATCGCATCGCGGGCGGAGTTCTGTGTCTGGTTTATCCGGATATTTGAGGCGGTATAGCTGCTAAAAGAAATTGAGCGAGGCCCTATAAGTTCGAGTTTAGAATAGTAGCAGATCGGACGGTCCACTACGCAAACGTAGACGGATAAAGACTTACCATGATCATAGCTAAACAGAATTCCTATGCAGCCATTCCAATGTGCTCTATGAGGAGGCCAGATACATCCAACCTACAACGGAGGCCTGAGGCACACCTGAGATGGCAGCCAGTGGTGGTGGTGGTCGGAGGCAAGGAGAGGGAGCATGAGCGCGTGCGATCAGACCCCGATCCCATCAAGATCTATGTCTGTGTCGGTCCTCATATCCCTAAAGCGGGCGTTATACTCACCTCCTGTTCAACCGGCATACGCCACCTCACCACCACGTTAGCTTGCTTTCCCATTATTCGCGTATGTACGGAGGCGCATCGCGCAAAACATAATGGTGCGTTGCGCTACAGGGAGAGTCGTGTTCCAGCGTTACTCACTTCCGCGACCCGTCGCAGTGCCGCGTTCCGCATGCGCCGGATCTGGTGGCATAACGCCGGACATAGTATCTGTCTGGCACCCGGCTCAGGCCTGTGGTGAACCCACTAAGACCACGGGCCGGAGTTTTGTCTTCAAGCCCCTTGGTACCTCCGGCGACAGCTGCTCTGCTACTGCATCCGTAGTATGGCGTCGCTCTCTGACCTGCACGGCGCGACTCGCTCACTGGCATAGGTTTTCCTCACGCCGAGCGAGAACCCAAATATCATGTTTCAACTTCTACATATATAACAGTCCACCCAGGATCTCATCTGGATCTCAGACCGCCTCCGTCCACACTACACAGCCATGATATTCCTTCCAACTTTCGCAACGCTGTGTTTCTCTGCTATGCTTGCGGTTTCCGCAGTGCCCTCCGTCCACGTTGAAATCGATATACCAGCATCATACTTGGGCGATACCGCGGTAACAACCCAAGTCGGTGGCATCCACCTGCATGCCACTCACGATGAGCGCCCCGGCCGAGTCAGCAACGGAGCTGCGTTGGCCTCTTCTAATATGGACCCCACTTTCGAAGGGTGCAAGCCTTGGGACGAAGTTGCCATCCGGAACGCCATCGGAGACGCTCGCGAGTTTGTGATAGACGCACTGAAGTGAGCACCTATGATATTCTACGTCCGTCCACCACCCATTTAACTGATCTTGGCACCTCCGAACGTGATGTCTCCAGGCCCCTCGACACCAAAGGCATGGACGCACGGTACCAGCGCTGGTTCGGCAAGCCTGACGAGACGAGGTACAAGGTTACTCTCTACCGCTCTGGAATCGTCAACGGCTACCACTTCGAGGACTTGACATACAAGTGCCACGACCCGTGCCCAGAGACGAGCGAGTCGGCCTTCGTGAGCGCATACGTGGACAACGATATGTATGTTCTTTATGCGCACCGCGAGCCTGTACCTACGAGGCTAACTCCCCGTTGCGCCCGGACGTGTCTGGCAGCTTCGGGGTCGTCCACATTTGCCCCGACTGACTTAGGGAGTTAGACGCGAATGAACGCGCGAGGGTTCTTATTCACGAGGTGCGTGCAGTCCCTCGAAAATCCGCGTAATGTGGGTTTCAGTAACTCAAATCCCAACATGACTGACGGGAAACTCGACGTGGAACAGGCGACACATTTCAAGTACGATGCAGTCCTCGGGACGAAGGACTTTGGCTACACAGTCGAGGAGTGCATGGGACTAGCCAGCAATGACCCCGAGAACGCGGTGTGGAATGCGGCCAACTACGAGCACTTTTCCGGTGACCGCAATGGCGGACTCTGGGAGGCGGAGCCACTCGCGTACGAAGACGACGAGTCGGACGCTCGTGTCGAAGACACCGCGTAGGAGGTGCTCGCTAGTACGCGATTCACACGGAGCCTCGACGGTCGCAAGGCTGAGCCGGAATATTAATGCTGGCCATTGCTGCCAAGCGGGGAGGAGTCAGAGTCTTCATGCATCTGATTATAATTCGCGTAATTTTGGGCCTATCTGGTTGATGCCACTCAGCGTAGGGCCAGGGTGTAAAGCCGTGTAGCAACCGGGCCACCTAAGGCCTGAGGCTCCCCTTGCTCCCCGCCGACAAGTTGCTGTCTACTTGAAGCGATCGATGCCATAGCCTTAATTTTGAGTTTATGATAGGCGCGTGACCCTTGGCTCAGGCTGCAACGTTCATCAGCGTTCATCTCTCTCTCTCTCGTCAACCCTTCACTCATCCCTAGGCTTCAGGCTGGAGCTATGGATCATTTTGCCCATGAAACCTCGGTCATGTATGAATACGGCGATACACGCATGCCTTATCGGCGCCAGGAGGAAGTGAACAGCGCCGCTTGGGACAAGGTAGCGTTGGCGACGGAAGGAAACCACGAAATCTACATAGCACCATCCATCTTTGCAATTGGCCAGACAGGCTCGTCTGCTGACCATCAAGTGAGTTTCCAACGTTGGTGGTGAACGTTGAAGACTGGGGGGATTGTTCATCTGTGAAGACTAGTAGCTGACCGTATACCATGTTGCCTACGCAGAAGCTTGTGATTCCTTTGGCTATCCTGCTCTTCTCCTTCCTACGGAAGTACGCTCAGGACGACGTCCAACCATACCCCGTCCTATTCGGGATCCACCTGCCACGATATACTACACGAGATGCGCCTTGGACTGCAGCGTGGACTTGCTTCATCATCATCGGAGTCAACAAAGTGTTACGGGCGCAGTGGTGTAGGGCGCATTCTACCCCTAAGAGCTGCCAGTCTGCGCGGGAACGAATCCGGTTACACCAATATCACATCAATATGTTCTTTCGCTGGACGGTTCCGGACTATGAAGTCGACGGTCCCCTTGCCCTGGCTTGGGCAGTGCTTTTAGTCGCCGCGCTCGTTCTCGATCCCACTCCGGAGTCGATGCTTTCCGTCATTGCCAGCGGGCTACTGTCCGTTGTCGTTGGAGCTTTATGTGCCATCCTTTGCATAACGACGATCCTCCCTACATTCAGGTGGGATTGTCGCTACCGCTCCGCCCAGTCTCGCATATTCTACGGCATCGCTCGGTTCTTCCACGGGCAGATGCGAGGCTTACTGCTTCGTCTCGCCAACTCTAGCGCCAGAGCACAACACGCCACATCCACCTACTTGGTGACGACACCCCTTTCCGCACTCCTTCGTAGTTGGAACAAGCTGCTGCGCCTTGGAATTTCGCACATGCAACCTATGCCGAAGTGGGAAGACATGGACCAACTCGCCATCGCTCCGATCGCCAACATACTCGAGAGAGAAGCACTCCAATGGTTCTACTCTTTCCATGCGGAGTGCTCGGCTATGTTGCTTAAGCCTCTTGAGCTCAAGGATATCGAATTCGTGGACATCATTCTCTCTGATCTCCACCCCGTCGAGGCCGCGCGCTTCTTTGACTGCGTTGACAACCCCCCACGTGGCCACCTACCTGTCCAAACACTGGTGGCCAACCTCTCGGACCTTCCCGAGGTGTACTCAACTGTCCTTAGGCCAGTTCTTTGGGCGCTACGGAACTTGTACACCATCGCTCTCCCGTGGAGGGATGAGGAATGGGACGAGGCTGCGCGATCTCTCCTTAGGCGGCTGCCTCACGAGACGGGCAAGATTTCGGACGCGGACATAGTGTTCTACGTGGAGACGCTATACAAAGCTGCGTGCGGAGTACCTGGTCCGGCGAGGGACGCGGCTTGGGATAAGCTAACCTCCCTGGTCAAGCAAGAGGCCGCAGCACGGTGCTCAGATGTGGTGCTTTTTCGGTGTACGTATCACCATGTACTGTCCGCACACAACCATGATTGATGGCCTCCTATACAGGCATGACAGCCGTCGGTTTCTATGCCGGACCTCCTAAAAACGGAGCAGTTATCCACAGCCTCGAATCCCTCAAACGCTTTTTCCTTTCCATCGAAATCACGCTGCATTGCATCGTCAGGTCACTTGAAGTTCCGACGGTCAGCCAGTGGGTTCCAGGTTATTGCGCGACGGTGGCGGAAGTACTGCCCAGTGCCCGCATCGTCCTGGACTCGCGCCACTTTGATCGAAGGGGCTCTGGCGCGCACTTCGTCTTTACCGACGGAATCCAGGCGGTGCTGCCGCACCTCCACACGCTTTGTCGAAACGCTAGCGACCCGCGAATGCAGACGGAGAACCTGCCCAAACGCCTTTGGGAGTTTGTTGGCTCGCTGCAGAAGGTGTGGCCGGACGTGAGGAACGCGTACGACCCCGCGCGCGTGGTCGAGAGCAAAGGATCCGCGTGGCTTCAGGCTCATACGGCCGAACTCGAACACATCGACTCGGAGTTGAAGGAATTGGACGTTGATCTCATTGAGCGTGGCGGCTACCCTGGCCCGTATGACTAAGTAGCCAATCGGTGTACATGGCGCGGGGCGGCGCGCCGCCGCTATAGCTAGTTGTCGTCGTCGCAGCTGATTTTGTTAACGGGTTTGCGGATCTGGGAGTCCTACTCGTCTTGTGGGATATGCTTCAATGTCGTTCAAAAATATGTAACATGACCGCGCATATATAGGTTGTTCTTTCTTGAACTGTGAACAAAATTTGACATGCCGGGACGATCCCGGGGCACCCTCCTACGGGTACATTGTACCTCGCCAGCCAAGCCGCGCGCGGACTCGATGCCGACCCCAAAGTCGAGTTCGCTACCGCAGGATCCGATTCGCCGCCCACCGTCCAGGACCTCATCAATCTTTTCGTTGCAAAGGGCCTGAACCGCTACAAGTTCGACGGTAGCGGCTCGGGCTGCCTACACTGGCTCATGACCGGGATACAGCACCTCGAAGACGCTGACCTGGTCGAGCTCGGGGCGAGCTCGAGGCTGCACGCATTCCACCACGAGCAGGTCGAGCATACGCTTTACATAGCACAGCATAAAGCGTCGCACGAGTTACAACAGTATACCAGTGGTCAGAGCCCAGCCGATGCTCGCCATGAACCGCCGCTGTCGTTCATAGAAACCGGCTATGAACCCTAGGGCCCACATTTGCCAACGACCGAAGATGTCCCATGCCCCACACATGGCGATATACTCGAACCATTGAGGGTAGTATCCGGCGAGCTCCCAGTCGATGAGCCAAACGCGGCCGTCGTCACCGAGGAGAACGTTCCTCGGGTGGATGTCGAGATGCGTGAGCACAAGCGGCACTGACGCGTCGAAGGTCATCGGGTCGTCGGCAGGGGGGTAGTTCCTGATGCGGCGATTGACCTCGAGCTTGTGCATGAACCAGTCGGTAAGCTCGTCGTAGGATGCGAATGGACCCGCGCCCTAATGGGTCGTCAGCTGCGCACGACAGAGCTCAACGGAAGTGAAGACATACGTATTCCGTGAACATCGGGCCATAACACATTTGAGGCTCGTTCGCAAAGGGTCCAGGAAACGCGGTCCTACGCAGCGTGTTTCGGGGTCGGATACGCCTCAACTGTCTAATGTAGCCGCGAAGCGTCCAGATGATACGCAATCGCTGCCAGAGACCGAGGTCGGGCCAACATTCCGCAAGGGTCTTCCCTGGAATGTACTCCAACACCATTGCTCTCGAGACTGGCATGTCGAAGACACGTCGAATGGTCGGGATGGGGATGGTGGAGTTCTCGCGCACGAGACCCATGGCCAGGATTTCCGAGTCGTACAAATTACCGACCCTCATCACAGCGTCAGTCGCGATTCGGCGCACTTCCACCCCGTTCAGGGCAGAAGGGGAGGGAAATCTGCGGGTTGAGCTCTCAAAGACTGCGCAGAGTGCTTCGTCGGATAGGGAAGATATCTGCTCCCAAGGCACAAGCTGCAAAATTGAGCGATATTGTTATGAGCACTGTGCGCAGGCCTGCCCCCGCATTAATACCTCTAACTCACAGGCTTAGAATGTTGAGATTGCTCCATGATTGCTGTGTAGACAGAGTAGGTCCTGTAGGATAGGAGGAGAGGTTGATTTATACGTACATGAGAGTTCACCGTCAAGATGATAGGGTCGGCGCTCGCACTGGATCAGTGGATGCTTCGGTATATTTACCACGGTTTCTCGTCCCTGATAGGGTGCCACTGCAAGCTCCGCAGCGAGCCTCGTGGTCGTACCCAGAAAGATACGCCCAGGAATATATGTAGGAGCCCGAGATTAAGACGTAGAGTGACTGATAGTACAAATGACAGCAGACTGAGTATGTGCAAACGACGACCGTCCACAAGCCGCGAAAGGTATCTCCCACCTCGGATAAATAGACCCCCACCTGCCCACGCTGCCTCATCACTCACGACACCGCACGCTCCTTGCCCTTCCCTCGCGGCGGACTCGCAAGCTGTAGGTCTGGGGAGCTCGCCATCGCAGCAGCGGTGAACGACGGCAGGCGCTTCGGGCCTCCGAGACCAATCGGCGATAGGCGCGTGCTGGCTTGCGTGGGTGTGCTTGGCAGGGAGCCGTTTGGCCGTGCGGAAGGTGTGCGAGGGGACTTTGGGGGTGGCGGGGAGCCTTCGCCCGCAGCTGCTTGGGTGAGCAGGAACTCGACCCAGAGACGCGAGAACGACTAAATGTGGAGGGCTGGTATTAGTACGGCGAAAATAGAGCGCGTGGGGTGAGAAGGGCGTAACCATACCTCAGTCTCGTCGGTCTTGTCGAGCTCCGCAGGCCGGAGTGAAGGTGAGGATGCGGACGACCGGCCGAACAGCGAGGGAAGGGAGGATGCGTGCGATGGGTTGTTGCGTTGCAAGCCAGCCTTCTCGCGCTCGTCGTCGTTCCAGGAGAGGATGGTGGCGAGCAGGGAGAGCATCTCAAAGCGCTTTGAGTCCGCGCGCGGCGTTGTGAGGAACGAGAGCAGAATGTTAGTCACGAGCCGTCGATCGACGTTTGTATCAGTCGATGAGCGCCGCAGTCGACGGAGGGCTTCCATGAGGTGCTCGTTCATGATCACCGCTACACATTCCATATAAGCGAGACATCCTAGGGTGATCGAGAATGACGTACCTTCATGCCGTAGCTTGCCAATCAAGAAGCCCTTGTCCTTCACCTCCTTCTCGAGTTCCTGCACTCGCGAGTTGTTAGTCGACGACTCTTCTAGTTGCAGCTCCGCGTTCAAAGCGCGGCTCTTGTACTCCGCCAAGGACTGCGTGACCTGCAGTAGCTGGGACTCGTAGTCTCTCACTGCTTGCTTAAGGTCGTGGTCTTTCGCTGTTACGGGTTCAGTCACGGCAAGCGCGAGAGGGCGGAGATGCGCATACCAGCTTGGAAATCCTCCAGAACAGACTGCAGGTTGTTAGACTTCTCTCGCTCCATCTCGAACGCGCCTTCCGCGCGTTGCCTCGCTTCCCGCTCCGCCTCGAGGTCGCGGCGGAGTATATCCGCAGTGGTCCGCGCCTCATCCGCCGAGATGTGTTCCTGCATGGCCTTCTGCTCCCACTCGTCGCGTTCTATTCGACATTGCTCAAGCTCGGCTTGGAGCTCCCGCAGCTCGCGCTCGCGCAGGTACGACTCTTGCGCGCTATCTTGCAGCGCGCGGCTGCGCATAACTTCGAGCTCCTTGGACGCCCGCTCGGCCTCTTCGTTAGACGCGATGAGTTCCGCTTTCAACGTCTCCACTGTCACCGCGAAGTCTTCGTTCTGCACAGTCAACTGCTGTACCAGCTGCTCCTGACGGTCCAGTTCTTCCTATGCATGTCCGGTAAAGATGGGCGCGGCGGGAGAAGGTGAGTGTCGACGTACGGCATCCTGCTTAAGCTTATTCCCGAGTGTGGTCCGCATTGTGGTGAGCTTCGCTAGGAGGTTGCGATATTGCGTCGCAAGAGTATCCTTCTCCTCGCGCGTGCGTTGTAGCTCCCGCTCAAGGCGTTGCACGGGGTCCAAATCATCCGAGTCCTGGTGAGCATCTCCGTTGGATGAAGGCTTGCCAGAGAGTCCATTGAGCGGTGGAGGCGATCCGAGAATACGCTCTCCATCAAGAGAGCGGCGAGATGTTGGGTCATCGTTGCTGGCCACGTCAGACGACGACGGAGAGGAGGACATCGAGGAACAGAGGATGTGGCGGCGTTTGAGCTGGAGTGCTCTTTGGATTCGGCGCGCCTAATGCTGCTAACGTGGAGTTAGCCCCCGAGTTTGGTCAGATAACGTCCGAATAACTCTCATTTCTGCAGGTAACCCTGACCCCCACCGAAACAGTGGCCGGATCTCGATCACCGATCGCCTATAATTGTGCAGGGCTATATTTGGAACCCAAGAATGTCTTCGAGTTTGGCCCGTACTTCAAGTTCACGCAGCTTGCATCCTACCACCATGTCGCGTTCCAGCAAGCCTCAAAATTCACAACGACCAGCCCCCTGTACCACGACAAGACGGACATGTTGTATTTCTACGGGCTGGCTCGCCCCGAACCAGTAAGCGGGCCACGAGGCAGAAGCGTACAGGCGTATCAGCCATCAGCGCTAAACAGAACGACATTGGACGCAAACGCCGGAACGTCTTCCCCGCTCGTCCGCCCACTGCGCTGTATTCCCCCCTTACGAACCTAGACGACTGTACGACTGGTGAGCGCCGCTGCTCCTTGGAACTATCGAAACGTCATCTCAGAGTCTCCATCTACCCAGTATTTGACGATCACACAGCACTGGATCCCATACCAGTATCATTGCCGAGACATGGGCAGAGGTGCGTCATCAGACTCACCACTCGCAGATTGAGCTCACTGTGTTTACCCTCGAACAGGTTCCACAGATAACACGGCAAATCCGAACGATTTGACCGGGATTCCAGCGGGTCCTACCACGGAGCAACAGGGCACTCGCGGACACAAAAGAAAGCAGACATTGCTGAGCTTGTTGGACGCGTTGGCTGAGCTGAGCAAGGATGAGGAACTCGATGGACTGAGTGAGTGTCAATTCCTGCTATGAAACTTCGCAGAAAGCGCTGTCCTGTCAAGAAGTCTCTTTGTGGTGCCTTGCCAAGCTGGTGGTTGCCGGCGAAGCTGGTCGGTCTCTCTTGGCCTCGTGAACCATGTACTATTGGGACGCTGTTCTCGCCTCCCAGTCCTATGTCTACCATCCCACTGGGAAGATTCTTATCGGCCTGACCAGACCGTCCAGCGCGGCGCGACGGCTCATGATGTCGGGTAGGTCGGGGCTTACATGGGCTTCTGGGGTACCCGGGATAGCGGTCGCACGATCGTTCATATGACGGCATTTTGGCTCTGGTAAACTTCCAACACTGTTGGCCACGCATAACTGACGCAGACATGCAGTTCCCAACCAACAACCAAGCTTCGAGGATGATCGTGACGTTCGTAAGTTGCCAAAGCTGCTTCCGGTGTTCAGCATGGTCACACTTTGCCTTCCATAGCGACTGTGGATGAACACTTGCAAAAGGTCGGCGCCGAGGCCTTCAACAAGTTCCAGAGGTTTGTCATTACCCTCGTGTAATGGGCTATTTATTGACTACTTGATAGACGCGTGATGAACCTAGACAAAGAGGTCAGTGTAATATTTCCCAAATACTTCGGCATACGCTGAACAGTCCACCCCAGCTACGAAACTTTGCCAATGCTGCACGGCAACTCGGGTCGTCTGTCGGCATTCTCTCCTCGTCATATCACTTGCGAGGGCGGCTTGCGCAGATCCTCTACCTGTTCCGCGAGAATGCCGCCGACCTGTTCCCTCGCAAGGTCTCGCGGCAGTCGCGCGAGTCGATCACCAGCACCAGCCCCTCGCATTTCCGTGTCAAGGGCAAGCGCCATCGGGCCCCTCCGCACGTCCACAACCCTATAGTTATGGAAAAGCTGGAGCCCGAAGACTTCCCAGAGCAACTGCAGATGTTTGCGCAGGATGTCACCACGTTCCTAGACTGCCTGAACGAGTTCCCGGAGTTTACAGATGAAGCCGTTAATTCAGCTATCTTAGCGCTTGAAGGCGATCTAAAGGTATGTTTGGGCGAATATCTATACGCATATAGTTGCTAATTTGATCGGCGATAGTATTGGGCTTCGTGCTTGAAGGCATACGAAGGTGAGATTATCCGTTGTACACGGATACATGACCCGGCTCACCTTGAAATGCAGGACAATTCAAGTATCCCGCGGTTCAGCGCTACCTGCACGATCTGAGCTCAGAGATGGGCGAGCACATCGACAATATCACCTCATCCCTGTCGGTCTTCATCGAGATAGGTCTGTTGAGATGTTCATACGCTTATTTCGCCTGTGTCACTTAATTTCACTATCCAAAACAGGTGTGCCGACGATTCGATTTGCGCAGAAGCACGCCAGCCAGAACCTGTTGAACCTCAGTACGGTGGCGACCTTCTTCAGTGCTGTCACTGCCACAACTATGCAATTCTCGTTCGATACAACGGACTCGAAGCTGGCGAACGCGGTCAACTCGTTCTGGTTCACTTCTCTGGTGTTCAGTATTGGCGCTGCTGTCAATAGTCTGCTCGGAGTGACGTGGAAGCAGGCGATGTAGTGCGTGTGCCTTTGCTTCGTACCTGCTAACGTTACTGACACCATCACACATACAGTCGTTCGCCCGGTCATCGAGTGCCGTGGTGGGTGCTTATCTGGATCAAGAGGTCGCCGCTTGCTTTCCTTGTCTTGTCCGTCGCGTGCTTCTCCATTGGTCTCGTCCTCTTCGCATACTCCTCGGGCCAGCATCAAGTGACCTGCACCCTCACCACGGTCTTCTCGGCGTGCAGTATAGTTGGCCTCACAGCCGTCTCTGCATGGTTCGCATCGGAGCGCTGGACATTCTCGCGGCACCACGGCACCAAGTGGCTCGCCGACGTCCTTTCCGAGACCCGTGTCAGGGTGAAGTCCACGCGCGGTATCCGGTGGCTTATCTACGAGCCCCGCGCGTGGGCGTGGGCAGGTTCGCGGTGGACGCAGCATCACTTCCGCAAGCTCAGTGACGCCGTGTCGGAGCTCAGCGCGCGCACCATCTCCCGACTCAACTCAGATTCCGACGAGAAGCTTGCGGACACCGAACGCGGCGTCACGCCTGTCTCGCCCCTCCCAGGATGCACCAGCCCGGAGCCCCTCTCGCCCATCATCATGCGCCGCGGTGCGTCCGACAGTGGTCCGCTACTGCCGATTGCGGAGGTGCGCACGAACACCGCGATGTCGGTTGGCGGCGAGGAAGATGGTACGGCGAGCATCATGAGCGACACCGTCGGGCCTCTACCGGCTCCTGGTCGCGGACGATTCGCGAACGCTGTACGCGCGGTGATCAAAATGCGCGCGGCGTCGACTGCGTTCCCTGTGGACGGACGTAACCCGCGTCGCCAGCGGACGATGTCGTCGGACGGAATCGGGTCGGCATTGGAGCCGGTAGGCGTGCTGAAGACCTCGCGTGTGGGCACGCTGGTACCGAAACTGCGCAGCCTGCATCCGACGCAGTCGTTCGAGGCGCATTTGGCACTGGTGCGGCACCTGCAGTTCTCGCCGAACGGCAAGTTCTTGGCCACTTCCAGGTAGGTCGCCGTTGAATATTAAAGGCGTGTCGTTGTTATGATTTGGCTGACGAGGTTCGAATAGTTGGGACAGGACGTCGGTGATCTTCAAAGTCGGCGTAAGTAAGAACGTGCACGGTCTGGCTAGCGTACCAATCGGTGCACAGGAAACCTTCACGTCGCATCGTATCCTGGCGCACCCGCAAGGCTTCGTTGGACAGGTCGCCTGGTCACCAAGCGGACATTTGCTGCTTACCAAGCTCGGCCGTGGCGTCAAGATTTGGACGGAGGTATGTTGCTCTGTACGCCTGTTAACTTAAATCCGTACTGACCTTTGGCTGTGTGTGTGTTCAGGACGGTGTGTGCAAACGGACAATCGACCGGCGTCGGAATGTGCAGTCGATAACGTGGATGCCTGGTGGCGAAGGTCGGTTTTTCGTTCCTTACACATACATTGACTTCTGTACCCAAGCTGATAATATCCACTAGCGTTCTTATCTGTTGAGGGCAGCGATGTGACAAAATTGGTGCGTTCCTGCGCACATGCGGCAACAACATAACCTAACCAGTAGTTACATATACAGGATTTGAACGGAACGGTACTCGCAACATATCACTTCGACAGAATGGTTTTGCACGACGTCGCAGTGACGCAGGACGGCGTGCGCATGGTATGCGTCGGTACACTCACGGCATCTTCGGACGGCTTCCACCCAAGCAAATGCAGGGCAGAGAAGCAGATCATAGGTGGGCTGAGTTCGCAGGTAAGTGAGAGCCAATGACGCTGACACAAGGGAAATAGCATACAACATGGTGAAGTCGGAAATAGAGAAGTGAGTGCGCATCTGTATGGCGAAACCGCGAGGAGGACTAACCCGTTTCGACAATAGCCGGGTCCCTGTGCTGCATGAGGTTCGTGATATCACCTTGGCTAGGAATGACCAGGTCGCCCTGGTCAGCTACGAGAATAAGGTCAGTGGTCCATTCGTGCTCGGGAAATTTGCAAGCCTGTCTAACCAACTCTCTCGCAGGCACCACCTCAATTGTGGAAACTCGACCCAGTCAAGGACTCTGTTCGGCTCTCACTCAGACATACGTACATGCCAAAGGTCACTGTCGATTTCGCTGGCCCTAGCTACTTCGGAGGCAAGAACGACCAGCTGGTACTCTGCGCTGGAAAGGGTGAGTGGCGGCGCCCCAGTTGTCAAACACGGCCTTGGTCAGTTGACTGACACCTCTCTAGCTGGCGACATCCACATTTGGGACCGAGAATCTGGAACACTGCTGCAACACATTCGCGCACAAACCGTCGGCGGCGACCTCACCTGCATAGCCTGGAACCACGCTTGGGACACCTTCATGTTCGCGACCGGCAGCCACGACGGTGGCGTGCGGATCTGGACGACCCCACCGCACATTACGGGATCTATCGAGAGTTCGGCCGTACCGTCGCGCGGAACAACCACCCCTGCGAACACCCCACGGACGATGTCTCCCGCGCCGTACGACGCCGACTACCGGACAGATAGCCCAACAGGACAGACAGAATCCGCGTCCCCTGAAGGCTCTCTCCAACCGACTTCGCAAAATGCTTTCGGGACGCCTTCAGTCACGCTTCGCCCGGCCGCACCGTCCAGCTAGCCCGGAGCCCTCCCGTTCTCCTTTCTATTCTCAGGGCGGTAGCCCGTTAAATGGGCCCTCTGGTATGTGCAAAAGTATGTCGCATCATGATGACCGTTCTGTTAGATCTCTGTCTGTACTACTACAACGACGCTTTACGTTTTATGGCTCTCCGATGACTCTACGCATATCTCATGTTTACATGTACCTGTACGCACTAGAAATTCACATATTACCCCTGGATACATGGCAGCTTTTGCGCATATGTCTCAGTGTTTCGTAAGCAAGTCGACGCGCTTCATGATCTGCGACATATCGAGCTACTTACCTCTTCTACCGCCCATCAACTCGTTTCCTCAGTCTCACGCAACCCCAGCATGACCGGTCATCTTATACTTTTCTTTGCTTCTCATATTCTCAAATTCAATCGCGGACGAGCCCAAGAATTCTGAATGGCGCAACGAAGGCGACTGATTTGGGGCAGATAACTTAGCCATGACTCGACTGCCCAGCGTAACTCTTCGCACTCCTCTCTGTCTCCACCACTACACGTTCAACGACAATGGCCGCCATCGCATCGACAGCTAAAACTTTCCGGATCGCCGTGGTCGGCGTCGGACTCGTCGGCGGCGAGTTTATCAAGCAGCTCCTTGCGTTCCCCGCGCCCAGCCCCTTCCGCCTCGTCTCGCTCTCGTCCTCCAAGTCGACTATCTTCCAACCTGATGGTCTCTCTGTCTCCGCCTCGAGCTGGAAAGACGAACTCGCAGGCTCCGGGCGGAAGCCTGATCTGCAGACCCTTCTCCGGGAGCTCTCCGCGCTGGTGAAGCCTGGGCAAGAGGTCGTCCTGGTCGACAACACCTCCTCGAATGACGTCGCCGCGCTCTACCCGCAGTTCCTCAAGTTCGGCGTGAACGTGATTACCCCAAACAAGAAGGCGTTCTCGTCGGAGCTCGCGCTGTACGAGCAGATCCTTGCGGCAAGCCTGGAGAGCGGAGCGCGGTTCCTGAACGAGGCCACGGTCGGCGCGGGGCTCCCGATCATCTCTACGCTGAAGGATCTCGTGGCGACGGGCGACAAGGTGTGTACCACGTCTAGTGATCTGGAGGAGGGGATGCTAACGCGGTGGGACGTCGCAGATAACCAAAATCGAGGGTGTGTTCTCTGGCACCATGAGCTACATCTTCAACGAGTTCTCCACTGGGAAGGAGGGTGGACCTAGCTTTTCATCAGTTGTGAGCGTAGCCCGCGAGAAGGGATACACCGTACGTGCATATAGCCATATTGTTCCTGGCCATTCACTTATGGAGTCGCGCTGCAGGAGCCGCACCCCGCGGATGACCTCAACGGTGCAGATGTCGCGCGCAAGCTCACGATCGTCTCCCGCTTCATTCCCTCCCTGCGCTCTGCGCTCCCCAACGGATACCAGTCCGTCAGCACGAAGTCGCTTGTCCCTGCGGAGCTTGAGGGCATCGACTCCGGGGACGAGTTTATCAAGCGGCTCCCCGAATTCGACGCGCACTTCGACAAGATGCGTGCCGATGCTGCTGCGGAGGGCAAGGTTCTGCGGTTCGCCGGTGTCGTTGATGTACAGGCAGGTATCATCAAGGCGGACCTAGAAAAGTACGTCGTACTCATGTGATATATGCGGAACCACGTCTCACGGCTGCATGTAGGTACTCCGTCACCCACCCCTTCTCGACCGCGCTCGGAGGCTCCGACAACATCATCATGTTCCACACTGAACGGTACGGTGCTCGGCCGCTGGTCGTGCAAGGCGCGGGCGCGGGCGCGGCTGTGACCGCTATGGGAGTCTTGAGCGATCTCCTGAAACTCGTGTAAGTAGTAAGGACCCGAAGAAGCAAAATGCATCTGTATCAATAGGTTCGTCACCTCACATTCCCTTCCTGCCGAGCGACTTGCCCATTCACTGACTTTTAGCAGTACATAGTAGGCAACCTGTGCGAACCGGGCTTATACTTCCGCGATATCCTAAACGCTTCCTTGAATCGAGACGGGCCGTCCGCTTAAGATCGGGCGTGTTCATACAACAGTTCGATAATTCTAGTTCTGGGGACGAGCAGAGGTAAATTGACATCGATGTTCCCATTTGCCAAGGGAAACAAAAAAAATATGGTGACGGTCAGCGAGCTCACATGCTGACCGCTGTAATCCAGGAACCTATAATTTGAGATGCGCTCGCTTGTTGAAGTATCATCGGTTATAGGAATCGTACCCACCGCGGCGGCGGCGAAGCCAGTAAACTATCTTGACTGCTCCATACATATAGTTAACCTTGTCGGCTCTACCTTCGAGGTCGTGATGGGAAGTAGGCTGTGTCGGCGGACCCGCATGAATATAGTGCCCCCAAGCGACCGGCCTTCCCTAACTCCCCACAGCTGTTCGCACCTTCGAATGTGACGCTCGCTTAGTGCGTCGACAACAGATTTCCCTGCTATATAACAGAAGGTGGATGCTTTTGCCCTCAGCGAGGTGCCTTTTCATCCGTCCCCTTCAGTTGTCAAACGGAACGTACTGTATCACGATACACTCGTCCACTTCGACTCGGTGAGTGGTCCGGGTACGAAAAGGTTGCAGTCGACTGAAATTCATTAGCTGCATATTTGTTATGATGACGACACCACATGACGCCAGGACACCTACAATTTCTGCTCGTACGGATGTTAGACGGCTGGATGACTCGGTGCGCCATCCTACGTCGTGTTTTCCGCACGCTAATGAATATCTTATTTGTGGTGCATAGGATATAGAGGAGTGGAAGCCACTTGAACCTAAGGTGCGCTGAGTTGTTTTCCTCTTCTTTCGTAACCTCATGAGGTGTCTTGTAGGAGATTCTCGCAGAACTCAGTCAGGAATACGACAACAAGCGTAGGACCGAGGCTCAGGAAAAGCTCGATAAAGCAGTCAAGGAGCACTTTGACGACTTGGCGGAGCGGTGGAAGTCGGAGATGGATACATTGCTTGTCTATGTGAGTTTTGTACCACCGCTGGCGATAATTCATTTACACCATCCTGCTCAATACAGGCCGGTCTCTTCTCTGGCGTTTTGACAGCGTTCAACATAGAATCCTACAAGCTCCTCCGACCGGCCCCCATGGATGAGACAGTTGCGGCACTTAAGCAGCTTTCCCAACAGCTCAATAGCTTCTCGATAAACCACCCATTCGTAAACTCCACACAGCATGTCACTTTGGTCGATCCCGCACAGCGACAACCATTCCTCGCCTCACCTACCATAGTCACCATCAACACCCTCTGGTTCTCGAGCCTCATGTTCAGCCTTGCCTCCGCGTCTCTAGCACTTCTCGTGAAGCAGTGGCTATACGAGATCACATCTGGTATATCGGGGAACTCACGGGAAGGCGCTCAACTTCGACAACATCGTCTAGACAGCCTTCAGAGATGGCATGTTCCTACAATTATCAAGGCGATTCCCCTTCTCCTCCAGATTGCCCTCATACTGTTTCTCGTAGGCCTTGTCCTTCTCTTATGGACCCTCCAAGACACGGTCGCGACTGTGGTCACATCTTTCACCGGCGTTCTATTCATCTTCCTAACAGCAGTAACCATCCTTCCAACCTTCGAGTGGCATTGCTGCTACCGCTCGCCTCAAGCGTACATCATGTATACCTTCCTCCGACCCTTTCGAAACGGGGCCATCAGACTGTTTCATCGAGGCGCGAACATCTGCGGGCGGCATGCCTCCACCAAGTCTTTCCTCGGACGGCGCTGCTGGCCGACGTTGCAACAGTGGCTCGGGTTACTTTCGCGCGCGCTGCGATACAGGTCCTGGGAGACACAGGAGCGGGCCTACCTGACCCGTTCCGATGCGTCTCTCTCCCTGAACGTCGCTACCGCCGTCAGAGCCTGCGATGCCACGCTCGATCCTGCTTGTCTCGACAACATGCGCATCGCCCTATCGGCCGAACCGAACGCACCCCTCGTGCGCTGCCTGTGGTCGCTCGGTATGAGGAAGGACATCGCGACGAGCGTCCGGGCGGAGCTTCTGAAGCGGGATGCCCCGGATTCATTGGCACGGGTCGTCCTTCACGCACTGCGCCAGATGCTCGCTGTAGATCGCCACAAACGCGGGACTTCATGGGAGGAAGACGTGCAGGCGCTACTACGCTTCCACAACTTCGCGAACAGCCCGGACGCCCACTTGCCGCACGATGACCTGATGCTGAGAACCAGCTTCTTGATCGCTGTGGAGGCCGAACAGGTGGACAACGTGTACGCTGCCTTGTGCTACTTGGCAGCGGCTGTCCACATCGACTCTGCCGCACCGTGCAGTTACGCGACCGTGACTCGCGGTGAGTAATCCCGTCAATTCATATCGAGGTGTCCGCAACCTAATCTCCTTTTGAATGCCTGCGTCCATGCAGTACTGTCGGCTGCTGAGCAATGGATCGAGCAGAAACAGCCGCCGAGCACGGCGAAGCAGTCCAAAAACGTCCCGCAAGTCTACATGTCCGCCTTCGCCATTGTCGCACATTGCACCCTTCGTCTTATGACAGGGAAGATGGTCACGCCTCACCCATCAAACGACCGCATTGTCAGGCAGTGTGGGCGCGCTAGAGTCGCCCTGGACAGGCTATCGCGCTTCTTACCAAAAATGACGACCTTAGAAGTCGACGTGGCCCTCTGCGACGAGCTTTTGTGGGGTTTGACGCTGCTTCTGCAACCGCTGACAACCCTTTCTCGCGTCAAGCCAGCAGCGGTCAGCGAAGATGTCGTCGCCACCTTGGAGTCAGCGTGGATTGCTGCTCAACCTTCGCTCAAACCTTCGCTCGCGCCTGCGAAACACAGTGGCCGTCCACAAAATGCTGAAGAATCCATCGCCGGTCGGCTGGCCCTCCTACAGCAGAACACGTATTCGTGTTTTGACGCCTTTGGAATGGTCCTCGCTCCTCAATAGCTTCGGTTTTTATGTGAACAAACAAACATTTTGTTAGTCCAACCTGACTTGACTTCTCTTCCCAAAGCGGCCGTAGCTGATTTGCACACAGATGTACAACATGCGAACGTCACTTCTTCTAAACTCCTACATCTGATCCCTCCTTCCTCATCCTCCTACCCAGTTTCATTCAAACCCTCCAGCATACCACACGTTGTGCTGTACAACCGTACGCTGCTTCGTCACGACTTCGTTCATCACCAACGTCGCTTCTCCTGCCATGCACCCTTGAACGTGCGGTTACTGTATATCTTCCACCACGACTATCATGCCTCCGGGGGCCCCCAGCCGTTGACAGGCAAGGTGAGAGAGCCGTAAGCACGTCATACGTGCGATCGCATGTCGGCCACCACGCTGATACGGGAAGTTGTCACGCAGGATTCCCCGTATGACACACGCCTCTGTAGGCCGCTACTAGTCCCCCGTTTTTGGAACTGTTAGTACTGTTTTCCTTTTGAAGCTCGCGCGCTCCGCTGATTGTATCACCCACGATCGCAGTGTCATTCGAGACATGCCCCGCGCGCATGTTTGCCCACGAGTATGAGTCCGCAATATGGTAACGCCTTTGATTTGTGAGGAGCCCGCCTCAGTTTGTATGCTCCATTGACAGCATTCACCCGCAGCATCCTCGAAAGTGCGGATAACTGATGAATCACGCACGTCCAACGGGCCTTGGCTCCCACCTTAAAAGAGTGAAGCGTGCCCCGAGTCCTCACAAGGCTCGTTGGTCAAGCGATGGTGGAGCAAGGTGTCGATTCTAGTCTGGTGAGTCCACAAGCTTGTCATCCTCCTTTCCGTTTCACTTATTTAAAACGCGCGCAGGAGGTGCACGATTCTTCTACAAATTCTTCTCGGGATGGCGAATGGAAAGTTCTTGAGCCACAGGTACGCCAACAAAAACTTGAAGAGCTTATAGTTACTGAAAAGTTATCGTTCAAGGAAATATCCGCCGAACTTCAAAAGGAGTTCAACGACACTCAACAATACGAAGCTCAAGCAGAGCTAGATGAGGTCGTGCAGACGTTTCATGACGGCTCGATGGAGCGATGGAAGTCGGAACTAGATACTTTACTCGTCTACGTGCGTACACAACAACCTTTACTTTGCCGTCTGATAAGCGGCTTATGGTCAACTAATAGGCAGGGCTTTTTTCTGCGGTATTGACCGCCTTCAATGTGGAGTCCTACCGACTTCTTCAGCCCGATGCAGTGGAGTCCGCAATCGCAGCCATCCGGCTAGCTTCCGAGCCGCCGCACAACCAGGCCAACAACCCTCTTCTTGCGAACGGTATCCGGCAGCAGCGCGGTCTCCGCGACGAGATCGCTGCGTTTAGCCCTCCGCTTTTCGTGATTTGGGTGAACTGTCTCTGGTTCTCCAGCCTCGTCATTAGTCTTGCTTCGGCGTCGATCGCCCTCATAGTCAAGCAATGGCTGTACGAGAACAACGCCGGGATCTCGGGGAAGTCCCGCGCGTCTACCCAACTACTGCAGTACCGCATGGATTCCCTCACGCGATGGAAAGTGCGCGCAATCATCATGTTGGTGCCTGTGATGCTTCAGCTCGCCCTTATCATCTTCCTCGCCGGGCTCGCCATCCTCCTGTGGAACCTACACATCGTCGTCGCCATCGTCGCATCCTCGTTCATTGGCACCCTCTTCCTCTTCCTCGCTACTGTCACAGTTTTGCCGGCGTACCGATGGGATTGCTGCTACCGCTCGCCCCAGGCACTCGTCGTATACGCCGTCGTACGCGCGTTTCGCAACCGCCTCATGGACGCCCAGCAACGCTGCAACAGATTCTGCGCCGCGCATCGATCTGCGAGCAAGTCTCCGCTTATCGACCTTTGGTGGTCCACGCTGCAGCGGTGCTGCGGTATCTTCTCGCGCACGACCAAGTACCGCACGTGGCAGGCGCAGGAGCGCTTCAACCTCCGCAACGAATCTAACGCGCTCAACATCAAGACGGCGGTGGCAGCATACACGACGACCCTCGAGCCAATCTGTCTCGACCAGATGCGCATTGTGCTCTCTGGCGAGCCCGGCCTTCCGCTCCTGCATTGTCTAAATGCGTTGGACATTGCTACGGGGGACGGCTCGGTGGTGCCCGCGTCATTCCTCAAGCGCAACGCGCGCGCGATCATGTCGCGCATGTTGCTGTATGCTCTGCGGCAGATGCTCACTGTCGAGCGTGGCGCGCGGGCGGACTTTAAGCCTGGCTGGGAAGCTACTGTTCAGGCGCTCTTCAACTCCTACAACGCGGTCCTGTCGGGCATATCCGTCCCATACGATGACCTCGCACTACGGACCGCGTTCCTCATCTCGATGGAGGCAAAGGATACCGCGAATTGCTACACCGCGTTGCGCTACCTCTCCGCTGCGGTCGACGTGGACTCGGCGGCGCCTTGCACCTACTCCACTGTCTCCCACGGTGAGCGGCGTACTTTCTCGTGGGGCGAACAAGTTGCTGATTGACCATACCCCACCTTCTTGACATGCAGTGCTGTCAGCAGCTGAACAGTGGATCGAGAACCAAGACCTCAATGCGCGCAGCACGACGCTCCCCCAGATCAACATGACCGCCTTCTTCATCGTCGTCCACTGCATGCTGCGCGTGGTCGAAGAGAAGACGGACGTGCCCATGCCCCAACGATCGCGGTTCGAGCGCCTCTGCGCTCGGGCTCGTGCGGCGCTTTGTGCCCTTCCACTGTTCCTGCCGGATCCCGACACCCTTGCGCGCGACGCCACCCTCTGCGACCAGTTTTCGTTTGGGCTGCAGCTCCTCCTCGCACCGCTCACGCGGCTCTCACGCGCGATGGACGCCCCCCACGGGGCCGACACCGCCCCGCACCTAGTCGATACGCCGTCGCCGATCCACGAGGACGTGGTCGGTGCGCTGGAGGGCGTGTGGGATACGGCGCGTGCGGTCCTGGATACGTCTCCGCACCCAGCACGGGTTGCGGGCCTCCCCATATCGCTGCGGCTGGCTGCTTTACAGAGCGATGTGGAATTGTTCTTCAATCCGTTCGGACTTACTTTCTCCGTGGCATGCCGTTAACGCTTCATTTCCTGTGTTGCGTGTTAGCCGGGGATTGGACTGAGAACCCTTCGAAGCCCGCCGGGCGGGTCGCAGAGCACGCGTACTATGTATTGACGTCGTTCGAGACGGAAGCCAGACTATCTCTTCTGTTACAATGACGACACATATTAATACCACCCCATTTCCTAGATGTCCTCTCTTGGATGCCTTTCCAGCTTCCGGGATCAAATTCATCCGTTGATAGCCCCTACCAAGCGGACGTCAAGCCGCATTCGTGTAGAACACGCAAACAGAAGTACGAGTTCCATAGGGTGGGCACTTAGGGGGCCCTTCTTTACTTCTCTCATAACAGACATCGCGTATATGCTCACAATTATCTCCCAGTTCCTAGTTCATCTATCCCACACGCGCTCTCCATTGGATCCACTTCATGTATCAGGCGCCCGCCAGAGGTCGATGGCGTGACCGGCTATACATGCGGATGCCGCCCTCTCTTATGGTTCGCCGACGTGCTTGACGTTAAGGCCGGAATGATTAAGGCCGATTTGGAAAGGTACGACCGTCCTGCGTGGTTTCCAGAAATTATCAACTGACAGCCGACGGTGGCGTACAGACATTTTGCCACTCCGAGTTATCGACACACTCGGATAATTCTATTTGGAAACCCCGGGTACACCTTGGAACCCCTCTGCTAGTTTGGAAACCCGGTTTCGTCGCGGCCTGCATCGGAGCACCTCCGGGTGATGCGTACCCCAAATGAGACGTGGTCGGCAGGTGTGTGCGCGCGCGGGCGCGGCTCTCTTGTTTCGTACACGAATACGGGCATGCACCACGGTCTAAATGTCTCGATCACAGCCGTGCGTCACGAAGCTGGCTTGAACAATGGATACGCGCACATCCGACTCGTCGCGAGCAGGTGAATGCATTATAATTCTAAATATGTCTCTCGGAATAGGCGCATCTTCAAGTTTCTACTTCATTGATATAGTTCATGCTGCGCGCGAGGCTCGATGTGAGTCCCGCGCGCTGCGCGAACTGTTCAGGAATCGTCTCAATTATTTACAGAATTACCACGTAGCGTCCAGATGTTCTGGAGTCCCCCGACGGCGCATCGCGCGTGCCCTCCGTACGACGGCGGGCTCACGCGTAGGGATCCGCGCGGCCGAGGGCGCCTGTTGCCCGGCCGCGTTTGACACCTTCGGACAGGGGTTTCTACGTGTAATCTTTTGGAACCCGGGTTATTGTGCGTACCCCGGGTTTCTAAATAGAATTATCCCTGCTTCTGGTCATCTGTACTCATGAACGCAACACACGTCAGCATCGCAGAGAACCGACGGGGATCATCGTAGCACCCGATGCAACGAAAGGCCGCCGAGAAGCGTCCCGGAAAGTCTCTGAAGTCTCGTCGTTTAGCGATGGCCTAGTATAGCATCCATCCTAGCCTGGTGAGTGCACACGTTTTACAATTTGACCTTCTATCTCACACCGGAGGTGCAATAGCCTTCTGCAGATGCTACTCCGAGTGACGACGAATGGAAAGTTCTTGAATCGCATGTCCAGACTCCACTACAGTAATCTACCGGTCCTCGGGACACCCAAATTTTGTTTCGCCCTTTCCGCCTGTTATGCACCACGATCTCCATATCGGCTAGTCCCTTGACATAAGTAGATGTCCTCGCTATGTATCTATAACATTGTGGAGTGATATTCCACCGGATGAATGAGATCGGTAGGGAAATACTCAAAAATCCGTTATCAAAGACTCTTGAGTCCTCGGGACAGTCACATCACGCTCCATTTATGGCAGGAAGACAGATTAGATAGCCGGATCGCACGATCATCTACTGATCGTCTTCGTCTTCGTCCTCGTCCTCATCCTCGTCTTCCTTGTCCCTGCCGCCCTCACCCTCTCCTGCGTCCTCATCTGCATCCTCGCCTGCCCCTTCGTTCTCGCCCTCTAGCCCATCTCCTCCTCCGCCAGAGTCTCGCAGCTTAGGTTTGGGGATTGCGGGCTCGATCTTCCCAAGCTTCGGCTTAGACCACCCTATGCGCCGCTTCTCCTCGCGTGCCCGTATGCGCTCGGTTTCCCACTCTGCCAACGCCTCCTGGTACTGCGCTCTCTGCGCGTCCACACGCTTCTTTCGCGTGTCCACCTGCTTCTCCCATTCCTGCACCTGGGCTTGGTACGCGTCCTTCTCAGCGGCTCGTGCTTGCTTCGCCTCCGCCTCGCGCTCTTGGGTAGCCTCGTACTCTACCACCTCAGAGAAGAACTCTTGGCCATCCAGTAGCTTGGGGAGTCCATCACCAAACACTCGTCTCTTCTTCTTCTTTCCTTGCTGGTCAGTCTGCGTCTGTAGCTTCTCCTGTGCACGATCAAGATACACATTTTGCAGGATTACTGTCGCTTGCATCGTGACCATGGTCGATTTCCTTGCGCTGTCCCTAGCCTCGCTCTCCCGGAGAGCGACCTGCAGCTGGCCCTCAAACTCTGTTGCTGGCTCGTGCCGGAGGAGGTCCTCGTATCGACGCTTCGCAGGAGAGATGCTGTCAGGAAGGAATTGTGGGGGTGCAGCTTGGGCAGGAAGAGGGGAAGGGGAGACAAGGGCGGCTGCACGCGTCAAGGTAAGCCTTTCGACTGTGGTGCGGATGTGAGATGGGGTTCGAGGGGCGGCTGTTGCTTGGGTCGCCGTCGATGGACCTGGGTCTCCACCTGCGCTGGAAGCACTAGCCATGCGCCGTGAGAGCTCCTCCGAGACGAGCTGCGAGAGTATCCGGACCGGGCTTGTTTGTACGAATGGGAGATGGCCTCGGGAGGACGTCTCGAGGCTAGGCGCCATGAGGTCAGCCGTAATGACATCGGGATTGAAGGGCTCGACTCCTGTCTTTCGAAATGCAGCCTTGATGTTCTCTGGTGTGAGTGCTGCGACGTGAGCCCCGCCATAGACTGAGAGGAAGGTGGCCTTAGTGACCTTCTCCCCTCGGCGCTCGAGGGTATCTCGTGCTCGCTTCCAGTGTTGTTTTAAGACACTGAAGATGACGACGTCGAGTCCCTGGTACACATGGGTAGAGTGCGACGGGTAGCAGAGGATGTGAATGTTGTTCTTGCGAGCATAGTCGAGGAATTCGAAGGTATAATGAGAGCTGTGCCCATCGACAAGGAGTAGGCGGCGGCGTCCCGCAGCCTTCTCTTTGGTGTACTTGTCAAACTGTTTGATCCACTCCGCACTGATCTCGCCATTCACATAGCCCTTCTTTGAGTAACCCAGACTGTGCTATTGTGAGTTCACTGAGGTACACAGAAGATGGTGTCAGAGCTCACGAAGCATTCAAAGGGTTATCTTGCTTCCATGCTGCCTGGTACGCTTCACCCTTGTAGATCACGGCCGGTGGAATTGAAGAGCCGTCCGCACATATAGTCACTAGGACCGTGATGTTCTCCCGGTCTCCGCTCTCCTGTTGATACTGAAACTTGCGTCCAGCCGGTCCAATAACACGCTCTGTACCGCCCACCCCTTGTTGCAGCCCCGTTTCATCCATGCCATAGATGCACTCCGGAACGATCGGATCCTCCCCCTCCTCGCCATCGATGACCTTCTTCAGCAGCTCAAAGTATGCCTTCTTGTTTGAGGGATTGACCGAGCGTGCCCGCGCACGGTCAATCGGACGCGTCCAGTAGCGGCCAAGTCGGTCCGAGTGCCTCTCGACAAAACGGTATGTCCACTCTTTCCCTATGCCGCCTGTCGGGAACTCGTTGCCTAGTCGTGCTTTGCAGATGCTGTCGACGTGTTCCTTTAACCGCTGATGACTGAGAGGAAACCCACGTAGCGCCGTGTCAATAGTGAATTCCACGACAACCTCCTCCTCGCCATCTGTCAACCACCGCTTCTCCGCATTGAACGCTCGGATGCTTCGCCGGCCGTTCGCCCGTGCAATCACCGTGCTCTTTGGGAGGTCGATGCGCTTCTTCGTCTTTTCGAAGCACTCCGCTGATATGGCTTGACAGATCTTTCGCACCCCTCGAGGCTTCTTCCTCAGCCGGTTGTCTTGTTCTTCATTGTATGTGTCGGCAGCAATGTTGATCCAGTGATCGTAGAATTCCGAGTCAAGCTGCAGCTGCTTTGTTTTTGAGAGCGCTCGGCCAGGCATTGTGAGTATAAGTTGTGTCACTCAGCAAGAGTCCTCGAGTCGTCCGTTGTCCCTCGCGGCCTGGGGCAGGCGTTTGGTAGCACACTAGCCCGATTTAGTAGTCAGACATATCTGAGCGCCCAGTGTGACGTCCTTCACTTCGAGAGCTGTGGCTGACTGCCCCTCCTTCAGTGGAACTATGATCCTCACCGCGTCCTTCTCCCGATAGCACTGCAAACCCGAATGAATGCTCGTCAATGTCTCTTTGCCCTACAGTCCCAATTTGGGGCCAATCCGCTTTGCCTATGTGCGAGGATCATAGATATAAATTCGCTTGTTGCCCATTCATGGTGTAAGTGCTAACATTTCGAGCGCATTTTCTAAAGACAGGCCAAGATATGATAGAAATATGCTCCTATATGGCTACTGAAGATGCTATGAGAGTTTGGCGTGACCAGGAGGTCTACAGCGGACGGGAAAGGCAAAGTGTCCCGGGGACCCATGGTGTCCCGAGGACCGGTAGATTACTGTAGCAGCGATAATTCAGACAGTGCAGCGTGTAAGGAAAGTTCAGTGGCGCCTGCGTGATTCCTCTAACGCATCGCGCGTGTCATGATTAATATTGTGTCGCGCACGTTGACTGTCAAGCGGCGCGCGTTTGGGAAGACTCCAAGCGTGGCTGGGAAGCAGTTCTGGCGGCGGGCGCTCTTCAGTAGCTATCAGGTGGTCCTTTCGGGTATTGTCCTGACGACGAATTGGTACCGCAGACCGTGTTACTCGTCTTAACGGAGGCGAAGAACGCAACGAAGTCGCACAAAGTGGCACGTTAACGTTGTTGTACACTGCCTGCATGCTGGGTGAGCAGATTGTATCTCACTACCCTTTAGGTTAAGTCGCATACCGCTAACTGTTCCCTAGCTATCCAACACGTAGTGTTGTTAGTGGCTGAACGGTGGGCGGACGATAAAGACCTCTTGCAAGCGCAAGACGCGCACCGGAAGCACGACGCTCCCCCACGTCTACACAACCGCTTTCCTCACCGTGACGTCTTCCATTACATGCTGCGTCCCCGCACTCTCAGCTCCTTCGACGGGTTGACGCTGAGGGCGGTGTCATTAACGCTGATCTGGCAAGGCAGGCAGGCTCTATGTGCATGGTCATAGTTGGTAGCAACGTACCAATATGGCACTCGCAGCACTTATCGGTGCAAGAAGGTTCCGCCGAACCTCAGGCCTCATACTCTTTTTTGACGGTGCTAAACACGCGCGGCGGCAGGCGCCTTTCGTGATTATTGCTCGGCAGTGAGGAACAGCGACCTCTGCGCCTAAACTAGAGCTACCGTACGGAGGAAATGCTTTACGCACGCGGGTACTACAACGTACCCACAGTGTGGGACTGCATGCTCCCCGTACGGCCGACCAGCTAATCCCCGGCCGGTACGTACGTTTGCAGCGGCCTACCCACTAAAACCCCCGGTGATTTAGTCCAATCAGAAGGCAAACGGTCCTCTTCATGTAGCGTCTTCTCCCACGTCTTCAGCACCGTGCTCGGCGGCACAGCCCACTTACCAGCAACCCGTTTACTTGCTAGGGTACAGTCGGTGTTCAGTCTCCCAGTAATCACTCTCATCCAACGATTCTCCACGTAGCCTTCCTCCTCTCGCAGCGGGAGAGGAACACGGCCCCCCACTACCCGGTCGCACCGCAGGACCCAAATCAGGTACGCGGTCTCAGTCAAGATGATGCGGGCGAGGCGGGTGGCGCCAGGGCGGGCTGCGCCCTCAGCGGTGAGTGCGGCGACCGCATGGCCCCCCAGTGCGAGGCCAAGTGTGAGTTCAGGCAGGTTAAGCGACTTCTTGCTCAGGATGCCCCGGGCTAGGGCCCACGCCACTCGCTGCCCTGGCGCCTCACACTGGCACAAGATATGCTCCATCGTTTCAGTCACCCCACATACGGGGCAGATCGCACGGTCCTCATACCCGGGTATGTGCGCCCAGTACTTGCCCACTCGGTGGCCTTCGTGCAGTGCTTTCCACGTGAAGTCGCGTGCTTTGCGCGATATGGGGTTCCGCCTGAGGAGGTTCCACACCATCTGCTCAGGCGCGCGTACTCCAAAAGCCCGCTCCAGGTCCCGCTGGACAGTCAGCAGGTTCCGCAGCGTTGCAGGGCGGTCGTCCTTCGCGTTCCATTCCTGTATCCCCTGGTACGCCAGTCTCTGGGTAAGGTGGGGGAGCGACGCGCCGCGGACCATGTAGCGCTCAGGGGCGGGGAGGTGCAGGGGACGCGCAGGAGGGGGGCACGCCGCTCCCTCTCCCGCCAGGCGGTCGGCTTCTTCATTTCCGCGGACTCCGGAGTGGCCCTTGACCCATTTGAAGGTCGTGGGTGCGCTCCTAGAGCGCAGCAAGCTTACAACTTCTTTGATTATGGTCGCGTTTGCCACACCTATCCAGCCCCGTCTTTCCCACCCCGGGAGGTGTTCCGTTAGCCCATTTACCACATACTTCGAGTCGCTGACAATGTTCATAGGGGCGAAGGGTGCCGTACGACGGTGGGCCATCGCAACAGCGTAGAGTTCCGCAACCTGGTTGGTTTGGGAGTCATAGGGAACCCGCTCCCCAGCATTGCGTTGGTCTCCCTCACCAAACCATACACCACTACCCGCGGCCGCACGTCCAGAGTTAGTGCCAGTTGCGGAGCCATCCGTGAAGATCTCAACACTCTCTCCTGGGAGCTGGAAGGGGTTCGCGGGGCGGAGTGCGGCACGCCTATCTCCATTTTCGCTCCGGACAAAGACTCGTAGTGCCATTGCGAGGGGGCCGTCCGTGGATACCGAGGGATTGAAGAGGACGCGCTCGTGCGCTAGGCGGGCTGTCCGGTTTTCCCCTGCCCGCGTTGGGGTTAGGGTAAGGCCATCCTCATTCTCGTCGCGCGATAGGCTCCATTTCTCACTCAGCTTGCCCAGCAGTTTCGCCGCTGCAGTGGCACATCGGTGGGGGTTGTCACACCCATACTGGGCTCTGTCATACGCACAGTCTTGACACTGGCAGTCCGCACGGCTCACATGGGATCCGTCGTGGGCAGCGACTCGGTCAGCTGCTCTCTCGCATTGCTCAACGGTCCTGACCCGGTGCGCGTTACGCAGGCAGCGGCTCGCTACGGTGTTCTCATTGCAGCGTCCCGGATCTCGCCCAAGGTGGTACCAGGCAGGCATCTGTCGGCGGAGGGCCCGGGACGGATTGTTCGTTTCACAGCGTACGCCATACTTCTTCGCCGCCTGGATCATTGCTTTCAAGCATCGCGGGATCCCCGTCGCCGCCCTGGTGCTAACACTCCACGACTGCAGGAAGGTATTTACGCGGGCCTCTACATCAACGTTCCTGCAATCCGCCGCAATTGCCCGCGCTAGGAGGGCATCCGCCACCGCAGCCCATTGCGGGCGCCGCGCGCCAATGGCCAGGTACGCACGGAGCCACATTAGCTGGATTGCGTCGTTCCGGGTCTTGATGTCCAGCAGATTTAGCCCGCCCTGGGCGATGGGCTTGTATAACTCAGGCCTCATACTCGGCCCAGCACGGTACGCGCTCGGCTCCCGGTCTTGTGGTCCCGGGGTGCTATCTCGCGAAGCAGACGAAGGATACGCGCGAGACGTTACTTACGAGGTATGCGGGCTTGACCGACACTTGCTATAATGGTTAGCTGTTTGCCGTTATACTTAATCGCGTCCTCCTATATTTATATAGGTCACCTTAGAAAGTGCTAATGCATCAGCGTTTGGCTACCTCCTTCCCATTCGCTCCAAATTGCGTCCACCCGTGTCCTCGGTGACTTGGAGGCCTCCCTGCTCTACGTCAGGTGTGCGGGCGTTGGCGCTCGTATGTCTGCGAATCGTCCGTTGGCTCCAGATACCAAGACGTATAAGAGCCTTGCGTATGAGGACGAGCCCCAAGGACCCACTTGCTGCCCTTCTTCAACCGTTCCCGTGCATCAAGTGTTGATCAGTGAGTGCCAGGTCGTGCGGGGAGCTCTATCTGACGCTCCTGCAGAACGAGGACGGCATCAATACGGCATGCCAGACAACCCTGGCAACGTAGCTATGATATTCAATGGGACATTCGCCGTCCACGCTCCTGCAAGTTCCCTTTAATATGATGCTAGATAGCTTGTTAACGAGTTACCGTCCATGCAGCCACCACCCTCGGACACTCAGGATCGTGATGTACGGGAAGCGGACTCGGAAGCGTGGAAGGTGCTCGAACCCCAGGTTGATTGTCTTTGCCAACATCTCACGAGCACGAGTTTGCTAATCAAGTTCTCAGGATGCCCTCCGGATGATTCAGGAGGAGCTTGGTGATACTAAGAACAAGCTCAATGCGCAAGCGGTGCTTGATAAGGCTGTCAAGGAGCACTTCGAAGCGTTGTCCAAAAGATGGAAGTCTGAAATGGACACTCTGTTGATCTATGTAAGTTCTTCGCCCTACTCATACTTACGAAATGCTTACCACACTGCTTCATCGCAGGCGGCCCTCTTTTCCGCTATTCTGACTGCTTTCAACGTGGGGTTGTACAAGCTGCTTCGACCCGACCCGATGGACGACGCAGTTGCGACACTCAAGCAGCTTTCTCAACAACTCAACAGCTACTCGATTAACCTTCCCTTCGTAAATTCAACTCAGCGCGTACCCCCAGCCAACGACGTCGACTCTAACACGACGAAAGCGCATTTCCTTCCTCCTCGGTCCATCATCGTCATCAACACGCTCTGGTTCTCGAGCCTCGTATTCAGTCTCGCCTCCGCTTCCCTAGCTCTCCTGGTCAAGCAATGGTTATACGAGCTCACATACAGGATACCGAGCACGTCTCGGGAGGGCGCTCAACTTCGTCAACATCGCTTGGATAATCTCGCGGAGTGGCACATCCCCACAATCATCACGATCATACCTCTCCTTCTACAGATCGCGCTCGTACTGTTCCTCGTGGGACTCGTCCTCCTGCTGTGGCCTCTCCAAGACACGGTTGCGATGGTTACAACGATCTGGGTTGCACTTCTGTTCACGTTCCTAGTTGTGTTCACCATTCTTCCTGCTTTCAACTGGCGATGCTCCTATCGCTCTCCTCAGGCGTTTATCATCTACGCCGGCGTTCGTGCCTTTCACGACGGCTTTATCAAGCTAGCTCGGGCGGGTCTCGCCCATTACACAAACCTGATCTCTCTGTCCGTCAAGGAGAAACACCGCAGCAAGCCTTGGTGGTCCAAGCTGAGAGACAGATGCAAACGGATATCAGGCTGGACCCTTTACGGTCCATGGGAGGCCCGAGAGCGGGCCTATCTCAAATCACCCGCGACTTCATTATCCCTCGACATCGCCACTGGCACGACGGCGTGCACAGAAACGCTTGACCCCAACTGCTTGGAAAGCTTGCTCCTCGTCATGGCGGAGAAGTGCGCTACACCGTCTCTTGCGAGCTGCCTTCGGTCGCTCGACTGGATGGAGGACATCTCTCAAAGCAACCGGGCAGCCCTCATGATGCGTAGCGATCCCCAAACCCTCCCGAGATTCATCCACTACGCTCTGCTGCAGATGTTCACCATACCACATGCGGAGCGACTCGGGCCCAAAATCGTTGGCTGGGAGCAGGACGTGGTGAAGCTCAGGGATTCCCTCAATCGGCTCCATGTCGACCTCCTGGACGAGAAGTTTCTGCACATGAACTTCATGATCGCGATAGAAGCCAAGTCAATGAAAAACGTGCGCGAAGCGTTGACTTACCTTGCAGGCGCTGTCTCTACTAGCCGCTCCCCTCCTAAGTATTCCACTCTCGTCCGAGGTTAGTCAAGTATCAACACGATGGTTGCTGCGCTAGCGAACTTACATACTGTCTGGGATTAGTTTTATCTTCTGCAGTCCAGTGGCTCGAGCACGAAAGGACCGACCGCATCTCGAAGCAGATCGCTGAACTTGAACGCCAAGCCGAGGCACTCCGGACCGAAAGACTAGCTGGTCGCGCCGAACCTCCTCCCCCCGTTGCCAATCCTCCTCCCCCTGTTGTCGAGCCCACCCAGTCGCCTCAGAACGTGTTACTCGCGTTCTCTATCGTCGTTCATTGCGCCCTTTGCGTCATCAAGGGAACGGTGGTTGTTCCCGAGCTACGGAGAGGCTCGTTCGAAGACCTTTGCGCGCAAGCGAACGTGGCAGTCCTGCTACGGTCTCTGCCAAGGGCCAACGACCTTACCACGCACCCCGTTCTGTCTAAGGACTTCATGGCGGGGTTGAACACGCTCCTTCGTCCGCTCACGCGCCTCTCGCGATGCATGGTTGAGGCGGCCCGGGCGGATATGCCGCTGCCGCTCGACATGGCGTTTCTCATCCGCGAAGACTTTGTTCAAGCCTTGGTGGATGGGTACATCAGCGCTCAAAAGGGTCTTCCTAAGGAAAAATTCCCGCTACTTATGGTGCCCGGCATTCTTGATCTCCATGAGAGGCTCGCGGCATTGGGGGGCACGCTCCAGCAACACTTCCGCGTTGGTGAACAAGGCCTCTTCTTCGAAAACGAAGCAAGTTGAATCACGCACCCGTAACCTGCAGCATGGTAAGTGTGCCCTCGATCTCGCCGCGCGGCGTTTATAACTGACGACGACGATAGGAAGTCGACGACGCGTACGACGTTGGACCTCTTGGGCTTCTTGGGACGAGGGAATTGGCTGGATCTCCCCGCGCGCGGCTGTAGTAACGCCGTAATTCTTGACCACATGTACCACCACTCGTTGCTCTGATATCATTTCTTGGATCTGTATGTCCGCATGTCATCGTTTCGCTGTGCGGTCTGTGTGCAAGGGTTTTGTTGGCTCGTCTCGGCATGAGACGAGGACGTACCGGGCACGCAATTAGGGCTGTACGTTTACAGGTTCTGGCTTTGTGCGCGGCCATTCCTGTCCTCCGTCTGCTCTGCCCGGACGCATTGCGGTAAGGAAGGCCAACTTTCGTGTTCGGGTTACGGCTAGCCGCAGGATGGCAACTCACACTTTCCCTCATACCACGGGCGCGACGACCCATAGCGTTCGATAGTTGAATTGGCCAATGGCGGGCCAGGGCGGTCTCTCACTCTCGCTCTTCAATCTCCGTCGAATACACAGCAAGCAAGCAACGATAGCAGAGCACGGTCGACCTATACCGCGCGGACCCGATTACAGGCGTAGTATACAATAGTGTATCGTTACTTTTGGGCGTAGGCCCGAGGAAAGTGACGGGGCGGTCTCTGAATTAGATCTTGCTGGGGAGATGTTGCTTCGCTAGATCTTGCCGAGGGAGAGGTTGCGGAGGTACTCGCGCGCCGTGATGCGCACGGTCTCACCGAAGGACCAGAAGTCGAGCGTGGACGAGAACGTGTCCGCGAAGCCGAAGGGCAACATGAGCGGGATCCAGCCTACAACGCGCAATCAGTTTTTCGCTTTCCGTGACGCACAGATGCTGGGGATGCAGGGAACAATTGAACGCACCTCTGGCGTACTCGAGCGCGTAGCAGCCCTCGTGCATCTTGTACTGCTTGACGTGCCCGCGGCGGAGGTGGTGCACATCGCCTGGGCGGTACACCTCCATCTGCAGTTTCGGCGGGTCGAACGCCCACTGCTCCCCGACGAGGATGTTGAAGTAGTCGTCCGCGGTGTGCACGCCGCTGTGGCCCTCCGTCCCGAGCGGCGTCCCGAACACGATAAGGTACTCGGTGATGCTCGCGTGGATGACGTACATCGCGCCCATCGCGCCGCCCGCGTTGTTGAACACCCACTCGCTCGCGTCCGTGTTGATCGCGATAGCAGACGAAGGGTAGTGCGCGGTGAGGTTCGAGACGATGAAGGGGATGATCGCGTCGATATCACCGGGGTGCGCGCGCACCGCGGCCTGTGCAAGCTCATGGAGGTGCTCGGGCGTGAACACGTACCATCGGTCCTAGAAATGGGCGTGGCGTGAGTCTACTGTGTTTCGGGGTTGGCGCGACAATCACAAGAACACACCTTGACACGGTCGAGGACGGCGCAGGCCAGGTAAATGACGTAGGCGATGACAGCGCGGTACGCCCACTTGATGAAGGAGCTCCCGGGCCTGGTGGACGCGGCCGCGCCTCCAGACTTGGCGACGCCCGACGCGGACTTTTTCGTGGCACCCATGGCGTGTGTGAGCTGGTCGCGGTGTGTGAGGAAGGGGCGGGAATAGCGCACGGTTTATATGGCGGACGCGCCGCCGCTACGCGAGAGGCCGAGGACGAGTGGAACGATGTCCGGCACATATTTCGCGGGCGTCGCGGTCCGGCTCGAATCCGGCTTCCCCGCCAACGCGCGCTCGTCAGCAGCGCTGACTCCGCGCGCCGGTTCGGCTTTGATGGGCAAAGCGGTCTGAGGGAACAATGAGCTGCACTGAACGAACCGAACCAAAGGACAATGGGCGTGCCACGTTGGACGGGAGACGCGTCTGTCCTGATTGGGTGTGCCCCGTGGCCGTGTCGCCCGCCTGCGTTCCCCCGTCCCCTCCTCCCCTCTTGCCCTCTCCCCGTCTTCCCCGACGCCCGTTACCCCCCCAGCACCCGCCGTGATACCCTCTGCTCTGCAGCACCCTCTAATCCTTGCTCGACGCGCAGCAGACGACCTCACGACCGGACTTTACGACGACTTCGGACCCGCTAGGAAATATTTCCACGCATACATCCACATTCCGCATATCCAACCCAGACACGCACCATGCCCTCGCGAATTCGCAAGGCCGCAGCCGCTTCCCCACCACCCGCGACGGCGAATGGCGACGCTACACCACCACCGCCCCCGCCCAAGGACGAGGCGGCCGCAGCCGTCGACGTCGACGCGCTGCTGGCGCCCGTGCCCGGCGAGCAGCGCGAGGAGGTGAAGGTGAACAACGCGAGTGCGTCAGATATGAAGCACGCGTGCGACGATGCCCTCAAACGCGTACGTACTCTTTCTTCTCTTCCTTGCTTCTCCCGTTCGTCGTTGTGGTGGGCTGTACATCTGGGTGGGGGAGGGCGAGGTCGTGTGCGAACGCGCCGACCGCGGACCGCCTCTGCGTTGATTGTGCTGCTGTTCGTGTGATGTTGCTTCGCGCTCGCGGCTCGGGCTGGGCGTGCTAGAGCTTATCGTGGTTTGCGGAACGCCGACGCCATCGACGTCTGAGGTCCACTGCGCGTGCCTGATTGCTCCAATGCCTTGTCGTCTGTTCCTGGCTTGGTTTAGGTCGTGTTTCCGTGGTTAACGCCGTGTTGTGTTCACGATACGCAAAGCGTCGCTGTATGCGGGTCAGTGCCGCGTGCTTTATACCAGTTGTGATCTTTGCATATGACGCTGCTTATGACGGCAAGGGCCAAGGTGGTTCCGCGCACCCTTCGCGCACAACTAGCTTTGCCTTTTGAACTATCCCCATGCTCGGGACTGCCCTGCCGATTCGTAGGCGCGCGCCGGATGAGGCTCTCGCTCTCCTTCTGCTGTCTATCTCAATTTTTATTCCCAAGCTGACCTGAACGCCATTCACAGTATCTCTCCCGACCCGACCTCTTCAAGCAAATTCACACACATACAGACGTACGATTGGCTCTCGGCTGGCTCTCAGTACTGGTCGCCGGCGCAACGGGTCTCTATGGCTGGCGCGTACCCTTTGAACAGGGCAAACCCGTGGTGTGGGCGGGGGTGATTGCGTACGTGTCTCCTTTTCTCCGCATTACACGCATCGCGCAACTGCCGAACTTGTGGCGTGCCGCCGAGCTGCGCTATGTGCGGCACGTTTCATATGCCGAACGCAGATGTTGATCATAGTTTTGACCCTGCAGATACGTGATCCTGACGGTTATCCAAACGCTATACGCGTATTTTGTCGAGGGCGATATCGTGTTCGTCGGGAAGCGCAAGACGTTCGACAAACGCGTACGTCCCTCTCCTTTCTTTCCCTTCCCCGTACTCACGCCCGTTCCTGTAGATCGTGACCGAGCGGATAACGATCACCTCGAAGACGACGCCCTCGACGCCCCAAACGCCGCCAGGATACGCACTCTCACTCGCGTACGTGCGCTCGGCGGCGGGCGGGAAGACGCTTCTCGGCAAGGGCCGCGCGCAGGAGGAGCGGCACTACACGGAGTTCTTCGACACCGCGGGCGTCATGGACCAGGAGCGCTTCGAGCGCTGGGTCGGCGGCGTTGTCGGGCGCGTCATGGACGGGAAAGCGCAATAGGCGTAGGCGCAGGGAGACCGGTGGTGAAAATTTGTACGCCTTAGGGGCGGGTATGGGTATACCGTATGGATGGCACTATGGATGGCACTATGGATGGTATGGTATTTAGTGCGTAGGTGGAAGGTAGAAGGTAGTAGGGAAGGCGAAGGAGGCTGTACGTGTACATGTAGTCGGCCATGGGCTCCTTTTTTCATCTTCTACTCATGCGAGGCTGCAGGCAGTTGTGTCTGTGACATTAAGTTTAAAGCGAGGGTGTTTCGGCGTGTTTGTCTTTGTGTGTTGGTTCGAAGCTGCACCTTCTCGACGTGAAAAGAAGACGGTCGGCACCTCTCCCCATGTTGTACAGCGTCTCTACAGCATTTTACTCTAGCACATCGGTACTTGATGATTGTAAGTAAGCTAGTTCTGTTCTAGCGCTTTTCTCGCATATCAACCGCTAAAATGCGGGCCGCGCAAATGGTTCATGACCGGAACCTTCACCTCTTCCTCTTCGAGCCTTAACGTTGACCGGGACCCCTCGTCCATCTCTCCACCTACAGTCCTGGCTGCCTCCCACGATGCCAGCTATGTCGCATGCCATAGTCCTTGCCCATCTCGACCATCTTGGGTCAGCGTGCTGGTTGACGTATTCTGCTCAAGTTGCCGCAATGAAGCTCCCCAACGAGCCTTTCTGGGCCCTGCGATTTGGTTTGAAAAACGAGTGGAGTTATGGTCCAACTGAACCTGATTTGATTTGCGCAATCTCTACACTTCCGTCCTCTCTTCCCATTCCCGACGCCTCCTTCGCCCTGGGTCCCAAATTGGCGCTTGACACCCACGAACTGTCGCCTGGCATTGCACCTGGGAGCGTGCGGCTGACTGTTCATCCTCCTTTAGAGAGCGCGTCGGATGTGCTACACGAGCCGGTCTATCTGCATACAGCTCCAATCCTGAGGATGGCAGGGAGTCGCCACCCGCCTATCGAACCTGAAGAATCGCGTCACCAGCTGGATGCCGAAAGTCTTCTCAAGTTCACAGCGGCCGCCTCTGCAAATATAGAACACGCTCGGGATGCCTGGTTCGCGCGTACGAAAGTGTCGCTGGAAGAGTGGGTAGAGCGCCACACTCCCGCTACTGAAGGGAACGAATTGGCACAAGATTGGGAGCCCGGCAACATCGACCCAACGTACATCTTTGGCGAGTTGCAAAACCCCCATGAGTATTGCTTCAACTTTTTCCCGAAAGGGACAAGATACTATTGCGAATATCCGACGCCGGTTTACGAACAAATGGCGCTTTATGATCAGTACGTGCGCCGTTTTGTTTGCCCGCTTGAGCCATACTGATTGCGCCACAGGCTCTGCAAAGACTACAGATGGTCTGGCGTGGAACCCACCATCCAATGGGTGCAGGCCATCCGCGCGGTATGTTCCTCTTGTGCGACCGCCAAAGGCAATCCCCACCGACACTGAACGTTACGTCTCACGCAGGAGGTGGACAATCGTAGCGTGCCCCCACCGAGTTGTGTGACGGCTGATGTTCCCGTACATGCTCCCGTGAGCTCTTTGATCGAGAAAGATCCGGCATTCCGGGCCAAGCTGGAGCTCCTGACGGAACGGATTGCACTTGAGTTCATGCAGTCCCCGGACTCGGATGACGAAGACGATTACACTAGTAGCGGCGGCAGCGGTAGTAGCAGCGGCTGGGCGTGGTTCCTCCCTTTCGCTAGCCCAACTATCGCTACGTACTATCCACGGGTGCCAGTGCGGCGCAGTCCACCCGTGGTTGTCCTTGACATGTTCGGCATCATCCTAGTGAGCGCCGCAACCGACTTCGTCATCGGCATGATTTGAGAATACTAACACGGCGAACGCTTGTATAGGACAGGGAAGGCGCTATCGGCACCGCGCTCGAGCCGTGGCTACCCCTAGCCCGCCGCTGCCGCCCCGACGATGTGAGAGAAGCTGTGAAACTGTACATCGAGCTCGAGGCGCTCGCGATGCGCGAACTACGCTCCAACGCCACCTCTCTGCCGACCATTGTCCACGCCGCGCTGGCTGCACTTGCGAACAAGCTCGATGTGCCGTCCGCCTCCCGCCCTGCGTTATTCGCCGACGCCGCCGCACGTATCCTCCATCCCCCCCTGATATACGACGTCGAGGAGCACGTCGAGGAGCTCTCGCGGCTTGGGTGCGCCGTCGTCGGTCTAGTGCCCTTCTCCTGTGACACTCTGGCCGCGCTCCGCCCCGCGCTCCCGCCCCGCCTCCGAAACACTATCAAGTTCTTCCCCGTGCCCATTCCGGTGCACACGGCGGTCCCGTACACGTTCTGCGCCCAACTGCGGCAGTGGTGCCAGCAGAACATCCCCGCGTTGCGCGGCCGCTGCGCCCCCGAAGACGTCGTGATCGCGACCACGGGCTTGGGCCGCATCGTCGAGCCTGCGACGGCGGATGCGCATCCGACGGTGCTCGTCTGGCGGCATGGCTTGAACATCGAGGGCTCCGTCGAGTACGCCGTCGGCAAGGGCGAGATGACCCCAGCCCCGTCGACGGTGGTTTGGGGCCTCGAGGGGCTTTGTTGTGCGATCAACCCAACGGCTTGAATTGAAGTGGCATACGGATACGTGTATCATGCATATGGGTGCCCATTGGATCGTCGAGCTCATGCGGAGCGGTCCGTCGACTTGTGGGCGCCTGTCGTGATTGCCGTGCGTGCGGCCCTCTCTGTACGTAACACCACGAGCCTTCGGCGTGATCAAGATCTGTAAAATTCAACTTGGAGCTGCGCTGGCGCATTGGCCTGCGACACATCAACATGCGTGGGGCCCCCAAGGTACACCAGTTCATTCACTCCTATTCCGTGCGCGGGATATATCAAGTGACGCACAGATTGGGCGAAGGATCGGAAGGCAGGTATACTTTATTTTGTGATGCAGCGCGAGCAGACCACCAACACCTCTTCTGATGTTTTCTACAGGCATTGTGATGCGCGCGTTCAATATCAACACAGGAGCCGAAGTCGCTATCAAACAAATGAGCCGCACCAACAGAGATGACCTCCTCTGGCCCATATTGAAGTTTGAAGCATTGATGCACGCGCTTATCCCTGACGGGACAGAGGGCTTCCCGTCTGTCCACTATGCTGGCCCAGATGCGAACGCGTACGTCATCGTCATGGACAGGCTCGGTCCAAACCTCGGCGCGTTGCACTGTCTGTGCAGAGGGACATTCACACTCCGCACGATATGTATGCTCGCCGATCAAATGGTGAGCTGTCCGACCGCTTCGACCGTTTACGAAATGGCTGAATGTTTCATTTTCTCCCTCGCTACCCCACGACAGCTCGACCGGATCCAGCTAGTGCACTCTAGAGGGATGGTGAGCTGCGACATCAAACCCCACAACTTTGCGATGGGCTTCGACAAGACCGCCCACATCGTCCACATGTTCGATTTCGCAGGCGCCAGACTCTACGTCACCCCAGATGGCGAGCATCTCCCGCTCTCCACGAGCAAACGTCCCCTCGGGACCGCCAGATACGCCAGCCTCGCCGCACACAAGGCTCAAAGTGCGTCTTGCCCCCTCTCCCTCTGCCTCGCATATTGCTAATGACGCCTATCTACAGCCGTTTCCCGCGCGGACGACATCGAGTCCTTGCTCTACGTTCTGCTCGAGTTCCTCCACGGCACCCTCCCGTGGGAAGGGCTCCCCGTATCCCTCGCAGCGAAGACTGTTTTTGTTCTGAAGGCCGACTCGTCGCCCACCGGGTCTGTCCAGACGCTCCTCGCGCGATCCCCGCCGGAGTTCGCGGCCTACCACGCCCACGTGATGGGTCTCGCATTCGGGGCGGAGCCGGACTATGCGTTGCTCCGCGGACTGTTCCGCAGGCGGATGCGCGATGAGGGCTGGATGTACGACGGAAGGTACGACTGGATGGACCCGTCTGGGCTCGTGAAGGGGACGCTCGTACCCGCGGAGTACAACGTGTCGATGGACTTCGTGGAGGACAAGGAGTGGAACCCGAAGTATACGTGAGGGCGGGCATTGGAGAGCTAGTACGAGTACGACGGGAAACTTGGGTACTCGGACCATATAGCATCCATTACAAAGTTCTTACTTCGTACTTGTTTACAATATCACCCTGCTATATTCTCGTGACCTGCGCGATCTGACTTAGCCTGCAGTGTTATCTTCTTCCAGCCAGCAGTCAAGTGAAGGTCATAGCACTGGAGACGGAAGCTTTGTATAAAAGTAGATCGACTATCATCTACTACAATCAGCTTCAGAGACTACACAAGCATATCGTAAATGTCGTCGTAGCGCCACATAGTCTCGACACCGCACAGACTGGCAGAAACACAAGCACCATCTGGCGAGGAACACAGCCCACGTATCGCACCGGAGCTGACTAGCAGTCCGGCGCCATCCTGGAACCTGCATACCGCTGGCAACGCAGTTGCACGAAAAGTGGGACACCACGTCAGAAGGAGAGAGCGCGACAGAGCCCATCCAGGCCGCCAACGACGGCCGATGGCTGCGGAGTGGCATGGCCCGTGCCAACGACGAAATTCACATCGCACTCGATGCCTCCAGGCCGCTTGATCAGCACCGTGGGGTGCATATCTGTCGACGCCCAAGCGAGAATCCGGCCGACGCCCCCGCTCCCGACGACGATTTCTTCCGGGGCGCAGCCGCCGTGGCACGATGGGAGCACCTGCTGACACCACCGGCGAAGCGTCGCAAAGAACGTGGCGGGGACGGCGACGTGCAGCGGTATAGGGCAGGGGAAGAGCTGCACTCCGGCTGCACGGAGGCGGGGCGGGAGCACGGCCGCGAGCGTGCTGGCGGAGAAGGGCACGAGGGCGACGATCGTGCAGCCGCGCTGGGAGAGCTGTGCTACGGCCCGCTCGGCGTCCTCGTACGGCTGTGGATGGAGAATGGACGCGGCGGCGTCGGCGAAGAAGGTACTGCGAAAGACCGCCGGCAGCCCGAGCCTAGTTGAGAATGTGGCGAGGGCGGTGTGGAAGATGACCGGTAGCGACGTGGCGCCGGCGCACAGCTCGCGAGCGGCCAACGCTTCGAGCTCGATGTAGAGTTTCAAAGCTGCTACTGAATCGCGGGGTCGGTGGCGGACCAGAGGCAGCCACGGCTCTAGAGCGTTGAGGATTGCGCCTTCCCTGTCCTGCATAGAACGTGCCATGCCATTCACATCAACGCATGTCTGCCGGAGGCGAAGGGTGCTCACCAGAATGACACCAAATGTATCGAGGATGACGACTCGCGGAGCGGGCGGGAGAGGTACACTCGAAAACCGCGCCGCGAGGAGTGGGCACGCGAACGGAAGCCACCAAATCCAGACGCTTGAACCGCTGCCGCTGTCAGAGTCATCGCCCTCTTCGTCCTCCAGACTCACGACCGGCAAAGATGCCATGGACATGAAAGCTCTCAGGTGTTCGCGGAAACTAGCTTCTTGTTGGAGTACGGTTCGAGTTGATGCCGGGGACGAATTTGCATGGGACATGGACGGCTTGCGTCGATCCTTGAGGTGAAAACTTTGCTGACAACGAGGTATGATTCAGCGTCCGGGCGAGTCGCCACTGGCAACAAGGTGAAATACCGCTCGGCTGCCCCGCACCCACGCAATGGTTGATTCTACGTTGGGCCATCTGTAGTCTTTGCACACCCTGTTTTTACTTGTGACATCGACTTTTACGACAATTGAGCAGATGTACTTGCTGACTATAAAATACCGTTGGATAGTCACAGAACGGCAGAGGGTGGTCGGGGTCGCCATAGGAGAAGTCGAAGCAATATGCATGAGGATTGTGCAGTTCACCGAACATGTATGTAGGGTCCGGATGGCCATTGAAGAGCGGCCAGTTCGAGTCGTCATCCAGAGCACATACAGCATAAGCGTATGGCAGTCTTGCTTTCAGCAATTCCTTCTGCTGGCATTCCCAATATTGGTAGATCAACTGTCTGTTAGTAATCACAGCTGATTTGAACAGACGAAGACTGTCAGGGTCAAGTTGATGGAACATGGCGGTGTCGTCAGCTATGCGGCCCCCTTCCATGATCATGACGGTCGGCACAGTGTGCACGTAGAGCGGTTGGTGTAGGGCAATGCCTAGACAGCGTATCGATGGCCAAACGAGTAGCTGAGGCCCTGGAGCCCCGCCGGTATCGGTGGACAGTTCTCCGGTATCGATGTCAAACTTGGGCCCCAATGTTAAGGATGTGTTGGGAAGGTGGAAACCCTGTGGCGTCGAGGATTGCGCAGAGCAAGGCACCCGGCGCAGGGTCCTCTTCTGATTGCTCGGTCAAGCTGAATCGGATGGCCCAGAATGGCGAGCAGGGAATTCTTGAGGCAGCGAGACGACCGGAGCGAGGTAACCAATATGCGGATGCGGCGGGATTGAACTGGGCGACAATGAGTGAGTGCGGCATCTGAGAATAGCGGATAGAGATAGTAGAGATGGCATGAAGTTGTTCGCGTGGATACTTTCAGTCGTAGTGGTGGCCGTTCTTACTTGAAGTGCAGCAGAAGCAAGGCAGACGCGTCCCGGGGCTCCTTGACCACGTACCACCACCACCTACGTTTTTCCCACGCCTCTCCCCCGGGTGTGCGGAAGGCGTCCTCGTCCATAGCAGAGATGCTGGCAGGTAAATATGATTTATTACGGGACTGTGGGTGCCTCATGAAGGATGTAAGAGCACCGACAGCAGAACCTGCAAAGCGGGGATGCTAGAAATTGCTGTATGTGCGATGACGTGTATGCTCGGGGCAGGCGCTAAGCCAAACCGGAAGGAAAAATCTGCTGCATGAGCCTCTGGACCCTTAGAAGCACGCGGGGATGTCTAGAAAGGCTTAAGGGCTAGTGAAAGCTGGCCTAGCACCCAGCAGAAGTGAGATGGTGAGGCCAAAGCTACGAGACCCACGGCTACCTAACCAATTTGGCCCGCGATGCCTATTGCATGTGATGGATGCACGAGCGCGCTGAGGCCGGCACGGAGAAGTGGTAAATACAAACAGACGAAATACAAAGGAACGCGGCAATAAGCCATAAGATATATGAGAGGGTGAATGTCTGCGAGTGAGTGGATGTAAGTGACCAGTATGAACAAACGCGAAAGTACTTAACCGGTGCACGCGAGTGGACCACTCACTGCATAAACCGCCAACGTCGCCCACCACGGACGAGTGAGTGCTGGTGAGGAAGGGGATGAGAGATAATGGGTAGCTGCCTAATACTGACCTTTGAGAGACTAAGTAGTTGCAAGTAGGCACGGTACGTCCTACGTAGTGCAGTCAGAGTTGGAGCTACACCGCGCGAGACAGACTCGCGGTGTATGGTGTCCGGGGTGCCAGGTGGTCTCGCACGAACTGGCGTTCGTACGCCACGGGCGAAGCTCGTGCTACCTTGAAACGACATAACGCGTCTGGCTACAGCTTGGTCTCGTGTCAGCTATCTAAGCTGCGTAATGCTCTATACGCGTGGGTAGCGACATCATTAAATAGCCCTCGAAATTTCACCCACAGCCCTGTACGACTACGCTCATGCCACCCCAATCGACTCCGCTCATCCTTCACCGTCCCTCTTGGAGGTCTGCAGGTCAACTTCCACGCGCGCACGTTCAGCTACGAGGTATGCCGTCTATTACGCGTTCGGCCGCTCTGCATCGTTAACCCTCTGCGCAGGCGGAAGACGTTGGTTTCGTGCCGGCCTTCTTCGGACACGTTGAGAACACGGGCGACACCACGCTCCGCTTCCTCGAGATCTTCAGCACGAACCACTTCGAGGACATCAGTCTCAGTCAGGTGCCTCGCCCGAGACTTACTTCTTCAACGCGCGAGTACACCGAGCGTCCAGCTGACTTCGTTCTTCTTGCCTTGTTCCGCTAGTATCCGCAGCGCGATCTGGCACGGAAGGGTGCGTAGGCTCGCGCGGTGACAGATATCAGCTTATTATGTCTTTATGGTGAGTTCATCGTCCATCTGCACAGCAGCTTGCAGCGAACAACACCATACAGGGCCCGGATATGACCGGCAGGGCCACGGGTTGCCCCCCCCCATTGAACGTCAGAAACTGCCTTTCAGGCCGAGGTGCGTATCCAGCCCTTCTAGACTCATCTCTAGTGCTACATCTGGCAGCCTTATGGTAAGCATTTCTGACATTGCGCCGGTATGCTCAAAACTACTTTCGCATCCTTCGCAAATGCTCACCTGTTCACCCCTAGTATCCACAAGCTCTCAACACAAGACGGCAGCTGAGAGCCTGGCCGGTCAAGCGAAGGATGGTGGCGTATTCCGGGTCGAAGTTGGAGGACAGCGAGTGCGCTGCGCTGCGCAGGACGGGTCAATGGTCGGCCAGGCTTCGGGGCTGTACTACTTACTGACATGTACACGTACTACATAGTATTAATCAATAGCCTATTTGTGGTTATAAGTATCCGGTCCAGAAACGTCGGGTCCTAGGAGCGAGCCCAGAGCAATCAAGGCTCTTTCCCTATACGTCTGCCTGCTTAGTCTTTCTAGTGGTCTCTCGCTCGTAGTGCGACTAGGCAGCCTCGTGCGTTGTTGTGTCAGCTCTGCTATATGATATCTCTACCTCTTGTCTACACTGCTACTACCACGCGCCGTACACTATAGCACTTGCCTTACTGGACTATCTCGATGGCCTATAACTACCTGATACCCGGTAACGTCGCGCACCCTCAATTAAATTCGCACTACCATATCTAGCTCACTAGCCACTAGTATTAACCCGCCTTTGTAGCACGGTCACGCCGCATGTGTGCTAGAAGAGGGTTTTACGCAGTGACTGGTATCACGGTGATGCACCGGCGCATGCGGTCGGGCCGATTGCGTGGCGAGGCATAGGAGCGCAAGGATGGATTGAAGGCGGCGCGATGCTGTATCAACATAGGTGGGTGGACTGCTGGAGGCGCGGTGGCGTGTCGGCGCAGACGGCGGTGAGGCGCTGCGGCGGCATAGGAGGCGCCGAGGCGTTGTGTCGACGTAAACGGGTGGCGCGGCGCGAGAGCACTGGCGGAAGTAAACAAGAGTACAGTGAGCCACGTGAAGGGGAAAACGCCCACGTCCACGCCCGCGAACACGCCCGCGAACACGCCCGCGAACACGCCCGCGAACACGCCCGCGAACACGCCCGCGAACACGCCCGCGAACACGCCCGCGAACACGCCCGCGAACACGCCCATCTGCCTGCCTTCCTGCATGCTGCTCAGGCTTCCATGACAGGCGAAGCCCATGAAGCACAAGAAGAAGAGAATAGAAGCACACTGCTGAGAAGGGAAAGAAACCGCATATATACAGGGTGATTGAAGGAGATAAGACGCAACAAGCCGCCCCATACAACCCCTGCTGCCCCACCACCCACCTACCCACCCGCCAATCACCTGCTGGCATAAACCATGAGCCAGACGACCTTGATCCTGGGCGTCCTCAGAGGGTCCGCCCCTGCCAACACACCAAACAAAAGTCGCTCCTTCTACACGGAACAGGTCGACGTGACCATACCGCCGAAGACGCCGCTGAGAGTAGGCGCAAGGGTGAAAGTCTACACCATCGAGGAGATCAGCGACCCCTTCGGGCGAGCCCAGGACGATGAAACTAGGAAAACATACCAAGCTGAGCCGCTGGGTGTCGAGGGGAGGATCACAGGCGTCAGGATGATGGAGCGAGAGGTCACTGAGTTCGTCGTCAGCAACGAGAACCCCCGCTCAGCGACGGCGCACGCATACCTGACGATCAAACACGAGCAAGGGAAGACGGTGAACTTCGAGCTCTGGAGACGGATCCTCAGATGGCTCATGCTACCCATGCTGGAGACAACGCGGTGGATTCCGATGGAGGACGGAGCGCTTGTCCTGGACAAAGCCAACCTCCCGAGCACGGCGGAGGAACGGATCGGTTACGGAGACTCCTCAGGAGTAAGCTACAACGGCGGGAGAGAGGACGCCTAGTCCGGCACGTCGGATGCAGGAGACTGAAGAGGAGAGGAGAGAGAGGGGTCAGACACGGAACGCGAACATGAGAGAGAGAGAGAAGAAAGAATTGGGACATAGCTTGACCCTTGCCGATCTGCAATCGCACGCCGCTGAGCAGGAAACATAGCTCGCCGGAACATGACGGAAAGGGGACGCAACCCCGCGCCGAGTAGATCCGCGAAATGGGGAGATAAAAGTCGGGCGGCTAAGGCGAGCAGCAGTGTGGCCGGCAACAAAACGCCGATGCAAAGCGCTGGCGGAAGACAAATCTCGCGCCCGAGTGAGCGAGAACCTAACAGAATGAGAACGATGGCATGAGTAAGAACGGAATAAGGAAGCAAGGGGAAAATGAGCGAACGATAAGTCGCGGGAGGGGACGTACCGCGAACAAGTCAGAAGAGCTACAAAGCAAGCGAAAGCAAGCAAGACACGCGGAAACTGGAACTAAGCTAAGACAAGGGACACACACACTGTGAATGAGCATGTAAGTCATGAGAGGCCTCAACAAATGTGAGACTGGACGAAGCGCACCGCAGGAAGTCCCGAAATGAGACAGAGGGCGCTAAACCTGGAGAACAAGCACGGGTGACTTCGAGCAAGCACCCGGCGGGACCGGAGAAGCTCCAGAGAAAGCGAGAAGAACCAAAGAAAGAGACGAGCAGAAGACGAGGCACCGACTGAATGCGAGCGCGAACCACGGCGAGATCGCTACCCTAAATGGATGAGCGCCAGACGCTTCCGGGGGCGAAGCAGGAAGCGCTCAATTGCACTGAGCGTTGTGGCAACAACTGCACCGGAAGCGACGGGTTGTCGACCTGCGCGCGACAGCGAGGATGGCTCCCGGATAGAACCACCGCGCGCGCGAGGCGAGCGCGCGACCTGTCTGCCCATATACCGGACGCGAGTCGAGCTACCCCTCCTTGCCCCTCCCCACTTTCCCTCTGCGCCCGTTTCAGCGTGCTACGCCGCGCGACGAGAATGGATCCACTTGCTCCGCCCTACGGTACACACCAGAGCCAGACGGCTGCCCCCCTCAGCCGAAGCGCGACACCGACGAACGGCGCAGACCCCGATCCGAGCGTGAATGAAACGACGCAAACCAGTAAGGAGGACGCCATGAGGAGCCTCGATGAGCTCATGGAGCAGGAGAGACAAGCGAACGAACTAAGAGTCCAGGAAATGGCGAATGGACAGGTATGCAAAGTACAACGCGCCTCATGAAACGATAGAACTAAAAACAGTACTATTACCTCCTTATAATTGAACGCACTCTCCGCCTAAATCCGCTACAAAACCCGAACGAAATGGGTTGCACAGGACGGTGTGGATGAAGCAACGCCGATCGCGACGCCCGCGTCCCAGCAGACACGCCGGGCTGAAGCGCAAATGGCCTCGCCCGACCCGTTCATTGTCACCCCCGCACGTGGGCAACGTATCGCACGTCCCTTCGCCCCCCTGCTTGGGTACGAAATGGAGAGTACTCAGGAGCAGTCGAAGGCAAGCACCGAGCAAGAGGACTGGCTCCAGGAGCTAACCTCGGACGCGGGCTCGTCACAGAATACAACTCCAACGGAGAGACCGAGGCCGGAGACTGTCGGGGCGAACAGGATCACCCACCGACCAGGCCAATCAACCCACATTGCTGCCACCGCACCGCCCGAGAGACCTCTGAAGAGACTTAGAACTGAAATGTCTCCGGAGACACCCTCGCACAGCGCGAGATCGTCGCTCGCGGCCGTACCACACACCCAGACCAACAACGTCGACATGAACCAGAACACTGCCGTTACCGCCGTGCGAGCTGGGACGTCGTCGACTGATGAGCCACTGCCGCAGTATACGCCGCCGAATCAAGAGGTCGCGGTGAATAGGTCGGACGTCTTCGGGTTTCTCGCCGACGCGGTCAACGTCTGGATAGCCCAAGGCCCTATGAAAAATGGGGACGCACCCCCAGCCCCGTACGACGGTAGCGACATCGAACGTCTGATTGAGGCATGCGCCTCAAGCACGCAGCAAGAGGCGCCCGCGCACACGATGGCACTGTCCTACAGCATGACGAGCGAGAGCACCCAAACGATCTCTAATCCCGCTCTCCCCGGCATCTACCAGAGCGATCACGCGGCACGACAGCACACGCAGCACGCGGCGTCGTACCCGCGAGCGAACTTCCAACTCGTGCGCCACGACAGGAGGGCAGCCGCTGATATCGGGGAGTATCAAGTGACGGGCGTGGACACGGGAGAAGCACCCGAGAGCATGGATGTCGATCCCAACCCATCCCGGGCGCACCAGCGGGGCTCGCACGGGACCGAAGTAGCGGCCCCGCAGCACCCCGCGGCGCCGGGATCGGGCACCGAGGACTCGTGGCCGCCCCTCGCAAATTTCCGGACGAGCTTGGACAGAGTCAGGTTCCTAAACACGAGCGGAATCATCCGTGTTGTCGAACGCATGCTAAGCAGCTACCCAGAGCGCCACCGCAGAGGGCCCTTCGACATCACAAACAACCTCAGCGCAGCAACCTTGCGCGCGTGGGACAACGAGCGGCCGAACCAGCGGTGCCTCGTTAGCTTCTACAAAGGGAAGGTCCTCATGTCGGAAGAAGACGTGGAGTTCTATCGAAGCATCATTCGGGCCGTGTTTAAGGAAGCTACGGGAGAAACCGCCTTCATCGTCTACTCCCCGAAGATCGCACCCAGGCGCGACCGGTGGGACAGCGCGAGGTTCTTCCCTGTCCTGAACTGCTCCCCACACGCGACGCGCATCCTTTTCGAGCAGAATGGATGGTCTACCCCCTTCGGCTCTGTCTTCATCGACATCGAACTCGAACGCATCCCCTTCTACATGTACACTCTCGACGGCTTCGCTAACGTCCTGGAGCGCGAGAACCTGCTCGCTACGCAAGTTGAAGGCTACCTACGAGACAAGGACGCGCAAGCCATCACTAGGGCACTCGTAATGCACGACGTCAACCCTCCGAACGACGTAAACAGGCGCGTCACCGAGATTCTGAGCCGTATCGTCGTAAGCATCGTCGACTATGGGGCGCGCGACAAGCAGGGGAAGCGACCGATAGTCGCGAACATCCACTGCGCGCCGCCGACGGAGGATCCGGTTCTCTGGGAAGAGTGGCGCGATGGGCTTCAAGCTCTGGGCGCACCAACGTCCTTCGGTATCGGAAAGGTGCGCAAGCATATGAGGTGCGACACGTGCCACGGCGCCGACCATCCGACACACATCTGCCCGTACGACAAGCTTGGCTGGTACGACACCCCCAACCCTCCCCGAGCTAAGCGCGGCGCGCCGCGCGTGCAGTCCCAGACTGCCCCGCCCCAAGGGAATCGGACCCAGCCTGGAAGGCAAGGATGGGCTGGGGAAGACGGGGGACAAGGAGGACTTGCGCCCCACGTCGCGCAGCACCTGCCCTCGCACGCTCAGCAACCACCGCAAGTGCAGCAGACCTTGAGGCCTCCCTACAGCGGCGCGCCGCTCTACGGGAACTTACCACCGCGATACGGAGCGCAGCCCACGAACGACGTAGAGGCCCGCGGCAGCACAAGGCACTCTGGGGGTGCGCCCGTGTACGGGACCAACCACGTAGGGGGGTACGGCGGAGCACCGCGAGGCGAGAGCACGCACAACTACAACGCCGCGCACGACTTCACTGCCCCGACAACGAGCGGCAACGCGCACTCCTTCAACGCTCCGCAGACATACGGCGGAGTACCTGCACCGATGGCCGCGCCTGTGAATGCGCATGCGCGAACTAGCCAGCCAGCCTACGGAGGAGCGTACCCACACGGGACCTCGCTGCCTTTCAACGACCCGCAAGCGTACGGGCGCGTGGACGTCCCGCAGCATCTCGGGGGCGCGCATCAGCCCAACCAACACCAGCCGCAGAGGAACGCGAGCTATGAGAACCAAGGACGCCCAACGCACGCACCACGCTACGAACAAGCGAGCCGCGCGTCGCAAAGTGTCCCTCCGGCTCAACCCTTCATGCCTTGCACGCTGAACGGGGAGCAGAGGAGGAACAACAACGGCTGAAACCACTCCAAACGCGAGGAGCACCGGGGCGCGCACGCGCGCGCGTGAGTCGGATTGTGAGTCGGATGAAGCCGAAGTGCGATACACGCTGTGAAGGAGACCATGCGGATGGGAGATGACACGAAGCAACGTCCCGTTGGTATCATAGCGAGAGCGCGAGCACTGAGCAGACACCCGAGCACGTCCTATTGTTGTAACTAAAGACTGAGCACCATCTTGACACTGAGCGTCGACAAATGTATACCTTCTTGATAAAATCCTCGGCTACCACCTCTGGCTACGGTGGTTATTTCGCCGTCACTGCCCCTCGCGCCGTGTCGCACCGAGCGTAGAGGACCTGGCGGTAAGCCCACCTCCGCCCAAATACACTGGCTTAGGCACAGGAAAGCGGAGGTGACAAAACCCTCAAATCCTTCGTTAAATCGGAGGTGAACGGAGACCTATTGAGGTCCTGACGAGCCGTGCCGAGAGGCTGAAGCGACGGGCTTTGGAGGACTGCGAACCCTTAACAAAGCACCTAGCATAGTCACCGAGGGGGCCGGAATGCCTCCTGCGTGCGCGGGATGGTTGTATCGCGCATTAAGATAACCAACGACCCCTACCACTACTACAAACGAACACACACGGATGCCTACAAATGGTCTTGGACATATGCGCCCCGACAGGGGGGGAGGGAGCGCTGCTCCTGCTGCCACGAGGCCTCCCGTCGATCCCTCTGGAGGGATTGGTGGCGACTCCTCAGCACATGTCCAGAGCGACCCAAATGGTGGGACGGCCACCTTGGGGAGGGCCGCGGGCTGTGCCACGCACGAGGAAGCAAGGGAGCGGGGGCGGAGAAGGAGAGTGAACACAACGAAAGCTAAGTTACAATTCGCGAGCCTCAACATGAGAGGATATGGAATCGAGAACCGTGAGCAAGGCTCAGCCAAATGGATGCTACTAAACCAGTTAGTGCGAGTAAACAAAATCGCGATTCTTGCGCTTCAAGAAGCACACATGAACGAGGAAAGACTGAACACACTGAACAAGATCTTCGGAGCGCACCTGGAGATAGTCTGCTCCCCTGACCCTGAGAACGAGACAGGAGCGAGAGGGGTAGCTTTCGTCATAAACAAGAGACTAATCAACACCGCGAACATGACCTCAACGACGATCGTACCGGGACGTGCCATGATGCTCGACTTACAATGGTCGGAGCAGCGCAGACTCCGGCTGCTAAACGTCTATGGACCGAACGACCCATCGGAGAACGCAGCATTCTGGGATAAACTGAGGGAAGCACGAATGCCGAGGCTCGATGTTATGGCCGGAGACTTTAACGTCGTAGAAGACGGCCTGGATCGTATCCCGGTGAGGATGGACGCCCCGAGGGCGGTAAAAGCCCTAGCAGACCTCGTATCGTGGCTCAGTATGCTGGATGGATGGAGATCGGAGAACCCGCAAACGAAAGGATTTACCTTCATGCAACCCTCAACAGGAAGCCAGTCGCGACTAGATAGAATATACATCAGGAAAGCGATGAGTAGAGATGCAAACGGTTGGAATTTGACTGAGTCAGGCATACCGACCGACCACAAAATGGTCCTTGTATCGCTGGCCGACTACAAAGTGCCGTACATCGGAAAGGGCAGATGGGCCATGCCGACGCACCTACTGAACGACGAGCAGATGAAAAAGGAGATGAAGAGGCTAGGCGCAATTCTGATACGCGACCTGGGGGGACTAGTAAGACGCACGCAGAATAACAATCCGCAAACGATGTACCAAGCTTTCAAGGACCAGCTCACGCTGGCAGCGAGAAACCGTGCTAAGGAGAAAATACCGAAGATGCAGAAGAGACTGGACGCACTGAAAAAAGACCTCCACATCCTACTGAACCCGGAGCATGGCACGGAGCAAAGTGCGGGAGGAGAAACTGTGCTAACGCAGGAGACAACGAGATCGGCTGCAATCTTACAAGATCGCATAGCGAAGCTTGAGATAAAGCGTTTCGGGTGGACGAGAAGAAGCACCGCAGTGCAGCACTGGGCTCATAGTGAGACGATGAGTAAGCAGTGGATAAGGGCGAACACAGCTAGACTCACGGCTGAGGTGATGTTTGAGATGAAAGACCCGGACGAACGGGGGGAAGGATACACCACAAATAGCTCTAGAATGGCGCAAATTGCGTGCAAATTCTATGATGACCTGCAAGATGAGGAGCCGTTACAGCAGGGGGAGAACCACGACACGTACATCCAGGACGCTCTCAGAAACTTGAGCGCGAGACTTGACAACGAGCAGAAAGCGAGCTTGGCGAAAAGAATATCTAGAGAAGACGTGAGCGAAGCGATAAAGGGTGCAGCGCGCAACAAGTCACCGGGCCTAGACGGCCTTCCGGTCGAAGTATGGAAAGAGTACGCGCGGTGGTACGACGCGGATACCAAGAAGGGCGCGCCAGCAGTGGACATGACAATGGCGCTTTGTGCTGTCTTCAACGACATTGAGAAACATGGCATAGACCCCACGGTGTCCTTTACGGACGGATGGATATGTCCGATCTATAAACTGAAGAAGGATAAGCGCGAAATAAACAATTACCGCCCAATAACGCTGCTGAACTCAGACTACAAGTTAATGACGAAAGTGATTGCAACTAAGATAGCCGACCACGTACCGAGCATTGTACACATGGACCAGGCAGGTTTCATCCCCGGACGACGGATTGTAGACCAGATCAAGCTGTCGAAGCTGATGCTGGACTACGCGGAAGCTGAAGAGGTCAATGGGGTGATTGTGGCACTCGATCAGGAGAAGGCATACGACAAAATCAACCATGAATACCTGTGGGCGGTGCTGAGGCGGCTTAACTTCCCAGAAAACCTCATTAACACCATAAAGCGACTGTACGAGCGAGCGGAGAGCTGCGTGTTTGTAAATGGAGTAAAGAGCATGAAATTTAGAATCAGAAGGGGAGTAAGGCAAGGCGACCCAATGTCCTGCTTACTTTTTGACCTGGCAATAGAGCCGCTTGCAGCGTCATTCAGGTCGTCCACGCTACGAGGTATAAGCGTACCGGGCGGGCAAGAGAGGCTGATAGCGAAGCTCTTCGCAGACGACACGACCGTGTACTTGTCGGAGGATGACGACTATGAGGAAATGGAAGCAATCACATCGAAATGGTGCCGAGCCTCGAGAGCGAAGTTCAACACCTCTAAAACGGAAGTACTACCTATGGGAAGCCTGGAGTATAGGACGAGACTAGTCCAAAGCCGCAAAATGAATGGAGCATCGACAAGAATCCCTGAGTCAGTACATATTGTTAAGGAAGGGGAGGCGATCAGGTCCCTAGGAGCATGGATCGGAAACAACGCACCGGAAGCGACGCCATGGACCGCGATTATCCGAACGATAGAGTGTCGTCTCGATAAGTGGAGCCAAGGAAACCCGACGCTCAAAGGGAGGCGCCTCATCGCGGGGATGGAATTTGGCGGACGAACACAGTTCCTTGCGATGGCGCAAGGAATGCCGGCGGAAGTCGAGAAGAAACTAACAGACATGGCTATAAGCTTCATATGGAACGGTGATAAACACCCCCGCATAGCGAGAGACGTACTATACTCGAAATTTGGAGAAGGAGGAATCAAGCTGCTGGACATCAGTGCGAGAAATGAGGCGATCGACCTGATGTGGCTCAAAGCTTACCTCGATCTGACTAGAGACCGCCCCGTCTGGACCACCCTAGCAGACATACTGCTTGCCAGGGCGGTTGCGTGCACCTCGAAGACAACGGCGCCTGAAGCCCGAATTAACGCTTTCTTGCAAACATGGGATGTAAGCACGAGAAAGGCCGCTGGCTTACCGGACGACCTCAGACGCATGGTGAAAGCGGCAAAGAACAATGATGTGAGAGCGGTCGTAGGGGTACCGTCTGAGTCGCTGAGGAGAAGTATGCCGGCTTGGTACCACCCTGGCACGCTCGAAGGAAGATGCGTCGCTAACACGGCTGCGAGCAAATGTCTCAGAGAGAAACACAGGGTCCAGACAGTGGACGATCACCTACGAATGGCGGGGAGACTGCACGACGAGTTGATGGACCATAGGCGAAGCGACAGCTGCACATGCGGGGCGTGCCAAAGAGATCGAAGCGACCTAAGCTGTCAACACCCGCACAGATGTGCGATGGCGGCGGACAGAGCGGTGGCAAAACTAGCTCCAAAATGGAAGCCCGGGGGAGCCAGAAATGAGGACGGACTGAGTCTGACCCGCGGGCGAGTCCGATCGAATGACACTGCGCGAGCGGAGAATGGGAGGATAGTCTTCAACCCGAGCTTAACCCAAGGAACCCCCCTGGCGGCCGTTTTTCGTGTGTTTACCTCCCCGACGCACACGGATGGCGAGGCACTGCGAGGAGTAGGTCAGTTCCAAGTGTCGAGCGAGGAGGTAGAGGTCTTCACGGACGGATCGTGCATTGATAACGGCATGAGGAACGCCCGCGCTGGGAGTGGCGTATGGTTCGGTGCTGGGGACGTGCGAAATGAGGGGGTAAGGGTGCCGCACGACGCGCAGTCGAACCAAGTAGCAGAGATGTACGCAGTCACTCTGGCTCACCTGAAGACACCCCCCTTCGCCCCCCTCCACATCGTCAGTGACTCGAAGTACGTCGTAGACGGGTTGACGAAGCACTTACCGGCATGGGAGAGACGGGGTTGGATTGGTGTGGCCAATGCTGAGGTGATTCAAGAAGCAGTCGCCCTCCTCCGCACACGCAGCGCACCAACGACATTGAGGTGGGTAAAGGGACATGCGAATGAATTGGGGAATGAAGAAGCGGACAAACTAGCTAAGAACGGCGCTGAGGCACCAAGGCCCTTCCGCCCTGTGTCGCTACCTCCGAAGGATGGGTACGTGAAGACAGGGGCCTCACTAGCCCATCTCACGCAAAGTTTGGCGTACAAGGGAATAAGAGAACGAAAGAAACGTGTACAGCACAAGTCTACCGTCCAAATGGTCGAAGATACCCTCGTTGAGATGGAGAGAGCGACAGGAGACGCGCACGCAGTCGCATCGCTCTGGAATGCGCTGCAGAAAGATCCTATCGAGAGGAAGGTCAGAGACTTCATATGGAAGGCGCTCCATGACGCTCACCGAGTAGGCAAATTCTGGCTGAACATCACGGGCTACGAGGACCGAGGCATGTGCCGCCACTGCGATTGCGCAGAATCGCTCGAACACATCCTGACCCAGTGTGAGGCGCCGGGGCAGAGGATTGCATGGGACCTAGCACGGCAGCTCCTGCTTAAGAAGCGGGTGATCCTCCCCGAAGTCAAGATGGGTATGGTGACGGGGTGCCAACTATGGAACGTCAAAAACGACAAAGATGAGCTGAGAACGGGTGCAACGCGCCTGATAAGGATCGTAATAAGCGAGACCGCCTACCTCGTGTGGAAGCTTCGCTGTGAGAGAGTAATTGAGTGGGCAGAAGAGCACCCCCGAGTGCACGCGTCGGAGGAGATAGCAAGTCGCTGGATGGCGGCATTGAATAAGCGCCTAGACATTGACTGCGCGCTAACGAACAAACGGATAGCGGGCCGAAAAGCGCTGGCTCCGTACACGGTGGAAGCAACGTGGGGGGGTGTACTTCACAATGAGGCACAACTCCCGACTGACTGGACGAGCAAGACGGGGGTTTTGGTGGGTAAGCTGACTCCTACGACGCAGCGTGACGAAGGATAGCACGCATATCCGCGCGATGGATCTGCAGTCCCACACTAGGAAGTTACTTCCGTGCATAAAGCATTTCCCTCGGCGCGGTGTTGAGGGTATCACCCTCAAATCTTGCAATTACTTAGCGGGCTATGCATGTATTAGATAGCTGCGTTAAGTAAGCACCGTCAAAAAAAAAAGGCAGACGCGTCCGACGCGGTGTCGCGCGCGCGCGCGGCGGGCCCGCCGGCCCGGGGTGTCGCTCGGATCAGCGGCAAATCCCGGCTGGGGTAACCACTAGTCCTCCTCTACCACTGGACGGCGCCACCCGTGCTCAACACCAACTCAGCCTCGCGAGGTCCTTCTCCCTCCTTGCACCGCTCCTGGTCCTTCACGCATGGCCCAGTGCTGCGAGGGTACTCGGGCCAGTACGCACACCGCACCATGACTCCCGCCGCCACGCCACATGGCCTCGTCGTGGCCCGCTTCAGACCCGACTCTTCCGCTCGGTTTTGGCTGTCTTTGTCTGCTCAATTGGCTGCAGCACAGTTACCTTGTTCTCTCTTCTGGGCCATCCGGTTCAATCTCTTTGAGACCGGAAATGACGACGACTATGCAAATACACCGGGTTTGCTTTGCGTGGTGTCCCCCTCCCCATCGGAGATACCCATTCGCGACGCCTCTTTCACGCTAGGCCCCACATATGCAACTAGCACCAACGAGTACTCAAATAACCCCGGGCCAGGCGGCGCACAATTAACTGCCATTCCGGCCGTGAAGTGTCCTGCAGAGACCCTACACCAGCCGCTCTATCTGCACACCGCGCCCGTTTTGCCCATCGCCGGAGCCGACCAGCTTCCATTAAAAGCATACTATCATGTCCTCGACAATGACAGCTTCTCCTTGTTTCGTAAGGCCGCACTCGCCAATAGGAATCAGTTCCTCCTTGCCTGGATCGAAAATCGCAGGGCGGAGGTGGCGCAAAGACTGCCACAACACGTTCGTGAGCTCCAATCCGCTCAGTGGGACCAGTGGCCTCTCTTCGGCGCGAATGAAAACCCCGACCCGACCTACATGTTCGGCGAGCGCAACAATCCACGCAGATACCACTTCGACTTCATTGAAGACGACAATCTTCCTTCCCCGCACCAGCCGCTGCCATTATACACTGAGCTGTTCCTCTACGCTCAGTACGTGTCTTACCACGGCCACTCAGATATGTGCTGACAACGCGGCAGAATCTGCAAGGACTACCGGTGGCATGGCGTTGAGGAAACTATCGGATACGTCCGCGCAGCTCGAGCGGTACTTATGCTGTTCTTATCCACCTGCCTGCGGCGATTTGTAACAACGTTGACAACTTTCCCTTATTATCAGGATGCCCATGGACACCACAACGTCGTGCAGCCCTCTGACTACGACGACTATGACATGAATGGTCCTTCCCGCGGACAAGCTCAGCTTTCGCTTGTACAAGATGTGGCGTTTCGCACACAGCTTGCCGAGTTCTCAGCAATTGCGGCAGGCGGTTACACTGAATTGATCCCGGTGTCGGACAGCTGGTCAGATGATAGGACGCGCGATACTGTCGACTGTACTGGCCAGAGCGGGGACAACAAGCCCGACGACGGCAGTGGTCCACGTGTCTACTTGCAATTCCTCCCATTCGCCTACCCGTACCTCCCAGGGAGCTATCCCAGAGTGCCGATGCCCAGCTCCCCGCCGGTGATCGTCCTAGACATGTTCGGCGTCATCCTAGTGAGTGTCGCGTTCCTCCAACGCTTACAGACATGCTGAGTTGACGGTCTTATGACACAGGACAGAGAACGTGCTATCCGCGATGCGCTAGAACCATGGCTTCCCCCTGCCCGCCTTCGACATTCAGGTGTATCAGAAGCCGTAAAACTATACATTGAGCACGAAGCGCTCGCCGCCCGCTCTCAGCGCGACTGCGCGACCTCCCTTCCGCGGATCGTCCATACGGCTCTCGACACACTCGCTCGCAAGCTCGGGGTAGCGGCCGCATTGCGAGCCGCCTTCCACGCCGATGCCACAGCATGCATTCTTCGCCCCCGGCCGTACGACGACGCCGTGCAAGCCATCGAGCGGCTCTCACGACAAGCGCGCTCTCTCGTCGTCCTGTCGCCCTTCCCCCTCAATACCCTGGACACCGTCCGGCATGCACTGCCATCCAACGTGCGGTTTTTCCCCGTGGCCATCCCGCTGCATGCCCCAATCCCCGCCACGTCGTTCACGCAGCTGCGGCGATGGTGCGAGCAAGTCATCCTTCCGCTTCCCGCCCGCTGCGGCCGCAGCGATCCTCGTTCTTTCGCAGCATCGGACATTCTGGTTGTGAGCGGTGGCATGGGCCGGGTTCTTGCTCCGTCAGCGGCGGACGGACACCCCACGGTGCTCGTTAGACGGCCGGAGGGCGTCGAGTGCAATGTCGACTTCGTCGTGGGCATAGGCTCTGAAACGCCGCATCCGTCGGCTGTCGTCGGGGGCTTGGCAGAGCTGTGTGCCGCAGGTTGAGCGTCCCTGCGGGGTTTCGCCGCGGCGACAGCCTCATCTGTATCGACAGTCGCTGCGGCCTTCAGCCATATCTAAACTGCTCGAGAAGTGGATGCGGTTGTGAAGCTTTTTGTGAGTATTGGTGCACTGCAGGTGCCCCGCTGAGACATATCACCGGCACCGCTAGGACACCGTTAAACGTTGAAACATTGAAGCTCAACGCTCGATTTCTGTACCTAGAACACAACTAGGACATGCATACGCCCCTAGCTCCAGTCTGGTTGGAGTTTGATGCACAGGCAAATCCGATGCCCGAGTGAGGACAATTGAAGTAAGGACAAGTATCAGAAAGACCGCCGGCGGCTTGGTGTATCCGGCGTTCTCCGAGCCTAGCCGAGTCCCCCTCCATCGTGGCTGCCGTTCTACCGTATCTTCTTAGCTCTTGACGTCTCCCTGTAGAGGAGCAGCTTTGGCTCAAGTGCCCCCTCGGTAGCCACAGTCTGGACTTTGCATTCCGAGCTTCAAGCTCACTCAACAACCGGCACCTACCCATCGTCAGAACCGTGCTCGAAACATCTCATATGATACATCCTCATGCAGTCTGAGTGTGCCCCTTCCGCTCAGGCTGAAGCCGACAACTTCATCTCCTCCTACTCTGTGTGCGGGATATACCAAGTCACGCACCTCATAGGCAGGGGATCGGACGGTTAGTACTACACTCCTGTCATCCGGCGCCGGGATTCAATTACTGATATCTCGTCTCCTCAGGAGATGTCGTGCGCGCTTTCAACATCAACACGGGGGCTGAAGTTGCTATCAAGGATACCGCCCGTTCCAATTGGGAAGAGACACAAATGCCTATCGTGAAATACGAAGCAAAGGTGCATGCGCTCATCCCGGACGGAACCGAGGGCTTTCCGTCTATCCACTATGCTGGTATCGACGCAAACCACTACGCCATGGTCATGGACCGGCTCGGCCCCAACCTCAACGCGCTGCGCCGTGTGTGTAGAGGTACATTCACCCTCCGCACAATCTGCATGCTTGCCGAACAGATGGTGCGTTTTCTGGTCTCTCGAATGATACATGACAATCGCCGTTTCTAGCTCACTCTGTCCGCGTAGCTCCGAAGAATACAGTTATTCCACTCGAGAGGGGTCATTAGCTGCGACATCAAGCCGCACAACTTTGCCATGGGCCGCGGCGGGACCGCGAAGATCGTCTACATGTTCGATTTTGCGCTTGCCCAGCCGTGGGTGCTTGCGAACACCGGAGAACACATCCCATTCACCACTGGCAGCCGGCCTATCGGGACCGTACGATATGCAAGTGTTGCAGCTCACCAGTCGCATTGTGCGTCGAATTCTACTATCTTCATGTGTTGTACGATACACTCAACTCCGCCCGCGCACCTCACAGCCGTGTCCCGTGCGGACGACCTGGAGTCGCTGTTATACACACTACTCGAGTTCTACCATGGCTCCCTCCCCTGGGAGGCGCTCCCGGCCCCCTCACATATGAGGAGGTCTCTTATCGTGGAGATGAAGTCCGACCTCTCGCCCACTGGATTCCTCCCACGACTGCTCGCACGCTCCCCGCCCGAGTTCGCGGCCTACCACGCGCATCTCACGGGCCTGGCATACGGCGAAGAGCCGGACTATGCGCTGCTTCGCGGGCTGTTCCGCGAGCGGATGCGCAAGGAGGGGTGGGCGTGCGACTGGGTATATGACTGGATGGACGCGTCGGGGCTTGAGAAGGGGACGCTATTGCCCGAGGAGTACAACGCGTCGATGCAGTTCGTGGAGGAGGGTGTTTGGAACCCGAACTACATGTGAGGGCGGGCGCATCGGTGCGCTTAGGGCATAAACCTAAAGCACACTCTGGAGAACGTTCTCATCCGCTCGCCGTCACGTTGCTGGTACTGCCCTGTATACCTACGGTTATTTCAGCTTCTAACACAGGATGTATGCTCGTATACATCGTTCGTATACATTGTGTCCTTGTATATCGCTCGTATCCGGCTGTCTAATCATGTTCTTCTTGCCATTAGCCGACCCTTCCTCGCCTTGCGCGCTTGATTCTAGTCCTAAAGCATTACCATCTACAGGACTCTGATTATGCGCTACTGCGCGGGCGGATGCGCGAGGACTAGGCGCATGGACAACTTTACGATAGGGGACACTCAACCGCGGAGCACAAGAGTCCGAACTGCATACGAGGGAGTCATCGTCAAGTTGATACGGGTACTACGTCTTGAGCCTTGGGGCAGCGGGCCTTCAGCTCGTGCAACAATGTCATCACTGTCTATGTAGACGCATATCACATATACGCATTGCCGTCGGCGTCATAGTTACGCCTGCACAACCTCCTTTCTCACTAAGCCAACCTTCAGAGGAAGCTCCGGGTGCTCCCCGCGCGGGTCCGCGGAGGGATACTGCACAGTGGCCATGTTCCACCAGATGCGCTTCTCCGTGAGCTCGAAGGTAAAGTGCGAGAGGAGCACCGCCAGGACGACCTCTGCGACGTAGTCAGTGATGCTAAATCGAAGGAGCAGTGCTGCGTGCACGACGTACTCATTTCAAGCTGCGAGAACTTGAAGCCGCTGCAGAAGGACGGCACATCAGATCAGGAACCGGAACCGTCGTGCGACGGAGACGGCACGGGAGTACTTACATGCACGCACGACCGCCGCCCCAGAACGTCATCCTGCCCAAAGTAGGTGCACTTAACACGGAGTTCTCGAGGGCTTAGCAAAAGACCTACAAATTCGCGTACACACCGGGGATCTTCGCGTCAAGAACCGCGTCCGGGAGCGGCGCCAGCCAGCGTTCCGGCTTCCACTCGTACGCATCTGGTCCCCAGAGCGCCTGGTTCGTGTTGGACGCGTTTATACCGATGAACACGGACGTATTCTTCGGAATGTGGAGCTCGTGCATCATTCGACCGTCCTTCCCGCGGACGGGCTCGGAGAGAGGGAGGACGACGTCCCGGTGTGTCCTACAACGTATGCGGGTCATTATACAGGACATTCTTCGCCGATGAGAATGGACATACTCGCGAAAACGGAACGGCGAAGGGGTATGGCTAAAAGAAATAACAGGTGCATAAGCTCATGTGATATCGCAATTGGTTGCGCGAGTGCTCACACTCGCAACGTCTCACGACACACGGCGTCCAAGTACGGCAACGCTACCAGGTCATCGTAGCCGATGTCGCCACCTCCGCGTGCCTCCTGCGCTTCAAGGATCTCCTTGCGCAACGTGTTCTGCGCCTCGGGGTTCTGGGCGAGGCGCCACAACGTCAAGGACAGCGCGTTCGAGGTCGTGTCCATGGCGGCAAACGTCAGAGTTCTAGGAGTGAAGGAAAACCACGACGTCAGAGGAACAATCTACAACATGAAACGACGGCAGCGAGAATGTTACGCACGACATCTGGCCAATCAGCTCGTCCTCTGGGAGCTTGTCCTCTTCAGATGCGGCCATGTTCGCTTTCACTGTGTCCCCAACAGACCACCGTCAAAACCTTCCCGACCCCACATCAGGAAGGAAAAAAACGCACGCAAAACGCTGATCAGATCCTTCCCTTCGCCGACTTGCTCCTTGAGAGCCTCATCGCCGGCAAGCAGCGCCTTCTTCTTCGCCTGGAATATCTCGGTCGAGCGCGTGCCTAGCGTGTCCACAATGTGCATGATCCTCTTCAACGGCGGCGCGGGGATGAGCTCCGCGACGGTGCGGCGCAAGCCCGCGGGCACGATCGCCTCAAACAGCGGGATATACTGGTGCAGTCCGCGCACCTGCGCCAGCGACGGCCTGTTGTGAATCCGCATGAGTGCTAATACACTGCTGCAGGAGCGGGAAAACGTACATGAGGTCCTTGAGCGCAGAGCCGTACTCGTCAGCGGCGTCGGCGAGGAGCGGGTCGAACGAATAGCCCAAACCGCCCTGGCCCATGAGCTCGAGCGCGGTGCGCCCCATCCAGGCGACCATGTCGACCTCAGCGGCGCGGCCGTCTGGCACGCGTGCTTGGATCGCGGTCCGGAGCTGGGGGGATTGAACGAACCCGTCCATGGTTAGCTTCGAGTCGGGCGGGAGGCGTGTGGATTATTGCACAAGGATGAAAAAGATGAACACACCTTGTGCGAAATTTCGTAGAAGATGGGCGACATGTTGCGCATGTGGTTGATCGAGAAGACGGGGTTGAGCATCTTACGCTGCTTGCGATGGTGGTCCCCTGGGCTCTAGTTTAGTCGCGGTGCCGAGCGCACATATGCGGGCTGAGCCACGTACCGAGAGTGGCAAGGAGGCCGTGACCGAAGAAAAGAGCCGTGATTCTGTCCGACGGTACAGTCAGCATGATGCATACCGCGAAGGTGCGTACGGATGACGGCGAGCCCACCTAGTAAACCATGTCGCTTCCTGGAAGACGTCCTGATCCTTTATGACTATGTGGTGCATCGCCTTCGGGTCGAATGTATACAGCAAATTGCCCTGCGTGAATACCTATGTTATCACACAGAAACTGTGCTGAATGGACCGGGCCTGCGAAAGCGTACCCCAAACCTATCACGCAGCCGTACGACTGGGCCGTACTTCTCGCCCAGGCTCCGGTGGAACTTGAAACCTGTCTGTCTATTGTATAGCTCCTTGACGTGACCTGAGAGCAAGATTGCAGTTCAGTGAGATACTAGATACCAGCGCAAATGACCGCACGACATACCATAGACGAACGACGGCGACGGCGGGCCGGGGAGGTTGTCGAGGTCGCTCTTGACCACGAGCCTGCGGATAACCTTCCACAAGAACCACGTCGCAGCGCAAAAGAATACCGCTTGAAGGAGCGGGGAGACCATGCTTGCTGATTTGGGAGGAGAGCAGGTAATGCTGTATGCTCCCTGTTTCCGATGTGAAGTAGAAGAGAGAGCCGTAACTTATGGCACCGCGGCAGGTCCACAGCTCCTGTAGGTATTTGTACCTTCTCCCAAGCGCAGCTTCAACATAGCGCACTATGTCATCGCCATGACAGCCATGCGAGGACCACGGTCGCCGGTCGGGGTATTTGACTCGCTTCCCCCGCGAGGAGCAAAGAAGCGGGGCCATGTGAACGTTACACAGAAGAGAAAGCTGCTCCAAGTCGAGACGCTGTACTGGACAATTGTGACCCGTTCACACGCGATACGGGGAGCACCAATACCGAGGCGCGTGTCGGGCCCAAAGGCGGTAGCAGGACGCCGCGTGTGTCGAGGTAGACGAAGAAAATCCATCCAATGTCGCATAGCGGATGCGCGCCTGCATATGCCGGCGACGAGACGACGGCATCGGAGAGTGGACGTCAAGGAAGAGTCGGGTAAATAGGCGTCATTGCAGCGGTGGCAATGCTCGTTGTGTGACCGAACTTGAACCATTCAAATCAGGCTGTGTGGGATATCTGAAGACATCTGGAAAAGGAAGACGCCATCGGACATCCTTGGCGCTGAAACGCCGCCACGTACGAAGGGGTTTGTCGTAGAACCGTCACGGAACACTCAGAAATTACGGTGAGCGATAACGTGGCTCAAAAGCGGTGTATCTACCCGTGATAGGGTCAGTGCGAGCTTCAAATAGACGGAGTATTGTGGACATACCATATGTCCTCGTTCCAAGTATCCTTGCGGGGATTCCAGCAGAGCGAGTGTCCTGATGGTGATGTCGTCAGACACACATGAGAACGCCGACATTGGCGGGCTGACGATGTTCGGCTCATGCTCTGGGACCATGCACAGATCCGACGGCAGCGCCTCGAAGGTGCCGAAAAGTACCCTGATTACAACTCGCATCCTCCACCCCTCACCATGGTACGAGTTAGAAACCGCGAGAGAGAAGTTGATACGTGAGCTCGCTACTGTCGACCTTGAGGCTTTGAGAGTCTAACAGTTGAGGATTGAGTCGCTATATCCGAGAAATAAGCGGCATGATATCTGTCTTGGGAAGCAAGACTAGTCTCCAGTTGCAAGCGATGTGGTTGTACTGAGGTAGTGACTGACGAAGGCAGCCGAACGAGTGCAAGTGGGAAACCCTAAAGAGCCGCGCGATACTGAACGCTTCGGCAAATGCCGTCATACAAGCGCTGGCCTAACCAGAGTCCGTAATTCTCGGACTTGGCGTTAGCGACGGCCACGACATATGTAACACCCACTGCAGCGATCTGCTATTTGACTAGCAAAGATCAGAAATATCACAATCAAAACAAATATTCTCAGCGAAGAGAAGGAGATTGCGATTCCAGGGACCCCAGTCTCGCAGTCAGACACAATCCTGTAAATTTAGGAATAGCTTCTCAAACATATCTACGAAACTCAGCCAGTTCGCATGAGGAATATTCTGGTAAACACAAGCATGAAACAGTCATGAAACCTCTGTCAAATCTGTGCATATCCTCTCGTTCCTCCAAGCGCAACTAGCTCCAGTTAGGAAATGATACTGCTTAGAGCCAAATGACGGATTGATCCCACATAGACGTATACTTTGGGCGTGTTCAAGCACGCACGGAGCCGCGTTTCACTGATGTGACTTTCATGGGAAGCTCGGGACGTTCGCCGCGCGGATCCGCGGAGGGGTACTGCACATCAGCCATGTTCCAGTAGATGCGCTTGTCCGTGAGCTCGAAGGTGAAGTTCGAAAGTAGCACCGCCAGGACGACCTCTGTAGCGCTGTCAATATCTAGTGACCCAGGACGAGGCAGCGATCATGACTGACTCATTTCAAGCTGCGAGAACTTGAAGCCGCTGTAGTAGGATTATAATCATCAGTCATTGCATATACAAAAGTGACGAAAGGGCTTACATGCACGCGCGACCACCGCCCCAGAACGTCATCCTGGCCCAGGTGCTCTCAGGATATTGCTCTAGATAGCTTTGAGGACGACGGCTTACAGGTTAGCATACACTCCAGGGATCTTCACCTCAAGCACCGCGTCCGGGAGCGGCTCCAGCCAGCGCTCAGGCTTCCACTCGTAGGCGTCCGGACCCCAGAGCGCGGTGTTCGTGTTGGACGCGTTGATGCCGACGAAGACGGATGTGTCCTTTGGGATGTGCAGCTCATGCATCAACCGGCCGTCCTTGCCGCGCACGGGCTCGGAAAGTGGGAGGACGACGTCCTGTCTCGCCCTGCAGCCAGGCGTGCGTCGTCAATAGCTGTCGACTCTACGTGCACTAAAGGCGGAACAGACTTACTCGCGAAAACGGTAAGGCGCAGGAACATGGCTAGATAGCGTAACCCTGCGTTAGCAAGCAACCAGGTACAGGAGCTTTGCGTGCACCCACACTCGGAGGGTCTCGCGGCACACAGCGTCGAGGTAGGGCAAGGTGACCAGGTCGTCGTATCCGATATCTCCGCCCCCGCGAGCTTCTTGCGCCTCGAGGATTTCCTGGTGAAGTCTGTCCTGCGCGCCGGTATTCTGAGCGAGGCGCCACAACGTCAGGGACAATGCGTTTGAAGTTGTGTCCATGGCCGCGAACGTGAGAGTCCTGCAACACGAGAACTCATCAGTGCCACTGGAACTGAGAGAGCTCGAAGTGCGGCAGTCACATACGACATCTGTCCGACGAGCTCGTCCTCAGGCATCTTTTCCTCTTCACTCGCCTCCATGTTCGCCTTCACTGCACGCCGCAATCCTAGTTGTCAGCCCTGCCGCGCGATAGTGCAAGGCGCAGAGACGCACGCAGAATACTCATCAGGTCCTTCCCCTCCCCAATCTGCTCCTTCAGCGCCTCGTCGCCCGCGAGCAGCGCCCGCTTCTTCTCCGCGAAGATCGCCGCCGAGCGCGTGCGCAACGTGTCCACGATCTGTATGATATCCCGCATCGCGCGCACAGGGATGCGCTCCGCGACCGCGCGCCGCCAGCCCGCGGGCACGATCGCCTCAAAAAGAGGTAGGTACTGCTGGAGCCCGTGCATCTGCGCGATCGTGGGACTGCCGCCCGGCCATCCGGTCAGTGCGCATTGTAGGGAGAAGATATGGAGGGGGCGTACACGAGCTTCTTGATCGCCTCGCCATACTCGTCCGCGGCGTCCGCGACGAGCGGGTCGAACGAGTACCCAAGCCCTGCTTGGCCCATGAGCTCGAGCGCGGTGCGGCCCATCCAGCCGACCATGTCGACTTCGCTGGAGCCCTCCCCAGCCTTGTTCACGCGCGCCGCGATAGCAGTGCGTAGCTATGCGGAAGTGTGGTGAGCGTTCGCCGCTCATGAAAACAAAAGACAGAATAAATGGTGGTAGAAGAGAAGATGCAAAGAAAAGACTGAGTCGGAAATAGCAAAACGAACCTTGTGAGAGACGTCGTAGAAAAGCGGCGTCATGTGGCGCATGTGGTTGGCCGAGAAAACCGGGTTGAGCATCTTTCGCTGCTTGCGGTGGTGGTCGCCTGTGTCCCCGTTCAGCCAAGACGGGCCGCACGCATGTACGGTATGCATTCGCGTACCTAGGGTAGCGAAAAGACCCAGACCAAACAGATGATATACCATCCTGTTCGAGTTTTTAGCGTGAGATTCGGCGCACACGGTCCCGGCTATGCCCACCTGGTGAACCACGTCGACTCCTGGAAGATGTCCTGGTCTTTGATCACGATGTGGTGCATCGCCTTCGGGTCGAAGGTGTACAGTACGTTGCTCTAAGATTGTGCTCGTGTCAGCGGAACTTGCGTTCGCCCTGAGAATCTGCCCGCGTACCCCGAGCGTGCCGTGCAATCCAACGACTGGACCATACTTCTCACCCAGGCTCTTATGAAACTTGAAGCTCTGGTTACTATACAGTTGCCTGAGATTGCCTACGCGATGCTCAGTATGTGGTTACACGTTCGTTATAATCACCACATACCGTACAGGAAGGAGGGCGAAGGCGGGCCTGGCAAGTTGTCAAGGTCGCTCTTCAACGTAAGCCTCCGAAAGAGCGTCCACAACAACCACGTAGCGACGCATGCGAGGACGACCTGCACGAGAGATAACATCTTTGAGCAGCTTAGAAGTAATGCTCAGTTATTCTTCTGCTTCGTGAGATGTTCAGTCTTGAGTTGCCGAGTCCAAGTCGCAGAGCAATAGTAGCCGAGAGTATGGCTACCCCCAAGCACCTATACGTACTTATATTGCCAGTGCGCTCCCAGCGCGACGGATGATCCACGCAGATGGTCCTGCAGTGTGTCAAACATCCTGACACTCATGTGAGGATACTGAGGAATCCGGTCGGCAATTGTCCAACCAGCCTCCGCAAAAGCAAAACCGGTCGGTAATTGCCCAACCATCTCCGAGGAGCAAAGAAGGCGCATCATAAGAACAGCACCCACTGCTCGCGCGCCTCGGAAGAAGCTGCCCCAAAAGAAATACGCAGCACTCCGAGCCCTCCATCATCTGCCGATGTATAAGTAGGGGTTACACATGAAATACCAGCAAGACATACCCAATATCTCTCAGCGGTCGTCCGAGTCTGCCAGGTGCGATAGCACTCGGTGAGATTTCGACAGCAGCTGCGGTACTTGTATACTGGGAAAACAATTGTAGTTGCGCGGTGCAGAGTTGAACATAGCAGCCTTGGTGCACCCTTACTTAGCAGTGGGAAGAGGCAACGTAGTAATAGTATGGCCAAAGGATGGCAGTCAATAAGTAGAGCACGAGCCATGCGATCAAAAAGGCCACACGTGGCTATATTTAGGCGCGCTAGCTCGACAACTTCTTGGGCGCGTCTCCGGCCCGGGCCCACAAGGCTCGACCGCCACTTCTCACTGCAACTCGTACTCTCTCGTACTGCTGCGAACCATGCGCGAATACCAGAAAGCGACAGATCGTGGAGTGCCGATTTTGAGGCGTCGCACGAGTATGGTCAACGAGTTGCCGCAATTGCTACTCTACCAGGGTCATAAGGTTTACAAGCGAGTTGGGCGCGCCGCACATCCCACCCAAGTAGATGCCTTCGCTGCCAACGAAGGTCGCAAAAAGCGCACTTCGTCTATTCTGACGCTCCGGGGACTTTCGTGAGTTCGGCCCACATTGACAGTTCCGAAGTAACAGCGCTGACAGGGTGCTGCAGCAGTTCGACCGTAACTGACCGTGTGTGTGCGGCCAGGGGGACGAAGATGGCGTACCACACGTACGAGCGTGCCGCCCTCAATTTTCCGTCGTGCGTGCGAGCCGATCACCACGGAGGCTATCCACAACGGCGCCCACGGTGCCCAGGCTGAACTGTTGGTAACAGACTTCCCGCCCTATCTGGGTGTTCATCTTCGGCATGAGTGACTCGAGTCATTCAAACGGATGTTGCGGCGGCACGCCATGCAATAGCGCAGCTCATCATGATGTTTCTTCATGCGGTATAAGAAGCGCGACACAAAGAGGGACGACCCTCGCTCTCATCGCATACCTCGAGCAACTCGGGTCCTTCCCTTTCGTCGACCTGACTGACCATGTTGTGTATGATGCTTACCGTCGTTGTTGCGTACGCCGCATCCACCCTCGCAGTGGATCCTCTGGGTCTTATCTTCCCGTAAGCATCTGGCACTCCCCGTTCACCAACCCTATAGCTTATCGCATACATTTCTAGGACAAAGAACGCTGAACAGTGCGTGCCGACACTCGTTGGATGGGAAGGCGGTCAGGGTAAGTGTATGCATTCGGCCTCCGTCCAATTCTCGTCGTTGATCCATCCTCATGTCAACGTGATTGAAGGACCATTCACCTTGGTATGCCCTCTGTCGCTTGTGTCCTTCTGAAAGGCGTGCTAACTTGGTATACTTACCTCAACAGGGGTGAGTCGCAGCTCTAATGCAGACCGCATACTCCTTCCTTACTCATGCTGCTTTGGCGTCCATTCATATGTAGGTTCCAGACCGGCGAAGAGCGCAAGACGGTCGAGCTGTTCCCCAACATCCCTGCCAGCACGACCAGCTTCCTCTGGCAGACGAATATCCCCCAGGGTATGCGATGCCTTCTACTGCACTGCATCTGTGTGTACGGACTGCGACTGATACCGCGATATAGACACGATATGGGCCTTCTCGCTCAACGATTCTTCCGGCCAGTTCACTGACAGCCCTCTGTTCTTCATTGAACCCGGCAGTAAGTCCAACTCACGTGCGCTGAAACGTAGTGCGGATGCTGATACATCAATCGTGTGGCAGCGGACGACTGTGTGCTCCTCCAAGTTTGAACAGATCGTACTTCGTCGAATATAGACACGTATTCGCACACCAACTGTACAGGGGGTACCTGCTTAAAAACTATTTCGTGCACATGTTTGACTTCGAAACCAACCGCACGCATGTACGTCAACCCCGAGACGGGCGCGCATATCCCACTCTGCAAGCGGTGCCGCGCGGAATGCACCACCCGGTATGCGCCCCTCTCGTTCCATACGCTAGATGGTGCGCGACGCTCTCTGCACGCCGTAGGTTTCCTTGCACTGATGCATCACATCCGCGCGCAGAGATCTCCCGGCGCGAAGACCTCGAGTCCCTCCTCTACGCCCTCCTCGAGTTCTACCACGGCCGCCTGCCATGGCAGGGCCTCCCCGAGCCGAAGTGGACATCCAAGACCGCGCTCGCCCGCGACATGAAGATCACCGCGCCCTTCCACGCCCTCCTCGCGCGCTCGGCCCCCGAGTTCGCAGCGTACCACGCGCACGTCGCGGGCCTACAGTATGGCGCGCAGCCGGACTACGCGCTGCTACCAGTGCGCGGGCTGTTCCGCGAGCGGATGCGCACGAAGGGGTGGGCATTCGATGGAAACTTCGACTGGATGGACGCGGCAGGGCTCGAAAAAGGAACGCTGCTCCCCGAGGAGTACGTGCTCAGCTTGGACTTGGGGGAAGAGAAGGAGTGGAACCCGCACTATATGTGATCAATGGCGAGCGTGTGGACGACGCTCGCCCAATTAACAATGTGCGCGCGGTGGGGCTCGCAATTGTGGCTTTTGACCATACATGGGTGTTAGTGATTGTGGCGCTTTGCTTAGGCTCTGGCTTCCGGGAGCGGGGCTAAGTAGTTGCCGGCTAGTTTTTGAAAACCGCGAACAATGCGAAAGAGATGGCACCACATGTACAATGAACGCCCGATCGACGCCCGGTCTTTCAGATACACCAGGACAAATAAGACACCACATATCCGCGGCTGCCTTTGGATCGCCGGCGGTTGTGCTACTCCTCTGTGGACCTACAATGTGGCTACAGAAAGATGCCGCCGCATCTGCGTTCCGCGAGCAGTGCATGATGTTAGTCCTCCCGTTCCGCCACTGTATGGACCACGGGCGCTAATGACGCCCTCTACCAAACTTCGACTCACTCTTGCCTACTAGTGCGTTTCGACGCTTGTAACCCGGGCTTCACGCAAGTCGCACATCAGAACATACAGAAAACACATCCTAGCATTCATATTCAGCGACTGCGTGTTCATCATACATGCCATGCAAAGAGCCGAGAGTCTGTCGTATATACGTGACCACCGCAGCAGCAGCAGCAGCCGCGAGGGAAGGGAAGCGGAACCATACAGCATCATACACAGGGACGAGGTCCGAGTCCGAGAACGTCTAGCGGAGCCGCGCCGCTCCCGCACACACCCGCCACCCACCACCACCGCAGCAACACATACCAGCAGAGGACAACGCCAGTCCTCCCCGCCCCACCCACCCCTACATCGAGCACGTCTCCGCTACCAGCCGCGAACCACCGCGCCTCCGCGCGCCGACCACCCGACACCGACCATCTCGGAAACGTTCGCCCGCATATCGTGACCGCGTTTGCATGTTGAGAGGAGAGAGAAGGCATGGAGACCGTCGAGGACGACGATCGGGGCGGCATATGGGGGAGTAGTGATGCAAGCGACAAAGCGGACGAGGGACGATTGCGGTGTTGCACAGTGCGATGAGATGAGCGAACAGGAAATGCGCTGTTGATACATTGCGATTGCGGCGTGCGAGACGAGGGAAATGACGACGGCGGTGTATGTTGTACAGATGTGCGTGGTGGGGGCGGCGGCGATACAAGATTGCTTGGATTGCGGGGTCCGGGGACGGTGGCGACAGAGAACAAGACTGAGCACAAAGCGACGAGCGGGAGTGCGAGAATAGAGGAACGCCGAGGACGGTGGACAGCGAACCGGACCGGAATCGAGGTCGGGGCGGGGGAAAGAACTGGAGACACAATTTCACATTTCTATGTTGTCGATATATGAGACAGACAATGGACAGATCAGGCAACGAGCGTCGGGGAGGGAGGGTGTGGAGTGGCCGTGCAGCGAGGGGGAAGGCGCGCAGGCAATGGAAGCGGAGCACTGGGGGTCGCCGACGTATGTACAAGAAGGAACGTCGCCGCGGGCCTAAACACGCAGACGACGGTGTCGACGACAGCCAGAGGTGGTAGGGATATCAAGGGGTCGCCAGCGTGGTTGGGTATGCAGTGCGAGTATACACATGCGAAGCTGTACGCATCATCTTCGTCAGTTGGAGCCCCCGGCGAGATGGACGAAGACACTCACAAGCAAAGCCAACAACGTACACCGACCCCTAAAACCGTTGAACCACAGCGTCGGAAAGGGGAAAGAGAACAGGGGGAGGGGTCGGAGAGGTGAAGAGCGACGTAGACAATATAGCAGCAAATATTATAGTAAGTGTCAGCCGCTGCCACGGGGATACCGCGACAGTCAGCCGCCAACGTAGATACTAGTGCACAAGTGAAAAATGCGAACGAGGTTGGCGATGATGACGGAGATGTGATATTGATACACTGTGCGGCAACACGCCAAGAGGTAGAACGCGACGCATGAGAATGGTGCGGGTGGGGGGAAAGTGGTAGTGGAGAATGAAGTAAAAATGGGCGTACAGAATTCGTAAAAGGGCCGTGAACGGGCGGGGGAACACAACGGACATATCTCTAACGCCGGAGAAGTGGAAAAGGGCGCCAGGCTACAGTACGATACGGAGAAGAAAGGAATAAACACGACCAATAAGAATGTCCCAAAACCCAAGAGGAGACGGGGAACGACCAGTCAAGAAGGGAAAGATGTACTAGCCCTGGGCGAACCCACTGCGATCGTCCCACCGTTACGACCCAGGGGGAGAGATATAAATACGCAGATCGGCCCTCCAGCCGACCATATAGCCGTAGCCAGGTTTTCTTGATGTATGCGATTTTGCGGATGGGCTGGTCTATATCGCCTGTTGTACAACCCCGGGGGTGCGCCTATGAATGTCGGCGGCCTTCCGGGTAGAGCAGAGTGGCGGAGGAGGGAAGAGAGGAGATGCGATGCGGGGGGAGATGCGAAAGCATGCACTTGATGTTGTACTGACACAATTGCGTTGACGACCGGGTCGGGACGAGATAGAATATACACGGAAGAGTTGGTGGGCTGTTCCTGCCATCCACGACGAGGTCGCGAAGGGAAGCAACCAAACGCCACGGCGATGGGGTATGAATGCCAGCGCCGATGGCTGACCCAGCGAGGGGAGGGTATCTAGACGATGAGAGTGCGCGGGTGTCCTTGACGAGGTAGCCGGTAGACGGGGATGCCGGGGGGATGCGAGAGTCGAGTGTAAAGCCCAGAAGAACCAGAGCCCGGAGATTGCCAGAGAAGCCGATGGGGGATAAAACGAAGACGACGTCGAAGTAATAATGATATCGAAAATAATGTGACGACCAGCGCGCCTCTACCGCGGAGTGCGGCGGAGGATTTGGGGGGATAGCGTGGCGGGTAGAGTGACATTAGGCGGTCGACGCAGGCTTCAAATGGCGTATGTTTATCGTATCAGCGACAAGTAGGCGGCGTCTCAGGATCCTGATTAGTGCGGGCTATATTATTCGTCAGCACCGTTGAAAATCGGAGAGACCGAACGACTGACCTTTACTCTGCGAGTTCTATGATGCTATAATACAATTACACCGCGAACGAGGGCGCGGGGAGATCATCGGGGCTGGGGGAGTTTTGGAAAACCGAGCCTGCGAAATAGCCAGCGACAGCAACGGGGGCAGACGACGAAGTGTGACGGTCAGCGAGGGATCCAGCGGGAGAACTTCCACCGAAGGGGTCGGTGACATGTCCGCGGTGCCGGGGGATCGCCACCGGGGTGCGGTGGTGCGCGGGCAACGTGTCAAAGAGGTCGGACGTCGAAGAAGATGGCGACTCCTCGTCGGTGGACATGGCGAAAACGCCCTCGCTGGGGACCCGGCGGTGGTTGCGGCGACGCTGAGCAGGGGTCGGCGTCGAACACGGGCTCTGGCCAACGAAGGGGAATCCGGACATCGACGCGAGCGGCGCCGTGCGGGGAGCGTCACCAAAAAAACCCTGCTGCCACGTAACCTTGGCGGGCACCGTCGAAACCTCACGGATGGGAGTCGTCGGCGGGGTGATGTCGCTGTCGTCACCGAAGTCGGAGGAGTCGTCGCAAATAGGGAACGACGTCACCCGCGTCATCGTCATGTCAGTGCTCGCACGACGAGCTGGCGGGCGGATGTTGGACAAGAAAGCCGGCTGCAAAGGCGCGGCATTCTCACCGCTGCGAGGAGCGCGAGCGGGCCTTTCCCTGCGGCGGGACGCCAACTTGGGGGTAGGGGAGTCCAGCATCTGGGCGGTAACCTGACGGCGGCGGGCCAACTTGCCTGACGGCTGGGAAGTCAACTTCGGAGGGGAGGCGAATGCCTTGGAGTCTGCCTTCTGGGATTGGGCGGGAATGCTGTCGGTAGCAAAAAGGTCGGTCAACGAGGTCGGGACGTCGGGCTTTCCACGAGGGACCTCAGCTCGGGGAGCGGAAGACGCCTGAGGAGGCGTGGGTATCCTGGTTGGGGACGGTTGGTGAGCGTGTCGCCGCGCGGCGGCATCGGAAGGGGATACAGAAGTGACCCTACGTCGCAAGGAACAGCTCGACGGTGAGTCGACGGGCGCTAAACAGCTAAGTCAGACGTAGGACTGACCTGCGGTGGGCATCCTTGAGCTGCTTGTTCTGCTTGCGCCCTCGAGTGGACTTGTCTCCAGCGGGGGAAGACTGATCAGCCTTCGCGGGGGAGGTCGTAGGGGCCTTGGACGCCTCAACGGATGCAGCCTGAGCATGGATAGGCTGGGGAGACCGTTGCTGCTTCTTGGGGGACGCACGGGGTGCTCGCGGCTGGGCCTGTAGTTGCTGAGGCCGCGGGCATGACTGAGCAGGTTTGGCGATGTTGAGGACGCCGGGGGTGTGCGAGGGCCGTACGACGACGGGGGCCGATGGGTGTCGAGAGTGCGTAGGACGCAACGCTGGCGGGGTGAACATTGTTGGTGGCTTCTGTACAGCGATCATTGTGTTAGTCGAGGGGGGGTAGGGGGGAGAATGGTGGGCGGAATGGCGGCGAGGGGCGCGGCGACGGGGGAGACGGGAGACGGGATGGAAAACGAGGCGTCGAGAGAAAAGGGGAGGTTCGTATAAGCGGTGCGCGGGCGGCCTGCAGTCTTTTACTCGCCTCCATTGGGATAAGCTTTGAACTCCGCATGGCAGCCAGCGAAGTGAGCCACTTCGGTCCATCTCGGAGATCCACCCCGCGCCAGATACGGACATCAAGCTTCTGCCGGCCCCTGCGGTTGTGTCTTGTTTGGCCATGGTAACGCTCCCTCCTGTAACGCCTTTAACCATATCCGGCGAACCATTGGCCACAGTGTTCTGTGTAATCCTGTTGGACCAAGTAAGATGCCACAAAACTTTACGGTCAAACGACTTTCAAAGTCGAATACTTTTCTTTGCGAAACGAACCGCTATCTCGCTGGCACGGTGGCTGACAAGATGGCCCCATGCAAAGAAGGCACGGTGAAAATTGCTCGCCGCCCACGTCAGCGTTACATCTGGGTAACGCCGGCATCGGGAGAAACCGCAGAACTCGCACGGGGATGGCTGACTAAGCGGGCGGCTAGACGCTCCAAAGTGTATGGACGAGGCGGCGCGTGCGTAGCTGGTGCCCTTTCCATCGAGAAGCCGTCTGTTCGTGCAAGCGACTCCGCGATTCTGATGCGAGCCTGGCCCGTGCGCCGTCCAGGACGCGCGGGCCAGGCGCGTCCGACCGAAAACACACAGCCTCCGCATTCAATCAGCCCACGAGGCCTCCCCACAAACGCAGGTCCCACCATCCGCGCTCTCGAGACGATCGGGCCCTCTCCGCCGTCCTATCTGTCCCTCCTGCCCTCTCTTCCGCCTCCGACTTCCGCGCATCCGCGTTTGCGAGGACACACGCACCCTCCTGTTCGCCCCAGATCCGCCGCCGAGGCCCGAGCTGCATTGATGTCAGCCGGAGCCTCATCTGACGGCGTGGCATCAGACATCTGTCGGCAACCGTCCAGGAACGTCCTCCGTCGCGGAGGCCTGCCCCGCCATCAATATTTCATATCCCGAGCAGCGAGCCTCCATCGTCCATCCGCATACGACTCGCAGTGGGCGGTGCATCTGTCTGGAGACGCAGAACAGAGCTGCACGACAACAACCGTATACTGAACACGCCCATCAAGCCCCGCATGCGTCACTCGACATCCTGATGCCTGACACTGCACCCTTCCGCGCCTCTGTCTCTCTGGTCGCTCCGGATACCGAGATCTCCCATCTCTCGCTCTCTCCTTGCGGATCCCACTCAGCCCCGTTGCGGGGTAGGATCATGCGACTGTTGTTGCCCCGAGTCCCGATCCGCTCGCCGTCCAGTTGTGTACGTACGTTTGTAACGGAATGCGTCGAACAACAAACACGCCTGTTTCTTGCTCGCGCCTCGCAGCACGCACACAACGCGTGCATACTCGCCGGTTCTCACGTCTGTCGTCCTCATTGTCCCTATCGCCTCGCACTGGCAGGAAGAATAACGTCCCAAGTGCCCAGATCCGCTTACGCAGAAGCAGAAGCACCCTTCGCGTTCCTCATTGTTCGTGAACGACAACAGACCACTTGCGTGCAGCAACCGTCTTCCCATCTCAGCCGTCGCCGCTTCAACACAACCCCGTGCACAGTCGCACCTAAGGCTACATACCGCTATCGCAACGCCCTCGCGCCATATCGCCCAAAACATACGCCCAAGAACGCACCCACGGAAGCCCCGCCGGCTCGTCCGCCCCAGGTCCGGTCTCCGCCCACAAGCTATGCATTGAGTTCACATCCCGCGCCCGCCATCCGAGCCCCAGCCTGCCCAGCTGACAGGGCGTATCCGGCCGGTGCCTTCTGCCTTCGATATCTGAACCTTGCAAGGCGAGCGGAGCGCCCGCCGTCGCACGCTCGCCCCCATATCGCGCTAGCCCCTGCGAGCTCCTCAGACAGGTCCGGCTCCCGATCTCCAGCTGCTAGCGGTAGCCGCCCCCTATCGGGCTGCGTCTGATGACTTTGACATGCCACTGCGGGCCATGGAAGACATGGACCCAGGGGACTAAGACTTGGCCCTGGCTCTCTCGCTATCTGGCCTGTGTGCTGGGGCTGCGATAGCGCGAGCTGGCCGTGGCCCGTGCACGGTGCAGGTCGGAGTGAGAAGCGCAGCAGGCGTACGTGCATGTCTCGGAGCCTGCCATGGTCCGCGAGGACGTTGCGTCCTGCGCGCTGGCCACGGCGTCCGTACGCCCACGACGCCACTAGGTTTCAGAGTACACCCCGCACAGGGTTTGCACAGGATGAATGGTATAGACGACAGAAGATGCGTATAGCACGCCGCCGGCGCCGCTCTTCCCCGCAAACATACGCACATCCATCCAGAATTGTACGACGTCGACGACGCCAGGGCCCGAAGGCAGAAGGCTGATGGCAATGCCCCGTCCTCGTGCGCCGCCGTGCACTGGCCCCATCATCGCATTCGCACTGGCAGACCGGGAAAGCATGTCCTCGTGAGCCCGCACCGCATCCCACGCCATCTATCACAGGCAGTCAGCTGGCCCCCTCCCTGCTTCGAATCCCCGCGCCAGCGCCAGAGCGTGGCACCGCGCTATACATACCTGCGTGCGGGCGTAAGACAGGCTCCCCCCGCTCGAGCTCCTTTGTGTGCTGCGCGGGGCGAAGATCAGATACGCCCGGTGTGCAGTCTATTCTGCTGCCCATTCCTCGGTTGCCACCGCGGCGCGGGGGATCATGGGGACGGCGTCGAGGGCGTTCGTTGCCGTCGGGAACTCGAAGCCCGCCACTGCACCCATGATCTGGAGTGTTCGCGCGCTAGCTTGATACTCTGAAGCTAGCCCGCCGCACCAGTGAACTTTGCGCTCTTTCTCGGCTTCGGTGCTTCACAGAACGCGCTGCGGCCCCTATGCGTGTCGTGTGAGCTCGCCACAACGCCCCCCGTACTCGATCGCGAGGTTGCCTTAATTGCCGCGCCGCCGGTGCTCATGAGAGAGCCCGTGCGCTTCGAGGCGCAGGACATGAAGATCTGCGCGCCGCTCTGAGCGACGGTGACGTCCGCGCGCATCTCGACCGCTCTCATCGCTATTGTCCCCGTAGGCGGTGCGCAGTCTGGGTGCTGCCTCGCAGTATGGCCACGTCTGCGGTCTGCGGTCTACGACGGATTGCGATTTCGCCATGGCGGCTGACTACGGACATGTCGTTGCGACGTCCGCCACCTGGGTTCTTGTGCTCGACATCTATGCCCACTGTCAGCCCGCTTCGTCGGCCCAGCATGGCGATGGAAGAACACCGTGTCAGCCCCAAACGCCTCGTGCATCCGAACTCACAATTATCGGGATCTTCGCCGGCGTGTTCATGTCAGGCTCCGGCGCAACGCGCGATCGCGAAGCCTCTTCATTGACGGGGATGTGGCTGGCACTGTACGCGAAGTGCACCCATACGGAAGTTCGCGCAGTCTCCTGAATACCTCCGCGACCCGGGGTGCAACTTGGCGCGCACGGTCCAGTGACCACGCATGCAATGGGCACTTTGTGTTGCTTCGACTGCACAGTGAGTCGGAACAGTCGCCACTTCGCCGTGGTCTTCCGCCGCTGGGGCCGTGCGCAGCCGCTTCCTCCCCCGCGCGACGTGTCTACATCTGGTGGAGCGGGCCTGCGCCCGAGCTCCAAGAAGTACCGTCGCAGAGGATGCGTGGCGCGCTGAGGAGCTGCTGTTCCGTGAGGATACTTGTGCTATCGATGCCTGAAATTAGTCCATGCTGCGGGATGGGTGTGGCGCGCTCGAGGGGCGGGATCATCACCTCATGCACTTGGACGTCCATGGGGTGAAACAACTGTAGTAGCAGCATGTTGAGCTGAAGGGGCGAACGCAGCTCCCACTATGTCCGGTCAGGATGACGTCGTGTGGCGGAGGAGGCTGAGCACGGTCGTCCCGAGCCGGGTCACGTCCGTCACAGAGAGGGGCAGGCACGGCCGGGCGGCGGCTGTCGGCGGCAGCGGCTTACCACCAGACTCACACCCAGTCCTCTGCTTGCGAGGACGTTCGAGGGCATTCGAGCTCCGCCAACACTGCCCGGAGAACGGCGCGGGACGGCGGGCCTAAGCTTCCGACCCGGTAGTTCAGCACCGCCTCCGCCGGGGAAGAGCAGAAGCAAAAACATACGTACAAGTTCGCGAGCTGCAATATAGTCTTCATGGAGAACCTGTTCAGAGATTTAGCCGTGAATGTTCTATATAGCTCAGGGAGATTACAAGAATGAGGGGAAGCTGAACACAAGAAGTCTAGGATAGCTAACAAATCGTAGGTAGAACGCGAGAAACATACGTTACAGAACTCCCCGGGTCGCAACGACGATTGGGCACAACAGAGAACACGCGCAGGGAACGGGCGGCTGGAGACGGGAAAGCAAAGCAATCGAATTACATTCCTACGTTTGAACAACAGTCCAGTCCGCACGGCTCTCGCCAGAAGTGCTCGCCCGCCCCTCCACGCGATGACCGACAGGATTATGCGGCAAGGAGCATTTTCCTCGGGTCCTCGAGGTAGTCGCGGATCTTGACTGTCAGCCGCAGAAGTGAAGGTCAGCCGCTTAGCACTCATAACGGATAGTGTCGCGGAAGACGCACCGAGGAACGTGACTGCTTCCCGCCCGTCGAGGAGGCGGTGGTCGTACGTGAGTGCAACAACCATGATCGGGCGGATGACAATCTGGCCGTTGACCACCACAGGGCGCTCCTTGATCGCGTGCATGCCTGCGAGAGGGAGTGTTGTCAGCCACCGCGTTTGATCGAGGATGTTAGTTAGAGCCGCAGCCGCCAACCGCAGTGACGATCGCGGGGCGCGCGGGGAGCACCGCATGCCGGCAGTGGGCTGCGGCTCCGACATAGGTGGATACAGGGGGATAGACGTGGTCACTTACCGAGAACGGCGGCTTGCGGGAGGTTGATGATCGGCGTGCCGTATAGCGAGCCGAAGACACCGCCGTTGGAGCTACCACGCTGTGAGCACAAGAATCGGAATGAACAGATCGGGACATGCTTACATGGTGAAGCTGCCGCCCGACATGTCCTCCAGAGTGAGCTTCCCATCACGCGCCTACGCGGGCTCAGTAAATGGGAAGACGTGAAGTGTTCACATACGCACCTTCTTGCCAAGCGCCGCAATCTCCTTCTCAATGTCCACGAAGCTCATCGACTCCGCGTTCCGCACAACAGGGGTGACCAAGCCTTTCGGCGTAGCCACCGCGACGCTGAGGTCGACGTAGTCGCGGTACACGATCTCGTCGCCCTCGATCGACGCGTTCGCGGCCGGGATCTCCTTCAGGGCGAGACACGACGCCTTCGCGAAGGCGCTCATGAAGCCGAGCTTGACGTCGTGCTCCTTCAGCACCTCGTCCTTGTACTTCTTGCGCATCTCCATCACGCTCGACATGTCGATCTCGTTGAACGTCGTCAGCGACGCCGCCGCGTTCTGCGACTCCTTCAGGCGCTCCGCGATGCGCAGGCGCATCCGGCTCATCTTCACGCGCGTCTCGTTCCGGCTCCCGGGCACGCGCGGGGCGGGCGCGGGCTGCTCCTTCGCCTCCTTCTTCGGCGCGGGCGCGGGCTTCGACGTCTCCTTGACCTCTTTCTTCGCGGTGCCCTCCTGCACGCCGGCGTCGTCGGGTTTGCGGATCTGCTCGGGCGAGGGTGCGGGCGGGGGAGGTGTGCCTTTCTCGACCTGCTGGTCTTTAGGCTCTGAGGAGTCCTTCACCTCCTCGGACTTCTGCTCCTTCGGCGCGGGAGCCTCGCCAGCTGCTCCGGGCTCGAAGCGGAACAGGTCCTGGCCGACGCTGACGGTGTCCTCCTCGCTTGCCAAGAGTTCGGTGATACGGCCAGCGGCCGGTGCGTTGACAGAGACGTCAATCTGTGATGCCACAACGCCTGCTTAAGTGGTCGCATCTAAACGTTCGAGCTGGGCCACGCACCTTGTCGGTCTCGATGGTCGCAACCTCCTCATCTGCCTCGACGGCGTCACCGGGCTGCTTGAGCCATGACTTGAGCGTGCCCTCCGAGATAGACTCGGCCATCTGGGGGACCTTCACGGTCTCGGCTGCAAGGCGAATTTGACGTCACTCCCACTCCCCGGTTTCCTAGCATGCAGGCGAAGGTGAATCACGAACCTTGGAGGAGGTTCGTCGAGTGGAATTTCGCGCGCTGCGTGTACGTGCTGGCGACCTTCCTGCGGCCTCTTCAGCACGGGTCGGGAGCCAATCAGGTCTTGGACGTATGCGCACCAGCCTTTCGACATTACAGCGGCCTCGGCGCGGCTGGCAGCGAGAGCACGCCCGCGCGCAATAAGAATAATTCGTCTTGACAACATATTAGGGACAGAATAGGGTGGTGCGAGGAGGGGGGCGGCGACGTTGAGGCCGGCGAGGAGGGAGGTGGGTGTTGGAGAGAGGCCGCCAGCGACGCGACGCAAAGACATCATCACCACCCGTTTAGGCGCCCATCACCGAACAAATCCGACGCGCTCGCCGCGCTCCTGGCCGCGCGCCAATACCGTCGCTGCGATTATTCGGACTTTCGTCGCTGCACCGACGGCGAGCTCGACCCTTCTGTCATCTTCTCCACGCTGAGCCGTTTGCGCGTCCGCCCGTCGACCGATCTTCCGTCTCTTGGCCGCTGAGCGTATGCTGGGCTGTCGTGTGTTCCCGGGAACTTTGGTGCAAGCGTCTGGCGTGGACGGTCGCGCTCGGCCACCGTGGCTGGCTATGTGAGGGAGAAAATAGCAGTGAGTACTTAAGTACCAGAGCGAACGCGTTTGTTATGTCTTTACGCGGTCATTAGTCCATGCCTCGCGTTGGCACGCTGACTCGCCTTTACGGTTGCAGATTTACTTGTGTCCCGTCGGGCGATAGGCACCCCATTGTAGCGCGCCGCAGACTGCAGCTGATGAAGTGTTCTTGTCTGGTATCAGGCTTCCTAGTAACATGGACTGTCATCGTTGCTGCCCAATAACCTGGCGAAAGCCTTTCCAACGCCCCGTCGACCCACGATGAAGTTAGATTCAAGCGACATAGGCTAAGACAACCCAGCCCACAGTCCGAGTCGGAACTTTTATGTGCACATAGCGAGGGTAATGTCCTCGGGATTCCCTCGAATTTGCCCTCGAAATGCCTTCGCCTAGCCTCGGATCGCTTGACCCTCCCATCGCTCACCTGAGAGAGGACGAACACTCCTCGCGAGGCCTCTTGATGATTCCTTCCACCGCGGGAGGTATCTTCCATATCATCCGACAATCATTTAACAGGTCATCGAGAAGCTCTCGGCACAGAGCTGCAGCCATTCCTACTTTACCAGGCGGAAACAAGATTCTGACCTCGGGAGGGAAAAGGCCGGTCTCGCACGGATATGTCGCATTCTTCCGCATGAGCGGACTGTCCTAGCTGGTGCCTTGGATCTCGCAACGTGCAAAACCTCAAGGTGGCAAAGTTCATACAGAGCCTCCCGTGTAACAACAGTAAGATCGTCCCACAGTTACGCCTGGTCTCATCACACCTGCTGACACCTGCGCCCTGTCTCACAGTAGCTCGCCAGTGCCATCCGAATGTGTACAACCGGGCCCGAGAACACCAACACACCGACCCTCCAGTGGCCGTTCGGCTAGTCCCTGAAGCGATAGCCTACTCTGCCGGTCCGACCCACACCAGGCCTCTGCACGGATGGTGGTCCCGTATCTGCGTCTCGACATCCTGGTGGCTCCCTCCAGGCCCGCCACAGTCTCATGCACCCTCGATCGTGTCTCGCAACCTGCAGGTCGTGGTGGAAGACGTAACGACGCCACGGGGCTTATCTCGCACGAGGCCATCGGCCCTCTCGGCCTGTCTGCTGGTCCACGGATGGAGGGCAACGCCTTGCGGCACCATCCGCGCTTCTCTCTGTTGTGGGAACGACCAGCCGAGGGCCCTTCGCAGTTTGGGCCCCGGGTGTATGCGCGTCTGCCTCTGCGCCCGTAGTGGTTTATTTGTTCGTGCGTGCATTTGAGTTTGGCCGGTGATCATGGTTCATCAGGCGCTCATATTGTGGACGCCTGCAGAGGCGGCACCATTTATGGTCACTCGGGATTCCCAGTTCTCCACAGTACTACTGAGTCGTTTTGTGCTTCGCGCCGTGAATTTTCAAGCACGTGTGGACAGCATGACAGCCGCCCACTCTCACCTTGACAGTCGACTTGCGAGGTTGCATAGGCGCCCGAGCCGTACCAGTACAAATGCATTCTGCAGTTCTTCGACAGCTCGGAGGTTATGCTCCGCAAGTGGAGAAGTTCCATGGGTAAAGCGTCCGTTCTGTGACACTTTCGCATGCATCTGACTGACGTGTATTTCAAACAGGAACTCACCCAAATCTTCCTACTTATTGGCGCTTAACTCGCCGACGTCGTACAAACACTCGCAACAGCATAGGAGGGTCGCTTGCTATGTCTGCATAGATTTGCAGATTTCCAGGTCGGTCCTTTAGAGGGTTTCCGCCTCGCAGCTGCATCTCGGAACAGGTACCAAGCCCGCAAGTGATCGAGGACGCACGTGTCTCAACTTCACGGCGACTCTCCACGGTGGCCAGCGGATCCCCCACTAGTTCTCAAATTCATCCACCCACGTTTCATGCCCATAGCCGAGCATGTCAGTGTCGTCGCTTGTTCTGCTCTCATCCGTGCTCACGTTTCGCCGCTACTCGTTCTCCAGTGCGATGCGCGCGCATCTCCCAACATCGAACGTGTACTGCGGGCGCCCACGCGCGCGTTCTCGAGGGCCTTCAAATTTCCCTCGGGTGGTCAAGAGACACCTGCAGGGCTCTGCAGAGCTGTCTTATCGCTGAGATCGCTCTCGGGACTCCGACGCATGCACCTCGGCTGGCGCGCGCGCGCGCGAGGGAGCGCGGTTGCGCCTTGTACGTCTATGGAAGAGTCGGGTGGAGAACCTGCAAGGATGGGGCCGATTGTTTCGCCGACAGGCAGGCTCTTATAGCGATAAATATGCAGAGACGGTGATCCGTAAGCACTCTTCCACTTCTCTCCTTGAACACCCCGCTCAGGCAAACATGTTCGACCTCCCTGTACAGGCGCATGCGGCCCTCCGGCAGCATGTCCTGCTCTACGGCGGCCTGTGCACTGTTCTTGCTGTATCTATCTTATTCCACCGACAACTGCGGCCGTACTGGAGGTTCTTCTACGCCTGTTTCCTCAAGCCCGTCGACCATGGCAACGCAGCGGACGTGAAGGCGCTCACCGGGCAGCAACGCGCCCTCGAAGGTTTCTACCGGACACAGGCAGAAGTGTATGACGCTACTAGGGGGCTGCTCCTTCGCGGCCGGGAGGATATGCTGCAGCTCGCCGCTGCACAGCTCAAGCACCGCATGGACGCGCAGTCCGGGAAGCCTATATGGGTTGATGTATGTACGCACACCCTTTCGCACTCAACTAGCACTCACAGCTACCGTAATAGGTTGGCGGCGGTACCGGATACAACATCGAGAAGATGAATGACTTCGTACCAGTCTGCGACTTCTTCTCGGCCGTTTATTTGGTCGACCTTAGCCCGTCGCTGTGCGCCGTCTCCCGGCAGCGGTTTGCTAGGCTGGGATGGAAGAACGTGCACGTCGTGTGCGAGGACGCCCGTACCTTCGTGCTCGACAAGTCCGAAGATGTGCTGGATACGGCGGAGTACGGGGCCCCGGGCAGCAAGCACCGCGTCAAAGCAGATTTTGTCACCATGTCATACTCACTCAGCATGATCCCCGAGTGCGTCCGATCCTTCTTCATTTTGCCCTGATCGGGTTATGAAACATCCTCTTAGCTTCTACTCCGTGATTGACTCCATCGCCGACCTCCTCGCGCCCCACGGCCTCATCTCCTGCATCGACTTTTACGTGCAGTCCGCGAAGAGCTACAACCTCCGCAACTTCACTGGCGGGCACCACTCCCGGCACGTCAACTGGTTCTCGCGTCTCTTCTGGCGCGCCTGGTTCCGCCTCGATCGGGTGCACCTCGACGAGGGCCGCCGTGACTACCTCGAGCACCGGTTCGGCACCATCCTCAATGCCAACGAACGCAACTACTCCCTCGGCGCCATCCCGTATTACATCTGGCTGGGCTGCCAACGGTCCGCGACGTCCTCCGCAGCAGCGCAACGCATCGACGCCCTCGCAACCGAAAGCCCATACCTCTCTCCGGTGCACTACGTCGAGAAACGCGACGAGGCCGCCACCGCCGCAGCACGCGCCACCCGCACTCAGCTGCGCTCCAAAGGCTTCGAGGCCGCGATCCTCAACCTCGCCGCGAACGTCCCCCTCCCCGCCACCTTTTACCAGAACCAGCGCTGGCGTCTCTACTACGACGAGGCGCTCCCGAAGCACACCCAGTTCGGGGACGACTACATCTACGCGTTCGCATGGGAGGACCCCGCGGAGGACCAACGGCTTCTCGGGATTGGGGCAGACGACGTCGTGTTTGCGATCACCTCCGCGGGCGACAACGTGCTCGCGTACGCGCTGCAGCGCCCGCGCTCTATCCACGCCGTCGACCTCAACCCCGCGCAGAACCACCTGCTCGAGCTCAAGCTTGCCGCCTTCGCCGCCGCGCTCCCGCATGCCGATCTCTGGGCGCTCTTCGGCACTGGGCGTCATGCGGACTTCCGCGCGCTCTTGCTCGAGAAGCTCGCCCCGCACCTCTCGTCGCGCGCGTTCCAGTTCTGGCTCGACAATTCTGGGGCGTTCGGGTCGCGCGGCGGGCTGTACGAGACGGGCGGGACGCGCATCGCGGTGAAGCTCTCGAAGTGGCTCTTCCGCGTGCTCGGGCTTCGGGGCGCGGTGCGCCAACTTTGCGATGCCCCGACGCTGCGTGCACAACGGGCCATCTGGCGGACCCGTTTGCGCCCGGTTGTGTTGAGCCGTTGGTTGAGCCGGTTCGTCGTCGCGAACGAGCAGTTCCTGTGGCGCGCGCTGGGCGTGCCGCCGAACCAGCGCGACATGATCTACGAAGACGCAGTGGCGGCAGCCGCTGCACGCGGAGGCGCGTTTGCGCCGAAGGACGCGATGTGGCAGTATGTCGTGGATACGCTGGACCCGGTCGTGGAGAACACGCTGCTCAGGGATAGCAACTACTTTTACCGCCTGTGCCTCATGGGACAGTATTCTGAGGAGTGAGTGCATATGTTTCGACGTGGAGAGTAGATATGCTGACCACGATGAGCAGCTGTCATCCGGCATACCTCTCGAAAGAGGCCCATGCGACCCTCTCGCAACCGGGCGCTTTCGACGGGCTGCGCGTGCACACAGATGAGTTCGTGGAGGTCCTTGCTCGCATCCGTCCTGAGAGTGTCACCGTCTCTGTGGTTAGTACATCCTACTCCGGATTCTCGCATGCCCCGAAAGGCTAACGCGCGAGCAGATCATGGACCATATGGACTGGTTTGATCCCGAGGGTACTCAAGCCGCTGAGGTATGTTACGGTTTCGAAGATCTCTACTGCATATTTCTGACTTGCGAACTACAGGAAATCCGCGCCCTGAACAAGGCAATGAAGCTCGGTGGACGTGTCCTGCTGCGCAGCGCCGGGCTCAAGCCGTGGTACATCTCTGCGTTCTCTGCTCAGGGTTTTAAGTGCGAGCGCGTCGCCGCGCGCACTTCTGGGAAGTGCATCGATAGGTAAACCTCGGCGCTCTTCTCGTTACGCACCCACGATGGCTCACTGGCTGCGGCAGGGTGAACATGTACGCATCGACGTGGATCTGCACGAAGGTCGGTATCGATCCTTCGGCTCTCGCTGACGGAGAGCTGTCGGTCGCCGCTGTGGACGACGGAAATGTCGAGGATAGCTTGGATTCTGAGGTGGTAGAGAGTCTGGAGCTGTGATGAGTGTCTGTGTGGATATGAACTCTTCGTTCGAACTCATGTTTGTTTATTCTGATTTTGTGTAGACTCTAGATTGTGCGAATAGAGATGTGCTTGGTATACCCTTGCGGAGTCAGTAGGTGCTTGGAGTCGCGTACTTGGATCGAGTACAACCGCCCGCGTTACGGTTCCATGACGTCATGAGCCTCCTTATAAGTGCCCACCTTGTCCGCACCGTCTGTTCATTCTCCCCCTCGACGTCGTATCTACCATCGTATGCTCACCCGTCTCGACGTCAAACCACCGCACGAAACATTCTTTGACGCTACCTCACACACTCCATTGTCATGAGCTTCAATAGCAGAGCCCCTGGCCGTAATCTCGTGCGTAGTAGGAACGCGCCGACACCTTCTGCGGGTTTGCTCACCTCTCCGCCGTCCTACCAGGCCATCGTGACCGTGGTCGGCACAGTCGCCACCCTCGGATACATGTACGTCGCCGGGAAGCAGACAAAGAGAGAGGAGGGCCCGGCATCAATTTACAGTGAGTTCTCTCGCTCGCCCTTCTTCCACGACCGTTCTGACCCAGAAAACACAGACCAGTCGAAAGGTCTGCAGAGCCAGACCAGCGACGCAAGATTGGATTCCTCTGGTGTGAGGGAGACGGTCTCAGGGGACAGGAAGCCCTGAGCAGACCCGCTGTATCGCTCATGTAAAACAACTCGATGATGCCTGTATCATAGCTGACTTACTTTGTATCACATTGTACGAGTTTCGTAGGCTCCATACTTACATGAATCGTTTGCACAAGTGAAGAGGTCTGACTCGGAGGTACCAATCAAGCGCGCTGAGTGTTCGCAAGAATATGATTGGCTCCCCAGGTGGCGAGTGACGAGCGCTTATGCAAATAATGGCTTGGCAGGCTGCACTCATCCTTCGCAAGACTCCGCCACGAAGCTTTTGCCAGTACATGCTGGAACCGCCGTCGAAAGCTCACCAGGTAGTGGGTCATGGTGTCTTGCTATTTCACCCCTGGTTCTGCGCCCCTCCCAAGGTATTTCTAGCCGCTGCAACCGATCGATAAGCCCGGGGCCTTTGTCCCATTGAAGAGACGTTGGCAAGCTGCACACGGCCGCCATGTTGAATTTTCGTCCGACCGTCAGTCCTCCTACGTAAGTAGGAGATGTGTACAGTGGGCTATAACAGACGTGTCATTTGAGATCGCTGTCATCCAAGTGATATATGCAGGTGCGTCTCATCGTACACCGATGCCGATTGCCAATCAATCGTTTGGTTCAAACTCGTATGTGGACAGTCAAGTCGGATGACAACCGACCGTTGGCAACGGGACCACGAGAGCGTTCTCCACCTACTCCGAGGATATGTCAGCGTTTGCAGCGTTGAATCGGCTACCACCTCACCTGCATCTTCCTTACTAGCCGTTGCCAGTGCAAGAAGGACCATTCGCCCTGCTTCCAGCAGCACAGTTTATACAACTCGCCCACCGTGTACTACGGCAGGCACTGCTTTCCCTGCAGGCTGCAGATCGTCGCTTGCACACATTGCACCCACCCCCGACCGGCCCGGACGCGCCTGTTCTGATTTCGATATTCCCCGCACTTTCTTCATCCGCTCGCACCTCCACGCGTCCGCTTTGATCGACATGACGCATTCCTTCTGCGTCCTCATCGACGGACACGGCTTCGCACCGCGCCCCGTTCCCCACGCGCATGGGACCGGGCCTCTCCGTATGGCTAATGGAGGGCCCGGACTACCGCGTATGGTATCTAGGGCAGCTTCTCCTCCGCGGCAGCCGTTCCCATGATGCGCCTTCTTTGCTCCTCGGAGGCTGCCTGGGCAGTTGCCGACCGCACTCCTCGCATAGATGTCAGATTGCATGACATAGGGCAATCTGCGGGGAAGATCTGTCGCTTTGGGAGCGCAGTATAAGTACGTATACGTGCATGGGACTCGCCATAGTGTCGGCTACTCCTCTTCGACTTCGACTCGGCAACTTGGGACTGAACAGTACACGAAGTTAGCAAGCACCTGGGAACCACTTCGGAGCTGCGCATCGCAAGGATGGTTTCTCTGCTACAGGCCGTGCTCGTATGCAGCGCGACGTGGGTTCTGTGGAAGCTTTTCCGTAGGCTTACGGTGAAGAGCGACCTTGACAACTTGCCTGGTCCGCCGTCGCCCTCTTTCCTCTATGGTATGTCAATTACTCTCCGGATCTTGCTTCAAGAACGTGCCCTTATTCGATTTCACTGCACAGGAAACCTCAAGCAATTGTATAGCAGACAGAGCTTCAAGTTTCACCAGAGTCTGGGCGAGACGTATGGCCCGGTCGTAGGGATGCATGGCAAGTTCGGTGTACGTGACGATAGAGGAGACGACTGCAATTATCACTAACGCGAATTCTACTTCAGAGCAACGTACTGTACACCTTCGACCCCAAGGCGATGCACCATATCGTCATCAAGGACCAGGATGTCTTCCAGGAGTCGACCTGGTTCACCAGGTGAGTTCGGCCTCGGCGGTGTGCATGATGCATGATGTTCACTGCACCATCGGACAGAACGGTTTACCACTTGTTCGGTCTCGGTCTTCTCGCAACGCTTGGTACGCGACTCCGTGCTACACGCGCGCACGGGCAATTTTGACTGAATGAGGGTACAGGCGACCACCACCGCAAGCAGCGCAAGATGCTCAACCCCGTCTTCTCGATCAACCACATGCGCCACATGACACCGCTCTTCTACGACGTCTCGCACAAGGTCCGTCTTAACCTTCCCATCCTCCCACCCATCTCCGCCTAGGCTTCTCTTCTCTTCTCCCGCCACTCTCCGCTCCGTCTTAATTAACGGCAAACGCTCACCACACCTCCCGGGCGCAGCTCCGCACCGCGATCGAGTCGCGCGTGAGCAAGGCTGGCGCAGGTGCGAACGAGGTCGACATGGTCGGCTGGATGGGCCGCACCGCGCTCGAGCTCATGGGCCAGGCGGGGCTCGGGTACTCGTTCGACCCGCTCGTCGCGGACGCCGCGGATGAGTACGGCGAGGCGATCAAGAAGCTCATGTGCGTCTCTCCCCTTATCCTTGCGTCAGTATGCAGATATTAACGGAACGAACGCCCCAGCCCGACGCTGGCCCAGATGCACGGAATGCAGCAGTACCTGCCGCTCTTTGAGGCGATTGTGCCCGCGGGCTGGCGGCGTGCCGTCGCGGAGCGCATCCCTGTGCGCTCATTGAGGAACATGATCCAGATTGTGGACACGCTGCGCACACGTTCGTCGGCGATCTTTGCGGAGAAGAAGCGTGCGTTGCTCGCGGGCGACGAGGCGCTGAAGCAGCAGGTCGGCGAGGGCAAGGACCTCATGAGCATTTTACGTGGGTCCTTTCGTTCGGCGCTGGGGCATGGGGCGTGGGTCGCTGATGAGGCCAACAGTGAAGGCGAATATGGAGGCAAGCGAGGAGGACAAGATGCCGGAGGATGAGCTCGTCGGGCAGATGTCGTATGTTATTTATTTCTTGCGCTCGTCTCCCATAGTCGAGTTACTGACAAGCTTTTGTTATCAGCACCCTGACATTCGCAGCGATGGACACCACCTCGAACGCGTTGTCTCTCACCATGTGGCGCCTCGCGCAGAACCCCGCCGTACAGGACAAGCTGCGCCAGGAGATTTTCGAGGCGCAGGAGGCCAGCGGAGGCGGCGACATCGGATACGACGACCTGGTTGCTCTGCCCTACCTCGACGCCATATGCCGGGAGACCCTCCGAGTGTGAGTGTGCGCAAACATCTTTCACGAAATTGCTTGCTGATTACGAACCATTATGCTAGTCACGTCCCTGCGCCTTTCCGGTTCCGCGAGTGCGTATCCTCCACCAGTTGACCCATTACAGCCGTTGATATAACCTGGTTGCAGAGCAAGACAGGACATTGTCCTCCCGCTCTCCGAGCCCGTGCGCGGAAAGGACGGCCGGATGATGCACGAGCTCCACATCCCGAAGGACACGTCCGTCTTCGTCGGCATCAACGCGTCGAACACGAACACTGCGCTCTGGGGTCCGGACGCCTATGAGTGGAAACCCGAGCGCTGGCTGGAGCCGCTCCCGGATGCGGTACTCGACGCGAAGATCCCTGGGGTGTACGCTAACCTGTAAGCTTGCGTCTCAATAGCTCAGCTAGAGGAAATGCTGAGAGTACCTGGGCTAGGATGACGTTCTGGGGCGGTGGTCGCGCGTGCATGTAAGCCCTTGCATCGACTTCGTACTATATTCAATAGCTGATGAATATACCCCCACAGCGGCTTCAAGTTCTCGCAGCTTGAAATGAGTCAGTCGTGAACCCTGCCTCGTTCTGGGTCTGTAAATACTGACCGCGTTACAGAGGTCGTCCTGGCGGTGCTCATTTCGAGCTTCAAGTTCGAGCTCACGGACAAGCGCATCTACTGGAACATGGCCGGCGTGCAGTACCCCTCCGCAGACCCGCGCGGCGAGCGGCCGGAGCTTCCGATGAAGGTCCAGTTGGTGAAACGCGACGCTATGCGGATTTGAGCACGGCCAACGTGTACGTATTTGTGTGCCTTTTGCTGAATGTTTCTGCATCGTCTACTGACTTGAGCTGCATAGGTGGAAGATATACCTACTCGTACTTGCACTCTCAGCGGGTCGACGCAGAGATCGTATCGGACTTTATCGCGAGTTACTTCTATTTACCAGCGTTTTACAAATGTCAGTTGGCTTCACATCGTTAAAGTTCGATAGTTGAAGGATAGATAGGTCTTATTGCAAAGTGTCCGATGATAGATTTCGTCGCCCTTCGTATGCTAAAGTTGTACGTCTTGTTCCGAACCCGTGCAGCTGCCACAGGGCACAGGGTAATTAGTACAACGTTGACGATATCGTCGAAAAGGGCAAGAAGACGCCGACTCTCTCGGCCGTCCGTGAAAGCTTGGCAGAGCTCACGTTGAGGCTGTCCGCAGATCCGGGGCCCATGTTCGTCGATTAGTACAGCAAACATACGATGCACGCCGTTGTAAAACTCCCAAGAGACGCGTTCCGAGGCTTAGCGGACGGAGCCCTACAGCCCTCAGTGAATCTTGTCTGGACCACTTGCGGTACCGGCAGATCATATGGACCCATAGCACAAATGTCAAGTTCACTCGAAACTACGCCCAGAGAATCAAAATTCCTACTCCCAAATGGTTTTCCGCCTCCCACATGCCTCTATGCGAATGCACACATCATATAACCTGTTCAGGCGTTCAGGAGCACACAAGTGTCCGCTGCCACGACTAACGCGTCAGCATCCGGTACGACATCTCAGGAAGCAGGATGTGAACTCACTGCCGGGTTGGATGCCAAACAGCGGGCTGTCAGTGAACAGCCCGGTGGAGTCGTTAAGCGAGAATGCATATGTCGTTCCTGGAACGTCACATGAAAATGTAAGCTTTCGGGTAGACTGCGGCCAAAGGAGTGCAGCAGAGCTCGAAGGTACAACTTACCCGCAGCAAGATTCGTCTGCCAGGTAAAGCTGGTCACGCCGGCAGGGATGTTCGGGAACAACTCGACCGTCTTGCGATCTTGGCCAGTCTGGAACCTACGTCACGGGAAGTTGGGGAAAAAGGGCGGCAGCATAAGAAAGCAGCTTGCGGGAGACACCAAAGCCGTGACTCACCCCTGTTCAAGTAAGAAGATCCAATCAGTACAACGTTCACGCAGACGCAGGCGATGGAGGACATACCAAGGTGAATGGTCCTGTAAATTGAGTCAACGTGGAAATAGATCAGTAACGAGATATACAAGGAGACCGAATGCTTTCCACTCACCCTCGCCGCCCACCCATTGAATGAGCGTCGGCTCGCACTGCTCAGCACTTGGCCTGGATAGGTTCCCTGTCAGCTATTGAGGGCGTCCTAAGCCGGGAGCGTTGACGCTTACGGGAAGATGAGTCCCAGAGGATCCACCGCAGCAGCGAATGCGGCGAACGCGACGACCGTAAGTGTCCTGGAGAGCATGGTGAAGCGGGTCTACGAAAGGAAGGGAGTTGAGTTGTTCAAGGTATGCGAGAGTGAGGGTTATATCTCTTTGCGTCGCACTTCTTATACCACTCGGACGGATGTCGGGAGCTGCGCCATCGCATGGCATTTTGCCGCAAAGAGGCCTTGGATGACTCGACACCGAAGGTGCACACGGCGGGCCCGGGTGCGCCGCCTGTTCATGATGGAAGTCTGTTGCGAACTGTCCCATCTAGACACCGTGGGTGTTGTGGACTAACACCGTGGTGATCGGTCTGTCCACTCGAGCCTGCACGACGGAGGCTTTGCGTTGAGGCCGCGTAGCGCCGAGCGATCGTCAGGCGCGCCGCGCACACACGGCCAGCTACGGTCAATCTGCCTCGGCAAGCTGTTGAAGAACTGTGCTGTCAGCGCTCCCGGGCGGGGGCCATCAACAGGCAGACAGAATCAATGAAAGATTCGGGGGCGTCAGAACAGACCAGACTCACAGCCCGTAACCTTCGTTGGCAGCGAAGACTTGAGATGCAAATAGGGAATGTGTGGCGGGCCCTACGAAATTCTGGATCGCGGGCCCCCGTGGAGTCAAACCTGTCATTGGACGAGTTGAGACTCAGAGTTGTCGAGATCATCCTGTGTTCTGGGGTCGCTTGCAAAAGCTGAGGAGGTCATGATGCCGGTATTGCACTGCCATGTGACGGAGACTACGGTACGGGTACGGGACCCGGGTACGGAAATGTTGAAGCCTGGACTGAAGTTTGACTGAGAGATTGCAGCGATACCTTCTCGCCCGTTCGCATCCGCTCACATGAGGTGCGCGTCGTACTCATTGTCCTCCACGTAATCCAAAATAACCGTGGACGCCTCATACAGGAGTGTAGCCTTCGGCAGCATGCTTGGGTTCATCCAGTCGTACACCCAACTACGCAGCCACCCCTCCCGGACCATCCGGTCCCGGACTAATCCTCGGAGTAGCGCGTAGTCCGGCTCCTGTCCATACGCAAGGCCTACCACGTGTGCATGGTAGTCTGCGAACTCTGACGGGGAGTGTGCAAGGAGAGCGTCGAGGGTTCCCTCTGCCACGAGAGACGACAATGTACGGTAGAACTGGAGGAGAGTGTAGAGGAGGGATCCAACGTCGTCGGCGCAAGAGACGGATGTGCAACAAATGAGCATTTCGGCTTTACGCGGTCGGGCGCTTACATTTCGGCTTTTACCGAGGCGTTCAGTATCGCATCCCCTTTTGGTATTTATTCGGTCTCCTCCGTACCACCATCATCATGTTCATCGCCAATTCGTCGATCCCGCCCTTAGGGGAGCTACTTGTACGTATACATCTAAATGCGCTTGACTATGCTGGAGCCTCCAGAGATGCACTCTTGACAGGTCCTCAGTGCCGAGCACGGACTGCATAGTAACACTCCAAGGCTGCAACAAATGAGTACCCGAGCGAGAGGTACGTGTTCGGTCATGCACTTCTACATACTCAGTGAACCGCGTATCATGAGGCAGCCGTGAGGATGAGACTATCTGGTGGTTCCACAAAGGATGTTCATGCTTACGTTTGCCACTGTTTCGCGTAGAGGTCACCTGTCGTTGACATGTGCTCTCTGTGCTGCGTATGGTCAATACCGAGAACTCGTGTCACATTTCTGCGGGATATCAAGCGCACGTAACACTGTCCGATGCGTGCTTCTTGATGCTACCGCCTCAGTAGAGGATAGGAAGCGCCTATGTGAGAGATCATGGACAACGTGAGCTGTGCTTCGGGACGCTTGCAATGCCTCCGAGGCAGTGACGGCGGATTTACTCGTACCTAACGAGGGCGTCGACTGAATACCGATTACAATCATGCCGCCTGATTGACACCTCTGAAGTGTCCTACACATCGGCGCGAGGCTGCGGTGTTTACTACGCGAACCATTGTGAAGGAGCATGTCATATCCGAGTCTTGCATAATCCTGCAAGCAAGCGCATTGCGAAGTGCCAACGAGGGGTATGTTCAGCATGAATATCACATCCCTAGCTTATGCTGAACATAAATGCCGCCAGCTAGAGCTTGATGTGTGCCCCCCCCCTTCAGGCCGTCCAAGCAGCTTGACGACGGACGTCGGGCTTCGATACCGTGCGCAGCCGCGGTGGTGATGCGTGGCACACTTCTGACGTGTAGAGGGCCCTCTCTCAGGGCCCAAAACGTCCGATGGTGGCTTCCTTTTCAAGATGCCTCCATCGGAGGATGTTCTGCTCTCTCACTCTACCGTGTTAAGGTGCAAAATACCCTGCTCGTGCGGTCCGTCAGAATTGAATCCAGGTCGCATGATAGCCAGACCTCGGCGCGTCACTCGCTTACGCTTCTTGGCCATGTCAGAAGTCGGACGGCCATTATATGTCAGTAGTAGTACCATGCGCTCCGCTCGGCCCCGTTTGAAATGGTGTTGCCTTACTAACGCTGTGGCGTGTTCCCCGGAAGGCCTTCTCACAAGAAAGTGGAACCGCCTCGCACGTAGCGTGGCTGCTACTGCAATCTGCAATGGACGTGATGTGCCCACATAATGGATCCACCCGTCAAGATGGTGTCGATCCTTGCGGTCTTCGCCGTTCGGGCAGAATTTGCGCGCGTGTACCTGCTGCGATGGGCATTAGGCATCCGTTTTGCGTCCCCATCGGCACACGGCACTGCCGCGCTCCATTTTCCCACCTTCCTGGACATCGCTTTCCCCGCCTTGCGAGCTCAGGGGTCATGTCTCCCCTGTTTGGTGGCCGTGTAGCTTCCTTCCGTGGGGATGGACCACATGTCGTCGCTTCTTTGCTCCTCCCAGGGAAAGGGAGGCACGTATGCCAAACGCGCACCCGCAGCCCCCGTCATTGACGATGACAATGGGCGGTCTGCATGAGAGGAAGTTGGCTTACCAGAGGATATAAGTACGGTCAAGGGCGATGGACTTCCTGCAACCCAGCTACTCCTCGACCCCACTTCCATTTCCCATCTCACACAGAACGCAACCCCGAGTCCTCGTTGAATCGAGAAATCATGGACTCCCCACTCCTCCAGGCTGTTTTCGCGTGCGGCACGATCTGGTGCCTGTGGAAGGCTATCCGCAGACTTGTTATCAAGAGCGACCTCGACAACCTACCCGGCCCTCCGTCGCCCTCCTTCGTCTACGGTATGTCGTCCATTGCCTTTCGGTGACTGTTTCACGTCCCGTTAAACCACGACTCCGTCGGCAGGCCACATCAAGCAGCTGTACGACAGACAAAGCTTCAAGTTCCACCGGAGCCTAGGCGAGACGTACGGCCCAGTCGTGCAGCTGCGCGACAGGTTCGGGGTACGGTTGTGTAGACTTTCGTGGTTCGAGATCGCTGATGTTAATATTTAATGTAGGGGACTCTGCTGTATACGTTCGATCCGAAGATCATGCATCACATCGTCCTCAAGGACCAGGAGGTCTTCCAGGAAGCAACTTGGTTCACCAGGTGAGATCAGCCCTGGCTGAGGTCCGTCGAATGCTCATCGCTTCCGGCTTCAGGATGGTCTACCACCTCCTCGGTCTTGGCCTTCTGGCGACCCTCGGTATGAACATTGGCTCTACACGCGCGTGTGAGCATCATTGACAACGAAGCCGACAGGTGATCACCACCGCAAGCAGCGCAAGACGCTCAACCCCGTCTTCTCTATCAACCACATGCGCCACATGTCCCCGATCTTCTACGAAGTCTCTCACAAGGTACGTCTGCCACAACTCCTCCCCTGGGCTTCCTGGTAGCGCTGACCTTGAGCAACCGTGATGCACTTTCCATAGCTCCGGGCTGCGATCCAGGCGCGTCTGCGCGATGGCCATCCCACCGAAGTCAACATGGTCGGCTGGATGGGCCGCACCGCGCTCGAGCTCATGGGCCAGGGAGGCTTGGGCTACTCGTTCGACCCCCTCGTCGCGGACGCCGCCGACGAGTACGGCTCGGCGATCAAGGACCTCATGTACGGCTTCCTCACAGTCTGGATTAGGCGGCATGGTACTGACACGGAATTTCCCCCCTCAGGCCGACGCTGGCGCAGGTGCGCGGAATGCAACAGTTCCTCCCGCTCTTCGAAGCTATCGTGCCCGAGGGCTGGCGTCGCGTTGTTGCAGAACTCATCCCCGCCCCGCCTCTCAAGAGACTCATCCACATCGCGGACACGCTCCGTAGGCGCTCGACCGAGATTTTCGAAGCCAAGAAGAAAGCACTCCTAGCTGGTGACGAGGCGCTCAAGCAGCAGGTTGGTGAGGGGCGCGACTTGATCAGCGTTTTGCGTGCGTGTCTCTCACTTTTCTAAAATATGCGATGGGTGACGCGTGCTAATGACGGCGCGTTGTGCGACATAGTGAAGGCGAACATGGCTGCATCTCAAGAGGACAAGATGCCCGAGGACGAACTAATTGGCCAGATGACGTGAGTACTCCGCCTTCTATAGTAATTTACGATAACAGTACCGCTGAACCCACTCCCAGAACTCTAACATTCGCTGCCATGGACACGACTTCGAATGCACTCTCTTTGACGTTGTGGCGCCTCGCCCAGAACCCCAAGGTTCAGAACACATTGCGGAACGAACTTCTTGAAGCGCAGGAGTCCCGCGGAGGCGGCGACGTCGGGTACGATGACCTAGTGGCATTGCCATACCTGGATGCTATATGCCGCGAGACGCTGCGGATGTGAGTGTTGGTTTGATATCTTGCCAGGAAGCAGTACTTACGCATCGTACGCTTTGCAGCCATACCCCCGCCCCTTACCGTTTCCGCGAGTACACCCAGTTTCCTTCGCATCCTCGTGCATCGAAAAATGACACATTTGGATTTCAGGACGCGCCGCGACATCATGCTTCCTCTCTCAGAGCCCGTGCGGGGGAAGGACGGCCGCATGATGCACGAGATTCTCGTCCCGAAGGACACATTGGTCTTCGTCGGCATCAATGCGTCGAACACGAACCAAGCCATTTGGGGCCCGGACGTGTACGAGTGGAAGCCTGAGCGCTGGCTGCAGCCGCTTCCCGACGCCGTGCTGGACGCGAAGATCCCCGGGGTGTACGCTAACCTGTATGTATTTGTTGCGAAGTATTCTATGAAGAGTTGTTCGCTGACTGATGAATTGAACGCAGGATGACATTCTGGGGCGGTGGCCGCGCGTGCATGTGAGTTGGTCCCGTCTCCTTCGTTCTGTCGAATGTGATATCTTACGCGTACTCTCATAGGGGCTTCAAGTTCTCGCAGCTCGAGATGAGTACGTCCTTTACTTGCCCTATGTTTGCGTCTTCAGTCATTAACCACACGAATGCAGAGGTCGTCCTCGCTGTGCTCATCTCGAGCTTCACCTTCGAGCTCACGGACAAGCGTATTTGGTGGAACATGGCGGGAGTGCAGTACCCTTCCACGGATCAGCGCGGAGAGCACCCGGAGCTTCCCATGAAGGTTGGATTGGTGAAGCGCGAGGGCGTTCATGCTTGAGTGCGGTCAGCTTGAGAACGTGAGTTGGGTTTCAAGTTAAAGTGTGTTTTGTGAATGCGTGCCTTGTTCGTACCAGATAGATAATGCTCCCGCCAGTCAGTATGTTTTGATGTGTCAATGTACATTGATCTCATCGTGGCCGACTCCTATTAGAAGCTCGTCACCGTGTGGGTGAGGGACAATCCTGCACTAGATCTTCCATCAATATGGAAATCTGTAGTATGATGAAAGGCTAGCAATGTCATAGCTACTATTTGTCCGCAGGCGTACATCGCCCCACAATTGTCATCCCGTAGGAAGATGCATCGTATCAACCCAGGTATGATGTGTTCATCCTGCTCGGTGCCTGGGCTAGAGGCTCTTTTGCGATGCGGGGAACGCTCTTTAATCATTACCCAGCGCTCCGACACAGCTAGCCGCTAAGCGGGTGCACTGACAGAGCTAGGCAGGGTCTCACTTCAATATAGTTCGAGTGCCCGCCTGTGCCCGCACGATTTGAGTTGTATATACCGTCCGCACCGTTGCAGCGCGCAGCGTACACTCATCGTCCCTGTGAACCACTATGTGGCCCTTCTCCGACCAAGAAATCCCTACCATCAGCCTCGAGGAAGCAGGCGTGCAAGGCTACCCAACCGCGCCGCTCGACGCGTACACATATGACTATATCATCATAGGGGGTGCGTATCGTTGCCATGTCCTGAACATACATAAAGCATAGCATTTTAACGTCCTGCCTGTGGCACAGGCGGCACCGCCGGGTCTGTTCTCGCCGCGCGACTCACCGAGGACCCAAATGTATCCGTGCTCGTGCTCGAGCGCGGCGGCCTTGCAAACGGCTGGATGGACCGGGTCCCGCTCATCTCAAGCAACCCGTACCGCGAAGGGGCCCCAGTGGGCCGCTGGTGGACCCGCCCCGTATTGCCAACCGAGGACCGCGCGATGGAGGTCGTCTGCGGGGAGGCGCTTGGGGGCACATCGGCGGTCAACTGCATGTTCTACACTCGCGGTAAGCTTTAGCCCATCGTGGTATGAAGGCATAAGCGATTTGGGGATGTGCTCACAAGCGGGCGTGGGCTAGGACCGGCCGGGGACTATAACCGATGGAAGGAGTTGGGAAACCCCGGATGGGGATACGAGGACCTCGAGCCGTACTTCGCAAAGTCCGAAAGTGCGCGTAGTCACCCTGCATCGCAGTTTCGGGGGAAGACAGGTCGGATACGCCGCGTCTTCGTTTGCGCATATGCATCGCTGACTCCTTGCCCCGTCGTTGCACAGGACCTTGGCAAAACCGGACCTTCAAGAACCAAATCTGGAATCATACCGCTCAGTTCGTATATCCGTGCAACCGCAGCCCGGATTCACGGAACTCACCGCGCTCTGCGTTGCAGCGTCATCCGCGCGGCACAGAATGCCGGCATTCCTTACGCCGAGGACCTCAGCGCTCCCTCCACGCCCGCCGCCGCCTATGTGCGGCACGACATCAGTCAGGATTCCTCCATGCGCCGGCACACACCCTTTCACGTGTTCCTCTCCCCGAAGGTCGTGCAGGCGTGTCGGCAGCGCCTCAAGATCTGTCCGCACGCCCTAGTTACGCGCATCGAAGTCGCAGCACCGAGCGGCGACTCGGAGATTCCTGCGCAGGCGGTGGGCGTGCATTTCGAGGCGGCGAACTTTAGGCAGGCCGGAAAGAGCTTCTATGCGCACGCGCGCAGGGAAGTCGTGCTGTGCGCGGGCGCGCTGGCGTCGCCGCAGATCCTGATGTTGAGGTGCGCCACATTTGATCCGTGTGGGTATACGGCTGCGATTGATGGGAGGGGTTTGCGCAGTGGCATCGGGCCGAAAGCACACCTCGAAGAGAAGGGCATTTGGGTCCGTCGCGACTTGCCCGGCGTCGGAAGTTACCTAGTAAGCATCCCCGACAGTCATCTACACAACCGGCGTGATGGCTGACGTCGCGCACAGAAAGACCACGTCGCGGTACCACTCACATTTGAGGCGCCGATGAAGGATTCCCTGCATGAGCTCGAAACGAGTCCTATGAAGGTCGTCAAGGAACTCGCGACGTACCTCTGCACTGGACGCGGGATCTTCTCGTACCCGTTCCAGGCGGTCACGCTCTACGTCGCATCGTGCCTGCTCGACGACAAGTCGCACATCTCCGTACCTGTGGGGAGCAACGCGGACGCGCTCAACACGCGCGTACCGGCAAACTGCCCCGACCTCGAGATCATGCCAGCCGCGAACAACTGCACGGACCACGACATTCCGCGCACGGGCGTGTTCACGCTCATGGCTGCGCATATCCGTCCCAAATCGCATGGTTCCGTCCGGCTCGCAACGCGCAACCCCCGTACGCGGCCGGACGTCGAGCTCGGGTTCTTCAGCGACCCCGCGGATATGCCCACACTTGTAAAGGGACTGCGTCTGGCGATGCGCCTCGCTGAAGACATGCGAGGGCAGGGGTACCCATTGAAGGGCCTCATAGTCCCAGAGACGCTTGATTATGACGCGCTGGACGCGTTCGCACGGAAGAACATGCGGACGTGCTACCACTATACGTCGACGTGCCGTATGGGTGCGGAGGACGATGTGGAACATCCGGGGGTAGTGGACGCAAAGCTTCGAGTTCATGGAGTGCGCGGTTTGCGGGTCTGCGACGCGTCTGTGTTCCCGGAGATCGTGGGTGCGCATACGATGGCGCCTGTCGTCGCCGTAGCAGAAAGATGTGCGGACCTGATGAAGGAATCTGCTCGACAGGCGTAGCCATACATGATCACCAGTAGGATCACATGCTGTATCTTGGGGTTTTTTCAGGGTGGTATCCATGTGAGAAGGTATGTACATACCCGTCCTTGCAAATTCAGCTCACTAGGTACTGATGAGGTATCACATATCCCGCTGCATGAGTTGTCGAAGTCGTTGAGTATCTCCACTCCTGCGGCGAGGGCACGTCTCAGACGAACCATCCGCTCTATTAAGCGATGGCGATGCCAACTTTGGAGTGTTGTCTCCACCATCTGGCGTTGAGTATATAGGGATGTGTCGAAGTCCAAGGACCAACAGCGGGATTCCGACACTCTCCCAGATCTCCCTGGCCCGATCTGCACAGCACCATCCGGAATGAGCCGAGACGGCTACTGAGCGCTAATTCCCTTCTCTTCCTCATCGTTACACCACGCATGACTGTGAGCTTCACAGCAAGTTTCTGTGCGAATTTGGTGCGGATTGTTTGCAGACTCGTCGAGTGCCTGATCATGGAGGACGTGTATATTGTTTTTTGACTCGCCTCTCACAGTAGTCCGCCCATAGGTGAGTAGGTCACGGTTTTAGCGCTGAATTGTCAAGCCGATACAAGACCGATGCGTCGAAGATATTGCCAGACAATGTCAGCCATGCGAAGCCCACGATCTTCCACAGGCGTGCCGAGTATGTATCAATGCTGATCGCGCGGACGACACATATCCCCCGCAAGCGAATGGCAATCGACGGAAGATGCTCCCCGTCACTGTGATACATAACATCCTTTCGTTGCGTTGGCCGCCTCAAGTACTGTATGCCCGCACTTTGTTACTCTCTCGAAAGGCTTTACAGCGATGGATATGGGATGACACTCTCTGGCGCAGGTAAGGATACTGAGTATTAAAATAGATACGCAGGTCCGCAGGACATCCGCTGGTGACGAGGCCCTGAAACGCGGAAACTTTTACCGGCGCGGCCATTCGATCCCGACATGCATGGCCACTTCGGCTCTGTAGCCCAGTATTGGTCCGGTTCGCGTAACACATATCCTCTCCGGTACCCTTGTTCTGGTTCGGATAGCCACAGCGGCGTCCCTAGCATTGTCGGGGGCCCTCACGCCTCTCTCCTCTTGCTCCTTTATTTCATCTGCTCTGCCTTATACCCTCTGCTTAATCCACGTCGCTCCTTTCCTGCATCGAAACACTCGCCCATAACCATGGCGTCGAGAAAACCCACTCCCCAGATGCCAAGCTTGCCATCCTCCGCGAGCCTCCTCCTCACCCCTGGCTCTCCGTCATTTCCCCGCGGAGGTCCATCTTCATCCTCCAGGCGCACGAGCGTGCTCAATTCGCCCAGCACCACGTCTTTCGTCAGTAGACGGCCTCCTCTTGTACTCTACTGCTCCTGCTCATCATTTCCGACAGAATGAGCCCGGGAGTCACTCCTCCATATCGGCTTCGATGTCCGACAAGGTATGCCTGCGGCAATTTCCGGCTCTCCCGTTGCCACGAGCAATAATGAACATCCTGCTTTCATAGTTTGCGCTGCCCGCGGACCCTTCTTCATGGGGTGCCGCTCTCACTGTTGACCAGGTTGAACCTGATGACCACTTGCACAACCCCGATCCCCGGCGGGACAAGAAGACCGATCGCGGTGGACACATATTCACCTGCAGAGGCATAACAAACCTAGGATTCTTGTTCATCCTCGGAGTCGGCATGCTCACCCTCTTGTAAGCGGTGTATCTTACCACGCGCAATGAGACCGCCGGAGTTCTAAATCATTCACTTTTCTAGCGCGGGGTACCCAATCATCGACCACTTCAATAAAGTGCTCATGACCACGCTCGGAGGTTTCAACCTCGGCGGCGTGATCAACGCGACAGGGCAGCTCGCAGCAATCCCGGGTAACTGGGGCCTGATCGACCTCGACACGCCCTCCGACGCGTACACATTCCCCGACTTTAACTCGGGCAAAGACTGGCAGCTCATCTGGAGCGACGAGTTCGAGACCGATGGACGCACGTTCTACCCGGGCGACGACCCGTACTGGGAGGCGGTTGACCTGCACTACTGGGGCACGAACAACATGGAGTGGTACGACCCCGCGGCGATCACGACGCGCGCAGGCGCACTCGAGATCACGCTCAGCGTGAAGCAGATGCACGGATTGGACTACCAGGGCGGCATGATGTCGACGTGGAACAAGTTCTGCTTCACGGGTGGGCTGGTCCTTGCGTCGGTCGTGCTGCCTGGCGTCAACAACGTGGTTGGCTTGTGGCCGGCTATCTGGTCTATGGGCAACCTCGGACGCGCGGGATACGGCGGTAGTCTTGATGGGATGGTACGTATATGCTGCGTCTCGAATATATATTGAAACTAATTCTTCCTACAGTGGCCGTATACCTACGATTCATGCGATGTTGGTACGGTTGCCAACCAGACACTGAACGATCTCCCTACCGCGGCCACCGTGAACGGCGATGCTAGCGCCGGCAGTGCGCTGTCGTATCTTCCTGGCCAGAAGCTCTCGCGATGCACCTGCCCCGGAGAGTCCCACCCAGGTCCCATACACGCTGACGGGACGTACGTCGGTCGCGCTGCCCCTGAGATCGATATGTTCGAGGCACAGGTGGGTACTGCTTACATATCTACTACGTTTTACTGAGAACCTAACCTCTGCTAGATCACGGGTCAACCGCTGTCCGGCCAAGTCTCGCAATCAGCGCAGTGGGCTGTGAGTAGCGCACGCGCGTGTCGCGATACACATTGCCGATTCTGATTCGTCCCATTCATGCAGCCTTTCAACGCTGCGTACACATGGTTTAACAGCTCGGACACCCTCATCATCCCCGACCCGGTCAACACCTTCCCAAACCCCTACAAGGGCAGCGCGTTCCAGCAGGCCTCTTCAGGAGTGACTGAGACTAGTGAGATTGGTCTTCAGTTCGTGCATGTGCAAGTCGGTTCTGACCTACGTGCACGCTATCAGACCAGCAGGCGTACGAGCACACAGGCAACGTATTCTCCGTGTATGGCTTCCAGTACAAGCCCGGCTTTGAGGGTGCTGTAAGTTGTGCTTCGACATCACATCACGAACAAGGGCTGACGTCGGGCTTAGTACATCAGCTGGATCGCGGATGGCAAGCTTGCGTGGACACTGACGCAAGAAGGGTTCGCCGCAGACCCCGTTGTAGAGATCGGACCCCGGCCTGTCCCCCAGGAGCCCATGGTGCGTCCATCCCTTCCACCCGCGCTGAGCTCCGCTGACCCTGACGCGTGCCCCACAGTACCTCATCGCAAACCTGGGCATGTCGCGCAACTTCGGCTTCGTCGACCTGGACCACCTAATCTTCCCCGCGACGATGCGCGTCGACTAAATCCGCGTGTACCAAGACCCGGACGCGATCAACGTCGGGTGCGACCCGGAGGACTTCCCGACCGCGGCGTACATCAATGAGTACATCGAAGTGTACACGAACCCGAACCTGACGACGTGGCGCGACGACTACGGGCAGCCGTTCCCAAAGAACAGCTTCCTCGGCGAGTGCTGACCTCTCCGCCCGTCCTTCAGTTTGCCATTCCAGCGGACCCTCGAGCACCTCAGCTCGACACGCTCTTCTCCAGGACGTCCCGGCGGATCGCTTAGACTTACCCGCTCGCTCTCACGGACTTTGTCTGGTCCCTACTCATCAGAATACCAGTGCTGTATCCATACTTCCTCGCATATCGTTGCTTTGTTCTTCCAGCCTTAGCTTGCTAGTGCTATCCCGCAGTCCTTTCCCCTCCCCTATACGCAACATTTCCTGGGTAGTCGACGTACCTTCATCTCACATTGGCATTGTATCTACTCGCACTGAGACGATGTAATAATCACGGCCTTACCAAGGCCAAGCAACACCAACGCCCCGCACTGTGTACCGCCATGTACCCGATTTGAGTCCGCGTGCACACGGAACAGACACCGGAGTATTGTCATACAGTTCCATGTACACAGGTACACTACAGGATGAATGCTACATATAAGAATTACAAAATCGACCTTGTGTATCATAGCTACGGAAGAGACAGTACGTATAACACCGCGACGCGAACAGAGCAAACCAAAGCCCAGATCGCCAAAGGAGCGTCACTACTACGGCTCCATATCGACGTCGGCACAGACCAGCTTCAAATCAAGCACATACTCCTCCGGGATCAGCGTCCCGCGCTCCCGCGTGCCGCCGGTCACCCAGTCAAAGTCCGAGTCGAGGTCCCAGCCCTCCACGTCCATCCGCCCGCGAAATAGTTCCCGCAGAAACTCGTAGTCCGGCTGCTCACCGAAGTTCAGCCCCGTGCAGTGCGCGTGGTACGCGGAGAACTCCGCCGGCAGTCCAGCCAGGAATTTAGTGAACACGGCGGAGCCCGCCTTGCACTCGCGGATGTGGCGCTCTTGCGTCTCGAGGTCATCCCCCTTTGGGCCCGGGTTGTAGGGCTCAGGCCAAGGGAGATCTCCGACCAATAGGTCGAGCAGGACATACAGGAGCGACTCGACGTCGTCGCGCGGGGACACAGCTATGTAGAAGGAGACGACGATTAGCTATGACACATGTAACGAGGGGACGACTGACCTTGTCTCGTATGGGCGGCCACGCTTGCATACCGCGCGGTTCCGAGAGCGTGGCGAGGTCGGTCTGGAGGAACCTGCGAGTTGGTGTTAGGATCGATGTAGAGTGCCAAGTGCCCAAAGTCGAGCAGGTGCACGATATTCGCGGCGCGGCCCACGCCCATAGCGAAGTTCTGCGGCTTCACATCGCACATGGCTATGCCACGCGAGTGCACAAACTCGAGCCTGGTGAGCTGCAGGAGAGGACATCAGTGATGCGCCTGAAGACAACCGCGAGCGACGGGCGTAACCGACCATTTGCTCTGCCAACATGCAAATCGTGCGTAGTGTGAATATCCCTCTGCAGAAGCGACGGATATGCCCCAGGTTAGGCCCGAATCGGTCCATGATGAGAACGGCGTGGTTTTCGTCGCGTCCGGACCAAAGGATTCGGGGTATTCCTGGCGGGGCGCCTCCTAGCATCTTGTAGACCGCGATTTCGTGCTCCAAGAATGGACGCTGGTCTTTGTCAATTGGGAAAGCCTCAATTTTTGCGGCCGCCTCTGATCCGGTGAGGGTGTGGAACACACGGAATACATACGCTAGTGAAAGGTCAGATCGTCAGCAGGAACGACGGCCACAGGTACCCAACGATCGATGCATACCGTTTGCTCCTTCACCAAGAAACTGGGTAGCCTGGTAAACCCCACGTATCGAAAACGACCAGATGTAATGTGTCTTGTCCGCTGCTTCTTCATCCGTATCTGAAACGTACGAGCTACCCTCACTGTCCGTGGCGTCGCTGTCGCTACTCGTTTCGCTCTCCTGACCTGGGTTGCTGGGCGACCTGTTTATATCGTCATCGGATACTAAGAAGTTGAATTGTCTGAGCGCTTCGCAGAGCCCTGCAAGTCCGTCGACCGTGATAGAGGGCATCGGGTTTGTGCGGCCCTTGCCTACTTTAAAGTTCACATGTGCCTCCAGGTGTCCCGACCGTTGAACCAGTGCCGTTGCGCATCCCTGGGCGAGAGCCGGGGCGAGCATCCGTCCCACTCCTGTGCTCACAACAAGTATCTCGTGCGGTTCCACGCCACCGGAGACGATGTCGTTGCATTTCAGCAGCAGGGGACCGAAGACGTTGTGTGAAGCAAAGTGTGGTGACGTTGCAACAGGACAGATGTGCAGTACATCCGTCAGCTGCGGGGGGAAGGCACATCTGACGTGTTGCATAGTAGATTCGGAGTATGGAGAAATGCAGAGGACATGATAGCGATGCTGGGCCACATAGATAAGGGCTTCCGCGGCGCCGGCAAAGAGAGGGGGTCGAAGGATGACACAGGCGGCCTCTGCTATGTGATCGGGTCGGCTAGCCCTTGGCATCCTGAGAGAGACTGCAAGTTGAGCTAGCGTGGAATGGACGATTGACGCAAGAGAGCAGGCTTCAGCCTTCCGATCACGCGCTATGGATGCCTCCATCTCGATATAGAGGGTGACCAACGCCGATGTGCTGAGGCCACTATCAGCCCAAATTGGCCATCCCTCTAGTGCTTGGCGTATCGCGCCTTCCCGATCCTATGAGATGTAAAGAACGTCAGATTACATACAGGTAGCCTCGTCAGTAGATGCCAACACACCAGGAGTGTCCCAAATAAGTCAAAGGCGATGATTTTCGGTCGTCCGAGAGCAATCCTAGGGTATTCATATGCCAGTCTGGGAAACGTAAACGGTAGACAGTGTTCCCAATCACGATCTGCGGCTACGTTGGCATTGGCTCCGAAGAACGAGTCCTCCCCATTCCACAAGACATGTGCACTTGCTCGCAAATCTGACGCGGAGGGAGAAGCACTCGCTCTCAAATCCGGCGGTCGGCAGGCCTCGTGCCATGGTGGTGGTTGCTCCTGTGACACGTATGACGACAGCCACAGACAAACGAGCGTCGGCATAAACGCACCGTACGTGTTGTCAAAGCCCAATCGATTGTAGCCTCTACGGCCTTCCACCTGTAGTCTATACATATCCTAGACTCATATTAGCACAAGCACTAATTCGCAAAGGAGACATACTGTTTGTAGATGAGGATGTGCTCATACACCAAGGTAGGTTCAAGCATCTCGGGATAGGTCAGGTCGTCGATGGGTCCGAACTTGAATACGAACGCCTTCGGGTCGTGAAGTTCGCCAAAGACGTATGCTAAACTTTGTGGAATCGGAAGCGGCCGTGTCTTGGATATGCCGGATTGCCCTAGAACCTCCCTCTGAAAGGCCCTATGACCCTGCAGACGGAACTCGCGCGCAAGACGCAGAGCTTCGTAAGCGGTAGCGACGAATTTTTCGAGATGATCTCCATCAAACCGGAATAAGACCTCCTTGATACGAGATGCGAAGTGGCAGCGAAGCCTTGGTACGGTATGCAAGTAGAGGGGCGAGTCGTTTGTTGCGGGGAGAGGTGGCGCGACCGACAACTCAGCATCCGTGCATAGGAGCTTGCGAGAAGGGTAAGCACGTTTGGGACCTATTGTCATTGTTGCCTCGGAAAATGGGTATGGCGACGGTTGGCCAGATAGTAGAAATATATCTTGAGGGAAAGGATAGTCTGGTCGCGAGCGGGCCAAGTTCGCGCGCAAGGCCCAGAACTTCCGCGTTGGTATCCTTGCTGCTGTCTGGCGACCAACGTCCGGAAGCCAGTATGCCGACGCATAGGGGTCAAAGCATGCGAGGATGATTGTGTTCATGTCGTGCACCCTGCAGAGGTATGGTGGAAGGAAGAGAAGAGCCTCGGCAAGGACAGTGGAGGCGTTAGCATTCGTGCTGCTGAGTAAGAGCTATTACGTACTTCGCCAACGAAATCGGTTGCTCGATTTGGCAACTACACGAATCTACCTCTATCGCGCAACGCAATGACGGGCAGAAGTCGTTTCAGTGTATGCAGCAGATCCTACGTCGATAGCGCCCCATACACGCTGAACATGTCGTTGTGAATGTCCAGGTGGACTTTGCGGAACACTGTTAGACAGTGTACCGATACGCAGAACCTCGACAAAAGATCATCTATATGGTGAGGGTTCGTATCAATGTCGATTCGAACAGTGAGATATCTCGTGGGGGCACTGTAGCCAAGGCCCCTGTTACCCAGAGTCGCACTTGAGCGAGATGGTCCGCATCAGTCAGACTTCAGCCCGGACCGCCCACCCTCGCCATCTTCTTGTCATGGCCTCGCTTGCGGTTGTGGTTCCCGCGGCTCGCCTTGTTCTTGTCCTTCCACGCGCGGTCCGCGCCTTCACCTCCCTCCTGTCCACCAGCACCGCCACCACGGCCTCTGCCCCCTCTACTCCCTCTGCCGCGACCTCCCCCGCGCCCACGCTGGCCTTGGCCCTGGCCTCCGCCACGCGAATTCGCGCTGGACGGACCCGCTTCTGGTGGAGACGCGAGGGGCTTATTGCCCGCGAACTCGTGCTTCGCAAGCATCTTCTCTTTCTTCTTCGGCTAAAGACAACACAGGTCAGCAATGCACGCAATAGCAAGCCTGAGAACGGGTAAGAGATAAGACGTACATCTCGCTCGAGCATGATCCGCCAGCCCTCAATTTGCTCGTCCGACATCCCTATCCTACACGTCAGCCCTACAATCGAGCAACGCGAGACAAAGTTGACGTACCTGTTTGCGCCTTGAGGTCCGCGCGCGCCTTGCTACGCCGCGTCTGCCCATCGCGGTCGAACAGCTTCGCGTCTCGGATGTACGCGAGCTCAAGTATGGCCTCCGGCGTGCGTGGTGCCTCCACGGCGTCCTCTGCCTCGTCGTCGTCCTCATCTTCCTCGTCGTCCGATGCGTCTCCATCGCGCACCTTGACCACGTCAGCATCGTCGAGCTCGTCATCGTCGAGTGCGGCCGCGCGGCCTTTGCCTTTTCCGCCGCCGCCCATTGCTTGGGCCCCGGCATCGTCTTCCTCGTCCGAGTCGTCAGAAATCTCTTCCGCGCGCCGTAGGATGTCCGCTTTCATCTGCTCGATGAACGACCGATCCTGCAGGACTGTTTGTGCGTCATCGCTGTCACAGATCACTGGATGTCAGCGAGCGAATGTGGGGGAACGAAGGAGAGCATGTACCTGTTCTTCCCGATCTTGACCTTGCTCAGATCCATCGCCTCATCGTCGAACACATTCCGTCGTTCACTTGTAAGAGAGTATTCGACATGCACGCTTGGCTTCTCGTCCAGCTGCACGCCCGCACCCTCCCTCGCCATAGCCGCCTTCACATCCGCCTGGGACGGGGCTGTGCCTTCAAGGAGCGCGCCGATGAGGCGCTCCGCGTCCCCGCGGTACGGGTAGTCGCTATGCGAGAGCAGATAACGCACGTATCCTGAGTCCTGATCCGGGAAGAGGTCCAAGACCTGCGCGAGCGCGATATCGAGCTGCTCGTCCGGCACGTCCACGGATGAGCCGACCCGCTGTCCGCTGGTGGCCTTGCCCTTGCTCTTCGTGTCTCCGGGTGGCGCCTTACCAGCGGGTTCGCGCCTGAGGTTGTCGATGCCGGGCGGGACCCCGGAGGAGCGGATGATGAGCTTCAGCGCGCCAGCGCTGGAGCCCGACGCGACATTGTCTGCCATGGCACGGAGCGAAGACTCCAAGAGGTCCGCGCGCGCGTCCTCGGTGCGGCGCAAGACGTCTGCCAAGGTGTGCGAGAAGTTGTACGCGTGCTGGTAGTCCGCGAGGAGTGGACGGTTGAGAAACGCGGTCGGCGGGACCCCGTCCGCCATCGGACCTCCACTGCTGGCGGGGACATCGAGGAGGCCAAAGACGACTTCGAACGCCGGTTCCGCCCGCGCGGCGAGCGCAGGTCCGGCCTGAGTGACTTCGGCGACGTCATCGAGCAGGACGCGCACAAGGACGTGGAACGTGTCAAGGAGCGCCGTCTTGGTTTCGAGGAAAAGGCGCTCCCACTCGTCGAGTTCGCGCGTCGGCGCACCACCCGCAATCAGCGTGGACAGCACACGAACGCCTCCGTATGTCTGCGCAAGCGTTGCGAGCCCCGCGTCATATGCGTTCGCGAGGGCACGCATGAACGCGGTGTTGCGCGCAAAGATTCGTGTGGCCTCTGCGGGCGCGGGACGAAGGAAACACAGTAGGATATGGGCAGTCTTGCGGAGGCCATACAGACCTTGAGAGGGCGAAGAGAAGAGTGTGGTGAAGGCGGGGAGTGCACTCTTCTGCGCTTGTTCGATGAGTTCGGGAGCCTTGCGGGATTGGACAAAGGCCGAGGCGAACATGCCTCGGATACGCGTGGGCGAAACGCGTGCGTAGGCAACGCTAAGGTCCACGAGAGTTTGCAGGTCTAGTGTGCCAAAGGGTGCGAGGCGTTCAGCGAGCACGAAAACTGCATGGCGGATCTTGCGCTCGGTCTGGCTCAGTCGTGGGGGGCTGTCATCTGTGCCCCAGATGAGGGATTGGAGAGACTGTTGAGCACCGTCTTTCGCATACGATGAGATGAATGTGAGGGTAGCAGGGGTGTTGATTTGCGTGTCGGTGAGAGACAAAACCTGTGAGAGGGCACCGGAAATGGTTTGGAGGAGTCCGGCTGATTGAGATGGCGAGAGGGTCGCGCGGGCTCGCGTAGAGGGAAATGGCGGGAGAGGCAAGAGGGTGACTGCCATATCAGATCTTGAAAGTTTCTGTATGTTGCAGCCGAGCGGAATTCCCTGTATCGTATGTTGTACGCGTGCTGGTAGGCTCAGTGATAATTGCAAGCGGTTTAAGCAGAGGATGCGAGAGTGACCGCTGGGCGTTTTTGCTCCGTTCGAAGATGTGTTCTCGTTTGAGTAGAGCTGGAGCTGCCAGAATATATACAGTCTCTCCTTAGCCTCAGCAAGTAAGAAGCAAGATCACGGAGGACGCTGCAAGTGAGGGAGACAAGAGGGAGGATGAGGAGAGGCGGGATGAGTCTGAGCGCTTAGATCACCTACGCTTCCGGAGTGCGATCGAGAGAGATCTGATGAGAACGGAGATCCCCGGTATGAGCGCTAATGTAAGATGTGCCACAGCGCGCGCCGCGCGGTGACCGAAGTACTTGTCCTCTCCTTCGAATACCCGCCAAGGTTGCTGTATAACACCCAAAGAACGTACTGTACGTCGATAAACTCATATCCACATAGCTTGGTCGTTCATCATAAAATTCGCGTTTGAACCTCTAGATTTTCCATGGGCCATCAAGAATGGCACTGTCATCTGCCTCCTGTGGCATCGACGTCAAACTCCGAACGTCTTCGGCCTGCCGTATTGTGGCACATTAACGTCGATGCCGGGAGGTCAGCGGGCCGGGCGACTTAAGCTCCAGAGTGTATCAAAGAAGCCAAATATCGCGGGCGGCACTGCTGTACTCGGGGACAACTTGGATCTAATCCACCTCGTCTCTCGCATACCGAGATCCGGGAAATCGCCACTCGCCCCTTAAGCTGCACAAATATCACACAATGTCAGAAGGGAAGAAAGAACTGGTGTGGTTCATCACTGGTGCGCTCATGCATGCTCATCTCCATCGACAACACTTTAACACCCCCCAAATACATGCCCCAGGGACATCCAGCGGTTTCGGCCACCACCTCGTGCTCATTGCGCTAAGCCGCGGCGACTGTGTCATCGCGACCGCCCGCTCTCTGGACAAGATCCAGGACTTCCCGGCCTCGGACAAGCTGCGCACCATGCCGCTCGACGTCACGGAGGGCTTCGCGAGCATCAAGGCCAAGATCGACGAGGCCGTGACCTTCTTCGGGCGCATCGACGTCCTCGTCAACAATGCTGGGTATGGGCACAAGGCGATCTTGGAGGAAGGCGGGTGCGTAGACCTATCTATGTTGTTAGTGGGGACGACGATGTTTAGGATTTTGGCGGTAGATCCGATGTCTTGCGCCAGCAGTTCAACACGAACTTCTTCGGGCTGATGGACGTGACGAACGCGGTGCTGCCGCACATGCGCGACCGCTTCAGCGGCACCATCGTCCTCATCGGCAGCCGTGCGAGCTGGGTGCCCGAGATTCCCGTGGGTATCTTGACCATCCGCTCTATCAGCCATCGTGCTTATCCCTTCCCGATGAAACACAGGGCTCCGGTGAGTCGTCTTGAATGACGACTAAGCGCCTGCGTAAAAACAAATGCTGACTGGACGCATATCAATTACAGGCCCGTACGTCACTTCTAAGGCCGCAGTCCGAGGTGAGTACTCTCCGCTCGCGTCCCTGTCCGCGCGCTCCCTGATACACATCTGCAGTCCTCGGCGAGACGCTCAACGCGGAGCTCACCCCCCTCGGCCTGCGAACACTGATAGTCGAGCCTGGCGGATTTGTCACCAACTCGCTCGCCGGGCCCTGGCACGAGTTCAACAATATCCCAGCCTACGACGCTACGCGCGAGGGCACGAAGATCGGTATCGCGGGGGCCGGCGCACGCTTCCGCGGGGACCCGAAACGCGCGATGGAGTTGCTGGTAGATGTCGTGCGTCGCGAGGGACGCGCGACCGGAAAGCCGTGGCCGCTCTACCTGCCGATGGGTGAGCTCGCGGAGGCGGGAATTAGGTCGAAGGCCGCGAAGATGCTCGGGGTGCTGGATGCGTGGAAGGACGTGATTTGTGATCTGAACTTCGAGAAGAAGTGACGGCGAGAAGAGTGCGTACCAGGAAGGCGGCAGGAGACGAATGGGCACCGTAACATGTGCTGCTATATTGATGTTCCTAAGGCAGGACGACGTGGATTCAAATCGTTGTAACAGTATGCAGTAAATCAAGATGATCCAACCCAAAAATGGCTTTGGAGTGCCGTGTTACCCGGGTGGAGTATTTAAAACGGGTGTGATGACCCATTTCGGTTTTGGGGTTGGATCATCGCAGACTCCCAACGGTGTTCGTGGGTACATGTCTGAACTAACCAGGGTACGGTGCGCGGCTTCGTGGTGTTTTCGCTGTTTGCCGGGGTTCGTGAGCGAACCACACGGCTTGCCTAATTCGGACTGTGAAGAGAATTGTCGCAGCACGTGCTACGCGACGCGTTCTGAGATTTGAGTTTCCGACGCGTCTACTTACTTTCTTCAAATTGTTGCGTCTCTATACTGATATGTTGTGAAACTTAATTCCAGTCAACCGAAACCCTGCGCCCCGATCTACGTATATAAGGCCCTCAACGCGCTGGAGTCGTCGGATCGCTTCTTTCCCCCGAACCTCCACCTCGCTCACCTCCCACTGACCTTGAAGCTTGACCTTCCCATCCATCTGCGTCCCCGCATTACTCGCTGGCATAAAAGGCAATTTCGACGGTGAGTCTTTTCGGTGAAGGTGAGCTAATTCATTGCAGGGACCGTACATCGTGGATATATGCGCATATATTTGCATAAAGCTTGTCCCGGCACACTCATTTTCAGTTCTCACATCATTCACCCAGCGAATAGTGCTTCATTCTTATGATATTCCCGTCGCGCCAGTCGCGAAAGTTCTGGGCTTATAGCACAAGGTAAGGGAGCGCGGGCGTCTGCAGAAGTCCTCCGTGGGAACGTCAGAGTTTGATCTTTGACAGGCGCTAACCGAATGACCGCGCGCAATGTCTTTCGTCGCCGCGAGCACCGTCCTCTGCGTCGAGAGTGGCAGGTGGCATAGGAAGGATTCAAGCCGAAGACATGAAAGAGCTCCGAGGATGGAGATGATGGCCTACCGAATTTGCGAATGAGCGGGCCAAACGAGCAATAGTTCTTCGAATTCTTCACCTTCATGCTCCAGCCTCATTCCCATTTGAAGGAACGAACAGCTTCCATCTCTGAACGTGCTAATGATTCAGGCTCGAATATCAAAGGCACGCCAAAGGTGAGTACCGGTGAGTCCAGTTAGTTATCAGTATAGCTATGCAACTCTTCAAGAAAGAATGAGCATGAAGTAGTAGGTCGAATGTAGGTGCACACAATACCACTCAGTGTGCAATTCCTGAGTTTATTCGCTCTATGGCTGTATTCGTAAGTCCCCTAACTTCCGTGAGACGGCTGAGTGGAATTATTGATAAGTCATTTGCACATACACGAGCTATTTGAGCACCAGTAGGGCGGATGGTGCCGCCCGCTCGCGGACTGACTCGCAATTCTCCTATCTCGCATGCAGACCACTTTGCGTGTTCCTCTCGTGAGCCTGTGTTCGGATTGATACTATCGGCAGTTGATGAGGGGATCGATAGCTTGCTTTCATGCTTCCACGCCCGACCCCTTGTCTACCCCCGGGATGTACGAGGCTCATTTCCGCGGAGCCAACATGCATTGCACTTCACCCGTGCCCCCTCACTAGTCACTGACGACATACGACCCGGTAATATGCGTTGGGGTACTACCCCATCTCCCTCATGGTACTCACGAACTCGCTAAGCAGTCTCTCATTCTGGAAGCACCAACTCCGCGTCGGCACTCACGCAATTCCCTCGGGTAGCCGTTCCGATGTTCTCCGTGTGGGGAGAGAGGGGGAAGCAAAGAGGCAAGAGTGCACCACAGGATGATTCCCGCCCCTCGATGTTCAACCCCGAAAAACCTCACACTGCTTCGAATTCACGGAGCTTCCGATGCCTTCAGACCTGGTCAGACTCGATCGATTCAATGAACACTCAACCGAATAACTCACAAAGTACGTCATGAACTTCATATACAGAGCCTAGGTATGTCTGTCGGGTGTCCCCGTAGCTTCTCCGCCCACTTCGCGATGCGCTACACGCCCCGTGGAGCAAGACAAAACAAGACGCGTCGCCATTTCGGGATGACCCGAACTGCGGTGGGTTTATGGAAAGAGCTCGAGGGTGGAATGTTGCCTATATTGTGGGTCGCAGAGCCGCGCTTACTATAGACTCGTGCGAGTAGGTATGGGCCCTGTGCAAGGCATCTGGGAAGATCGTCAGGCTCCCTTTACATGTCCACGAAAATACTAATTAACTTCCCGTAGTACGTCCGCTAGGTCCCGCTTGACAACGCCTGTGGCAGCGTGCAACGCGCCGGTCTCGTCTCAGAGAGGCTAAATGACTCTGGATGAGTCGTCCATAAGTCACTCTATGCAGGTAGCAACTTACCTCCCGGATATATCACCAATGAGGCACAGGTCTCGATGGCGGTTAGCTACGATTGAAATGTGGTCGGGGTCGAATTTCTGAATACATCATGTGAGTATGTTTGGCGCCCTCGCTAACAATTCCGTGCGCCCATAAGGAGTAGCAAAGCCCAGCTCCGGAACCGCCTTGATCGCATTGGCATCTTCCGTAAATCCACTTAGTTGATAGATTGCAAATTATCGGGCTGGCGTTGGGAGACGGGCGACGATACCATTTACTGATCGCAGATTGCAGACAGCCCTCGATGAGGTCATGTAGGAAATAGAGAGACTCCTCGGACATGGACTTACAGCGTCGAGATAGGTGAGGTCTAGTCTCCACTAGCACGGTTCGAACGACATGCTGCGCGCACGCTGCTTGCGCAGTGGGGCTACTCCCTTTTTGACCTGGTGAAAGCGGGCGATCAACTGGGTTCCAGACCCCGCTAATTCAAGGACGTTCCCTCGGGCACATTCAATTACCGTCTTACCACGTCCGGATACCCTGCAGGCGGACACGCGTATGATTAGGACGCGGGCATGTCGGGCGCTGCGTGCATGTCCATTAGCAGTCTGCCCACAGATAGCGTAAACAAGACAGATGGGGCGCCACTTACGCTGCACGGGTCGCGACCCACGGGAGTCGGGAGAAGGAAGCTCGAGCTCCGCGATCGGATGTGTCGCAGCTCCGATAAAGCTTTCAGATACCCGCCGACAGTGTGTGCCCCACAACAGACCTGCCGTCAGCGCCGCTGGACTATGCCTTTCGGGGTCCGGACTAGTGTGGTATACAGTTCCTGCTGGCGGTGCTGGTCGGCCACAAGGCGGGCGTAGTCGCCCAACACCTTACTAGGTTGTGTCCACTATAATTGCGCACTCCCGCTCTGTAGACATCCCCGGGGGCCGTTGAGTCAGCAAACAGCATGTAAGAACGAACCCCAGCTGACGCACCGGCGCGGGGATTGCTGCTGCCACCTGCGGAGATTGAGAGGCAGTCGCGAGGACGGGAGAATCGAGCAAGGAGAGTGCAGAGTTGGCTAAGCCACGCTTGCTGGTTTGCACTGCCATCAACCAGGTTTCCTAGTTAATCTCAGTATGAGGGTTCTAGGCCTCGGGAACGTCGAGAATGACATGCGTGGCCGTCGTAGTTCAAAGAAAGCGGAGGTCGCAGACGCCCATTTGCGCGTTCCCCAGATTCGATGGGCGCTCATGAAAAATGAACGTCTTTCTCACCTCCATCGTCTCGGAATTCAAGCAGTTCCTCGCCTCGGAACCGCAGCGAACACAGGAGATTCGCAGGGAGCCCGCTAGTCGCATCATGATCTCTCGTCACGGGCGGGGTGGCTGTGAACGCCCTGCACAAAGTCCGGCGAGTCCGCGGGTCCCTCCTGCTTAGCGAACCCGGAAGTCCTCGGAGCAACCTCAACCATCTCCCCTCTCACCAGGGCCCAACCAGGGCCTTTCCTGCTCTTGTTCAGGCTCAGCTGTGCTCGCTCTCATGCCTCCCGCCATTCCACCGCGTATTTCTGATTTTATCTGCCTGATCTAGACCGCCATGATGCTCACTCGCCCTCCGCTGGCCGAGCGCCGTCGACCTCTCACCCAATTTCGCCGCCGTCTCTCCCAGGATGCCACGGAAGCGCTACGAGATGTCTTCCCATGCAGCAGGGAAAGGTAGCATGACAACCTGCGGGACTCATCCCGGTAACGCTCAGCCCATACTGCACCCTCGCTGGCCGAGCAAAGCCACTCCCTAGCCGGCCCGCGAAGCGCGGTCGTCGTTCCTGACCCTGTGCGTTCTCTGCCCCCGTAAACCCGCCGGGGCGACCTGAAGGCGACGCCTGACGATGCCTGACGACGCCGTCTCACACGTTTCCGCGCCAGGCTGCGCGAGACAACGTACCTGCCGCCTTCCCTTCGGAGCGCGCGCAGCCGCTGCACGGATCTGGCGTCGCTGGCGGACGTGGGGCTCCCGCTAGCTTCATCCGGGAATTCCACGCTTAATGGATCATTCGCGAGGACACGAGTGACGCCGCACGTATGACCAACGCCGTATGAAGACGCCGCTGATCATCTCATCCGCCACGCCCACTTTCGTCGGCGGTAGACGCGAACGGCTTGCCCGCACCATCCTTGCCTTCCGCCCGCTTCTCATCTCCGAGGACACATCACGTTTGCCGTCAGCACAGCTCGTGCCACGCCCCCGGAAGGGTACATTTAACGGCATCCTTCTCCACGACGCTCCTCGATCTCTCATCCTCCGTTCTCCCACTGTCAATGTTCGCAGACGGGTCGAGAGAGATGTTCGCCACCCTCCTCCAGAGCGTGCTCATCTGCACAGTAACGTACTCGCTGTGGCGCTACTTCCGCCAGGCGTTCGTTAAGAGCCCTCTGGACAACATCCCGGGTCCGCCTTCCCCGTCATGGATGACTGGTGAGTGCCAATTCGCGCAATCTCGTGCTGCGCCGCCCTCTCTCGGGTGCCTAGTGATGTTCGCTCCTCATACGCGCTCCCCTCTGTAGGCAATCTGCCGCAGATGTTCAATAGACAGGGTATGCCCTTCTATCACGACCTGATCGACAAGTACGGCCCTGTCGTGAGGCTCCACGGCGCGTACGGCGTAAGTCGCCTCCGAACTGTGGTACAGATTGGCGGTTACTGACTTCACGCAACTCGGCAGCGCAAGATCCTCTATGTCTTCGACCCTAGAGCGATGCACAGTATCGTCGTGAAAGACCAGTACTCTTACGAGCAGCCAGACTGGTTCATCAAGTATGTCTTTCCGTAATAATTGCTCCTCGCGCCTTGTCTGATATCGCCGCCGCCGCAGGAGCAACCTGTTGACGCTCGGGCCTGGCCTATTGTCTACGCTCGGTACGCTCATGCTCGCGCCATCCTTACCCACAGCACCCGCGCTCAATCTAGCATCGTGCATCAGGGGAGCATCACCGCAAGCAGCGCCGGATGCTGAACCCCATCTTCTCGATAGCCCACATGCGGCACATGATGCCGATATTCTATGATGTTGGGCACAAGGTCCGTCCTCCGATGGTCCCGGGCCCGCCCTTCGCTTCTCTGCTAACTGCCGCCCGCTTCTGCCTCCCGACGTGCGCCCGCCGCGTCTCTAGCTCCGTGTCGCTGTCGAGGAGCGTGTCCGTGCTGCGCCCGCGGAAATCGATATGCTGAACTGGATGGGCCGCACCGCGCTCGAGCTCATCGGGCAGGCCGGCCTCGGGTATTCGTTCGATCCGCTCGAGGAGGACCTCACGCCGGACGTGTACGCGGACGCGATCAAAGCCTACGTGTCAGTACCTTCTCTCTTCTCCGCGCTGGCTGTCCTCCGCTCTAGGTAATGAAGGGGACGCGCTGACGTACAAACGCAGGCCGTCGCTGTACGACCTCTCCGTCTTCCGGTGGACGCTGCCATATCTGGTGCATATTGGCACGCCTGCGTTCCGCCGGCGGGTGATGCAATGGCTTCCCATGCCTCGGCTGCACCGTCTTCAAGCCGTCGTCGACACCATGCACCGGCGCGCGACCGAAATTTACCGCGAGAAGAAGGCGCGCCTCGATAAAGGGGACGAAGCGCTTCTCCAGCAGGTCGGCGAAGGGAAGGACCTCATGAGCATCCTCCGTGCGTCTTCGCGATCGCACTTCGCACTTCGGCTCGCCTGACATCATACTGACGTGGCCCTTATCTCGCGCGCAGTGAAGGCAAACACGCAGGCGTCCGTGGAAGACAGGCTCTCCGAGGAAGAGCTCATCGGGCAGATGGTGTACGCTGCTTCCCTTCCCCTCCGTGCCCTTCCCCTCATCTCCGCACCCTTCCCCCCTCCGCTTGGCGGGCACGCCCCGCGTACGCATGCGCTGACGGACCCTGCCCCGCAGCACGATGACCTTCGCGGCGATGGACACGACATCGAACGCACTATCGCAGATCCTGCATCTCCTCGCGCAGAACCCGCACGCACAGGCTAGGGCGCGTGCGGAGGTCCTCGAAGCGAGCCCGGACGGCCGCGACATTCCGTACGACGAACTGGTCGCGCTGCCTTTCCTCGACGCAGTCTGCCGTGAGACACTCCGCCTGTGCGTATTCAGACCCTGCCATCTCGCGCGCACGCGGCGTGTCAACTGACGATCGCGGGCCCACGCACGCAGATACCCGCCCGCGACGTTCATATTCCGAGAGTGAGTCCCTTCCGCTCTACGTGCGCGCCAGACCCAGACCGCCCGGCGCTCCGTCTTCTCGCTTCCCGAAGACACACTGTATGCTAATCTCGCGCTGCCCCCTTCTCCCGCCCCTTCTATGCCCGCCCGCACCCGCCCGCGTGGTTCCTCCAAATTGGCCATCTCCGCATCCCTGGTCCGCTCCGTCCGTCCACGCATCCGTCGACCTTCCAGGGCACAGCGCGACATGATCCTGCCGCTCGCGGAGCCACTCCGCGGCGTCGACGGCGCGCTGATGAGCGAGATTGCCGTGCCGAAGGACACGGTCGTGCATGTCGGCATCATGGGCTCGAACATGAACAGGAAGACATGGGGCGCGGACGCGTGGGAGTGGAAGCCCGAGCGGTGGCTCGCGCCCCAGCCCGACGCGCTAGTCGAGGCGCACATCCCCGGGGTGTACTCGAACCTGTGAGTCCGCGGCCTCCCTCTCCACCCCATCACACTGCCGCGTGCACCGAGGGAAGAGGCGGATACTGATTGCTCGGGTGCAGAATGACGTTTATCGGCGGCGGGCGAGCATGCATGTGCGTTCAGTTCTTCTTCACCGTGTCCTCCTCCTCGGAGGCCGGACGCGTGTTCTGCCTCGACGATGCTGATCCCGCTCAACGTCTTCTAGCGGCTTCAAGTTCTCCCAGCTTGAGATGAGTGAGTCACTGAATCTCTCCCCAAGCGTTTGGCCAGCAGTCTCACACATTCGCTCGATCTGCAGAGGTCGTGCTGGCACTGCTCCTGGCCAACTTCTCGTTCGAGCTCTCGGACAAGCCAATTGCATGGAACATCTCCGGCATCCGATTCCCCACCGTCGGCGTCAACGGCAAGAAGCCCGAGCTGCCGCTGAAGGTATCGCTCCTCAGCGACGTGTCCAAATGAGCTACTGTAGACGAATACGCGAGCCGTCGCGTCATGGGGACCCGTGACTCTCGCCACGACTCGTTACGATGCGCCTCACGCATACCCACAGTACTAATACATCGGCCTACGCCGGTTGTACCAGTAGCCTGCTGCATTCGCGGATTTGTACTTCGTCATATTAGACGCTCTCTCTACGCTCAGCCATCGATATGTTTTCTCAACGGACATACGCATTCACAGATGACCACATTGATTGTGCGATAATGACAACAACCACATCAAGGGAACGACAGGATGTATTCCTTCATGGCCTCTTCCCAACTGCACTCAGGCAGACCGTTCGTCTCCTGTACCCCATCGCCCCCGCAAGCCGCCGAAAGCAGCCCGTGTGCTTGTTGCATGATGCTCTTGAACTCGGATTTGACGTCGTCCGCGCGCTTCAGGAAGACAGGAACCAGCACCTTCGGCGGAGAAGTTTTCGAAGTAGCAGTCGTGTAGTCTTTTGGGCGAGAGCCTGGTACCGAGTCATGTCCAGAGCCGGAGCCAGAGCCAGAGTTAGAGCCAGCACCAGAACCAGAACCAGAGCCCTTGTTGCCATGAGCGACGTTGACAGCATTCGAGAGGGCCCGAGAATAGATCCTACTGGAGCTCCTGCGGCGCTCATCGTGACCTGCGGCGGCCACGACGGCTTGCTCGGCGCGTTTGTACGCGTCGGTTCCCGGGGTACAGAGTCGCTGGAGATGATGGTAGGTCTCGTTGAACGCGATGAACCTGAGCTTGGAGTAGTAGTGGACCATAGAGCCCGGCGTGCCGCAGACGATGGAGCAGTCGGGGTTAGGACAGCCGTCTGGTTCAATGCCTTGGTCATTAAGGCATTTGCCGTGGAAGAAGTTGGGGAAGATGGCAGTCTCCATTCCCTGGTACGCTTCCTTCTGATAGGCGGAGATGATGGGTTGGAGGTAGGTCATGGCGGTCTGCTCGTCCGGGTGACTGGGGATGATGTTGCTTATTTGTGCAGCCTGCGGCGAGCGATTCAGATTGTCACGTCAAAGGATGGTCAAATAGGCGCGTACCATGCTGCCCATCACACTCTGCATAGGTCTAGAGTAGTTGCCAAGGAATGCATTCGTGATAGCGACAATGCAGTCTCCTTCGCAAGCGAAGACGGTGGCCGGCACCGCGAGGAAGAGAGGGACGAGGGTGGTGAAGCGCATGGTTCCTAAGAGCGAGGGCGAGATTAGTGGGATAGAATGAGCGGACCGTCAAGGCGCGCGAGGATGATGGTGGTGGTAGAAAGACAACATGTAACTCGGTTGAGCGAGGACATAAAACGAACCACAACCAAACAGAGAACAACAGCCAGATATTAATTATGTTCCTCGATCATACAAGCGCCCGTGGACCCACATAATTACTGGACTCCTTGTACAAGAACACGATGATGCGAGATCCAAGCATCTGGCCGCAGTATTTGAAGGTCGTGGACACGCAAATTGCATGCTCAATTTGGCGTGAGGCAATATTGTCATGAGTATGAGCAACAGGCATCACTACGGTGCCCGAGCAGATACTTACCGATAAGCCGTTGCCAGTTGGCCGCCTTCGCGTCAAGTCTTTAGTGAACGATCCATCGTAAAGTTCTTCTCCCGACCCCCCGAGACCTCATGTACCTATTACCCAGCCAACATTACGTCGTCACCGTGCGACGCGAAGGAAAGAGCAAGACGCCCTGTGGCACAGCCGCCGCTTCGTTTACAATGTGGTACTCGTGGAATCTCGGGCGGGGACATGCACCCATACTGCACAGGATTTTAGCGCGTGAGAAGGCACAGATCTTTCTGCCCATAGATCTGCGTCGCGGCACCCTGTAGCATAGAGCCGAGATCTTCTTCGCGAGGTCTGCCGCGAAGGTACCGCACCTGCAGTTGGCGCTTCACCAACACGGGGGAAGAGCATGTCGAGGATCCATGACGCGGTTCTGGCCTTCATTGTCCTTTTTGCAGAGGTTGGCTCCCACGGATCGGAAGGCGGAATCGAGCCGCTACCCCGAGTCAAGCTATTGTGGCGTGTCGGCGTTGCATGGCAGCGCTGAATAGATCCACACGCATGTGTTGCTTTCATCGCAGTGTCCTGTTCGTACATCATAAGCATGTCTGGACACGGCCCTCAAGCACGTTCCCATCTTCTAGCGAGAATGTTGCCCTGAATACGAGAAGTGAACGCAGAGGCGGGCGTACCGACGGTGATTGACAGGCGAATGGTTGCCATCAGCACGAGCTTCATTTTCTACGCCAAGGCACATGAAGGCCACGGGCTGGGTTTCTCTGGCCAGCCTCGCGCTGCGGCGATCTAGGCCTGAACGTCGATGATTGACTGCTTAGAGGCGAGAACGCATATTGGTCTCATACCTGGACATACGACGGATGAAACTTCCATTTTGGTAGGAAGGCGGAACATGTACAACCGTTGTGTTGGGCTACCTCGTGTCATAGCGTCCGCGGGGGAAACAGGAACACTGAAAGACCTGCCGTGGAGTCTCATCTTAGTGAGCGCAGAAGCATTGCGACGTACGTGTTGCTGTGGAGTTGGATGTACTGGTTTCTAGCGGCGGTGATGTGGAAGAGGTTGCGATGCGACCCGATATGCTACAATTATTGAAGACTAAAGATATTTAAAAATGGACATCGTACAGTGCGCATGAGGGGGTAAGGCGACGTAGGGCCTAGTCGTAGTCATATCCTGTTTCCGAAGCAAACTGTCAAGGAGCTGTCGAATCAAAGATAGCTGAACATACCTCCACCCCCTTCATCGCCGCCTCCACCGAGGTCATCGCCATCGTCTGCTTCTCCGTTGTCGAAGTAGTTCTCTGCGTAGTCGTTGTCGTATTCTTCATCGACGTCGTAGTCTTCGTCGATAGCTTGGGAGCCTGCGTCTGAGCGTTCATCGCCGGACTTTTCCTAGAAGTATACATTAGCTGGACGCAAATTGTGAGAGATGAAAGAGACTACGCGTACTTGTTCCTCTCCGTCCTCAACCATCTCGTCCAGATTGACGCGTTTACCCGCGACCTTCTTCTGGGCTGTGAAGACATTGTCACGTAAGAGACCGCCCATAGGTGTACTGACTACATCCTCACAGATTTTCCGCTTCTTCGGATTGAAGTACTCTTCAAAGATCTCTTGAGGGAAGAAAGGCTGATGCAGATCCTTCCTCTTCAATGTTGGCTGAGACGCCGGCGAAGGACGATATTTATCCGAGTAACGCGGAAGTTCTACACTTGCCTCCATTCAGCTGTTGATCGGCGCACCCGACGATAGCCCGACCCACCTGTTGTTTTTGTGTTCTCCACGATATAGTAGGCGGAGTTGCGCAAGCGCGTCGCGAAACCGATCTGCAGTTCCGCTATGCGCTTCTCTTCCTCATTGTATTCGGTCAAGAGAGGTAAGGGTTCTAATGGCTGTGTCACAGCTCAACGCAGCCATGCCATTGACCATAGGAGGGTACATACAGGGTATAACGCGCTCTCTTCTCTGGACAAGGACTGGATGTCTGCGAAAGTCAGACCCATCGGAGGAAGGCTGCCCGCCCCGAAACCGCCCCGTCCACCACCAAATCCACCCCGGCCACCGCCTCTTCCACCACCGCGTCCACCTCGCGACATTGCAGAAGTCTTGAAGGGATGATGAGGACAGACAGACGAGCGAGGAGACGACCGGACGAAATTGACGGAGTGCAGAAATGGGGATTGGGCAGTGCCACAAAGTTGCGGACAGGGTCCTGGTTGAGACTCCGATTGATTTCCCGAGCGATGACTTCCACAAGCGGATGCATGACATTGAAGCGCCGCTCAGGGGTATTCGTGGCGCCTGCGCCTCGCGCTTGTTCAAGTTTCCTGCCTCCTGCCACCATCACCCCTGCCACGTCCACCTGCCGCCAACCCCCTTTACGACGAGATCGACCTCGGAACCCGTTTTATCGCAATGGACAAGTCTTTGGATGAGGTTCGTCGCGTCTTGTTTGGTCGCGTCTTTGTTTTGTCGCTACTCGCGACTAACGGTGGCGACTCAGATTATCGCCACCACCCGCCCCAAGGGAATCCGCAAGTCGAACCCTCGTCGCAACTCGGGCAAGGCTCAGGTGCTTGGGACTGCAAACTCCGCACCGGCGGCGCGTGCAAGGGCAGTTCCAGCGTCCAACGGCGCGAAGACTGTGCCAGCGCCAACCTCCCAGCAGCCCGCAGACAAGATCATTGTCTCGAACCTCCCTATTGACGTAAACGAGCTGCAAGTCAGGGTTAGTCTCTCTCATACGTACGTTCATCCGCGTATTTCTGACTGTCATTGTCACTATAGGAGCTCTTCCACACAACAGTGGGCCCGCTCAAGGACGTGACTCTCCACTACGATAGTGCGGGTCGCTCCAAGGGCGTGGCTGCCATCCACTTCCAACGACGAGGCGACGGCACGAAAGCTTACCAGCAATACAACAACCGGCTGATTGACGGCAGTTAGTACCGGTCTTTGCACTTCCTCTCGACCCTCCCCCCTTCGTCCTCGTATCCTTCTTGCTCGCTCCGGTTGCATGTCCTGTCGCCCCGAATCGTCCGGAGGAGTCACGTATCCGCTGAGTCGAACGATCGAGAGGAGCTGGATGGGCTTGGAAGATGCCTCCTCTCGCGAGCTCTTCGCCTGCGCCTACGCGACAAGTTCCCTGGGGAAGAAGATGTTCCGCCGATGCGACACGATGTAACGATGGAGCGAGCGGCAACCCTCGTCTTTTGATTCTTCTGTCGTCTGCTGCTGAACAGTCAACTGATCAAACACTGTACTTCTTCCGCGTCTTCCCTGGTGCTGTCGATGTCGCCTATACAGAACGCCCCATGAAGATCGAAATTGTTGTCGACCCCTCGAAGCCCGCCCCCGCCGCCTCGTTGGCAGCTCGTGTAGCGCCCGCCCCTGTTGCTGCTGCTGTTGCAGAGGCCACTCCTAGGTATGTCCCATTTCGTCTCGTTTCGCTCATCAACTGACCTGTCGTTGTAGGAGTGGCGGTCGCCCCAAGCGTGGCCGCGGCGGAGGTCGCCGGAAGACAGGCGAGAGGCCCCAGAAGTCGGTGGCCGACCTTGACGCAGAGATGGATGTGAGTCGTCATCGTATCTTGTCCTAGAGCGTATGTCTGATAATCGTTCAGGACTACTCTGCGACTACTGCGCCCGCGGTCACTGCGTAGATATCGCCTCTAGTTTTCGTCTGGCTCTCTGGTGTTGTCCCAAATATCCGCCTTGATCGTCGACTGCGCGCTCCATTCACGCCCCCACCCCTTCCTGTACTGTATACTACCCTATCCCATGCGTATGTCTCGCCTGTTAGTTTGCAGATGATTTCGCTCACCTACTGTGTCCTCGTTGTGTTATTGGCCTCGAATGCAATCGACTTTGCTCCGGCCCATTCTTGTTGTCTTACGCGGTCGCTTCAAAAGAGTAAGTGTCAGTGCATTGATCAACCGTGTACACAATGCATGTGTCTTATCAAAAAATGTAATGTCTCATTGCGTCAAACATATGTGAGGGCGGGGGTCAGAATGGTAGATTTTCCTGTTGATCTTTGAGAGCAAACATGGACGTTATGTGGCTACGTAGGACGGTAGCGGCGTCGTTATAGTATCACGGATTAAAGACCCACTTCGTGTCAGCCCAGGCATATGCTTGTGAGTCTCCCCACACCTCGCAGATCGCTGGAAGGGCAGACGAATTTCCTTGTGTACGGATCATGACACGCCCCCTTGGATCAGTTCTTTATATTGTGTTCTTCTTAATCATACAAGCCATCAAAAGGCTGAACATACAGATGCGTTGCAACCTAGCATGCTCTAGTCAAACAAGTTCAATTCGAGCAGTTGGCAGGATGCGCGCGACGTACTGCTGATCCCTACCCAACAACAGTCCTAATGGCGTCGCGCGCTCCTCCTGACGAGACGGGGCGAGATTCAAGAATGCTGCAGAGCATCCCGGATGCGATATTCCCAGTACCTGGAAGCGGTTAGCAAAATAACGTTACGCGATGCGAAGATGCATACTTCTTGCGCATGGTATCTTTCTCGTTCGCGAGTACCTTCCAGATCTGGGCGGCCTCATAAGCGCTCATTCACCGTATCCATACGAGCATACTCACCTCGACAGCTTTCGGAACCGAGTCTCCGCCTCGCTTCTCGTACGCATCCGCCATGAACTCCAGCGCGGCGACGCAAGGAAGCTCCGCCCTCTCCGTGGGTAGCGGATTGTCGAGATCGACGACTTCTTCGCCGGGCGCAGGCCGCTGGGAAGCCGTATACGGCTCCACAAACGATGTGAGCTCTTCAAAGGGCGTCCTAGTAGTCTCAAGCACGCCCCGGAGGTAATTCCACGCGGACGCGTTGTTTGGCGCAACCGCGATCTGCTCTTTCACGTACGCGAGCTCCCTTCTCCGTACTTGCTCGCGGTCTTCGTCCCCGAGCCTCACCCCGCTCGCGAATACGACGAAGAAGCGGTGGTGCCACGCCGAGTTGTTACGCACATCCGCGTCCAGCAGGGTCTCCGCGTACCCCCGCTCGCGCGCCCAGAGCCGCGCCTCGTTGTTGAAGTGCGCGAGGATCCACTGGCGGTACGACCACGTGTGGTAGTTCTTCGAGTCGGCCTCGAGCACGTCCCGGAGGAACTCGAGCTCGAGCGCAGCGACGTCGACCGAGTTAATCGCGGTGAGCAGCAGCCGGCGGTGGTGCCACACCTGGTACGTCTTCATAAACTGCTTCGCGATATCGTCCATCAGGCGCAGCTCCTCCTCCAGGTCGGACTTGAGCGCGATCAGGGTCTTGTACCGGTGCTGCCTGAGCGGGTCGGACGAGGATGGCGTGCATAGTTGGCCTCCATACTCGTACTTCGAAGGCGGGGGTGCTCACCATGCAGTGTAATGTGCAGGGTTCATCTGAATGATCGTCTCCGTCAACTTGAGCACCCGCGGGCTCATCTCTCCTGTCTTGACGACGGCGCGAAAGTAGTCGGTCGCATCCTTGTCTGCGGGTGAGGTTAGTGGCTGGCCGCGAGTGCACTCGGCGCGTACGGACACTCCTCGCTGTAGAAGATGGGTGCGATGGGGTTCACGTTTTCATACTGGCGAACTGGGACGACACCAGCCCACTCCGGGTCGTCGGCAAGCAGCTCAGACATGGTGAAGCGGATGGTGGTACAAAGGCAAATGATATAGACGCTGGCGCGCGGGCGGGTTCGTACTATATGTTTCATTCTTTGACGCAATGAGACATTATGTTTTCAACAAGACACATGCGTGTATATGGCTGTATATGGTCCATTATTTATAATGTCACCCTTACTATTATGTCGACCTGCATTACTTCCATGTTTGCTCATCAATATAATCAGCAGAATGTACTGCAGCACGACCAACAGGATATCATACATCGTCTTTGCATCGGAGTCAACTTTACATTTCTAGCGTGTAACTACACCGTTCGAAATATCCGCGCGCAGCTAAGTGCATATGGGGGTTTGAACTGTACATGTTTAAGTACTTCTCGCCGGGGACCACAACCAAATGCGAACTTCTGGAATCTACTGAGAATACACATGTAGCCAGGGTGGAGGAAATGCAAAGTACCGATGGCCGACATTGACTTATACCTATGTCAGGCCAGCGAGGAAACGAGGGATGCTACAAACAGACATTACCGTGATGCGCCATGATCAAGCGCGCACGGAGTCGCGCCTCAACAATCCAACTTTCATCGGAAGCTCGGGGTGCGCCCCGTGCGGATCCGTGGAGGGATACTGCACGGTGGCCATGTTCCAGTAGATGGGCTTCTCCGTGAGCTCGAAAGTGAAGGTCGAGAGGAGCACCGCCAGGACGACCTCTGCGGTACGATCAGTAATGAACCTGCAATGACGGAATGCAGCGTGCACGACTAACTCATTTCGAGCTGCGAAAACTTGAAGCCGCTGGAAGAAGACGCTATGCTCAGAGAGTATCACCCGAACAGAGCGAGCTGGAGCACTTACACGCAAGACCGGCCGCCGCCCCAGAACGTCATCCTATGTCCGGGCATGCTCAGTACATAGGTCGAGCGCGCCATCAGAAAGGAGAGCTTACAGATTGGCATATACACCAGGGATCCTCGCATTCAGAACCGTCTCCGGAAGTGGCTCCAGCCAGCGCTCGGGCTTCCACTCGTACGCGTCCGGGCCCCAGAGCGCGGGGTTCGTGTTCGACGCGTTGATGCCGACAAACACGGAGGTGTTCTTCGGGATGTGGAGCTCATGCATCATCCGACCGTCTTTGCCGCGCACGGGCTCCGAGAGAGGGAGGATGACGTCTCGGTTCGTCCTGATAATGTGCAGGCGGGTCAATTTTCGATGAATAAAAAAGCAAAACCGAACTTCCGAACGTACTCGCGGAAACGGAAGGGTGCAGGGGTGTGGCTAGAAACCAACCGTAACGTAAGCCGTGATACCTGGTTGAAGGATGGGTCATCACTTACACCCGCAGCGTCTCGCGGCATACAGCGTCCAGGTACGGCAGCGCTACCAGCTCGTCGTATCCAATGTCGCCGCCGCCATGTGCTTCCTTTGCTTCAAGGATTTCCTTGCGCAACGCATCCTGTCTCTCGGGGTGTTGAGCGAGGCGCCACAACGTCAGAGATAGCGCGTTGGAGGTTGAGTCCATGGCGGCGAATGTCATGGTCCTAGGGGTGAAGGTGAGAGGGTATCTCAACATCGTTATGTGTGGTGCACAAAGAAATGAGCACGTACGACATCTGGCCAATCAGCTCCTCCTCGGGCAGCTTGTCCTCCTCAGCCGCCGCCATGTTCTCCCTCACTGTTGGGCCATTCACGCGCAACCATCAGTACTCGCAAAGTCTCGCATGGGGATAGGAAACGCACGCAAAACGCTAATCAGGTCTCTCCCCTCGCCGATCTGGTGCTTGAGCGCGTCGTCGCCAGCAAGCAGTGCCTTTTTCTTCGCCTCGAATATCTCGGTCGAGCGTATCCTCATCGTGTCCGCAATTTGTATTATCCTCTGCAGCGGCGGGGCAGGAATGAGCTCCGCGACGGCTCGGCGCCAGCCCTTGGGCACGATCTTCTGGAATAGCGGGACGTGGTGGTGTAACCCGCGCACCTGCGCAAGCGTCGGCCTGATAAGACGAGACCGCGTCAGTTTCGCAACGCTATAAGCCTACACTGCGAGGCACGTGAACGCACATGAGGTCCTTGAGTGCTTTACCGTACTCGTCGCCGGCGTCGGCGATGAGCGGGTCGAAGGAGTAGCCCAGGCCGCCCTGGCCCATGAGCTCGAGCGCGGTGCGCCCCATCCAGGAGACAATGTTGACTTCGGCGGGGTGGCCCTCGCGGACTCGGTCCTGTATCGCGGTCCTGAGCTATGTAGAATAGATCTTGTGGTAAGCATCGTGCTGGATCCACAGAACAGTTTAATGATAGAATGGACTCACCTTGTGTGTGATGTCGTAGAAGATCGGGGACATATTGCGCATATGGTTGACCGAGAAGACGGGGTTGAGCATTTTACGCTGCTTGCGGTGGTGGTCGCCTGTGCCCCCGTTGATTCGTGATGAGCACACATCTGCAAAGTGTTTGGCATCGGTCATATTACGTACCAAGAGTAGCAAAGAGACCAGGACCAAAGATAATTCCCGTGGCCCTGTCCGACGCCAGCAGAGTCAGCCTGATACATAGCCTCGCGAAAGCGCACTGGGGCGACGAAAAACCTACTTGGTGAACCACGTCGCCTCCTGGAAGATGTCCTGGTCCTTTATGGCGATACTATGCATGGCCTTTGGATCGAACGTATACACTAGGTTGCTCTACGTGGACACCTGCGTAAGCACCGTAGACGTCCTATCAACTGGGTTGGGAAGCGTACCCCAAACCGACCGCGCAGGCGCACGACTGGGCCGTACTTCTCTCCCAGGCTGCGGTGATATTTGAACCCTGTCTGTTTGTTGTACAACTCCCGGACGTGGCCTGTCCGCATGAAAGTTGTTCAGCACGATATTGTGTGCCGAGTGGAGGATACCGCAACACATACCGTACATGAAGGATGGGGATGGCGGGCCGGGCAGGTTATCGAGGTCACTCTTGACCACGAACTTGCGGAAGGCCTTCCACAGAAGCCACGTCGTAGCGCAAACAAAGAGACCCTGGAGGAGGGTTTGCACCATGATTACTTGGTCCAGTGAGGCTGCTGTAGTCGTCTGTGCCCGATGAAGTCGAAGTCTGTGAACAGCTTGAGAACCGCGGCGAGCCCAATTATCCTGGACATCTTATACCCCCCTCAGGCTCGAGCGCGATGTCCTCCCTTGAGAGACGCCTTGGAGAATGTCAGCGCTATGACAACAATGCGATTCCGAGGGAAACGGTCGACGGTCCACCTGCGGTCCACATACTATGAACCCCCCCTTTCCCCGGAAGAGCAACAAAGTGACGGCATGTGATCCACTTCGGTCACTGAAGAGACGACCGTAATGACTTTACAGGAAAGTAGGCGCGTTTGTCTCACTCTTTTGGGAAGCCCGCTGCCCATGCATGCGGGCGGGTGGAGGGTAGTAGGTTGCCATTTGTTGATGAAGGCGCGAGTGACTGCGTAATGACCGCCATAACACCACGTATAGCCGCGCAGATGTCGGTGGCGAGACGACGTCAAGGCTCGGCAGCATGGGCGTGAGAATGTGCTGGAGAACCTGGGTAAATTGGCTACGGTTAATGCGCTGTAGCAGTGGAGATGTTCGGTGCTTATACCGAATGGATGTCTTGCCTCATGGTGCGCTTGGTGCGCTTGCTCTCCGGGGTGGTGCTCTCCATGTGTTTTGAAAGGATTGCGGCCTGGAAAGCCGGACGCAGGATAAGTAGTAATATTCGAGGTCAACCATGCCCTTATGTGCGCTCTAGCGCAGGGCGCAGTAGCCTAGCCCCTGTGGAGCCGACAACGAGCAAACTCAAAGCCTCTTGCGCCATAACGCTGCGAATGCGACGGGGGCGGATGATCATGTTAGACAGGCGCTGATCAAGCGCTGATCTTGGAAGTGGATGAGTGAGCTGCAAGTTGCTGCATGGCCCCTACTATTTTGCCGTCGGTTTTGCGTTAGCGCGGTTACAACGTTCGAGATGCGTTCACCTTCATCAGCAACGATTGAAGGCCCACCATGCCACAGTACTACTTATCGCAGTCTGAATGGAGATGTCTTGCTTGTGAGAGGCAAAGCATATCTGTGGTACATCAGGATTTCGCGATCAAAGCAGCATCTGGGTTCTGGGTGACCACAGTTGACTACCAGTCAGAGCCTCACTTGCGCCCTTCGACCATGATAATGTGATACCCGAATTGTGTCTTGACGAGGGGAGATAGAACTGGCTTGTCTACCGTCGAGGGCTGCAGCGCAAAAGCGGCATCCTGGAATGCGCCCTGAAAATCACCAGTAGTCAGGCATGTATGCTTCGTGAAGCACCGAGGGCGGAGATGAGTCGTCATACCACCATCGCTCCTCGGACTTGCCAGCCCAGACTCCCACCAGCTACGAGACCATAGGATTAGTTCCCGGCGTGCCTAATCAGAGCGAACGAGTTCGGCACACCTTTCGCCTTGTCCTCTGAATATTCCTGTGCGACCTTGTCAAATCGCTGGCCTTCCTGCGCCCATGTGAGTTAAGCGTGTAGAGCTCAGATGCGATAGATGCAAAATGACGCGAACCTGGATTTTTTGCAGCGCCTCGAGGGCCTTCGATTGCTTCTCGCACAGAATGTGACGCACGTTGACGGAGGTCGCGGCCTTCAGACCACCGCCCTTTCTCTGCCAATCGCCAATATGATTTAGAATGCGACATCAAGATTGACCAGCAGAGATAAGAGGCACCGCAGACATAGCTAGCATGGTGTTCAACACGATTGCATGATCGTGGAGGGAGCAGCGGCCCTGATGACCCTAGTAGCGGTTCCGTGACGTCGCACGCACCTTTTTGTCGCCGGAGGACTCATCTGCCTTAGCGTTGCCTTTGCCCGCTTTCTTATCAGCAGGCTTCTTGTCAGTTGAGCCAGATGCTTTCTTCGCCATATCGTGCACAGGGGTATCTAGTAGCGTGATCGAAAGCTGTGGAGGCACTGCACGAAGGGGGAAAGCAAGAGCGACCGCGCCCTAATTGATGGCGCTCACAGCATACGTGGCTCGATCGGGCAAGTCTTGTGGTTCAGCATCCGATGTTTGGCATTCGCCGGTGCTAAGAAAGCCGGGAGAAGCAGGTTGGATTCGTTGAGAGAGACAAGCCAAGTGCAGAACATGTATGGTATTACTACTAAGGTCGACAGGTAGGTACAATAGGTATATATGCTACAGCGGTGTGATCACAAAGTCCGGGCGTGGGTCAAGAGCAATATTGACAGAAGAAATAGGATAAGTGGTGCGAAGGGAATAGATTAGGACGCAGCCAAAGCGTTTGCTTCAGAGCGGGAAAGTAATAGAAGAATAAAGACCAATGTCACCAGTAAGCGAATTCAGCGAGCGCCACCCTCGCGCCCGTTTTGATGTTACCACGGGGCTCACGCGCTCGCGAACATCGCGTCCAGCTCTGCCTTGAAGAGATCCTCAATGGCGCGCCGCCGGACGTTGCCCTTCGTCGCCGTGCGCGGCAGGGTGCCGCGCGGGACGACCACGACCATCTTTGCGGACGTGATGCGCTCGTGGAGATAGCGCCGCGAGTGGAAGTGCCGCGTGCGCCGGATGATCTCCCTCCGCAGCCGGGCGTCGTCCATCTGCACGCCCGGCGCGGGCTCGACGAACAGCGCGGGGCTGGGCCGGCCGTTCCCAACGACGATGCACTCTGCGATGAGGTCGCCGCAGGTCTGGCGCGCGTTGTCCTCGATCGCGCGGGTGTCGCACCGGAGGCAGTTCTCGCTCTTGATCCAGTCGTCACCGCGCCCGCGGTTTACGTACGCGCCAGGCGCGACCTCGACGAAGAGATCGCCGGTGTGGAAGTGGCCATCCGCAGAGCGCATTGAGGTGTGCGGGCAGTCGCCGGACTCGGCGAGGATGACAAGCTCGTGCAGCCGCGCGTTTGCGTTGGAGTATTCGCTACCCTCTGCGCCCTCGGCCGCGTCCTCGATCGGGACGAATGCGTACGAGGTGCCCTCGATCGGACGGAGGGCCGGGCTGGGCTTGCCACCGCCACGGACAGAGAGGAGCATCGCGCCGCACTCGGTGCTACCGAAAAGGTTGCGGAGCTGGAGGTCGTTGGCGTACGCCCACTCCTCGTCCTCGCGGGGCATCTGCTGGCCGGAGTAGAGGATCTCGTCGAGTCCACGGAGGAGCGCGAGCAGCTTCGGGCTCTGGCGCGCCGCGCGGGCGTGTACAGCGAAGAACGCGGGGAACTGGTTCAGGCGGGTGAGGCCACCGTGCGCGATCATATGTACGAGCTCGTCGGTAGAGAAAGTGACCGCTTTCGGCTGGATCGTGCACGCGCCGTTTTGGAAGGAGGCGAGGAACATGAATGTTTGACCAATGTGGCACATGCTTCCTCTAAGTAGACGCTGTCAGCGACACGTCCGGATACGGAGCACGGGTGTAGAACTTACATGGCAACAGTGACGTCCTGACCGGTCGTGTGCAGGGGCCTGCTGACTGTCGCGGACTTGCGCACCATGTTGTCGAGCCACGCGTAGTTACACGGCAGCAATTTGGGCTGTCCTGACGTGGAGCCGGAAGTGTGGAAGATCATGACAATGTCCTCGGGCGCGGTCGGCTCGGGCATGGGTGGCAGAGACATGTCGTCGACAGCAACGTCGCGCAGGTCGACGGCGCTGTATGAGGGGTACGGGCAGTTGGACAGGATGTCACCGAGAGTCGGCTCGTATATGATAGCCTTGGCGTTGGAACGCTGAAGTAGCTCGTAGATGATGTCCGGGTTGGGCAGCCGGAGCGAGAACAGCTGAGGAATGTAACCTGCGCGGGCTATCGCGTAGATGTAGAGGACCTCGACGTAGGACATGCCGTTCGACCTGTACGCGTATTCGGTCAGGCGGGAGCGAGACCGGGTAAAGTGCGATGGACGTACCAGAGACCGACCACGGATCGTGGTGGAATTCCACCGGCCTGCAACTTGTGGGCCAGGTGGGTTGCGAAGTGCTCCACATCGGACTGGAACTCGCCGTAGGAAATAGGTTGCCATGCCCGCAGCTCACCCTCACCGTCGTATACTGGAAGCTTGAGTATAGGAAGCGATGGGTGGGCGAGGGTGTGCTCGGCAAGGGCGCTAAGATGCGTCTTCAGGTTCAGGGCGGCCATTGGAATCAAAGAAGCAAAAGGGGGGGAAAAGGGGTGCAGAACGAAGAGGAGATCGGGGCAGATTAAATGCAACCAGGAAGTAGGGCCGCAGGTAGGATAGCCGGATATACGGAACGAAATTAAAATCCTCTAGGATAGAAGAAGAGGGAGGAGGACTGGGCCGGGACCGAAGCGATTGTGTAGATGATGGTGAGGGTGGATGGTGCCCGAGTCATCGTCTTTATACGCCTTGGCCGGCGGGAATGACATTGGAACAGATTGGAGGAGGCGATGAGGGAGGATGGCAATGCTGTCCGGCCGGGTTTTCGCATGACTAGTTGACAGACGCTTGGATTGAGCGGCGCAACTGACGGTCACGGTGCTTCCCGCGCCCGCAGCCCCGCCGCCCATAGCTGATCAATTCGCTCAAACACATACCTGGGCAGAATCTCCGGCAGGCCCGCCGAAGCAGATATTCGTCTTCTCGCGCGATATCCCGGCACCTGACTGGAGATTCCACGTCTCGAGCGCCACTGGGCTGAACACCGGACGGTGCCTGCCTGGCATGCCTCGTGGACACCGGTGATAGCCTGATATCTTGCGCCTGCTCGGGATAGCAGTTATGGAGCATTTTCAAGTTGTCAAGAGAGCTCGGAGAGCGTTTGAGGTGCGGGAGATGGCGGAGGTTCGTTCTAGACGCCTAAACACGTTGTCCTCGATTCGGCAATTTCGGCGCTCTCGTGCCTTCTTCTCGCCCACCATTCGGAATCAAGTCATTCAATGCAAGGACGCTCCTTCATTTCCGAATATCTGCGAAGGAGATGCCTTGATATCGCTGAGTGATCATCCCTTCTCTGAGGAGACCCATGCATCCAGCCGATGAGTTGCGTACGATAATCTAGCACCGCCTCGCCGACTTGCTGGCTTCTCTCACACTCGTCCTCCCCGAGGTGACTCAACACTCCGCAATCTCCACACCCTGCAACATCTAATACGACGCGTAGGTATTGCGAGCTCAGCGTGGCGCGATCCTGTGTCCTCCAAAAGATCTCACTAGGCCTGACACAGCCTCAGCAGCCTCGCGTGTGCTGGTGCGGACCCGAGTCCGTTCAGGATCGGAGGCTGCTGTCTGGTGCGTTCCCCTGTACGCAGTGCGCACAGGACCCCCGACAATGGGGGGGAAACTCACACGCGGGGTTGCTGTAATCGGTGCAAAATTTCCGCGAACCTTGGACGGGTGGCCTAAGGTGGAAGCTTGTAAAGTGGGTTCGTACGCCTCTGGCCCAAGAGCGCTGTTGAATTAGCTATCGTTTCTCTACATCTTTTGTATACTAATCTAGCTCATGTTGCCATAGACGGTAATAGTATTCAAGATGTATATCCGCTCACCCCCCAGGTCAAGTCCTTACTATGACCATCCATACGAAGAGTCAACACGGCAGGTCAGAATATCGACGCCAACAAGATCGCTTGAAGCCCTAAAGCAAACCCATTGTAGGAGGTCGCTAGTTCATAGGGACTTCACGCTCAAACCGCTGAACTATCTCCGCGGATACCAGCGTCTGACGCAGAAATAGGCCACGTTTCGGTCTATCTTGAGCCTCTTCAGCCCGTAAAACGTGTAGTATCAGCCTGACTTTCAACTTTGCCCGGAAACGGGACACGGATCATCTTAGCATTGTTCGGGGTCCTCCACGCTCCCGCCAGACCACGCCCACCGTACATTTGGAGCCTCCATTTACAGCCATCAACACCGTAAATCTTGGACGCGGTGCAGCGGCGCAGACATCATATCGCCGGGTCACTGCTTGTTGTCTGCTATGGAGCGCGCTGCGTCCCATGTTGACAGCGCAGGCTATCATAGATCTCAATCGCAGGTACACATTCATCCAGACAGGGCACCTATGCAACATCAGGCAAGTCACCTCGGTGTCCTCGTTTTGCACTGCAGCGTTGACGACATCTTCCGGCAGGAAGGCCGCAGCCCGAAGTTCATGACGGACGACGGTTCGCGCGCAGCACGCTTATGTGAGTTATAAGTACTATGGGAAGTCCTGCTGCTTCTCTTCTCGCACAAGAAGCTCAGTGCTCATTGGCGTCTTGCAGAAGGGTTACAAAGCCTCACCGTTACAAAGCGCACGCGCTAAGGTTCAATTCATGCCAAGATCTGCTCTTTGTCAACCACGTCCGAACCACACAATCCACGGCGGTTACATGCTAAACCGATGTCCAAGTGCCACAACAATGTTGCGTATGCGGTGGCCCCAAAGCCGTACCCCTCGGCCTCGCCTCAACAGGGCCATCCAACGCCGTCCGTTCCTCCCACGACATATCTAGCATGGTAACCGTCTACGGGCTATGCCACGTGCATGCAAAGTCGCAATGCATATTCGACATGTACTACTACCACCGCAACCCGGCGCTGTTCTGCGCGCGCGTGGCCGCCGAGCCAACGTTGCAGCTAGTGAGCCCAGCGAGCCTATCATCGTTAGTGCACGCTGTGCGGATTTGCGCCCAAATGCTGCATCGTCTCAGTAGTGTTTGGGCCGTTGCAGAGATGTTTCACACTCGCCGGCGCAACGCCGGGCTCCCGCTCCGCGCCTCCCGTGGACGCCTATTTGCGTGCCCGTACGGGCGTCGCGAACAGCGGGAGGGGCTTCGGACAGGCACGGCGTGTGCCTGCCGCAGGCACTGCGTTGACGCGTACATACGTAGCCCTTAGGAGCGAGATCCGTGGCGAGGTGTTCGATCTGGGCAGTTGGTGCGTGGCGTTCAATTATGGCTAGGCTGTTCTCTGTATTGCGCTGCTCACTCAGAGGTCAGCATCAAATCTCGGGCAATCTCGCGACTTCTCGACCAACGACGAGATGACCTGTGGCGATGTCCGCAATTATCCATCGCGCACAACGCCTCTCTTGATCCCTGGGGCCGCCACGCCGCGCCAGTCTCTCTGGTAGCAAACAAGGAGTAAAGCCGTATCCGTGTCGCAAGTGCGTACACTCACCTCCCGAGATCAGCGCGGTGGCGTACCATCGCGAACATTACTGGCCGCACAGTGCAGACTCCCAGGGGCTAGTGGCGGATCTTGTGCGAAGTCAGAGTCAAAGTCCCAAACGCCGAACACGTTTTCAAGCTGTGCTTCTCACTTCCCAGCTGGCTTTTACCTCCGCCGCTGCGGCGCGGGTGCAACCTCGCCACCAGGCACCTCATCCGCGGCCTCGCGTGGGCGATTGAGAGTCCTTCTCCCCTCGCTAAGCTCTGGGTCCCCGAACAACGCCCTACACGCCGCGACATGTAAGTGCGCATGGTCCTGCACGCTCGAGACAGGTACCCACGGAGACGCGGCGCCGCGCGCCCAAGCAACTCCGCCAACCACGGCCCCGCGCCGTTGAACCAGTGCGCGATCGAGAGCGCCCTCCCCTGGACGACGCATACCCGCGCCATGTTTCCTCGGAGATGCAGCTGTACTACTCGACCTCGCTCACGAGCGGCCTCTCATCGCCCCCCGAGCGTTCGCAGCAAGAGGCCGAAAGCAACATGGCCGGCAATCGGGCCCGAGAGGGCCCCTTCCGAGCGCTGGGGCGGCCGCCTTTGGGTGCTCATCTACCATAACATCTGTGTTCGCCGTCGCGCACGAAGCGCAGGTCGACAGGGTACCCTCGCGGCCAATCGGCAGTTGTGTCCTGCGTCTGCTGCGTACGAAGGGTAATTGAATGCAACCATTTACAGGGTTGGGCGGTGGTAGTAGGCTTCACCATCGCCTCCCTCGCTTACTTTGTCTGCGCAGCCTAACAGCAAAGTAGGCGCGACCGAAGCTCACCAAGAGGCTGTATGCCGTGACGGATGTGTCCGAGTACGTCGCGAACGGCGTTTGCGAGGCGCGCGGCTAGAACGGGGTAAAGGGTGTCGGCGACGAGTGCGCCGGGCTTGATGAAGTCGTGCATTCCGAAGAAGTCGGTCTAGAGGGACCGACCCCGATGTCCCGCCGTCATCGGCGGCGCGGGTGTACAGGTCGATGCGGCATGAATCCAGTGGTCTGCGGGCGATGTAGTGCTTCGAATAGAAGGCGGCTTGCACTGGCGTTATTTCGCCAATTTGAATCGCATCGGATTTACATCATCCACTTGGACGACCAATGACGAGAGAGAAATGGAAGTGTCGAATGCACATCCTTCGGATGTAGCCTTCACGGGTGGTCGTCCGACGTACAAAGGGCCCGGTGCGTCCACCACTGCCACGTGGGTTCACCATAAGCAGCACTATCGGCGCTATGACGTGAGGGGGCAAGATAGCAGCCACTTTGCGGCTTGTTCTCATACCACGACGGTATATACCGCCGCTACATACGACAACGCGATTCAACACGGCGAGGTTGAGCTGGAAACACTTTCTCTCGGTATTCACGATGGCGTGGAGGTGCACCGGTGCTACCAATGCAGAGCTCATCGCGAACATGGCGAAGGCGGAGATCATCCACTCTGACCGCGTCACTGCAGTAAGTGTCCATCTTGCTCATGTTAAAATCGCCAGATACACTGAAAGCCGTTTCAGTCTATGACAAAAGTTGATCGCGCCAACTACGTGCGGTACGCGAACGGCGCGTACGAAGACTCGCCTCAGTAAGCTTGCACTCGCTTTTGGATAAAAGGTCAATCCGTCGACATATCGTCACTTCTCGAGGACGATCGGGTATGGCGCGACGATCTCTGCGCCGCACATGGTGGGTAATTCCTTATTCTGCATAGGTTGATCTCCACAATGTTCTGAACATGCTTCATCTAGCACGCCCATGCTGTAGAGCACCTCCTTCCGTTCCTCAAACCGGGTTCCCGCGTCCTTGATGTCGGATCGGGTTCGGGGTACCTCACTGCGGTGCTCTATCAGCTCCTACAGGACCCGTCTGACCCGCGGAGCAACGACAGCAAAGTCGTCGGCATCGAGCACGTCTCGGAGCTTGTTGAGTGGTCCGTCGGGAACCTACGCAAGGACGGATTGGGTTCCGCCCTGGACGCAGGGCAAATCAAAGTGATCGCCGGCGACGGGCGCAAAGGCACGTATTGTCCCGCGGCCCACACCTTTGACAGGCGTGCGGGGCAGGGCCAGGGCTATGGGAGAAATGCTGACGGTCGACGCAGGTCTCCCGGAAGATGGGCCCTATGATGCGATTCACGTCGGCGCAGCCGCCCCTACCCTGCCCAAGGAGCTGATCGAGCAGCTCGCACGGCCTGGACGCATGTTCATTCCTGTCGGGACGCAGACCCAACAGGTTCTTCAGGTACAGTTTGTTCTCCGGTGTCAAAAATGCGCAGATGCTGAGAGAATCCTTCCAGATCGACAAGGATGTGGATGGGAACGTCACATCGAAGCCGCTTTTCGACGTTTTGGTACGTTCCTCTGCCATAGGATTGTTCGTGGTGACACCGAACCTCATCCTCTGTGTTGCAGTACGTTCCGCTGACTGATCGTGACAAACAATCATGAACGTCCTGTGGGTCCTGGGAATTTGTATGTTTCATGGAGAAGCCTCCCTAAGTTCTATGGATAGGCTGTGAGAGACGGCGATCTCACGATGTGGACATGTATCAACGGATGTACCAGTAGCAGCCATATGCCTTTGGTTAACCATGGATGCATAGTATCTCATCGCACGGAATCGCTCGTCAAGAAGAGGTACCATAACCGTCGTGCTCGAACTTTTCCAACGATTCTGATTAAGTGCAACATCAATATCAAGTGCACATGGAAAGACATTTGTACTTTAGACGAGCACCAGTTCAATTACGATCTAGCTACATTCAACGACAGACATACGGAGAGCCATAGAAAACATAATAAACACGTATGCACAAGCAACGCACTCGCGCGAGCTCAATGCCTCGTACTAGATGGAACAACCTGACCGGCCAACCCTCTCCGCAAACACGCAAAATTACATGAAATCAGAGTCGTTGTTCTGCCCCGCAGTGAGCCGCGTCCGATGCTCCAGGTATCGCATGAGGTCCTCCGTCGTCTCCAGCGTCGCCGGAGGCCCGGGGGTCTGCTGCACGCTGCCGACCGGTCCGTGTCCAACGAGGGAGTGTGCCCCGGACATCCACGGCTGCGGTGCGAAGTTGCTGAACTCCATCACCCCCGGAGACCTGTTTGCCCCGCTTGCCTGGGGGGCCGTCAGCCGCACAAAGGCGGATGGCTCAAGCGGGGCGCCGCCAAAACCCGCGAAGGAGGGGTGAGCTCCGTTGCCCATCGGCCCGCGGAAGCGCGCGGGGATGGCCTCCGACATAGCGGACGGCGAAGGGCCGGGGGTATCGGGCGGCGCTAGGCTCAAGCTCGGGGACGGGGCAAGGGGTCGCATCAAGGGCATCATAGGAGGTGGTGACATGACGCTGTTGCTCCGAGAGGGTATGTCTGGCTTGGGCGTGGGTTTGGAGGGTTTGCTTGCAGGTATGACGACCTTAGGTACAACGACCGGAGGTACGACTGGGCTAGGGTCGGGGTCAAGGCGGGGAGGCGTGGGCGACCGTTGGGGTGCCGTAGTGACAACTTTTGCCAGCTCCATCTCACTGAGATTGGCTTTGTAGAACGACGTGACTTGGATCGTCGTCTATGCTCCTCGTCAGACTCCTGATGTCCAATGATCCGGCTGCTCCAGGACACACCTTATTAGGCATGGACGCGGCGATGCGCTTAAAGTCTTCTCCGTGCTCAGCGAGCAGCTTCATAAAGAGAGCTGTTAGAACACAGAAGTCAGAGGCGGCCAAAGCGAAGGCAGCGCCGTGACGTGCCTTTGTCGTCCTCCGACCAGTTCCCACTGCCGCCGCCACTCTTCTTGCGAGCAGTCGCTTCCGTTTGGTCGATGAATTTGGTCTCTGCCGACGCGGCAGGAGCGTCGGGCTCCTCCGCAGGGGTCGGTGTCGGTGGAACCTCCACCTCGGCGGCCTTGCTCTTCCGGCTCTTCCTGACCCTTTTCGCAGGGCGAGCATCCTCCTCCTACAAGCCCAATGTCAGGAGTCAACCCAGAAGTTACGTGTTAACCACTTACTGCCACGTCATCTGCTGCTGGCGCTGGCGCTGCTGCGCTTGATACCGCTGCTGCCTCATCGCGCCCCATGGCTGCGACTGCCTTGGGTGTTGGAACGGCTCGACGCCGAGGCCTCTTAGGGGCAGGTTGCACAGGTTCTGGGTCTGGAGTAGGAGTACCTGCAGGCGTGTTCTGAGTCGTACTTCGTCGCGAAATGGTACTCCTTTTCGGCGGCTCGGCTGCAGGCGCAGGAGTAGTAGAGGGTCCCGGCTCAGACTCAGCGACGGGCGTAGTCCCAACAGGAGTTGAAGGAGGCTGCCCACGCCTACGTTTCGCTGAAGTCGTGGACGGCGTCGCGTTCCTCGAGACCTCATCGTCGTGTTTCAGGATATCCGCGAGGAGCGCGTTGCCCTTCTGTTTGCTGCCACGGCCGCGCCGGGTGCGCTTCCCAACTGTGTTGAACTGTGCAAGGATCTTGCGGAAGTCGATGGTCGTGTTCTTATGCAGGTAGTAGAACGTGACACACTGCGCGGGGGTCTTGTTGGGCAGGTAGCCGGCGATGATGCCGAACTGCTTCGGGTGCTTGACGTACTTCTCAACGAAGACCACCTTCTCCTCATCCGTCCAGTCGTCAATGCCCGTTTCCAGCGCGTAGAACGTATGCGGATCCTCGACCAGGTTGTTCGTGTCGTCGAACACGGGGTCCACGCGTCCCTTCGTCACCGAGAGCATGTCCGGGATGACTGCGGCGTTCTTCGCGGAGAGGTGATTCGCGTCCGTCAGCTCTTCATTCCCTAAGCTCGCGAGGATCTGCTCCATCTCGAGGTCCGTGCGCACAGCGTCGCCCATCGCAGCAGATCGCCGCGTCGTACGACCCGCCGTAGCCGCAGCCTCTTCGAGCGCACTCGCACGCGCGATCTCGTCCAGTTTCGCACAGTGTACCATCCACTTCTCGTGCAGCGACATATACTCTTGTCGCAGCCGGTCCACCTTCGCCGTCAGAGCCGCCTTGTGTTCCGCGAAGCGTTTTCGTAGCGAGTGCTTCGTGCCGTCGTACTCCCCTCTCGACACCTGCTCCTGTTCCTTCTCGGCCACCGCTGCGACAACGGCCTCCGGCTGAGGCTGCTCGGGCTCTTCAGGCTCGGCGATGTGGCGGTTGGACAAGATAACGGGAGCTACGCGCTCCTCCTGCGTCTGGTGCGGGAACATCATCCGCAGACGCACGACCATCCGGAGAGCGTCAGCAAGTGGAATATCCGTCAAGAGCTTGTCCGCCTGGGCCACGCCCTGATCTGCCGGCGGCGCAACTTGCTTTTCCTGAGCAGCGGGACGTTCCTTCTCCGAGTGCATGATTGTGTCTGGGTCCTTCTCTACGCCTTCCGTCTCTTCGCGCAGAGTCTCCTCGCTGACCGGCGGGGAGAGCTCACCAGAGGCTACATGCTGCCGTTCCACAAAGGCTGCCGTCCGCTGGCTTCGCGGGGTCGCCGTTCCGATATCCTGCCCACGATTTTCAACGCCGTCACGTGACGGCGCGTCTTTCCCGATAGGGCCGGTCGTCGGCCGAGGAGTGGCAAGGGAGGCAAATTGTAGCATAGGCGACACTGCTGCATCGCGATGAGCAGGCGTTTGAGGCCGCGGGGGATCAGCGGTAGGGACGAGCGATAGATCAGGAATATCTGCATGAGCAACGTCGCTTGGAGGTGGGGCAGGTGAGGAATGAGGTGATGGTGGCTTCGGCGCAGATTGAGCAGCTAGCACGGGAGAAGCTGCAGGGGATGGGGCGGCAGAGGATGCAGGAGAAGACATCTCCATGTCAGACTCACCACCCTTAGGATTGGGCGTGGACGCGGTAGAGGATGGCGGAGGGCGTTTGCGAGACGTTCGACACGTTGGCTGGGGAGCGATGGTGGTGTTGATAGTGAGCGCAGGGCGAGCAGGCTCGGCTTTCTCGTCGTTCGCATCTTCGGTTGGGGGCGAGGACGCTGGGGGCGGCGTCGCGCTAGTAGGCGCGGAAATGGGTGCGGGCTTTTGGACAGGAGAAGCAGGCGGAGACATGTCCATATCAGAGGAATCCGCCGCCTCTTCTCCGTCGTCGCTGGTGACCCTGGCTTCCTCCGCCTCCTTCATGCGCACATCCTCACGCTCGCGCAGGCCCTTGACCTTGGGAGCAAAGTCTAAGGCTGGAAGAATCGCGGGAGAACGCGAACGTACTGGAGAAGCTGGCACCGACATCTCCATGTCCGACTCCATCTCATCCTTCCTCTTGTCCGAGGCTGAAGGTGCTGAGCTATGATCGGGGGGACTTGATGAACTGACGCCGGTCTCAGCATTTTGCGAGACGACGTTAGCTGTCACATCTCTCTCGGGATACTTCAGCTTCGCGTCAATCGCAAGGGTTGATGGTACGAAGGAAGGCGCTCTCTGTATGTAGGAAAGGCGGCCTGATCGCCATGATTAGTAGTTGATCAGGGAGTATGTGCGACTGGACTAACCCTTGTTCCAGGCATTTTTCAACTGTGTTGTCGGCGCAGGCTGACTGCCAGTGTTCACAGACGACTGGGGAGCTTCGCGTGGCAGCTGCGCCTGTGGAGTGGTTACAGTAGCCCTCGCTGCAGGAGGTTGATCGCGACGAGCGGATCCAGAGTTGTCTACCGCTGCGGAACCCTGAGCCACCGGAGATATAAGAAGTTCAGGAGACCCAGTCTGAGAGCGAGCGGGAGGACGACTGTCCAAGACGGAAGTACCAGGATGAGCCTGCTTCTGTTGAGCCTTGGGTAGACTACCTCTTAACGGAGGCTGATACGACACGTGAGGCGGATGCGAAGAACTAGCCGTAGAGGAATGCGAGGAATGCGAGGGAGAGCGAGACACCGGTTTGGCAGGCAGCAACGGAGTAGGCTCAGGCCCAAGTGGTATACGTACCGGCTCAGAGCGCGGCGGTTTGGGAGGCAGAGGCACGAGATGTGGTAATTCAGGAGACTCGCGTTTGGGCATCGAAGTGCCAGCAACCCCGTATCCGGGCGATGGATTCTGCACCGGACGTGGTGAGACTGGGCTGACCGACCTTTCGACGTTATCGCGACTCATGAGACGCCTATCAGCGCGATCCTGTGACGCTGAGCGAGCAGAGAAAGGTGGAGGAGGGTCTCTGCTACTCCCTTCTCCTCTGTCTGCATAGAGGTCGTCATCTTCCGGAGCCCACTCTGGCTCTGGATGTGGCGGGCGGTAGTTATCGGAGTGAGGGTTCCCATACGGAAAGCGATTCCGTGGGGCCGAGCCCGGGGGTGCAGGTGGAGAGAATGGCGGGAAACGTTCTCCGCCGGGCTGTGAAGGCGAGTATACTTCACGAGGCCACGGCCGGTCAACTGGACGATCCCTGAAATCCCTTACAGGGAGTCCCGCAAAGCGCTCCATCGGGCGCTCACGAGGAGGAACGCTTTATTTGATTGTCAGAATTGAAGCACACAACATTAAGAAAACCCCATACCTGTCAGAAAACGAAGGCGGCCCCTTATGTATCTGCTTCCAGGTGGCAGAGGGCTCAAACATGCGTGTCGATGGCGTCTCTCGGGGGGGTCTGGTCCACAGAGGATTGAATGCATCTCGAGCAGTTCGATCTGGCCAAGCCACGGGCTCCGGCTCCTGCCATGCAGGTGGGCGAGGCCATCCTTCAGCCGGTGTGGGTCGATATCGCTCTGGAGAAGGGGTATTCGGGGGATACTCCCGGTCGGTACGCCAGTACTTCGGGTTGTACTCGTTTGCGAATCCTTCACGAAACGGTGGCGCAGGCGGCTCCTCTGGACCAAATCTGTCGTAGTATGGGTACGCGGGAGGCGGTCCCGGGGGAGTTGTTAATGGGTGCTCTGGGTACGGTCCGGGTTGCTGCCGCTGCATTGGATACCACGAGGAGTGAGTGGGGAAAACGCGGTGGGAGGGGGGAGTGCTGACATCGTATGGAAGCGGGGGATTACCAGAAAGACGACGAGTATCGCCGTTGGCAGACATGGCGGATTAGGAGGGATGGTTTTTTATGACAAACGAGGGTAACGGTGCGAAAAAGGCCAGCGTACAAAGGCCAAGCAAGGAGTACAGTGAGAGATTATGTCAAGCAGTAGTTTTGCGCAGAGACAGAGCAGATATCGGCCGCCAGAGGGGTATCTCGGAGCTCTAGGTACGAACGTCGTTCAGCCGGTGGTGGTCGTTGTTCGTTGTGCTCTGCTCGACTCTTTCTGCCACAGGTCTCAACGTACAATGAAGCTCCGCCCGAACCTCCCAGTTTTGAGGCGACACCTTGTGGCTAAAACGCAACTCCGACGGTGATGTGTCAGCTCCGCCCAAACAATTGTGGCTGCTCTTCCCGATCGGGCCTCGCGCAGTCACCAGCGCACTCAATGGACTCCTCGTCCTCCCACCGCGACCCTGCTCAGCTATGTTTTGAGAGTGTTCGGACTAGACGGCTCATCATCGCATCTTACTGGGCTGTTGTTCTTCTTGCTATACCGCTATGGTGGAAGGCGACAAGCATCGAAAGGCTCTCGCTTCCAGCTTCACGCGTTTACGCTCAACGGAGTAGAGAGGTACCCACTGTTCTTGAGCTCCTCCGGGCTTCTCTACTAACGGATATGACTACAAGCTGTCATTCCCTGTGGCAGTCACTCTCAATCCCTCAAATAAGGCCGAAATCAGGTCTCTTGCAAGTGACGTCCAGACTGCTCTGCAGCTGGACAAGAGGGCTGGCAGTGCGGCGGACGTGGAGCTACGCGTCGGAAGCCACCCGTGAGTGTTTTTGTCTACGAGTGTAACTCGTTACGCAAGAGCTGCACAGAGACGCCGCGTACAATGTCGTGCTAGAAAATGCAGCCGAACATCCTATTGTCGAAGGGAGGGAGCTGCGATTTGGAGGGTCTACCGAACAGCTGGCAGATACATTGAGCAAGCTCATCGCGCCATACGCATCGTATTCTGCATCGCAAACGCAGCGAGTGATGAAGTACTCCCCCCGGTACCGCCTTGCATTCACTTTGCTCAACGAGGAGGCGACAAGCGGGAGTGCAGCATTGGCCTGGGATGTTCAGGATGCTATCCAAAGTGCGGCAGCCGCTGTCCCTTGTCCCTCCGAATCCCCGAAGCTAACCGTGTCCCTTCATCTTCACGATATGTTAGCCCATGTTGGTCCGCTGCTTAAAAAGCTATCGGACTTACATAACTTCACCATCGAAAGTCAAGTGCAATATCATGCTCCCCTCGCTTTTCAGCCTCGACCCCTTCAACATGAGGGCCAAGACGTACATGGTCTAACACAGGAAGACCTGACTGTATTCGTTAACTCTGCTGAGTGGACACTATGTATGTATCAACTGGCTGGATATATGTGCCCAGAATACGAAAGCTCACCCTCATCGTCTCAGCATCAAGTGTATCTAGCGACCCTGTCATACACTTTGTGCTGTTCGTACCTTCCACTAAGAACAGCCCTTTGCACATCCTCGACCAGCAAGGTGTGTATATGCGCTTCTTCGTGCCCACATACCGGCTCAAACCCACCTGCAGGCTCCGTACACCCTTCGAACGCATTCCTCCTCCCCCAGTGGGGCGGCATCGTCCTGCTAAACCCGCCGAAGGAGGCCTCCCCGATTGCTCGCCTCACTCCGGCCGACCTTCGCCCCATTTTTGCCACCTTTGCATACCAGCTTCTGACGCTTCTGGGAGTGCCTGGCCTTCCCCTACACGTCCGCACCGCCCAACGCGAACCGTTCACAGACTGGGAGCTTGACGCGTTGCTACGTCAGCGTGCATTCGAGAATGTGCAGGGTAGCGCCGACACGCTCGAAGCGATTGTGCGGCTCGTCGACCAGATTGAAAACATGCCTGTCGGTCAGGACGTCGTCGGCGATGTGCAGGACGCGCTCGATGCGCTCAACGAGGTCCGTCGTCAACCCCTGTTCAGTTACTCGTGTTGCTCAAATCAGGATATATCTGGCAGGCGCATGACTCGTCGCGCGCATCATCGCCCGTAGCGACCTTGAAGCACTCTGCACGCGCGTTGACCTTAGCGTCGCGTGCGTTTTTCAACCCTGGTATGCTCGCGCTGCTCTACTTCCCCGCGGAGCACACGTACGCGGTCTACGCCCCGCTATTCGCTTCAGTCTCTGCGCCACTCCTTGGAGCCGTCATACGAGAGCTCATGGCGTGGAAGAAGGCGCGGAAGGAGGCCAAGGAGGCCGAGTTGAAGGAGGCGAGAGGGGGTCGTGTGCAGGGGGCGAAAGTTGAGTGATTGACGACGATCTTTGTAGGACTAATTTATTTCTTGGACATAAGTGTATGCAGCTCGGTGTGCCTGTGGGATCATGCATTGAGTGAATAGCCTCGCGCTCTCCTAGACAATGTCCGGTCCATACTTATCAGCAATCCTCAGTGCGTTTTCAAACCACGTCGTAGGCTCCTGCGAAGATATACGCACCTTCCAGAATTTTGTACACCATTATGCGACAACATCTGGCCTGAAGCCGCCGTATTCAGTAGAACTTCAGTGCAGAGGCTGTATTGCACACGGACTTCATAGCTGTGACACACATGGGGGCACACAAGGAACGTTCAGCACTCAGCTCGGATCACTAGGCCCCAAGCAAGTAAGTACATGTATGTGACCGCTCGTCGATGCGTACGCACTTGCACACGCGACTTTCGTTGTGCGCCCTCCGCAGCGCGCCGTACGAAGCTATGTACAGCGGATGACATAACATTCGGCGTTGCGCTATAAAGCATATATGTGGAGCAGCATATGGCAGCAAAACAACTTGTGACTCGATATCGTACAATACAACTGCTGCCGCGAGTCAAAACTTCTGTCCATACCGTTACCGCGCCTCTCAATCGCGGGACTCGCAAAGCGGCTGACAGAGCCATTCCTGCACGGTCCTAACACCCACATCGTCCAAAGCGGGCTTCTCCAATGCCCCGCAGGCTTCCATATGAGCCACCTGTGCACACGACACCGAGCTCGCAGCCGCGTCCTTCATCGGCGTGGGCTTCAGCTGGTCCAGCGCGTCCTCCACGAGAGTCTTCACCTCTAGTGCGCTTCCGAATGCGAGTGACCAGCCCGCGCCTGCGTGCCCGTAACAGTGCACGATGCGGCTGTATCCCGTCCCGTCGGATGCGGGGGGACGAAGCTCGCGCTCGACGCGCACATCGCCGATACGTGCGGGACGCAGGCCCTGTGCGAGCGGGTACGCGGGGTCGCGGTGGTCCGTGTCGAGATCGGGCAGAAAGTCCCTTGCATCGCTTGCCATCTTCTTGACGTTCTCGTGGTCCTCGCCGATGCGGTCTGTCTCGTCCGGCTCGGAGAAGCCGCCGACGTACAGGATGTTCTCGTTGCGCGGGACGATGAAGATGAAGCTGAGAGGCTGCGTCAGCGATAGTGACTAAGGAGAGAACGGGAATCGACGTACTCAGACTTTACGTGCCCGTTGGCGGTCGCGCTCACGACAAGTGCCTTTTTGATCTTCTCGAATTTCTGGCCGTCGTTGAGGAGGCGCAAGACGGCCCCGCGGAGCGGATACACCTTGTCGTCGTTCGCGAGAGCGAAGGAGCCCAGACCGGAGGCATTCACGATGGCATCGGCGTCGTGCTTCAAGAGCAACGCCTGTTCTTGCGGGAGCAGGTCCCCAGCGAGGTACTCGTAGACGAACTCCGCACCCTTGTCCTCGACGAGCTTCGTGATGCGCGAAAGGGCCTTGTCTGTGTCGATGAGCGGCGAGAGCACCTCATACGCATCGACCCAGGTGTCCTTGTCCAGGCCGAACTCATGCACCGCGCTCGTGTCATGGCGGAAGCCGGCGACGCCGCTGCGCTCCAGCTCACGCATCTTGCGCAGTTGGTCCGGGTCGTTCTTGATGCTCTCCTTGAAGAAGAAGACCGTCTCGCGCATCTGAACGCTGAACTGCTCGCGCAAAACGGGGTTCGCGGCCATGTGCTTGTAGACGTGGTAGGAGATCATGGCCCAACGCTTTGAGCTCTCTAGGGCCGTCGCGTCCGAGGTGTGGCCGCACACTGCAGGAGGATACTCCCATCTGGCGGTCAAGTCAGAATGATTGTGCAATTTTTCAGATGGTGAAAGACTGCTTACAAGGCACCTGCAATTTGGGACGTAAGGCGTAGACCGTCACGAGAGGCGAACTGCTCGGATAGTACAGTGACCCGGAAGCCGCTATCGAGCAGCGTCCAAGCAGTGCACAACCCGACGATGCCTCCGCCGATAATTAGAACGCGGCGGGCATCAGTACCCGGAGTGGCGAGGGGCCTACGGTCGAAACTGATGTGAAGCGGCGACGTGTCGGGAAACACTGGTAGTAGCATGGATTAGTGAGACCGGACGGGGCCCATGTGCAGAATTCGACGTACTTGTTGCGAGTAGTGCAGCCTGGTGTGAAGTGCGGAAGCTGGTTAAGGAGCAGGAACAGGAGGAGGGATGCAAGGCAGGTTGTTGGGAATGCGTCCAGCCCGAGCGGTTCGTACTTTATACTTCATTCTTCTGTGCCGCTGAGGGGGCCTCCCCTCCCCCTTGAGTGGGACACGACGCATGCACTACCTAGCTAAGTGTCCTACCTTCCTAGCCTATGGACACAAGCACAAGGAGCAGGAATTCGTGGCACCAGCAGCGCACATGCGTCCTCCTAGTGGATATGAGGGGTCGCTTGGTGTATACCTCTCCTTACACGAACGAAGCTGTGGTTGAATCGAGGTAAAATCGAAGCGATTTCTGTGCAGGTGACAACCGCTTTCCGATATACAGTCGTACGCGTATCGAATGGGGACCGGCCTAAGATCTTAAGGAGGGTTGCCACCTGCTACAGCCGATGATCAAACGCGAATGAGGCATGACTGAACCCTTCCCCGGATTCCGAGCACATGTCCAACGAACCTTCGCTGGCCACTAGGGCAGTGGACATCGTAAACGTGTGCTCAGAACCCGAGCAAAAGGCTCTAGCAGTACTAGAGTCAAGTGGCATCTCACCCAATGATTTCCAGAGCCAGCCGTACCCATAAGGGAGAAGGTCGTCAAGCACATGGTATGCCTCTCAAAGTGCTTCGCTAGTTCTTTCACTGACGTGTTGAGTGAGTGAGTGAGTGAGTGAGTGAGTGAGTGAGGTGTATTTCGTCGTCAGCGCCTCTCGTACATCCTCCAAACAGCCGGTCTGAGTCGTTGTAACAGTTTCAAGGGCTCGTCTCCTGAGTGGAGGAAGACGATCGCACCAGCCAATCGAGCTATCACTTCGACTTTGCGATAGGAAAACAGGCTCCCTCGGCCTATAGTGAGTCACACTGTCTTCCCGCAGAACACGAGTGCTGGTTGACGAGCCTAAGTCCCCTTCACATGTCGTGAGGCCTCTGCTAAAAAAAAAGTAGTACCATTGATCAGTAAGCACGAGTGACCCGCTCTTAAGCGAGTAAGGACACACGAGTGGCCGACTCACCAATGAATGAAAGTACTTGGATGAGAGGGATGAATATTAATTGAAATGTATCACGACGTCCTTGAAACGTCGTTGGCAACCTGCTTTGATCAAGATTTGCCGGGGAGTCGAAAAAAGCGCATTGGCCGAGTTAGCAACTCCTGGTTTCGATCCAGGGACTTCAGGGTTATGAGCCCTGCACGCTTCCACTGCGTCAAGTTGCTGTATTGTCGTCAAGACATAAGGCACATATAATTGCATGTCAATTTCTGAACGAGCCCCACAGGATGTACCAGCTTGGTTTTATCGACCTTAGCTCGGGAGCTATACTATGCTCTGTTCACAGCACAGAGTAGGAATAAAGAGCCATATTGCGAGAGGTTGTGGTAAGAACCAATCCGGACGGAGGCATTGAGCACAGTCACGTGATCAGAAATTTCGCGGTGCCGATCGAGCAGCGGGAGGACACAGAACGGTTGCGCACTGCGCTCATCCTCTCCCTTACCCTCCATCCACCCCCTGCACTCTTGTCGACAATGGCCGACAAAATCACCCGTATAGCCATCGTAGACTCCAACCGCTGCAAGCCGAAACGATGTGCACAGGAGTGCAAGAAGGTAAGAACGCACATTCGCTTAATTCTGGTATCGAGCTGATCCATCTCATAGTCTTGTCCCGTTGTGAAAATGGGTACGATCTCTGCCGCCATGACTGCTCCGAGTCTGAGCGTACTCTCTAGGCAAGCTGTGTATCGAGGTCAAGCCGACCGACAAGATCGCATACATCTCGGAGTTCCTGTGTATAGGATGCGGTATTTGCGTGAAGAAGTACGTCTCCTCACCCTCACCTGGTTCTGTCTCATGGTACGACACACGAACAGATGCCCATTCGAAGCCATCGCCATCATCAACCTCCCCACCAACCTCGACTCCGAAGTAACACATCGTTACACCGCAAATGCCTTCAAGCTCCATCGCCTACCAACACCACGACCGGGTCAAGTGCTCGGTCTTGTCGGCACCAACGGTATCGGCAAGAGTACCGCCCTAAAAATTCTCGCGGGCAAGCTGAAACCCAATCTTGGCCGTTACGATGTATGTGGTACCTATTGCGCACCTCACGACCCTCACACCTACCTGGGCTTGCGCACAGGACCCTCCAGACTGGCAGGAGATCCTCAAATACTTCCGTGGCTCTGAGCTGCAAAATTACTTCACGAAGGTGCTCGAGGACAACCTGAAGGCGCTGATCAAGCCGCAATACGTCGACCACATCCCGCGCGCGATCAAGGGCGTCATGACCGTCTCGCAGATGCTCGACGGGAAGCTCGAGCGCGACAACAAGCAGAAGATGTGCGACGACCTCGAGCTGAACGAGGTGCTCACGCGCGAGGTGGGCCAACTCTCTGGTGGAGAACTCCAGCGGTTCGCGATCGCCATGTCGTGCATCCAGCATGCGGATGTGTACATGTTCGACGAGCCGTCCAGTTACCTCGACATCAAGCAGCGTCTGAAGGCGGCGGAGGTCATCCGAGAGCTGCTCACGTCGAACAACTACGTCATCGCGGTCGAGCACGACTTGTCCGTGCTGGACTATCTGTCGGACTTCGTCTGCTGTCTGTACGGCAAGCCGTCGATGTACGGTGTGGTGACGATGCCTTACTCCGTCCGTGAAGGTATGGCTGTTTCGGCTATGCCATGGGTTAGCCGGATGCTTATGCATTGCAGGTATCAACATCTTCCTCGACGGTTTCATCCCGACGGAGAACCTGCGGTTCCGTGAGGAGTCGCTCTCATTCAAGATGGTGGAGACGGCGGAAGAGCTCGTTATCGACAAGACACGGCACTACTCCTACCCCTCGATGACCAAGACGAACGGCGGCTTCAAGCTGACGGTCGAAAGCGGCTCGTTCACGGATTCGGAGATCATCGTCATGTTGGGCGAGAACGGAACGGGCAAGACGACGTTCGTCAAGCTGCTCGCGGGTGATACGCCCGATCAGGAGGCGGAGAAGCAGAACCTTGCGGTATCGCTCAAGCCGCAGACGATCTCGCCGAGCTTCCCGGGCACCGTTCGGATGCTGCTGATCAAGCGTATCAAGGCGGCGTTCATGCATCCGCAGTTCAATACCGATGTGATGAAGCCGATGAACCTTGAGCAAATTATGGACCAGGACGTGAAGACGCTTTCCGGAGGAGAGCTCCAGCGTGTAGCCATCGTGCTCGCGCTCGGAAAGCCGAACGTGTCGGTTTACCTCATCGATGAGCCCTCATCGTAAGTCGTCCAGCTGTCTGCACGGGTGACCGCATTTGACACGCGTAACAGGTTCTTGGACTCCGAGCAGCGTATCATCGCCAGCAAAGTCATCAAGCGGTAAGTGCTCTGTTCGATCATCTCCTGCGTGGCAGTCGTCTGACAGGCTTCCAGATTCATCCTCCATGCGAAGAAGACCGCCTTCGTAATCGAGCACGATTTCATCATGGCCACCTACCTCGCGGACCGCGTCATCGTCTTCCAGGGCCAGCCCGCCGTCTCCGCCACCGCCACCCCGTGCGTGCCCCGTGCTGTGTCCTTATTATGCAACCGCGGCTAATTATGTGTGTATGACAGCCCGCAATCGCTCTTGACGGGCATGAACAGGTTCCTCGCATCACTGGAGATTACGTTCCGTCGCGACCCGACGAACTACCGGCCGCGCGTGAACAAGAAGTACAGTGTCAAGGACCGCGAGCAGAAGGGTACGTCCCCTCTCTTTTGTACGGCCGCGTGCGGCGTGTGCTGACATTCGCGTAGCATCTGGCAACTACTTCTTCCTCGAGGACTGAGGGCCTCACGACATGTAGCGCCGCGCGGCGCGCCGGCCGTGCCCGCACGGTGACTGGCAGCTATAGCGAAGTACCTCAGGGTGTAGGATAGATGCTGTAGCCTACTAGGGTCCCGATGCCCGCCCTGCCTGAGGCCTTCGCGCGAGACGAGCGATCCGGCCCAGCCTGGGACTTGACTGTGTAGGAATGAACATACACACGTAGACAGGGAGCGAGGAATACATATCTGTTGTATCACCAGCAGTAATCCGTGTGTATAAGGTCGTCTATGGTTATCTATAGAGATCGTCATCTATTGTTATGTTTAAAGACGTCTCGGCCCGGAACCTTCATGGAACCTCGAGGACAAGGGGCGGCGAGGCCGAGACGATTGCAAGACACAAGTAGCCGGAGGCCTGCCATAACGGGCACCGGCCGGCAGGCGCCGGCCGTAGTAATCAGGCCAAACAGGGTGACAAAGGGCAAAGAGCGGTAGGCTATCCGCCAGGCGCTTTCCAATCCTTGTCTTCATCCACCATCTCCTCCTCCATCGTCTCTTCTCTCGCTCACCGTAAGTGTCTCGCTGTCCATTTCCGCAGTGTGCACTCGCTCACTTTCTCCTCGACGCTGCCCTCTCGCCTCTCGCGGTTGCTCTGCATCTGCTCATCGATACGACTCCCACGGCCATCGTGTTCCATCTGCCCTGCGATCCTGCTCGATCGTGTGCACAACGACTTCCTGAGTGCAGTCTCGACTTCCTTGCAGTCCTCTAGACTCTCGCAATGGCCCTCAAGCGCATTAACAAGGTGCGTTTGCATTTCACGCCACTAGCCAACCCCCATCTAGCTGCGGCGCCTGCTCGGCCGGATGTGGTGGTTTGGCTGTGCGGCGCTCTGCGGCCGTCTTCACGGGGCGATGTATGCTGACGGCTGCTCTTCCCTGCGTCGCGTGCGGCCGTTCTGCGCGTTGCGATGTGCAGGAGTTGATCGATCTCGGCCGGGACCCGCCCTCCTCCTGCAGCGCAGGCCCGACGGGCGATAACATGTTCCAGTGGCAGGCGACGATCATGGGGCCGGTACGTCAAGCTCGTCCCTGTTCCTATTGCGTGTGAAGCTCGGCGTTACTGACGTGCGCTCGTGTGATCGCTCGCCCTCCTCCCAATTGCATGCTCCCCGTGTATGTGTGTGTGCGGTCGACAGGGCGACTCACCGTATGCGGGCGGCGTGTTCTTCCTCTCGATCACGTTCCCGACGGACTACCCCTTCAAGCCTCCCAAGGTCAGCTTCACGACGAAGATTTACCACCCGAACATCAACGCGAACGGCTCGATCTGCCTCGATATCTTGAGGGACCAGTGGAGTCCAGCATTGACGATCTCGAAAGGTGCGTCACAGCTCCTCTTCTGTACCTTGCTTTCTCCGCCTGCGTGTGCCTGCACGGTTTCCGATGCGATCTGATTGCGAAGCGGTTGCCGTGCTGTGCGATGCGGCGCGTTCTATCATCACCTCCTATTCACTGTTGAATGGAGACTGACATTCTCGGCTGAAAAACAGTGCTCCTTTCGATCTGCTCAATGCTGACGGACCCGAACCCTGACGACCCCCTCGTCCCCGACATCGCGCACTTGTACAAGACCGATCGGGCTCGGTACGAGGCAACGGCTCGGGAGTGGACAAGGAAGTGCGTATTCTTCCTCTTCATCATGTTTTCAGCATGTACTAATGTAGTGATGTGCTGCAGGTATGCCATGTAACGTGTGTTCAGGCTACGATGCATGACGAACGAACGTGCGGTGTACGATGTGTTTTGCCTGTCCTGAGAGCGGTCTTTTCGATGATGTCTTCTTCCCTCAATCGCATGTGTGTGTATTCCAATCATCATCAATGACGACAATCCTTCTGGTGGCGTACATGACGCTTTCCGGCGAATCTACGTATGTGTGAGCCACGCAGCGTTGACCTTGGCAGTGTATTGGAATGCTTGCGGGGTGCTGCGGGATTATCTCATGGCGAAAATAGGAGAGTTCGAGAGCCGGGGGATCGGTGAAGGCGATGAGCTCACGATGAGCTGCTCGTCGCTGTATACCGCTGATTATGACGTACAGGTTCGAGTGAATACACGAAGCCACCGTGAACAGAATGAATGGACTACAATTTCTCATGCACGCGTCGTGCCTTCTCGATGGTGTCGCCATCCTCGCTGCAATTGACAGCATGTAATATACATCAGCCATCCATCCATTCCAGATAATCCAGAGGTGTTATACAGTTCTGTGTCTCGCATGCCTGCCACCAGCCGCCCTTGCTTTACGCTGTATTACCTTGCAGCGTCTGGAAGAAACCTGGATCAGACATGGTGCGAATCACCGCGTCCGGGGTGCCCTTCAAGAACTCCGCCAAGTAGCGCACGAACTCCTCCGGCCGCTCCTGCTGCACCCAGTGGCCCGCGCCCGGGACGAGGATGATCTCGTCCTCGCCCATGTCCGTGCACACCTCGCCCTGCATCTTCTCGATCCCGCCCGGGTTCTGGTACGCCCCCCAGTCCTTCAGCCCAGCCACGTACATCGCCGGCACGTCGATCGTCTGCCCCGCGAACGCCACCAGCTCCTCCGCCAGCCCCGCGTCCGTCACGGCCCGGTACCGGTTCAGGCCGCCCTGGAAGCCCGTGCGCCCGTACTCGCGCGCGTACACCGCGAGCTCCTCGTCCGACAGCCACGCGCACCGCTGCGCCTCCTCTGCAGACGGCGCAACCGCCTGCGCGACCTCCGCCATCGTCGCCCCGCGCGGCATCACGTAGTAGTGCGGCAGCGTCCCCAGCCCCGCCGCGCTCGGCTCGATCGGGCGCGGGTCGTTCTGCGCCCAGTCCGCGCTCTTGACGTGCAGGTACGCGCGGAGGAACGCGCTCAGGCCCTGTGGGGCGCGCCACATGTCTGCATTCGCACCTGGGGTGGAGAAGTAGAGCATGTAGTGCTGGCGCGGGGGGTCGAGCGCGGCGAGCGCGCCCTCGACGAGCGTCGCGGGGAAGAGCGCGCCGGGCTGCGCGGGCGCCCCCGTGAAGGGCGTGCTCGCGAAGACAATGGACTTGACGAGCTCGGGGTGGGCGAGCGCGGCGAACCCGGTGATAGTCGATCCGGCGTCGTGGCCGATGAGGCAGGCGATGGAGTCGTGTCCGAGCGCGGAGACGAGCGCGACGACATCTTCGACGAGGTTGAGCGCCTTGTAGGGGGTTACGTCGTCCTCGAAGGTGAGCGGGTGCGTGGCGCCTGGGGCGGTGGGGTCGTGCGGCTTCGTGCGCCCGAATCCGCGGAGGTCGGGGGCGACGACGTGGTAGCCGAGGCCGGCGCGGGAGAGGGGGAGGATCACCTTGCGCCAGGAGTACGCGATCTCGGGGAAGCCGTGCAGGAGGAGGATGAGGGGATCGGTGGGCTTGCCAGCCTCGAAGAAGTGCACGTCTAGGTCGCGGACGGGTAGCGTGCGCGAGCCGACATCTTCAGGTATTCCTGGCCACTCCGAATTTTCAGCTCCTGCCATGGTGGTCGCTCGTTCGAAAGAGGTGGAGATGCGGCGATAAGAATAGGAAGCTTAAAAGCTCGTGAGCAGCTGCGTTTTATCCACGAGCATCATACCGCAGACGGCGCACCTTCCTTGTGGGTAACTGATGCATCTTTGAACATGAGACGTGCGAACGATCTGGTGGAAATGCAAACAATAGCATGGGTTAGGCTGGAGTGTTCCGAACCCGCGAGATAGGTAGCCGGAGCCGGACTTATCCTTTCCTGCGCAGTGGGCCACATGGAAAACGATGCTTGGACGAACCGGCATGTGCTTGAGAGTCTCAGGCGTCTTGTAACGTCCGTTGAACACACAGATGAGCGAAGTCCGGGGGCGCCAAGTCTGCATTCAGAGAAAGGCGTCCGCAGCAACGTACGTACTCATACACAATCGCAGTCTGGTTGACGTGCAGGCAAGTCCCACTCAAGTCGATACCGTGTGTCCCAAGCACCCAGTCATGACGCCTCGTCTAAGCCTCGACGTCGACTTCCTCCTCATCTTCCACATCCTCAGCCTCATCGGCCTGCTCAACAATGCGGACATGGCGAGCCGCGCGGGTGCCCTACACATTGTTAAGCATGATCAGTCGCCGTCTTTCCCACGTATCTGGGGGAATACGCACCACAGCGTTAACATCGCGAGCCGCCGCCTTGGCCTTCTTGCCCGTGGTCGCGGCGGCGGTGGCAGCCTTGGCGCCAGTGGCGGCGGTCTGGACGACCGCACAGTTGCCGAAGCCGCCGGCGGTCGTGAACGAGACGAGGCACTTGTTCTTCGTCGCTCCGCCCGTGCACGTCATGCCCTTGGGGAGCGCGACGGTGAGCTGCTGCGAGCCGACGTTGGTGGGCGACTGCGAAGCAGAAGAGGTCAGTACGACGAGCAGGACTACAGCGGCGTGTCCATGACACTGACCTTGTCGCCATTCTTGGTGACAGTCGCGGCCGTGAACGTCTTCCCGACGCCCGTGCCGTCGACCTTCGCGGTCACCTGGCGAGAGCCGTCGGTGCCCCTGTACGACAGAAAAGAGTGTCAACTTCGAGATAATCCCAGGGGGTACGACTGTGTGCGTACGCGTTAAAGTTCGTGATCGTGGCGACGAAGGTGCCGTCCGCCTTTGCGACGATGGGGGTCGACGCGTCGAGGTTCTGCGCAACGTTGATGCTGCCGCAGGGCTTGGCGGTCGAGGGGCGCTGCACGTTGGCCCGGGCGAAGTTGGCCTTCACGCCGAGCGCGGGGGTGACACCGGCGTGCGCGTGCGCCTGGAGGGTCAGCCCGAGGAGGACCGTGGCGGCGGCGATGAAGCTCTTGGAGAAGAACATGACGATGAATGTGAGCTGGAAGAAGTGAACGTGGGCGAGTCGGTGAAGTGAGAAGCACTAAGAACGAGAGCGAAGGGGTCGAGAAAGAACGGTGGGTAAGGACGAGTAGAAAAATGCGAGCAGACTGCGAGAGGTGAGGATCCGGCCTCGGTACGTTGAAACTGGAAGTGCAGAATGGGGGGCGGGGTGGTGTGGGGACGGGGCTATTTAACGACCCCGAGGTCACGAAGCATGCCCAAACATGGCTCGGGCTCGGATCGTTAATCACTCGGTGTAACGTAGCCGGATAAATGGTGGATCAGACTGGCCCTGAGGCTTTTCTGCGCGCCCGGCGCGAGCCCGCGAGGAGCACAATCAGGCGGGAGGCACCAGGACGGGCTGGTGGCCAATCGTTGCCAAGCATCCTTGCGATGCACCATTCACTCACCAGGCGGGAGCTCACCCGAGCGAATCACACCGCAACACACCGCAAACGCGATGTGCAAACGATCGGGCTGGGGGCGGCGTCGTGCAAGCTTGGCAACTCCGCCAGCCAATCGCGATGACCGGGTAGGCGTCCTGGCCAATGAGCATCCCGCGACGACCGCAAAACGAGCAAGTCGCCATGGCGGCGGTGTGCACTTGTACTGTAGCCGCGTCAGATACGCTTCGGAGGAGTATCAGCTGAGAACCGGGTGCAAACATGGGATAGACGGGGACAAACTTCGTCTTCCATCCACCGTCGGGCGTCGGGCGAGGCGCGTTGAGCTGCGCGGTGCAATGCCAGCCACAGAGTTGGGCCGAGCACGGCTATTTGTGCGGACTGTATCATCAAGATATCCGGGGATGGCCAATACAAGGCAGTACGTCCTCGATGAAGCGGGGTATGCTATACAGATCGGCGGGGAAAGAGTGGCAGGGAAGCGGGGCGTCGTTGCGTGATGGCGGCGCCGTTGTCACTACCGCCCGAGATCGGCTTTGGAAGCGGCATGCAAGAAGACTCGTCGTGCAGCTCGGGGAGACAAGACGTGTATGTTTCCAAGTATGGACGACGTCGAATGGCGCCATGCATGGTGGTCGGGAGCAGGAGCATGGGCAGATGTGGGCCGACGATGAGCGCGCATGTCCTAGTCATCCTTCACGCGGTCATGTACGTCCTCGACGCTTGCGCTGCTCTCCTCTTGCACACACCTACGCTCGTCGACACCTACAACGAACCACGTACCACATTCTCGGGACTCTGACAGAAACGCCCAATACCAGCGCATTGGAACCGTCCCTAGATCCGCCATGGCAACATCCTCGCAAACAGAGGAGCACACCTTCTCTGCCGAGCGGTACTTCGCAACACAACCGCCCCCTACTACGCTGGAGAGCGACGTCGCGCGGGTCAGTGAGTTCATCCAGAGGCAGCAGCGGGAGGGACGCAAGGTGGTACTAGTAACGGTGCGTGCATTCCGCCTACGCGATCTGGGGATCGACGCTGATCCGCGCCTTCCTAATCCTGCAGAGCGGCGGGACCACCGTGCCCCTCGAGCTCAATGTGTGAGCACCATCCCCAAAACCCAGTTTCACGAAGAAGGGAGCTGACGAGTCGGTTCGCCATCGCAGCGTGCGGTTCTTGGACAACTTCAGTGCCGGTACGCCGTGTCTACACCGCGCCCGGCGGGGTGCTCCGGTATACGAGACTTACGTTCGGGACAAGGCACGCGAGGAGCAACCTCCGCGGAGTACTTCCTGAAGGCGGGCTATGCGGTGATCTTTATGCACCGGCAGTTCAGCCTGCAGCCCTTCAGCCGACACTACTCGCATTCCACGCACCCTTTTCTCGACTTCCTCGATTTCGGCAGCTCTGAGCCAACATCCACCGGCGACTCCTCCGCAGCGGCTCACATTGTCGTACGCCCGGCAGAACGGGCGCAGCTCCTTGATGTTCTTGCCGCATACAAGGACGCGCAGAACGCGGGGACGCTCCTTACGCTCACGTTCGTGACCGTGAACGATTACCTCTGGTTGCTTCGCGCGGTCAGCCAGGAGCTGTCGCAGCTTGGTCGCAGCTGTCTGTACTACCTGGCTGCGGCCGTGAGCGACTTCTTCCTGCCCAGGCAGAGAATGGTGCGGATCTTGTCCTTGAAAGCACTACGCGGTGCTGCTTTCTCACATGCATTATGGCAGTCGGAGCACAAGATCCAGTCCGGAAAGGGCAGTCTGCACATCGAAATGGACCAGGTTCCCAAGATTCTCAAGCCACTCGTCGCTGAGTGGACACGGGAGGGTTATATCGTCTCTTTCAAAGTGGGTCGTGTTTGACTCTGTTCAGACGGTCGATTGCTCACGTTTCGGATTCAAAGCTCGAGACCGACGAGGCGTTGCTGGTTCCGAAGGCCCGGCAGGCCCTCGCGAGGTACGGACATCAGGTCGTGATCGGAAACGACCTCCACCGGCGCAAATTCGAGGTCGTCTTCGTCTCGCCTCGTGCCTCCGCCACACGCCCGGAAGAGGGCGAAGGTGCGCCTGATGAACGGTATGAAGAGTCGTGGCTGCGCATCGATCTCGAACAACATCCGCAGAAGGAGATCGAGGAGGACATCGTCTCCGAGCTAGTGAAGCGGCACCAAGCGTGGATAGCAGCCGCGACATCGGCATAGGCGTAAGGATGCGTCGCGGTAACGTAGATATTTCTTTCAGATGCTGGCAGAAGGAGTACGATAAAGGTGAGCCTATTGCGTCACAAGCCATTCGTGTATAATCCTAGACCCCAGAAGCAAGCACAATGTAGATCTTATGACTAGTCCAGCCTGGTCGCTCGATGCAGGTGTACGACTGTTTTGCAATCGCACGCAAGTCGATATCCGAATCACTGCGTGGGGCGTACGGCGAACACCCGGCGATGCGCTATGTCGCCACCGCATCATCAAAATCGCTAGAACTGTCACGACGGAGCGAAGTTCGATATGCAGGCCCACAGTCGCCTGTCTCTCCCCGTCAGCAAGGCGTGCACGACCTGCTTTTGGGAAGATAGGGCCTTGCTGAATTGCGCACTAACCACTCATCCGAACGCGTATGGATGGCTGAGTCGCCACCGATTATTGCTCACATTCGGTATTGTGAAAGCTATCACTGACTCAGCGCCACAGTTACACAGCGATAGGCAGGTACCCTTTCCGTCCAGCCTGTGTCAGGCAGGAGGGACGCGGGATGGTACCTGAGTCAGCCGTATCAGACCTGGCGTCTTTGTACTGACCGGCGCTTGATTGCTTGAGCGGCTTTGTCAGGTTTTACTCCGAGTGGCCCAGCAAGTACGGTCGCAGATCCAGCACGCAGAGTAGACCGTGCACGCAATGCGTTGGGCCAAGGATGAGATACTCATCAGCCGTTCACGCTGCGGGCCGCGCTGGAAGGTATAAAGAGAGCGGCGTTGAAGCTGGGTAGAGCATCTCACCCAACCACCACAACTCCCTCTAAATCAACAACCGCAACAAATACAACAATGTCTACCCCCCGTGTTTGGCTCAGTGAGTACACATGTACTCCTCCGCGTCTAGCTTATACTAACCATTCACTTCACAGTCACCGGCTCCTCAACCGGCTTCGGCCGCGAGACCGTCATCCAAGCGCTCGAGAGCGGCGACAAGGTCGTCGCGACGCTCCGGAAGCCCGCCGCGCTCGAAGACCTCGCAAAGAAGTACAGCGCGGACCGCCTCCTCATCGTGAAGCTTGACGTCACGAAGCCGGAGGACATCGACGCCGCGTTCGTGCAGGCCAAGGCCGCGTTCGGGCGCGTCGACATCGTGTTCAACAACGCGGGAACGTCGCAGTTGGGGAGAACGAGGCTGTGCCGGACGACGTCTCCCGCCCGCTCTTCGAGGTCAACTTCTGGGGCGCGGTGCACGTCTCGCAGCGCGCGGTCACGTTCTTCCGTGAGGAGAACAAGCCGCAGGGTGGGAAGCATGGTAAGTAATTTTTCAAGTTATCTTTCCTCGACCGTGTTGCTAACCTCGTTTCTACGACAGCTCTCGAGGGCTTCAGCGAGTCTCTTGCGAAGGAGGTTGACCCAGCCTGGAACATCAAGGTGTGCAGTCTAGCGTGGACTTCACAGGAAACAGCTTAGCTAACATATTTGCTTGCAGGTTGCCATCTTGGAGCCCGGCGCGTTCAAGACCTCCGTTTTCAACCTCGACACCAGCATGGTGATGGTCCCCCCACACCCAGCATATGCCAATCCCGCGCTGCCCGTATACAACTTCCGCGGCGCGTTCCTCAAGGGCGCTGGCAAGGAGGCCGACACCCCCGCGGACCTCGCTCCCGCCGACGTGTCGCTTGCGGTCGCCAAGGTCATCGAGTTCTCCAAGCTGTCGAGCCCGCCATTGCACTTCCCGCTCGGAAAGGACTCGATCGGGCTCATCCGCGAGAAGATCAAGACGTTGACGGAGGAGATCGACAAGTACGAGTCCTGGTCTGATAACCTGGGCAAGTAGATTTGAATATCGAGCTAGTCGTTAATGGAAACCTGTATTTGAATGTCCGCGGTACGGAAGGAAGATGTCTTTGGCTGTATATTGAACGAAGGTACGTCGCCTCAACGGCAAAGCTTGCCTTTCGTAGCTGTGTATATAAAGGTGTGTTCCTCACATTTGTATGCTCGTACAGCATATTGACAAATCTCAACGTATGCACAGGCATCAAACCAGTCTGAAATTGTGCATGAGCACGTATGTGGCGGTGGTCGCCTCCCACGGAATGCACATTTGCGTTGTGAATCGGCAGATGTTGGCTCGTGCTCACCCTCTGCGGAGTCGAAGCATCATTATGCATGTGACTTGTTTGTCTACCCACCGTTCAGTGCCGGGACCGGCCTCTTGTGGGGACGGAACGTTCGAGCCTAACCTACGCTATTGTTAACCAGCTGGTGCATCTCGTAGCTATAAGTATGCACCAATCACTCACCGGAAGGTGCGTCCGCCGTTTTATGAAATCCGTGGACAAAACTCAACTGCTCATGAGCTCTTAAGCTTCCAGCTCTTATCGCCCCCATCTTCATCCCCCTCAAACGTATGGCAGGGACAGTCGAAATTTCGGACTGGCCAGGTATCCCTGAAGGCGTCAGCTCGCGCACGCTGCCCGTCCGCGACCTGGATGTGCACCTCTTCGAGGCCGGCAAGCCCACGGATCCCCTCATCCTCCTCCTGCACGGCTTCCCCGAGATCGCGTACTCCTGGCGCAAGGTGATCCTCCCCTTCTCTCGCGCTGGCCTCGGCTACCATGTCGTCGCCCCCGACATGCGCGGATTTGGGCGCACGAAGCCACAGGACCCTTCTGCGCCCGGTGCAACTCGCCCCATCGCATTCGAGGACGACCTGACTTCGTTCAAAGTACTCAACCTCGCAGAAGACACAGCCGCACTCGTCTCTGCTCTGGGACACGAGTCCGTCTCGTGCCTCGTCGGTCACGACGCTGGCGCGACCATTGCGGGATTCAGCGTGCTTGCCCACCCCGAGCTCTACAAGTCCGTCGTCTTCGTGAGCACGCCCTTCCCCGGCGCCCCGGCGCCTGGCGGTGCTCTCTATCCCGCGACGGTCCTCGCGAGCGGCCTCGGCGCGCTTGACCCCCCGCGCAAGCACTACATGCTCAACAACTCGACCGCACGCGCGAACGACGATATGTGGCACGCGCCGCAGGGCCTGCACGCGTTCTTCCGCGGGTACTTCCACATCAAGAGCGCGGACTGGGCGCCGAACGACCCACACCCACTCGAGAAAAGCGCAGCGGGACTCGGCGAGCTGCCGCACTACTACGTGATGCCCCGCGACGCGACGATGGCGGACGTCGCGCAGGCGGGGGCGCCGTCAGTGGAGGAGGCGCAGCGGTGCGCCTGGCTACCCGACGAAGAGGTCGCGGTGTACGCGCGCGAGTATGAGCGCACGGGCTTCCAGGGTGGCCTCAACCGGTACCGGGTCACGGTAGACTCCGGGCTGGCGGAAGAGCTTACGCAGCTCGCGGGGAAGACGATCGACGTGCCGGCGATGTACGTGTGCGGGAAAAAAGACTGGGGCTTGTACCAAAACCCGGGCGCGATCGATAGGATGCAGGAGGAGGCGTGTACGGACATGGAGGAGGACGAGATGATCATGGTGCCGGGGGCGGGCCACTGGGTGCAGCAGGAGCAGCCGGAGGCGTTCATCGGGCGAGTGTCGGATTTTTTGAAGGGTACCCCGGATGCGGTGGGTCGCCTCATGAGCAGACCGGGTTTCTTCGAGAAAACTGAAGGTAAGTAAGGCCGTGCGAAGGAGCAGCAATTGGCCACGGTTAGACTGATTATGTTTCCAGGTTTGGATTTTTCAAACTTTTTTGCCTCCATGTCTTCGGTGAGATCTTAAAGACGTGGCACTGGTCGTACCACTGGAAACGTGCGTAAGTTAGCCACTTGCACGAGTCAGTATACGCGTGTATGCTCATAAGTATTGAAATTCAGATCTCGTAGCCAGGCCCTAAACAAATGGTCGAGCATTGTATATACTGTTCGCTGGTTTCAAGGTTCAAATGATACAACTGGGTACTTTGACTTCACCATGATGCATTGATGGCTCAAGGCGCGCTTCACCCCGCACAAGGACCAGGTTCAGGGCATGTGCCTATGTGCAATTAATGCCCGCAACATCAGCGTAAGCGGCCGGCGTACATGCACCGAGAACACTCGCCCAGAAGATGCATCATGTGCCATCCTTCCTCCATTATGGTTTGGATCAGGAGCATATTGCGATACCAATCCGCACCGGTCTGTGACGGCTTGTGGCCTGCCGAAATAAGGTGTTGACGGTTCACTCGCGATTCTCAAGCTTCCGACCAATAAACCAAAGTCCGGCAATGTACGTGCAAGCGCGCTCATCCTTGTCCGCCTTTCATATCGGACCGTCCAGACATGTTTGTCGCGGGTAAAAACATGCGGCCTGGAGAGCTGGAATGTAGCAGCACAAGCAGAAAGACCAGGTAAATTGTTACACGATGTAAAAGTACAGCTACTACAGCGAATCCTTGCTCCTTATGTCCACGTCGTTCCCCAGCCCTTCAGTCGTGGAACTCGATCGGCTCCGCGAGCCATTTCTGGACCGCCTCGGCACGCACGGCATCCATGGTCGGCTTCTTCAACGCACCGTGGTTCTCCAGGTGGCTCACTGTCGCGTGCGACACCGCGCTCGACGCCGCGTGGTGCATCGCGTCCGGCGGCAGCTGCTCCAGCGCGTCCTCGACGAGCGTCTTCACCTCGAGCGCGCTCCCGAAGGCAAGCGACCAGCCCGCGCCCGCGTGCCCGTAGCAGTGTACGATGCGGCTGTGGAGCGGGCCCGCCCCGCCCACGGGCGGGCGCAGCTCGCGTTCGACGCGCAAGTCGCCGATGCGTGCGGGGCGGAGGCCTTGCGCGAGCGGGTACGCGGGGTCGCGGTGGGACAGGTCGAGGTCGGGGAGGAACTCCTGCGCGTCACGTATCACCTTCTGCACGTTCTCGTGGTCCTCGTCGATGCGGTCGACCTGGTCCGGCTCGGAAAAGCCGCCGACGTAGAGGATGTTCTCGTTGCGCGGGACGATGAAGATGAAGCTGAGGGGCAGCGTCAGCGATGGTATCACAGGGGAGAACGAGATTGGTCGTACTCAGACTTCACGTGCCCGTTGGCCGTCGCGCTCACGACAAGCGCCTTCTTGATTTTCTCGAACTTCTCACCATCGTTGAGTAGGCGGAGGACGGCTCCGCGGAGGGGGTACACCTGGTCGTCGTTCGCGAGCGTGTACGCACCCAGGCCGGAGGCGTTCACGATCGCGTCGGCCCGGTGCTCCATCAGCAACGCTTGCTCCTGCGCGAGCAAGTCCCCAGTGATAGACCCGACGACAAGCTTCGCGCCTTTGTACTCAACGAGCTTCGTGATGCGCCAGAGCGCCAGGTCCGTGTCGATGAGCGGCGAGAGCACCTCGTACGCGTCGACCCACCGCGTCTCGTCCAAGCCGAGCTCGTGCATCACGCTGATGTCGTGGCGGAAGCCGGCGATGCCGCTGCGCTCCATCTCGCGCATCTTGTGCAGCTGGGCCGGGTCCTCCTGGACGCGCTTGTCGAAGAAGAACACCGTCTCGCGCATTTGGACACTGTACCGCTCGCGGAGCACGGGGTTGGCGGCCATGTACTTGTAGACGTGGTAGGAAATCATGGCCCAGCGCTTCGAGCTCTCTAGAGCCGTCGCGTCCGAGGTGTGACCGCACACCGCGGGCGGATACTCCCACCTGGAAATCGATTCGGAGTCAGCAAGTCGGCGCGAGCACTGAGTCTAAGAAAGACGGCTTACAATGCGCCTGCAATCTGGGACGTTAGGCGCACGCCGTCGCGCGAGGCGAATTGCTGAGCGAGCACGGTGACCTTGAAGCCGCTGTCGAGCAGCGTCCAGGCAGTAGACATTCCGATGATACCACCACCGATGATGAGAATGTGAGGAGCATCGATCGCTGGGGCGAGGAGGGGCTTGCGTTCGAAATTGATGTGAAGCAGCGGGGTGTCGGAGAACACTAGGGGGGATCAGTAAACTCGTACTATGTTAGCTTGGGAATGGAACTCGACATACTTGTTGCGCGTGTTATGAGTGTTCGAGGTGTGGATGCTGGATGGGGAAAGACGCAGGGCGTGTTGAATAAATGCGCTTGGTTGACCGTACTTTATACTTAGCAACACTGCCGGGGCTACGCAACCCCGAGCTCACGAGGTCAGCGATGCTCTAGTAAGAGAAGACTGGATGACAGATATCTCGCTTGGAGTATACTTCGCCTCGCATGAAGTCGCAGCTTGATAGAAGCTCTTGCTACGCACATGACAGTCGGTTGTGATACTGTGGGACAGCACATACTAGCCGTTGCCTGAGTAGGGGGGACTTGGGGGATATGAGTTGCAGAAACGAATAGAGAGGGAGAGGCTTATGGTTTTCCTCGGAAGTTGCTTTGCTCTCCTCCTGCTACACTGCATATTGGGCCGGCGGGTTTCGACCAGGTCTCGATTTGGAGCGCTCCGCGTAACGTGTGTCGGGAGCAAAGCTGCGCGCTGAAAATAGCTCAAATGTCAGCCGAAGTGCTGGCTATGATCTGTGTGAAAAGGTCGAAGGTAGAGAACCTAAGGCCCGACCGGCATAGGAGGGAGCATTGTGCCCAGAGCTCGTTGGCCGCCTCGCGACTGACTCGACGCGGCGACCTGAAGGACACCGTGGTATCAGCTGCGTATTTTTGATATTGAAAGGAGATTGACGGACTAGCGAGGGGCATGTACAGCTCGGGGATCGGGCCTTGCTGAACACGGCATGGAATTGAGTCGACGACCGAGCCGGGGTGGCGTTCCACATGAACCTTCTTCCTGAGCACCCGTGCAGCCGCTTTGACGTGTTTAGGATGTTGAAGCAGAGTGCATGCCGCCGCAGTCCCATCTGCGGATGCATTAAACGTCGCGGCCGGTCTTTATGACGTGCGCTGGGGACATAGAATCGAGACCGCTGCCATTGAGAGGCGCAGCCTGGAGCGTTTCAATAAATCGCGTGCTCTCTAGAAGAGTTGCGAGCATGAGCCTGTTACAACCGTCGCAAGAGATGTCAGAAACGACATTCACAAGCTCTTCCGTTATCTTCAAGCGTCTCGGTCGACTCACGAGGGGTGTGCTTATCGTGCTATGCTGAAGGTTGCTACTGGATCTTGTAGCTGCGTATTGTTACCTACACGAAAGCGCGTGCCGGGGTGGTTCGCGTAAGTGTATTACCCCAGTAACGGCTGTCTGCGTGGCCGACACAGATGCCGGGGGCCTAAGGCAAGGGCCGCTACCCCAGGTCCAACATTGATTGCAGACAACCCATGGGTTCCTGCGACGGCCGTGAGGGTGGGTTTGGTTTGACATTCAGCGTGTCGAAAAGGGAAATCGACTCCCAACGCTTGAGGAACCTGTAGCGAGTGTAGATGAATTCTCGATATACGTGTCATGGTATGAGGAAAAAAACAGACGCACATTTATGGAAATTTCCGCGGTATAACGTCCTTTATAATAGGGAAGGTTCAGTGTAGGTATGATGGAGCGACTCCGTTAAAACACGAGGCAGAGGAAAGTGAACAGGTTTCGGCGCTAAATCAATGTCGTACACTTGGGCGCTTACTGCGCGCTCGGCATAAAAAGAGTGGGTGTAAGCGCAGTGCTCGCCGGGGCCTCCAATGAGTCTAAGGCCGCTTCCAGGCCAAAGTCCATTCAAAGATGTTATAGCCGCATGCCACGGAATATATTGGTCCATATAACTGGTTAAGAAAGCACTGGTACAAGCAGAGCACGGCAAAGACTGAAAGTAGTATGGACGGGATTCGGCCCATGTGTAGCACTGGCAAGGAAGTTTGTGTATGAGGCTCATATGGCCTCTATTACTGGGATGGCCTATTCGATGCCGATTCTCGTGACACATAATCAAGCTATATAAAGGACGTCGAATTTTTGGAACAGCCCGTTTTGCCGAGCTCACGTTTGTCACGACCATGTCTTCCTACTCCGAATGCGAGTCGCACGGCGGCGGGACATTACCGTAAGCTCTGCCGTGCGCGGAATTCCGGCTACGATAAGACTGGCCGCCTCAAGCCCATTGGTTGCTTGTGGTCGTGGCCATGGGGAGATGTTGAGGAGACCAGTTTCCTGTTCTGCACCACGCCGTCTGTAACGCCCGACCGCTACCAGCGCGCCACACATCCCTCTTCTTCATCTAAATCCAAGTAGATACTCGCATAGCACGCGGCGTACGCTTTCCAGAGCTGATAAAGTGCGCCGATAAAGTGCGCCGTTCGTCGCGAGTACGCATTCCATGTGGGTGGGCTCGGCCGAGTAAGGCAGAGAGATCGCTTCTTCCATCTGTGTATAGGCTACGTCCGCAGCCGCCTAGATAGGGGAGCGGCGCCTGTAACCAGGATATATACCCGGTATGCAAATCCGGGAGCGAAGCGTGACTACCCAGGATCTCCGGAGGAGAATACTGGAGCCTGCTCTGTGCAAATGCAGTAGAGGGAGGACGAAGCGTACACCGTGACAATCAACTTGAGTGCAATGTTCGAAAGAGTAGCACGATGGATTCACTAGCAGTGCACATCAGGACGTATAGGTATCTCAAGACCAGTATGCTTAACAGTTGACCAGAATCAGGCAGTGGGCTTGTGCCATCTATTCGGAGAAGTCGTCAACGCGATTCCCCCGCAGAATATGAAATGAACCGCTCACGGTGGTTGTCAACGCAGGCGCGATCTCCTACATTCCTCAACACATGGGTTATGAGTAGCGCTGCCAATTGTCTTGGTTTACATCACCTCCAAGGGGGTCTGAGAGCACCTACTAGTAGTCATTGGATGAGAGAAAACCTCAACGGGCACCAAATCCGCCGCAAACGCCAAACCACTCCTCCCGGCGCCTGATGGTGACGCTTCGGTCATCTTCGGACCACTGCTCACGACAGGTTGCTGACTCGAACTTATATAGCACCCAACTCGACATGGCATTCTTTCATAGATGATTTGATTCAAATGGGACGTTATGTTTATGGAACGTTCCGTACATCAAGTGAGCTGCCAGCTACTAGTATTGGCCGACCTTCTCCACGCCACACTCGCTATCTCCCATCCCGACATACCGTTGTGCGTTGCAGGATAGATAGATAGATAGATACGGATTTCGTGGGTCCTAGTGGCATGAGTTGGGGCGTTCAATCCCCAAACACACTGTATGAGACCTGTTCCGTCCGGGGAGATAGCTCTTCTCTGGAAAGCGTGGCAGTGTCGAGCCAAAACTCGGCGGGACTATGGGAGGAGAACCTGGGTGCGTATACGAGATGCCTCGTGGTAGCGCTGGTAGTTTGCGGGTACGTTGATTTCCGGCTCTCTAGAGGTGTTCATGCGCGGTGTGCCACGCCAATGCCCGCGGTTCCGTCGGTTTCCCAGCACATTTTGCGGCGGGCAACACAGAAGGCGGACGGCTATAGAGGGATGACTCCTGGAGGAGGTCGCGCGATGGTAAATACGAGGTTGGCTAAGCAGAGCGTAACACATACCTTAGGTAGGCCCCTTGTACCGGTGTTGGGGATGTCTACCCTCCTACCAAACCAGTCCGGGTCGATGCCAGGCGTCGAACATGGTCTCGCAAGGGAGCTTCCCTGAGCGTGCCGGTCCACGATGCTCAGTACGGGGAAACCCTTCCCTGGTGCATCGCCTTCTTTCCCGTCTTACGTGCGCTTGGAGGACCTGCAAGGTCTCCGGCTCTCCTGGTGCAGTGCTCGCCGCCGCTCGCTCGCGTTCTGTTCGAAGTTCGGCATGTCGACGAGAGCGACATTTGAATAGGCATCTGCAGAGCACGCACGTCCCTGATTAGCCACGGGACAACGTTCAGAGAATGAAATTGACATACACGTTCGCCCCCGACATGCCTCCGCCTACACCCAGCGCCGTACCCAGACCTCACAGACGAGTCCGTCAGGTAGTCCCAGATATTGGCTAGAGTAGGATTACGTGGCGGACAGTCGGATAGAGTAGGATTATGTGGCGGAAGTGAGAGAGAACTGGGGAGCAGTGTGGTGGTGGGTCCATGGTCTCGACGTTGTGTGATCAGGAGGTTCACCGAGGGGCAGTTGGTCGCTGAGGAGGTTCGCTGAGATGAGTGAGGGAAGTGAGGAGGATGAGGATACTTGCCAACCTCGTCGTGCCCGGGCTTATATACCTCGCGCGCCATTGAATACCTGGTCATGGGTCCACAATGAGCGCGAGGGAGTATCCATCGCTGCTTGTTCTGAGCAGCAATACGCGGCAGGGGAGCATTGTGCGACAGGGCCACAGGGCCCAAGACGGATCTACGGGCCTATTGTGAGGGAAGTGGCTGCAGCTTTGAATGACCATTGGTTGAATGATGGACCGCCCTCCTTTTAGTAATCTCAGAGCAACGTTTGCGCTACCATAGCATACAGAGCCTAGTCGAAATGAATTCGCCTACATGGGAGAGTTGCATTGACGTCAGCACCGGGAATACGACCCCGCGGCAAGCCGAGACACACCTTGATGTCCACCAGGGGACGTGTCCTGCGGGTCCTTGAAGTATGAATGCGAGAGTGCATTGTGTAGAAGAGAATGATGAGCGTACGGGGGTCATGTTCACTGCACCCCAGCCAGGAACCCATGGCACATACGTACAATGTGACTATCGTCCGCCGTGGGTGTAAACATTGTACAAGGCACAAAACTGATTGCATTCATCATCTTCGAGCAGGAGCATGCAACACGGATCTAACAAATGCGACAAGAGCACAAGAAAAGTGCAATACTAGTGGTGTCCGCTGTCCGTCCGGTGATTTTGGGGGTAGAGTCTAAGGAACGGGAGAACTCGACAGAATTAACGCGGTCTAGTGTAGCGGGAATGAGCGAGACTGCGGGGAATGAGAAAATGCGAGACGAGACAAATGAACGTTTGTAGGGTATATGAAAAGGAATGGCGGGGTATCGCAATGAGCAGTGGCATTGAGGGTATACCTGGGGTTGGCGCCTACACGGCGTAAGAGGCACGAAGGATAGGCGATGATGGTGTTGAGAAGCGTTGTCCGAACGCGTAGTGATGCAGCGGCGCAGGTTCGTAGCGAGGTCTGTGCACGTAGTCAGCACATAAACATTGGAAGAAATTGAGGGTGTACAGACGTGGTCGGAGCAGAGCTCGGGCGTACGTTGTTGTAAGGAACATAGAGGAGGGGGGTCCCGTACGACGATGACATAGATCGAGGGTCGGAGGAGAGCAGACCGCTCTTCCCAAGCGCAGCAAGACCAGCCTCAGAATAACCAGAACCAGGATACATAGGCGACACAGAATTACGGAGACCGAGGTGAGCATGCCCAGTCCGTACAGCGAAAGGCACGGCACGAGGATTGAGACCAGGTTTGCCGTCGGCGTCGCCCTGAGCAGAGCTGGTGCGAACGAATTCAACACTGAGAGGAGGAACAGAGTATGCTTGTCCGTTCAGGCCGTTCGCAGCGTCCGTGGCCTGAGTAGAAGTGGCATATTCCACGATAGCCGACACATGAGCCCGGTCGCCAGGTGCAGCAGGCAGTATCTCTAGTTTCTTGATGTCGCCATAGGGTCCTAGGAGAGGGTGCAGATCGGACAGCTGCGAGAAGAGAACGGCAGGCAAGTTCTTGATCATGAGCGAAGATGAGGTCATAGCATAGTTTCCGGTGGGAGGGTATTCAGAGGGCGGAGTGACGACGATGGGCATCTGTATTTCAGGAAGTGTCGGGCTGATAGGGCCCATCTCGAAGGGAGTGGGTGATCCTGAAGGCGACGTGGTCGAGAGGACAGTGGCACGGTCCCCGCCGTCGAGGAAACCTTCAAAAAAATTAGATGCGATTTGTCGGAGTGTATGGGTACACGTACCATCAGAGCGTTGCACCACGGCCCAGGAGACATCGATAATGTGGCCCCTAATTCAAACTCGATGAGCACAGACAATTTCTAATGTATGGTGGTCCTCACTTGATGTCCTTGCGGTTAAGCCCTTCCATCGCAACCTTGGCGTCATGATGACGAGCCATGACGATGAACCCACGGCGTCTGGATGCATTGTCGACAGTGGCCAGAATGACCGCATGAGCGACGGCCCCGAACCGGCCGAAAATCTCAGCGAACTCCGTTCTGCAACATTCAGATAAGCGTTTGGGTTCGCCGGGAGATAGCGAAGACGTACTTGGTGAGGTCGAAAGGAAGGCCGAGTACGTACAAGTTCCTCCGAGTGTCAGGTTGTTTCGGACCCCTTCCGGAGCGAGGAACATCCGACAATGGCATGCCAACGACAGATCTGTTAATCATCTTAGTGATCAGTTGTATGCGAAATCAGGCCGTTTGACTTACAGAGGCACTCCGTCGACGTTGTAGCCTGTCATACACAGCGCCTTCCTGAGTTGAATGGGTCAGACGAGTGCAAAAGCGCATACACCGAGAGCACCCACTTGGCGGAGTCCTGGGTAGAGAAGGTCAGGAGATAGTATCTGCGACCTCTGTCGTACATCTCTTCGCATCTAACGATGTCTCCTAAAAGTCGGTCCTCGAGATTAACCCGTGTACATGTGATCAGGGCGATGGAGACGCACCAATCAAGTTGTTGAACAAGTCCAGAATCTCTCGGCGCGACACTACGGGTATTCGTTGCTAAGCACATTGCAGCGGGTCATCGTCGGGACAACGCACCTGCATCGGCGATGTTGTTGACGCGTACGGAGAAGCCTTCGCGGCTGAACTTGAAGAGCGGGTTCGGCGTGTTCGACATGACTTGCGGGTTCCTGTAGGAAAGAAAACGGCTCTGAAAAAGGAAGACAGTTAGTGTATCGTGTACGTTACTGTATGCGCAAGAAGCAAGAAAGGTGGGGGACGACGGGGGGAGGGGAGAAGAGACAAGTTGAAGAACAAGAACGTCCGGCGAATACCGACGCCCATTCGCTCGTTTTGGCGGGCACAAATTCCCACGCCACGACGCGATCGCGACGCGTCCTTCACGCGTCCAAAGAAGCGCCCACGCATTAACCACCGACTGCCATCATTCACCGCATCCAACGCACCGCAACGTCCTCTGCGCGTGCTCGCCCTCAGAAGTCCTGAATCAGAGGCGACACAAGTGGCTACTTTGTGTGTCCATCAGCTGCGCAAATCTAGTAAACAGCTCTTCGTCAGAGCAAGGGACGATACACGAAGAGGTAACTGCTCTGGTGGATTTTTCGTCGCCTTTTCTGCCACAGGCTTCAGGCTAATCCCCATTGTGAGCGCAGTGTTATCTACCACGCTCTATAGATCAGACACGAGGGTTCGCATTCGTGTCACGGACTGCCGCGGAAACCACCCGACCTTTACAAACTCACCTACTCATTTCGCAGCAATGTCGGACAGACTTCTTTCCACGTTCCCGCTTCCTGCACCCACCCTGTCCGCCCTGGCGAGGGCAGGATACGAAACCAGCAGCGACCTCTCAAGCCTCACGCCCGAACAGCTTTCCAAAGGTCTGATCTTTACGTGATTCCATGCGCTTCCTCCGCAAACTCTCTTACTGTACGCGATGCGAACCCCAATCCAACAGACTTGAACATACCCCTTCCCGCTTCTCAAGCCGTCTTCTCCGCCACTCGCCCGACCGCGGCGCCTCCCATGACCCAGTCAGCCGCAGCCATGATGGGCACCACCACGCAGTACTCCACGGCCTGCGCGCCCCTGGACAGGCTGCTTGGCGGCGGCCTCAAGCGCGGACACATTCTTGAAATAAACGGCCCCCCTGGCTCGGGCAAGGAGCAGATAGCTGCGAACGCGGTCACGAGCTTCGTGGACGCCAACCAGGAGGTGCTCTTCGTCGGTAAGCCCGTTCCGCCGCGATCGCGTTCACGCGCCGCAAATACCTCGGCCGGCTTCCCTTCGCTCATACCGATGTCGCGGCCGTGCAGACATGCAGAACATGGTTCTCCCCGCCACAATCAAGAGAATCCTGATGGGTACGTGTGCGGCCCCAGTCCGGCCGCGAACCCGCATTGACCTCGTCCGACCGTGCGCTTCGCGTTAGCAGAGCGTCCCACGGCGGACGCCGGCGGCATGGCTCTGGTCCGCTACCACACGCTGCACACCACCGCCGAACTCGTCGTCTTCCTGCGCACGCTCCCTGCGTATCTCGCCGCCAGACCCGCCGTGAGTCGTTGCGCACCATTATCGCCGCGGATATGACGTGCTGACCGGCGCATCTGCGACTGCGATCCGATCGGTCCCCAGACGGGCCTGCTCGTGCTCAATTCATTGCCTTTCCCTTTCCAGGTAAAGCAGGACTACAAGGACCGCAATGCTATCCTCGACCTCCTGCGGCAGGTGTTGATGCGCGCATGCGCTTCCATGGGTCTGACTGTACGTAAGAGTAGCTATTTCCTGCGAGGGCACCAGATCGTATCAGGAAGCGCTCAAAATAAGGGTCTGCTTGCATCTAGGTCATAATCACGAGCCAGCTGGTGTCGAAGTCGTGTCAACGCGACGGAGAGTCCGGATCGGCGCCCCTGGGGTCGAAGTACACTATGATTCCCTCGTTTGGTGCGTGCAGCATCCCACCTCCCTCTAGCCACACCTCCTCGCATTGTCCACGGAACGCCCACCTGACGCGCTTCGCCAGGTGCCGCCCAGTTCCCTTCAGGAAAGACGTACAGGGTGATCCTTGTCCCCAAGACGAGAACGACGGGGTCAGTCGATCTGGCAGAGGCACGATGCACCCTCGCTGACCGCGCATTGGGCCCCCCAGCGACATGCGCCTGCTCTCATCCCCAACACACGTTCCCTCAGCACACGCCCTGCGCGAAGAGCCCTACCAACGGGTGCGTCCGCTTCTCCCCATTATCACTAAACCCGCACCCGCACATGAGGCCCCTGACAATTCGCCACACACAGGTCCGCGGCGCCATTGCGTAGCACACGCGTGATTCATTCCGCACCTGCCATCCCTGGATCGCTGTGGCCACAGTCTCTTCCGCCCGCAGGCGGCCCGCTCGCTTGCATTCGCCTGCGCCTTCGTCTTCGTCTTCTCGTTCATGTTCCCTCGCCCACGCACGATCGATATGTCAGCCGCGGACATTCCTCGGTATGTAGAACCCGTCCTAGACCTCGGGCGTGGCTGCCCCTGCGCCGCTCAGGACTGCACGATCCCATCTGGCCCTATTATTACATCCACCTTCCAGTCCGTCTCCCCCACCGGCACCAATCCTGCCTCCAGGATTTGCTCGCGCAGCGCGAGCGCGACTGACGAGAAGGCGAGCGGGTCGGCGGCGGAGCAGAAGCAGGCGCGGGAGGAACCGGGAGGGGAGAAGGAAACCATCGTTAGCGTCGTTCGTGCTGCACATTGTAGATATGCCATTCGGGAGAACCCACCGAGCCGCGGTCGCTGCCGTCCGCCCCTGCCAGAGCCAGCGCCCGCCTGCGCGTACGCCGCGAGAAAGCGGTCGTAGAAGCCCCTGCCGTAGCCGAGGCGCGATAACGATCGATCGAACGCCATCCCTGCAGCGCACACAACCCGCGTCATGGCGCGGGGGAGAGGCGACGTGAGAATCCGTGCGTGCGCGCGCGAGGCGGCTGCCGCACGCCCGCAGCGGCTGTGGGAACACTGGCACGCACCTGGCATCACGATCAGCTCGAGCGGCTCTGCGCTCTCGCTGAGCGCTGTGGGTCATGCGCACGCGCGTGCAGCCGAGAGAAGGATTGCAGCGGAGAAGCGGAGCGCGGGTGGAACGGCGGGTCAGCAGAGGACTCCGTTCGGAGCGGAGACGGGACTGACCGCTTGGCCTCCGCGCGCTGTCGCGCACCTCGTCGGGCTCGCGGATGCCCCACTGGCCGGCGGGGAGCGTGTGCAGGTCGTGCTCGCCGAAGATCTGGAGAAAGTCCATGATGCCGCGCTCCTTATCGAGCATCTTCGGCACGTAGAGGGTTTTCCCTATGTCGGGGATGGCGCGATCCGCCGCCACATGTGCGTTGGGCAAGCGAGCGGAGTGCGAGAAGTGCGGCGAGAAGACAATGAAAAAAATCAGAGGTCGTTCTGAGCCGCGCTAGGAGCAATGTCGCGGCTCGGGGGGAAATTCTGACCGACCTGCATCAAAGATGGCAGCGACAACCGCGGAAGTATCGACCTCGCCCGTAGGCATGCTGAGGTAACAGCTGACGCTCCTGCTCTGCTGGAATTCCGGAAGGGCGAGGAGCGTACGCGTTATCTGGCGCGCTGAGGTAAAAGTCTACAGCGTGAATGTCTGCGCCCAGATGGCATCGGAGAAAGTCTGGAGCTCACACTGTGCCTGTATCTCCTCGCTCGTCAGATTGGCGAGTGTCGCTCTCATGGCCTTGCGAAGGACCCCCTTTTGCTTGGCCAGGGTGGATGCCATAGTAATGGTGACGTCTGCGATGGAGGCGTGGATAATCAGCAAAAATCAGCAGAATGCGGAAGGTGCGACATACGGCTGCGGCGGATCCCAGCGCGCCTCTCGTTCCTTCTTGCTGGCAGGCGAACTTGAACAAACTGCTGACTCGGGCGGATGTGTCACGCTTGTGGCTCGATCGCGGGCGATCGGTAGTGATCGTCACGGTCACGGCCGCTTGCGTCGTTCGCGCTGGCTGTCCAAGTTCGTCCGCAGGCCTCCACCGACCCGACGAGCAGAGGTGGCAGCCGTGCTCGTCGCTATCGACACACCCGCGAGGCTCTCTCCAAACTCTGCAAGACGCACAACCAAGAGCTATCGTCTATCGCGGGCACGCCCCAGCGCCGGTCGGACCATCCCGGTTCTCGACGAGACCAGAAGACGGCTTGCAATCAGCTCGCGGTGCGCTCCCATTGGCCTCGCATAGCTACGAATCCCACCGTAGTGAGTTTAGCCTTCGTGTCCGCACCCCCGGCGCAGATCTGCCTCTCCCGGCGGCAGAAAGCCCCCGCAGACATCCAGATGCGCAGGGATCCCAGATTCCCACTCGCACTGCGCTTCCAACGAAGCGCCCGCCCCAGCGAGCCAGAGCCCCTGCCGACGCGCTTGATGACTGATGCCGTCCTTCGCGCACCAGCACTATCGCTGACTCCATCCTGTCCAGCCACGCCCATGCCCATGCGCAAATCCGCCGTGGCAAACACTAGCGCGAACATGGCGCAAAGGCAGCACCAGCAGCGTGCTCCTCCTGCCTCACCCTCCGTCTCTGCCTCTGTTTCAGAGTCCGAGCCCGAGCCCGACGTTCTCCTTCCGGAGAATGGGCCGACGTCGCCAGTGTCGCCCCTCGCGCCGTACCCGCCCCTCCTGCCCACAGAGTCGCGCTCCCGCGCGCCCGAGTTCTACGGGTTCGTCGCGTGGGCATCCACGTACCTCCTCTTCGTGCTCTACCTCGCCTGGGCGCTCCTCCCCGACCGCGCAATCCTCGCCCTCGGCGTCTCCTGGTATCCCAACCGGTACGCGTGCATTCCTTCCTGCTGCATCTGCTGCACAGGCTCGAGCAGACTCCGTGCTGACGCATCGCCGTCCATCTCCGCTCCGCTCGCCCAAACGCCGCGCACGCTCGCTCTGCACGCGCCCATGTCCTAGGGAATGGGCGCTGCTCGTGCCCGCGTACGGGATGGTGCTCGTGCTGCTCACGTACTTCACGTACTTTGCGCTCGCGCTCGCCGGCACGCCCGCCTTCGCCGACCTGCGCACGATCACAGGTGAGCCCCCTACCCACTCGCACCCCCGTGCGCGGGCGATGACGCGTTGCCCCGTGCGTGCGCTGAGCGTGCGTGCGTGCGTGAATGGACGGATGGATGCTCACGGGTGTGAACGCTTCTGCGCCACAGATTCCAAGGCGCACGTCCCCGCAGACGCCGCGCCCTATCTCGCGCACGCGCGCCCGGACGCGCTCCCCCTGCAGCACGACATCCCCCTCGGGCTCGTCAACCGCGTCGTCTACGGCCCGCGCCCACCCAGGGATCGCCGCCCCGCTCGCCCAGGAAGCGAACACGCCCGAGCCGGGGGAGCCTTTGCGGGAGAGCCTACAGCGGGAGATCGCGCAGGGCGATAACGCGCGCTTGTACTTTCGTGGGCGTTCCTAGGCCCGCCGCGGGGCGAGCGATAGGGTTTGATATAGGTATTGCTGGTATGACGTGCGCGCAATAGAATCCGGATGGGCATGGCACGCGGCGGGGCCCACCCTTCGCTGGGCGTGTATAGGCTAATCTGGCGAGTGGGACGAGCGCTGCAATGGGGGAGCTGGGAGCGAGGCAGGCCGTCCCGCGGGCCCGGGCGTGCTCGTTCGGCGGGATGGTATCACAGGCAGCCCATCCGATGGCCCCGTCGCGTGGCGCGCTTCCCGCGCCCGGGAACGGTCAATGTAGTGGCAGGGCGTGTGGCTGCAGTAGGAGGAGGACCCGAAGGTTCAGTCATGCTCAGGGTGCTGCGGGACGGACGCTCTTTGCGCCCGCGCCCTTCTCACTTCTCGAAGACCCACGGACGGGCGAGCGGGGGCCATGGGACTCGCGGACGCACTCTCAGCTCGGGATCGGACGGACGGGGGAATCGGATGGACGACAGGGTGGGCAGGGCGGGGCGTGCATGCATGCTATTGCGGGAAATACTGTAATTAGCCTCTACAAATACGGATACGGTATGTGTGCTGTCGCGGGAGCGGTGTGACTAATGGTACAGATGATGATGTGATACGGGCTCGTGCAGGGGCCGACCGACCAGCGCACCAGGCGTGTTGCTGCGTCGATCGGCGGCGCGGCGCTCTCTCTCGCGTGGGGTTGCGGGAGGCATGGAATACAGGGTGGGGCGTGCCGCCACGGGTCGGGCTATCTCCACCTCGTTGTTGTTGTCGTTCTCGTCGTCGTCAAGACTCGTGCATACCAAAAATAAGAACTCGAGAGCGGAGGCAGCGGAGGATCAGGCCGTGCAGGGCGCATAGGGAAGCAGAGTGGCAGGGCAGGGGGATGGGGACGAGGGAGCAAGGTGGGGGAGGGGGAGCAAGGGGAGGGGGTGGCGCGCGGCGAAGGGAAAGCAAGGCAGAGCATACGCGGCATGGCATGGATCGATCCAAGAAGCAGCCCGTCATTTCAGTAGCCTGTCGGCGAGGCGATAGCGGGCCCAGGCAGCGCGCGCCACTGTATCACGAAAAAAATCACAATCGCACCATCATCAGCCCTCCATCCAAAAGCCACATCGAGCAACCGCGGGCACATACCTGGCTCGAGATGTACGGCGCCGCGTCCGCCTGCGCAAAGCTGTTGCGCTCCTCGCCGTAGCGGTCGTCCGCCCCGGGGGCGCCCCAGGGCTCCCCAGGGCTCGACGGCGCGACGGGCGGGAGCGGGAGCGGGAGGAGCGGGCACGCGGGCTGGAAGTACTCGTCCTCGGAGTCGCTCGCGGCGTCGCGGAGGTAGTCGATGTTCGAGCGCGCGGCGAGGCTCGGCGGCACCCAGCGCAGCTTCGCGGGCAGCTTCCCCGCCTCGTGCACCTCGCTGACGAGCGGCGTGTCGAACCCGACCGTGAACTGCGAGGGCGACGTGCTTGCGTGTTCGGCGGACGGGAAGATGCCGTGGGTGCGCAGGTGCCGCTTCGCGTTCGAGCGCACCGCGAAGCTCTTCGTGCACGTCGGTATCGGGCACTTGAATGCTGGAGGGTAGAGTCAGCACGGGTTTTGCGGCGGGCAAACGGAGGGAGGGGCACGTACGTTTCGCGCCGGAGTGGGAGTTCATGTGCGTCGCGAGCCCGCTCGGTCTAGGGAATAATTTATAGCACACCGTGCACTGGTGCATCTTGCTCTTCTTCTGCGGCGCGCGCGTCCGCTCCGAGTGCGGGCCGTCGGGGGTCACCGGCGAGCCCCCGTCCGTGTCTGCGGATCCGGGCTCGGGGCTGCACGCCTGCTGGCGCGAGGCGTCGTCGAGGCACACGGACGAGGACGCGTACTGACCCTGGCCCCAATCCGCACGCCCCGCGGCCTCGAACTCGCGCTCCTCGCTCGACTGCGCGCCGCGGTACGGCACGCGCTGCACCTCGGACGCGGCGCTCGGGAGGCTGCTCTCCGAGTCGTTGTCGTAGTCGTCTGCGTCGAACACGAGGCCGGGCACGGACGACGGGCTGATCGGGTCCGGCAGCGAGTCGAGCGAGTCGCGCCGGAGCGGGATGGGGTATGGCGCCGCGCGCGGCGAGTGCACGTCCATCATGTGGGACGCGGCGTCGGACGTGAGGTGCGGGTACGACGAGGGGCCGTATGCTTGTGCGGAGGAGTAGGACGTGGGCGAGCCGCCGAGGTGTGTGAGCGAGGCGGAGGATGAGGACATACGGGTGGGCCCGCCTGGGCCGTAGAGCTCCCCGCGGCCGTCGAGATATTGGTTGCTATTTGTGAGGGTGTAGGAGGAGCGGCGCTCGGGCATGCCCGCGAGGTTGCCGCGGTAGCCGGTGCGGGTGAGGGACGTCTGTGAATCGAGCGCGCTCTGCAGGTCTTCGGAGGGGCTCGAGGTCGCGGACGAGTAGCCGTTCTGGTAGGAGAAGGCGGTGGTGGGGCTGCTGTACGACACGCCGTACATACCACCGCCGTAGGAGGCATCATGGAGGAGCGTACGCTGCGAAGACTCTGGGTAGCCGACCAACTGGGACTCCGGGCCCCCGCCCGAGTAGAAGCCAGCGTGCTGCTGCGGCGCGCGGTCCGCGAGGGCGTTGTTTGGCTGGTGGTTGTGGTGGGGGTAGTTGGTCTGCACGTTGAGCATCCACGGCTGCTGGCGGGCGGGGTAGGGGGCGTGGGGGACGGCGGTCGAGAGCGGCTCTAGGGCGGGCTGGGAGTGGGCGAGATAGTAGGAGCTGGGGGCGTGCTGGAATCTATGGAGGGTATTGGGGTCGTGCTGGTGATCGAGGTGCGAGGACATGGCGGGCGGATCGGGGCGGGGTATCGGGGGCGGGGCAAGCGCTGGGCACGAGCGGTGCGCGAAGCAGAGGAGAGACTGGGTGCGCGGGGGCGATAGAGATGAGCCACGGGGGTCTTGTGGGGCAGGGATGCGGGGACGCTTACCTGGGGAGGACGCGGGGAGGATGGCTGGGAGGGAGCGGGCGGAGGGGAGGGTTATATGGAGGAGGGGTTAGGCTCTGAAACGGCGAGCGGGAAGAGGGATGGGCATCTCTGGGGAACACGGACAAGTCGACATCGTCCGCAAACGCGCGAGTCGTGCAGAATTAGTGGATCAAACACGAGACAGCGCAGCGTGCCTTACCTGCCATATCCCGACCAGTCCACACCCAGCAGCGTCCCCGGCTGCCCCCGGCCAACGCCCATCGATGCTCGTGAGATCCCACACGTCCGCACGCCCAGAAAATACGCAGGCTGCCCATATCAGGGCACGAGCCACACCAGCACCCTTCCCCGGCCTCCCAACTGCCATCTCCAGCCATCGGCACCAGTATCTGCACCCCTCGCGCCCCCGAGGTCTCCCCATCCTCTGCGCACTGACAGTGAGCATCCGCGCAGACACCCACCGTGCACCCGCACCGCCCACAGATCCGCGCGCGGCGGACCCGGACGCGCTGTCGCCCCGCCGCGAGCTAGTTCGGGGCAGCGGGGGCGCGCGCACGGCCACCGCGCGTCAGATTAGCTCTCGCGTGCGGACGCAGACGGGCGGCAGTCGCTGGCAGCTGTCGTCCTCGGGCGCGGCCCTGGCAGCGTCGTGACCGTCGCGCGCACACACCGACACAGCTTTCCCGCTCCAGCCGCCGCGAGGCGCATCAACAACCGTCAACAAGGCTCGCGCGCCCTCGCCAGCACCGCCTGCGCCGCCCTCCTCTGTTTACCCGTCCGAGTCGCGATCGAGGACTCGGACGGTGCCTCTGCGTACCTGCGCTAGCAGCGGGGCACACACACCCCCACCCCCGCAGCCGCCGGCCGGCTCCCCGCACCCACGCCTCTGTCCCCGCACGCGAGGCGGGCCGATCGCATGCGCCGACACACGCATCTGCATCGGAGGCATGCCTGCCACTGCTGCAGCTGTCACCGCACCCTGCACGAATGGTCTCTGGCATGCGCCTGGCCATCGATCGTGCGCATGCACAGCGCAGCAGCATCGACATAGGCGCACGCTCGAGATCGCCCCGTCAAATTGTCGCGTCTGCTTCCTCCGACGACAGGGGCCCGTTCCGAATCTTGTCCGGCCGACGCTGTCCATGGCATGTCGACAGCCCGCAATATGTGTTTTGCGCTCGGGTTCTCGCATCTCGGCTGTCGCACCCAAAACGCAATTCGTCCTGGGCTGTCCGCCAATCTTGTTCGTGGCGCGGCCGCCCGGGCCTGAGCACGGTGGGACGACGGCCGTGTTCGCTCCCGCCTCGTCTTCCCGTGCCCGTCTTCAAGCTCCGCCGGGTTCGCCACCATGCCCATATAGCGCGCGCGACCCGCCCCAGCGGAGACTTCGCGGCCCCAGCCTAGCAGCAGATAGCGCAGAAGTCCGCAGAAGAGAAAAAAGACCGAATTAGATCACAGATACGATAGCGATAATATGCAAGAGACACTTTCGAGAAAGCGCGATGGGCCACGCACGGCGGAAAAAACACCACTGCGTCCATCGTCGTGTCTGAGCCGTCCGTCCGTCCGTCCATTTCGTCCGTCCATCCGACCGCCACCCCCTACGCCGAATGACCGCGCACGCCGGTATGTCATAGGATCCACCCGCGCCCCTGCCTCAGATCCCTCATCGACATGCAGGCGTCCACCTGTTCGGTCCCCCGAATGAATGAGCACACGTACAACGGACAACAGACCCTGGCCACAGATCTCGGGCGCACCTGAAATGCTCCAGCCGCTTCCTCGCCGCCGCCCCCGTCCCGTCCGCCGACCCCGGCCGCGCTGCTGCTGCTGCTGCTGCCTTGGGCTTCGCCTTGGTCTTGGGTGTGGCGACGTCGTCCGTGATGAACGTCAGCCGCGTACGCCCGACGGCACGCAGCTCCTCGCCGTCAAACGAAGGCAGACTCGCCCGCTTGGCGACCTGCGGCGCACTGCGCACCACTGCCCGTCCAGGCGGACGCTGCCGTCCGTCCGGCGTCATCGTGGTCTCCCTGCGCCGGAGAGGGGTCTGTTGCTGTTTCTACGGGCAAATGGGATGAGCTATTGCCGCCGGGACGGGCGAGGAGAATACTCGGTAATGAAACACGTACCCGATCGTTGCCGCCACTTGCACCTCCTCCTTGTCCTCCTCCTCCTACACCATTACCTCTTACGCCCACACCTCCTCCCTGTCCGCGAGAGCCGCCCGGGCCGCTGTGGCTGCACGCCCACTTCTCCCGCCAGCCGCGCGCGACGCGGGCGTTAGCATCGCGTGCGACGCCTGCACCCACCTCCTCCAGCGGGTCTTCTTCGAGTTCTTCCGAGCTACCCTCGGCCGCAGCGGCTGCCTCCCTCGCTCTTACGTCTTCCCCACCTACACCCACCCCGCCCATTACGCGAACGGCCCCTCCGTGTGCGTACCGCCATTCATCTTCATACGCCAGTGTGTCCGCGTCCGCGTCCGCGGGCGTCACAGGCCCAGGGGTCGACGACGCCGTCGACCCGGGCCCGTCACCGTCCTCACACTCCGCAAAGTCCTCGCCCCCGCTCGTGACCTCCTCGTCCCAGTCGTCGAACGCGTCCCGCAGGTCTGGCTCGCGGGCCGCCGCACTCCGGCCGCGGCCGTCCTGCTTCCTGAAGCTTGTTGAATTTGAATGCGCATGCGAAGTGGAGCCTGCGGACTTTGTCGTACGTCCTCCGAATAATGGCGCCCGAAGGGGAACAAGGGGCAGCGCACGTGTAATCGCACGCTCGACCGTAACCACCGAGCCCGCCGAGCGGGACGGCCGTTGATTTCGAGGCAGCGGCGGGCTCGAGAGGATATCTTCCGCGTCGAAGTCGTCGCCCCACTCGCCCGCTTTGGGCCGGACGGGCGACGAGATGTCGGGCGAGTCCCACTGCGCAAGCGACGGCGAGGGCGACTCGTACCCGTCCTCCTGCGCAAGCGACGGCGAGGGCGACTCGTACCCGTCCTCCTGCGCGACTGCGTCCGCGTCCGCCATGAGAACGTCCTCGTCCTCATCGTCCATACACGGCACGTTCTCTTTCTCCAGCCTCTTCCCATGGTGCGACAGGCCGGACGGGCCAGCCCCTGCGGCGGTAGACACCGAAGCTGATGCTGACGCCCACTGCCCGCGGGCCCCTCGAGGGTCCGAGACCGATCGTTGCTGGGCCCCGAAGAACTTGGACGTGGTCGGCGTGCGCGTCGGCGGCGGCGCAGCAACGGCCGCCGCCGCCGCACCCGCACCCGCACCCGCCAGGCTGTCGCTGTGTCTCTTACGTTTCACGGCCATGTCGTGCTGCATAACCTCCGCGAGGGTGCGTTTCCCACTCTGCTTCCCAACGACCATCGCGGCGGCGGCGGCCGTGCCCGCGCTTGCCGGCCGCACCGCGCCCGTGCTGCCCGAGGCAGAGGTAAATGCGTTTGCTGAGGAGCCACTGGAACCCACGGGGGCGTGGCCACCGCCATTCGTAGTCGTCCCTGTGCGACCCGTCGCTCCCGCGGTCACTTCGCGCACCTGGGGTGGGGCTGGGGCCGGGGCTGCGGGGGCAATGGTGCACGCACACGTAATGAGCAGACGTCCTTCTGCGCGCATACGGCGCAGGAAAAGCGTAAACGACGCGGGACGCGCCCCTGGCGGACTTACCGAAGAATTTGTGCAAGGGTCCGGCGGCGGAGGCGCCGTGCTTCCCCGCGGCCGGCGCCGGGTCCTTAGCCCTGCCCTTGCCCTTATCCGGCCGGTGCGCCGCAGTGATGTTCATCGGAATCGCCTTGAGCGCGCGCGGGACGAAGGACGGGTTGATGTCTTCCATGGGCAGCAGGCTGATGGGGCACGCGTCGCCCTCTGCGACCTGCTTCGCGAGCGATGGCTCGATATGCCTAAACGGGCGCGGGGCACACATTATCAGCGGCGGGTCAAGTACACACACTCGCCGCGCGGCGAGCACGGAAAGGGGGACGATGCTCACGCTCCGACGTACGCCTCCTCCTCCGGGCCCCATGGCGCATCACCAGGCAGCGGCGTGAGGTGGACGAGGCAGCCCTGCGCGGGGTCGTACACGCGCTGGTGCAGGAACACCTTCTCCGCGAGCCGGAACGCGTCGAGGTAGCCCTGCGGGATCTTCTTCTTGCCCTCCAGGCGGAGTGCGCTCAGCGTGTTCTCCACGGTCTTGTGCTTCCGGAGGAGCGTCCACGCCGTCTTGAGTCCGATCCCGGGGATGCTGGGCAGGTAGTCGCACCCGCTCAGGATCGCCATCGTCCGGAATTGCGCGTCGGACCAGCCAACGAGCGAGAGCCCACCGGCGGCGGTCGACGCGATGGCTGCGAAGTCTTTGCGAGCGATGCATGTGACGGTGCTCGCAGCGTGATCGAGCTTGAAAAGCACGTTCTTGCACCCAAATACCAGCAGGTCCGAGTCCTCTGTGATAATTCCGTCGACGGCCCCGATCCGCTCCAGGTACGCCAGCTGCGCGTCGGCTTCGTACGGCGCCACGACGTACGGCACACCCTCTGCCCGGAGAGCCTGTCACAGAACACACACCGCATCGGTCAGCGCACGTCCTTCGACATCCATCCAGCACGCCCGCACACGCCCCGCGTCGAGAACGCGCGGGCTCATGTCGTGCCCGGAAGAAGCAGAACAAAGTTCCAGCTCAGGGGACAGGCGCGTTCTCACCTTGATGAGCTGATATGCCATTTGCGGCGTCACGTCCACACACTTGACATAGTACTCGCGCGCCTGACTGTGCTTGCCCTGTGCGGCGAGCGCGTTCGCGCGTGCGAGGTTCTCGTCCCGCCGCTGCTTGCGCTCGGCCTCGGTGCCCTGCTTGGCCGGGAGCGGGCCCCCGTCAAAGACGAGGTACGGCGTTATGCCGTGGTGGCGGAGTAGTCGCACGCGGTGCATTGCGTATTCCACGTATCTGGAAAACCAATCGCTGCGTCAGTCTATGTCCGCGCACCGGCCATGGGTAAAAAAACGCGTGGGCATAAGAAACAACTTGAACGTAAAATCCACAGGGGATTTCTCCGTGGTTAAACCGCACGGGTGCGTGGCCAATGTATAGGACGAAGGCGCCGGACTGTGTCCGTGAGGAGCAGAAGGCCTGCGGTGGCGGACACTTCACGCTCGTTTTACGTATTGATGATGGGAGAATGACCCGTCGATCTTGCGTACTACAAGGTTCTGCAAGGCCCAACAAGTTCTTCTCTATAAGTCAAGAAGGTACGCCAGCCGAGTGCCATAGCGGGAAATCATGTGCGCGCATGCGGCTTAGTGCGTGCGCCTTCTACGTTCCTGCGCGAAAAGGCGCCGGGAGGCGCCGTCTAGACAATGTTGGTAGAGACCAGGCTAGAAGACATAGAGTTACGTCTCCACAACGAAGAGAAGTTTTGCAGAAGAGAGACTGTGGCGCAGACGATATGCAACCGGCCCGGCCTCGAACTGCGAGGAGGTCCGGCGCGGGGCGGCGGACAAATGTCTAGGAACGCGAATGCCGAGTATCGTATAGTGCCTCGCTGTTCTGCACGGCACATAGGCATGTTCAGGAATCATCTATGGACGTCATGGATGGTGCGAGAAAAAGCCCGAAGTTTAACAAATGCATTGGCCGCCTGCGGACCATTCTTTTGGCCACAGCGCCGTACATGGCCCCCATGATTGAGCCCGAGAGATACGCTTCATTATCTAGACGTAAAAGGTTGGCGTCGAAAGCTCTATCATCGCGAACAAACGTCAAGTATATCCGTCTGTGGACGTCATAGAGCTAACGCAGTCAACTCAGAAGAGGATACCCCGACATTCCAAACATTCATATGCAACGTTCCCGTGCTCGTATCCCCATTGCACACTATTCCGACCAGATACCGTGCAGATTCCTCAAGGAAGCGAGGATATATCCATGACCACAGCCCAGCGGTCTTTGCGCATCAAGATAACATGGATCGCTGATGACTCAAAGAGTGCTGGACGTTGGGGCTGGCGCGGTAGCATCACCTGCTCCGACATCTGCCATGCGTTCACCGCCTGCCGTCAGTGCTTGGAGGCGACGTTCGCCGTCAGACGACCCACAGGCAATGTCCGGACGAAGAGGCAACACATTGTGTGCTTACCAAGGCCCAATGATACGCCCCATCGCACAGGATTTGAGCAGCATTCCGGGGTGTAAAGGTTAACGCGATATTCCGCGACCCGACAGGGTGCAACACGTTCTGAGGTCGTGTTCTATGAACCTGCTCGTTCCGAGAGTCCACGAATCGATGGGCATGCAGTTTGAGGCTCTTGCGCCATGGACGTGCATGCGAAGACGGCGCACAGGAGTACGCGGGGGATGCCGACGATAGGAAGTGACGGGAATGCCCTCCGAGCACGTGGAATGTCTCAAGGTGCGCGGATCCAAGTTCGAGACGAAAGCGGAAACATGAGGAGACTCACTTGGTGGTAGGTTTCCCTGTCGTGAGCTCCGGCGCGCATCCATACGAGCCTCGGTGGAGCCACACATAGCCGTCTACGGCGAGAGTTTGACCACGGAACTCGGAGAGTTTCTTGTTGGTTTGTATATCCTTGAGAAGGGGCAGGAGGCCAGAGATGCCCATATTCACGCGTCAAGAGCCAGATAGCGCGTGTCCGAAAGCATGAGCGTCGTCGAGAGCAGTGTGCGGGATGGCGGGGACGTCGTGGACGAGCGGAAGAACGATCGCGCCGCGTCGGGCACTTACCTTAAAAAGCAAGGTAAACAAACGCGTCGCGTCGCGTAACACCTTGCACAAACAAACGTCACATAACGCCCATACAAGCGCCCATTGCCTTTCTTTCTGACTCCAAGTCTTTTACTGGCCCGTCGTGAATAGATGCTCGCCTACTAGGCTTCAATAAGCTATGGTATCCTATTCTTCAAAGAAGGACAAACCTACTCTACATGCGTGTCTTGGCCATCAATCAGTACTTAGGAACGGTGCGTTGTCATTCGAGCCCAGCTTCGCCCGACGTTTGATCATCCTTTCAAACTAGGGTTCATGTACCTCCAGACGCAGCAATCGTACTTCCCTTCGCCATCAGCGAACGTTCGCGGCATAAGCACCATTGACCAAGCAGTCTTGTACTTTCTTCCGAAGCCAGGCACCGAGCGCATCCGTAACTCAAGTTGAAGTGTTTGACAGCAACGTAAGGCATCGGAACAGTTGTAGATGCCGCCTATAGCCGCCTACGAGTCCAGGTCCGTCCAAAGCAATGTCTCCCATCCTGGCGACTTCTCGTTCCATAGTACACCCAAGCTGACTTCCGTCCAACTGGCTACTACTACGAGCGACTCAACTGACACGCTCCAATGGCATACATCGAACTGCATGCGTACAACCTCCGCCCGAGAACGACCGTATCCCTGGAACGCCAACTCGACATCCAACCAACCCCACGCTTCCCTCTTCTCCCCCGTGGCTCGTTCTCCACACAAACGCGCAGCGCTCTACTCGACACCGACAGCGCTTCTCACGCCCGCCGCCAATTCTCGGGTGAACTTGTGGCCATTAGCACGGTACCTGCCCGTGTGAGGATGTGTCCCACCGCAATGAATCACCCGCCCCCGCGCCCTTCCCACCAGCACGCGCACCGCTCGGGGAGCACCCGCCTCCGTTCTCATCGAAGGGATTTGCTGTTCTGCGGAAGACCCTGGAGCACCTGACCCCCGCGCTCCCAGGACCGCCCCGTTCACGCGACCGTCGCACACAAGCTCCTACAAGTCGGGTACGCTCACGGACGGCGCGTACTGCGCCGCCGCCCTCGACCGAGGCATTACACACGCCTTCGAATACTCACACCCGGGGCGCGCTTTGCTGCGGGACGGCCGTTGTGGTCTCCGCATTCTCATACCGCAGTAAGCCCACGGCCTTCTCGGTGATGACAGCTCTAGCACTGACACCGTTCTTTCGCGTGGCCGCGTGCTAGTACGCCCCAGGCGCCAGTCTCTCGCGACCCGCGGCAGCCCAATGATTTGACTAAGGGCACGATTTGCAGGTACCTTTACTACCTCGTTTCCTCGTTCTCCACTGAAAATCCAGGGTATCGGCCCCTCTACGACCGGGTCCTCGGTATGACGCTGCCCTGCGGAAATTTCCATTAGATTCTACCAAGGGGTTTGTAGGTCACCGGCCACCCGAGCCCGTGCGCCGTCAGGTCCTGGTGGACATTTCGCACGAGCCAACGTCGTACGTCATGTACCACATGCTCTGCGGCGTATAGCAAGAGAAGTCCTTTATGATGAAGTACGTCTTTCGGCTCAACGATATGCTTTCAAATTTCGCAGAACGCAAGTCGCCACCATTTCAACATCAAATACGAGGCGCTCTCCAGGATGAGCTTCACAGCGGATGCGTTCCATCTCTCCAGCTCAGGTGTTATGAGCGCTCTTCCCCGTGCTTAGAGTCCAGTATCCTTGGCAACTAGTTGCTCCTCACTCACGTCGGACCGTAGTGCCCATAAGTAGGACCGCCTCTCGCGTCAAAAGAACGCGGACTCGTCGTTTCATAGTGAAGGCAGCATAGGGAGCTGTCGGAAAATTAGACAGATCCACGATATCTCAACCTCACCTCGATCAAATTCTTGGACACACCCGCGTCAATTTTTGCTCCTGCTCAACGGTAAGCACCTCGCCCTATTACACGTCGAGCTCGCTGAGACAAAAACTTCATAATAGCGCCGTTTACCCGGCTCTTCATCAATGTCACGGGCATGCCAGCCGTCAGTGTCCTCGCGGCCTAAATGAACCTGCGACAGCGGTCAGAACGGGGGTCTTAGGCACGCCTTCCGGTCACTCAATATTTAGCCCGGACACGCTAGGCGAGTCGTGGCCGCGGCCCCTGGACAGGTATAGTACGTCGGTTTCGTCTGAGACCGTACGTCGACCTAGGGCCCGCTCCAAGAACATACGAGCTTGAATGCCGTGATAGCGGGATGATACAAATCCTTCGCCAGCCACCAGGGTAGACAATCCTACTAGCTTGACATCAATTGGTGGCAAACGGATAGTCGAGATACTAAGTACTGCACCGCTGCGGCTGCGCGGGGCCGACGGACACACTCGGGTACGTGTGCTCAGTCTTGACCCGTTGAAACACTCAATTCTGAAGATATTTTTGACCGGCTGTCTCAAACCGCCTTCTGCGGACACAAGCCATCTTCAGGTGCGTAGCATTGAAGCTAGCATGCCCGAGCTCACCACGCTCCGTGAACAACCGACGCACGGCGACGATGGAACTCACGGCACAAAGACGTTTCACGCTTTATTTTCTCCGGCAGTTCCGGTGCGTAAAATCCATGTCTTCCGGGCACCGATTCACGCGTCATGCCGAAATGTTACGCAGTTTGATACCCTGGCCGGGGTGACGAGATCCCTCATAAGCCGCGCTCACTCCTGCCGTTTGGGCTTGGATCGGGTATGTTCCAGAAACAGGGAATAGCCTAAGTAAGCCTTCGCCGGTGGGCACTGTAGAGGGCATGACATATACATATGCATGCGCCGTTTGAAACTTGGTGTAGGAATCGGATTGTTCAATACGCGGCTCAGTACATAAAAAACCTTCCTGCCGCTCTCAAAAAAGGTACATCTGTGATGGGGCTTATATTACGCATCTCCATTGCCGCAATATGCGTCGGGAATAAAGGGAGTACAGGAGTAGGCGTTTGCGCGTGCCAGTTCAACTGAAGGTACGGGGGATCTCTTGGGAGGGCTCCTTATATGTGCAAGGGTGGCGAAACAGCTCACTCGATGATAGGTGCCCATCAGGGACAACACGTAAGCATTAATGGGGTAGTGGTAACCTGGGTCGTTGCCATCGACCCGCCGGGGGTTCGATTCCCCCTTAATGCATCTCGAGGTACCTGGACACTTTTTGCCGCCTTTTTGCCGAATGCGGGGAAGAGATGCCGAGGCGGTTGCCTTCGAGGCTTGTTCTCGCATCGCCTCGCACATCTCTCCTTCCGACTCTCATCTGGTGCTGCTGGTCTTCACGTTCCGAAGGATATATATTCGCTCACTTCCGCACCCTGTCTCTACCACGAACCACCATGTCTTTCAGGCTCTCTGCCGCACTCGTCTTTCTCCTAGCGTCTCTCTCTGCGGTCTCTGCCCAACAATGGTACGGCACTGTCAACCTTTCAAACGCGACGTGATCTTACCATACCAATCTGGACAGTAACGCGACGTCGCTGTGCCCGACGGCCAACCCTTGCTGCAGTGAGTGACACCTAAACGCCTCCGTTGTACCACAAAGGCCAACCTGGACCTCGCGCAGGTGAATTCGGTTTCTGTGGCACCGGCAGCGTACGTCTAGCTTTCCTCGCGACGCAGATGGTTTGGCTGATGGATATGCGCAGTTCTGCCTCGGCGGATGCAATCCCCTCGCCTCGAACACTCTCACGTCGTGCTCCCCCGAACCTGTCTGCCAGAACGCCAACGTACGTGCCTGTTTCTGTCGTATCCTCTCCAAGATCTAGGAGAACTAGCATGTGCTGCGGCCAACGGAGAACTGCGCGCGGTGGCGGAGTGCGGCGGAGGTTGCAGCTGTTCTCTCGTGCGGCGTACACAGCCCGCTGCTTCCCCCCGGCGCTCCGTCATCACATAGCGGCCGACCGGCGTGTTCTGGGCAGCCGCGCGGAGCTTAGCCTTGAGGCCATTGCGACGCGTGCCAGAACGGCGAGTTTGCATTCCGTGCTTGCGTGAAACATACCCGTCAGACATGAGGGCTGCGCCTATGCCGCAATGGGACATGCAACATGAGCTCTAGAACTGTGTCAGCGCGCCACGCATATCTTCCAGGCCCTGGAAAGATATTCGGAGGGCGTTTGTGCGGATGAGATGTACGCTCCCGTTGAGCCCAGAGTCGGATGAGGCCTAATATACGAGGAGGGGCTGTTCTGCTCATGCTGTCTCGTGTTGCGCGGTACTCATTTCCGCTTCACGGAGCCCTCGCGCCGCGTGCGGCGGTGTGTACACAGAGGAAATAGACTGCTCATGATACTCACAAATAATTCATACGCGGGTCACGACGTGTCGAGATATGGCCCGGGCTCGTTCTGGGGGTCCGGACGGGATAATTGTCCGCATCGTGTGCAAGGCATGCGTCCTTGGGCATACACTTTGCTCGCTTGGGTCGAGACGAAACTCCGTCCTGGAACAGCTGGCAACTCGTGTGACCCCAGTGCACAGCTAGTGTAGAAAGCTCCTCTTTGAACGACCAGAGTACTCACGTCCTCCGCAGCACACGTTCACAGACTTCTCGCGTATCCTCTCGAACGCGACCTACTTCGATGGAAACGCTACAAAGTACGACTGGGTCGTCAACTCGGGCAACATCATCAACTCCACCGCGGGCGAGCTCGGCATGACGCTCACCCAAGACAACGGTGGCACGCGTCTGAGCTCGACCCGCTACGTCCACTACGGCAAGATCACCACCCGCCGTACGTGCATCTTTTGTTTTGCTTGGGTCTGTTTTCTGACTGGACCATATGGTGTATGCAGTGAAAACCGGCAAGTGGGGCGGCGTCGTGACCGCTTTCATCACGATGTCCGACATCAAGGACGAGATCGATTGGGAGTTCCCCGGTGCACAGACTACCGAGGGCCAGTCCAACTACTTCTGGCAGGGTGTCGTCCGTAAGTCCATCGCTCTATTTATACATGCATCCTGTGCTCAATCACTTCGCAGCTGCACAGACTGCCGGCGGTATTCACGGCAACCTCACTGACACCTTCGTCAACTACCACGACTACACTGTATGTCTTCGAGCGCACTCCGATGCGAGTGCAACGATTAACTCCCGCGCAGATTGACTGGCAGCAGGATACCCTCACGTGGCTCATCGACGGCAACGTCGTGCGCACGCTCAAGCGCTCCGACGCGACGGGCTCAGACGGCGTCAGCCGGTACCCCAGCACGCCCTCGCGCATCGAGCTCAGTATCTGGCCCGCCGGCATCAACACCTCCGCGCAGGGCACGATCGACTGGGCTGGCGGGCTGATCAACTGGAACGACCCCGACTACGTTGCCGCAGGTCACTTCTACGCGCTCGTGAACTCGGTCTCGGTTGAATGCGCGGACACGAGCTCAAACCCCGCGAACGCGCAGTCGTACGTGTACGGTAAGAACGCGTCCGCGTTCACGCCCGCGGTCGACGTCACGAACCAGACGACGGTCACGAACGGCGCGCCGCGTGCGTTCGGTGGCGTCAGCGGCGTGTGGTCGATGCTCGCCGCTGGTGCCGCGATGGCGCTCGGCGCGATGCTTGCGTGAGCAGCATCACAGACCTCAGTTCCGGATGGATGATTATCTTGCTACGGGTTTGGACTGGATCTAATATTTTATCGGGGTGGATATCAGATCGTGATGTATGGTCGCTATCGCCCTCGCTATGCACCGCCGCCACGGTGTGTCTTGTTGTAGGTCCGTATAGCACCATGTCATGCATGGTCTCGCTTGGTCATTCTTGCATATACCCGGTTTTTTCTAGCTCAGTGCGGTGTAAGATCGGATGTAGGATGAGAGCAAGTTAGCAAGTAATGTTCCTACATCATGCACTGCACAAGACCACAGGCGACCGTCGGGATATTTATTGGTAACGTTCATCTCGTCTTGTAGCGGCTATGCGACAGTTTGTCGCTTGTTAGCGAATAGTACAACCACCATCTGTCCGCGCTACCGGAGTCATGATTCACCGCCCTCCGCCCTTGTGACAAGAGATCATCGCCAGTACAACTCGTTAATCAGCTTGCTTTTGCCGCTCACATCCAAATTGCTACAGCATCGCACTGCCAACAGCTGGTCATAAAAATGAAAGGTTCGTGCGGCCAACTTCTAATTTTCATACATCCTCAAAGCGATGCTGATTTACCCGCAGCTCTCTAGCGTAGAAGTACCAACGCTTAGACATAGCTAGCGCTTCGTGACGCCATGGCTGGCTCAAGCCAATATCCAGACACGACCCGGCGGCGGATTCGCCGACAATAGGTCCATGCATTCGCCAGGGCCCCTGTGTTCTGTCCCGCCATGACCTCGGGGGTCAGGGCATTGTTGCTCGGAACAAGGAGCGACGCACGCCCGGACATTAATTATGAGCACAAGGGAGGCCCAAGCACCGAGAGGGTGCGCGGGGTATATAAAGTCGGAGTACGACGACCTGGGGATGCATCCGCAACCTCCCCACTCCCCTCACCGAGCTAGTTCTTCCTACCAGACGATCCACCCTCGGTGAACATCATCGACAAACAGCAACTAAACTATGGACCCGCCGCCATTCTGTGCCCCTGTTCTCTCCCACTTCCGCCACATAATTCTACTCTATCCGGCTTTCCGTCACATAATTCTACTCTACCCCGGAGTAGGCATCACCCCAGGGACCCGTCTGTGAGGTCCGCGCGCCGCGCGCGGTGTACGTGGAGGTGTGAGTGTGTGGAGATGTACGTCCATCTCCCCTCCTGCGCGCTATTTCTTGGCTAACCTGCAACTGCTTTGTAGGTGGCACTGGCGTCGTCGTCGACGGGATGGCTGTGGAGGGGTCTCTGCGAGCGAGCGGCGGCGGTGCAGACCTCGCCTTTCAACCGTGAAGATCGCATACAAGCGGGAATACGGGCCCCCAGAGGCCACCGAAAGCCCAGCATCGCAAGGGCCGATGCCCGGACTACAGCAACGTGTACTGGCACGACCCAAAGCGACACACAGTCAGTGTCGAGCTTCGTATCGGTCATGGTCTCGTCGTCGGTCACCGAGCACCCGCGGCCCCGGCTTCGAAGCTGAGCCGATACATATCAGCTGCCTCTGTGACAGGCTACGGTCCCCGCCCCCCCCCCCCCCTTGATCTCGTCCCCCCGTCGGGTGTGGAAGGCCTGCGGTAGCAGCCGTCTCAGGACGGCTCGCTCGCCGGATCTGTCGCCCCCGACGCGCTGTTTAGGTTGCCACCGGCATCCCCATCCGCCCCTCCGGCGGCGCGCTAGGCGACCCGTCCATATCCTTCGAAACGCCCATACACGAAAGACTCATCCTCGTCCAGTTCTTCCCAGAACTCGGATTCGCCCCTTGCCGGTACTGGCCATTCCGCCATAATATAGCTGAGGGTGCTTCTTGTGTTGGAGCCCTTCTCGGCGACGCTCACGCCTGCGGACGACACGGTCCACTTCGCCGCACGACATCGTGCACTGCGACGCACCCTCCCCATGCCCCTCCCTATCAAACATGGACCCATCCTCGTATCCCTCCCCACTCCCGCCTGCGGTCACATCCTCCCTGGTCGTGTTCGAGTCTATGGACATGGAGGACGAGCCTACGGACGATGTCGCAAACTCCGTCATACCCCGCGCGATCCAGAGCTCTCGGAAGAAGTCCGAACCCTACTCAATCCGGCTCGCAGTGGCCAAACTTAATGTAAAGACCGTTCCATAAACATAACGTCCCTTTTACGTCAGATTGCATGCGAGGGTATGCTGATCTACGTCTGTGGTTTGTGGGTAGGGTGCGCACAGACATACGTGATTATGTTGATTGGATACACGCCTTCAAAGCTCCGAGTCGACATAACAACCTCGTTGTGGGTAGTGGTCCGAAGATAGCCGAAGCCTTGTCACCAGGCGCCAGGACGAGTGCATGAGTGGTTCAGGGCACGTTGGGCACTCATTAGCTGGTTCTTCTCTCCTCACAGCTCGCCCTCGCTATACATGTAGCCCAACCCTTCATGATAGATAGAGGGGATTTAGCGGCTAGCCATGTTTCCGAGGCGATCATTTACCGCTACACCAGCTTCAGGATGCATCCCTAAGATCATGACAAGATCCACAAAAGTATAAGTGCTATAGAATATAATCCATGAAGAAGCTCTACAATATGCACTGTACAACAAAGATAGCAATAGCGATGATCTAACATGAGCTGGTCTCTATACCACGACTACTTGCGCTATGATTGTCCGCCGAAAGGCTCCTCCATATCCACCATGATGCCGCTGTCCTCCCCGCCGTCCAGATCCCCGTCCTCCCGCCACTCCTCAATGAGATCCTTCGTCTCCTGTATCAGCGCCTCCAGTGCCTCCGCCCTCGACCACGCTCGAACCAAGCCTTCCGGCCCCGGCCCGTCGTCCACGGATGAATCCATGGAGGACACTGTAGCCAGCGGCAGCGCCGGATAACCCAGCATCGCCTGCGCGACACGTACCCGCCGGTATGTCGTTCGCACAAGAATCGGCGATTCGACGATGATCTCGCGCGCAAGCCCAAGTGCACTCCGCGAGGCCCCCAGTGCACTCCGCCTGCCGCTCGGGGACGTAGAGCGCCGCCCGCCGAAGTCACCGACGGGGGAGAGCGGGCGAACAGGTCCTAGATGCACGATCTTGGGTCCGGAGTCGCGTGCTGCGCGACGGGAGGGCGTGAGCGGACTTGGCATGAGCGCATACCCCGCTTGTCGCATTCCACCGTCGTCCATGAGGGTCTTCCTGGGAGTCGAGGACTGCATGCCGAAATCGTCGAAAGTGGGCAACGAGACGGAGTTCGTGAACAGCGTAGAGCTGCGCGGCGTCGATGCGGCGGAGTCGGCTGCTCCCAGGAAGCTTCGCCGGGGTTTCGAGAAGATATTGGAGACGGGACGACTCCGGGGGCGAGAACTGACGAAGTAACCTGGGCTCACAGAGCCGCTGGCAGCTCCCCCAGTGGCCGAGAGCTCCTGGTGAAGCGCAGCAATCTTCTCCTGCATGAAGATGCGCATCTGAAGGGCTAGCGGGTTGCGACGCAGACACAGCCACTCGATCAGAGACCATGTCATGTAATCGAGGATACGAGGCCGCTTCTGAGTACGCTGAGCAGCCAAGGATGGTGTGAGGGAAGGCGTGAGGAATGGGTTCTCGTCCGGAATGTTGAACTGTGTGGCTTTGGGGGAGTGCGTCGGAGAGGGGGGCTCGGAATAACCGCCTCGCGAGGGGACCGCAAAGGACGCATCCCCGTCTGCCAGGGCCTCTCGCAGAATAGCGCCAATTTGTCCCCATATCCCGGGGAGAGCGACTGAGATATCGTGTTCTGCCCGCGTCATGATAACCTTCAGGATCTGCAGAGCGATCACGAGGCCCAATGCAGGTTTCGGGTCGAGGGTAGATGAGGACGTCCGGCTGTCAGTTGACTTCCGTCGTTCAACGCCTGGTATGGAAGTCTTCGAGGTATCGCTACGAGCGAACTCTGAACGCTGCACGACAGACAGGACGTACACCAGTAGGCGCATCCAAGCCTTAGAGTACACATCCCTGCGCCATTTCTCTGCCCATTGACTATCGCTCGCGAGCTCAAGAGCCGTCTTCATCCGCAGGACGAGAGGGAGAACGACTCCGGAGAGGAATTCGTATGTTGGCTCTCGCTTCTCCAGTTCGGCTACGACATCCGCGCCGACCACTAGGAGCGCTCGGTCCAGAAGGTTAAGGACGCTACCTCGGATGGCCAGGTGGAAGAGAAGACCTGCCGAGGCGGCGACTTCACAAGCTTCTAGACCGGCGGCGCAATACTGTGAGACGACGACACGGGCGAAGGCGGGTTGGTTAGCGAAAACGGTGTCCGAGGCAAGTGTAGCGACCACATCAAAAACGCCAGAGAAGTCGACTTCAGAGGAGTATGATGAGACGATGGGAGCGAGGTCGGCTAGGAGGGTGACGGTTTCCTTGAGCTGGGGGTGCGTCGGGCGAATGAGCACGGCTCGCACGTAGTCTGCTAGGAAAGTGGCCACGCGGGGGACGCTAGCGCGGGAGTCCTTCAAGATCATTTTCACGATCTCAAGTACGCGTTGCGAGGCCAAGGAGGACAGATGTCCGCCAGCTCGAGTGAATCCGACTACGACGGAAAGGTAGTCCACCCGCATAGCCAGCAGGTCGCTAGGTAGAGAGGAGTGGGACATGCTCGCTTGTGTTAGACCGCTTTGAGAAACCGTATTGGGATCGAGTTCGTCGACATGGGAGTTGCCCTCTTTCGCCTTCGTGACACCCTTGTTCAATAGGATGCCGCCCAAGGCTGTGATACCGTCCCGAAGAACAGTGCGAGTCGATGCGGATGCATGGTATAAGTGCGGCGTCAGGAACAACAGGAACCGAAGGAATTGCTGAGCGCGGAGGATCGTGGGGTTGTGCGCGATCACAGTGAGGAAAAGCCGCACAAGGTCGTCGAGGCCTAAACGCTTAGTGTCGAACTCGTCGGGAACATCGACAGTGACCTGATTCTTCCCCTGCGCACTACGATGAACCGAGGCAAGGAAGGCCTGCGGAACACGTTCGGCGATGGTGACCATGATAGCCTCCTGTTCTTCAACCTTTGTGAGCGCACTCAGCGCGGCGACTTCGGCGTTCTGCGATGGAGGGTTGCTCTTCAGCGTGGCAAACAGCGTGAAGATGTTGAAGCACATGGTGGGGCCATCGGCTCCGGGGAGGGCAATCACGTTGGACATAATATCGCAAGTTTGGAAGACGAAGGATTCCTGGTGCAACGCGAAGAACCGGTTGACAGCAAACTCGATGATGGAGCGGATTGTGGGATGTGACTCGGCATCGCAGTCGCCCACGAGGTCCTCCCCGAGAGACACCCCGCTCGGGTCAAGAGACTCCAGCTCTAGCATCCAGACGAAGGCAAAGCGTCGGCCAGTCTTCGTTGCAACTATGGTCGCACTGTTCCCGCGGCTTTCGCTGTTGACCAAGGACAGCGACTTCTTTGTCGCGAACACCGCTAGGAGCCTCATTCTGGACCTCATGCGGGATGACCCGACAGTGCTTGCCCGATCCGTGTTTCACAACATCTCGGGCGAGGCCGGCGATGTTGTGTCCGCTGTGGCTACTCTTCGGAACTTCCTCCATTGCGAGTTTGTCTTGCCACCAGGGATGGCTCACCACGTCCTCAACCATCTTGCCGGTTTCCTCAAGGCGTCGATGCGGCATACCGAAGCTGTGGACCCGCTACAGGCATATGGGTACACCTCGCCGCTCATCGCGAAGCTGGTTCCCCAAGTCAGCAAAGTCTCCATGCGCGACATACGGCGAGCGAAGGTCGACATGCTGTTCATACCATCCGGCACCTTTTGGTGGAACGATGCTGCTCCTATGGGACCCATGTTCCCAAGAGCGCTGGAAGGTCCCCGCAATCCATTCGAAACGCTTCCGCCTCCAGTCGTTTGGGTGACGATGGTCCGCATTGCGCAGAACATGCTGATGTTGAACATGCTTCGCCGCAACGCCCAGGATGTGAAGGTCGTCCGCAAGAACCTCACGGCCCTTGTGCTTCCGCTGATGTACGATGCGAGCCATGGAGAGTCCATCCCTTTGAGTGCATACATCCCCACGAAGAAGTCGACTCGTCCTCCATCGAATCCTGCACTCACCGCGTTGTCATTGACGCTTGTCCGAAGCCACCTACTATTGCTTCATCAGGTCTTCCGAGCTACCTCTCGACATCTCAATGATCGCGAAGAGCTGGGGCTCCTACTCGACGGCCTGAACCGTATATTGCTCGCACATGGCGACGACGTGGGGGTTGTAGCTCAGGCTATGCTCAGTACGCAATTTTCGACACGTTTGCTGCTACGTTCTCTCGATTCACTCTTGTTACAGACTATTTGGTGGCAAGCACCCGGTTCCGACGTCTCTTCACTTCTGGAGGCGGTTACACCCTTTTCATGCCTGCTGTCATCAAGGTCTAAGGCTCAGGACTTGGGCTGGGACTCGGGGGATCTGGCTGCCCCGCATCGCCGTCTGCAGTCGAACTGAGAGAGTCTAGCTGCAGAGTAGGGAGTCGTGCGACAGGCGTCTTGATCCACTGGGTCTTCGGATCCATCTCACCACGTTCCTCCGCCCACCCGACCTCTGAAAGTCGCCGCCGAAGCTCGAGAGGGAGCACATGGCCCTTACTGTCCTTGAAATCGTTCGGGTCCTCCTCCATTTCGAATAGGCTGGTACCGATATCCGTGGGGACAAAGACAATGGGAGGGCGAGTAAGCTTGAAAGGACGCCTATATGTCCGGTCCAGAATGACTTCTTGGCTCAGGAGCTGGAAACGCCAGCTGGAGATTGTCGCGATTCGCTCAAGAGTCGTCCGTCGTATCGCCGCATCCTCGCTATGTGATTTGATCAGTGCGAGTTCAGATGAGTGGCCTTGGAATGACATACTTCTTCAGGTCGCCATCGATGAGTCCCGTGAACTCCTCGGGAATCTTCTCAGCACATTGCATGATCAAGAAACACGTCTAACATTTCATCAGCATTAGACCCCAGGCACAGTGTCAGCACTCTTACCGGAGCCACGATATGAGTAGCATGGTCATCTAAATGCCTATACCATAGAATTGGCGTGATACGCATGTAGTCATTCGGGGTAAGCAAACCAGAGACCGTGACGAGTAGTTCAAGACCTGTGCTCTTCTGTTTGTCTATGAGACCGCGCAGCGTGGTGAGCTGATCGCTGAAAACCTCTTTCGAGGCGTCCTCCACGCCTGCTTTGGATGACCTCTTGTTGTATGATTGACGTTCTGTAGGAGTAGCACCTACAACAGTGGTGCGCCGCTAGAGACGCCTTGAGAACCGCCAGTTTTACGCGCCAGGGGCTTACACACCTTGCCGCCGCCGCCGATGCCAGATTTGGCCTGCTCGTACAGCGCCTCGATCTTCTTGAGAGTAGCGTAGACTTCTTCGTCGTCCATCTCCTCATCTGGATCGTCTTTGCCATGGAAGGAGTATGACGAGGTCCAATTCACCACGGAAGGTAGCCACGAAGCCCTGCAGTCGAGATATAAGACAGATGCATACGCGCAAAGTGGGATGCACAAACGGTTTGAGCGTTCGCGAAAGCAGCCTGCACTCTCGGAACAGAGCGCAGAGGATTAGTCGTGTAGAAGCAGGAAGGAGAGTGTGTTGTTCCTGTACGACCAATGAGACAATGTCCAAGACGAATCACATCGGCAGACTGTACCTTGTTTGCTATCAGCACGCCTAGCCTCCCCTCCAGATACATGGCGAATCTCGCAGAGGTCGCGAGCTGCACGTAACAACGTGAGTTCACGTGCACGAGTCACAGCATATTATCTGCTCACCACCGCAGGGTCCCTGGTCTGTCTGACCCGCCTCAGATGCTGTATCAGCTCGACCGTCAGCACCAGCTGCCCGTATCGTGCATGCCCCTTCCTAGGCCCATCGTCCGACGAAGTCGACGCAGTGCGCGCCGTTGGATCTGACATGAGCGCCACGGACACCATTTCCGCGTCGTGCGTCCACAGCGCCGGAAAGAATCGCGCGACGGAGTATAGTGCGCAGAGCTGGTTCGCAATCGTAAGGTCCTTCATGGACGCGGCGCACGTGAAAACGGGTTTGAAGAATGCCTTGGGGCAGAGGTGCGCGGCGTTATCGAGGAAGTCGGAGAGTGGAGCACAGGGCAGCTCGGGTGGGTCTTCCGTTAGCCGCTGTTGAGATTGTCAGCGACTCATCTCTATCTGCGAGGGGAAGTAGTACTGACGTCTGTGAGTGGAGGCAGTAGTTGTGGAATGACCAATAATTGAAATTCCCCCGGAAGCTCCTCGAGAAGCGTAGGTAAAAGACGCAGAATGATAGACCACTCTGTGTTCGCAACCTACAAGACAACCCTCAGCCATTCATTCGCATACATTCGAAAGAATACTCACGAAGTCTCGCAAGGACTTCTCGAGGCTCTGCTTCCACAGCCCGCCCCCCTGGAACCAGTGGCAAATGTACACCACCAAATATTCTCGATCGGTGCTCCCGCGCACACAGAATAGCTCCAGGACGAGCCGAACGATGTTGTTGCGCACGTCGCCCACCGCCGCGAACGCGTCGTCCTGCATTGTCTCGACCTCGGGCAGGATGCGTGTGCGAAGCAGGTAAATAATCGTGTTCGCATCCTCAACCGCCGTGCGCGCGTCGGGGAGCGAAGACGAGAGTAGGGAGATGGACGCGTTGATGAAGGACGTCAGTTTCCGCCAGTTCATGGTCGTGGTGAGGGGCGTGAGCGCCGTCGGCGAGTCAACGGAAACCCAGTACGCCTGTGCGGTAGGTAATTAGTGTGGTGACCAAGGATGATCTTGAGCAGCCACGGACCTCGAGCAAGCGGTGCAGGGCCCATCTTCTAGCAGCCACCGACCCAACCTCCAAACAGCCAATGACGCTGTCGGCGACGAGAATCTCTCTGATCATCTTGTCGTTGTCGCTCTTGTATCGTACGCCAAACTCCTTCTCGAGCGCAGGGGGTAATGGCGTACCCGCTTGCCCATCCTTGACTTTGGCGATGTATTCGGCAACGGTCTCCGCTTCCGACACTGTGTCAGACGAGGACCGCAGTACAGCAAGGAGGGAGAAGAGCGTCTGGAGCAGCGTCTGCATGATCGCCGGCGTCTCTACGCTGAACGTCTTCTCCCGCGAAAAGAGCAGTGCTGAGAGCGTCCCGAGGATGCGGCCGCGCGAGGAAGAGTGCACCGACGCGGCTTTGCAACACCAGATACACCGATCCAGTTCGGCCTGCAACGACGAATATCATGGAATGAGACGTGGATAGGCGCAGGCATACAGGAACACGCACCTCGTTCGACGCGGGTTTCCATGTCCTGATCACGTACTCGTACGTCTCAGCCGCTAAGTTCTGCTCAGTGCCTATCTGAGGGTTCGCATGCGGGCCAAGAAAGGGTACAAGTAATGCCGCGAGCACTTGCGTCTCGCATGGGAGTGTCCGCGGCCGGTTCTCCGAGGTCGAGGACGTTAGTGCCCTGGCTATATGCGTAACCGTCGGCGCCGCACGAGATGCCGCACCCAGAGACATGACGCTAGGCGGTCTCTTCAGGCTACCGCCTGTAGCTTGTCTCGCGTGTCCCATGAGGCCCCCACCTGTGGCCTGCCTCGCATGTCCCATCACTACGCCGCCGGCGGTCATCACCGACGACCCAGCGGTGGCTAGGAAGGGTAAGTGTAGTGTTGACCCAATGGTGTTCTGCGGGACTGGCTCCGCCTTCGTGCGCGTAGGAAGCTCTCCGAAACGCACCGCAAGACAAGCTTTGCGGATCTCCTCTGTCAGACGGCGGGTCTCGTCGTGTGTTACGTCGCGCACTTGATCGACCACTTGCCGCATGGACTTCTTCGGTCCGAAACGATACCCTCGAGGAGTTGAGGGCCGCGGTGTCGACGGAACCGAAGGGACTTGTGTGCCCTCAAGTGGAGGTGTAGGCAGAGGAGGTGGGGAGGTCGAGCGGACCGAGCTTGACGAGGCAACGACAACGGACCGGATAGTGTCCCAGCGTCGGCGGGATGGCGAGGGCGGGACACTGGAGTCCGTGGATGGTGTAGACAGTCCATTGGTGCCCAGGTCGAGCTGCGGGGGCACTTTCGCTCGTGCATTGAGAACACTTGCCTTTGGGGTGATCTCCGAAGAATTCGGCGGGTCCTCTTCCTCCGGGGACTGCACCACGCCTTTCTCTGTCCAAGCCTCCGACCCAGCGTTGGCGAACGGGTCTATCCCATCTTCGATCTTCTCCGCCAAAGTGAGGAGGTTGGATGACGCATTGGACTGCTTCCTCCAGTGCGAAGCGTCGCTTGTTACTGACGCGGAATCGGACTCTGAGCTAGTTCGTTTCTTCTTGAGATTGTCGAGAGAGAAGAGTCGTCGAGGAAGAGGTCTGCCACCGGACGGCTTCTTCCCTGGGGTGGACATTACAAGGTCGTCTATGCGCAGTGTAAGCAGTGTGTTACGATGCGAGACCGTCGGAGAGCAGGAGAGACGAGCACCAAGTCCTCCTGGTTCAGAGGAGAACCCAGACAGCCAAGACCATTTCCCAAGCTCCTGCAGATGTACGCGGCACCTTGGTACATCAGTCTCACATCGCAATTCATACCTTCTTTCCGCGCTCCCATGGCATCCCTGTCGATTCTGCCTCCACCATTGCATACCACAGAGGTGGACATGAGCTGATTGGTATGAAATTTACTCACCACGCGCAGAGGTTGGAGTGAAAGACCTCGCTCACACCTGCAACCCCGAGCCCAGCCGACAGTATTTGAGTGGTTCTGTCCTATGTTGCTCGGGCCGATGTCCGTAATGTCGGATTACCTATCCTGAAGCAAAACGAGAGTACTGTGCAAGAAGCCGAGAGAAGAGACACAAGTACTTGGAGGAAAGATATATTAGCGAAGACATGAACGGTGCTGAGGCGACCAGCGCAGTCCCGCACAGCACAGCCGTTAGGCGCTCATTCTTGGGCGCTTAAAGTGCACTTAAAATATAATTTTGGGAAACCTGCTGAAGCTTTGAAGCAAGATACGCGGGAGATGACCGATGAAGTCGCGCGTACCATCAACGTATTAGGGTACCACTGGACCCACGCGGCGCGTTCACGGTGCTTGTACAATCACGTGAGCGCGTGCAATAGAGGGGCGCGCGAGGCTCGAGCTGCGCGACGCTGGGCCGGGGCGCGAGCGTCCTCAACGAGTCGACCGGAGGCGCGAGGGTGTGATGGTCCGCGTTGAAGTTTGCGCCCATCACATCGTTCTGCGCCGCGGGTGACGATATGCCAGGTAAGCCATACTCAACGAGAATGCGCCCCTTTCGTTTACCATGCAAACCTCAGCTAGAAATACCGGAAAATTAAGTAGAATAAGCACATAAAACATCACCGGCCAGTCGTCATGAGTCCGACGGCCCTATCCGGTCGTCGTACTTCCGCAGAAGTAGACGGTCCACCCATCCGCCCTTCGGGTACGGCTTCTCCCACTGGTTATGCAGGTGCACCGCGAACACCTTCCCAAGCGCCTGGTCCAACGCCCCACCCTCCTCGCGCCCAAGCCCCATCGTCCAAAAGCCATTCGTAGGGTCAGTCAAGAATGGGTCCGGCAATCGGTTGTCCAGTCGGCACGAACGCGCGTCGGAGAAGCAGAAAGGGAGCACCTTGAACGGAGGGATGCCAGCGGCCAAAAGACGCCGGCGCAGCTTGAGATAAAGCAGTGCGCCCCAGTCCGTGGTCCCTTGGCGTGGTGGTTGCGATGTAACCATGACGTGGAAGGCTTCGCATAGATACGGCGAGTGTTTGTGGAAACGCATGAGAGCACCGTTCAGGGGCACGTATTTTTTGTCTGCAGAAAAGGTCAGAGACGCAGACAGCCGATGAGAAGCGAACGCACCATAACAGTCCCACTGCGTCACGAACTCATGCTCCAGGAGGGGCGCGAGGTCCCGCGTGAGGAGAGAGTCCATGTCGATCCACACCCCGCCATACGCCCAGATGACGAGCAGCCGCACCAGGTCTCCGTCCACCCACGCCTTCGTGTCGTTGATGTTCAGCAACTCGCTCCCCTCCAACTCCGTTCCCCGCGCGAGCGTGTTGTAGTCCACCGTCTTCAACGCGAACGAATCCGGGTATCGCCGCACCCACTTTTGCAAGATAGTGTTGTGCGTGAGGTCAAAGTTGGTCCAGAGAACGAGCCGCGTGCGTTCCAGGTCTTGCGTCGCGAAGTAGGACTTGATCATCCACTCCTGCCGGGGTCCGAACGGGGCAAGGTCCGACCGCCAGTAGGTGTGGTACTGAATGCGCTCGTCCGGGGGTATACGATGAGCTGGGGGGCCACGTACGAGCGGCTTAACCGTGCCCGCGAAGTCGTAGCAGTCCAATCCGAATTGCAAGGGAGTCCCCGCGTGGACCTCCGTGTGCCGAGGGCCGTACAGCGCGTCGGTGACATTATAGTCCGGGGAGACTCGGCGCTCTGAGAAGCACCCCGAGAGTGGTGGCACGTTGAGGACTTCTTGGCTCACCCATGAGCGGTTGTAGAACGCGATTTCGACGTGGGGTTCCCAGTAGTATAGTCCCCCGACGATGACGAGTACGGCGAGGGGCAAGGCGACCTTGAGGAGGTTGTAGAGGACGCGCGGGCGCAAGAGGTTGCGAATGCACGCATCTGGCCGCCGATACAGATGCGGTCGCGGTGATGGATATTCGTCCGTGTTATGAAGTGGAATGCTAACGTAGGAAGAGGACATTTGCGCGGTGGTCCGCCGTGTCCGGCTTACGAGTGAGGGTATAGTGGCGTTAAGAGTGAGTCCAAGCAGATGTCGTGAGCATGCGAGAGGGCCGTGAACGTCGAGAACGTCGAGAACAACGGTGGGAAGCAGGAGACGTCGACGTTCATGATCATCACGAACTCTCGCGGGGACGCGCAGACCGATGCGCGCGCAGTTTGATCGGCCCGCCTGTACACCGGATTTGGTAGGTTTGTACGTTCGCCGATTCTTTTAGGCTTTAGTACTAGTACGCCGGGCCACACATTCAGGCACAATATTGTGTACCACCCGACGTGCAATAAACCGCCAAGCATACAAGTAACGACGCTGTCCGCAAGGCAGGCAAGCTTTTTTTTATTCGGAACCGCACGATACTGGTACTTCGAAGTCGTCGAAGCCGAGCGCTTCCAGCATGCCGAGTCTGTGCGACTTGTTGTAAACACATTCGAGTCAGTGTAGCCTTGGTGCAATACACAAAATGAGGTGAGGCGCAAGATATATATCCTATGGCAAAGGTACCGCTTTGGTGCCTCTGGGGTATACTCAATCGCACTTGTGTATACACCCGGATGATGTAGCTTCCTCTGCTATTACGTGCCGGTCTCCATGACTGAGATATACTATGAGATTGCACACCATGCGTTCTAGCGAGACGGGCTACATTTAAGTCGAGAAAACAAGCCGGTTTACGGATAGTATGGCTTTCCCGGGGAGGTGCGGTCCGGACCGATAGCTTCAGCTGTCCCGCCCGGGAGAGGCAGAAAAAACTGTAATTGCTTACCTCAAAGAACACCGAGAAACGCAATTTGATGTTTCAGCTAACAATGAATTCGTCGGTCCGCATCCAGCTTTGAGGTCTACCGGCATTGCACCGGCCACCTCAACCTCCGGAGTGCGGGAAGGAACGACAAAAATACACACATCACTAACACCGGTTGCGGTGAGCTCTGGGATGACCTCAACTGGCGCGAAGCTAGCGTTGATGGTCAAGATATCCAGCAACCAATTTGGACACGCCCTCCTCCGAGTTCCTGCCGGCGCGCCTCAAAGACCATATGGATATGTGGCGTACGCAGCATATCGGTTATGCGGCGTACGCGGTCAGGATAGCGGTTGACTCAATGTAGGCGAAGGCACCAGGTAGCCAATGACAGAGAACGAACACGGCGTGGTTCTCCAAAGCACATCGCTACCGCTACAATTGTTCGACGAACTCAATGCGAGGGCACCCGCTATGTTCAGGCTCATTTATGAACGCCCTGGGTGCAATCACATTTCGGACCGAGGACCATGACTATGCGACGGTGCTTACTTAGAACGTCGGCTCTTTCTGTCGTTCGGGCGGCCTGCTAGTTTCGTGGCCCGAGGATTGAGGGATGCGGTTGCCAGTTGCCGTCTGTGTGCGGCACCGAGCGTAGGGTGTGGCTGCGGGATAGAAACACACTTCTTCACACACACCGGGTGTTTCGCGCCAATGTGAGAAGACTTATCCTCGGTGTGGCCTTCGCTACCAGAAGGAAGAGAATAGCTCAGCACCGTATAGATGGGTTCAACTGCGATGACCTGACCAAATTTAGCACCCCGCTCTGTACCCGTGCAGTGAGAGCCGTACCTTGACATCGGCACAATCCGTGAACACGTCCGTCGTCGAGCACGCTAAACATGTGCTGCTAGCCCTAGAAAACGAGAGCAATCCGAATTCAGCTGTGGCAACCCGCCGCACGGACCCCCGGGCAACGCACCTCTCAAAGTCGTACCCGGTGAGAAACGAAGCAGCAGCGATGTCGCGTCGCTGTACAAGCACCGTGCCACGGTCACATGGGCGCATACATCGACGTCTTCCTCGCTCGTCCCGCGATCGCAGCCGCTGCAGGTCGCGCGAACGTCGCCCTCGACCTGCACGGCTGGCTGCGCATGCATATCACGTTAGGCGAGAATGCAGCAAATGGACGCGCGCACATCCGCATCCATACCACGACCTACCGGTGGTGAGTGGATCTCGCGGGCGTCGGAGCGCAGTGAGACATGCCTGCACCTGAATGCAGCAGCCGCGGCATTTTCCCTGGGCCACCACGACGGTGCCTGCAAGGCACCGTGCTCGCCACACGTTCAACGCATGGCCATACACATACAGCATACGCCGTCAGCTACCCAAGTGCCGAATCGAACAGAGTAAACGGAACATACCGGGTACACACATAATCCACCTGTCTATGCATGCCTCAACAGGAATGCAAGGGCTCGCAGACGCACCTGCAGCCGCTACAAACTCCCTATCAGCACCCGCATCCCCAGCACGACATGCCGGAGGTCGACTGTATGCGTATATTGAACGTAGCCAAAGCGGCTCCGAACGCTAGTGTCCATGTGCAGATGCAAGTCCGACTCGAGAACAAGTCCCAAATGAGCAAAAACGCATAGCGATTAACGGAACCGTAGAGTGAGCGATACATTTTACGAAGCAGCCATATTTACCGATAACGAGCGGGGGCGACGACGACGACGACGGGGGGATACTGCGATGCGCGGGCGGGGTCGTGAGTGTAGAAAGGTACGTGCATGTGTAGATACATCTGTGGGTTGCGGGGGTCGGGAGGCTGGTTATGCGATGGTGAGAGTTCGGGTGCGGGCGTTGCGTAGGCAAGAGACTGCGGACGAGGAATAGTGAGGGATAGTGATGTAGTGGGGCAAAACGAGCGAAGAAGTTCGGAGCTGCGAGAAGCAAACGGACATGAATTCGAAGAGATGGGAATAGGAGAGGGGACGCGGGCGTGTGGAGGCAGCGTGTGTATATCACCGAACGTCCATGGCACTCCACAGGCCACACTGGATGTCCGTGCATGAGGGGGGTAGGTCAAATAAATGGGTAAACCAGAATAATAAGGGGGGGGTGCAAGAAGACACGGGGGGCAACCCCAGCCGGGGCTGCATCATATGAGAGGGCTACAAGCAATGAGCACCGATGCCAAGATAGAGCACGAGTCCGACTGCCCCGCATGCCGCAATGTCGGCCGACGCGGACCAAGAACACCAAGAGGAGACCATCTCGGCGGGCCTACCACGCCCTATGCCCGGATGGCCGCAGGCATGTGGCTCAGCCGTCGCCAGAACTTCCAGCTCGGCTTCTTCTCGCTCTTCTCGTGCGCGCTGCTGCCCGTGCTGCTGCCCCGGGGCGAAGCCGCAGAAGAGGACGATGTGCACGCCGACTCCTCCGAGTGTGGTGGAGTGGGCAGCACCCGTTCGTGCGACGCCGAGCCCGCCATAGGCGAGCGCTTCCGCGACAGCGCATGGGGCGCAGAGTTCGACGCAGGCATGTGGTGCGGATGCGAAAGCGGGCGCGCATGCCATTCGGGAGTCGATGACAGCAGCGGGGCCGACGAGCTGCGAGCGCCCCTCTCGAGCGCGCGCGGCAGGCTCTCGCTCATGCTCCGCGGGTTGTGCTGCATGTGCGCGTTGCCCGGGAAGTAAGACGACTCCGGCCGCGCCGGCCGCGCATCTGGGCTGGGCGAGGAAGAGCTCGAGGGGTCATCCGAGGGCGGCATGATCACTAGGTCCGCGGCGGTGGCAATCCATGCGCGCCTCGAGGTCTTTGATGTGGGCATAGCACGGGCCTTGCCTGCCCCCGTGTTCGATGCGGACCCCGCAGCGGGAGAAGTCCCCGTTGAGCCGGGTACGGTATCCGCGTCCAGGGCACCGCTGAGGACGATGTCGGCGACTGTCCAGTCGCCCCAGTCCACGATGCCCGGTTCGCAGCCGACCGTCTCGCAGAATGTTGACGCTTGCATCACGTACGGTCGCCCACGTTCGAGCATCTCTCCTCCCGTCGCCCCAGGTGTGATTGTTTGCAACGCGAACGAAACCAGGAACGACTCCATGCTCTGTACAAGCTTTCTCCTAGGACCGGGTTGAGCATTGGGAGGTGCAGGGGGTAGAAGGTGCAGCAAGAGCGCTTTTGCTGGCGGCGGAGGCGCCGCGCTTGTCAGGTTGAGCGACTCGCCGCTCTGGTAAGGCGGCGTTGGGGGGAGGTAGACGGACGATGAGCTGCGGGTGAATGCACCGAATATCGACTGCGGTCTTTGGAAGCGTGAGGTGGAGGATGACGATGTCGTCCGTGAGCGTAGGGCCGGAGGTGCAGGTCCGTTAGACACCAAGAACGGTCGCGAAATCGTGGTGACAAGAATGGAGTTCTTCAGCAATGCTTTGTCCGAGACGTCGGCAGGAAGAAAATTGATCAAAACGTCGAAGGGTCGTTGGGATGGGTCTGGCCGCGGCAACGTCTGTGACGACTTGCGGCTGCGAGTGAACCTGCCAGATGAGGATGACGAGGGGCGGAACAGGGAGGTTGGCCGAGAAGGTATGAGGGACTCCGAGGAAAGATGTGTTGACGAACTCCCTGGCGAGTTGGGAGTACTCTGCGAGCCGCTGAAGCGCAAAACGTTCGGTGGTGCAAGCTCGCCGTGAATATCGAGCTCCTCGGACAACTCGAGGACGCCCGAACCGCCGTGTTTCCGCCATGTTCTGGCAATCCTCTCGGCCCATTCCAGAACGTTGACGAACCGGACAGCACCAGCATCTTCCAGGGCCAATGGTCCAGACAGATGTAGTATGCGCACAGTGGGGAGGACGATGTGCGGAATATCAGGTGGATTGTGGGTAGCGAGGATGACCAGAGAGTTTGAGAGGTGTTGCGACTGGAATAGCGGCGCGAGCTCTTTCAGAGTAGGGGCTGACGACACATTAGACCCTAGCACACAACCAACACAGACAACGAGCTCGACGCACCTCCGAGAACAAAGATGACATTCCGACGTTGATGGGCTGTTGCTGCGAGGAGGGTGTCTATCTTGAGGAACCACGGCTCGCCGAGTGCGGTGGCGGAGACGCCTGCGAACGGATCGAGCGGGAAGCGCGGCTTGAACACGTCGGGCTTGCGCGACCGGGTCGGGCGTGGCACAGCGAGCCTGCTGGAGGAGGCGACGGCAGCCATGCTGGAAGAAGACGACGAGGTGGTGGGTGAGAAGTTGGAGGGGGCGATTTGCACATTGTGAGGCCTCCACTCTGGCGTCATATCTGGGCCGAAACGCGGCAAGGCGGCCAAGACCATAGGTTCGGTACGGGCGCCAGGGGAAATGATAGGATGACAGTCGATGACGATGGCCGGTAGGCGAGAAGAGGGCGAGCGGCGAGGAGAACGACGAGTACGATAGAGCAGAGGACCTCGCCGACACGGTCGTCGACGCGCGACGGAGCGAGCAGGCGTGGCAAATGCAGCACAGAAACGGGCGGGGACCAACGCGGACCTGGCGGCCACTGCTTTGCTTTATGAACAATCCCGATGGCGTACCTGTCCGATCCCGGCCCTCTCCAATTGGAATTCCTACTTAATTCCCCCGCGGAGCCTAAATCCTATCGCTGTCAATCCCTTCTAAGGTTCGCGCGGCGCTTTGATTTCCTCCGAAGTCTCCGATCTCATCTGCCAAGCTGCCCGGCTTTTGTGCGGACACGAGCACAACCTCTCTCGCTTGCTCAACGTTCTCAGCCAGCTGCCGAGCGTCGTTTAGCTGCTTCGACAGCATCCTCGAATTTCTATCGTCGAGTTGACGTTAGCGACACCCACGGCGTATCGTAATCAGCATCCCACACCGCCCATCACCAGTCTCAGTGCATGCTAGACCAAAGCTGTACAACATATATGCAAACCACAAATCCGGTCCTCTCCGGTGCATTTCTAGCACCATCATATGCATCGCTCGTCGAGTCTTGCATCTCTGGGCTAGCGCAATCGCGCACGATACGCAGTCGGGTTTGTTTCTGATTCAAGACTCCGCGAGTGCCCTTCGGGTTAGATAGAGCCGACCGGTGCAATTTCCTTCGGACTGCGCGGGCTAAAGGCTTCTCGGCCTCCGCAGGGCTTGAGCGAGCCTCGGCGCGGGCTTGGTACTGGGGCTATTATTAATGCTGCGAACGACGGTATCACCTCAAGATTGCCTCACGAGACCTCAAGTGAAAACGGCACTTTCATTCGAGGCTTGAACCTGCTACGATGAAGGGTAAGCAGCCATATCTACCAGCATCTACCAGCTTCCTCGAGGTATACCAGAGACTCAGATAGCATGCGGAATATGGAACCATGTACCCGGCGTGCGCCGTTGACTCCCAGTCGCGCTTCGGTAGTATGTACCAACCACCCTCGCCAAGACGAAGACGATCCTAGTCCGGCGAGCGAGCGCACACATCCGGCCGGGTGCGCGGCGCTCTCCGCCCACAGAAAAAACTCCGCTCGCCTTCAGTCCGCTGGAATCCACAACTCGCCATCCGGGGACCCGCTCGCTGCACTGATCGTTCGCACACCCTCCCGGCAACCCAACGCCGTGGAGCCCACAACTGACGCGCTTCGCCATTCAGCGGCCCTAATCACGCGGTGTCGCGAACGTGCATCGCGCAATTACAGGCGCGCGTCCATTCTAAATTCGCCCTCCACAGCAAACGCGCGCGGAGGTGGGGGTGACGGCACGGAGGTGCGTACGAGGCGGACATGACGGTAGATGCGGACGCATGACCGTCCGTCGGGGGAGAGCGGCGCGCGCGCCGCGGTACCGACCCGGGCGTGCGCCTTCTCCGCAGTCCTCACGGGTCCGCAAATCTATCCCGGGCCTGCTATTTGTGCGCGCGAGAAGGGTTATATCGAGATATGAATACGCACTGGAGTAGGGTATTTTTGGCGACGATTGTACTCGTTCAGGGATGCGTTGAATCTCCCGTGTGGATCCCGGCCTTTCGTACGGGGGCGGAGTACGGTCGTTCCGCACACTGGATGGCGTGCACTACGACGGGCGCATGCACTGATGCAGCCGAGTGGACGATAAAGTGGGAGCGCGGACACGTATGCGGGAGTCCTGGTTGAGGTGAAACGCACAATACACAGTGTGTCCCGCTTCCCCGGCTTCGGGTCGCTCGTATACAGCACTGTAAACATATAGTTAGCGACGCCAGCTTCGCTCGTCGATGCAGCGTATAGCACCTTCTTGTCAATAAAGTCCGATAGCTAAACCTACATATAACCTCACTGCCAAGCCATGACTGACCTCGACGACGCTACAAGAGCGCAACGGTCCATTCGCGTCTCCTTCGAGATCCCTGGGCGTGGAAGCCGGAATCCATGACGCACGGCACGCAAGTGCCACCCTGCGCCCGACGTCATGGCGTCGTAGAGACGCTCCCACAAGTCCGCGCCACAACGGACTGGGGTCTGCCAAGACGGTGAGTACCGCACTCGTCCCACTGGATGACGCTCTCACCCAGTAGCTGGTAATCGCACTCCCTCCGCGCCGTGGGCCAAATTCAGGTAGGTTCGGAGAACGACCCTGAGGTTACAACTCCGCTGGATCGCCAAGAGTTAGCCTCACGCTGCGAAGGCCGTATACTCGGTTCCGATGACCGACGCTCAGTCGGTACGGCGGTTATGGTAGGCAGCTTGCTTAGGTGTGGGCCGCGCTGAACGTAGCGAGAACGCGCGAGTACGATCGTCATAGTGTGCATGACGTGGCCATACGTCTCTTCCATTACGACGTCGGAGAGGCTTCTTCATGTGCACCTCATCTGTGAGAGGACGTCGTCAGAGATTGTGGCCTACTTCGTGAGATGAGGAGGTCCGCATACCTGTTTATACGAGCTTCCTGTAACTATGTACAGTTACGCTGCCCATCCAGGACACAACGACCGCGGAATTTGTACGATACCCGAGGAATACCGTCCCTCCACGGTTCTTCGACAGCGGGAACCAGAGCCCGTGCAGGAAACCCGGGGGATCTCGGAACCGAAGAGTGAGCTACTTACCGACAGCATGACCACCACACGCGATGCGCAAGACCCGACGCAACTCCACCGAGACCGATGTGGGAAGTATAAGAGCAAATAGCGTATGCACGAGGCGTGCGGGTGTACATTAGAAGGGAAGCTTGGAGTACGATACCGCCCGGGCAGGGCTGACGGGGCTTGGCGTCTTGCGCTGGTACGTCTATACACACAGTGAGCACCATTCGCGGATGCAACGTCCGTCCGAGGCCACGTACCGTCTTGAAGCGCGCTATACGCTTGCTCATGTGCTTCATGAGCATGTCGCGCTTCCAGGTGCGCTTGTCCGCCGTGCGCTCCCACTTGTGGCCCTTGAACATGCGCTTCTTGCCCGCATACAGGCGGTTCCCAACGTCCGCACCCTTCACCTCCTTCTCCTTGAACTCGCCGTCCCACTCGATCGCGGCCGTCCACCATTTTGCCTGCTCCGTCGCCTCGGCTGCCGCCGGTGCGGATGTTGACGCGACCTCGATGGCACTCGGGGGCAGCTTAGGCCCTGGGGGCAGGAGGTGCAGCAGCCCGCTAGCCCGCGCGCTCTTGATGAGCTCGGCTTGTCGCCGGAGCGAGTATTTGGGTGGTGCCCATCGGCCAGACTCGGGGTTTTTGTGGGGGAGGAAGGGGTTCAGAACTTTCGGCCGTGCAGCTGAGAGCTTGGGGTCGGCCTTGAGAAGAGGAGCAAGCTCGCGAACGCGGAACTGCTTTACTGCCTGCAGTGCCGCCGACATAGCTGCTCGTGGACAGCAGAGAGGACGGCGAGATGGATGGACGTGCTGGAGGAGCGGCGCCTAAGACTTTCGAATGAGGCGCCGGCGATTGGTAGTGTTACATAAGCAACGCGTACCCGATATGGAATGCCAGCCAGCAGTCAGCCTCATTCAAGCAGACCGCCAGCTCAACACGGTACACCGTCCCTCTCTCTCCCTCATTCCCCTCGCTGCCTCTCGGACTCTACTCCATCTCTAATATTCTACGGCTGTATCCAGTGCGTACGAGCTCATCTGCACCCGCACCGTACCGAGGACGCTAACAGCGGGCATCACAACCAGGTCACTTCCGATGGAGCAGCAGTCCAAGGCTCCCCAGGACGTCCGCAATGTCGTCAACTTCCTGCGTAGCAGCAGCGCGGGGATGAAGATCCGAGTCGGCGTGCTCAACGGGAAACGCGTAGATTACTTCAAGGGTGAGTCCCGCGCCACGCTCTCCGTTTATTTCGGACACGTATTCAGACCGTGCCCCGCCCGTCCAGGCAAGGGTGCCGTGAAGGCCCTGCTCTCGCCTGCGTACGCGAAGCTCAAGAACGTCCCGAAGGTTGCGGACGAGGCAGAAGCGCAACAGCTGCTGCTCACCATCATCCCCTTCGCCTTCTTCCTCCGCGTCGAGCGCGGCGCGCCGTCCGGCACCTCCTCAGGCTCCCCGAAACAGCTCCAGATCACGCAGATGCAGACGTTCGTCGCGACGGACTACTACGCGTGGTTCTACGAGGGCTCGCAGTGGACGACATATCTCGGCGGCGTGGCCATGGTCGCGATCATGCTTGCGGGCGTGATGTTCCCGCTCTGGCCGCCCATCATGCGCCTCGGGGTGTGGTACCTCTCGATCGGCGTGCTGGGCCTCATCGGCCTCTTCTTCGCCCTTGCGGTCGTACGCCTCATTTTCTACATCATCACTGTCATCGTCGCCTCGCCAGGCATCTGGGTATTCCCCAAACTGTTCGCGGATGTCGGATTCGTAAGCACCGCCCTCTGCACACTTCACCGAGTTGCACTGACGCTCAGGTTGCGTTACAGGTGGAATCATTTATTCCGTTGTGGGAGTGGGACCTGCCGAAGAAGAAGAGCAAGAAGCGGCGCGCGGAGAAGGGCAAGGACGCGAGCGGCAGCGTTTCGCCAGTCCCTTCCGCACGTATAGAGGAGGTCCAGGACTCGGAGAGCTCGCGGCCAGCAAGTCGCACAGCAGCACGCGTCGAGGAGGTGCCGGACGAGGATTGATCGTGTGCGTCGTCGCCGCAGGGGTGTTGAGGGCTGTATTACGCTGTATCTATGTGCCTGGACCTGCTACTCTTCTATTGGGATATATAATTTTACAGCACTGAGCTACATGTGAAATGCGTTAATCATGGCAATCTTGCTCGTACGTCCGAGTTGAGCGGGCTAAATATCTTCAGTAACTGATGCGCACCTTTGAAGTGATAAAGTGGCTTAGTGGAAGGTCATAGCTACTCGAGTATCATGGCACAGCTGCTGAATGGAGTAGGTACCTATGTACTACCCATATGAGACGTTCTTGATGCAAGTTTGAGCGTCGAGAGGTATTTGCCAGTGGCCTCGTTGTAGCTCTCCAGATTTGAGTTGCGTCTTGGAAGGGGGGAGGGGTCCCGGTGTTCCTTTCTTTCGAGTAGATACGCATGTCCGGTAGATCTGCAGCATTGCATGGGCATGTACGTCTTCCGGGAACGACCCTCCGCTAGTTGTAGTGTAAGGGCAGCATGCAAGGGGAGGGGAGGGCATCGCGGCCGAGGATATGCGCTCATGTGACCGCGCCCCAATCCGGCGCGCTCGCGTGTGCCTGCCTTTGGGCTTTTGGCTACACCGCGTACCACACGCGATGACGCCGCTTTGCACAACTTCTACCGCTACCCCATCTACTCTGCCGAACACTTGCACCTCAGACTCGCTATAACATGCTTCACCGCGGCTACGACGTCTGGATCAGCGATGCCGACGACCGCCGGATCCCCGAGTACAACATGGAGGTGGAGGGCGCGGACGGGAAGACGGTGGCATGCTACATACCCAGTGAAAGCGGCAAGGTGAGTAGCGAAGGCTCTACAGTATAGATACTGCTCTTGTACCACTCGTGTATCAACACTCTTGAAGCTGACGGGTAGCGGCGTCTGTAGCGCTTCATCATACACTGGAAGGACCACAACGGCCAGCATCATACCAGCTTCAAATGCCTCCTTGATGGCAAGTGGGCTGGAGCCAACACATGCAGGCCTAACAGCGGCGGAAGTCGTATCGGGTTGCGCACGACGACGAACAAGGACAGTTACAGCCCCTACCAATTCGCGGACCTCCGCACGACAGGTGAGTGTGTGACATCTAAAACAGAGCTGCAACCGCGGTACTAGTTCCTCGAACTCGTCCTTACTCTGGCACTGCTTAATCACCTGCAATAGAGGATGAAACTGCGCTCTGGGCTGCTGGCTCCCTGGAGAAACTTGGCACCATAGAGGTTCGCGCAGTGCGCATACACGCACACACACGGACCGTGCCGTTCAGGCCCTCCACCTTCCACAGCGTGGACGCGGTGCACGAACGCAGCAAGAAGCTCGGCGCGCACTGTGTAACGTGAGCTCTGGTACAGTGCCTATGGGGCGATGTCTCTTAGCTGACCGACGTTCCGCCTCTTCACCAGCCTCGGGGCGACGGTCTCTCATGGACATGGAAAGTCGGCTGAACAATGTTTCTCCACCCCTCTATACCCGCACGAGGGCTCGTACGCTACCTTTATCTTCCGATACAGGCCTACAGGTGCGTGATTTTCAATTGAGTGCACTAGGACTAGTAGGAGTACGGTGTCGCTGACTGGGACTTGAATTACGATATAGCGCTCCTTCAGGCGCAGGGAATCATCCCTCCCGCGGCACCCGCATCCGGCCAAGGCTTCGGTGCGGGAAAGGGCAAAGCACGCGCTCATTCCGACGAACTATCCATCTCCGGCCCGTCACACATCAAACCCGAGAAATCAAGAGGAAAGGACGAGGCGAAGGCGGAACCCGCCCGAGCCTCGGGCTTCAATTCAGGTCCAGGCGACCGCTCGGTGCTGTCGGACGTCATCGAGCTGTTCGACTCTGACTATGAAGAAGTAGATGTGAGTGTTCCTTGTCTCCAGTATGCTGAAGGTGCGTGTTTGTTCACAACGTTTCCTCAGCGCAAGCCTGTCATCCACCGATCTGGCGGGGCACGACGCGTAAAACCAGAACGCGTCGAGGCCGATCCGGACGACGTGATAGACCTGACGCTCGACGACTGAGGACTCGGTAAGTCGTGTACTCGCACCCCTTGTCGCAAAAGGAGGATGTTCTGCTGTATAGTTATTCGTAACCTGACGTTGCAGTTTCGTCATTGTATACCATGTTTACGGTCCAATCCGCATGCCTGGTGGGTAATTTCCCCCACATCTTTGTAAAAGTTACGGTTCAAAGGCTATGTCTCATAGCCCGCCCGTGATAACTAAGAAGCACGAGGACGACGGGTACAAACAGGAAAAGCGGGACAGTTTTCCGCCCTGATACTTGCTGTGAGCCAAACTCCGACATCTGGTGCTGAATATCATGCAAGGCTGTGACAATCTTCCTATGGTCTCTCTGTTGCGCACAGCGCCCCGCAATGAGCTCCCTCGTCTGATGAGATGTTCGCAGATGAGTTAAGGGCTTCGGATAAATGGAACGGAGAGGCCGCGACAGACCTGAAAGATCCTCAGCGCGTGCTTCAAGCTTTTCTTGTGTTCCACAAGGGCTTCATCGTGCTTGTCCTTACGCCAGAACCGGCGCCAGGCGGGCTTCCTCTCCAGACGCGTCATGGTGTTGACGATCTGCTGCATGCGCCTGCGCCAGACCGCACGCAGTTAGCTCCCGTCGCGACGACTGGCCGGGGCTGATTAGAGAGCATTTCCTGCACACACCATTCGAGTTCGGCGAGGTGGACCATGGTCTTCTCGTCCAGCTCTTCCTCCGGCATGTCGCTGGTCGCGTCCACCACGGCGGACACGACGGCCCTGGCTAGATTGGCCAGTTCCTTGCACTGCTTGTGGTTGCGCTTTACCCCCTGGGAAGATAGTGTCTTCAGTTAATGTTCAGATAAGCGAAAGAGTGAGTGGGGCTCACCTGCGCGCTCTGCAATGCTATGACTACGATCGACGAGATCGCCTGCACAAGGGGGATCGGGGATCCCACTGTCCCCGTAGTCTTGGCTGCCACGATGAAGGGGCCGAGGGGAATACGAGATATGCCTCTTCCCAGGCGGCGCATTTCCCTACCAAGCCAGGCGAGCCGCAACAGCTTTATCGAGACCTGACGAACTCGCGCCAGATGGGTAGACATGGCGTTAAGGGCTGCGACGAGATATTTCGCGCGTCCAATTATTGACACGGGTAGGTGAAACTTGAGAGAGGGTGAATAGGAGCACGCGGTGAAGACCTCTCACGGTGAGCCCGGGTATGGGTCTCTTAGCCTGCAAATACGGGCGGGGCGGGGCGGCCTCAATGACTTCGAGGAGAACTTAACCAGTGCTTCGTTATTGGGGACAGATATAGACGCTTCCAAGGGCTATTCACGTTGGCAGATAGGCACACCAGCTTGAGAGTTCATTGGATTAGAACCTGCTGATAATAAGTGATGCCTAGGGTTCCTTACCGCTGAGACCTTCTGCGCGACCACGCATTCGCGCTCTGCGCGTGTTATGATCGAGGATTAGTTGAAGCCAGACGCGCCCGCTCAACAAACCAAAGGCAGAGTTGTATCAATGGGCGCGGAGTGCAGGTCTCACAAAGCAACCGGTAAATATAGATTCAGTACTCGGTGCCCAAAAAGGTGACTCACGAGCTGGTCGGACAACTTTCGCATGGATGCATAGATATGTGTACAACATTCTGAGGTCCGGGTAACCCCTACCTCGTAATGCGTTGTGGTATGAGGTCAAGACGCAAAAGCGTAGGGCGAGCCCCAGGACTCAGAGTCACTCGGACGATCGCGGTCCCAATCTCGGCCTGGCGTGCGCTCATGTGACCGCGCCCACAGCTCGGCGCGCTGCCAGTCGCGTACTACTTGCGCCACCACTGCAGTACTTGCACCACTTCTCCTGTATTCCTTTCCTTCTGAACCACATCGAACTTGGTCTTTGCACAGTATGTTTCACCGCGACTACGACGTCTGGATCAGCGACGTCGACGGTCGCCGAATCCCCGAATACAACATGCAGATGGAGGGCGCGGACGGGTTGAAGACCGTGACGTGTTACATACCCAGCGAGAGCGGAAAAGTGAGTGGAATGGTACTTGTAGATATCCTTTTGCTGTACTACCTATATGCCATCGCTTACGGAGGCTGACGGACGAGGCCTGTTTGTAGCGTTTCATCATTAACTGGAAGGATCACGGCAGCCCACATCACACAAGCTTCAAATGCTACCTTGACAGCAAGCTGGCTGGTAGAACTACATGCAGACCTAATGGTAGCGGGCATCGCATCGGATTGCGCACGACGATGGACAAGGCGAGCTACAGTCCCTACCAGTTCGCAGACCTCCGTACAACAGGTGCGTAGTGCTTCGAGTATCGCTGTATTCCCTTCATCGAACACGAGAACAGACGACGAAACTGCGCTATGGGTAGCGGGGTCTCTAGAAAAGCTGGGCACTATCGAGGTCCACGCAGTGCGCATCCACGCACACAAGCGTGCCGTACCATTTAAACCGTATGGCTTTCAAAGCGTGGATGCGGTTCATGAGCGCAGCAAGAAGCTTGGCGCTCACTGCGTAACGTGAGTGGACTGTCGTAGACCGCACCTGCAGTGCTTAGTGACGTTATACTAACGGACGGCATGTATCTACCAGCCTTGGTGGACCGGTCTCTCACGGCAAGTCGTCTGGACATTATGATGTCACGCCGATATATCCGCACGAGGGTCCATACGCGACCTTCGTTTTCCGTTACAGGCCTCCAGGTGCGTGCTTCTTGACTCGTTCGCGCTGAGGGTTGTTCCGTTCACTAACGTGTATGTGACGGTATAGCTCTCCTTCAGGCGCAGGGAATTAACCCTCCCGCGGCACCCGCATTTGGCCGAAACTTCGGCACAGGAAAGGGCAAAGGACGCGCCCATTCCGTCGAACTTTTCATCTCTGGTCCGTCGCGCATCAAACCCGAGAAATCAAGAGGAAGGGGTGGCGGGAAGGCGGGGCCCAGTCATGCCTCGGGTTCAAATTCAGGTCCAGGCGACCAATCAGTGCAGTCAGACGTTATCGAGCTGTTCGATTCTGACTATGAAGAAGTAGACGTGAGTGCTTATTGTATTGTATCTAGGTTTATGCAAGGCGCGTCCAAGCTGACGCAACCTCACAGCGCAAGCCCATCATCCATCGGTCGGGCATGACACGACCCATAAAACCCGAACGCGTTAAGGCCGATTCCGGCGACGTGATAGACCTGACGCTCGATGATTAAGGGCTTGGTACGTTTCACATGCAAATCCCTCATCGCAAGCGGAGCATGTTCTACTGTACGGCTGTTGGTGACCTGATATTGCAGTTTCGTCATTGTATACCACGTTTACGCTTGACTGGACATGCCTCTTCGTCCGTCGGATACCCCCGTAGGGGAGTTGATGCATCGGAAAGATCTGGTCTAGAGGTGGGGACAAACCTGAAAAATCCTCAGCGCGTGCTCCAAACTCTTCTTGTGTTCGATGAGAGCGTCATCGTGCTTGTCCTTGCGCCAGAAACGACGCCACGTTGGCTTTCTCTCCAAGCGCGTCATGGTGTTGACGATCTGCTCCATGCGCCTGCGAGAGGACCTTAGCTCCGGGTGAATAAAACCGATGACAAGGTTTTCTGGACACACCATTCGAGCTCGGCCAGGTGAAGCAGGAACTTCTCGTCCAGCTCTTCTTCCTGCACGTCATTAGTCGCTTCCACTACGGCGGACGTGACGCTTTCAGCCAGACAAGCGAGCTCCTTACACTCCTTGCGATTCCGCCCTACCACCTGAAGCACATACACGTTGAGTACAAAGTCTGAGCGAGGCTGAAGAGGCAACCTAGACTCACTTGTGCGCGTTGCAGCAGTGTTATGGTGACTGACGAGATCCCCTGAACGAGAGGGAAAGAGGACCCCACATTGCCCGCGGTTTCGACTACCGTGATGACAGGGGCGATGGGGATACGGGATATGCCTCTTCCTAGATAGCGTATCCCTCTACCGAGCCAGACGGGGCGAAGCTTTGCGGGCAACGTCTTCGAGACCTGACGGAGTTGTGCGAGGCGGCGAGGCATAGTGTTGAGTGAGTGGTGTATCGATAGTTGTCCGTCCTGGTAGGCGGAAATCGAGAGAGGGTAAGCAGGGGCACGTCTGCGTTTGCGAGGTCGGCCGGACGTGCTGCCTCGCGGTGGACCCGAATACAGGTATCACAGCCTGAAAACCGCAATGTCAGACAGACTGCGGCGGGCGCATGAACACTGAGGCAATGCATGGGCGTTACAGACCTCGAGAAGATGTTCATTTCCCGGACTCTTGACAGATACCAATAGAGGGTGTTCCTCGGGGCCTGGCACCTCGGCCAACCTACGAAGACGGCCCGCGTGCAAGGTAGTTTACCAACATCTCGCCTACGTACGGTCTGAAACGTCAAGAAAAACTACGGCGGGAACGTAGTTTCAGTCAATGTGCAAAGAGAAGTTTCTTAGGGAGGTCGATGAGCAAGGGCTGTGACAAACAGCATGCACCGAATCCAAGTCGACGATGGACGTACGCAGATGAGTGCAAACCACCTCCGGGCTGTAGCGCTGCCAGTGCAGTGAGGGCGTGGGAATTCTACCCCGATTAGATCCTCGCTCACCAATTCGGAGTCTTTCGGAGTCGGCCTCAAAGTACTGGCTCTCTTTCTGCTCCTACAGGCCTAACACCCGAGTGCGGGATGGAACACAACCTCGTCCGCATAGTGCGCAAGGGTAACATCAAGACGTGTGGGAGACTGTTTTTCCTTCCAAGACATGCGCCACTGGCTTTCCACGTTTTCTGGTCGGCCCACTTCATATAGTACTAGTAAGTACTATGCTTCGCCGAGCAGCCGCCTTTACAGTCCAAACATACTACAAATTGACAGCACTCAGAAGGTAAAAGTACATCTTAGCCCGCAATGGTCGCTCCAAGGGATCTCCAGGGACTCCTCGCCCGGTCTAGGCACCTCAATAAAACCAGGACGCAGCACTTCTATCTCCTCCGCCTCCAAGCCCACCATCGCAACCTTGTCCAACCTGCCCGGCCGTCGCACTGCGCCAACACCCCAAGTTCCGCCATCAGGGTCTGCGCTCCCGCGCAACGCGACCCACGCATCGACCAGTCCGTTCTTGTCGACGAGAGCGTCGTCCTCGCGGCTGATCGCGTTGAAATCGCCCGCGATGATACCACCGTCGCACCCCGGCTCGCGCAGGACGGCGGACAGTATCTCCAGCTGTTGGGTGCGGTAGTGCAGTGTGTCCCAGAGCGAGTCGAGGTGCACGTTGATCAGATGGAGGATCGTGCCCCGCGCGCCTGGGTGGACGACCTCCACGCACAGGGCATCCCGCCGGTACTTGCTCGGGAGTGGCATACGCGAGACGCGTCCGAGCATGATCTTGTCCCGGCCGTCGACCCCAGTAGAAGGTTCTTGTGGCGGCTCCAATCCCGATGCGAAGCGCGCGTTGGACAACAACGTCATGGTCGCAAAGGGCACGTTTTCAAACGCCGTTTCCTCCTCAGCGTCGGTTGCCAGGAAGGCTGTACGCACGCGCGCATCTTGCAAGAGAGCGACACGGACGTCGCGCGTGACTTCTTGGAGAAAGACGACATCGGAAGGTTTCGGAGCCTCGAGGATGTGGCCAAGGATGAGCTTGGCGCGTGAGATGGGTCGTGAGGAGAATGCGTCCATGTTCCATGTTGTGAGAGCAAGCCTTTGAGGCGATTGGCTCTGCGGCACCGCGCTTCGTGCAGACTGAGATATGACTGTCCACCTTCGAGTGGAGGGGTTGAAAGCAGAAAGGGCACGCCAGATTCTGTTGGCGGACATCGTGGTGTGTATGTAGGTTAGCAGCACTCCTGGCGTCCTAGGGAGGACCGGGTCAAGGCGGAACTCGCCCTCGGGACAAGTGAGCGTGCAATTAATATCGATCCTCGAGTCGTCCGAGAACTCCGAATGTGAAGAGGTGAACGTAAGTGCTTCATCTAGCGAAGAGGCTCATCGAAGTGCGTGTTATGCTCACACGCAAGGCTGTCCTCCATCGGCCGCATGCATTCGGTGAGGCGCAGCGAGGCAAGCCGAAACATGTGGAGACCGGCTGTCTTTGAAGCTGGAGGTCTGACTACATCACAGACCCTACTCGGGATGGTTGAAGACTCAGGATACACACTGCATGAAACTCGGGCCTTATATACCGTTTACACAAGGAAAGCAATTTAAGAGTTGGAGAAGCGCGTGGGGCGCGGCGTACCGCATACACAGGCAAGTATCATCACGTCGTGCTCACTTTGTAAGCTTCGAGTGTCGATGGTCCCAACGGCAAGACGAACGAATTGTCAGAGTGCACCGATAACCAGGAGGCTGCAGAATAAATCTCCTACATCGTTCCACCTCTCCTTCTCCTAATTCCGAACTCGATGGGCACACCGCGATGGCGAGATCGTGCTGTTCGAAGTAATCGCCCAAAGCCTTCATCTCCGAGTACTCTGGGTCTACTTGAGTATGGGCCCGCTCTCCTGTACAGCCACGAGCGAGTGCGTCCTGGGCGCGAATCGACGGACACGCGTCATCCAACGACTCCACGCTGACCTGCGCGTGCGTCGGGGCGACAAAGCTCGATATTGTGCGCGGCGTGAACTCGCTCGAGATGCCCAGCGCGACGCGGATGACGATGAGCGTCGGCGCGATGCCCTAGCGTGTCTCCGTTAACATTCGCCCATCGTTGCAAAGAGAGGTGAGAAGGAAGGGGGCTTACTTAAATCTGCACGGCCATGACGGCCACGACACCCTGCGCAGGGTGCCCCAGCGCAAAGAGTACGACGAGCACGAGCTGCGCCACAAGGTAGAGTAGGCCGCTCTCGACAACGATGGCCATCACATGGTGCGCGGCGCGTACGGTGCCCCCGATGTGCCCGCGGCAGCGTTCGTCCGGCGCGTGCACAGTGTGCCAAAGACGCGAGACGAGAAGTGCGGTTGTGAGCACGTTCGTCGCGAGCGGGAGTGTGTATCCCGCTAGTCCAAGCTGAACAAACCCTGCGGGGGCGAAGGGTGCGGACGGGTCGAGCGTGAGGACGAGGTACATAAGTGTTATGATGCATGCTGCGGTACGATCGGGGTAAGGTCGGGGGAGTTACGAAGGAGATGAGAGAAAGGAGGTTCAGTAGGAGCACGAGCTAGATTGCTTGCGTCGACTCACATAAGCCGGTGATTGCGGTGAGGAAAGGCAAGAAAATCACCCAGTATTTTCTGTCCCAGATGACCCAGCAGCGGTAAAGCATAATGAAGTCTCCAAGAACGTCGCAGACGGAGATGAGAATATCGGCGCCAACGAGCTGCGTCGTTTTGCTGGCATAGTCTTCGATGCCTATGTCCCGCTGTATAGTTCCTTCAGCTTCAATCCAAACACAGTGCACGAGCGAGGTGACGTACGAGAGTAGTCACGAAATGGTAGAACTCAAGCACAAAGTGAGAGGTACACGAAGCGAACAGTGCACAGCTGAGAGCGAGGATCGGCGCGTTTAAGCCACGCGTCGGGGCCCGGCGGACAAGCAAGATCACAGAAACGGAGAAAAGTGCCAAGTAGAACCCTGCGCGGGCCACATGGTCAGCTGCATACCATGGTTAACAGGGTCAAAAAAACGCACCCCAGAGGACGGCTTCAGAAGCGAAGCCTACGAGGGCAGCGAGGTCGTTCGAGAGAACCATGTTGATAGGAAGCTGAACAGAGTCGAACCGTGTACGAGGTAGATGTAACAAATGAGTGGGAGAACGGGGGCGGGGGCTCTTACCGCCTAGTAGTTATATATTATACATAGTGCAGTGCCCCGCCATGGGGGCGAACAACAACTGGAAGACGACGCGCAGGACAGGTGCGAATCTGATTGACCGCGATGGCACTGAATCCGGGGACCAAGGGGCGTGCGCTGAGCTCGAGGGTATAAACGGTTGTGCAGGTGCCCTATTACGAATGTGGCGGACAGAGAAGGCCGAACGTCCGGACCACGAAGTGTCACGGTGTCTGGCAGCTCGTTGTCTGTGTCAATATATCAACTTTCACCACATCTAATTCATCCGCACGTGTGGCGCTATGGAAGAAGCCGAGCACAGTCAGCATACAGGGAAGCTAGTTGGCCCGGGTAAACGCAAGTGGCATCGACAATAATTTGCTGAACACACCCTTCGAGTTGGGCGCAGTAGCGAGAGGTCTTCTCGCGTAGCTTTTTTGCTCGCATGTCTCTCACGGAAGCGTTGACCACGACGGGTACAATGATTGCGGCCAGACAAGTCTCCTGCACTCCTTGCGAATCCGCGCCACTTCCTGGGGGATGTATGGTTTGAGCAACAAGATTAGGCGTAGCTGGAGCCGGCTCACCTTCACGCGTTTCAGCACTGCGAATGCGATCCGGCATGTTACACGGAGCCTGAGGGATCCATTGATCCCGCCTTGCCCGTAGTTTGACCGCCACCACAACGGGGCCGAGGGGAATACGGGATATGCCTCTGCCAATAATGCGCATAGCTTTACCTGATTACCAGGATCGAGTCGTCTTGGTCAGATTTACGCACCCGAGGGAGTGGAGCTTGTCTCCCCTAGGCAGACGATATATGTGAGCACACATATACGTCTGCTTTCAAACGCGCCCTCCACACTGGAGGGTCCCCATTCTTCGGAGTTGGACGATGCCGAGTGATCCGGATGCCCAAACTGAGTAAGGCCGCATTGGGAAGGCCGTATATGGCTATTCTCAGAAAGGCATGATTCGGCGCTACTGACTTCGCCTCTCAGCGCTCTCCTGCTGTCTTGAAGTCGCTCGTCCGCGTGAAGGTCAAACCGCAGCGGGGCTCAGGAAAACCTTTGAAATAGGCTGTGTATAACGGCAAGACACTACAACCAAAAGCTGAGGATACGCTTACGCGTACCGAATGTCATACGAGGTTTTTGCTGCATTTGAGTGACCTCGAGCTCTTTTCGCAGAATTGCGACAAGCTACTCCTCCTGTGGCAGTTTAGCTACGCCGATTTACCTTTAAAAGATCACCCAGTTGCTGCAAATCTTTTCTGTGCCCTTGCGGCTGCTCCGCGCGTGGCCATGGTCGTCAGGCGGCTGCGATATTTCAGGCTCGTGGGTGTAAGTCCTGATACGTACTGGATGAGCCTCGATTGGACGCTCGCCGTGTCGCTATACAGATATTTCAATCAAGGTGACGACATACGCCGTAAGTAGCTCCAAGGAGACGTACAGGCTCGCTCCTCCAAGGGAAATTTGAGAGCACAGCGCTGGAATCCTTACCCTCTGGTGGTCGAGTTGCTATGTAAGTATGACAAAAAAACACCATGGTATATGTTTTACTAATCCTATCGATTTCTTTGGTGAACACCCTGCGTGCAAAGTTGTGCATAACGTGGCGGAGGTGCCAAAACCGTAAGTAATAACGGTGTGGCGCGAGAACACGCGAGCGCGACACGTCAAGTGTGCCTGGTGTATAGATCTTGACGCGTTGTCGGAGATCAACTTTCTGCTGACAAATCCTAAAGTGGGACCCTCCAGTGTCGAGGCCCAAACGCAAGCAGACTAGAGTGGAGCAGTGTTTGAAACCTGCCAATGGCGGTGGTCGTTCTCCTGCGCCTTATCTGGTCCTCTGTCGGCCAGATGCGTTCGACAAGCTGTTCTGAGGGGCGAATGGTAGGTCTACAGGCGAATCCAATGAGTCACAGTATGAAGTCTGCCAGGGTCTGCACCCATAGAGCCTGAGGGTGACGCGGCCAGTTGACTCGGTGCGGGCACGTAATTTCTCTCATACTCTAGTGAAGCACGATGGCCGAGTTTGAGGTGTGCATTGAGATGCAGATGAGCTGGATGAGCGGCATAATATCATCGCCTCCTGTGGCGCTGTCAGTGCGAACGAGCGTGAGAACTTGTCGTAAATCGTCGCGTCACCTCCCTCGGCGCAAGTGACCGCCGCACTCCAAAGAATTACACCGAACACAGCTACCCGCAGCGGCCTTGACCGACTACGCTACTACAATAAATTAGCACAAAAAATGCCTGGTGGTATACCTACGTACGTAAAGCAACAGTTGGCGCCGAACACGAATAATGAAGGAAACAAAGAAAGCAACTGTAGATGCGAATGAGGTGTGCAAGTCCGTGACGCCGGTGAACCAATGAAAGTATGGACAACAGAGCCGAGTATAGACATGGGCATGACATGCGACATAGCGGGTGTGGTCCTGGACATGTGGGAAAAATGGGTGGCACGGGCGATGCTACAGCGCCAACAGCGCGCCCAGCAGCAGCGCCGCGCCGCCCGCCGCCATGGCAGACGCCATCCGCGTCGCGCCCGCCCGCGCGCCGCTCGTGTCCGCCTGCGCGAGGTTGGCGACGAACTGCGCGCCGCACGCGCTGTTCACCGTCTGCGCCGCGGCGGGGTACGTCTTCTGCAGCGCGGTGAGGTTCGCGCCGTCCGCGGCGAACGTGCGCATCACCGTCTGCACACAGGATGTGCAGCTTGGCACGGTCGTGTTCGGGAGGCGCAGCCCGAGCGCGAGTTGGTAGAGGTACAGGTCTGACGGGTGTGTGCTCTGTGCGGCGTCAACATAGCAGTACGTGTTCGTCGCAGTGTTGATCTGGCACGCCGCCGCGCGCATGACTGCGTACGCCTCGAGGCCTGTGGGAGTGGGCGCGACAGCACTGTAAGTACACATGTTCACGCTATAGTTAGAATGGGGGGCGGCGACTCACCGGCGACGGCGTCCTGCACGATCGGGTTGTTCGCGGAGATGTCGCCCTTACATTGCGTTTGTATGTTGTTCGCGAACCAGCCCATGTTCGCTACGCACTGGTCTGCGCTGGGATCGGTGTTGCACGTGCCCCATATAATGGTGTTCAGAAGGGAGATGTTCCGCTGGCTCTGCTTCGATCATAATCCAGGGCGCGTTAGCTTCCTTTCTCCACATCATCAGACGGCCCCACTCCAAGGTACAGTACCTAACGGGGACACCGCAGGACCGACGGGGAACCCACGCGAGGCAGTGGAAAGAAGTATTCCGCGTTCACGCGCGGGCCCCGATGCGGCGCGGCAGGCACCCCCAGACAAACGCAGACGGTGCGAGGGTGTCCACGCACAGAGGCAGAGAGAGCGATAACCAGGACGAGAAGAGCTTGAATAGACTCACTGTGATAAACGCATTCGAATCCGAGACGAGCAGCGAGAACGGGCGGCACGTGCGGAACGGCAGCCCTTGCGTCATGTTCGTGAAGAACGTCTGGCACCCCACCGTCGTAAAGTTCGTCGACAGCGAGTCGTCAAATGGCTGTGGGAACGGCGCGGGCAGCTGAGGCGCCGTCGAGGGCACCTGCGTGCTGCTCGAGCTCGTACCAGTAGGGGCCGCGGACGCCGAGGGCAACGCTGACAAGGTCGAAAATGACGCCGTAGAGGCAGTAACGTCGATAGTCGTCGCCGCGTCCACTGGCTGTGGGTGCCGTTTGTGTGGCTGCCAGGACTTCCCCGACTCAGCCAGACTTTGCCAGTTTGACCGCGGCCGGAGCGCGTCGAAGATCGCGGGGTGGGTGAGGTACCGCGTGGACAGACCTATGAGTACCAATACGAGGGGAATGAGGACGACCGCCCATTTTGTCCTCCGCCCGGTACGCTTCTTGTGCAGCAGCGCGTACGTGTAGGGGTCCTCCTTTGGCGAGAGCGGGGTGTCGTTTACGTCGTGAGGCGGGCGCTCGGGCGAGGAGCTGCCTGTGCGGGAGCAGTGCGGGCGCAGGAATGGGTCGTCCGTGACATCAAGTGCGCGCAGGGGCTTGGAGGCTGACTCTGCCGCAGGTGCGGGGTGTTGCACGCGGCGGGGCTCGGGCGACGGCGGTGGCGTGAACATGCGGCAGAGGCGGGGTATCGAAAGAATGAACGTGGGTGTGGAAGGAGTGACGAGCGGGCGCGGGGTGCTGCGAGGAAGACGTCCTCTGGAGAAATGTGCAGAGGCGCTGCGACGGGCTCTTGGACGAGGGGCGGCAGTGCTGTTTCGGTCGGAACAGATGAAATTGTTAGGAACGCGATCGCAAACTGAGGAACCAGATGGGGCGCCCTATTTGGAGAGGGTAGGACTGTGGATAGACGAACCTTGAGCTTAGGGTATCAAGTGGCGCGAACGGCCGTCAGGTCAACGAATGTCGACGATACACGGCTGAGGTGGCAGAGGGCGAAGACAAGGTGGGGGCCACCGACGACGGTCGGAAAGACGTCGAGCAAGGCCTCTCCAGCTCAGGCACATTCTTTCCCAAAAGTGATCGACGCCCTGGCCGGCCCTGGCCCAGACCCGCGGGCGCTCGCCGCGGTGTGTGAGCGTGTGTATCAGCCACCTCCCATCAGTCCCCGCGGAGAGCGAGCCAATCCGACTTGTGCTTTGCATCTTTGCGAGTTCGTCATCGAGGTCCTGTGTTGACGCCGCAAGACCACTGGCATCAATAGCCTTGCCAGATGTTCGCGTGTCTGACATAACTTAGCCTTCGGGCGGGCGCTTGTGGTGTCGCTATATCAAGAGTACTCAGGGGTTTGCGGCAGAGTCAGAGAAGCCCAGCGTTCTCACCAAGGAAAAGGCGAGCAACGCGCGAACGCTACGTTGACCCTTGTCCGTTTTGCCTTGGAAACAGTGTCGCTAATAGACTTGTGTAAAGGCTCCGTGCTGTCAACGTCAATATTGTGCGAAGCATCGAGCCACGTGGTCATTGAGAGCATGGCGAACGGAGAATACATGCGTGTGTATCCTCGCAGGGCAACGCAGCACGACTTGATGCGTATGGACTATAGCCCGTCTTGGCATCTGTTCGCCAGACAATATATATTGGGGACCGCGGGCGGTTGTGTAGGCGGGTGCGAAGTCCGTTCGGCGTTGACGGGGCATGAACCGGGCTTTGGGGCGTTCATGAATCGCCGCCGTCGTCACGTTGGGATGCGTTTGACAAGGTGACAGTCAAAGCTCAGCCAAAGTTGTTGCCATAGTTGCCATAGGAGAGCGCAGCCCCAGGGAAGCTCTTAGACAGAGTCAGGCCTAGGGTTCAGTAGTCCAGGACGAATGGACGGAGGCGAAGACTAGCCGAGGCCCATGAGGACAAGTACTGTGAAGGAAGACACAGAGAGGTTCTGTCATGTAGGGAAGCCATCGTAATGTTGAGAAACATTCCAACAGCCCAGTTGCCTAAGGCGGCGTACTTGGAGACAAGGCAAGTGGAGATGAGCCTGGGGGAGTGCTGAGAGGAACGAGGGATCCATCTCGAGTGTCTAGATACGCCTCTAGGAATGTAGACGGTGATGGACGAAGAGTGGGTAGAGTCTTCTACGGTGCCGACTCGGCGTGGGTCCGACTGCGGGGCGGTCACGGACAATCGTCGCCCCAGCATGCAAGGCACGTTGTGCAGGATAGCAGTTGCGGCGAGCATCGTATATCCAGATTGTTGTCATAGCGTTGAGAGCTCGCCGGGCCACAGTACAAGAGGAGCTCTTCGATGGAGTACCATGCATCCCAATCGAGCAGGAGCAGAGTTCAGCTATATACTATGACACGGCAGATGGTATTGTGCATCATACCTGATGTTCCGTCCCTTCAGCTGACCTTCCAGCGTCGAGTTGTGGTGTAACGTTCTTCCAGGTTCGATACAAACGCAGAGAAAGAGGTTTTCATGTCGCGCGCGAGGAGGTCCCTGATCGGTGTTGAGGTGGACAGAGAGCGAGTCTATACCAGGGTAGTTAGGGTAAGATGCGGAAGGGACTCCCGAAACTTACTACTTTGACGTGTGGGGTGAAATGGAGACAGCGAAACTTACTATTCTGCCCTCATGTGGGGGTGCGCGTTTGCTCACCTCGCGCTACCAGTCTCCCGCGCGTGTCGCGTCGCGCTTTGCTAACATGCATGCAGCGATGCGCCATGCTGCCATGACGCGTTCTCATGCATCGCGACCGCGCGGGAGTGACTGGTTGCGGTCGCGCACGAGCACCCGCGACCGTGGCTGGGGAGGAGGTGCCGGCTACGGCACTTGGGGGTAGAATGAAAAGTTTCGCTATCCCTGTTTCACCCGCTTGTGGAAATAGTAAGATTCGGAAGTCTTTCCGAATCTTATCCTTACCACTTTGGTCGCTCCCCACAGAGAGCTCCGGGCGCGCGCGTGGCTGGCGAGAATGTGGCCCCGAGCTACAGCGACTGCGGCGGGTGTGGATCAGCACACAAAGAGACACGCAGAAGCTCAGAGACAGAAGGCTTCGCGCGCGAGTAAGGCAGGGTGGATAGCGGTGCAGGAGGTGGGAACCAGTGCCGCAGGCGAAGTCGCGGAAGGTTTTCGTCATGCGCAGCAGCACTCCCAGTGCAGAGACGAAATCCGCAGTTCCAGGGCCCCAGGAGTGTTCAGGCTCCAAGTGCAGGTCCAGAATATCTTGTTTCGACGCTGAGCGCAGCGGCCTTGCGAAGCGTTGAACTTGAAGTCTGGAGCTTGTTTGTGCAAGGCCAGAAAGTTGAACCCCGTTGGTCTAGAGAGCTCGCAGCAGGGCATTCATGAAGGTATATGCCTAGAGTAGATGGAATCAGAGACACGAGCGATCTTTTGAAGTAAAGCCATAGTAACCTGTGACTAAATGCGCCGCCGTTCGTAGTACCGAAGACGGCGAGCCCACTGCAATCCATGACGTCACCGGCAGAAGGTAGACTCGTTCGTCCCAAAAGCAACGATAACTGGATGTTGTGGCAATGGTTGTCCTGCAGAAAAAAGGCTGTGAGTTTCAGTGTCCAGCGCACGCGGTAAGGGAGTGGCAAGAGGAAGAGTTGCTCATTGCAAGGCCGAGAAAGATGTCTGTCAATTCGTGGTCGCGTTGTTGTGCCTTATGTACGCGCGGAAGCCGGTGATTGCATCAAAGATAACTCCACACAAATAATATCGGTATCTTTCCTCGATTGTCTCAAGGCATTAATGGGGTAGTGGTAACCTGGGTCGTTGCCATCGACCCGCCGGGGGTTCGATTCCCCCTTAATGCAGGAACTTGTTCGACGCCACTCATTTTGTTGCGGGCAGACAAGGAACGACTCCAAATGACAGGCATGTATTGTACATACATGTGCGGTAGTACTTAAGGACTTCCGAACGAGTCTCGAGAACCCTCGGCGTGTCCGTACCCGAATTCCACGCTTCATGGAATTCAGTAAGTTTGTGTAACTGCACCACAGTCAGTACGATGTACTGGTATCATTGGCGGTGGCTGCGAACGCGAGGGTCATGTAAATATAGCGACCCATGGGAGCTGGTCAAGAGCACCGCCGGCTGTCCACAAAATCCCGTATCAGTCTTGTCTGACCGTTGCATGAACGAGACGGCCCGCGCGCAGCACCCAATAGGAGGCCTGTTTCTCACTGCGCGCTGTCCCGCGCTGCTGCGGGCCGTGTGAGGCGTCGAGAACGGTGAGATTTTGAGACGTTCCGGAGGCCGTGCTGGGCCGTTCACGCAGGAGAGTGACCCAGGCCTTCCCAAACGGGGAGGCGGTGGCGGGAGGGGAAGATCGAGGAGGGAAAGTGACGTAAGGTTTGGGAGGCGCTTGGAGGCGCCGCGCAGGGACATCGTCTCGAGGTGGCGCGATATTCCTTTTCTTAAACCACTCCGTGCGAGCGTAGCCGGCCTACCTCCCTCTCCGTTCCCCTCTCCTGTTCCGCTGCAGATCCCTCGCTACGCGCCTTATACCACCCCGAACGCATCGTTATACCCCCTGCCGTGACATACAGAATAGGACACCACCATCACACCAGCACCGCCATCGTAATTGCCAAACATGCCCCACCTCCGCGTTCTCGCTGGTCCGTCCGAGACCGCGCTTGTCCCGCTGAAGGTGAACTCCGGCGTTCCGGTCAAGATATCCTCCGACGCGTTCGAGGGCGAAGTCGCGGTCTTTATCAAGGGCCTCTCGGACGCCGAGGGCGGCAAAGAGGACAGTGACTACTTCCGCAAGCGAAGCGGTGTTACCTGGAGTATCCAAGTGCAAGGTACGCGCTCCGCATGACCGTGGTACTCGTCGCGCGTGTGGCAGGGCACTCACGCGTAGATTAACGTAGGCCGATTCCTTCGCGAATACAGCGCGGACGACCTCCTCTTCGGCAATGTCTTCGAGCGGCCATTCAAATTGCCGTGGGGATTCGGCGCGGCTCTCAAATTCATGCAGTACGTCCTTGTCGTATCCTGTCAGAGTTCGCCGACCTCGGAGCGAAATTACGTTGAAGTCGGCGCGTGGTGGTTGGTGCAGTGGGCGTACGGGATGTTCTGACGAACAGCAAACTCAATGCGGATACGCTTCGTCTCATCCCTCGCGTGTCAGCCCTCCAGCGTCCTCTAGTCATTGCCACTGAGCGTACTCCGAACTAGGGTCGTTCAGTGGTAAATGCCTTAACGACCACCATTGCCGCGCCGGGGATTCCGGAAGTCATGAACTGGATTTCTGTCACGCAACATGTTCCGGATCGGAACAACGTGATGATAGAGTCCTGGATGTCCTCTGTCGCTCCCATGCGGAGTGCACGCTCGCGAATACTTCTTATGTCTCTATCCATTGCGGTCAAGATACACGCTGACCCTTCCGCTATCAGCTTCGTAGACCCTACCTTGGAGCACGACCTGGCGTCACGCAGCAAGCCCTGGGCGCTCTCCCCCCTCGTCGCGACGATGCCGTACTTCCGTTCACAACGCAGCACCCCGGGCACGCCTGCTCCGCAATTTCCGCCTAAAGAGCCACTGAGCGACGACGCGTCGCAACTCCGCACGACGTCCGCGTCCACGTCCAGCCCGGGAGGCGGGAAGCTCAAAGGCAGCCCGTCCAAGCGCCGTGGATACTTCGCGAACGCGCTGCGTCGGCAAGAGGTTGTCTTTGGTCCAGAGGTGCGTCCTCTTTCTCGTCTTCTATCTGGATATCCGCTAAAAGACATCTGGCGTCTGATAGGACATCGTAACCACGGACTTCTGCTACGACTTCCTGCAGTTCAGCCATAGTGGGATCGCGCTGCGCCTCCCAGGCGGCATCACCATTGACGTGATGAAGTACTGGGACGGCCAGCCGGTGCGCTTCGTGTGCTGCGAGCGCGTGAAGAAGGGCGAGCGCGCCGATAAGCCATGGGGCCGCATCCTGTGGTGCGTTGTGATCGAGCCGGCGGAGGGCGATGCAGTGCCGGTGTACGAGAAGGGGAGCGCGAGCAGCAGCGGGAGCGGGAGCGACGTTGATTGAGTGCGCTCATCGCGGCTTGGGGTTTGTGTATGATAGTTTCGGGGTTCGGTGGACAATATTCTGGATATTCTCTTGTGTAGCATAGTAGACTCTTGGTTATATACGGCGCAAAGCGCGCCGTCGAGCTCTCCACATCCGCACCTCCCAGGGCTGACAGTGACAGCGACAGATATATGCGCCCATGTGACCGTGGCGCAGCGCGTGCGTATTCCAGGCAGCCTGGGACTCCGGAGTTCCGAATGCTGGGAGCCGGCCAGAACAAACGCCACACAGGCTGTCTAGCGACTGTCATCTCTCACGAGGCCCTGTCCTGGCACAGTCGTTTCCAAGATGCTGCACAGAGGATATGAAGCGTGGATCGCCGACGCCCAGGGCAAGCGCTTCGTCGAGTACGGCACTCGTGTCGACGACGGTGGCGATGCCACTGGACGAACCACGACCTGCTTCATTCCCAGCGAGAGCGGCAAGGTAAACGTTCCCTCTTGCGCCAATGCTGACCGCTTGGCAGCCACTGCTAGATTATACTCACAGAGGCTCTGTTACTACCCCTCCAGCGCTTCATCATATCCTGGAAAGACCACAGCGGCGGGCACCACTTCAGCGCGCGGCCCTATATCGACGGCGTACGCATTGCGGGAAAGATCTGCAAGCCCGGCGACAAGCGTTCGCGCAAGGCCGTGCGCACGACCTCTGCGGACACGTATAATGCTCTGCAGTTCGCCGATCTGAAGACGACCGGCACGTACCGCGATGCCTCGCCAGTGCCCGTCGACTTGCTCACTCCGTATCACAGACGACGACGGCGCCGCGATGGCGCTGGACACGCTCGGCACGATAGAGCTGCGCGTGTTCCACATCCACGCCGAGACCCGCTCGAAGCCCTTCCGGCCGTCCGCCTTCGACGGCGTGGGCGCCGTGCACGAGCGCAGCAAGAAGGCGGGTGCCCACTGTGTATCGTACGTCGCCTGCATTGCTGTGCCGTGCAGCGCGGCACTGAAGCGTTGATGCTCCGCAGGCTTGGTGACACAGTGGACGACCCTGGCCTGCCCTCGCGGGCGCGCGGGCACAAGGTGTGCAAGCTGCTGAACCCGGCGGATGGCCCGTTCGTGACCTTCGTCTTTCGCTATCGGCCCGCAGGTAGGCCGCCGCTCGTTTGAATGCGTCGGATGTCTGCTGACAGATCGTTCGTAGTGCTCCTCCAAGCGGAGGGAATCATGCCCTTGCCTGCCTCCGAGAAGGGCAAGGGGCGGGCAGGGCCGTCCGCTGTTCCTACCGGGGGCGGAGTCAAGGCAGAACCATCACGCCATAACAGCACGGGCGCTGGCGCGTCTCAGCTTACGGCCTCGTCGGACATCATCGAGCTCACCGATGACGAGGACGATGTGAGTGTCGGGTCTTCGGAGGGTCAGGATGGGAAAGGGTGGCTGATACTCAACAGATACCGCCTCCCGCAAAGCTACGGCGTATACCCTCTCTGGGCGGGGAAGACATCAAGCAACCCTTCAAGTCGCCAGTCAAGCAAGAGATGTCATCCCGGAGAAGGCTAATATATGACCCCGACGATGTTATAGATTTGACCTAGGCGGACTCGTGCCAACGAGCTTGAGCTATGCTCCGTCGATCACTGTTAGCGCTACTAGCGCGCCCACATCGTCAACGCCGCACCCAGCGTATGTAGGCTGGCGTGCAGCAGATAGTACTAGCGTTAGGCGCTCCCCGAGTGTCCTATACTCGACGGTGGGACTCGTATGCCGGTTATAATACAACACGAAGCATTCTGCTTGTGTGTCGCGCCACGCTACAGGACAACGAAGATACGGAGATGCCTTGAGACTCCAAGCGCAAGCAACGCCGGGCCACCGTAGCCGCCATGCTCCGGCGAGTCGAGTGCGGAGGCGCAGGGTTTGCGCGGTCGTAAAGCCGGTGTCGCTGCTTACCTTGGGCGCGTGGATGTAGCTCGACGTAGTAGCCCTATTGGGGCGGCAATACATGGCGTGGGCGTAGTGCAACGGGCCACACAACCCGGGAACGCTGAGGGCAAACGAGGACCGAGGACACAGCGAGAGCAATGATATTCGAGTTTGGAGGGTATGCAAGCATGAGTAGGTAGAGCACAGCGACGTACATAACTGGAACAACAAGATTTGAATGAGAGAGACCAAGGGGGGACACAGCGGGGGCAAAGAGAACGAGGTAGGAGCAGCAGTTGGATATATAGAGCGACGGGCATGAACGACGTACCGACTTCAACAACATAACAGACGATGCGACGGATATGGGGAACAGACATTGGGACACAGACGCAGGGTGTGAACTGTTCTGGAAAGGGCGTAGATCAATTAGAGATGGTGGTGAATATACAACAAGAACGCACACATACCACAGGAAGAGGGCCGAACGAGCGGAGCACCGTCTTACTGAGCGTGAGGCGGGTCCCCATGCCTTTCAGTCGCAGCCGCTTCGAGACGAGAGAGTTCTTCGCGCATGCGTGCCAATTCCTCCTGCAGAGCTCCCTCGCGCGCCCGTGTGGCTTCCTTGCGCGTCCGTGCGGTGCCCTCGCGTGCGCGTTTGGCTTCCTCGCGCATCAGTGCGGCTCTCGCACGCGCCCGTGTGCCTTCCTCTTTCGCCTGTGCGATTTCCTGTAAGGCCTTCTGGATAGCTTCGTCAAGCTCATGCGCCTGTGCTGCAAGTTTCACCAAGGCTGTCTCCGCGCGGCGCCGTGCGACACAAGCCCGCGCTTCCTCCAGGAGCTCGCCGACTTCCGCTTGCCGTAACTCGTACTCCTGCTTAATTTCGCTGTCGTCCAACGAGTCGATGTTCCGGTTCGTGACAATCTGGAACAGGTTCTTGAATGTCCCCGCCTGCCCCGCGAGGACTGGTTCGGTAGGTAGGTCAGCCTGAGGTCCCTCCCGCGGGGACCGTTTGAACGCAAGAGAGAATGGTGTTCTCTGCGCAGCGCCGGGTCTTACTGGAAGGTCGGAAGTGGCGTCGCCAAGAAGTATGTAGAGAAGCATCCCGGAAAACCAATAGCATTGGCGTTCCATGAGGATGTAGTTCGGGACGTGGAGGTTGAGGAGGTCGGCGGCGACAAGGAGATTCAGAAGGGAAGGGGCAGACACCTCGTCGAACGTGTATTGAAACACAGTTGTATCGGCGTCGGTGTAATCGGGATTGAAGGTGATCCTGTCCCTCCCCATTATAGGGTAATCTTTGGGTACAGGGGAGAGGGAGTCGGAGGAGCCTGAGGGGGTGGCCGGGTCCACGGTGGCGGGGGTAGCGGGATCCATAGCGGGGGTGTCCGGGTCCGTTGTGCGTTCGACCATGAGCTCGCCGATGACACTGTCATTCGCCCAAGACCCATTGCCGCTGATGACTTCCACGAGAATATACACTCGCTCAAAGATGCCTTGACCTGGGGATTTCTTAAGGCGTACGGTCTGAATGCGCGCGCGAGAGAGGGCATCATCTGAGTCGGAGTCCGAGAAGCGCCTGGCTCCGATGTATAGCACCAAGGTGGGGTTGGGGTCCATTATCGACATGCTGATCCGAGCATTGAAAATACTGTCGAAGAGAGAAGGCATGCGTAGTCGAAGCACGCGGCGGACGAACTTCGCCCAGAGCCGAGTGAACCAGGTGATAAGCATGGTGTGTGGTTCGTGTACCGTTCACAGGGAGCGAGGGTGATGTTCGTCAATACCAGGTCGGTAGCAGCGTGAACAAGTCCCAAGCGTTGGAGTGGTTGTGCGAACCAAGTTGGAACTCGTTTGCGTCCGACGACTCGGAGCTCCGCTTTATATAGTAAGAGGCGCCCACGACGCGTGGCTGCAGCACCTCCGAATTCAACTTATTGTCTGCCCACGGAGAGCCAAGGCTCGACCCATTGCGCGGCGGCTCTCCTTCCTGGGTGTACGCTCGTCTCGTGAGATGTCGCATGGACGGAATCATCGCAGACCACGCTGCGAATGCTGCGGGGCGAAGGGATGCCTAACTGCCAGACGAAGAGCCAGTGAGGTTCCACGCCACAAACACCACAACCCTTGCAGGCGTTTTCTTGGAAGCGGACCCACAGCGTACTGCGCGGACGGCGCAGCTTGCCGTACCCCAGTAGTACTACTATTAGTTCTGCCCCAATGGAACAAACTCACCGCAGCCCCAGTCATGGGCACCGATCAACTCACTGACTCGCTCACTGTGACCATTCTCCGTACTACAGACGACGACGGTGCCGCGATGGCGCTCGACTCGCTCAGCACGGTCGAGCTGCGCGTGTACCGCGTCCACGGTACCACCTCCACGCAGAGACCCGCTCGAAGCCCTTCCGACCCTGCGCCTTCGACGGTGTAGGCGCCGTGCACGAGCGCAGCAAGACCGTGGGCGCCCAAGTACTGCTGCGAAACGTCTGTAGTACGCCTCCGGCGCGTCTACACCGTGCAGTTCAGGCTACTGGAGCGCCTGTGTCTCGCAGGCTTGGCGGGCCGCAGCAAGTAATTATTGATCCTAGCCTGCGCGCGCGAGTGCGTGGGTGGGTGCGCGGCCGGGGAACAAGACGAGCAAGCTGCTGCACCCCGATTCAGAGGACGGCCGACCTTCGTCTTTCGTTACCGCCCGACAGGTGGGCCGGGGCACGCTCAAAGGCGCGCGATGTATGCTAACAGACGAGTCGCTCGTAGCGCTCCTTCGAGCGGGGGGGATCATTCCCTTGCCTGCCTTCGAGCAGGGGAGGGCAGTGGAGCGTCCGCCGCTCCTACGGGGAACGTCCAGGGCTGAGAGCGCGGGCACTGGCGCGTCTCAGCTGACGGCCTCTTCGGGCATCATCGAGCTTGCCGATGACAAGGGCGATGTGAGTGTCACCGGGAGGGTCAGGACAGGAAAGGGTGGTTGGCCCTCGACAGATATCGCCGCCCGCAATGCCACACCGGCGGTGCACCCTCCTTGCGCAGGGAAGATGTCAAACGGCACCACATGAACGTGGAAATGCCTTGAGGTTTGAAGTACAAAGGACGGGCTATAGCCGCCATCCTCCGGCGAGTCCAGGGTACAAGGCCCGCGATATGCGTGGACGTATCGCGACGAGACCACGGACGGCGGATGGCGGACGAGGGTTACAGTAAGAGCAATGGTATTCAAGTTGGAAGTATGCAAACACAGGTAGGTAGAGCATGGCGACGTCGACGGGTACGGGATATGGAACCAGGAGAACGAGATAACGAGCGACGAGCAGGGGGAAGTAGGGGAAGCACGACAACTAAGTAAATGCAACCAACATGTACGGAATCGGGGGCAAAGGGGACGAGGCAGGAGCACCAGTTGGATATATACAGCGACGGGCATGAACGGCGTACCGACTTCAACATAGCAGACGATGCGACGGGGATGGGGAACAGACATTGGGACATAGACGCAGGGTGTCGACGACTCGGGGGAACACGTCGCAAAGCAGGTGGCAGCAGCTTGAGGCCCTGGCGAGCAAGAAAGGGCATAGATCAATTAGAGCTGACGGTGGAGATACAACAAGAACGCACACATACCACAGGAAGAGGGCCGAACGAGCGGAGCACCATCTTACTGAGCGTGAGGCGGGGCCCCATGGCTTTCAGTCGCAGCCACTTTGAGACGAGAGAGTTCTTCGCGCATGCGTGCCATTTCCTCCTGCAGAGCGTCCTCGCGCGCCCGTGTGGCCGCCTCCGCCTGGCGCGCAGATTCCTCGCGTGCCCGTGCGGCCGCCTCCGCCTGGCGCGCAGATTCCTCGCGTGCCCGTGCGGCCGCCTCCGCCTGGCGCGCAGATTCCTCGCGTGCCCGTGCGGCCTCCGCCTGGCGTGTGGCCTCCTGTGCGGCCTCCGCCTGGCGTGCGGTCTCCTGTGCAGACTTCTGCAGAGCTTCTTCAGCCTCGCGCCGTGCCTGTCTGTCTTCCTCCGCCTGGCGTGCGACAAGCCGCGGGGCCTCCAGGAGCTCGCGAACTTCTGCTTGCCTCGACTGGTAGGCCTGCTTGATTTCGCTGTGGTACAACAAGTCGATGTCCCGCTGCGTGACGATGTTAAACAAGTTCTTGAATGTCCCCGCCCGTCCCGCGAGGACGGGTTCGGCGGGTGGGGCATCCTCAGAATTCAGTATGAATGCAGGAGAGAACCGGGTATTCTGCGCGGCGGCGCCGGGTCTTACTTTAGGGTCGGCGTCGATGTCGCCCAGAAGTACGCGGAGAAGCATCCCGGCATACCAGTAACACTGGCGCTCGAAGAGTATGTATTCTGCATATTGGCTGCTGAGGGTGTCGGCGGCGACAAGGAGGTCCAAGAGGGAAGGGGCAGACGCCTCGCCGAACGTGTATAGGAACACGGTTGTATCGGCGCTGGTGTTAGCGGGGTTGAAGGTGATAGTGTCTTTCGCCGGAATAGGATCCCTGTTGAACATAGCGGAGAGGGGGGAGGAGCCTGAGGGGGTGGAAGGGCCCGGGGTGGAGTCGGAGGACGCGCGGGAGGCGTCCGCAGAGGCGTTCTTGAGTGCATTGCCATGCCTCGAGTCGTATGCGCGTTCGACCTTGAGCTCACCGATGACAATGACATTCGTCCGCCGTCCGTTGCCGCTGACGAGATCAGCGACGAGGTACTCGTGCTCGAAGCGGGTGTTCAGGCGCTTCATTAGCCGTACGGTCTGGATGCGCACGGGGGAGTCTGAGAGGGTGCTTTCCAAGTCGGAGCTCCTGCGACCCCTGGCTGCGATGTATAGTCTCAGGACGGGATCGACGGGCATTGTCGCCTCATTGACCTGTGCATCAAACACACTGTCGAAGAGAGAAGGCATGGGGAGTCCAAGTACGCGGCGGATGAACGACTTGAGCTGAGCGAACGAGGGGATACGCATGGTGATGCGAGGTATATGTACTTTTCGCAGAGGGTCGGCGTGATGGCTATCGATGGGTCAGTGGGCAGTATGGCAGCGCGAACTGTACAGGTCCCGAGCTTCGTGTGCAGTCTGAGTACGTCCGACGAGCACTCAAGGAGGCGCCTATAGCGAGCTGGCGGCAGTACTTTCTTACTCCGCCCACGGGGAGCCGGTCCGCAGAGATCCCGGGCTCCCTCGCTCGTCTCGCAAGGCTCGACCCACCACGGTGGTGCTCTCCTTCCTGGGTGATGCCCATCTCATGACCGGCCGCATGGACAGAACCATCGCAGATCACACTATGAACGCTGCGAGGCGAAGGGACGTCGGACTGCGCGCGACGCGAAGGGGCTCCACCCTACAAAGGGGACGGCGTTACAGATTATCGATTAAACCCCATTCTTTCGACGAACTCGAGCGTGATGCACCGCACCAATACTATCAGTTCTGGTACATACACCAACCCACGGGCCCTATAGACGCGAGGGGCACCCGACCAACTCATTCCTCTACTAGTAGGCCCCGGGGCCTAGGATGCCTGCTATGTGGAGAGCATATGCGGCGCGGCCACAGTCACGATCATCTGCTCTGGCACGACCATCCCCCTACGACAAGGGCACGCTCCTACGGGATATTTAGGAGGAGAGCGGGCTCCTAGTGTTACCGGTAGCATGCGCTGGGCTGATGTCGCCTGTTCGGAAAATCACCCTCGACAGCTACGGGGAGTTCGATCGATCATTCACAGTGCGCGCCCTCCCAGAGTTCGACGCCAGAGTCGCCCTCCCCGAGTAGCGCATCGGTCAGTGAGTAAAATGGGGCGATCGTCGCCAGGGAATCCGTCCGTGCGAGGCTACGGTAAATCGCGGATCGCGGACGCAACTGGTCTCTGAAGCTCCTTAGACGCACAACCGCGGTGTAAGTTGGCGACGACGGCCACCCCAAAAGTGACGGAGGACGTGGGCTGGGGACGATAATCAGGAAGCCGAATCCGATAGCGATGGGACGACCTGCCAGGTGGTGGGAAAAGGGGGTGAACTTCAACCGGCCGTAAGATGATACTAGGGGATGGTGGGCGACCTTGCGAATGATCATCGCGCCTGCAGGCGGAGGTTCTGACGTCTACACGCAGGACTCATGGCCTCGCTAGAAGAGTGGGGTTGGATGGAGGTAGTGGGGAGATCTCAGGGGAGATACGGGGTGTCTCACAGGCAGGCAGGAGGTCCGACGCAAACGGAATGGCCAGATATCGAAAATTTCCCGAGGCGGAAAGTTATATTGGAGGACCTGCGACTGCAGGCTGAGGTCGTGTCTGCAGCACTCGATAACTGGAACGAACTACGAAGTAGAGTAGATACAGCGGCTGCATATAAACGAGTGAGTGAGCGAGGCACGGCCGCAAACATTCGCATTCACCTCAAGAGCTCTGCGCAGTGAAGACCCGGGATCGCCCCCTGGTACATGTGAATCCCTTGTCCATAAGGTTCACGCCTTGTCGCTTGGCTCGATCTTCGCTGCACGCTCCAGCCTTCGTAGAGCTGACCGCGCTTCCATCGCGCCGGCACGCATGCCGATACGCTTCGACTGCTCCAAGCTCTCCTGGAACGACTGCTTCGCCGCATCGTATCTGCCGTCCATCTGCGTGCCTCTATGAGCGCTCACGGACTACCAATCTCAATAGAAACCATACCTCCAGGAGCGCACCCAAGTTGTAGAGTACGGCAGCGAGGGTCTGCTCGCAGAGCGCCATGTTCTCCACGTCTTGCTGTGCACCAGGTAGCGTGCGTGTCTTCTCAATGACGCCTTGCGCTTGGCGTGCCCATGACTCGGCGAACTTGAGGTTGGTAGGCGGAGGGCCTCGGACCATGAGATCCGACATGTTGTTCATCAGCTGCGCGCCTGAGAACAGTGTCAGTAGGCCGTCCTATCGATACGCCGGGTAAGAAGACCGGGGAGTACCTCGACAGCGGTCCTCAACCAAAGCATTTTTCTCGCCCGTAGCGGGCTGCATGAGCATTCCGATGGCCTGGAGGTAGAGCGTGGCAGCATATCTACGGCTTAACTCAGCCGCTAATTTTTTTTGCGACACAGCAAATCACTCACTCGTTTTTGCCCTCGCGTGCATAGAACCGGCCCAGCGCCTCCAAGGGCGCGACGACGTCGGTCTTCTGCACCCACTGTGGCAGGTCGAGCTCCACCAGCATAGACCCGACCTCGCCCTCGGGCTCTCCCGCGCCCCTCCCCTTCTTCGCGTTGGACTCGTCCTTGACGACCCGGAGCGTCTCCTCGACGGCAAAGGTAAGCCAAGGCTCGGCCTCCTCTGGCCCCTGCTGATATATCTCCGCCATCTCGCCGAGCTTGTGTGCTATGGCCACGGCGCGCATGCGCTCTCGGCCGGTGAGGTCTTTGGCCGCGCGAAGCTGGAGGAGCGCGGCACTGTATATGTCATACGCCTCTTGTGGGCGGTTCGAGCCCTCGAGTGCTTCCGCAAGAGCCACAGCAACACCGGAGAGCTTCAGGTGAGGTTCGGTGGCGAACGCGGATATCGGCAGACTTTGCGCAGTTTGCCATGCACTGTAACGTTCTTAGGGGAAGGCCGCATGGCGTACAACTCTTGAACACGCACCGGTGAAGATACCGGACGCTCAGGTCAAGGTCGCCCTGGTGCTTCGCCTTGATGCCTGCACGGAGGTCGCCACGGACCTCTGGCGGCCACATGGTAAACGTGGTGTAGAACTGGTACCTTGAATGGCACATACTTTAGCGTCGCTCGCGTACTTGCGGTCGGGGCACCCACACGCCGTATGCTGTTGACGCGACTCCGACGGCCATGAGCGCTCCAAAGAGCGTGGAGACGCGTGGATTCGCCTGGGTCCATCCTCCTGGGCTTGTGGATACTGCTCGCCGAGCGGTGAGGGCTGGGGCTTGTGGCTGCAGCCGGCGCCGTAATAGTGCTGCTGGCCGCTTGGTTGCGGAGCGAGAGAGCATGATAGTAAGGGCTCAGACTCAGTCGTTGATTCTGGCGTAGAGTTTTGTGTAGTTTCACAGCAAGCCGCTGGCAAGGTAGACGGTAGACGACGATGAGTGCGGAGGGCAGGCAGAAGACACAAATTCGGACTCGAAGTGCCAGTGCACATAACACGGCAACTTCCGGCCCGCGCGCCACAATGCCCACCATCGGGACAAGCGCCGGGACCTGCCGAGCTTTGTTGGTCCACCTCGCGAGGGTCCGCTTCGCTGCGTTGCCTCGCACATATTCTCCCTGTCCCAGTTCAAGTGAACTGATACAGGTTAGGATGAGAGTTAAATATTCTGTAAAACTGACATGGTGACGCAACTAATCCAGAGCATCATGAGGACTGTAAACCATCAACGGTGAGCATCATTGTGGTGGCTTTAGAATTATGATATATACTCACATTGAACGTCATATCTATCTGTGTAGATGTTCAAAAGACACGCCTGATGACCATCAAATGTGGCGCAAGTACCTGGAGTGCACCTCCGAGGGCTCCCTAAGGCGTGTTTGAGGCGTTCGCAGCACGGTAGTCCCACCCAGACAGCCATGACGACGATAAACCGGGTAATCATCTGTCTGTATATTTCATCTCCTTGTCATCGCCGCGTCAGAGGAGCCACTACATATTTCAGTTTTTTCAAGGGCAGAAGAGCCAATAAACGAGAACACCGAATCCAATGACTGCGACTTGTATATCGCCAGAAACGCACATTTATTCCAGAAGGCCCAGAAAGACCTTTGGCTGAAAAGTATCGTCGGTTGCACAGGTATCGCTGTTGTCGCCATGCAAGACCTTCTCCCATATGTTTGGGAACGCGCATCTCAACGTGTTGCGCACCGCGCTGAGTGCTAAAATATCAGCGCAGTGCGGGGTAAAGACGTCATGCTGATATTTATACGTTTACACTCCGGTCTAGCCCCGCTTATATGCGGCACCGGAGGCAGGCTAGAGCAAGGTCTTCGGAGCCTGTCGGAGTTCGCACATTCGTGATAACGGGCGCCCACTCCGCGAATCGCGGCTTTGGGCGAATGGGCAGCCTCATAATTTTGGACGGCACGCGCCGACTCTCCTTGGACCTCCTCATCCCATGCCAGCCCTGCCAGAGCCACCCCGCTCCATCTCTTTCCAGCTTATACATCTCGCGTCGACGTCGTGTTTCTGTCTGTCGTCTCCACGCTGAGAGCTCTCTTCTACCGCGACACCCGATGTCGAGTGCTCACGGAACTGCAACGGAGACGCAGTCGCGACCCCAGCTACTGGCAAGTCCTCTTTTGAATTTTCGTGTAAGAGTTCTCACAACAACTTTCAGGTACGGACGAGCCAGTTCTTGAAGAAGGTCTCCCAGCTCCGCACATCCCGCAAGAAGACCAGTAGCAGGACGTTCGACAGGTCCACGCAATCAATGGACCTCGGGTCGATGGCGCTCTCGAAAGTCGACGTGCGCACCCACCACGAGTCGCTGGACCTGGAAAGGGGATCCGGCGAGTTTTCTTCTTGTCATACTTCCCTCCCTAGCGCACCGTCTGGTTTGCCGCGCACGGATTGTCTACCACTGGCATCCGCAGCCTCTCCGAAGTCCGTGGCTGACGGGTTGCCGTCGACTACCAACCATTCTCGTACGACCGTGCCGTCCGGTGTTCCCCCACAAAGAACACAGCGATCTATCTCGACGAACGTGCCAATCACACGACAAGAACAGTCGACACGCCCCGCTGTCGAAGGATTACCAGCATTCAGTCAAACGCTGTCCCCGCATAGCGTACATGCAGACGATGCGTCTCAGGATAATGCTCAGCAAGTTGCGGCACCTTCCAGTTTACCTCCTTCCTCTCCTCCCTCCTCCGCTACGCTATCTGGTTTACCTACCATTGATAGCCGCTCGCAGACGCTCCCCTCACGCCATTTTTCTATCTCTGAGGTTCGGAGAGACGACGGACAGCAATCAGCGACCGTCGGCGCGTCCATACGTCGGGCACTCGCGCCTCGGTTGGCCACACTACCTCCCCCGATGATGGCGGGATACAACGCGGATGGAAGGGCGCGTCTTACGCCTTCCCTTGTCACCCGTCAGGCTCCGATGCCACTCTTGAACCTTCCGATGCTGCCCCCGCCGACACCGTCGCTGCCGGGCCGCCCAGGTCGACCGACAGCGCCCCTACGGAGTATTCCGGCCCTACCAATGCAAGGGCCGAGTGATGCCGACCAAGAGGCGGATCACGAGAATGCAAGTCTCGAGGAAGAGGAAGAAGAGGAGGAAGGAGAAGAGAACGCTGGCGCGGAGGGCCAGGACGGTGACTCGGGCGAGAGCGGAGATGAGGACGACCATGAATACTCTTCGCCCCGACAGCCATCGGCCACGGGGGGTACGCCGCGCCTCGGAGCTCTGCCTCACGTTGACACCTCCGGGTTCAGCGTCTCGTTCGGAGACGCCACGAGTGTGTCCACCCAACGCACACCCCATGCTCAAGCCGGCTCCTCTCTCGACTACTTCACGTCCAAGTCCCCCGAGCGGGCATTCTCGCCCATGCGCACGCCCCGCCCGGTGGACTTCACCCCCCATGGCCAGGACGTGCCGCAACTGAGGACCGTTCCAATGCCCTCCACCCCCGGTTCGCCACGACCGGGACTGTACCATCTTGGTTCCCGGAGTATGGTCGATCTTCTTTCCACGCGTAAGGAGAAGGACAAAATTATCTCCCCGAAGCTCGGCCACGCGCTATCCCGTAAGAGGCCGCAAGCCTTCGCAGCAGCCGTGGAAGGGCAGCCTGCCCCCGTCGAAGAAGAGCCGCCTGCGCCCGAGCCCGAGTCCCCCGATGATGTCATCAACTCTCCTATGCTGCGCCGGCGGAGGTCCCTTCCCGTTTACGAACCGTCCTCGGACCCACCACCGTACCCGGACTTACAGTTCCAGCGAAAGAACCTGCCCCCGAAGATCGTGCCTCGCGACGAAGAGGGCCGCGAGCAGCTGCCACCATACTCAAACGCAATCCACCTCGTGGGGGTCATGCCTCGCAAGATGGAATTCACGCAACCGGGCGTCCAAGCCAAGGACCGCAAGTGGCGCCGCGTCTACTGCGTGCTCGAGGGCACGATGTTCTGCGTGTACAAGGCGCCCCCGGCGGAGTCGGCGGTGAGCGCGATTGAGCAGTGGTGGGAGAGCAAGGTCGGCGTGGGCGATATCACGAGCGTGGACGTGACCGCGATGACAGCCTCGGGCATCCGCGTCAACGCCGTGCGGGAGCGCCCGCGGGACGACCTGGGCTCGGAGCGCCCGCAGAAGATCAGCGAGGAGCGGGAGGACGGGCAAGGGTCCGCGCCCAACGGACTCGGGGAGGCGGGCTCGTCACGGCCTCCGTCCCCCCAATTGCCGGCGTCGAGGTCCCGGTTACATCTTGGGTCGCGGCTGCTGCTTCACCGACAGCGCTCTAAGAGCGTTAGTCGGCTTGGGTCGAACAGCAGCAACTCGAGCTCGCGGGTGAGCATCGACCGGCCGTCGGCATCGCAGTCACACTCGTATATGCGCCGCTCGATGGACACACTGGGCTCGTCGCGGATGTCGAATGTGTCGTCGGCCGCGTCCCACTCTACGACGTCAACCGGCCTCACTATTCCGTCCCCCACCTCGTCGATGCTGAACGCCTCTCCGACCTCCTCCAGCGACAGCGCGTCGCGCTTCTCACGGAGTCGGCATATGCTCCATACGCATTCCAGTGGCGACGGCAAAGACAAGGAGAAGGAGAAAGAGACGGTGTACGTTCCCGACCCGAAGGACCTTCTCCGCAAGTACTCGATGCAGCACGCGGAGAGCGGACTCGCTAGCGACTACGTTAAGCGGAAGAACGTGATCCGCGTGCGCATGGAGGGCGAGCAATTTCTGCTGCAGGCGAAGGACGTCGCGGCGGTCATTGACTGGATCGAGGTACGTGCTCGAACTTGGATGATGTGCGTATGATAGTATGCTAATGTCCGACGGTGCTACCAGAGCATACAAATGGGCACTAATGTCGCACTCGATCTGGATGAGCGGCCGATGCCGCGTGGTCCCATCTTCCCGAGGTGAGTTCGGTCCGAGGGGCATGTCGGATGATGTACTAACGGTTATTTTTGTGTGCAGACGAAGGCGCAGGCGTACCCGTCGTGTCGATCCTTCTGCGGCTGGTTCCTAGCCCGGAATACCTGCATCACCCCCTCCCCTACAGCCCAATCACTTCTTGCTATCGGACTGGACTCGTTTTGACGGCCTACGCCTTATTTCACGGACCTCATACAAGCGTTAACATCTACTTTGGTGCCTCTAGGATGTACTTTTGCTTAAACCTGTAGAACGGCACTGCGCCTCGCCATTCAGTGTCACGACCACACTCGCTCTACTGCTATACCCACATACACAGCCCCACCCCTCACGCACGCTTCACGACGAGTCTGGTGTTTGTACTTGTCTGCCTACCGTACATGTACTACACAATATGTAATGCTACCACGGACCCGCTGCTGCGGAAGAAGTTGTGCTGTATGTTTTCGAAGACAAAGCATCGAAGGCGTTCGTGAGACCGGGGCTGGACCGAGTGCGCGGGGGGTTGAAAGCCCGCTCGGACTCCGCTCTGGAATGGTGGCGCGCGTCCACGAGGGCGAGAGAGCTGAGCATCATCCGACGCTCGTTATCTTCCGCCGCGTCCTCCAATTTTCTCGCCATCTCTCGCATCCGGCGGCCAACGTTCTGCACGACAGCCAGCACACACAGCGCACAGCGCACCCCGCAGTCTCCGGAGGTGTCGCCGACCCCGAAAATCGTCCGCCGACAAGCGTCTAACCCTCCTTGTTCTCCCGCATTCCCGAACCTCACGACCCTAGCCCGACCTCACGACCCACGCCCACGAACGTCCCCGGCAGCGCACAAGCAGTAGACATGGCGGACACGACGACGGAGATAGATCTCGACTCGGTCATTGACCGGCTCCTGGAAGGTGAGCATGCACCGCGCCTGCCGATGCGCTGGATCCGTCCGTCCGTGCTGACACGCCGCCCCCCAGTGCGCGGTAACCGTCCAGGGAAGCCCGTGCAGCTGCAGGAGTACGAGATCAAGTATCTGTGCACGAAGGCGCGCGAGATTTTCATAAACCAGCCCATCCTGCTCGAGCTTGAGGCCCCCATCAAGATATGCGGTGCGTATGTTTGTGTCTCGCAACCTCTCCGCCCGTGCTCAGGTCCACCCGTGCCGCCGCGCAGGCGACATCCATGGCCAGTACTACGACCTCCTGCGTCTTTTCGAATACGGCGGTTTCCCGCCAGAAGCCAACTACCTCTTCCTCGGTGATTACGTGGATCGAGGCAAGCAGTCGCTCGAGACCATCTGCCTGCTCCTCGCGTACAAGATCAAGTACCCGGAGAACTTTTTCGTGCTGAGGGGGAACCACGAGTGCGCGAGCATCAACCGAATCTACGGTTTCTACGACGAGTGTGCGTATCCATGCTCCGAGTCACTTTGTTCTCCGCCCGCTCACAGCCCCGCTCCCTCCTGTCAATCTCCCCGGCGTATACCCTCCCGATAGGCAAGCGCCGTTACAACATCAAGCTATGGAAGACGTTCACGGACTGTTTTAACTGCCTACCCATTGCGGCCATTATCGATGAAAAGATATTCACCATGCACGGTGGTCTCTCCCCGGATCTGCAGTCGATGGAGCAAATACGGAGAGTGATGCGGCCGACCGATGTCCCTGACACCGGTGCGTGGTTTTGTGGGAAGTTGCGGCGCTGCGGTGTGGGTCGTCTGACACTGTCTTGATTAGGTCTGCTCTGCGACTTGCTGTGGTCCGACCCCGACAAGGATATCACCGGCTGGTCAGAGAACGACAGAGGAGTGTCGTTCACGTTCGGCCCCGATGTCGTGTCGCGGTTCCTCCAGAAGCACGACATGGACCTGATCTGTCGAGCACATCAGGTGCGCATTCATTTTTCGTTTATGCGTGCTTTGTCATGCTGGCCTGAGCAACGGCTAACCGCGCGCATTCAATCCGCGTTCGCACCCCACAGGTCGTGGAGGATGGCTATGAGTTCTTCGCGAAGCGGCACTTGGTCACGTTGTTCTCCGCGCCCAACTACTGTGGCGAGTTCGACAACGCCGGTGCCATGATGAGCGTGGACGAGACCCTGCTGTGCTCCTTCCAAGTACGTCACTCCACTGGGCCCGCATCCAGTCCCTAACATAGACTTGCGATCGCCCGTATTCTGTCTTCAGATTCTCAAGCCCGCTGAGAAGAAGGCAAAGTACCCTTACGGAGGGGTAAATATGGGTCGCCCAGTAACGCCACCGCGTAAACAGAAGAAGAAGGACGCGAACAAGATGGGCTGAGGACTGCACCGTCAGTACATACACTTCACTCCTTTGCTCATCCCGTCACAGACGCTTCTTCTCCCCTCTCTTTGGTGTTCGCCCGCCGCGCATCCGCCGTTCGTTGTCGTGTCGTGCCGCTGTGGTCGTTGGTTGTGGATATACATGGACTTTGTAAAGCAGTTCCCTCGCGGGTCGTCGGACGGCCGATGGGGACACGGAGCGCCCAGTGGAGGATGGCAAGTGTACGAGTAGAAAGGGGCGGAGTGGTGGCGCAACGACGACGGACGCGAAGACGGACGGGGCGGGTCTCCCAGGGCGAGCGAGGCGGGCGAGTGTGGGCAGGGCCGCAGGAGACGACGGGACGGTGCAAAATCGGCGACGACACCTACGACACGCACGCCATCCCGGACTTCGCTGCATACTTCGTACGACATGTTGTTTTATGCAAGGCTTCGTTTGTTTTGCTTTTCTCTCCGACATCCCACCGTCCGTCGCTCTCTGTCTCCCTCGCTCTCGCTCGGGCCCCTCCGTCTGCTGGGCCTACCCCCGCTCCTTCAACACCTTCTCACTACGCCGTCTACTTATTCGCCTCTCCTTCCCCTAGTTCACGTTCCGTTTCGTCTGTACATAGTTCCCTGTTCTTTATTTCTTTCTCCGCAGTCTCCATCACCCCAGTCCGCGTCGTCTCCTAAGATATCGCACCTCCCACCTGTACTACAGCTGCTCCCTCGTCTTGCTCTCAGCGTTCTGTGTGAGAATACGCAACTCATAATACACCGGTTCCCTGTCCTCCGTCCGTATGGCATCCCGCGAATCTCGCGAGTCTATCTCGAGCCTAAGATCCTCTGGAGTGCGGGCCACGCCCCGAGCCCCCCGAGTCGCACGACAGGGCGCTCCATCCGCCGGAGCCGCCGAGTCGACCCCGCATTCCTTCTTCACTCCCGACCACGACCACGGCTACGACTACTAGCATGTCTGCCCTCACCCTATTCAGACTCGCCCGCGCACGCCTTCCTGCCCCATCTGCACGCGCGTTCTCCGTGACCGCACGGCGCAGCGCAGACCCCTGGCCGCTCCCGCACACACCCGAGCACCTGGAGAAGACGACGTCGGGGCCAGACACGCCCGCACCGACACCGCTGCCGCGCCCGGGCGAGCCCCTCGAAAACATGCGCGCGCGGCTCGTGTACCAGTCGCGCAAGCGCGGCACGCTAGAGAGCGACCTGCTGCTCAGCACGTTCGCGCAGGAGCGCCTCGCGACGATGGAGGAAGCGGAGCTGCACGAGTTCGACAAGGTGTGCTTTTCCGTCCGCGTATGTTGAGTGTACTGGGAGAGCGCTGACGGTGGGTGGTGCTTCCAGCTTATGGACGAGCCGGACTGGGATATCTACTACTGGGCAACGGGGAAGAAGACGCCGCCGGAGCGGTGGCAGAACTCGGCGCTCTTGGACAAGCTCCGGGAGCATGTCCGGAACGAGGGCAAGGTTGTCCGGAGGATGCCTGATCTTTCGTAGACGATATGTACCACAGACAGGGTCGGTCGGTCCCAAAACCTTTGTCCTTACGGCCCTATGTACCTGTACACCGTCCCCTGGTGTTATAGCGGATAACGCATGACGTATGCTGGCCAATATATGTATGGGCGGACGGATGCACACGCAGTCTGTATGGCAAACCACAGCGAATGCTTTCGAATCGACAACGACGTCTACGGCTACATGCAACGCGCGAACACAGAAAAGGCAAGGGGGCCTGGGTAAAGAGGGAATGTAAGAGTAAAGTGACTGTAACCGTATACTAGTAGTACTGGGACGGCAGAGCAGCGGGACAGAGAAACAAATAGCGGCGGCAGCGCGGGTCCTCCACGATCGCATGGGCAGTGGGAGCATGGCAAGTAGCTAGGTGCGCACGAGTGTTATGTGGTGAGTGGTGCGGATGCGATGCGCGGTGTGGGTGGTGCGAGGGTGCGGAGCGGCAAAGGCGAGAATATGATACAAGGTCCCCTGGTGGTTGCGAAGAAGCCGAGACAATCGATGCGACGCGAGAAGGCACGCGTGTGGTTTGGCCGGTGTTGTGGTCATCCATCCCCGTACGCTCCCTCCTCTCCCCCGTCCTCCCTCTCCTCAACCTGCTCGATGCTCAGCGCTCCTCCAGCTCTCCTAGGCAGCATCATAACGGACGAACGCGGCGTTCATCGCGCAACGGGCACGCCGCGGTATCCGTTCTGATACTGGGGGCCAGATTGCTGCGGTGCCCCCGAACCGTTCGCTCGAGGTGCTTGAGGCTGGCTCTGGTAGACAACCTGTGCAGGTCCCGCGCGTCCCGGCGCTGGAGACGCGGCCTGGGGGTGTGCCTGCCTGTGCCCTTGCTGGGGCTGCGGTTGCGGCTGGGCGGGGCCCTTCCCCTTCTGCGGCTGCTGAGGCTGCTGTTCGCCGTTCTCCTCTGAGGCGCCGCTGGGAGCGACATAGAGACCCTTGTCAATCTGCTGCGGAATAGGCTGGATCTCCGTGCCGAGCTCCTGCTCGATCTTGTACAAGTTGAAGCGGTCCTCGTACGTGACGAGGTTGATCGCGAGACCGAGGTGTCCGAAACGACCCGAGCGACCGATACGGTGCAGGTACGTCTCGGAGTTCTTGGGGAAGTCGAAATTAATGACGACATTGACCGCCTGAATATCGATACCACGGGTGAGGAGGTCCGAGCAGACGAGGTTGCGGCAGACACCGTTGCGGAAGTCGTGGAAGACGCGGTTACGGTGCGACTGCAGCATCTTCGCGTGTGAATAGAAACATGAATAGCCGAGCTCCGTGACCTTCTTGGCGAGCAGCTCGACGCGGTTCGTAGAGTTACAGAATATAATTGATTGGTTGATTTGCAGCTGCGGCAAATGACGTCGACAAAGGCGTGAGGGGAATGGGGAATGCGGACACACCTTGGAGAATAGCGTATTGAGACAGTGGACCTTCTGCCGCTCTTCGACATAGGCATAATATTGGGTAACACCACGGAGAGTGAGCTCGTCCATGAGGTTGATCTCGTAAGGAGACTTCATGTGCTTGTCCTGCAGTACGCGGTCGGCAACCGCAACCGAAAGATACACGAGCACCACGCACCTTGAAGTCCTTGACGATCATGGGGAATGTAGCACTAAACAGCATGACCTGGCGGTCCTTGGGGAGGTAGGAGAGGAGCTGCTCCATCACCGGAGCAAACTCGGGGGAGAGTAGCTTGTCCGCTTCGTCCATGACGAAGACGGGGCACTCGCTGAGGTCTGCAACGCCCTTGCCGGCGAGATCCAGGATACGGCCAGGCGTCCCGACTAGTACGTGTACCTCCTCGGAAAGACGCATGATGTCGTCCTTGAGCGTGGTGCCGCCAGTGGTGACCATGACCTGTACACCCATGTGCTTCCCGAGGTTCTTGCAAACCTGTGCGGTCTGCAACGCGAGCTCACGTGTCGGGACGAGCAGAAGGGCCTGAATCTTGTTCTTGTTGACGTCGACTTGTTGGAGAGAGGGGATAACGAAGGCTGCAGTCTTACCCGTGCCGTTCTTGGCACGGGCGAGGACGTCGCGTTTGGTGAGGGCGATGGGGATGGCCTCCTCCTGGATTGGCGAGGGCCGCTCGAAGCCGGCCTCGTAGATGCCCATGAGGAGCTCCCTGCGGAGGTACATGTCTTCAAATTCGACACCCTTTGTTGCGGTGACATCTTCGGTCTGCGGGCGGTAGTCTTTTGGTGGTGGGCGCAGACCTGCTTTCCAAGTGTCGCTATGACTATGTGACGCGGTCAATACAATCAGCACGCCTGGCTAGATTGTTGAATACGTACGAGGTGGACGAGGATGGGCGTGCTTGTTGAGCCATTGCGAATGTGATTGGGGTGAATGTGGATTTGGAAGTGCGTGCGTGTGCGTGTGCGGTTTTGTACTTTGTCTAGTACAGCTTCTCGAGTAGGCACGAGGCAAGGGGGAGCGGTACAGTTTGGGTGTGTAGAAGTCGGCGACGAGATAAGATGCGACGAAGGTGTTTGCGGTGAAAACGAGCTGTGGCGAGGGGGAGCGGCGAGTTGGTGTTGGCAAGGATGTGGACGGAGGGCAAGAGGGTTTTTCGCAACGCGAGGCAGCACAACAAGCTCGGTTATCGGCTTTCCCACGCCTGCTGCAGGCCAACGATAACTAGGTTACCCGCATAATCCTCCTCAGAACTCCTTCCCACCTTCCATGACGTCTGCGGCAGCACAGTCCCAGGGCGTCCTCAGATATTTGGCGGTAAACATATCAGAATGGTAGTGCTGCTGTTGACAGGTTTTATTCTCAAAGGAACCGCAACAGAGGTGGTACTAGTGACAAGACCTTCCGACTGGAGCTCGTCAAGAGGTCGAGAGCCCGGCAAGGCCCTGACTACGATCCCAATCAACGGCTAAATAATGCTGGAGCCACGCCCGTCCAGACAGGCATGGCTTAAGTGGCCTCAAGCCGTAAAACGCGTCAATAGGTCGTGTACAAGTAAGACAGAAGGTCCGTTTGAGGTGTAGGCTGTGATACATGGGGGGCTCATACAATCATAGTAGCGATGTGCTGCTTACGCAGCTCGGCCTAGCTCTTCCTAATCTTGCGGTTCGCACTTGATGCGCTTGTGCGGGCGGGAGGGTATCACCTAGGATTTCGGATAGTCAGCTCACTACGGAGCACAGCAAACGACTAAACTCACGTCCAAGTTCTCTTTCTCGCCCAGGTTTCCCCTCTCGTCTGGCTCCTGCTTCACCTTCACGTTCTGCGTCCCGTCTACGTTCTCCTTCACTCCTGCGCTCTGCTTCACCCCTGCGCTCTGCTTCACCACTGTGTTCTGCTTCCCGCCTGCTTTCTGCTTCCCGCCTGCTTTCTTCTTCCCGTTCGGGGTCACCTTCCCACCCGGGACCACCTTCCCGCCCGCGTTCTCTTTCCCACCAGTGGACTTGGTGAGGGGTGGTCTCACCTCGCAATCCGGCGCGGGACGTTTCCGCACGATGGTCGTGTCCAGACTCGCCTTAGAGCCAAGACTCATGAATCTGCGGTCGTCCCGCGCCACTATCGCCTCCAGCTTCACTCGCCACTGTTTCTTCTCCTTGCGGAATTCCGGCTCGGGCTTATCGATCTCCTGTGCCCGCAGGAGAGCTATCGCGCGCGTCAGAAGTTGCGTCCTGCCGAAGTGATACTGCACGCACCTGCAGGCCTGTACTTGAAGACGAAGGTCACGTATTGCTCCGGGGCGTCAATATGCAGGGGTTTGGTATGGTAACGCTCCGTAGACGCGCGGTGGGCGGGGACGGTTATGTGAGGTGCCACGCTGACGGGCATGTCGGTCAGGCCTTTGAAGAGCATCTCCCAGTAATGTAACGTACGTTGCGCAATGTGTGCCCGCCTTCTTGCTTCGCTCGTTGATGACACCTATCTCTTCTAGGCGGTGGGGCGCGAACGGGACGGCGACGGCGTTCGACCGAATGAGCTCGATCGCGATTTCTATCGTGCCAAGCTCGTCGATGGACACTGGAGACAGCGTTTCGTCCTCTGCACGTTGACGCAACGGTGGTCGGGCACAGCGCGGTCAGTGGCGTCTCGAACTCCGTGCGCCGTTGTTGCGGCAGCGGCGAGAGACGCACCTGTGGTTTCGAGATTCGCGAACTGGTACGCCTGGTAGGTCTCCATGGATGAGGTACGCATCCCGACGCGTTTCACCTGTGTGTAGGGCTGGCATTTAGTCGTGCCGGCCGGCCGGCCGTCCAGCTTGACGACGAGGCGGAAGTGGTGCATGGCGTCGTGCCAATCCTTGCCGTGGATGACGAACGTCTGACCGAGCGGCGAGTTATTCCCGTCAGCGCTGCTCTCGCCTGATACATAGACGAATGCACAGTACCTTGCCACTTTCGCTAGGGATGTAGCACGTCGCCGTCCGCGTCTTCCTGTGAAATTGCATAGCATATTCTGGTAGGTTGTTGTTCTCGCCGTCGGTGATCCAGACTTCGTATTTGCGGTAGCGCATTTCGGACGCGAACAGTGGGGGGTAGTGATGAGGTTGACCTGGGTGTGGGGGTAACGAAAGGAGAGGGTATCCGGGGATTTACACTCTTTCTACCGCCCCGGCATGTTGAAGATCGCCCGTAGTTCGCTTCCCTTATGTGAACTTCAACTTGACAGCCCGGCGTGCGCACAGCCACAAACATGGTGCCCGAGTTGTGGCATATCTCCTCGGGTCGCGCCGAACATGTTGGCTTTCAGTGGCTTTTTCTACGGGTGCAGACTCGATAGGGCGAAATCCTTGAATTGCTGCTACGTCCGGCGATGCCCCCAAGCTGTTCCAAAACTCGATACAGCATATTGTTACACAACGTAGGCATACGCAGTGACGGACGTCTTTAAGGAGTGTACACATTATATATCGGGGCATCAGAACACTTGATAATATCGCCCGTACGGTAGGCCGCATCCTCGCAATAGCGCGCGTATGCCGCCAAGACACCGCATGGTAGCTTCGAGATCTGACAACCTACCACGTCCCCGCTGTGAACCTCTCTTACAACTCGTGACATTGACCCGAGGTCAAGGTCACAAGTTGTAAGAAAAGGCCACAGCAAGGACTAGGCATGTGGACAGGTACCGAAGTGGCCCTTGACCGGAAACCCAGTATACACACCATGCCGAGAAAGAGCTTGAGGAGAAACTTGAGGAAGTACTGCAAAACCGGTCAGTACTATCAAGACCTGAGAGAACAGACGACTTACGAGGGGTAGAGTCGCAACAACCGTCCACCTTGCAAATGCCTGCCCGCAACCGCCCGAAGGCAACGACGGGAAATGACGCCTGCCAACCGTCGGCAACCCAGAAATCCGGTCAGCGGTCGAAAAGCGAGTACCCATGCGCCGTGTCCATCCCGTCGAAGGAGACGCGGCAAGCATCCAGCCCTGGTTAGGAACTGTGCACTCGCCGCTGCTCCGCCGCCAGAAAAGAAACAGCACAGAGGCGGCTCGTTCCCTCCCGCCAAACGAGGTCTCCAAGCCACGTAAGCGACACGCGCCCCGCCAGGGGTAAGCCCCGCCCGCATGCCGAAGCACACGGAAGCCGTCGCGATAAACGCAGCCACAAGTGGTCAACGCCCTCATACGACTGACACGGAACCGCTCCGGCCAGGCCTAGAGGAACGACGCGTGAGCATCGAACCCGAACCAAGGTGGACAGTTGGGGGGATGGAGGGGGGAGTGAGGAAGAGGAGTGGCGGGCGGGCGCAGGTTTATGAGCGGGCACACTGTTTGCACCAGTGGATGGTTAGCGGCTGGCGGTGATAGAGTAGATCGCGGTCAGCCTCTTTCAGCCGGAGGACGGCGGCGTGAAGGGAGCTCGGAACCGAACAGTGGCCCGCCGCCTACACAGTGCGCGCGACGGGTCGCTTCCGGACAGAGTCGAACCATCGGCGGCCGGCCTCTCGCGTCCGCGTCCACCTCGGGATATACCTGCGCAGTTGTGCAGACGGTCTGCCCGAGGTGATTGTTGGGATGCGATTTGTCTTGTTGGATGACCGCGTCGGGCGACAAGTTCAAGGAAGTGCGACGGTGTCGCGGTATTAGTATTATTATGAAGGTATCGCAAATCTGGACTCTAAGCCTTCGTAGAGGCGATCACGAATAACCCACGGTGAGTGGAACCACATGCGCTTCTGGAACACAAGGTACTCCACGACCGCCTTGGGCTCGGTCTCGCCGATACGTGCACCCGTTTTCTTGGAGTATGTCTCCACACTCTGCCACATTTCTCAGCGTACATTCTTCGACTACCCGCGAATTGAACGCACCTGCAACGTGTCGAAGCGAACAACGGCCTGCACGGCAAGACGACTGCCCATGCGCGGCGCCTTGATTCCGTAGTACGCGTCGAGCGCGCGAATACTCACGACCCGGGTCGGTGTTCGCTCTCCGTGGAACTTCCACACGTTGATGAAGCGGGGGTCTTGGCTACGGATTAACTTCATGTATACGCCTTGCTGGTCGCCGCCAGTCAAGACCTTGATTGACCGTTCGTCACGTCTGGAAAGAAAAGATTGTAAGATATGACCCGGAGCCGCGCGGGATGGACGTACGCTGCAACCGCCTCGTTGACCTTCTTGTAGACCTCGAAAGCGGCCTTACGGAAAGGCGCCAGCCATGCCGTGGGCTTCGTGGATTGGGTGGAGAACAGCTGCCACGACCAAGGGGACTTGACGTTCACGCCGGGTATTGACTTCACTTTTGCCATCCGGTACAAGCTAGAGTATATATTTGAGTTGAGCAACACAAGGACGGAGGGAATAAGTAACGCACGCCCGAGCATTGAAAAGCCAATTTCGCTGAGTTTGTAGGACCGCCCGGAAATGGTCAAAGATGGTAGCTCCCTCCTTGTGTGAGCGCCAGGAAGGCACATGCAAGTCTGCGACCTGTCAGCTTATGGAGACCGCCCTACACCCCACCGCACATACCTAGAAGTTCCAGAGGGGCAGAAGATATGTCCACCTCATTCCTCTCCACCATCTTTTGCAGCATCTCGAGGTTATGCAGCTCGTCCTCGATCGACCGCTCCGCTGCTGTGGAGTCTTTAGCGGCCTGCGGAGGTGTCACCGCCTTGCCCGCTTTCCTAGACGTCGACGGGGGCGCGGCAGCCACGGTAGAGCCATTCGCCTTCGACTTCTGCGCGGTGGCAGCCACAGCATAGCAGCGATGCTGGAGAACGAGAGCAGAAGACCACGTCCGAGAAAGAGCACTAGGGCCGCCAGCGGCGCGGCCAGCGATGTCAAGACATCTTCGAGACGCGCGGAGGGTCATGGTCGCTGTGTCGAGCAGCGAGCAAAGCGCCGTGGACGGTCCCGGACTGCCCGCGGAACCCTAACCAGACCAATCAGAGCCCAGGGAAAGCGCTTACGAAACGGGACGGCGCACGTGGCGCTTCGGCGAGAGTCTTTGCGCGTCGCTGGCCGACGGAATCCGCGTCTGCACATCTTGCTTGCTTACCACCACCACCTCCCTCGTCGACTCCCGCTTCCTCGCAATGGCTGTTCGTACTTCCCGCTCGCTCCCCGTCGTGGCTGTCGATGACTGACCTCTGCAAACAGCGCTCATCTCGCTCCCGCCCCGCTGCACGCCCTGCTCCCGCACCCGCTGCACGCCCTGCTGCTGCACCTGGCGGCCAGCAGACCCGCAGCGCCCACACCGCGACGGCGCCCCACCCGACTGCTGCTCCTCCCATGTCGCAGGCGCCACCTGTACCTCCTCACGCCCAGGCGCAGAGCGGTCAGCCCGGTCTCATGGCTCAGATGGCTGCTACGGCCGGTTCGGTCGCTGTCGGCTCGACGATCGGTCACGGTCTCTCGAACATGCTCTTCGGCAGCTCCCACCCTCCCGCAGCTCCGGAGGCTCCCGCTGCACCCGTTCAGCAGCAGCAGGCTTCAGGCCTCAACTGCGAGATCCAGGCCAAGGGTAAGCAGTACGTTATGGCCCGCGTTCATGGTGCTGACGAATGTTCTATCTACGCAGACTTCACCAAGTGCTTGGAGTCCGCTGACCTCCCCTCCTGCACCTGGTATCTTGAGCAGCTGAAGGCCGTGAGTAATCCCGGGCGCCTTACCTATGTGCTGGTCTAATTTGGCGAATTTCAGTGCCAAGCCGCGGCTTCCCGGTACTAAGCTCCTCGTCCGGTGGGATTCTTCCGATATAACTACCTAATGTAGCGTTGCGCACGTTCTCCGTTCCCGTAACGCGAAGACACCCTCTTCTTCGCAGACTATCCTTTTTGAGTGACGTGAGGTGCTGCCGCGGCAAGCTCTGGCAAACCAAGAACGCTTCGCTTGCCTTCTGGAACTGGCCCTCAGTAATTTGGCGCACATACCCTCAACAGTACAGAGCCATCCATCTCCTATTGGTGGGAGTGAGTCTGTTTATTTATGGACGCTTCCCGAGACTACCTCCGCGGTCCTTAGAACTTGCCTTGTGCGGCGCTACATGTCTTGGGTGGGCTCCCGTCGAGCCGCTCTGCGCTGACTGCGAAGCGCCCGAAATGCCACGGGCGGAAATCGTCTTCCCCTCGACGATCGTCACCAGCAACAAGGGCTCAGCTAAAGCGGGAGCGATGAATTGCGTTGTTGTGAGTGTGTACCGAAGGTCACGGTTCTCGTGTTTCAGTTGTCAGCGAGGTGTCGGGAAGGGGTCGGCCATTGCGTGGATCTTCGTCTTTCAGGATTTGTCGCCGCTGTGCGTGAACAGCGCGTTCCGCCGAAATGGGCGAGGGCTAGGGCCCAGGGTCTGCTCTCTTCGCGGCACCATGGGGAATCCGTGGTGGTGTCTGTGCGGAGGCAATGCGCACAATTCGAGCGACGCATACCCTCTAGCCAGGGCACGGAAGAACTCTACTACCCTCGAGGTTGCGGTCGTTACACGGTGCGGCAGCTGCAATGAACCTTCAGTAGGCAGGCCGATACCAAACCAGCAGTAAGGCGATATGATACCTATCAAATGTTCGGCATTATATAGCCACCCATAGGTTTGGAGCTATCACTCGACATTGAAGTTCCAGAACGTAGCACTAGCAACATACGACTCCTCCCCATTGGTCGGGTGAGGATACGGTACTAAGGTGAATTCCGTCGTTCAAGTTGTACACGTCGTTTGTACGTACGGCGGAGGCAACCCTGTTCACAAGATGTTCACACCAGTAATAAGGACGCTGACACAGAGGCGGCGCATGCTGTCTCCGGCAGCCGACCACGCTCGTAGCCGGAGTCGATACAACTGTATCCGGGCGCGAACTTGCTGACTTGCCGGATGCGGAACAGTTTGGCACGTAGGCGCTCAACTGGGTGATGGCTTGCCTTCCTCCCACTCACTCGCTTTCCTTCTTGACTGAGACCGCTGGCTATATGCGCACCAAAACATCCTGAATGTCGCACACGCACTCACTATATTGATTTAGACACTCTAGAGAGACCGCATGCAGCCGGTCGCGCCGGACCCCGCGTCTCTCGTGGCTTCGACACAAACTCAAGACTGCAACTGCGACCAAGACGACCTTTCGATGTTTCAAGAATAGCCTTCGATTCTCCGGTATGTTCTATTTCATTAACACACATACGGATACTGAGAAGGCTTGTCTTCTGCCGAGATGCAGCATGCGAGAGGCAACGTGGACGTCGACATAGTCTAGAATCGTTAGGCAAGTTTGTCTTCCTCACATCGCCCTGAATTCAATTAACTCGTACGGCCACATAACGACTACCTAGTCGGGTCTCCAGCTGAAAAAATCTATGACATAACGGAATGTTCTTCCTCGAATATGCGGAACCGTACGTCGCCCTAGTCAATGTTCGGGGGTCACACACAACGTCAGGTGAACATCGATTCTGACATCGGGTGGATAAAATCACACATAGAACATGCATAGGGAGCCGGCCTCTAGCAGCATTGAGCGATTTGTTTCACAGACCAACGAAGCAATACTCGCCCGAAGCTACTCATCGTCTCTCGCCCCAGCCGGAGGCCGCTGGCCGACGCTCTGCAGGCTTCTCCACGGCAGGCTCCGCCTCCATAATGAACGGCCAGAAGATCCGCGGCCCCTCCGAGAGATCTTGACGTGTTCCGTCGCCCTCCACCAATCGCAACGGTCCCGCTCATGGGAATTCTAGACCGTCGTTATGGACTCCTCTGCTCTCGTTCTCGTGGGTTAGGCTTTCCCGCGTAAGCGCCGAGTGCCTTCGAAACCGCGGTTACTCCGCACCCGCGACCCGCGTCCGGTCCACCCACTCTGGTTCTTCCCTCCACCCATGTTGTCCTGAATGCGCAAGCCCTCCGCCCACTCTCTGTCCCTGGAACAGCAATGGAAACAACAACATGCTTCTGGCGATGTGCTCTCGGATTACTCACGCGAGCCGCTACCTCAGGCAATCTGTCTATAGCTGGGCAAGTCCTTGTGCTACTTGCGACTCTCAATTGCCGCTGGACCCAGTAGGTTTGTCGAAGCATGCTGGACGTCTTCGACCGGCCTGTGCGCCCTGCCATTGTGTCCTCCTCGGCTGGGTTGTGCGGTGTGTACCCTCCGCCTCGTTGCTACTGAACGGCTCGATCTAGATTCTCTGGTGCCGCGTTTTCCCACGTCATGCCCCTATGACCCAAGAATTGGCCAATTGCGCAGCGCACTGTCCTTGTCATCGACACGGAACGCGTTCTCGCGGGCGCGTCGTGCAACTCCAAAGCGTCTTCCTTGCTACCGCAAATTCGGCTTATCTCTGGCTATACTGGGTCGGTTTCCGGAGTCATTCGACAGAAGCAAAGTCGTCGCCCTCTTTTGCATTCTAGGCCTGCCTGAACGTCGTAGGAGCGACACGGAAGCTCGGCTGACTGTTTTTGCAACTGGAAGAAAGCAAGAAGATGGCAGGAGAACACCTAGTCGTGTAGAAACTCAACCTCTGCGTCCGTGGTATGTGCGATATCTTGCAAAGCGTCGGCGAAAGCTCACCCTTGTCCAGAAAGTCTCCCACGCCGTGGTCTTGTGATGGTGCTGGCGAAAGCTCCGAAGTGGCTGCTCGGGGCCCGAAATGTCGCATGGGTCGCGACCCTCCCCATCATCTGCGCGCCTCCCAAGCATTGCGCACACCCCACAAAGGGGCGCCGACGCCCGTGGCAGTGGACGCTTTTTTGACGGTGTGAGCGCAGCGTGTTCCGCCGGCTGTGGGGGCTCCGTAACCGTGCGTTCTAGTCTGGGGAAGGCGCTCGCGACGCCCACCCCCGTTCCTCGTCCCTTCTCCAGGTGACAATCAAGCGCAAAATAGGCCGTGCGTATCTCCGACGCGCCTCATTTGGTGCTTCGGGTTCTCACAGGGCGCGGAGGATGACGAGAACTTACGGCGGCGCATCGTCGTAGCGATGGGGCGTCGTACCCGATGATTTCTTCCAATCTCGCGTCGCGCTGCCCTCCCCTGGCGGCCAGCCTTGGCGAGTGTGGGGTACGAGTGCGCCCAGGTCTGTCCAGGGACCCTCGACGTTCGACGGTGGACCTTCAATATTGCTGGGGTTTATTAAATCTCTATGACGACCGAGACCCACCAGATCTCTTAGATCAGTTTGCCGATGCCGCAGGTGCTTCTCAACCGGGAGTGTCGCTGTTCGACGACAGATGGAGACCCGTTACGAAACTAACTGCGCGGGACTCCCATGGCCCCGAGGTGCAGCCAAGGTGCGTCTTTACTGGTGAACGGAATGTTGACCTGTGCGTACAGGACGATGGATACATGATGTTTACCTGGCGGATGACTACATTGCTTGGGTGCTTTGGGGCGGGTATGACCGACCATTGTCAGCAAGAAGACTGTCGTATTTTGATGAGAGAGTTACTGACAGAGCTCGTTACCAGCGGCCGATGAGAGAAGTTCAGTCTCCCTGCAGTGGCTTGCATCCCATCTCCCGCAGTCAGGGCTGGCCATTGCAAGCGATTGGCTCTTCGTGGTTTCTTTTCAAGACTTCCACAGCCCAACGTCCCTTGCATCCAGACCTGCATTGAATATGCTCCATTTAATCGGTGCTCTGACATATGCAAACCTCGAAATTGTTAACTCGGGGTACAGCGTTGACGTATACGTCGCGTTTTGTGGGGTAACGGCTTGACCGATAGAAGCCGACGATTCAGGTTCCAGGGGAAGTTGCCGTGCCTTCTGATCGAGCAGTGGGTAATGCCTTCCCGGGCCGGGTGAACAAAGTAGTCAGCGAATGCGGCAACACGCTCAAAGCTGATGAAAGACCCAACTTACTTTGCGCCGCCCAGCGGATTGCTCGGCGAAGGCGCGTGTGGAGGTGACATGGGAACTTCGACACGAGAACGTCAGAGGTGGACTGCTGCAGAAGCTTGACCCCGAAGAATATGTCGTTATGGGCGGGCGGCCGCCCGCCGACGACCCCAAGCGCTGGGTCGTGGCTGGGTGAGTGCCTCGCATATACCAGGATCCCGGTAATTCCTACCAAATACAGACGATCGACTGGCCCATGATTGGCTGTCTTGTGTTCACCCCGCGGCTGTCGACGGCGCAAGATGGGCCAGCCACGGTCGGGGAGAACGTCTGGCGCCCCCGCTAATCCCGCGGCTGGGCCTACCGCACCGATCGGGACGCTTCTGACCGGCACGCATCAGCTTAGCGCGGTACCGTGGACGCGGTTCGCCGTCCTCGCGCGAGAATAAAAGCCTCATGGACGCCGGTGTGAAGGCCGTTTCTCCAATGCCTCGGTCCATCCGTCGGACGACGACGTTCATCTCCTCTTCTACGCTTTTCTGAATTTCTTCTTCACTGGTCTCGTTTGCATGTCCACTATGTTGTCTCGTCGCCCCATGCTTCGCGTCGACCCCAATGTCCTCGATGAGAAACCACCGCCTGTGGAGCCAGAATACCCCCACACGTCCGTCTTTCGGTGAGTTTCTCTGTGCCTGTCGTGCCTGCGGCCCCACTCATCTTGCGACGAACGTGTACCCTATGTGCCTCCAATCGCAGCTCTTCACAAGCCGAGGTTCATGTACGAAGTCCTTCGGTCAAGGTCCTTCGCGGCAAGGGATACGATTCCGCCCAATCACTTCCGGTGTTCGGCGATCACGATAAGGTGACAGGATCGGTCTTGTTAGACGTCAGCCTGTGTGCCACGCCCGGTCGTTTGACGATATCTGTGAGTGCATGTTTAGACCCTGTTCATTCCTATTTCGAGCCTAACACGTGGGTCCCGCGCCAGCTTCAAGGAACTTTCGTATACATGTCCCCAAACGCTGGCCAATCAGACTCGGAAAGCTACGTCGCGCTCTCCCGACCAGAGAGGCACCGGCACGTCTTCTTTTCCGCGTCGGAGACGCGACCAACGGGCGACCTGGACAGTCCTCGGTCCTCGACCTCACTGCGGGACGCGTTCGCCGCCAGCGTTCGTTACCGCCGGGAGCGCCGCCCAAGCCAGACCAGCATCAAGGGCGCCCTGAGACCGTTTCCCTTTTCATTTGCGATTCCCCGGCCCGAGCAGTCAGGGCAGGAGCTTCCGCCGACGTTCTCGTCCGTCGCGGTGGGCGAGTGCGGGCCTCGCGGGCGGACATGCGTCGAGCGCGCAGAAGTCTCGTACGCCGTGATTGCCACTTGGGAAGCTGCGGACGGCGTTGATCGTGCTTTGTGAGCATCTCTTCTGCAATGTCACTCCTTCCTTTACGTTTATTCTGACGCGGAGATGAAAGCGTGGAGGCTCCCGTTCTGTACCAGCCCGACGCCGACTTTCAGTCGTTCGACGGGCTCGCGATGCAGAAAGACTCCTGGCTCGAGATCCCCCTCAAGTCCGACCGGCCGTTGCCCGTGGCGTGTGCGGTGAGTGATTGTGTGCCTCCGGGGGCTTGAAGAGCGGGTCTCAATCGCATATCACTCCCATCAGGTGACACTGCCACACCCCGTCACCTTCTCGCGCTCAGGGTCGATTCCGTACTTCGTCGTGTTCACGACGAACCCTCGATCAGCAACGCTCGCGCGCGAGATTGCGACGGACGCGACCATCTCCGTCTCGCTTCAGCGGGAAGTGCGCGTTGATGCGGCGACGCCGTTATACGCGACGCCTTCTCCGACTGGAACACCTTCGACGTCGAGCGACGAGTCCGAGTCACTTCCGCCGGTGTCGTCGCGGCGGTTGCTCAAGCGCGTCGTGACTGCGCGGAGTGCGCCCGCGTCGCTCGCCAGGGCGCGACAACCGCCGAAAGAGAAACCTCTCCCGCAGCTGCCATCGCCTGGTGTGAACGAGACGCGCGCGCTGCACGTCGACATGTGCATTGGCTTTCCGAAGCGACCACGATACCGCTGCGAGCCACACCAGAAACATCCACCACTGGAGTCTCACGCGTCTCTGCCGGACGGCCTGTACAAGGGCAAGATCCAGCTCGACAAACATATGCTTCCCGCCTTTGACTGGGCCGGACTACGAGTCAAGGTGCGTCACGCGATATACTAGAACCGCGAGCTGTAAGCTAATGCTGGCCTTGCAGTACTACCTGGATGTCTCTGTGATATTCGGGCAAGACCAGATGCGCGCGCGCGTACCCCTGCGCATCTCATGACCTTCGACGTGACATACTGGACCCCAGACCCGACGACCACCCTTTTACTCCCCCACCCCCACCCCCACCCCTCACCCCACTTCCCTTGTTTCCCGTTGTTAATGACACTTTCGTCTTTCATGTACAGACTTCACCACCACCCCTGCATAGTACCATACCCCGCTTGTACGCTTTCGTACGTTTCGATCCCTCCTCGCTTGGCTCTCGTTTACACACCCCCATGCTGTCCATCGCTCGTCGTTCGTCATATACTCATGCAAATAGTCACGCACGCGTATGTATGGTGCCCGTGCCGCCCCTGGTGCGGCGGACCGCGGACGCACCTCCTGGACATATGAATTTGGCCCTAACACTGGCCAAGAAATGTGAAGTGTTTTGTGCGCTCGCTGGTGTGCTCTGGCGGTACAGTACTTGCAAGCTGCCGGCAGGGTAAAGTTTTACTGCTATCACCACTCAATGTGAATGTGGCATGCCGAACGAAAACTCGCGTCCGGAGAGGAAAGATAATAGTTGCCGACTCCGCGCCGCCAGTACCGACCAGATATATCAATTGGACTCCCATTTCACCCATGGTTGATGATACATACATGGGGGCCAGAAGGGGCAATATATATTATCATAGCAGTATCAAAGCACTGAGAGACAGATTTTCGAAGGGATGTGGAACAAGATGGTGTACGGCGCAAACCATTTGCGTCGCAAGGCCGTATTCATGCACTGGCAGCATCTAGTGGTCGAACATGAATATAAAGCGGTCGGAAGGTAATACTGGATAACCCGACCTCGCCCACGCTCACGGCCTAATATGGTACTGGAACACCAGGTTAGCCTTGGGATACGAGCCATTCTTCGTGTCTTCACCCCTGCGAGAGGTGCCACTATGGCGCCGGCGTATGAGAGAATACAGAAAGACGACGCTATCAGCACGTTAGGCTCTAAAAACACCGTGCCGAAACGCGTTTCAATCCGTTAACACGCACACAAGTGTTGTGCAGCCAAATCAGCCTCAACACGGATGTCTGCGCCCAAACCGCAGGTAGAACTTGAATCGGAGTGGAAGTCCTATGCCAAGAGTTTTACAAGAACGTGGCCAATCGCAGCCAGACAAATGTCTAAAAATGGGATGTTGTCGAGCACGTGGGCAGGGCGGGGGCGTTTCGATCTGAGATCCGACGGTGAAGTCACTCCTGCCCTCCGCAAGGCGTTCTCGATCCTGTCTTTCTCCCCCCACCCTGCGTCTCGCAGACTATAGCTCTGCTGAGCTGTTTCTTTTCTTGGTCTTATATCTTTTGGACAAACTTGCTGAGAACATCCCACTTGACGACCGTTGGTTGCGACGTAACAGTACATCGCACGAACATTTTACGAACACCATGAAGTTTGCACGGTACGCAGCACACTCCGGAATTTATCTGCACGGGTTTGGCACTCATGCTGCGCATCTACTGAAGATACCTCGAAGAGACCCAGGTGAGTGTCACCACCGTTCTGATGGCACTAGCAAGTGTGCTCACGCCTCATGTTCCAACTTAGACGCCTGAGTGGAAGAAAGCATACATGTCAGTACACATTGTTGTCTTGTCAAATGATGGTGAAACGCCTTGCGAAAATATCGTTCTGGCACGATATCAGATCCCAACCCTGCGAATTTGACGTGAAGATGTTGGGCTACGGTTATCCTGACTATGTTGCCTTTTGCAGAGACTATCGCGGACTCAAGAAGCGTATCACCGCGATCAGGCGTGCTCACCTCGCGCAGGCCGCGGCGAATAAAGAAGATGACGGCCCGGGTCTCTCTCCACTAGGGCGCTCCAGCACTAGCCATGGCTCCGAACACGAGAGACCCTCATCGCGTCGTTCTGTCCGTACAGTATCAACTTCCAGCAGACTTGGTAGCCTTCCACCACCCTTCGATCCCGACGCGACACCTGCATCCGACGTAAAATCTGGTGAAGAAACAGAGGAGCGCACCGAGTATTCCAGCGGTCTTCCCGAGGGATCTGAGGACGCGAACAGCCCGTCGCCGATCCTGCGTGCTAGCGCGTCAGAACCCGTAGCGTCCCCTCGCATGCGCGGTAGAAGCGCGACAGTAACGAGCATGATTGGGCGGGCGTTTTCTACGCATATACCTCAACGCGCTAACTCGCAAAGAGGCTCGGCGGGCATCGAGCAAGCAGGACCTCGCTTCGATCTGAGGCATCCAATTCCCCTCATGGAACTACTCCCACAGCTGAGCCCCGTCGAGCGCGCGTACTTTGACAAGCTCGACGAAGAGCTCGACAAAATCGACAGCTTCTACTGCGAGCGTGAGCGTGAGATGCGGCATAGGTCGGCACCCACGCAGTCTTCCTGTGCAGCGACTGAGTCTAATGCATGACTACAACAGGGCCCACCTCCTGAAAGAACAGCTTCAGGAGTTGCAGGATCACCGGCGAGCGTTCTACGTAAGACGCCTTCTCGACTTCCCGCTTCCGTGCGTGTCCTGACAGCCAGCATGATCGACAGGAAGCACACCCGACCGCAGCGGTCCCGTACTCCTGGCTCCCGCTTCCCCTCCCCGCCCCGAGCATCCCAAGTCTCATCCACCGTCGCAAGGCACGCCCGGGGCGCCCGACGAACCCGAAGGGCGCGAAGTCGTGGAAGCAGTCCACCGGCGGTGCTAGCGACGAGTCCGACGACACGCGAGCAGTCACCGTGGCCGAAGCGGTGGTCGAGCCTGCGGTTCCGAAAAATGCCGACAAGCAGACGGACAGTGGGAGCGGCGAGGACGAGGTCACAAAGGACGGCAACAGCAGTCCGGAGGGCACCCTCGGCCGCTCGCGCTGGCGCAGCAGTGGGGCGGCGAAGAGCGTGCAGGCGCTCTTCCAGTTCATCCCCGCACCTGTTTTGGGGGAGGATGGGCATAAGAAGGGTAGCGATGGGGATGAGGAAGTGGATGGGGAGCAGTCGCGCCACGCACACTTCTCAGGTGCTCAGGGGCGGAATGCACCTGGTCGAACCCCAGCGATGAGGTACGACCCCGAGGAGTACCAGCACGCCAAGAAGCAACTCAAAAAAGCTGTCCTGGAATGCTACCGGTGAGTAATAATGCGCTACGCGTATTCAGCGGCCACGGCTGACGCACTATAACCGCCGACAGAGGCTTGGAACTGTTGAACAACTATCGAGTAAGTCAATCACCCTCCCATATACAGCTACCCAACTGAAGAAGCCCGCTCGCTAGACCCTGAACATGATCGGCTTCCGCAAGGCCCTGAAGAAGTTCGAGAAGGTCACCAACGTAAGTGTGGGCGCACGCACTGAATGCCGCCCCCGATGCCTAACTACGCACACAGATCCCTGCCCAACAGGCGTATACTAAGGAGAAGATCGAGCCCAGCGCCTTCTCGTCAGGGGCGACGGTGGACTCCCTGATCCGCGATATGGAGGCGCTCTTCGCTGCTCGTTTCGGTAGGTGACGTGCCGCTCGAGGTTGTATGGGCTCATTCATTTGGGGTGTATAGCGCGGGGTGACAAGAAGAAGGCCCTGGCCCGCCTTCGGGGCGGTGCAAAGCACACTAGCCACCATTTCAGCACTTTCAGGACCGGCATGTTCCTCGGGCTGGCCGTGCCCGCACTTGCGGACGGACTGTATCGAAGTAAGCCGATATACCTCCACGGACGGGCATTCCAAGACTGACGAGAGATGTTCTTCTGCTCCGTAGGCTTCCGCACAGACACGCGAGACGCGATACAAGGCTGGGACGCCCTCATGTATATCTACGCTGTGTTCTTCGTCCCCACCTTGTTTACCCTGCTGGTCGGGACGAACTTGCTGGTATGGTCTAATTCGCGGATCAACTACGTTTTCATTTTCGGTGCGTAGACTGTGGCGCTACAGTACAGCTTATACTGAACCTCGTCCTCACAGAATTGGATATACGGACTCGGATGGATCACCGTGTATATTTTGAGGTGCGTGGCCCGCTGTCCCTTCGCCTATGAGATGCTGACGATCGTGTTGCATTCCGCACAGATGCCCGCTTTCCTGCTTTCCTTGCTTTGTTACGCTTTCTGGTTATCTTTCGCCCGTGTGGGTGCCGACAACGTCGCGCCCACCACCTGGCCCTTGCTGTGGCTCGCATTCGCAGCGCTGGTCATGTTCAATCCGATGCCGACGATGTTCAAGCCGTCCCGATGGTGGCTCATCAAGAACGTCGGCAAACTTCTCACTTCGGGGATGCACCGGGTTGAGGTAAGTAATCGGTCATGAAGATGTAATAGGGATGCATATTCACTCGTATGCGAATCTAGTTCGCAGACTTCTGGATGGGGTAAGTCAAGTAACTGCTGTGCTGGCGCGTACTATTGCTTACACTCCGTGCGCCCGCAGAGATCAATTCTGCAGTCTCGTCTTCACACTGTCAAACCTCTACTTCGTTGGGTGCATATATGCGACCGGCATCGATGACACATGGCGACGCTGCACCGCGAACCCTGGCCCGCGGTGGGGCGTCACGTTCTTGCTCGCTTCCCTCCCTCTCGTTGTCCGTCTGGTGCAAAGTGTAAAGCGTTGGGTTGACTCGCGCCTCATCACCCATTTGATCAACGTAATTCGAATCATTTGCAATTCAATGCGCGATGCTAATACGGGTATAGGGCGGGAAATACGGCTCCGGAATCCTCTACTATCTGTTCTACTTCCTTTGGAGACAACAAGGTATGCGAATGAACTTTCATTAACATCATATAGCTAATATGTTCCCAGGTGGCCAGCGTGGGCCCCTTTTCGTCGTCTGGTGTGTTTTCGCGACCAACTACTCACTATATGCGGGTGCATGGGTAGGTCGCCATCTTCTTACTCGGTTGCCCATTCTCATGGATGCCATAGGACCTCTTGATGGATTGGTCCCTCATGCGTCCGCACGCCCCGTATCCATTCCTTCGCCCGAACCTATTGTACACAAACCACATCCCGGTGAGCATTTTGCGTGTCTCATCGCAGTCTCCGATACTGATTGGTACTCCGCAGTTCTATTACTTCGCTATTGTAAGTCGATAGCAAACTTAAAATTGGGGTAACGCGCTCACCTTTGTTGATGCTAGGTCACTAATACCCTAATCCGTTTCATCTGGGTGTTTTACATCCCCGAAAATGGGCCCGACTTCATCATCAGGACTTTCATCGCCGCCATGCTCGAGGCCCTCCGCCGCTGGCAGTGGAACTTCCGTACGCATCCTCTACAGCCTCCCCCATATGACTGATACTGACATCTTGTCCTCACAGTGCGCTTGGAGAACGAGCACCTCGGTAACATCGATCAGTACCGGGTGACCCGCGAGGTCCCACTCCCCTACTCGTACGACGACCCCTCGCACGAGTCCGACGGCGACGAAGAGGAGGACGATCATAAGAGCACGACCGGCAAGACGTGGAAGCGCGGTCGTAGGAGCACTCCGTCAGACAATACTGCTGCTGAGGTCGACGCCTGAGGTCCGACGCAGTGGCGCACACGTACTGGGGTAATATCATGGTATATAGAGTATCCGGCAATAATTGGCACTAGGTCATTCACTAGATGGGCTACTTCATAGATGACGCGACCTGCTCCAACTCCCTCGCTATCAAGGAGTTTGGACACGACTTCCTCAATTGCCTGCGGTGCGAGTCAGTGAGCCGGCCGTGTGAGAGGGGACGCAAGGGACGTACTCGAGTTTCGCCTTGTCTCCGCGGTCCTTGCATTCCTTCCCTGCCGCGCGCCAGTCGCCGCACAAAACGTACAGGTCCGCGCGTTTAGGCCCGTCACAGCGCGCCACGAACGTCCCCGCCTCTTTCGGATGGCCCTTCTCCACGAGATGCTTGACGAACGTCTCGTAGCCGATCGGACTGCGCTTCGAGCGCGCAAAGAGCTCGAGGCCCTCGAAGTCGCGGATCTCGGTCAACGCGTGGAGCTTCACGTACCAGAAGCTGCAATGCACGCCCGTCAGTCCGCATTCCTCAGACCAGCGTCGGCGACATTGGGACTGACCGTTTATCGGGAACCTTGAAGTCTGACTTGACCTTGTCTGCGCGTTTCGCCATGCCGTTGATGAGGCAGGTGCGGATCGTCTCGTTCACGCTGAGCCCGAAGAACGCGATCTTGCCGTCTGCCTCCTTCTCCAACTGTTGCTGTTGAGCCAGCAGGCGCGAGTACTCGTCCGTCACCTGAAGGATCGACACTCAGCAAATTTGTTCAACATTACTGCACGGACTGCATTTACCTTGGCCTCAAATGACCGGTCCTTATCCTCGGAAAAGAACTTCTGCGCCGCTTTCACGGATGTTGTCTTTGCCGCGGGGTCCTAAAGTGACAATCCGTCAGTGGATAGGCATACACGCACTAGAGCAAAGCGACGTACCGAGCTACTTGCGGCGTCTTCGAGGCAGAGCACTGCGCTCTCCACGCGCCGGTCGTCCGAGTAGTAGAAATCACGGAGCATGTCCCGATTCTGCTCTCGTGCGTACACCTGCAGCAGCCGGCTTGCGAGCGCAAGACGTGGCCCACCCTCCTCGATGAGGCGGAAGAACGAGCCTAGAGATAGACGCTTCTGTAGGTGAAGCAGTACGTGGTAGACTGCACACACGTCATGATTTCAGCATTTTCATAGCAAAGGTGGCAGAATGAGAGAGTGCAAACCTAGGTCCGTGTCGCCGCTCTCCACGGCCTTCGCAAGCGCTAGTTTGTCCTCTTGCATGCTGAGCAGTAGCGGCACCTGATCGGACGCCTTCGTCTCGTGGTCCAACAACTATACATGGCGACTGTGTGATTAGTATCGTTTATACTACGTTGTTCGCACTCGTGTACGCACCCTCGTCGCGAGCGCAGTCCTGCCCACCTCCCACGCGCGCTTCGCAATGTCCGCGTAGCTCACCCCGCCCCCGCCGAGCTTCTCGAACTTCTCGACAATGGTTCTGCACAGCGCGTCCTCGCCATCCAGCTCCGCGTTCTTCCCTGATCCTGACACGGTAGGCTTCGAGCGCAGAATCTTCGCGCTCGCCCAGTGCTTCAGCACCGCATCGGGTGCGAGCGAGAGGTATGAGGAGATACGGAGTGCGAGGAGGTGCAAATTTCGGGAGAGCAGGCGTGAGATAAGGTGGGAGGGGGACATTTGAGTGTACCTGACCGAGGTAAGTTAAAGCGAGATCAGACGCATTGTGTAGAGCGGACATACTGGGCGTATGACAGCGGGATGCCGATCTCGTAGAATCGTACAGCGTTGAGGACCTTGAGGGCTTGTCCGACGTGCACGAAGTCTGACGGGTCGTACAGGTCCAGGAACGACCTCCCGAATTTCGCAGCCTACGTCCGTTGAGCATCCTTCAGCGAATGCCAGCCGGTACGGGCAAACGGCTTACGTTGAGCAGCCGCCTCTGCCAATAAGGCTCCCACTCCCTCGCGGCGGCATCGATACATTCGTCGACCGCAGCCGCAAGCTCTGGACGGATACTGCGGATACTCTCGTCCGCCTTGGGTGACCGCCGTGAGAAGTTCTCCCATGCGTCGAACAGAATGGCAGAGGGAGACGTCGAGCCCGGACGAAAGACGGACACGGAAGACGCTAGAGCTGTTCAGCACGCATATACAGGCATACAGTGAGCGAGACGTACGGGGCACTTTTTGCACGAAATCGCAAGTGTCAGGTCCGATGATGCGGACGCCGTCAGGCTCGGAGACAGTGAATGTTGAGCCAGGATAGAAGTACCTATATATGGAGTGCACAAATTAGACTGTTGGTTTAATACACTGCTTCAACCCTGAGGAACGTACTGCAGGGTATCTCCAAATGGTCCGACCAAGACCGCCAGATGGCTCCAGGTAACGAGCACTGCGTCGTTCCCGCACCATTCTACTTGGAGCACGTCGCCTTCTGCACCCACGACGCCGCTTGTGTTGAATTCTGCGAGGCTGCGCTGGAAGTCGGTCGAGACGACCCAGAGGAGGCCCGAGAACGTTAGCAGCGCCAACGACTTGCCATTTGGCGATGGGGACATGTGCGTGAACGGTCCGCGTGAGATGCGCTGGTCGAGGCTCTCGAGGTTGTCCACACTGTATATCGTCGCGTCTACGGAGAGCAGCACCTCGACGTGCCGGGATATTGTCTGGTCTGGGGGAATGACCGTCCATGATTGCGGTGGCTGAGACAGTCCTGTAGAAGCTTGAGCCAATGCAGCAGGTGCAATATTGATGCTACTCACCCGCGTTCGCTAGTGCGAGTGGCTTTCCGCCCGTCCATTCCCTGACCTCCAGGAACGTTAGCGAGCCTGTGAGCGCAACAAGGCCCGTCTCGTGTATCCGCGCGTCAATGATCCCTGTCTCCCCGGCATCGCTTCCGAGAGAATATTGCTGGTATTCGCCCTGTAGGTCGTATATGCGGTACACACCCTCTTCATTGAGCACGACTAGCCGCTCATCACCTGTCCAGCCGAACCGGATGATCTTCGCCTGTTCCCACTACGTGCACGCATCAGCTACCAAGCACCAGCGGAGTCACAGAGGGAGTATCCACACTGAACAGCAAGAGGCCTTCGCCTGCGGGAGAGTACACTTGGATCTGCGCCTTCGAGAACGCAGGAGCCGCATGGCCGAGCGCGACCAGCTTCGTCGTGTCACGCATGAGGGCTATTGCACTGATGATATAGCGCATGTATTCATCCAAAGACTAAGTCACGGACCTATGGGGCCGCCGTATCGACACCCTGCTATGATGAAGTCCTGCAGGTCTCCGGGAAGCTTGCCGGGGATGGAGTAGAGCTGGTGCCGCCGGTAGAAGACCGAGCCATCCTGCATGGCCTCCCATGAGAGCGTTGGATGTTCCGTCATGGTGAAGGAGATAGAACGAGCCTGGGCGAGGTCGAGGACGTGATCAAGGTCAAAGTGCAAGGTACCCCGCGCGCCCCGCGCGGTCTATGCAACATTGGAAGCGCGCGTCATCGACGCGCCGCGGAGGGCGCTTGCAATGATATGCAGATGCAGCAGACACTCTTCCATGTCAAAACGTGTAAATCACCTCCATCCAGATACGTTACAAGTCTATAAAACATCACATATATTCGTACATCTTTTGCATAACTTCCTTCAGGCTCGCGAGTTTACTGCGTCTTTGTGAGGTGCTCCGTCCACCACTCATCGAAAGGTGTCCACCCCAACCCACCATAGCCCTCCATCAGGTCCTCCGTCTCACGGGTGTACAACTGACAGTCGCGTGGGCGCGGAGTGCCATCCTGTGATGTATAATGTCAGTCATCGACGCTCCGCTCGTGGTTCACAAAGTAGAGACGAACCTTGGGCGGTTCGGCATCGGCGACGATGTGTGCGTGCGACACACCGAGAATGCGCGCGAAGATGAGGCAGATCTCGTACTTGGTGAAGGGCTCGCCGCCGGAGTAGTGCAAGATAGGGGGGATCACGCGAGACGCGGGCAGGCCTAAGCAACGGCAAACGCGAATTTATGAGCTATATAGGGCGCGGTACTGCCGGCGGAGTACGTACCGCTCAGGCGGACTAGGAAGTCTGCGATGTCCACGACGTTCGTGGGGTAGCGCGTCGCGTAATGGTCCATCTTGTACTGCTTGCCGCTCTGGTCACTGACGACGTCGAGCAGGATGTTAATCGCGCTGTCCGAGTTGTTGGGCGCGGGCCCGTACCTGGACGTCTACGTCAGGTTGTGCACCACACTTAGAGGACGAGATGGAACATACAGAACGGGTACGCGAAGGACGATAGACTGGCTATCGGAGACGCCGAGGACAGCGATCTCACCGTCTCGCTTCGTCTGGCCATACAGGTTGAGCGGGTTTGTGGGTGAAGATGGTGTGTACGGCGGAGAGGTTCCGTCAAATACGTAGTCTTTGGTCGCCACATGGTGAGCGTTGAGTGAGAGCTGTGGTAGCATGACTGACCAGTGGAGATGTACACGAGCTTATGTTTAAGCTTCTTGGAGAGCTGCGCGAGGCTTTCGGGAACCGAGACGTTGAGCTATACACGATGAAGGATGAGCTTCTACTTATCACAAAGTGTGGCACTGAACGCTGCCGTACTTTCCGTGCGGCTTCTGGGTCCTACGTGCAAAGCGTCAGTCATAGCGCTGGATTCCCATATCAAAATTATGCTACCTTCTCCGCTACATCCGGTCGTCTCTCTGCCGCGCAGTGTATGACCCCTGCAGTGACATGTCGTTCAGGCGCGGATTCACTATAGCTCTGCGTATATCGCGGGCTCAGGAAGTTTACCTACAATCAGGCGCAAACTTGGAGAACACTTGTTCAGTTTTATCGTAATCCGTCAAGTCAAGCTGCTCCAGCTGGCCTGTGGGGCGCGAGTGGGCCAATCCCAAGACGGTGTGGCCTGCCGATGTGAATGCGGCGTACACCGCGCTGCCTAACACGCCCGAGGCACCTGGTATGGCCGCGACGCTTCAGGGACATATCTCAGACGGTCGTTGACGCTATACGTACCGGTGATGATTATGCGCGGCATAGCTGCTCAATGCGTGTACGTGTGTTGAAAACAAGAGCAAGAGCGAGAGAGAGCACCTTTTGGAGTTTCTGGACTCTCATCGGTACGTAGATCTGAGATTTGATCGTGATCGCGTCCTCCACGTGGGTCTCGACCTCCGAGTCGGGTTCCCAGAACGCAAAAAGTACGTTCCCCATCTCGTTGCCTTATTGACGATTGACTCCTTGCAAACACTGTCGACTTCTGGGTCCCATTATCGCTAGCCTTCCGGCCGTGGTTTCAAAGCAGTCATGGCGACTGCATTTGATCTGGCTCATGGCCTCGTATCAACACTGTCCGGCATAGTAACCGAAGAGGACATCGCCCGCTCGAAGTAGGACGCTCTCTGACAAGGCTGTATAAGAACTGACCGGGTTCCCTCACTTGCAACATACAGTCTCTCAAAATTACACTCGGTAAGACTATTTGAAACTTCTTTTGCAATCATGAGGGGTTCATGAGTAACAGGTCGAAGCGCTGGACACACTACTCCGGAAGGCGCGAGCTCTCTTGGGCAGGCTCACCAATCAGCATCGTATGATTCATCGCATGCCTGCAGAGATCCTTTCCCGCATTTTCTTACTTGTTTCTTCAATGTCCAATACCTGGGACAGGAACCCCTGCGATGCGCCGTGGGGGCCAGGGTTTCGAGGAGGCCAACCTCGCAAACTCATCCCTCTCACATCTGTCTGTCAGCGCTGGCGCCGTATCCTCCTCGATACACCTCTCCTATGGTCAACTATCGAAGAAAAAGGTTACAAGGGCGTTCCCGACTTCACGCACTATGTACATCGCTGTCCTCGCGGATCCTTGTCCGTTCGTATCCACAGCCGACTGCATGATATTACTCGGGAACTCCTGGCGCGTCATGGCGAGCGCGTCCAGGACCTGCACATCATCGACAGCGTTTTCGGCGACGGCGGCGGCGAGCTCCTTTTTGGCCTGGTCCCTTCCTTCCGAGCCGAGGATTTGCGCCGTTGTCGGCTCCTTCTGCACAACAGACAGTACACCGGACCGCCTTTTCAAACGTTCTTCCACGACGGACGTGCCCCGCAGCTGCGCCAAATGTGGCTGGAGTCCTTCCCATACCTTCCAAGCAACAAATTCCCAGCCCTCACCCATCTCGTCATAGACTGTCCGAAGCGAGCCTCCTTCAGCTTTCAGGATCTCCAGACATTTCTATCCGGTTGCGCCGATCTTCAGGCGCTCCACCTCAGGAATATGACCGGGTCTGGGCTGCAAGCCCCTCAAATGGAGCCGACCGCACCAAGCTCTATTCACCTCCGGCATCTCCGCAAGCTATCGATAGTCGACAAGCTGCAACCTCGCAGATCGCCTACCTGGGATCAGACCGCCCGGTTCGTGGCCGGCCGCGGTGCCATACAACTTGCCCTCCTGTCGTCCATCACGCTCCCTTCCCAGTGCCTCATCTATCTCTCCCACATCTCTTCCACCGACCTCAAATCCCTGGCCGACCGCATGTCCACTCTCGTCCAACCCTCGTCCATGCGCATCGTCGACGCGCTTCAGGACGACTGCTCTCCGAGAAAATCAGGGCGAATATCGCTCGTGCTCCTGCAGCCGTCGGCGTCCCGCGGCGTGCGCTTCGATGTGCAGTACCGCCGCTGCAACGAGGACGAGGACGCCGTCAAAAAGAACATGTGCCGTGCCATTGCCGCCTCGCCGCTATTCGCCGACGTGCGTGAGCTCTGGGCGGACGCCGGCTCCGCGGACTTCCTCCGCTGGCCAAATTCGATCTTTGGGAGCCTCCCCCGTCTCACGTATCTTTCTATACACCACGAAACAGACACGCCTTACCAGCTGAACTACGTGCTCGAGGCCCTCCGGGAGGTGCTGGCCGGAGGCGAGCTCGTCTGTCCCGAGCTCGACACCTTGGTGCTCACCATCAACGCCGTGTATCTGATCGGCCAGGTACGAGACCTGGTCCTGCGCCGCAAGAACCTTGGACGGCCCCTCACACGCCTCTGGCTCTGGTTGGACCTCGGGAAGGCGAACGAGGCGGCGCGAGCGGAGGCGCGGGCGCTGACCGGCCTCGTGGAGCACTTCATCTTGTTCGACTGTTTCGAGAATGCGGGGGAAGAATATTACGAGGGAGAAGATGGCGACGGAGATGGCGACGGAGAGGATGCCCCGGAGAGCGGTTGGGTCCGTTCTTGGGATGAACGGGTCCCGGAGGATTGTGGCGTCGAGGACGAGATAAAAGACCATTGGCCGATATGGGTGGAACGAGGGCTGGATTGACATCATGTGAGTTCACTTCGAAGGGGTCTTGACGGAACGGAACCGCCTGATAAAAGAAACTAGTAGCATATTCTCAATGCTGTCTTGTAGACGTTACTGGCAGTCGGAATTGACCGACGCCTCTTGTAATGAGGAGATCGGGAAGGAACAGCCCGGGTAAGACTCGTGAAGTCCCCTTAGAGAGCCCTTATCAGACTTATATGTCTATATGTGCAATTCTAGAACGCATCAGGGTATCATACTGGCCCGGGAGACTGGCCGAGCGAGCTGCGTAGAGGGCTATAAGGCGTCCTCAACTTCCTCGACGAACTCACGTCCCGATTGGGATGTCAACACGATCACCTCTCCCACGTGGCGCTCATGCGTCGCAACTGGTTCATGACATCATCGGTGCGACGCGCTCCTCCTCCGGCGAGTACATAAGCCCAGCTCGATCGAGGTGCACCTTCCGCCATCTCACCATCGCTCTCACATCCTCACCGCAGACTCTCAAATCACAGCTCTCACCCCCACACAACCCACTCGCACCATGTCATCAGCCGGAAAGTCGTTTGGCACGCAGTCGCCGCCCCTCGAGGCCACCGGCGAGCAGCAGCCGATGGGTGTATCGTCCGTCGACGGCGGAAAGCCCCAGCCGGTCCCGGATTCGCAACAGCGATCAGGTAAGTAATAGTCACAGTTTCTTGTCGGGCAGGGGTTTGAACGTTGAACACGATGGCTCCTTCAGGCTACTTCAAGGACGATGGCAAGCACGCAGATTCCGCCGCTGGTCAAACGGAGAAGGTGAGCACGTTTCCCGCGTTCCCCGCACTCTGGCTGACGCGGTGCATACGTTAGACTGAGAAGACCAAGAAGGACTAAATGCATCGTCATGAGGAAGACCGCCACCCTGTATCCATACCTCGATTTTGCTACCGTGTACCAATAGACTGCCAACGCGACGTGTACGTTTTGCTTGTTTTCGGATCACCTCCATATTGCAAGAAAGAGCTTTCCATGAAGTCACCATGACGCGTCGAGTCGCGTCGGCGGAGTGCATGATGATACGGGCTCGGTCCGAACACGCCCTGGCGGCGAGCAATTACGGCAAAAGGCACGCACGATTAACGAGCTTTCGGCGGAGCCTTGTTACTTGGTCCGATCAGTTACCCGGCGGGCACGACGGGGATTCGCTCATTTTCTTTAGCTGAAAAGGGAACCAAAATCCCACCGGCGTAGTTACCTTTTCGTATGTTGTCCTTCTTTTTGACGAAAAGCCGTTGAAAAGGCTCGTGCACGTGACAAACGTACGAAAAGGTAACTGCCTGTCGCGCCTTTTCTACAGGTTTTCGGAGGAAGAAAACGCGCTCATCCCCGCCGTGGGGGGTGTCGGTGCATACGCGACGTTGACGTGAATTGGCACGCATAGCGGCGGCGGTCCGCTAATTCCCATTTTGAAGTACTTCGCCCAAGCTGCTTAGATTGACCTATTGGCATGATGCTACTTCAAGCGTTTCCAAGCATGAAGGATTGTTCGTACCAGCGACAGGGTCTTCCAGGCGGCCAATTTGACAGAGTAAAGTGACGGAGGATGCGCCTCGGATCTCGAGAGCGCCCAAGCCGGCCGCGAGGAGGGCGCGTGGCGGACAAGCGCAAATATGATTCTGCCAGCTGCTGCCGGTGTCTCAGAAGCTTAGCGGTATCCAGCGCTCGTCCTGCGGCCTCGCCCACCGCGTCCCGTCCACTCGACGCAGCCCAGCAACTCCAAGATCGACGCACACCGGAGAGTGCAGACCAGGAACAACATGTGCTATCGTGGTGGCGGTACTGGTTGGGTAGCGCGTGGTCGAACGGGGACGGTTCCGCGGCGCAGGGCTATGCCCGATTGCGCCGGCGAGATCGAGGAGAGTTAACGTTTAGCGGTTAGCGGGTCCGAGGGACAGGAACCGTGCAGCACGGTTAGATCGGTCGCCAAACAAGACCTCAAAGTCAGACACTCCTCCATCTCCCCCGCCCCAGCGCGTTCCAGCCCCCCAACTCTTCTCGTCTCTGCTCCCGCACCGTGCGCAAGGACCTCACCCGCATAGAATCCACGGCGCGCACAGGATGGCGACCGTCCCGGCCGACAGAGAGGGGCACATCGTGCTGTTGGCGAACGGCCCGTGGGGTAAGCTTTGAATAAGCCTTCTTCCGACGGGAAGCACACGACTCACGCGTACGCTCCATATGTATAGCGGACGGCAAACAGTTGTGCATCTTCGCGACTCGATTGGTTACGCTGCGCCCAATACATGTCACCGTGTTCACGAACGAGGCCTTCCTCGAGCGCGCGAAGCGCGAGGTCTCCAGCGAGCTTGCGGGCGTAGGCGCCGTGGGGCATGTCAGGTACGCCCGTGTTCTCATACATCCTTGCACTGCTTATCTTATGAAGTGTTCTCTCGCAGGATCGTCGCGTTGCCGTCAGATACACATAAACACTTCGTCGACCCCGTCTTCGAAGCCGCATTCGCGCGCGTATATCGCCAGTTACTCTCGGGAGAGCCGGTCCAGTGTGTAACGACTGGCGAGCAACTAGGGCCGCTCCCTCTTCCCCAAGCGATCGTCACCCCCGTAAGTGCATTACTCCATCCGGTATGCGACGCGCTGACTTCATCTCGCCAGAAGAACTCCACGCTAGAATCCCTGCAACGGTTGCGAAAGGAGACCGGGGCAGACGTGAAGCTGCTCATATGGTACGCGCGCGTCCCGTCTACCCTGTTCTTCTTCCACGGCCCCGCGAACCGGGGAGGCGTCGGAGACGTACGCGCGAAGGTACGTGCGGAGGCGGAGCGGAGGAGGACGTCACCTGAAGAGGCATTTGAGGAGGTAAGCATCTGATTGTGGAAAAGTGGCTCGTCGTGCTGACGATGCGGACAGACCATACATTTCCTTGACAGCGTTCTCATCCGTATACCGGGATACGAGCCGCTATACAACCACGAGGTGCAACCGCAAGAGGTGCGTGACCCATATCAATTCCGCGCTCCCTCTTTTCTGAGTCCACGTCTTTGCAGCTCGCCTACCACGGCACGCTCGGCGTCGAATGGCTCACCATCTACGAGTAAGTCCACTCCCCTCTCCACTCACCTTCCTCCGCATCCTGACCGCCCCCTACAGCATGTTCACCTCATGCGACGGCGTGCTCATGTCCACGCCCGAGTGCTTCGACCCGCTCTCCATCATCGGCACGCGCGCGTGGATGGGCGAGACCGCGCGCGGCGCGTACGCCGTCGGGCCGCTGCTCTCCACCGGGGCGCGCGCGGTCGAGAACGAGCTCATGGACGCGGACCGCGGCACGGAGATCCGCGACTTCGTGAGCCGCGTCATGAAGAGCCACGGGCCGCAGTCGCTCCTCTACGTGAGTCTCCTGCTTTGGGATTGTGGATGGGAGACGAGGGGCTGGGGCTGACGGGAGGTGGACGGGGTGTAGATCTCGCTTGGGTCGTGGATGTGGCCGAAGTACCCGGAGAAGCTGTGGACGTTCTTGGACGTTGTTATGGACCTCGGTATCCCCTTCGTACGTGCTCTTGCTGTAGCCGGGCGAGCGGGTTGAGTGACTGATGGACACATAGATTCTGAGCCATGCATCCGAGCACGCAGAGATTCCGGACGAAGTAAGGCATACGGTGGACCGCTACCCGCTTGGCCTGCTCTCGTCATGGTGCCCACAGCAGATGATCCTCAACCACCCTGTACGTCATCTAGTCTCTTTTCGTTCACTCACGCACTGTGTCTCACCCAACGTTCTCCAGGTGACCGCCTGGTTCCTGACGCACTGCGGGCATAACAGCGTCATGGAGTCCATCTCCGCCGGCGTGCCCATGTACGTCCCTCCCCTCCTTCCCTCCCTCCTCCGTCCTCCTGCTCATCAACACCCTCTGCCATCCCCAGGATCTGCTGGCCGTTCGTCGGCGACGGCGCGCTCAACGCGATCCACCTCTCCGACACGCTCAAATGCGCGTACGAGCTGCTCGAGGTGCGCACGGGCCACGGCCTCGAGCGCATCTACCGCACGGGCGCGCGCGCGCTCGGCACGCCGCAGGCGGTCCGCGCGGAGGCGCTGCAGGTGCTCGCGAGCGCGTTTGGGGAGGACGGGGCGCGGAAGCGCGCGAATGTGCGCAAGATGCAGGCGCGGTTTGAGGGCGTGTGGGCCCATGAGGGTGGGGATGGGAGAGGGGAGGAGGCTGGGGCGTCGGTGCGCGCGACGGAGGTGTTCTTGCGGGATTTGGGGCTGTGACACGAGTCTAGGGTGAGGGGGAGTGGGAGGCGTGTGCCGTCGGTTGCGGGACGCGTGTCTGGGCAGGCCTCTCGCTGTGGATTTCTTGGTACTCTCGTCCTGCGGGCGACATCGGAGGAGTTCGTTCATGGTAATGTCTAGAGCCGATTTCTATCATATTTTGCTGGAACATATACTTAGCGTCACACACATAGATTCGTACTGGATATTAATTCTTAGTCCTGGAGCCGTTCGCTGGTACGGGATTGCTAATTCAGAGGGGACTCCAACAATGCGTCCATCATAACAAAGGACCGCCAGAGCCTCAGTGTCCCGATTACGATCGGGTCCCCACGTGGGTCTCGCCTTGCAGGAGGTCTCGCGGCAACGACTCCCTTCCAACCGCCACCACTATCGCTCGTCTTCTGGCTACCATTCAGCACCAGCATTCATTATGGCAGAAGTGTTTGACTTAGCTCACGCACTGGTATGGAAACTATCTGATCCCGCACTGGAAGAGGATACGATTGTGGCCTCAAAGTAAGTCACTCCCAATTAATCAACGACATCTTTGCTAATCCAGGTTCCTCCCCAACTACAGACTCGCGGAATTAGAGTCGGTAAGATGCTTAGGCTACAGCTCTAGGAGCGATTCTCTGACGATCAATATCAATAGGCCAGCGCGTTGGACGTGCTACTCCGGACGGCGCGTGCTCTAGTTGGCAGGCTCATCAATCGACATTGTCGCCTCAATCGCATTCCTCCAGAGCTTCTGACCCACATTTTCTCGTTTGTCTTGAACGACGGCCAGGGTAACCGACAATATCGCGACCCGCAACATCCGTCCTGGTCCCCGAGAGGTCCGGCAGGCCAACCCCGCAATTTAGTCCCACTGACCGCAGTCTGTCAACGATGGCGTAACATTCTACTGGAGACGCCTCTCCTGTGGTCCACTGTCGACGACCACGTACATTTCGAGGTCCCTCATTTCACGTACTACATACACCGTTGCCCTCGCGGACCCCTGTTCGTGCATTTGCACGAGTGGCCCCATAGGAAGATATTGAGACTGCTGGAGTCCCACGGCGAGCGCGTTCAGGACCTCTTCATGAACAAGTGTGGCGCTTCCCATATCATAGATCTGTTCAAAGCGGAAGAGCTGCAGCGTTGTCGCTTGAAGTTCAGCTGCGGGGACTATGCTGGTGGCCCCTTCCATGCGCTCTTCCAGGGACGCGCCCCGAAGCTACAAAGACTGCAGTTGGAGGGCTCTCCCTTCCTCCCGTCCAACCACTTTCCCAGTCTTACCCACCTCATCCTGGCTTGCCACCCGATTGTCTTCTTTAGCGCTGAAGACCTTCAGGTATTCCTGTCCGGTTGCCCTAGGCTCGAGTCGCTTTACATCAAAACACGGGACATATCCCAGATTCAAGTACCGGAGAAATCCCCCACCGCGCGTAGCCCCCGCCTTCTACACCTTCGGAAATTTTCCATGATCGCCGCTGCAGACTGGCAAGATGGGCAGAACTTCAGCTTTGGCAACGAACCCGCAACTCAGGCCGAGCTTTCCGAGTTTAGAGACAAGCGCAGCGCTCTGCAATACGCCCTCCTGTCAGCCGCCGTCCAAGTTCCGCAGTGCCTTGTCTACTTCAATCCCATAGCTTCCGCCAACTTGCAGATCTGCGCGGATCATCTGTCGACGCTGATCAGGCCTTCGTGCATGCGCATCGTCGAGACGGCTACCGCCTCGTTTACCCCGAATCGTCTATCGCTTGAGCTCGTCCACCCCTCGGAGCCTCAGGGCGTGCGCTTCGACTTGCAACTGGATCGCGACGGCGAAGATGTGGAGACCGCCAGGCAGAATCTGCAGCGGGCTATGGCTACCTCCCCGCTCTTCTCCGATATCCACGAGCTCCATATGCACTCCGGCTCCTCCGTATTCCTGTGCCCGCCACATTCTATACTCCGGAGCCTACCCTCCCTGAAGTACTTGATATTCGGCTTTGACGAGCTGAAAAAAGCGGCGAGAAATAGCATATTGGACACGCTCTCGGACGTAGACGGAGGCTCGGTCGTTTGTCCCCAGCTCGACTCCTTGTGGATCGTATTTCCCGACGGAGTGTCGACCAAGCCTCATATCGAGCGAATGCACGCCATCCTCGTCAGGCGCATGGAAATTTTGGGGCATCCACTTCAACGCCTCCTCGTCCAGTTCGGCGACCAGCACGGTGCGAGGTCAGTACAGAATGCGCGTGCGGAGCTAGGCGGTCTTGTGGAGCACCTCACGTTGGTCACGCGATACTCGGATGGGGCTCGAGTGAAGCGCGAGAATCCCTGGCTACGTGATTGGCAGGATCTGGTCCCGCCGGGTTGTCGAGCTGGGGAGGACGAGATTACTGAGCATTGGCCTGGGTGGTAGCAGCACTGATGGAGCAACCTGTCGAACAGGTAAGTCCACTCGAGAGGTCACAACTGCCCGGCCATGAGCAACCAAATTCTGACGCCGTTCTGCCACCTGGACAGGGTATGCGGCGGAGGAGTCTTCGCAGACCCGACGGGGCCGGGGCTGTGACCACAGCTTGACGGGCGGCGGTCAATGTGAGCACGTTTGTCTTCCTGCTCCGAGGGTGAGGCTGGTATACGTACCTAGGTGTGGGTAACATTGGTTACGGGAGCTTGCGAGCGTAGGTATGGAATCGTGTGACGGACTCGGATTCATGGGTGTAAGGCTGGCAGTGTTCTCCGACATCCATGAACTCTGGATGGGCGCCGTCTGTTTCTGGCTCCTACGCCGACCATATTCCGTCCTTTGGAGCCTGTCAAGTCTGCGGTACTTGCAAATCATCTGTGGCGATGTGGACGAATGGATCTCCGAGGGAACGTTCGAAGCCCTCTCGGACGCAGCGGGAGGCTTGGTCTGTCCCGAGCTCGATACCTTGCATGTGATAGTGCTCCGCGAACAGCGCACTGAGCAGGCGCAGCCCGTCATCGAGCGACTACGGGCCATCGTCGAGCGGCGCACTAGTTTGGGGTATCCGCTCAAACGGCTTTACCTCTCGATGAGGATGCGCGAGACGAGCTCCAGCTTGGTGCCGGAGACGCGCCGGGAGTTTGGCACCCTTGTGGAGCACTTCACATGGCACGCACGAGAGGGGGAGTGGTGGAATGCCATGTATTCAGACTGCTGGCGTGATTGGGAGAAACGCCTCCCGCCGGGTTGTCTCAAGAGGGACGAGTTAGAAGGACACTGGCCCGAATGGGAGCAACATCGACCGTTGCCGTGACGAAGCAAGCTATCAGACGCAAGGGCCCGGGGTAAGTGGATTCCGAGGTCGGAGCCGCACTGCTCGGTGACGAATGACCGAGTGCTGACCTCATTCTCCAGCCACCGATAGGAGTGCTGGTACCATGGGCAGGCCTGGAAGGGTGGAGAGGAGAGGTGTACGGTGCAGTGGAGTGATTTTGTAGGGCACACAGTGGAGCACATCTACCGCACCGACGTGCAGGCGGGAGACCGTACCGTAGCTGGCTGGCATTCATGCTCGTTTTGAAGACTGGCTTTTTTGTCCCGCAGCTATCCACACGCGCCGCCCGTACACACAAATGCACGCATCGGACGTCTACACTGGACCCACCATCAGCCAGCAAACCCATTCGACAGTAAACCCGCGAAGGGAAGGTGACGTCCACCCCTCACTGGGGCAACGTGCAGTTGAAGTCGAGCTGCAGACCCCCAGTCAATCGAGTCTTCAGAAAATGCTAGAAAAATGACGCACCTGCGCGGTGCTAGCGATATTCTTGCACACAAACGTCGCATTACCACTCGGCGACGACAGGTGCGTGTCCTCAGCGGTGATATCTTGACACGTGTCCGAGCACTCGATATCGACTACGACCGCACCCTCCTTCCCGGAGGAGGTGCCGGTTACGTTAATGTCTATAATGCTGGTCGTTCAGCGTGATCGTCGTGTGAGGAGGGGAGGGAACGCACAGTGGACGTCGGAGATGCTGAGGTTGCTGGGGAACTGGGCGCAGACGTCCGCAGAAGTCATGTAGCACTGCGGGATGCGTCAGAAAACGACAAGTCGAAGATTACAGGTCCAAGGCCTACCTGGTCGATAAGAATAGGGTTATCGACGTTCTCCACTTTATAGAGCGTGAGTAAGTGTGTCAAACTGAGCTGAGTCGAGGTACTGACTGTGGAAGTCCTTGAACGTGATATTCCTCACGAATCCAGTGCCACCGCCGGCCGTGCTGACTGTTGCGCCATCATGTTCAGGTACAGGGGGGGCGTAGAGGGAGAAGAGGAGACATACTGGGGCTCGGATTCCCCCCGAAGACCTTGATGCGCGCACCGTTTTGGGCGTTGAGCATCGTGATGTTGGTCACGGACACGTTGGCGACGATGTCCATTTCGCCGGCGTACTGCGCGGGCCTCAGTAAAGTGCGTTACAGTGCTGCAAGTAACAAACCTGGCCCAAGCTGCCAACAGAGACGCCATGAGAGCCGTTGCAAAACATGTTCGCCACGATAATATCGGTACTATTCGGCTTGAACGCTACATGTGCAGTTGAAGAGACGGGGCGAATGCGAGTGGAGGAATATCACTTACAAACACAATCGTCGTCGTTGATCACAACGGAATCCTGTATAGTGACATGCGAAGAACGGTAGATGTCCCAGCCATCTTCAAACAGCGTCAACGAACGGGATCAGGATGTATTATAGATGAGAACGAACCAGAATTCGCAGTTGGGCTGCTTGAATATGACTGTGAACGGATGCTAAAGACCGGATATGATCAGTACATGCAAATGTGACATTTCCCGCATATCTCGCACCTGATCTGCTTATAGGTCACATTCGTGCTCTGATACACGAACTACAATGGTCATGCATGAGCGCGGCTCATAAAGAGGTATCGCGTATGCCCACATTGTTCTAAGGATACGTTTAAAAAGTGGTTTCGGTGAGAAGAGAAGTTCCACCCACCCAGAACGGAGAGCCAATCTGTCGGATATTTTCAACCACGATGTTGGAGGAGTTGCCGACTGTGAGCGGGATGGGCCTCGCAAACGTCGTTGAGGAGCCGCCCGCCGTTCCAGCGTTCTGCCACGGCAAGTCAACTTGCAATAACGCGTAGGGATAGAAAGCAGACCCACATGGGAGTTGTTGAAGGTGTCCCACCAAACTTGTCCGTTACCGTCGAGGGTTCCACCGCCGTACAAGTGGATATTATTGCCAGACAGGAACCAGAAGGTGGTCCTAGAATATATCAGCCTCCGCATCTCAGATGTACTGGACGAAGGTGTAGAACATACGCGTTCTGATATACGAGGAACAAGCTCTGGGGGGACCATTTGGCGATGTCCGGTGTATACTGAACTGAGAAGCAAATGGCACCATCACACACTGGACCGCGTAGGCGGCCTCCAGCCGACTCACCTGTACCACTCAGCTCAATCTCAACGTCGTCGAGATCCTTCGTGAGCAGCAGCGTATCTACGACATAGTACTTGTCGAGGACGACCTTCGCGTTCTTTGAGCACCTCTCGAACGCGGCGTTGATGGCAGGCCCGTCGTCTTCGCCTCCGCCAATAGCAGGTACCTTGCAGGTCCTGCGTGCGACGGCAAGAGCTGACAAAAAGAGCAAAGCAACGAAGTTCGCGAGCATGGTGTCGAGACGCGTCGGGCTTCGACTGGGAGCAAGAGGAGGATGCTACCGACGTCGCCGCGTCGCCCCTGCCCCTTTATGCTGCGTAAAATTACGGGTGCGCGCATCACGAGAGCTGGCACGGCGGTCCGGGGTGCATGTGCGACGGCGGCGCGGACGGTCGTCGTGGTCAGGAGGACACCGTCCCAGAAAAGCGCGACGCGTTTCGGCGCGTCGTGGTCACGTGTAGCAGCAGTACCCCTAACACCCCATGCGTGCCCTCCGGACAGTCCGGTGAACGATGCCTGCGCGGTTGGGCGCGAGCGCGACGCCTCCATCGTCCAAGCCACCCTCACACCTCCCGCCGTCGACGCTTGCAGCTGGACGACCATGGCTGGTCTCCAAAGCTATGTCGATCGTACGTTTCGCGTGCTGCACCTCGAGCTGAAGGCCATATACTCACTTCTCACATAGAACGGGTCCTCCTCATTCTCCAGGACGGTCGAGCGATTGTGGTGCGTCTATGTTGCACGCCTGACCGACCGATGGTGCTAACAACTCCTATGTTTATGATCACGCTCTGGACGCGCCCCTTGGAACGGTGTCTCAACCCTTTCTGTGCATCTCCTCCCCGGACCGCTCGCTTCCCGAACCACAGGGCGTGATGGCGGGCTACGACCAAAAGTCGAACGTCGTCCTCTCCGACAGTAAGGAGCGGGTGTACAGCATGGATGAGGGTGTGGAGGAGATACCCTTGGGCCTCTACCTCGTGAAGGGCGATCAGATGTGCGTCCCCTGTAATCATTCGCGCGATCTGGTGCTGACCCGGAACCATGCGCGCAGTGTTCTCATTGGGGAAGTAGACGAGGCGGCAGACAACGCCGTTGACCTGTCGACTATCCACGCCGAGCCGTTACCGCCAATTCGATACTGAGTTCGAGGAAGAATCGAAGCGGACCCCCATTCGGCGACTCGTATGTGCATCACCGCGATCTGGCACGAGCGCCCCCACGCGACTACCCTGCGCAAGCCAATTTGCCGCAATCCCTCCCGAGGAGACGTGCGCTTACGACGGAGTACTCCTACCGGACTCCATCGCGTCGTGCCATCAGCGGCGCGCTCGCCCCGGTGTCAGTGGTCGCCGGTAGCTTCGGTCAAAGGGCGTATGCAAAGATGTACTGTATCCCCGACATCATTGGATCGTGTACGATGCTTGAGCAATGTATCTGAGCTAAGTTGCCACTCCAGGTTTCGGCGGCGCTCGGGTTCTCCGCGTCTGGCCGAATCTGACCCTTTTATAACGTGCTCACCGAGCGCAGTTACTTGTGCAAGTGCGTTTCCCGAGCTCTTTTTATGACGCCAGACTGACGCAGTCTAAAGCTAGAGTCCTCAGGATAAGCAGAACGTAGCCTCTGTAATGCTCCTCTCAGTCTTGAGCACGCTTTCGTGACACAAGATCACGCCGTCGCCGCACTCATTGGCAAACAAGCCTTACTCTGGCAGCGCCAGGGCGGGCACTACATCCCTACGTCTCGTGCTGCTTACTCCGCTAGCTGATTCCCTAAGTGCTCCGATGCGTTCTCAACTTCTTCCATGGCCCGCCATGTGCAGATAAAGATAGCGAACGGTGATATATTGGCATATATGACGAACTGAATAGAACATCCGAAGCACTGCGGATCTCTCACCGCAACTGCCCTTTTCGCAGAACCCTCACGGGCTTGCATCTGCTCATTCTGGACGACACGCGCATCATTCTCACCATACGCGGTCCAGGCGGCCCTAACTTTGTTGCTGTTGTCCTTTATAGCAACGCGTCTCCCGTCTTGCGCTCATCATCTATTCCGCCAGACACTTTAGCAGTCAAGGGGTCCGGGCGCTCCGCCTTCTATGTCCGCCACATTCTCAAGAGGGCACTTCCGGTGCTGTTCGTATCCCCCAGCTCAGGGCACGCCCCGGGTTCAGTGCCATCCCGCTGAATGGCACCTGTCCTGCACCCTAGCTTCTTGATGCTGCTCGCCGCCATGGCGAGCCCCTGCGCTATCTACAAAATACGCGCAGTGACGAGGGCCCTTGTACCCCCCTCCGCGCTCCCCCCTCACTCGTTTGTTGCATCGGCCTTGTACATAGTTCAGCGCTGCGCCCATCAGGATGGTACTCTCCAACGACCTCGCTGCCCTGGTAGGCTTCGCGTCTGAAGCCGTTCTCTGGGGTGCGTCTTTGTTTTTTTTTTTTTTGCCTTCGCCCCGAGTGATTATCAGCTGACCGTGCCACGCAGGGATCTATTCCGTTCTTTTCACCGCGTCTCTCGTTTTGCTTATCCGCCGCGTCCCAACTCGCGGCTTAAACACTCCCATTCTCGTCCTCGGCTGTGTTCTTTTCGCGTCTTGCACCTCCCACTTCGCGCTTGAGTTCTACCATTTTGTGACCACTCTCGTACGTCGCCTTGCCCATCTCTTAATGCTACGCGGAAGCTCAATTTATTACACAGCGCGACACCGGCGCCGAGGGCTACGCAGACGAGACGAAGCAGCTCGTCGGTGCCGACATCCTGATTTCCCTCAGCGATCTTCTTGGGGATTTTGTGTTGCTCTACCGTTGCTGGATTATCTGGGGCAGGAATTATTGGGTGATCATCTTTCCCTTCCTCACCGCCGTCGCTGGATTCTGTAAGTCACCGCAACCCTCCATCCCAGCCCATGCCTCTAATCAGCCTCGTTCTCCCCCTTGTCTCCACCCAAACACCCACCACCAGCATGCATCATGGAACTCGTCCACCTCGTCGTCACGCTCAACCCGGACGCGCCCATCGCGCCCGCGGCGCTCGTCCCGCTCGGGCTCGCGGGGTACGCGCTCCCGCTCGCGACGAACGTGTGCACGACCGCGCTCATCGTCGCGCGCCTCTGGCACACCGCGCGCGCGGCGGACGAGCGCTGCCGCGGGCGCCTCGCGGGCACGGCGCGCGCCGCGCAGCACGCGGTCGCGATCATCGTCGAGAGCGGCCTGCTCTACCTCGTCGCGCAGCTCGTGCTCGTCGTGCTGTTTGCGCTCGAGCATCCTGCGCAGGCCGTTGTTGCGGTTATGGCCGTGCAGATATACGTGAGTCTCCTTCCTTCCTTCCCTCTCCTCTCCCCCTGTCGCTTGTTTCTCCTTGTGATGAGCAGATGCTGACGGGGGAGCATTAGGGCATTGCGCCGACGCTGATCGTCATCCGCGTCGCACTGGGCATCTCGAGCGACTTCACGACGCGCGACGCGCCGGCGACGGCCGTCCCGGCGCTCACGCAGGTCAGCTGGGAGTCGCCCGCGTCGCGGGAGTACACGCGCCCGTCGAATCTGCCCGGCTCGCACTCGTTTGTCGCGACCGAGGAGAGCGGGCCGACGCTTGGGGCGGACCCGGAGTATCTGGAGATGAAGGCGTTCGACGATGACTTCGAGCAGCACGACCTCGCGGTTGCGGTATGATTGTTTAAAGCAGATATTGGTGCATGGGAGTAGGAGACGAGAAGGGGAGGTTTCGCCTTTGAGTGTACGGTTTCTTTGTCGGATGTGAGGTTGGCCCGATTTTTGAACGAGCCTATCTCGTTGTCATTAGTTCCCTCTTAAGGTTAGGCCGTCTTGATGCGATGTGCTAGCGTGCACGCCTGGACGTACCGTGTAATATGTACGTGAGTGCTAGAGTACTAGATTCCTGTGGGCTCCGAGCGCGATGCGAAAGACAATCTTACGAGAACTTCCCACGCTGCGGCACAGCCAACGGGCAGCGCCACAGCAAGTTGGTTCGCGCTCGCCGCCAGCACACTCGATTCCTCTCGACTCGCGATCAGCCTATCCCAACTGACCCACTCTGAGCGCATCGCAGATCTCGGAGCATCGTGTTCTGGTGTCGCGGTGGACACTCAATAGCAATGGTCATCCAACCGTCTATCGAGTTTGGCCGAGGGAAGCTAAGGCGCGCGCCCGGGCCAGTCAAAACCATGATCTCTGACGATGTCGAGGCACGTCGTGATCAAGCAACTTTCATTTGCAGGCTCATGAGCGGGAGCATAACGCGAGCCTCATAGCTAGGTCAAAGGCGGTAATCCCTGCCAGCACCCCAGCAGGAATTTGAAGCGCTCCCGAAGGCGTTCGAGTCTATCAGCCATGGCTGTGAACAATCCCGGAAAAGAAATGCTGGTAACATCTATAGGGTGTCGCCTGGCTCGCATGCCCGCAGCTCATGCCGTCTTGTGGTTTGCAGGCTGTGATACCTGTATTCGGGCTCATCGCGAGGGGCACGCCCGCCGGTCCTCGCAGGCCTGCCCCTCAACTTGCCCTCTCTTGACTCGCGCCTGTTAGTCCCAACAACTCTCGACGCACGAAGATATCAACCGAAACTCTCAACAATATGCCTGTCCGTATCGCGTCACTTCGCCAGGCCTCGAAGAAGCTCGCTACGAAGCTTCGACCCACCCAGCTGGGCAGAGGAATACGGGCCGTGGGGAGAGGCATATCCCGCATCCCCCTCAGCCCCGTCATCATGACAGTGAAGGCTACGGGAAAGGTAGCATCCTCGGTCCCATTCGTTCAGGGAATATCTGAGGTCACGGTCTCGGCGTTGGAGCGCGTGAAGGTGAGCCCTTAGAGCCTCTATAGCTGTATCCGTATTGAGTACTCAAGATATTTATTCGGTTTAGGATATGAAGCAGAATCTCGAGGAGTGCAAGGATCTCGCTCGTCTTGCCGAAGGTGTCATATCTGCTGTCGAGGAAACGACGAGCGACATGCTCGAAGAAGAACAGGATGTGAAGATGCTGTGGAACCTCGCCGTGCTCGAACAGTGCGTTGAATCAATGCAGACTAAATGATTTAATATCACTGAACCGCGTGCGCATTGCTCGCAGGTGCATGGTGGACATCATCACAACCATGAAACATCTGGAAGGAAAGGCCCTTTGGCGCCGCTACTGTAACAAGGGAAAATACGGCGAGGCCCTCGTCAAGCACAAGAAAAGCTTGGAACACGCGCTACAAATCTTTCAGGTCTGTCTCACTTTTTCATTCGTGTATATATAGTATTGTGGACTGATCAACAGGGGCGGCATTAGATGAGGGAGCTTGTTGCTGGACGCTGCACGCAACACAGGGATCACACGCAGCTTGTTGACGCCTTCCACAGCCTCCAAAAGTGGCAGATCGCGGAGCTTGTCCCGCAGCTCGTATCATTACGTACCACAGCTGAGCGGCAAACTCGCATCGATTATTTTTTTTTGACCCATCGTTGGGCCTGACAGTGGTGCTGCATGGTCGCCGATCCACATACACATACATAGCTAGCGCGCTTCCCAGTCCCACAGCTTCTTATCCATGATGACATTTCTCCCTCCACCATGACCCGGATCTATTACCTTCTGTATCTATGTTACGTTAACGTTATACCAGAACGGACGCGTCTAAGTATACTTACTACAAGCTTTAGACATTCCTCAATCGGACAACGCGCATTCGCCATCTACAAGCCTCGTGCATGAAACCACAAACCACTCGATCCACTGTGATAATCGTATGAGGTCAATCGTCCCGGCGGGAGAGGCAGTGAGCAGCGCCCACAAAGACACGGTGAGTGTAGGTCGCTGGCACTAGTACAGCTTCTCATCATACGCCTCTAAATCAAGGTATACGTATTACGATCTGTCCTTGGCTGTCAAGTTCAGCGAGGCACGCATGGATCGTCCCCGCCCCTGGATATCGTCCGATTATCTTGTCAGCACTGTCCGGTGATTAACCGCGGCACCACTGCCCCTACCGCCTATGACTTGGACGGACGGTAACCCCTCGAGTCTCGTGTCCACATTACAGAGCAACGTCTGGCACACATAGTACGGCCTTGCTCGATGGGCTAACTCGGCGTAGTGTGACGCCTCGAGCGTACCTCGAGCGCGACATAAAGGTAGTGTAGCTTGCGCCGCATCGCCGAGACTAAGAACGTCTATTAGTATCTGAGCCCGTTCATGGACGCACGGAGTGCGATGAATCCGTCGAAGAACGGGGAAGATCGTGCCCTAGTTGTTGTGAGGGATTGGGTAGAACTGGGCGGCGTCTGAGGAGAGGACGAGCATGGTTGAAGGGAACTTGAGCGAAAGCCAATGGACCACAAAGACAAACTAGGTTTTGTGTCCTAAGTCCTTCACGACACAGAGGTCGCCGCGGTCCGGTCCCGCGCTCAGTTTGCTTCACACTTGGCACTCTACCGTAGTCTGCACAATGTACGAGACGACGCGAGACGCGCAAAATTGTATGTTAGGTAAAGACTTGAAACATTGAAAAGTATTCGCAAATCGAGTCGACACAACAGAAGATACTGACACAATGAGAGGAAGTACAGCAGATACACGGGGAGAGCAGGAACGCGAGAGAGGAAGATGTGCGTAAGCGAACGCGAAACAGATAGGTAGAGGCGAAACATGAAGAGGAGAGAACACAATCACGCATCAGGCGTAAACTGGCCCCACGAACCATGGAACGGGTTTGCGGACTCGCCGGACGCCAGGTCCTCAGGCCAGATGGCTTCTGCGGGCGGAGTCTTCAGGGGATCGTATAAGCCCGAGGATGGAGAGGCGTCCTCGTCCACGACGGCGAGCGGATGGGTCCTGGTGAGAGGGCCCTGGAACCCTTGGTCGGAGGCACCCTGATCGCCGACAGCCGGGGCGTAATTCATGTTCGATTGATAGTGCACTGATTGCTCCGCGGCGCCGTACGGGATGGTGGCGGAGGTGGCCGATTGAGAGGAGTCCAAGAAGCCCAAGGCGAAGGAATTAAAAGGCATATCCCCCGTCGCTGCCGTCACATCCGACAACGGATCCATGGGCACGTAGCTGGGCTGTGGAGAGAAGTCAGTCGTGGGGGTGCCATATGGCGCGAGGTCACTAGAGTCGCCGGTGTTGGCAGGGAGTTGTTGCCCCGGGAATCCATAGGACGGCGCGGATCCCATGTCCCACTGCTCGGCGCGACCGACTGCAGGCGCTTGGGGACGGGCAGGCATCGAGGACGACAAAGGCAGCCCCGCTTGCATAGACAAGACATTGGAGCCTACGGGGTACTCGTATCCTTGGGCATCGAGAGCGGTAGATAGAGGCGGCGCCTGTGGTTGCACCGGAGGCAGCTGGAGATAAGCGGGCGCGGCACCATTCACCTGTCGCATAGCGGCGAAGTCACAGAACCCCGCGTCGAGCGGGGCGAACTCGACGTCGAATCGCGGCGGCTGCGGGGCTTGATACTGCTGGGGCGCAGTGACGCGTTGCTGCAAGACATGCACGGGCGCGGGCGCGATCTGCTGGGGAGCGGCGGGCTGGTATCCTTCAGCGTAGTCATACATCTGGGGATGGAATGCAGCCTGTGGGTTGCCCGTGAATTGTAGGGCCGGCCAGTATGCGCCGTTGTCTTGCTGGGCGCGAGCATTCGGAGGCGGGGCGGCGCGATTGTACGGGTTTCCTCGTGAGGTTGCACCCGGACCAGGTCGCTGCCGCCCGCTAGTGACCGGCTTTATCGTGTAGCCAACAGTGTCTTCGTAGGCCCTGTCCTGTACCAACATCTGCTGCTGGGCGTGCCCGCCACGCTCCTCCATGGAGCTCGTGTACTAGTAATCGGAGAATGCAGCTTCTTCAGGAGGGTGTTCCAGACAGCGAAGAATGGTATACGTACCTGGTACTGGACCGCTGACTGTCCGTACATGTCTGCCTGCGCCGATACCTGCGGCTGGTTCGATTGGCCGTCGAGCGTCCAGAAGCCGAGGGCGGAAGGGGGGGTGTTGAGGCCGGGGGTCGTACGTGCGGACGAGGACGAGCCAGACGACGAAAAGGACAAGTCCGGAGGCGACGGCGGCGACCCAAGGCCGTCAGAAAGACCCATCGGCGAGTGGCCCTCCGCCGACGGCGCACGCGTGCCCTCATCCTCGTGCTTCAGAACGTGCCCGGTCTGCTTGCGCTTCGTCTGCACAGGCTTGAACGTGTAAAATGGGTATTTTTGCTTGTGCTTCCTCGCCACTTCCTTGGCGCGCTCCTTCCAGTAAGCTTTCACATGCGGTGGCTCCGCCGCCCATAGGGGAGAGATCATCTTTGAAAAGTTCGATTGGACGCCGCCTGGGTGTTCCTTCTGGTACTGCTTGTTCTTGAACGAGCGGTATAGCATGAAACAATTGGGAGGGCGGCTGATGTAGCCCTCTGGCTTCTTCTTCGCGGTCATGGTGGTGGAAGTGTGTCGATCGAGCGATGGGTGGCGGCGATCACGGAGCAAGAAGTAGAGGGAGAAGGCACGGGGAGGTCCGCGCGCGGCGAGCTATAGGACGGCGGGGGCCGCTAGAGCAAAGCGCGAGGTGATGAGGAAAAGAGCGGATGAAAAGACAATTTCTCGCTCCAGTTTATAGGCGGGCAAAGACGGTGGCTAGTCAAACACATCCCAGTCCAAGCAGCGCGTCGGCTAGTTGCGATCCAGGCGTAGAGGGAGGGAGGTGACCAACTGCCGTGTCACAGCCCTGCCGAGCTGTCGAGCCGCGTTCTCGGTGCACGCATTGTTCTTCGATTCGAGTCTAGTCGGTCGCTCGTAGGTGGGGCTGCGCGGCACATTTCGAGCTAGGATCCCTCAGTCATAATCAGTGTTGCAAGAATTTCTTTGAGCAAACGCAGTTCAGAACGGAGCGTGCACGCCTGACGTCGGGTAGCGGAGAATGATGCACGAGGGAGGGCTTTGGAAGTGACGTCCGCGGAGCCGGTGCGCTGGGCTTGGACACCACCCCGCGCGTACCTGGGCAGCAGCGCCTCGGCTGGCCATGGTTGCTTTGTCCCGCGGCGGAGGCTTTTTGGTACGGGTGCGCGCCTCTGTGGGGACCCGCCCCTCCGAGGCGCTGCACCACTCCGTAACCGTGCTAAAAATCAGGGGTCAGTACTCGGTTCAGACAGACGACTTGGTAGATTTTTGGTTGTCATACCTTGGACGTCCAGTACGGGCAGACACAGACAGCCGTCAACTTCCGTGCGCGTACTCGAGGCGACTTGAGGGCCGCTTGAACCGCCGAAGGCACGAACGTACTAACCGACTCGCTCGTCTCGGCGGGACTAGTGCCACGAGAACGGGCACGGGCAGAGCGATGTGGCGCGGCCGTTCGAATCGGAGGCGTTTCCTAAGTCGTCGAAGAATAGGACCTCGCTTACCTCTATTTTTTCGTCGGCGGGAAACCCGCCCGAGCACTGGAGACCCCTATCGACTACGGCGTCTATGTTAAAGACTCCTCAGTTGCGAAGAGCGCGGAGGGGATGTAGCGGAAGAAATGAGTCGCCATAGCGAGCATTCAGCGAGAAAGCACTGGCGCAAAGGAGAAACGTGAATTCTCCTTTGCGCCGACGTCCGTCGCCCTACATGACGCTGCCTAAGATGATGCGTTAATACGATAACAAACGGTGAATGTCGCCGCTTACCTGCGTGGTAACACGCGTATACTTACTTGATGTTACTCCACGAGATAATATGACACGTAAATGCAAGGCCAGCTGGCTATAGGGACGGCGACCCGGAATGCCACTAGCAGTGGGCCGACCGTCATAGGGGCAGGCGCTGAGCACAAGTTGCTGGCACTAGCCGGCCCAGGGATCTCGCGAGTGAATACTGTACCTCCAGGACCAAAGCGGCGGGTCACAGGTCACAGCGACCGCCGCCGCCCCGCTTTGGGGTGTGTGTCCCGCGTCACAGCCGCCCTCGCCGCTGAAGCGGCGGCCCGACGCCGGTCACACCTCAAAATGGCCTTTTTTGGCGGCCCTGCGGGGCCCCGCGCCGCTTTATGTACCGGGGGGTCACGGTCACCACCGGTCGCGCCGCTTTGGATGGTCGCGCCGCTTCGTAGACGGCCGGTCACACCCCAAACCCCCCGCCGCTTTGGTCCTGGAGGTACAGTATATGCACATACACTGGTTATTTGGTAGACCTATGGCCGGTATTCTTCTTCATACCGACAAGCCTTAACGCAGGTGTGGGGAGTGTCGAGAACGCGAAGGACGGCGACGCTGTCGAGGCGACCGTTCACCTCGGATGGGTTTCAGCCAGATAGACGCCCAATTACGATATTACAAAAACGGAGATTTACCTCAACCAACCTGCCCTGAACCTAATAAGTACGCTCGTTTATTGTTGCTCCGCGCTCACTCCGCGCTCGATGGATTGTCTTGTCTCCCGGCACCCGCGCCTCCTGGGATGCCGTCTCGTATCGTCCATTTATACGTCCTTCCAATCTGTTGACTGCAGAGCATGGCTGCGATACACGCGTACGAGCCTCATGACTTACGTGATGCCAGTGATACGGGCTGCGGCGTGCCAGGTGAACACGACGACGAACACGCTCTGCTAGCTATAGCTACATTAACGCCGCGGACGGCACACATCCGTTGGACTTGTACCTGTACTAGCTCGCGCTTGGGTTGCGCCTTCCGAACATGACCGCAGTGGTGCTGTGCTCACCTCACTGCGCTGATGAAGGCGTACACATCCGCGGCGAAGATAGCAAGCAGCGCGTGAGGCACGGAGTTGGTTGGGAGCCTGACGGTGTAGCCTTATGCTCTGAATTCCCAGGTATCCTTGAAGTCCTGACGGTTGTTTGTTCTCAGTCTTCAACAAACGCATGCAAAACATAGATTGCATAGTGATGGGATGACGTGACAGATGTAAGGTGCGACGGGTACTAGCAAGACGCGGAGGGACATTACATGCAGAGATATAGCTACAAGATACTAGACAGAAACATACACGATTAGAGCGAACACAACGAAATATACTGGCAGCGCATGAGAGAAGATAGCGAGTGATACAAGAGCGGAAGCGGAGGATATGTGCGTACAAAGACATTGGACGGATACGTAGCAGCGAACGGAGGGAAGGAGATCGAATCACGCATCCATCGTATACTGGAGCGCCCAATCGAAAAGCTCATCCATAGACTTGTCCGACGACACGCCCTCGCTGTAGATGGTGTCCTGAGGCGGAGTCCCCAGATAGTCGTAGGTGCCCGAGAACGGAAAATCATCCGCGGAAGATAGCTGCTGGGTCGCATTGGCCCGAGCCTGAGCCTCGTAGTATCCTTGACCTAGGGCGTACTGATCGTCGACGGCCGGGTCATAGTCCATGTTCGTCGGAACATACGATGATTGCTGGAAGGCGCCGCTCGAATTCGGGAGAGATGGCGGGACAGCCGACTCGGAAGGGAAAGACTCAGCGTAATCCCAACCCACGGAGTCGCGTGCTGTATCCGTTGTCGCTCCGGTTGCGCCCGACCCATACGGTTCCATGGGCCCATAGCTGTTGTGGGTGGCAGTACCGGCCATCTGGGGTTCATAGAGCTCGGGGCCGTAGGGATCGTTGGTGTTCGCCTCGTGCTCAAAGGTGAATTGCTCAGCCTCCAATAACCCATAAGACGACGCGGGCATCATGTTCCACTGCCTGAGGCGATTGGCCACCGGCGCACGGGAGCGTGCCAGCCCCGAGTACGACAAATGCGATGGCTCCGCTTGCATAGGCAAGAAGGCCGAGTCGGGGAGAAGGCCGTAGTGGTGGTCGTCGATGCGTCCAAGGGGAAATTGCACTGGAGGCTGTTGAGGATATGTGGGCATCGTGTTGGCTTCCGCGGAGTGATAGAACCCCGCGCCAGGCTGGGCGAACTCCGCGCTCATCTGTAGCGGCTGGGGCGGGTGAGGCAGACGTTGTATGGGCATGCGCTGCTGCACGGCCTGTGCAGACGGACCGTGTGCGACGGGCTCCGGAGCAGGGTAGTACTGGTCCGCTGGTGCTTGAGGCGCGGCGTATTGGTTGCCCGCGGACTGCATGGAACCCTGTCGCCTTTGCGGTTGCTGTTGAGTGAGCCTCCTGGACGCCGCCGCGTGTGCGTACGGCTGTCCACGGACGTCTTCAGCCCGTCCAGTCCGTTGCCGAGGCGCGGGCCCCATCGAAAAGCCAGCCGTGTTTTGACCGTCGAAGGCGCGGTCCTGGGCCAACATCTGCTGGTGGGTGTACCTTAACATCGCGTGCTAACGACGCGAGAAGGGTGTTCGCTCGATCAGGTATACCAGAGAGCGAAGAGCGATGGACGTACCTGATACTGCTCTGCCACCGACGGTCCAAACGGCTGACCCTGCGCCGATGCCTGCTGTTGATGCAACTGCCCTTCCGACGGCGAGTGTCCGTACGCCGCATATGGCGTGCCGGGTCCCGGTGTAGTCTGGGCAGATGTCGAGGCGGTCGACGGCAACAGATCCGGGAGCGACCCCGGGGAGTTGTATCCATGGGGGCGGGATGTCGTCGCTTGTCCAGCCACTGTGTCCATGCCCTGAGCGAGCGGCGGGGGCGGCGCATGCGCACGCTTGGGTGCGCGCTGCTGGCTCTTCTTCTGCGCTCGCGCTTGCCAGTACTCCGGGTACTTCAATTTATGCGCGGCCCGTGCTTGCTTGGCTCGCGCTGTGTACTTTGCTACCACTTCTGGGTGCTTCTTCTTGGCAATGCGCCACAGAGCGGCGACCGGCTTCGAGTAGTGTTGACGCGCGGGCAGTGGAAGACCAAGCTGCGCATCCCGAGCCGTGAGCTCCTTTACCGTGTCCGACCTGAACAACATAAAATTGTTAGGAGGCTTCGGAACGTAGCCAGGTGGTCTCTTCTTGCACATTGCTGGTGTGCGATAGGATGGGAGGCGGGTGGAAAGAAACTGAAAGACCTTGCGGGCGGAGCTGTAAGCCGAGGGGAGCGGTGGCAGCAAAGCGCGAGGCGACAGGGAAGAAAGTGGGGAGAAGCAAAAATTCCTGGGATTGTTTATAGGCTGTCAGAGACGGTGGCTAGTCCAACAACCACAGTCCAAGCAGCGTGTCGGCTACCTGCAGTCCAGGCGGCGAAGAGGGAGGGGACCAGCTAGCGCTCCCTCACCGCCCCGCAGAGCTGTCGAGCCGCGTCCTCGGCGCCCGCATTGTCCCCCGTTTCCAGTCTGGCTGACCGTTTACGGGTAGGGCAGGGTGGGACTGCGCGTCACTTCTCGAGCGAGGATCTCCAAGCCAAATTACACGTTGCAAGGATTGTTTGCACCGCCGCCCTTTGGAGGGGGGTGGGCGCCTGACATCGGCAAGCGGAGAATGGTGCGTGACTGGGGGAGTTGAATGCGGCGGTCGCGGAGCCGGCGCGTTGGGCTTGGATACGGCCCCAGGGTGCCTGGCAGGCGCCGCGTTTGGCTACGCTGGCTTTGTCTCGCCGCGGAAGCTTATTCGGTTCGGCTGTGCGTCCCGAATTTACCACGGAGGAGGGGGTCCTACCTATCACAGGCTCCGCTCCCCTACGTGATCGCGCTGAAATTAAATCATGAGTCAGTATGCGGCTCGGACGGACGACCTGGTAGGCCTGTGGAGCGCGCACCTTCAGAATGTCTGGTACGGATGGCCGAAGGCAACCGTTCGCCCGCGTGCGCGATGTTCCCTCGAGCTGTCACAGGGACGGGTAGATCGATCCAAATCGCGGGTCGCCGCGACACCTAATGGTACCGGTAGGGCGGTCGGCCGTTAGTAACGGAGTCGCGCCCGGAATTATCGAAGAATAGGATCGCGCATGCCTTAGATTCTGGGTCATCAAGGATCCCAGTACCCCGAAGCCCCTTTGTGTCAGACCGGTCTAAAATCAAATCTCATTAGTCCCGAACGGCAGGGGATGCCGCGGCGGAGGTGCGTCACCGGGTGCCGCGCACGAAAATTAGCGAACCGCAATATGCTTTTGTTCGATTTTTGGTTGTTGTCACTCATGAGCTGCCTTATTCTGGGAGACTACCTCCCAGCCTGCGCTAGGAAATTCGGACGATATTATCCGCCGGGTCAGAAGCAAGTCCCGCATGACATCACCTGGGATCATTATACATCAGGATGGTAAAAAGCGGTCAATATAGCGGCTTACTTAGGCTATTGTGCACAGAAGCTGCATATAACATACGCGATATATTGTGGTCAGTGAACGCAGGATTGGCTAGCTTTGGTGACGTCGACTTGGAGTTGGCCGACTGGGACAGGGGCTAGCGAGCAGTCCAGGGCCAACTTGAAACCGACGGTCCCACGGGCGAGAAACTGGTGCGCATATAACGCCGTAAGGTATATCCAGCCTTCAGGCCTCAGGTCTTGGTGGATACGGACAGGTAGTTTTTTGGGAGTATTGGGAGTGAGCCGCTGTGCACGGCTGCTGCGGTGCTGGCAGAGTAGTAGACGCCTTTTCCCATATCGGGAGATTTTCCACAACCAACCTGCCCTGAACTCACCGCCGTATAAGAAATTGCGACCGTGCATTGTTGTTTCGTTAGAACATACTCAGCTAGGATCTATTTTATAGGTACTAACTCGAGTCTCGCATGTTTACACATGCCACATCCTTCTTATCCAGCCGATGACTTCCGCGCCCGCTCGTATAACCGAGAACATGGCCGCTTCCGCGGTCTCGAGGACGTTTGGATCGTGTCTTCTGCTTCCCTTCGGGGTGGGCGGGAGCGCGAACCAGCGAGCGGGGCGTATGTCTGATGGATTACTTTTGTACATATATCATGTAGCGATGCGCTTCTTGTAACTTCGTGTTCAATGCATTTGGTGCCTCCCGAATCTCCCGCAGGTGTGCCATCGTCCAATGGTGTTTATCTCGAATCTGCTGACATGCACGCAGCTACGGCGACCGATCATTTTGTCACGGTCTCATCGCCCTCGCGTGAAGACAGCAGGAGGGAGAAGACTATGCCGAGGCTCCTACCCCTTTACGTCTAGTGTGGAATTCAGCAACGCCACAGCTTCACAATAGCTTGTTAGCGAGGGTCGACATCCACCATCCTCATCTCGACCGCATGTCGATGCACAACGTCGCTCTCAGAAGGCTTATCCCTCTCTGCTGTCCACCCCAACCCGCAAAGGCGCGTCGTAACACCCTCGACTTTATTCATCACCAAGAAGATCCCCCCGCATCGCCCGCCGTTCCCCCAAGCCATCGCCTCTTTCTAGGTGCCGAGCGACGCCAACCCTTCGTTGCGAAGAACTCCAGCCGGCTATCGAGACCGTCAGACCCTAGCAGAACGCGGATGCGGTCGTCCTCAGCGGGTCCGCGACAATACCCGCGACGTAGCGCAGCTGCGTGATCGCGAGGAAACACGCGGGCAGCCTCACGAGCATGAGGGTATCGACGCCTGTCTTCAAGACGATCACCCTGTCTCGGTGGGTACTCGTTTATGTTCGACCCCCCCCTCCCCCAGAAGGGATAGGTGCATGATCGACTCGTCCTCGGCGTCGTCGACCCGGCTCGCATCGACGTCAGGCCCTCGGTGCGAAGGCTCATGTATCCTCGCCTGCTCCTCCCGGGCGACATCCACAACAATTGCTCCCCCGCGCGGACGTCCCCAGCCATGCCCACCTGGCGCGGCAAGTACAAGGCCTGGGCAACCGGCTAGAAGGTCTGAACGTCCAGGTATGATCAAGAGACAGCTACGGTGCGTGGCTTAACGGCGCGACTCGGATGCCACACCCGCCGCACGCTCGAGGTCGGTTTCTCGAATAGGGATAGGTGAGCAAAATCGTCTCATACGCCTGCTCGAAGGAAGTTCGACGGTTGTAGGCGCAGTCTTGTCAAGCTCTACGGCAGCCGCCGCAAGAAGATATCGTAAAGCGAACCAGGAAGGGGCCCCGCACCGGTTACCAGTCGCCAGCTCTGCACGAGTATGCAGGGTCGACTCCTTCAACAACGCACCGCGAGGAGGGCGCGCACATATCCACGGCAGCACTTCCACCATACACGGCCCTCGCAGTCAAGGTGGCATGCATGGTGCGCCACTACCACGGCCAACCAGCATCGGTTCCTCCTGGCATGCATGCCCCAAGATACCCCCGTCGTCGTCATTCTACGAGGCTTCCATATTCTCTGGCGAGTACATTTTTTATGCCCGTGGTGTTGCGATGTGTCTGATGGGCGAGCGGAACGCCGTCGGGTGTGGCGAGGACATGACCGAGTCTCCATGCCTGGATCGCGTTCCCTCTGGAGGAGGCTGCATACACACCAGCTCGAGGCACGGAGGGCCTGCATCCGCGTTTGCGAGATCCTTGTGGACAAGACCGGCACCATGTCCCTCTTCTCAGCACTCTCGGGCGACAAGCACTCCTACAGACATCATGGACAAGCTAGCTCCGTTGTCGTGGACAAACATCACCATATCCAACATCGGTTCCGTCGTCATCCTACACACTTGCCACCGTGACCACGTATTGTAAGCCAGCCACATTCCTCTACACCCCCCTCCCGCGACTCGCGACGCGCTCCCCGACCACCGTCACCCCCAGCGTACATCAACAACAACCACACTGAGCTTCCCCGCGTCACCACGTACACTGCGCTTGTCTCCTCTCCGCGCAGCCCGACACACCGCACTTCGCTTCCCCGACTAGGCCTCCGCCTCCAACCCGAACTCGGGATCCCAGTCGCGCTGCAGTTCCGCGTCAGGTTCGCAACGCGCGTGGGCGAGTGCACCGCGCGTGAAGTCCGCGCGGTACAAACGCCAGGTCATGTTGTGCCGCCTGGACACGCTCGTGTGGAGGCCTACCTCGTATATCCCGTTTGCTCGACTCGGAGCTGGAGGCTATAACTATGGTACTCGGTTGGAGGTCCTTATACTGCGTGGTCGTGCTCTCGCCCAAGACTCGCCCGCCCGTGCCACCCAGGTTACGTCGCATGCGCGCCCTGCGTCCACGCCAGCTTCGAGATGCATCACCCCTCGTTCCCCGTCATCGTATGCTGTCGAGATGCTGAATGCAAGGCGGATTTCACTCAACGTCGGCACGACGTCACGTATCAGCCCCGTGAGCACACGTTGTACGCTGTATACGCCTGGAAGAAAATATATCAGTACTCAATAGAATGGGGCATCGGGAGGAAGCACACCTGTCACCTAGGTGCAGTACTAGTGATGGAAAGGTTCGGGTGCTCTTTTAGCGTGTATACCGCATAGCCACGAACTTGACTGTGATATGTACGGTTACCGGAGGCACGCTGGCTCTGCAGATTATCAGGTGGCATCCCAGTGTCACGGTTGTCGCAAGTAAGGCTCACATGTCCGCCGTACACAACTTGCACATTGCGAATGCCTAATACCTCGAGACCTCCGTCATTATACGTGAACGGCTGAACGCTCTGAGGGACACACAAAGCAGCCGTGACTTCCCCTCTTCAAGACACGCTCTTCGCGGGTTCTCGGGTGAGAATGTGGACTAGTTGTGACAACTTAACCCGCAATGCGACGTCTTCTTTCCCCAGAATCCCGTTCAAAACAGCTGGTTGTCGCATGGAAGGCCTCGAGTCCGACTTGGACAGGCTACAACAAATGTCTGATTAGATGGGAAAGAGCACCGTCAAGGACGTTCAGAACCGAATTATACACGGTGAAGATAAGGATTCGCACCTTAGACACGAGGCATGGTGTTCACCTCCACCTCGCACATGATGGTGGCAGCGGCGGGTCCGCTACTTGAAGATGCAACATCATGGGAGGAAGCTGGGCGTCGACGCCACTGTCTACTCAGCAACAACGATTGGGTAAACGAGAAATGTGGCCGGCTCTGATAGCAGCAGAACACTGACCGCGATTGGTGAGCCACTATTGACAAGTTCTTAACGCGGGGCGCGCTCCAGAAGCGACTTCAATGACGTTGAGCGCTCCATGGAAGAGAACATCACTTTGGTGGACATTGGGCGGGAGTAGATCATCGGTGATGCCACAGTCCCGGGGACGCTATTAAGTTGCCGCTTCACCTCCTCGCTCTCTGTCAGTTCAGATAGTATCCGCTGGGCGGCTGCGCGTGGCTGGCAGAGGTGTATCAGAATGGGCGAACGTACTAGCTTGTAGAACGTGGCGGCTGAGATGGACGGGAGCCAGGGAAGTCGAATGCGTTCCGCAGACAGTACGTCGCCGGGTACGCGATGCAAGGTAAGCGTGGCGGTATATAAAGGCTCAGGATCGGCTCTCGTCGACCTGCAACATCAGTTGTGCTACACCCTTTCGGTAACCCAACACTCACAACATGTACTTCCCCACCACCACCGTCCTCTTCACGCTCGTCGCCGCTCTCTGCGGCAGCTCCGCGAGCGCACACCCTGCCGCCGCATCCGCCGCGGTCGCATTGCGCGCGAGCGCCGCCGTCGCCACTGCAGCTGTAGCCACTGCAGCCGTCGCAACCGCAGCCGTCAAACCCGCCGCTGCAGCTGTCGCCACTGCGGCTGTCGTCGACGCTGACGTCAACGTAGCGGCCGACGTCCTTCTGTGAACGGGGGGGCACAACAAGATCGCTGGTATGTGGCTTCGTATCTGCTGGGCATCCAAACTACAGCTGATCGGGAGGACACAGTGAGCGCGGGGTGTACTCCGAAAACGTTACACGGGTACTCAACATGGTTTACCTGCGAAGATGATGCACTAACCACGTTTTCGCAGGCGGTTTGGGGCGACTGGATATTTCTCTGGGAGATGTGAATGAGTAAGTTAGGGGTCGGTTTACGGGGTGACAGAGGCTTCGATGGTTGTGGAAGGCGTCGAGATTCGAGATCACTTGTAAAGCGCAGCCGTAATGCAACCATTGCTCATGCTCGACGAATATCTGTGCGTTACCGCCGTAGTCCTACATCGCAAAGACCTTTATAAGGGACCCAAGAACACAACATCTGACATTAAGCATTCAGTCAGCAAAGTGTGGACGGCGGATAGGCGAAGGCGGACCTGAACTACAAACATGAATACGTGAACTTTGCCATCAAACCTACGGCTACAAGAAATTTTCGTCCCTCACGGGCCGAATATCGAGAGGAACTTGCGTAGTCTTTCCGTCTCCGTGCGGCGCGAGCACTACGGGAACCTGCAGACCATCGATCCGCCAGTATATCTCTTTCTTCGCACCGCTTTCGTCCACGGCCGATGGAAGCGCGAAGTGCATGTTCGATACGAGCGTGGACAGTATTTGCTCTGCGCAGCGGCATCAGCGCCACGAGTGGGCCGGAGAGTCGGGGCACTCACTGATCTCCATCTCGGCAAACTTGAACCCGCTGTAGACGGCGCATATCAGACAGCCGGCCGGAAGGAGGAGCAATGATAAAGACTTACATGCACGCGCGGCTCCCGCCCAGGAACGTCATCCTGCAGACACAAGCCACATCAGCACATCCACACACATCCCTCAAACGTCGCAGGACACTAACATGCCGCCATACACCCCAGGGTACTTCGCGCCCTCCACGCTCCCCGGCGCCGCCTCCGCCCCTTCGTGTGACTCGTCGCCGAACTCCGCGTCCACATTTCTACCCGCGCCGATTCGCGCGCCCGACGCGGTAAGCCACCGCTCGGGGCGCCACTCGTCCGCGTCCGCGCCCCACACATCCTTGTTTCGGTTCGCCCCAAGGATGGAGATGAGCACATTCGTACCCGCGGGCACCGGCACGGACGTTGTTTCTTCCCCCGAGACGGTGCGCACGGGGAACCGGAGGGGGAGGACAGTGTCCTTAGTCGTGCTGAAAGGCGAGCGTTAGCTAGCGTAGCGATGGCGAGTTCAGGAGTTGCGGTTAGAGGAGATTGGCACGTACACGCGATTCATCATGTTCGTGGGTGGGTGCAGACGCAGCGTCTCGCGCACGACCGCATCGAGGAACGGCAAGCCGATGAGGGTGTCATATGGCAGGCACGTCTGGTGCCGGTCCGCCCCGTTGGCTGTCAGCGCGGATCTCGCCTGGTGCACCTCGGTGCGAAGCCGCGCTTGCACATGAGGCTCGCGCGCAAGAATGTGGAGCATCCTCGCCAAAGCTGACGTCGTCGTCTCTTGCCCGCCAAGTAAGAAAGTGCTGCGGGCGGTAGTCACGCAGAGTGAGTATATGCGGCTATTGCAGCTAGATGGGGAGCCCGTACTTTATATCCCCGATTAGCTCCTCCGCCGTGAGCCGTGCCGTCTCCTGAGAGGACAAATTGGCCTTAACTAGGGAGACCGATCAGCGAATACGAAACTCGGTGCAGAAAACTCGTGCGTACTCATGATGCTCATGAGGTCCCTCGCAGGGCCATCGTCGACGCCGCTGAACTCTACCTCGGCCTTCTTCTTTAGGTAGATCTCACTAGCAGAACGGTGCATGGTGTGGGCCATCTCACGCAGCTCCCGTAGCGCGGGGAAAGGGAGCCAATCCAGCAGCTTATTCCGCCAGTATAAGGACAGATTGCGCACTGCACAAGGGACAAAGGGGCGTAGTAAGAGCACTTTAATCGCGGTGTGTCTGAAGCGAGGTACACGTTAGGACGCAAGGATAGAAGCACACGGCCTGACGTACTGGACATTCCGGATCGTATCGGTATATTTATTGGTCTTCGCCGGCTCCAGGGAATCAAAGCTGACTCCCAGAATCCCCCGTCCAACGTATTCGATGGTGCCTTTCCCCAACCATGGAAGAACGTTGATTTCCCGGGTGTCTGTCAGGAGAGGTGAGCATGGTGCGTGGGCGGAATCATAATGCGACTCACCGCCGTTGGTTGGGAGACCGTCCTGGAGGCGCTTGACCAACTCGTCCGCTATCACCTGTATCTGGGGAAGGATGGAGCGCAGGTTGGCAAGAGAGAACACGGGATTGAGCAATTTGCGCTGTTTCTTATGCTGCTCGCCTGCATGCTTCCAGCGTCAATGTCGTTCACGTATCAAACAGCCTGTAGACCAACGCACCCAGTGTCGATATGAGGCCTTCGCCAAAAAGGAGTTTGTTTGTCCTGATGCAGCCCAACATATGAGACCCTCAAACACGAGCGAAAGCCAGGCAGGTGCTCACTGTATGAACATCTCAGTTTCTTCAAACGCATCTTGGCCGTTCACGAGCATGTGCTGTAACGCCAGTGGATCATATACCAGCAATTGTTCTGCCTATGTAGTTCTGTCAACGTTAAATTTTTCAGGAATGCAGTTGGAAAGACCTACTCCTAGCATACCATACACTTTGATGACACCGCCGTAACGCTTGAAAAGCTCGAGGTTGTAATCTAGTCCATCTTTGAACAATCGATGGAGATTCCCTGAGGTGAATGTAAGTAACCGATCCCTTTGCTTCAACTGATGCGAGCATAGCAAACATACCTGTGAGCCAGTGTTCCTTCTGAGGGCCTGCCACTGTGGCTAGGGGAGCAGATCGGGTAGTCGAGCGACTCACAACCCATCTCCGTACCACAAATGCAGCCAGGACGGTGCACAGTATCACAGCAAGAGACATGACATAAAATTGTCACGATATAATGAGAACAGGATGCTGGGGATTGTGGCTAAGAGGCCACCTGGTGGTCTGAGGACCCCGCAGAAGTTCACAGGGAAGTAGTGCGTTCCGAAAATGATTCTTCACGGCGACCAGATGATGACCAGAGTCAAGCTGGCGGCCATAGGTGACATGCGCCCGGTATGCGCCCAGGATGCGCCCGCGAAGTGCATCACGGTGATGCAGCACACGCGGGCGCGGACTGCCAGTGAGTTAAGCAGGGTGGCCGAAACCTTATTATGAACATGCCGCAAGCCACTTCGCACGAGCAAGCTGACACGAGCGCCAAGAAGGAGAAGGATGAGACTCGATGAGACTGATGTTGGGCAGCAGGAAGGGTGAATAATGAATGGCATGTGTTCAAGTTGTATGAACTCGTCGGACGATCCACACAGTCGACGACTCGGAGATCTCTCGGTTGAATGAATCACCGCCCTCCAGTAATATTCTTGAGGAGATCATAATTGCCACGTTCCCACGACTACTTACGTCATGGTAGAAATGAAAGAAATTGCCGCTGGAAACCGCCTCTTTGCAATTGGAACTACATCGGGGCCTCTTGTCCACCGCACAAGCATAAGTAGCACCGGAACCCGACCAAGGTAAGCTTACTTCTTCCGTCATCGACCCCAAATGTTGAACACAACGATAATTTCCAGCGATACTAGCGAACCTCCAGGAATCTCCCCACCGCCCATCGTCAACCGTCTTCAACCGTCCATCGCCATCTTAGCCATGTGCGTCTTCTCTGTGCCTCCGAAAGGGTCGGGGCGAGGTAGCGTGCGAGGATCGACGACCTCGAGAGCGTCTTGTAATGCTCTTGCGGTGTGCTCCAGCCTTATTGTCGCGATAATCCACAGGAGCAGATTTATGACCAGGAGTATGGGACCGACTGCCTTCGTGTTGAGCTCGACGCTTCTCAGACCCCGTGTTTCACCTTCGACGAAGTCACCGTTCATCGGCGACTCGGATGGTGAAGTGGGTGCCGGACTGGAGCCCATGTTGCAATATTTGACGTCGTTGCCGTCGTCCGACTGGGGCAAAGCTGCGTAGCCTGCCATGGCGAGAGTTAACGGCTTATATGTCAAATTCCTACGGTGATGTCAACTTCTGTTGGTTCGTGTCCTTGTGCGTTGGACGTGCAAACTCACCTTTTGTATGTCAGAAGGGGACTCAGGGCACGACGAAGGCCGTACGGTCTACATAATAAAGACCCACAGGCCGCGGAGCCCGTCCGGCAGCTACTAGGCTGTTCGCGGTGGAAGATGATGGCAATGCTCTCGCTGCGCCCGAGATGTGCTGGTATCTTGTGAAACAACCACCCACAACCAAATGCGCGCTGGAGTTCAGATAGCATCTCGCAAACGCATCGGCTCTGTCAAACGATCCTTGCACCCTAAACTATACCGTTTCTGGTGGCAGGAGTGGCCATGTACTCCTCACCGCACTCACTGCGTCCGCCGTGGGCACACACTTCAATCTTGCGATATGCTGGCAGTCTGCACTGAAGTTCTCGGCGGACTACAAATCAGAAGTTCAACTCACCCTCCACTCCACCTCGCTCAGGACTACGCACAAAACCTGCGAACCCGCTATGTCGCCTTGGACCGTCGCCTCTTGCAGCATACTCGGACTCACGCTGCTCAACTTCCTCTTCGTCGCGCATGTCTTGCGTGTATTCGAAGGACTCCTGCCAACACCCATCACATATTGTACGTCCAATTCTCCACGCTCTCCAATCCCCATCCTGATCCGCTACACTCAGCCTACGTCGGCGACGACTTCCCCACAGAGCTCCCGACCCGGCTCGCCGCCGTCGGGCTCGTAGTTGAAGACGGCGCACCGCGCTTCTCGCTCACCGCCGATAACGAGTGGGCGACCGTCTACCCCGCCAACGACGGGTTCACCGCGCTCGGCCCCGCGAACCGCACGTTCCTTGTCGCGATGGTGCACCAGATGCACTGCCTGGATGTGCTCCGCGTCGGCTTCGCGATGCACGGGGCGCCCGAATACACGGCCCACGCAGAGCACTGCCTGCGCTACCTGCGCCAGGCGATCTTGTGCGCCGCGGACCCGACCCTGGAGCCGAGCACGCCGCGGCTGAACAAGCACCGGGAGTGGACGCATGCGGCATCGGGAGAGGGGTCGGTGCATCGCTGTAGGGACTGGACCGCGCTTGGGCGGTACCTTGCGGAGCACCCTCCGGGGCCACTTGACCACCGAGTACTGAGTAACGATCGATGAATTACGGACGATAATAGAACACAGTACTGTCTGTATTTGACGTATAGAGACAATTGTACTCGCACACCGTCAACTGAGCGTCCCACAACAGGCAATACCCCCTTCATAAACTATACGACGGTTGCTAGTACGTTGTCAGATGGGGCGGTAGTGCCATGACCACCCTCCAATTTCAACTCCAAACACTCCACTACGTCTACATCCTCTCCCAGCACCCTTGTGCTGCTTCCTCCTACCCCAGTGGAACCTGTCCCAGCAGCTACATGAGAGAATTCGCCGGCCGAAGGACCTGCCGCACTGCGGGCCCAGACCAGCTGTGAAACATGCTCCGTCTCTTTGGTGGAGCTCCCGGCTGAGATTCCGAGCGTGACACGGATGACGATCAGCGTGGATGCAATTCCCTGCAAATAGCGGACGTAGTAGTAAACGAGCCAGCTTCTGTACGCCAGAGCGAAGTGAGACACGCCACTGGCACTCACATATATCGGGACGGCCATGACGCCGACGATCGCCTGCGCGGGGTGCTCGATGGTGACGAGCACTACGAGCACGAGCTGCGTGGCGAGGTAGATGAGGCCGCTCTCGACGATCACCGCCGCCGCATCATTCGCGAGCCGGATCGTCCTCTGCAGGGTGTGCCCGGACCGCGTACCCCGGGCCATCCACCAGATTTTAAACACGAGGAGCCCGCTCGCGATGACGTTGGTGCATAATGGCAGTGCGTAGCCTGCCACGGTGAGCGGCACTTGCGCAGTTGGCGGGACCGGTGAGGTAGGGGACTGCGTGACGACGAAGTGGACGACTTGAGAGAGACATGCTATGCGTTGCGCTGGATATCAGCTCCTATCAACGAGCTGCATGAATGGCGACTGACCGAAGCCGGCTATCGCGGACATGATGGGGACACCGACTACCCAGTAGTTGCCTCGCCACAAGATCCAGCATCGGTAGATGAGCACTGAATCGCCCAGCAAGTCGGCGAGCGATATCAGGAGGTCTGCTCCGACCAATGGCTTCGTTTCGTTCGCGAATCCCGGAACGCCAGTGGCTTGCTGAAGGAAAGTCGGGCGTTAGGTTTTGATAGTTTTCATCACGAGCGGCGGAGGCTCACCAAAACCGTGTAGAAATGGTTGAACTCCAGGGCGTAATGGGCGGTGCTTGCTCCGAAAAGGAGGCAGTGTGTCACGAGGATGGTCGAATTCATGTCTCCGAGTTTCTGGTTGCGCCGATACAGCAATCCAAGGGATAGTGCGAAAAGGACGCAGTAGACCCCTGCAAGGGCATGAGAAACTGGATTTAGGGAACGCGCTGGCATCCACGTACCCCAAAGCGTCGTTTCACAAGCGAACCCAATGAGCGCAGAGATGTCGTTAGATAGGGCCATGTTAATTAGCCAGGGCAGGCCTCGGAGGTCTACGACGACGTGCGGACACGAGAGACATATAATAGCTCCCTCACAGATATGCCTTCGGAAAAATTGCCTCCAGGCTAGATGTTCAGCGCTTCAGCATTGTGGGTCCATCGAGGGAGCGTGCGATATCAGCAGGCACCAAAGCCACGCGTTCGTCCTTCTGCTGCTGTACTTGGTGCGTAAACGCCATATGACCTTGCGTTCTGGCGCTCGAAAAGACAAAAGGATGCCACCAGGGTACCGGGACGCAAACGCTCCGTACCGTCGAAGGTCTGGCCCCTGACTTCGAATGTTGCGGGTGGCAGAAGGGCGGTTCGTCGTGATAGGGCAAGGTGAATAACGCACTGCAGTATGCAGCTTCCATCTCCGGCGCTGTGGGTAAAACTGCTTCTCGAACGGCAATCTTCTGTCGGCAGGGGGTTTCGCCCCTTCTATGTAGGCGCGACCGCATGTTCAATTTCACGCTGAGTTGTTATCGCCGTACGCGAACTCACCAGTCGACTTGTGACCCAGAGAATGCGTTGTTCCAAGTCAGAGAGCTATTCTCAGGACAGCCCAGGACAGCCCACAATTCACACAAGATTTTGCAGTGCCTCGGAGATGGTTTACGTCGTCTCAGGTCCCTGCAGACTTCGCCGCGAATCTTTCTACGATGTCCGTGTCCTACTAAGATGGGAAGTGGCTTGACGGATGGCTCCCGGGAGGTCCTGCAAAACAAAATCAGGTCACAATGTGATTATCATGAACAAACCTTCGCCAGAAAGGGGCCTCTGTGGGTATTCGCCCTAACAAGAGAGAGGTGGCGAGCTTGTGGCATGAAGGGACATGAAGCAATATATAAATAAGACAGTGCTCACTAAATCGTCATTCATCTCAGCCTCACAGAAGTCAACACGCAGATGCACGCCAGCCTCATCTCCACTCTTCTGCTCTTGTTCGCTATGTTGTGCTTTGCCGTCAACGCCGCCCCGCCTCGTACCAATGCTGAAGTGAACAGGCGGAACCCAGGTGAACTTCTCAACGGCGAGGCACACATGACCATCGCTGCAAGTGGTGCGTAAAGGGTGAACCTGTAATACACGGGCGTGAGTTAACGAGACGGCCACAGCGTAAGACGTCGAGGCGCTCACACTGATATGCGGCATGCCTGCCTGTGGTATGAACTGTCTGTGCAATATCCACCGACCTTCTGGCATGGCTGACTGAACATTGCCCTTAAAGGGTGTGTTAGACGAGGCGGCTGGAAGGATATATGGCGGACGGTGTGCACAGCTCATGTACAGTGTTCAGCCGGGCCAGTGCTAGTAGAGATTCTCAGCATATGTTATCGTTTCCGAAGACTCACGTACAGAGCGGCTTTCAGCTGCACAAGTCGTGTCGAAACCTGCCCCCCTTCCAACCAATACCTGGTAGCCACTTCAAAGTCAAGGGAGACCTAAATCAAAGTTATGTTAGTAGTCCATCCGGCAATAGAAGGATAATCGAGTTTACAATTAGCAAATAATGGCCCAACACAGCAGCGAGACTAACTCGGTCCTCCGGGTGTATTTGACGCAAAGAAGCAGCCTACCGGAAGTCAGCATGGTGAATGAGGGCATGCGGGGTGTCGCGAACGCCTCGCGGTTTCTACGCACACACGCACGAGGGCGAGAGCCATAGCGGAAGCCCCAGCGACTGTAGCACTCTTGCTCGCGAGAAGGGTGGGCATGAACGTCTACATTAGTTGAGATAGTACGGTGTATCGCAGGAACGGCAACCACTCTACCGGTGAGTGGTCACGTATGAAGGGGGACGATCTTCCTGCCCCGGTCCCGCTCGATCTCCATCACCGACCGCATTTCCCTGCCCTTCTCCATCGTCCGACCCTGCCCACCGACACCGTCGCCCATCAACGCCGGCATATGTCCGGGGAGGAGCATGCGCACGACGGCCTTCATGACGTGGTACGGGTTCCTGCTCCCCCACACCTTCGCGCTCGCGTCCTTGATCCCCGCGACCTTGAAGACCTCGTGGATGATTGGGTTCGTCGCGAGACCGAAACCGACGGGGCGCGGGCGGAGGATTATGCGTGTCGCGCCGAACTTCGTCTCCATCTCCGTCCAGATGGTGCGATCCTCGAACCGCTCGATATAGTCCATGTTGCGGACCGCCTGCGGGAACGCCTTGCTCATCGCGCCCATGTAGTCGAGGCCCTTGCCTTCCCCGAGGCCAATGAGGCCCTTCCCATTGCCCACCACGATGAGGACGGAGTAGCGCTCGATCTTTCCTTTGCCCGTCTGCTGCTTCACCCACCGCACGTACTGCGCGCGGTAGAGCTTCTGGAGCTGGTTCGAGGGGACGTGGAGGAACTTGATGGGCTTCATCGCGTCCGTCGAGCTCTCGACCTCGTCGACGACGAACATGTCGTCGCGCTCCTTCTCGCCCTTCTCAATTTCGCGCGCTATGCGGAACATGGACGGGTTGTTGCGGACGATGACGGTGTTGGCGTATGGTGAGTGCTTGTTCGGGGGGAACGTCTTGCTCTCGTGGGTGTCGAGGAGCACGTCATGCGACATGAGGTTTGGGAAGTACTGGCTCTGCACGAGTGCCTCCGAGAAGTCGACTTGCTCGCGAGGATCCAGCTTGGACTTTCCCGTGGGCGTGGAGTACTGGCGGAACGAAGGAGCGACGGGAGTGAGCCGGCGGCTTGCTTGTCGTGAGCAGGCCGCCAATGATGTCCGCGCCATGCTTGTGCTCATCGTGCGGGGCCTTTTGGGTCGCCGAGCAGAACGGCGACAGCGAGAAAGACGAGGAGGACGAGGGAGGAGATCAAGGTGTTTTACCGGCGCTTGTGGCTGCTCACGTCGACAGAGCGCCCAAGTTCGCGACTGCACCGCGTCAGTGTCTCTTGCTTTCGACCCACCACAAGCTCTGAACGAATAGCTATTCAAAGACTATGTCGGGCCACGACGAGGATGCGAACTCGGTTTCCGCACAGCTTGCGGGGCTTGACCTGACCAACCTCTACGGGTCCATTGACAAACACAAGTGAGCGTGTGCATGTGCGTGCAGATTTGACCGGGAATGTGACGAGCCAAGTGTGCACGGCCTGAACTTGACCGTCCCAGAAGATGCGCAGAACATCATCAAGCCGTGGGACGAGCGGGAAGACACTGCCCAGTTCGCCGAGTCCGGCGTCGACGATCAAGTACTTCGCATCGGCCGCGTCCTCGCAGTGGCCACAGCCTGACGCTCTTATCAGGTCATAATACACGTCCCGTTCACGCAGAACGTCCGACTGCGGTCAATATTGCTAAAGCTGGGTGCGTGCGTCGACGAGCTTGAGCGGCCTACCAGCTTCCGCCGCTGATCCTACTCAACAGGCAGGGGCGAGATGACGCCTCGACGGCTGCGGATATACGCGAACCGCACCACCATCGTCGATTTCGCCGAAGCTGAGGACATCACGCCGCAGCTAAATATCAGCTTGCTCGAGGGCGAGGTCACCGTGCAGGAGTACCCGCTACGTGCCGCGTCATTCGCGAACGTGCACTCCCTTTCACTGTTCTTCGTAAGCCGGTACTCCGATCTCATCTCCGAGGATGGCGTACTGACTGGCGGTTAGAGCGAAGCAGTCGGCGGCGAGACGCTGCGCTTGTACTATATCGGCTTCCGTGGTGACAGCCGTTCCCAACGCAAAGACGCCACCGAGAAGTTGGAGATCCCCGCAGCTAATGCCCCCGACGCACGGATAATAGATCGTCTGCAGGAGAAGTCGGGAGGTCAGCAGACGACCGCGAGGTAGACGTGTAAGTATCTCGTTGGGAGGTACAGGAAGGAAGGCGTAGAGGATCTGTATCATTACAAATGTATGCAATACCAGGCTCAACTTCGCGGCAATCGTCTTGCCAGGCAAGCTTGCACGGTACTGCGCGTGAAGGAGCACGCCTTCAGCGATCAGCTGCAGCTGTGTAACCTTAAGTCACTGCAAGTCGCAGTTGCTATGTCGCGCAGCACACGAAGGGGGTAGGAAATGGAGCATAATCGCATATGGCATAAGTTGATGACAAGAAGGCGCATACAATGTGTCGGCATCCACTAGGGGCTCGTAAAACTACAAGAGGGCGGACGCGTAGCAGTCCGATGCAGAAAATACACGGTTCTACCGAGATAAAGATACCAGAAAGCTCGTGAGTGTATGCGTGTGGTGGGGTCGTGAACAGATGGGGGATATACAAGGTTGCGCGATGGTACACGGTACATCCAATGCGTTGCGTGAAGAGAAATGCCAATGTGTTGAGTTGCGATGAGACGAGTCGAATGCGTATGCTGAGCCGGATGCTATGATGATGATGTTGGATGCGCGAATACTGTGACAAATGGGGAGAATGTGCCGATGCGAATGCGGATGCGGGGTGCGCTACAAATCCAATGCAGATGATAAGTTAGGTTACGAGTCGGGGGCCCGGAGTCCAGCCAGGAAAGAGAGTCACGATGAGGGCAGCACAGCGGCAAACAGCTTCCCCGGCGAGAACCAGTCGCGCGCGGACCGGAGCCGCTTGCGCCTCGGCTGCGCGTCCTCGGTGAGGGTAGTATGCGTCGGGTGGACGCCCCCCTCCTTCTCCGTGCGCACCGTCTGCATGTGCACGTGCGGCGTCGTGGGCGGGAGGCACATGTACGGCTGGGGCTCGGGCGACGCGGACGTCGATGCCGAGAGCACCCAGTTCGCGCTGCTGAACGTCTCCGGGGTGGAGTGCGCCTGGCGCGACTTGCCGCTGGCCCGTCCGGGGGAGCGCGAGTACGAGCGCCGCCTTGGGGGAGAGGTCGAGCGACGTGGGAACGCGAGACGGATGGGCTTCAGGAAGCTCGAGGTACGTGACTTCCTGTCGACGCGGGTGTGGGTCGCGATGGTCGTGCGGAGGGGGAGCGGCGGCGGGCCCGAGGCGATGATCGGCGAGAGCTTCTCCGGGATCGACCGCGGAGACGAAGACGTCGCGGACGTACGGAATGAGAACGCAGGCCAGGGCACGGACTCGGGCTGGGACGACGACTGCGCTGTTGTCGCGGTGACGGTGAAAAACGAGAACGCGGGCGTGTGGTTCGTGGACGTGCCGGCCTGTGGCGAGGGGTTGAGCCACGAGCACAGCCGCTGCCAGCTGAGGTCCGTCTCGTTCTGCTGCGCCGGTGCACGCGTGTTCTCTTCGCCGAGGTCCAGTCCGAGCACGGGAGACTCCGGGCGTGCAGAGTCGTGCGAGTCGTACGGGGTGTCGATGGTCGGGTATTCGTCCATGTCGTGATCCTCCGTCGCCGGCGTGATGATCATGCCGACATCCTCACGCGAGTCGCCGTACGGGTATGGCGACGCCTTCGCGGTCGGTATTGAGCTCGCCACGAGGGGCGAGTACATGTACCCGTCATGGTGCGGCGAGAGCGCAGACTCGAGCGCGGTGTGCATCGACGACGCCGTCGCAGACAGCATCGTGACGCTATTGTCGTAGTACTCGGGGCGGAAGCCGTCCGTGTTGACGGTGAGCACGAGCTTCGGGCGGCCCTGCTGCACCTGGCCCCAGTCACCGTTGGCGTGCGGGGTCACCGGCGGGGACGGGATGGAGGGCGAGGAAGACAAAACAGAGTACGCTGACGCGGGGCTGTGTCCGGGGGTCTGGAGGGCCTCGAAGAGCTTGGTGGTGGTATATACGGGCGAGTCGGGGCCGGGGGACATAGAGCGCGAGGCGGAGCCTGAGAGCGAGCGGGAAGCGGAGCGCGAGCGTGAGTACGCGGAGGCCCCGGCAGAGGCCCCCTCGGCATCGCGAGCACGGAAGGAGAACGAGTCGGACCAAGAGGAGTCCTTGGCAACCGAGCGTTCGCGGGCGAAGACCATATGGGAGTCAGAACCGTTGCTCCAGGCAGAAGCGAAGTCCTCCTGAGGTTCCTGCTCTGGAAGCTCGCGCGGCTCGGGCTCGGCCTCTGCGGACTCCTCGCTGTCGGGGTCTGCGCGAAGGCCCGCCTCCCAGGGACACCGCGCCATACTGTCCTCGAAGATCACGTCGGACGAGTAGAAGTTGTCGATCGCCTTGAGCGCGTGGCGCATCTCGCGGAGGGTGATGCGGTGCCTCCAGTCGACCTCGAGAGTGCGCGTGAGGAGGAGGTTGACCTCCGGGGAGATCGGCAGCACGGTCGGGAGGAAGTGGAGCGGGTCCTTGAGGTACGCCTGGAAAGTGCAGTCGTCTGCGGACGCCGACTTCCACGGGTTGCGGCCGGTGATGAGGTTGAGGAGGATGATGCCCAACGACCAGACGTCATTGAACAGAGGGGAGTAGCTCCGCGTGGGCGCAAAAACCCCGCCCTGACACTCTATTACGGCCGTGAGCCAAAAGAAACGTAACAAGGTAACCGACGGTAGCTTACCTGGACTCATGTGATACACGCTGCCCGTGCGGAACTCGGTGCTCATGCGCTCCGTGGTCGCGAGCCCAAAGTCAGTGATGGCGAGCCGCAGGCCGCCTTCGAAGCATAGGATATTCTCGGGCTTCAAGTCGCGATGATAGATATTGAGGGAGTGGCAGTACTCAACTGCGTCGAGCAGCTGAAGAAAGACCTCCTTGATAAGTGCGTTATTGCCCAGATAACGCCGTTGGTGCAGGATCTGAGTGAAAAGGTCGCCGTCGGAGCAGTAGTCCATCACGATGTACGTGTATTGGTAGTCCTCGATCACGCGGTGGAGGGTTACGACGTTCGGGTGGCCGGACGCAAGCTGGTGTAGCGCGATCTCACGCATGTGTAGTTGCCGCTGGCGTGCTGCGCTGCGCTTGTTGGAGTGGGGGAGGCACTTGACGGCGTACGACGTCGGATTTGACGAGAAGGTGTCGACTGCGCGGTAGACGATACCGTACCCACCGTACCCAAGGATCTCGACCAGCCGAAGCGAGCCATTGTCGATGATGGTCCCGAGAGGTGGGGGGACCGGCGAAGTCGGAGACTGTGATGAGGTGACCATGGCGGGCGAAGAGGGTGGCGAGGGGAGCGGGGAAGGCGGGGGGGAAGAGAGGAGTGGCGAGCGATGAGCTCGTAGCGTAGTGCTCGCAGAGCGGTGAGGAGGACCCGGGGCAGAGCGGAAGAGCGTCGCGCGAACCCTTTTAAGAGAGCTGGAGAACGTGACGGAGGGCCGGCACGGGCGTGTTTACCATGAGGCAGGACTGATCGCTGAGGTTCCACGGAGGCAGACGAGCGCTGTCCGATAGTGCTGAGAAGGGGAAGTCGCCGCAAGTCAGAAAGTTCCAAAATACGGCTGTTGATCCTGCCCGTCTGCGTGTTCCCGCCACGCAATGCAGCAGTGCAGGCGGTGTATGAACGGCTCGCGCAAGCGTGCGATCGATATGATTTGGCGGTCTAGGGAGCGCGGGTGCTCACACACTGTCGATGCCGAGATTCTGGCCTCCATTCCGGGGGGAACTGCGGTATCTTGGGGCGCAATTAGACACCGAAGAGCGAAGACAGGAAGGTCAGGAAACGGAGGAGTCGATAGGAGGAGCCAAAAGGGGACACTCACGACTGATCTCACGCAAGATCTCATCGGCTCTACATCGCAGATCTTAACCGCCCGTCTCTGATTGGTCCGAGTCGAGGGGTCCAGACGCACCTCTTCAGAGTGTCGGCGCGGATTTGGGGCTTAATCAAAGGGTCGGAGCCCAGAACAGGCTCAGATATACGCCTTCAATGTCGCAAGATGGGGTGGGGCACAGCGCAGGCGAGTGGGACTATCAAATCATTCTTGCAGGTCTGCAGTACCTCGGAGAATCCTTGGCCTCACGGTCGATGGTAGCCAGTGGTAGCCATATGGCTGTCAGGATCTATAACAATAATGAGCATGACATCGCATTCGGATACCTTGCATACGTGTTGCCCCTCAGTAGTACCTGCGCAGCTCCTTAGGTACCGTTGAGGAGCTGAACCGGTGTACCTGACCGTGACGCGTCTGTAATGGATCGACAGTTAATAGCTTCAGACCACGAATGAGAACACCACTGCTCATGCGCTCACCTAGTGTCATTCCGGTCGCGCATAATGACGTCTACCGTTCACTTTGGACCATAAGGGGTGTTGTTGCTTCCTCCATCCACACAACCGCTGGAGTCTGCACCAACGTAATAGCACGTGCCTATATGCTGAAGCCCTTCCGTCCAAGGCACATATTACTATGTGCGCAGAGAGATCAGCGCCAACGGGGTTCAGAAAGTCCACCCTGACCTGAGAATTGTGTCGGCGAAAGAAGCAATCCAGAAGGGGTCGAGGTAATGTCCGCCAAGCGCCTGATGCGTGCGTTTGGGGCCCACAACTCAACGGGCCAGGTATTGCACTGCCAAAGGCACGCAGTGGTCTTTCGAACGTTCCTGAAGCACCGATAGCAACACCAGGTGGATCCTCCGCATCCGGACCATGTTTAATGCAGAAGCTCCGAGGGCCTGCACGCGAGTGATAAGCTTCCTCGGAACGGCATGCGTACATCTGCGTTTGCATGCCACTCACCATGATCAGTCCCGCAGGCCCGCGGCAGGTCATGTCCGGGAATTGTCCGGACTTCGTTCCCGAGTAGCCGCACGGGCCTCCCAGGACCAAACGCCCTGCCTCGGAGGGCCCGCAGAAGTTCGGCCGCTGGGGCGGTGGCACCGATTGAGGGTGCAAACCATGTCTGAGAAGGCGGAGGCGACTTTGCGTGTGATACACCCACAAGACCGGCCGGAGCGGTCTGCTGGTGCACTCCAGGCGCTGTCGAGCGGTACACTCTTACACAGCGCACCGATATCCGAAGGCTGGGAGCACTTTTGGGGCCTGTGATGCAGCGTGTTAGCATACTATCAGGACAGTAAGCAATGAGGCGGGTCCGCTCACCGGTGACTGCTAGCACGCATGATGCGCATTGCGCGCCCTCTCACCGAGTCTCGCGCCCGACATGTGTTACGGGCGTTGTCGGATTCCGCCACAAGCTGGGTAAATCATTCAGAGCGTTCCTAGCGCACGTTCATGAGAGCGCAGAAGACAGGCTGGATATCTGCAGGCTGATACTGCCATTGAGGTGTACGATGCGTGTGGTTGGGAACCAAGACACGGTTCGTTCGCCGACGGCCGAGTCGCGATGCCGCCATGGGCGCTTCCACGACAGCTGCTTACTGCACGTGACTCTGCCGGCTTGACTTGCAATTAGCGCCTGTCTGGCGCCAACGCTGGCGGACTTGTGCTTTCTTGCGTTCATCTGGCTGTTCGACCTTGCTGGATGTTTTCTCTCTTGCAGAGCTCGTCGCGGTCATGCTGGGCTTCAAGATCTTTGGGGACTGCAAAGTCTTACCTTGGACAACACCGATATATCTCTAGCACACCACATCGACGTGCCGAACCCTCCGCACCGGAGACTTCTGCCAGTACGCCTACCAACCCCAAGGGCAAGGAAACGGACAAATCCCCAGCTTCGGATAAGCCGAAGCCCGACTCAGCAGACGCGCCTTTGCCGCTGCTACAGCGACCATTGGGATTGCGGGACAAACCTAAAGCGCGGGTTCAGACGTGGGAGGACACGAAGGAGAAGTTCCTTGACCAGGACAAGCGGCTGGAGGAACGCACGCATCTGTACGTTTTGACCGTTGACTACGTTGTCGGTGACCGCTCAACTACAATTCAACGTAGGGCGCGAGAGGCAACCCGAGGTTACTTCACGGACCTTAACGCGACGCGCAAACATGGCGGGAAGACATGGATCGCGCCAAAAGTCATGATCAGAGAAGACGTGAGTCAGACTTCTGCAGAGTAGAAGCAGAGCCCGTGGCCTACTGTGCTTTCGCTTGTTTGTACGAAAACCTGTTACTGAGCCGGCTTGACTAGAAAGCTCTGTACTTTCCCGATATATTCGGCACTGCACTCGTCGGAAAGGAGAAGGTGCACACAACAAATCTCCTGGCGGGAAAAGTGTCTGTCGTGACCCTTCTGACAACACGAATCTCCGAGGTGCGCTAAATAGCCCGGAGCATCTGTTTCAATGTCTAAACTTGAGGTCCATAAAGCTTCAAACAGCGCAATTTGTGGAACCAACGCATACGAGCTTTAGCGAACACCCGCTATACCAGCGCGTGCAGATAAACTTGCAGGGCAACCTCGTGAAGTCGTTCCTGGTCTCGCTCTTCGCGTCGGGCATCCGGAAAACGCTCCCCGAATCGTTATGGCCGACGTACCTCATTTCCAGCCAGAACATCGAGTATGTCACTCTGCCTCTGTTCCGCATTCTCGAAGTTTATGCATTCTTGTTCAGATATCTGCGAGAACCGCTCGGAATTGCCAACCGGCACGTTGGGTATGTGTACCTCGTCGACCCGAAGCTCAAGATTCGCTGGGCGGGCTGCGCGGACCCGAAGGCAGAAGAAATCGCCGCTCTGAGGACATGCACGAGCGTCCTCCTGGACCGGTCAACAAAGGCGCAGCTGCCGCCTGCGGACTCTGCCGGCACCGCGGAGGCGACGCAGAACTCGGCAGCAAAGTCGGAATAAACGGCGGCGTGTCTTGCCCGTCCGTTGCTGGACGCATTGGTTGGCCTCCCCCGTGTTTACTCGTAGACCCTACGGAATACACATCACTACACATACCGCTAGATACTCTAATGACCATGTTAGTGCTTGTGCTTGCCTTTGTGGTTTATTCGACTCCATCAAACAGGCAATCTGGATCTCACCGAGGAGGATCTCTCCGCGTTGAATGATCGAGATGCACTGCTGCAATAAACAGTTAGGCGCCCACAGCTGGCTCGCCTTCGCCTCTTGCCACAAACATCCATCCTCCGTCACAGGAGCGACCCTGCATCTTGGCTGCCTACCACCACCATCGGTCATTACTGTCTGCCTAGACGGCTTTAATACGCCTCCGCTGGCTCCAGGGCAAGCTTCGAATTACGTCTCGCTTCGCGTTCTATCACCACGCTGCTCCAAGTAGCCCGTCGGACTTCACTTGGGATCACTTATCTGCAGCGAACAAAGCATCTGCGCCCTCTGAACTGTAGACTGCGAATTGCCCTCCAGAGCTGGGGATGCCGCTCGCGCGAAGCTGGACCGCCCCGCCTACGCGGCGGGAGATCACCCTCCTGCTCTTCTCTCTGACGATCTTCGTGCTGTCATATAACCTCGAAGCCTCCCTTGGGATCGTTGGAGTCCACCCGCAGAAGCTTACATCGTCGTATCTGTCGAGTTTAGGTGAGTTCCGCGACCGTATGCACTCGGGTGTTTGAGGTTGCGCGGGCTGTGAAGAAAACATGGCGGTACATGCGAGGAAGCACCCAGGCAAACGTTGGGTCAGACCAGGTGGACGTGGGCAGTGCGTGACGCGTCGCTGCGTGGTTGGAACTGCTCTGAAGTCTGCGGTCTGTCCACCACGCTACTTGCACCTCCGGCCTGGCATGAATCAATATCTTCCGCATACAAGCAGACGGTTCTAACGCGTTCCATAGGGCTCGGCGCAAAAGACCCTGGATTTGACCTTGACGGGCGAAGACCCAAGGAATGGCGGGACGAACTCGAGAACCTCATCGCCGGCGACTGGGAATGGCGCGAGGGCGAGGTGTCCGGTGTGGCCCGCGGGTCTGCTGCCACATCCGGTTTGGGGCGGACAGGGATGATATACAACTTCGGCGGAGTCAAGAAGGTCTCGCGGAGTTCGCATCTCGAGGATAGGGGTGTCAGCTTGGATACAGGCGTGACGGTGAAGGACCAATTCATCAAGTGGGGCAAGGACGTGCCCGAGACGGCCGTCGTTGCGCATACACCAGGTCAGTTCGCCGCGTCAGGGTTGACAATTTAACTAAATGCGTTGTGGCCAGGATACACCGTTCTGGACAACGTCATCGCAGTGAATGGCACGCTGTTCGTGGTCGCGAACGACTGGACAAAGGTGCCGAAGCTGATGGATATCGCGTCGTCCTCGCTCGACGCGACAAAGCCCCCACGCGTGCAGGACTGGCACATACTGACCACGAACGACGCGGCGGATATGTTTGGGCCTTACGCAGCGAAGTAGGTCTCTTCACGTTCTGTGCCCGATCACCGAGCATATACTGACGCGCATCCTACTAGGATCCACGGCACGTCGTGGCTTGCGCTCGGCACGGCTGAGTCGCAAGACCCATACACGCTTCTCTCCTTGTTCCGCACACACGCCTCAGTCTCCTCGGGCGCGCCCTCTTCGTCATTCACTTCGTCATCTGGTCTGCACATCATTACCCCGCCATCCAGTTCCTCGCCCTCCGCCCCGTCAATTCCCGCGCCTCTGCGAATCATCTACCCGTACATTCCAACCTTCTCCTCTCCCAACGTCCCTCCTGGCCCAGGCGAGGATCCGAAGGCGCACCCGCCTCCACGGACGCGCGCGTATACAGGCACGCACCCGCTCCTCCCGAAAGTGGTGCTCCCTACGCTAGCGGCGTGGTACCAGGAGGACTGGCAGGACTTCGCGGACATGCACGTTCCCTTCCTCCTCGAGCGCGTCGTCATCGCCGATCGCGGGGCCGCGGAGCGTGGACGCGCATCCTGGATACCCGCTGCTGATGCTGCGCGAGTGGATGAGATGAGCAAGCGTGCACCGCCAACAGCGGAGAGCGCACCCGCGTGGGCAGCGCCGTTCATCGGACTCTCCGCTCCCGAGGCGTGGTGGACGCCAGTCCGCACCGCGCTCCTCCGCTACCTGCACCTCGCCGACTTTGCGGGCGCGGGCAGTGCGAGCTCGAGCAGCGGGTCGCTCTGGGGCCTGACCAAGAAGCAGCCCGCGCGGAAGCCGATCGTGTCGTACGTGTCGATGCAGGACGCTCCTGCGGGTTCGGGCCCGAGGCTATCTGGCGAGGACCACGAGCGACTCGTGCGTGGGCTCAAGGCGCTGGAGCAGCAGGGTGTACTGGGCGAGGTTCATGTGCTCAAGGGCAACGGGAGTGTGCCTGCGATGGAGTGGGCGGAGAGAATGAGCGCAATCGCGCGGTCAACGGTGAGCAACCTCGCAAGGCTTTCGTGGACGGTTCACTAACTGTCCTACAGATCCTCATGGGTCCGTACGGCTTCCAGCTCGCGGATGGCGTGTTCATGCGCTCTCCGCTCGGGATGTCGGCCGCGTCGACGTCAGGAAAGGCGCAGAAACAGGAAGACGCGCCGCAGCGACCACCGGCGCCATTGCTCATGGAGTTCTTCCCCCCGGGCACGTTCGTCCGCAGCCAGCAATACGCGATGCAGGCGCTCGACATCGACTACCAGGCGTGGTGGAACGGGCAGATATTCACCGGAAACAACCTACCAGATGTCGCCTCGCCGTTGCCAGCGCAGCAGGACGCACGCGTCGCCCTGGATGTGGACACCGTGTTGCGCACGGTACGCGAGCAGGCCCCGCGGAGGGTAGCATAGCACGTTGCGCATTGGATTCGGAACCCCCATTACCCCCACTATTCCATCCCATTCATTGCGATGAACGACCCTAGGAACACTCCGCCCGTAATTAGTGTCAGACATACATCAGAAGTGTCCCCCCTTTGGACTGTACATTCGGGTACCGCCAGAGCGTAGAGTAATCCGCGCCGTCGCGCGACATCCATAGCAGGAATAGATTTCAAGAAACGTCCTACCGCACAATCACGCTGACTCTTTGTATCCAGTGAGACGTCGACGGTATCGTATGCGTGTGTGTACACGAGCTTCCGCGGAGTCGGCTCCAGCTTGGAGGGCATGTCCACTCTCCAAGTGGTACTGGCTCCTACAGTGTCCGACGGTCTCTGCCATCATACTCGACGATCATATGCACATACTCTCGCTCGGTGAGGGGCTATGCGCATCATCTGTACGCATGGAGTACTAGTTCAAGGGGCAGGGTAGTCAACAAGACGAATCCCAGAGTATGACGATCGTAGCATGACGACTACACCGCGCCGCGCGTACCGCCTGGACGTACGAACTCGCGAACCTCTTCTTCGAGGTTCTGAGAGAGAACGCGGCTCAGTCTATGAATAATGCCACATGTAAGTATAGTCATATGCCCAAGGTTCAATGCAGAACGAACTGTTTTGCATGCCGGTGCTTACTAGAGCTGCACAAGCTCATCAGAGACGAGCACAACTGCTGGTGATGGCTCGAACAACCTGTGGTGTTTGCGGCGCAACATTAGAAAAAAAAACCTAATGGGCCATTTGTCAAGGGAAACTAAACCAAGATACGAACGTTCGTCCGCGTAGCATCGTACACCCCATGCGATACGGTGCACTTTCAGTCGCGCTAGCCCCGCAGACGTCGGGTTCGAGCGAGCGGCTGATATGTCGGAGTCCGGCCGATTGGCAGTAAATTGACACTAGCGGGGACTTCTCAGTCTCTCTTCGCCCGCGATAGGTTCTTTCGCGCTAGTTGGGCGGCGTAATCACCCGAGCCCGACTTCGGCTAGCTATCTGGACCGTCCTGCGCCTTCCTGCGCCCGTCTGAGGGATGCTTGCCGCGCGGAAATGTCATAAGATGGTCGCAGTATCACCGTGCATGATGTCAGAGGCAGCGGATGGTTTGAACCTTCAGCGAGTCTTCGAGCGAGCGGGGGCGTTTTATGCGCGCCGACTGGCGCTGAGGCTTTCAGCATTGCGGAGAACGATGAACTCGAGAACGGCCTCGAGCGAGGAGATGGAGGAGCACAGGAAAGAGGATGTGGTCAGAGAATGAATGATCCGGAGATTGAGGCCGAACGGATGCCGGATGGGGGCGGGGGGAGCGTGGGAGCGCGGAGAAGAGACAAGAAAGGGCGTCCAGGCCGGGCGCGTTCTCCTTGCACTCACCCCGTCTTGTCTCCTCGACGTCTATAGTCCTCGCCCGGTCCTCCCACCCCAGTCTCTCCTTTCATACGCCCCCCTACGCCCTCCACGCTCCTCCCCCCGACCCTCTGCAAACTCCTCCGCTTTTCTGCTTCGTTCTACGCCTATCACACCCACCATGGCTCACGAAGAGAAGCATACCGCGTCCAGCGAAGAGCACGTCCAAATGCTCGAGGTCCGCGAAGAGAAGGACCAGGGCGACCTTCTTCCATCTCCCGTGTCTGCTACTGCAGCGCGCGCGCCCGCCAGCAAGGCTAAGCTGTCCGCAACGATGATAATCCCTGTCTGGATTATCCTCAGTTCCGCCGTCATCATCTACAACAACCACTTGTACAACACCCTCCAGTTCCGCTACCCTGTGTTCCTTGTCACCTGGCATCTGACCTTCGCTGTGAGTAGCGCGCCTTCTCTTCTTGACGTGTACGATGGTCGCGGCGCAGCTCCCCGCGTGTGTCCAACGCTATCACTCTCGGGCGTTTAAACTCGCGCCAGGATTCGCCACAGGAACCGATCCCGCCTCAGGCAATAGTCGGCCTTGTGGCGTCCCAGGCGTGCTCGGCAGTCAACGCTAGCAGCGCCGCCGACGTACTCTACGTGGCCGTCTGGCTGCGCTCTATCTTGAGTTGCGGCACGGCGTTCAGGCGCAATCGCTTTCGCGCGCAAGTTCGCAACTGCGCACAGATGAATGTTGATCAGACATCTTCGCGATGACACTGCTGCGGGTGTTGTGGTCAGCGCGCGGCAAGGTAAACAGAGAACGAAGATAGCACGCTGTGGTTCGGCGTGCACGCAATTACATGAAGCCGCGACGTTCAGGTCCCACGCACATTTCATCACAATGGCCGCCTCCATGTACATCGCTCACACTTTTGCTTGCTCTAGGCTATTGGCACCCGCGTTCTGCAAAGAACAACACATCTCGTTGATGGCGCGAAGGACGTGAACATGAGCAAGGACATGTTCCTCCGGAGTATCCTCCCCATTGGTCTGCTTTTCAGCGGCTCGCTCATCCTCAGCAACACCGCGTACCTATACCTGTCTGTCGCATATATCCAGATGCTAAAGGTATGTTCCCTACCCCATCGCGTCTGCTTTGCAATGCTTATCACGATCTATTGCGTCAATTCGCAGGCGTTCACGCCAGTTGCGATCCTCTTGATCTCATGGACGTTCCGGATACAAGACCCCAGCAAGCGCCTCGCCGTGATCATCTTCATGATCTCTATGGGTGTCGCGCTCGCGTCCCACGGCGAGCTGCGCTTCAACCTCATCGGTTTCCTCACTCAGGCCGCCGCTGTCGGAGTAAGTTACCCTGTGCCCTCATCCGGGACCGTAAATGCTGACAAGTCGTGCGCATGGACAGTTTGAGGCATCGCGCCTGGTCATGATCGAGATCCTGCTGCACGGGTTGAAGATGAACCCGCTCGTGTCGCTGCACTACTACGCGCCCGTGTGTGCACTCATCAACCTCGCTGTGCTGCCGTTCACAGAGGGCCTCGCGCCATTCTACGAGCTCGCGCGCATCGGGTACGTCTTGCTCCCACTCACTTGATATATAACAAGTGCTGACGCGCGGCGCAGGCCGATGATCCTCATCTCAAACGCGGCGGTCGCGTTCCTGCTGAACATCGCGGCGGTGTTCCTCGTCAGCGCGGGCAGCGGGCTCGTGCTCACGCTCGCGGGCGTGTTCAAGGACATCCTGCTCATCACCGGCTCCGTGCTCATCTTCGGCGCGCAGATCACGCCCCTCCAGGTGCTCGGGTACTCGATCGCACTCGTCGGTCTCGTGTTGTACAAGACCGCGGGGAACAAGAGCAAGTGAGCTTGACCTCGGCGTGTTCTTGGTTGCTTGCAGGCGGGGCGCGTGCGCGTGGTCTAGAGCCGGACTTACCGGTGCAGGGTGTCGGCGAGGCGCGGATGTGGTACTGTACGTATTGTGGACTTCCATACTTAGTGTGATTAGAGTGCGAATACAGCCTACTTTAGACACCGGTACAAGGCGGACGGTCGCGCGTGTATGTCTCTCGTGCTATAGCAGTATTATCAGCCGGGTTCATGTTGCTTGAGCCGGGGGATGTTCACCGAGGTGGGCAAGTACGGGTTTGTTCGGGTTGATCCTCATCACGCTTGAGCTAACTTCGGGCGTTCCCAGGAAGTCACAACTTTCGTGAAGATTGAAATATTACAGAATCGCCAGCACGAAACAAGCATACAGTACATCCAAGCTCATGCATTCCCTCTATCGCCCTCCGGAGCTCATCGTACACCGTCGCGTTTATCGCGCTTGCCTTCTCTTCTGTTCTCTTCCCACACGGGCTGCTCACCCTCGAGCTCTACTCCTGCGCAGCCGCCGTGGGTGCCGCGCTATTCCAGGCCACGGGGGCAGGGGTCACAGTCACTATGCAACCATCGTCAGCTAATGCCCACCGAAAAGGAGAACGCAAAGGGACCGGGTACGCACTGGGAGCGACCGCGGACGCGGGTCCGGTGGGTGTGGGTCCGACGCGCTCGTGCGCGTGGTGCGCGAAGAGGCGGCCGGTGTAGCCCCCTGCACGGCGGGATGTGGGTCAGGTGCGTAGGCGTCGACATGAGTGAGGCGTGGACGTACCTCGCTTGTCAACCGCCATCGGGGCAGCAGACGTCGTGGTTGCGCACGCGATCAAGACCAGTGCAAGTACAAGGAGGGTGGTGAGGAGCGAGGAGTACATGACGCGTGAGTATCACTCGGGATGGTGTCGGTACGGCGGTTGGTGGTTGGCGGGCTGGCTAGAGGTGGTGTAGTGCGACGCCTACAAGATAACTCCTGCTCAATGTCAAGTTTAAGTATACCGTCGGTGAGGACTCACTGATTAAACTATCCTCGTCCATGACATCCACTCATTGTCAACCTGTCGTAGATCCCGCTGAGGGTGCGCGCGGAACTTGAAGCTTGAAGTCCTGCCCGCCCGCGAGCGAGAGAGCGCGGACGACGCTGGCAGCCTGCACCACCCCGCTCGTCCTCGTGTGCCGTGACACTGACAGGCTCCAAGCGTTACCTGCCACTGCCTGGACATCGCCGGCGGCGGACCCGAGCACGACACCATTGGCGGGCTCGTCCCGCGCCTCGTGGCTGCGCCTCGCGGAAGCGTGGCCTCGCGCCCGCCGTGAATGCGCCGGTCCGCCCCTTTTATAGCTGGACAGGCCTCGCGGCATCCTTCCGGAAGGCGGGCTCGTCTCCCTTGTCCTGTGTCGCGTCAAGTCGCGCAATACATGCCACCGTCGACGGTGCTGCGCCCGTTCATTTGCATAAAGACGGGGACTTCTGCTAACGCGTGGTGGCGGATAATTCTATTTAGAAACCCGGGGTACGCACAATAACCCGGGTTCCAAAAGATTACACGTAGAAACCCCTGTCCGAAGGTGTCAAACGCGGCCGGGCAACAGGCGCCCTTGGCCGCGCGGATCCCTACGCGCGAGCCCGCCGTCGTACGGAGGGCACACGCGATGCGCCGTCGGGGGACTCCAGAACATCTGGACGCTACGTGGTAATTCTGTAAATAATTGAGACGATTCCTGAACAGTTCGCGCAGCGCGCGGGACTCACATCGAGCCTCGCGCGCAGCATGAACTATATCAATGAAGTAGAAACTTGAAGATGCGCGTATTCCGAGAGACATATTTGGAATTATAATGCATTCACCTGCTCGCGACGAGTCGGATGTGCGTCGATCCATTGTTCAAGCCAGCTTCGTGACGCACGGCTGTGATCGAGATGTTTAGAACGTGGTGCGCGCCCGTATTCGTGTACGAAACAAGAGAGCCGCGCGCGCGCGCGCACGCACCTGCCGACCACGTCCCATTTGGGGTACGCATCACCCGGAGGTGCTCCGGTGCAGGCCGCGACGAAACCGGGTTTCCAAACTAGCAGAGGGGTTCCAAGGTGTACCCGGGGTTTCCAAATAGAATTATCCCGTGGTGGCCCTTCTTTCCGCGCACTGCGTGCTCATCGGGCCGCGTTGAACTCGTGCAGGACTGGTGAATGTCATCCACGCCTTCTCGCTCGTTCACCGTCTGACTCTATGCAGGAGAAGGTACAGGCGTGGTCAACCTCGAGGTTGTGATAGAGTGGGCTGCACAGCCACATAGTCGAATGGTGCGCATCGCGTGAGTGTGTGGTCCGCGTTTCGTGGTTTGTAGCTCATACACTTCCAGAGACCGGATACATGAATGCCGGGGTGATCCCCGACGCATCGGGTCCCATGCACGGACATTTCAGTCTACTATCGAAATTTGGCGGACCGAGCCTAGTCCTGCTGTTGGAGTCCAAGGTGCGTAGAACCACCTCTTCCATCAGTCGCATTGTCCACCCTCGTAGCGCCTTCAAGTTCATTGATGACATGACATCGGCTTGTCACAAGGGCAGCGAGGCTCGCCATGCGGTGATAAATGCTGCCCGACTGCGTAGTCGGATTTCCCGTTGTGGGCTTGATCTACCTGAGAACGGAATGTACTGAGTAGGGGCCGCGACAGCATCCAGCTTGACATCATCGAATGGACGCGAGATGCGATGAGGTTCCACCTCGAAGCTTTTCCATAATGCTACTTCCCCACTACTTCTGGAAGGCAGTGCTATGCATGAGTTGAGTACGAAAAAGTTTTGCCTCTATGTCACTGGCACTTGTAATAGCTCACTCTGTTCCGAGCGTTCGCCTCCTCCCCCGAGCATCCGACGCTCTCCGCTGCTCTCCGCCGCTCATCGACACCATGTTCACTAATCGCATGAACTCGACCTCCTCGCCGACGCTCAGATATCTTGTCATCTGGCTCACCTTCCTCGCCGCCGCGAACATGCTGATCATCCTTGGCCTGATCCGCGCCTTCACGGGCCTCATTCCCCCCGAGAAGGAGTACAGTGAGCCACAAGCTTCGCTCCCCTGCGTCTGTGCCGTAACTGATCCTTTCGGCGTATTGCAGCCTACGTCGGGAACGACTTCCCCGCGCAACTCCCGCTCGAGCTTCCTCCCGCCGCGCTCGTCCTCTCCTCCGACACCACCCACTTCTCCCTGTTCGCCGACGACGACTGGGGCACACTCTTTCCGCTCTCCGACGGCTTCACCACGCTCCGCGCACCCGGGTCTCCGAACGCGCGCGGGCGGACGTTCCTAGTCTCGATGGTGCACCAGCTGCACTGCCTGGACGTCCTCCGCGTCGCGTTCGTGACGAACCGCACCGGGGCGGCGCACCACGTCGAGCACTGCCTGCGGTACCTGCGCCAGACGGTGCTCTGCCACGCGGACACGACGCTCGAGCCGGACGAGCCGGGGGTGCGCGATGGACGGTGGGAGCATGCGGCGAGCGGGGTCGGCGCGGTGCATCGGTGCAGGGACTGGACGGTGCTGCGGAGGTGGTTGGACGAACATCCGGCGGAGCCTATCGAGACAACCACGTAGGCTAGTGGATAGAGACCTTGTGGCGAATGTGAAAGCTTTACCGCCGTGGTGGCCGGCGAGTCTGGACGCTGCGCGCCTCACAGCGCTCGCAGCATCTATAGTATGTAGGTAACCGGCCTTTTACGCAAGAACGGCGTTCCAAGATACCACTGCTATGCCTCATTCACGTGCGTGCGCGCCGAGACGTGGAATTCGGGGCGTACCCCAAGCCGACAACCTGATCACGGACGCAACGTACATATATTCTGCATCGCGAGATCCAGTGCGCCCTCGTGGTGCTCCGTCGGGTAATCGGTGGGCCGTACTAGGGCAGCGCTTCCCGAGCAGCTCCCGAGGGACTTCAACCTCCCGGTTCGATTTGCCATACTGATACCTGCCGTAGAAGTTACCAGGATGTCACCGGCGGCATTCAAACTGTATTCAGCTTCTGTCGTGGCTCGACGGACGCACCTGCAGCTGGCAGCGCCCGCAAGGTGCGTCAAGAGCCGTGCTGTTGATAATGCCGAGACCCTCGCGCTCTTCTGCGTCAGCCCCCGGACGCTGATTTCCCGCCCCAGGTGCGTACCCTCGCCAAGATAATGTAGGAGAGTAATCGTTGATGCATTGATGGCGCGGCGCGACAGACAGCATGTCAGGGTACACCATCCTCAGGTCAGACGATCCCGACGCGCACCTCGCCGACGACCCCAAAGGCGAGTCGAGCCTGGCGTTGCCTTTGCCCGGGGGAGTGTCCACCACGCACCAGTATCCACCGAAGAGCGGCGGCATGTTCCTTCTGAAGATGGGCGTCGCCATGCTCCTGCTCGTAAACCTACTCGTATGGGTCTTCGCGATCACACGGCTCCGCTGCGTCGCGGGGGTCATCGCGGGCTCGCTGGAAACGATCGACACTCGTCTGTTGCCCCGGCCGGATTCACTCGGCGGCTTGTTGCTCGCGACGGAGGAGACGTCGGCCGGTCGTTGATACATGATGGGCGACGGCGGATGGGGGTCCGGTGGGGGGTTGTTCGTGAACGAAGAGGGGGATTTCAATGGATGCTGATATATGGTCTGGGATCCGAACGGCCGTTGGAAGTTAAGGGCGTGGTCTGACGGGCTCGCAAATGTGGTGGCGGTAGAAGTAGAGTGGTAGTCCAGCACCGTTGTAGCGATGTGTAACTGTCCCGTCCATTTCAGCAGCAAAGTCGTGCGTTGTGTCCTGTAAATTCTCATCAGCGCGTCTGTCTCGAAGGTGTCCCAAAGTCACACAAGAAGATAGAGCAAGCAGAACGAGATGCATTGAACGCGAGGTAACAAGCTACAAGGTGCACATACAAAAGGAATCCATCAGACATACGCCCGGCTCGCTGGTTAGCGCTCCAAGCCACTCCGAAGAGGGCGAGCAGACACGATCCAAACGTCCTCGAGACCGCCGAAGCGGCCGTGTTCTCGGTTATACGAGCGGGCGCGGAAGTCATCGGCTGGATAAGAAGGATGCGGCATGTGTAAACATGCGAGACTCGAGTTAGTACCTATAAAATAGATCCTAGCTGAGTATGTTCTAAGGAAATAACATAGCACGGTCGCAATCTTTTATACGGCGGTGAGTTCAGGGCAGGCAGCAGGTAGTATTTTTCCATATCGGGACAGAGGTCGACGGGCGCCTCGTGCCCCAACGCTCGTCTTCGCGCAGTTCGCAAGACTCCTCAGCAACCATCGTCACGACAGTGCATACAGGGACACTTCAATTCACTCAAAAGGCCGGCTGCGGCTGCCCATTCGTTAAAATCCCAGCCGGCATGCTTGTGCTGGTTAGCGACACGACATGTTGGTAACAACTCCTGTGAGACCGTCTAAGTTTCGGACTGCCAGTGCTCGGTCCCTGCGTCGTCCCACCTGTAGTCGTTGTGCGAAGCTAACGCGTTCGGCCTCTCGACACTATTGTATGCGTATATATGCAGGTAAGCCTGCGAATTCATACCTTATCCTTATTTTGACGCCGTGGTCACTTAGGGATTAGCGTGAAACGACGCATGGGCCTTACCCAGCTGTCCGCGTCATCGTGGCCATCACGTACCCCGTACACTTCAGTCCCACGGACATATCTACCTCTGAGAAGGGTGAGGAAATCCGCGAGTGAGATTACAACCGATATCAAGGTAAAGGGATGCGAGACGAGGTGGGGCATGCATAAATCCGAACGGTCCACGACCCTGCCCGTACCCATGTCAATCAATTCCGAGACCAGCGATTTTCAACGCACTACCTGTACCGGCCATCGCTCAAGGGTCCCTCAAGTCATCTCGAGTACGTGTATGACGGTATGTTGGCATCTTCGCCCGCTCGCATTGGCTGACCTGTAAGTAGGACATGCATGGTCTATCAGTCTCAAGGTCTAAATTTTTCCCGCGACTGACAGCTCGTGCTTTATAGGTCCGTGCACGCCGGGGCCCGGTGCTCTGGTGGACATGGCCTCTCGCTTTGGCCTGTCGGATGGAGCCGCACGCCCGTGCCGAAAATCGTGCATTTCAGGACAAAGAATGCGTGGCCGGCTGAGATGCTACGGTGCCCCTCCCAGGCACCGCGGAGCAGCGTCAATGCGCACTCGTCGGCCTCTGATGCGCCACACCCTAGGCATCCAGTCGCCCCGCTGCTTTTCGCCAGACGGAATTCGGTGCGTCCTCCGCTACGAACAGCCACCCCTTGAACACCGATTCTGACCTTACAATGCTGCTATGTCTATGAGTTTTCAGAGCTCTCACAGACCGGTCGACTGTCGCCCTCGCGTGCCGAGAAATTGGGGAACGAGGAACAATGCGCGCACCGAGAAAACGGGTTCACGTCTCAGGCGGAGCCGCGTCGCGGCACCTAGACACCCCGCCCCCTCGCCGCTTGGGCTTTTGAGAGCTAGCTCCCTGCTTTGACTGGAGTCGTCAAAGCAGCCCGGTCATTGCTCGCTTATAAGCGAGAGCAGGAGGTGTTTTTGCTTTCTCCATCCGCTTCTCTTCCCACCACTCCTAACGTCACGGTGCCTCCATCGGATCCCTCCTTCCTAAAGCGAAACTTCCATCGCCATTCCCCTCGACGACCCCTACCCGCTCACCCGAGTTTATGCCCAAACGACGGGATCCCAACGTCCTTCGACGCCCTCCGAACGCGTTCATGCTCTACCGCACGGACAAGCAAAAACTTATGCAAGAAGAAGGTCGGGGAAACTCGCAGGTTAACTTCTCAAAAGAGATCGGCTCTATGTGGACGAACGAGGACGCACGCGTAAAGGCCGAATATCAGGCACGCCACGACGAGCTGATGGCGCGGTACCGTGTGAAGCTGAAGGAGCAGCAGGCCGCGCAGAAGGCCGTGCAGACAGCGGCCGCGCACGAGGAACAGTCTTCTGGCTCGTCGTCCGCGCAGACGAGCTCTGGCCCCAACACGCCGTCCTCCGCGTCCGGCCAGCCCTCGGACGCGCCGTTCCAGCGCGCGAAGGACGACAAGGGCCCACTCACGCCGGAGTTGTATAAGGTGCGTTCCTCTTTCATCCCCGGCCCTACTCTGCTAATCGCACCGCTTTTCGCCGCCGCTAGATCCTCGTAAGAGAAGAGCAGCAGCGGGTCGCCTACATGGCCGAGCGGATGTTCCACCTCTCGAGCCAGGCTCATGCAGCCCAGAACACGATGGGCTTCACGATGCAGCACCCACCTCCGCAACAGTCTCCTGTTCGTCAACAGCCTGGCCGGGCTGCAGCCATGTACCCGCCTGGCCACCCGTACGCTCGTGCGCCCGCGCCTGCGCCCCAGCCTCAGCCTCAGCCGCAACCGCAGCCAGAGCCCCTGGTGCAACAATACGGCAAAATTCACCAGGCGGCCCCGCTGCCCGAAGATAGCGCCTACGCGGCGTTCCAAGCACAAATGAAAGAATATTGGGGGGAATCATTCCAGGGTCCCCTCCTGGAGGAGGAAGATAAGTCGCTCGCCGTGCCCGATGAGCAGCCGGGGGAGCCTGGTCTGAAGAGCGGCGAGCCTAGGACCGTCCCGAAGTCTGTCCCTGTCAAGCAGTCTGTGGGAGCGTCTGGCAAGCAGGTGGAGCAGCTCGGAGGACGCGCGCCCGCTACTTCCAGGCCTGGTTCTTCCAGGCCTACTCCTTCCCAATCCGCTCCTCCCCGGCTCAACGCTGCCCAGCCCAACGCTCCGCTGTCCGCGCCAGGAAAACTCCATCGGTCCCCCCGTCACAACGTCGCACACGCTCCTCCAGTACAGCCCATGCAACGGCGCATGCCTATTCCCCAGCCCCAGCTCACGCGGCTGCAGATGCCCGTTCCCCAGCCCCAGCCCATGCAATGGCACATCCCCGCTCCCCGGCACCAGCACCAGCACTCCCAACCCCCCATGCAGCCCCCGCGCTGGAACACCGAGCTGGGCCAGCTGAACTCGGGCTACATCGACTTCACGAAGTTGCCGCCGATGAGGGATGAGCACGGGAATATCAAGCTGCCGCCGTCAAAGCTGCTGCTTGATCACGCCTATCGACGCCAGTTCGGTCCTGGGTTCGTGTTCCCTGCCAATGGGCCGCCCGTGCCCATACCTATGCCTATGCATATGCACACACGGCGTGCGCAGCAGTGGTTGGCTGGGGGGCGGCCCCCGGCACCTGCACCTGTACCTGTGATGACCGCTGCGATTCCGGCCCCGGGGTGGAACAGGATGCCCGCGCCGTCCCGTGGGATGCAGGCGCCGCCGGTGCCGTTCAACCGTGGCGTGAAGCGCAAGTTCGAAGACACGCGCGACGCTGCACCATCCAGCGCTGCCCCGGCGAGCCGCTCTTTCCAACCCGGCTCTACACTCGAGAACTCGCGTCGGTCGGCTGCGACGGCCTTGCTGGACGACGCGCCTTACGCCATCGATTCGGGGTCTTGGGCCGTATCGTTGAGATCCCCATCCAGCTTGCAAGGTCCCGCACAGCAGTCAGCGCCAGCCCCGGCGAACGCAGGCCAGGCCTCATCTTCCGGCGGTCAGCGCGTTGGCGAGGGGGAACGCCCGCCCCTCGGCAGCGCGGCGCGACCGATCCCCGTCGTGGACGCGCCTTCGACCTTGGGCTACGATCCTCTCGAGGCGCTTCGGGAGGACGCCGTTTGGCCTGAGGATTTGTCGACCAACGAGGCTCGGGAGGCGCTGCTCGACTCTTGGTTCGAGTTCTCGCCGAAAGCCTGATTGGACGCCTTCGAGCTCACTATCCATAGATGTTTCGCCCCTGCCTGCTAGTTTCCCGCCCCCCCTGTGAACTTTTCCTCCAGCTCCGCTCTCGTTTCATCCCGTACATTCCTCTGCCCTTTCTCGTACCCTGCGACTGCTTTCTCTCGTATCATCTCTTTCCGTAGATATGTTCTCCAATATGCCCAACCCCTCCCTATGATGTCTTCCTTCCCTGTATCGTGTCATCTCCATCTCCACTATGCAATCTATGTTTCCCATGCCGACAGCAAACGTCGAGAAGACCAAACGTGGCTTCAAATTGTAAGCTCTTAAGTCTACATCGCACACTGACATTCACAGACTCGGTGAAAATATCACTCGGCCCACGGGATCATGGATAGGAAACAGCATATATTCCTCGCGGAAGATACAATGCAGCAAACAACAATGTATAGCATGGAATCCATCAGACATACGCCCGGCTCGCTGGTTCGCGCTCCAAGCCACTCCGAAGAGGGCGAGCAGACACGATCCAAACGTCCTCGAGACCGCGGAAGCGGCCATGTTCTCGGTTATACGAGCGGGCGCGGAAGTCATCGGCTGGATAAGAAGGATGTGGCATGTGTAAACATGCGAGACTCGAGTTAGTACCTATAAAATAGATCCTAGCTGAGTATGTTCTAGGGAAACAGCCATGCAGAGTCGCGAATTTTTATACGGCGGTGAGTTCAGGGCAGGTCGCGATTTCTTCCATATTGGGTAAGTTGGCCACGTGGGCGGTCGTTCGTCCAAGACCGAGAACATCGGAAAGCTCTCTCTTCCTTTACCACCACCTCCGCGAGCGCAAGCTCTTCAAAGACTCTTCGTCACGGCGTGGAATTCCCACAGAAATCATGAAAACCTCGCCACTATCTCGAATATCATATGGCAAGGTAACGTAGGAATACCCAGCTTTGACATCAGCAAGCGGCCATTGTTGTGCTTGGTTATGCCATGTGCAGTGTCGCACGGTGTGCCGTCGCTTTTGCCGACTCGGGTAGGCTTTGGACAGCATAGACCGTGCTCAGTATTGTGCTCAGTGGCGGCCTGTCCTATCTATGCGTACTAAGTGTATGTATCGCGTCTACGCGCGCCCTGACCTCGTCATATCCACATGCATGTCGCCAGAAAATGGTAGGTCAGCTCTTCACCCTAACGACAAGACTGCCACTAATGGCCACTCTTTTTTTGCGTAGGACTCACCTCCGGGCGACAGAGCCGACCAACGGCGGCGTCTGCATCTGCGGGAAACAGAAGACAACGCTGAGGAGATAGTTCAACAGCTTAGACCAAGCTGTCTGCCGACACTACTCACCGCTTGGATTGCTCGCATCCCACGCATCTCTTGGACCACGCATGTACACGCTGGAGCTGTCAGTACATAAGGCCGGAAAGAAATCGTCAGGTCCGCATCCTTTTCACCCCCGGCGTCCAGACACCACTGTCTCTTTGCGGCGCTACCCTTTCATCTGTCATTCTCCCTCGCTCGCCCAATCGTGGACTGCTGGCATGTCCGACTCTCCGAGCCCAGACTCACCGCACATCTCCCGTCCCCCCAATTCGTTCTTCCTATATCGCATAGACAAGAATAAGGAGATGAAGGAGACGAAGACGAACTCCGGCCCCCAGTCGCAGATATCCAAGGCGATTGCCCAGCGGTGGCATCGGGAGCCCCTTTCAGTGAAGATCGAGTACAAAAAGCGCGCCGACGCTGCTAAGGAGCGACATGCTCAACTACACCCTCACTACCGGTACAAGGCCGGGAAGAAGAAGGTCAAGTCTGACGCCCATCCCGCATACAGAAAGATCGGGCCACAGACTACGCAGCTTGGGGTGCCGCTGGACGACTACCCCTCGGTGTTCTTCCCTCAAAATGGAGGCTTGCCGGTCGCCGGTCCTTCAGGGTACACCAGTCTCGGACCGAGCGCATCATCGCACAACCTACGTCCTCGAAAAGGCACGTCGTATGTTCAACCCAATTCAGAGCAGGGCATCCCGAACGATATGTCGATGGAGGAATACCGGGTACGTCGACGATATGTCCTCGTCGACGTCTTCTCCTGAACGTGTTTTTCCCCCCGCGCCATCAGAACCTGCTGGTGACCCATCAGCTGCATCAGCAGTATACCGCGACGCGCGCATACGCCGAACAAGCGTGGCATGTGTTGCGCGACCACCTCCTTCGGACGACGACTCAATTCCACTCTGGGCCGCCCAACAACTATGCGCAGGCTGCCCAGCACGCAATGCTGACGCAGATGCAGCACATGCCGCTGCGCTCGCCGTTCCCCATGAACGACTTCCTCGAGCAAACCCACGTCGCTCCCGGCAATGCTCCCGCCTATATGCCGTGGCAGATGGGACCGCCGGGCCCTCCCCAGGCCGACGCCCAGCCGTGGCAATGGGACGCTCAGCACGCCCCGCTGAATGCGGGTTTCTCCAACTTCGACTTCGCGAACGCGACTGCGCCGGACGACGTTGCACCGCGCGTGCCTACGCCGCGGATCCGCCGCGCCCCCGTGCAGCCGCAATACCCACCAGACCTGCTCGACGTCGGATCGTTCGACCTCACGCAGAACTCTGGAGGTCCATCTCAGGTGCGTGCGCTCTCCCTTCCACCGACAATCTCGCCAGCTGCAGAAACGCCTATGCTGAACGAGGTTTCTCAGTGGGACACGTATCCCCAGGGACTCGTCTCGGCAGATACTGGTATGCTGCCGCCGCCCGGCTTCATCTGCCCCTCTCCGTCAGCCACTCTGGATGCCGGTGCTCCCCCTCAAGGTAGCCTCCTTCTGGGAGAAGCATCGTCCAGTGGCCTCAACCCTCTGGATTTCCCCTTCCCTTCCAGCTCGGGCTCGTCGTCCGTCTCAGGCTCGCAGGATCCCTCCGCCCGTGACGAGTTAGACTCTCAGCATCGCGGCCGTCGACGCCTCTTTTGGCCCTCAAGATGAGGGCAGTTCGCTCTGGACGCCCTCCAATCGCGCTGCAGCCTCTGCGGACCACTTCGACTCGACCGAAGGGCATGCGTGGATTGGCTTCCCGAACGAGTGAACGTGCGCACTCGCTGGCTCGTTGTCGTCACTGATGACTCGCTCTTACGGCTTCGGCTCGATGCCCCCCGCTGTTGTTGGTATTCTCCGTGCAGCTCCGTGCGCGTCGGTACCTCGTTTCCATCCTCACGCTACTGGCTGTTATAATTTCTATACGCGTCTCCAATTGTGTCAAGATCGATTTGTCTCTCACTCTATACTCCCCTTTTTACTTCTCCGTCATATCGTATCGTCTGTATATCGTCTAATGCATGCAATCATGCGCTCCCCAATGCTGATATGGAGTCCCACCAGCGGCTTGCCGCACGCGAATTGAATTGCGCGGACTTTGCGGTCCACACAAGCGGGGAACCGGCGCCGCTTGCGGCTTTGCAGGCCATCAGCTTTCCGCAGTAAGTACTACTTCAAGTGCAACTTGCCTTGGACCACCACTGTCCCAGGTACCTTCTGCGTTTCTTTCTAGTGTCCTACTCTTGTGAGCAGAATCGCCGTCCAGTATGGAAACGACCCGGCTCTTGAAGCAGCACAGGGCGGAGCCGGCTGATGTCCGGCCCATGCGGTACTGTGCGTCAATGTTCAACGTTTAACGTTGTTCCCATACCCGCGCTTTTATATACAACGCTAACTTTACTACCACAGGGCATCTCTGGCGAGCCCTGGATACCACAGCCAAGGCCTTCGCTACTGGCACCCTAGTAAACTACCTCGACGTACGTGAACCATAATAGCGCCCACGTATGTGGGTTTCAAAGCTGGCTGGAAGTCTGAGCTCAAAAACGCGTAACAGGCCCCCGACGCGATACCCATCGTGTCCAGCGTGCGCAGGTGGCTGTTCCGGCTTACGGTGTTCGCAAGCGGCATCTACCAGCAGCACATGCTCACCATCGGCGGCGGGACTGCGTTCTTGCTCTAGTGCGTGTGGTATACATCGCCTTGCTAGTGCTCTCGCCTGTCTATGGCAATTCGCAGACTGACGATGCCCTTGTGTGTGCTAGCGGGAATCCAAACGAAACTGGGAGGTCGCCGTGGTGGGCGCGCTTCTTCATACCTCTCTTCCAAGGTTCCAAGTCGCCGGAGTACATCAAGGTGCGTTGACCTTTTACAAGATCGCCTCCCAAAAACTGCTCAACTATTGACCGGTGTCCCGCTAGAGAAAACAGGAGTACAACGACGCGTTGCACCCGCAGGTCAAGGAGGCCCTGGGCGCGTCGGTCGACGAGATGTACGAGATCCAGGCGCTCGCGACCGCCCCCAGCGCACAGCGCCGCGGCTACGCCCGACAGCTCGTCAAGACCGTGACGGACATGGTGAGGAATTACCAGCCGGCCATGTATGCAGCATGTGACGCAATGACTGACGTGCGGGCCCGTTTTTGCTCGGCGGGGGACAGGCCGATGCGGAGGGGCGCGACACCTGGGTCGTCACCTCTGACGGCAGTGCGTTCTACGAGGCGCAGGGCTTCGACCTCCTGCGTGTGGTCACGGTGGGCACGGACAACCCGACTTATCATGGGGAACCGGTGAAGGTGCACCTGGTGAGTGTCGTCGTATGGTGAATGACTTGGTGTGTTGCTGAGGGACCTTAATTGATATCCCAAGATGCGGAGGACTGCGAAGGCACCGGTATTGGAGGATATTCCTTCGGCGGGCACTAGTGAAGCTGTTGCTTGAGGACATGAACGTGAGGTCGTTGCGAACGAAACTGGGATCGAGCCCTAAAACGCGCTTTCGATGTATGCGCACAGTCTCGTGATAAAACGGAATGAGGATCAAAAGCTTGGATATGTGGGTTTTAGTAGGCGAAGGTCTAGGAACGCTGGGAGAAACTCACCCCCGGAACATAAGAAAAAGCCCTTCACTTTGTGCGCACCCGAGTGGGCGGCACAAAAGCCCAAATGACCAACAAGAGACCCATCATAGCTATCAACCTACAGATCGAAGTGTATTAGTTAAATGTCAGTAACGCGCAGCATGAACACTCACAGTGGCTGGAGACTCGCGATACTCGTTCTAGACGCAATTGCCCCGGTAATGAAAGGGAACACGGCCGCGCCTGCGGCACCGAAGCTCGCAATCCAGCCTATGCCCCCGGAAATGAGCTCAGGGGGTAGGACGGCTCCAGCGTGGTTCATGACGATCGGGTAGATTGGGCCTAGAAAAAACCCAACGAAGGACACGCAGATCGCGCCCGAGAGGAGATCGGGGACGAGCCAGACGACGAGCTCTAGGCTGTACGGGGCGGTCAGTGCGAATGGCGTCGTCAAGGGTGAGAGGCACATACCCGAGGCAGATCAGGATGTACAGGAAGATGACACGCCATTCGCCGATCTAGCGCAATGAGGGGGCCGTCAGTACTCTGCAACGTCAGAGGGTACATATTTCGAGTGTACCTTTTTATTCAGCCATAGAAGGGCGATACGTCCGACAGTCAGGCCTGAAGACAAGGCTCAACATCTGTGTTCCACAACTCTCCTTCGGAAATGGCTCTTACCTCCGAAGAACCCAGACGAGATATATCCCGAGTTGGGGCCTCCATGTCGCTCGTTGATCACGTACGTGACAATCCAGCCTACCGTCCAAGTGATAGTATGAGCGAGTGACATGGATCATCAAGAGTTTAAAACGAGGCGCACCGCCGATAGTAACCTCGACTCCGACATAAGTGAAAATGAAGAACGCCATCAGGTGCACGGCGCGTAGGCGAAAGATCTGCTGATACTTGTTCATGCCCGCCTCCGACTCTTTCGTCTTCTCAGGCGGCGCTTGACCAGTCTCCTGCAGGCAGTCTGGAACGTTGTAGTTTGTAATCACGTGAATAATAATAAAAACGGAGACGTACCATCTTGACTCCTGAAACGGAAAGCCAAAACCTCGAGCACAGCGTTGACGAACGTGATCCCGATGTGGACGAGGTACACGAACGACCATCGCTGGAGACGCGCGAACTGCGTCGACACTAGGGGCGCACACATCGCTCCGACGCCGTAAATTGCATGCATAATGCCCATCTTGTTCGAGGTGTCCTCGGATATGCTGGCGAGAAACGCGTTGGAGCCCGCATCCTTCCTCGTTTGAGATATTTCAAGGGGCCTAGGAACAGACTTTGCGCTCACCAGGAAAGACATGCCGAAGCCGCTGAAGAGATATCCGATCACGTATGCGGGAAACGGCGGCGCAGCGGACTCCAGAGAAAACCCGACCATGGCCACCACGGATGCTGCAGGAACAGGTCAGTATGGCTCCGGGCTTGTGGAAGTAGTAGCTATACCAAACACTACCATCTGACGGCGTCCCGGGGAATGCCATGAGCCTGAGTGTATTCCGAACTCTCTGAACGTAAAGCGCACCTTCCCAAAACCAAAGCGATCCGTGAGGTATAGATACGTTGTTGCGCCGGAAAGGAATCCCTGTGCGAGCGCAAACAGGTGAGTGGGCCGTCATGCTACATGTCATTATGGTGATAACATTACCACGCAATTGGCGATAAAAATGAGAGATACGATTGCGTATCCAACCTGTATCAACGCTGTTGATCAGTCACAATCATACAGTTATTTGATTGAGTACTGACGTGGTAGACCTCCTGGAGGCGGGGAAGCAACGGCCCTAGTGTACCGTCATTCCAGCCGGCGACGAAGATCGACCAACACAACGTCGTAAATTGGATTTGAGCCTTACGACGCATCGCTGGTGTCTTGACCGCATCTACATTCCTCAACGACGGCGGTCGTGTAGCATCGACATCACTGTAGACGACTTCCTGTGAGACCTTCTCGCTATCAGGTCGATCCGCAGTTGGCGGGGAGGCTTTTTCGCCCAGTTGAGCCATATCCGGGTCGTCGGATGGTAAGAGAGCCACAGAGTGGTCTGTCGGAGGGATCTTTTGGTGGTCCTACGGTCTTATAGAAAGGCGTCTGCAGCGTGAAGGGACCGAGATCCGCTCTGCCAGTAGGCCGAATCACACGCGAAGTCGAGTCAAAATGTCTATAGCGGTGTGAACTCTGGGGCCTTGTCAGCACGACCCCACATGATGCGAGAGTTTCGAAAGCCTTGCCTCGTGGGACGGGCGCACGGGACGGTCTTCAGTATGCTATTCTACTGCAGCAAGCGTCCGTTGACGTTGACAAGAGACAGTGCGCCGCTGTCCGACCTGCTGCCGTGTATGAGCTGCAAGCGGGTATTTTCCGGTAAAATTTTGCGAAAATTGGAAGTGAGGTTACGCCAGATCGAGGGCGACTTTGGGAGGAGGCTCAAGGAGGAGCGGAGAGAGAAAGTGGTCACATTGCGAGTGGAGTAGGATGCGGGGAATATTCGGGAAAATACTACAAGCAGGGCCAAGACGACACGCGATCCAGACTCCGACTGAATGCGACGCGTAGACGCGTCGGGCACGTGCCCTCTCCTTGTTCTCTCGAGTCTCCGCCGGCAAGCCTGCCGCAACACCGCTCAGAACAGCGGCGAGCACCGTCTTCTCGTTGTCGACACCGACGCCTACCTTCTCTTTCTCGGTATCACAGCTCTCGCCGCTACGACGCGCGTACTTAGGCGACCGCCACCCTCCTGCAGACACGTCCGTGACGCGACAAAGCACAACCAACGCACAAAGGCTTGCACCCAACTCAACAGCGTGGAGGGCACATAATTGAAGCAAACGCTGAAAGGAAATATGGATATGGTGAGCCCCGGGGCTCCACATTCCTTGCTGCTGTGCTCTAACGAGGTACAGGATATGAGCATGTCCGCCGATGGCGACCTCTTGCAGTACTTTGACCTCTCACCCGACAAATTCCCATGGCGCGCCCCGAGGCCCCAGGAGATAGAAGTTCGACGCGCCCACATGTCCGACATGCTTGTTTTCGACATCCTTCTCTCCTCTGGAGGTATCCGCCATCCCGACACCCTCTTCCCTCCGGCCGACCCAGACTCCCTGGAACGACTGCTGGAGGCGATCACCCATTCCACCTACGACGTGTTGAAGCAGGACTGTCTGGTGTACTTCTTGCTCAAGTGGCATCAAGACGGTCGTGAGGAGGAATTCAAGGAGAGGCGGGGCATCCCTCCACAGTTCGCGTCGCTTGCGGACGCGTACTGGCATCTTGATTCTGGGGTCAACGTGGGGGTATGTGGCTCAACTCAGCCGCGTCTTCCGAGGATATCGAGCTTACATTACTAGCGGGCGGTATCGCTCTTGAGCGACGCGCGGTTGAACAGAGACTATCCCTCCAAGATTTTGCAAGCACTATCTCTTTCCGACGATGCTAGCGCATATATCCGAGCGTACGTCCGAACCGCAAATCCCCTCCTCACGGAACCCGACGATATCGACGCCTACACTATCGCGCTGGCCGAGTCGAGCCTTATGGAGGCTTGGTCGTATCAGCGGTCTTTCTCTGAAGTCAGCGCCACACGCAAGAGGCTGATTCGAAAAATCCTGGATTGGTGTATTACGCGTGAGTCGTTCGTGTTTTGGCATCAATTCACTCACACCGACTGGCACTACAGCGAAGCCGCGCCTCGCGACTCTGACGCACCTATTGGCGTTTCCCTTCTCCCCGTACGAACAAAACCTCGTCCACTCGTATGCGCTCGACCCACCATCCCATGTATCCGCGGCATCAGTTGCCGTCATTCAAGATCTCGTCTGCGTACGACTCGTTCAAAGTGGCCAGCACGCTGCCGCTATCAAGCTTGACCGCCAGTTCTCCTCCGTCCCGCGTGGTGGCGACAAGGCTCAGAAGATAGCACAGGAACGGCGGCAAATGATGGACGAGCTCATGTCCGCGATGCCGAATGCCGAGCGCTATCTCCTCGAGCTTGAACTAGAGAACTTTGCACAGGGACGCGGAATGAACCTCTCGGAGAGTGTCAGTAGCTCGAAACCCAAGGCTAAGGGGAAGGGAGTCGACCTCAGCATGTCGTGGGAACACATTGCTCCACCAGCGACGAACGGCGTGAATGGCGCGTCCTCGGCGTCCGCGACTCTCCCCATCCCGCAGCGCTCGAATGCGCCGCGCTTCGGCGGCGTGCATCCTGCTAACGCAGTGCCGTTGACACGCCAGCACGCTGTCAGTGTCATCATGCCCAAGCCTCCAAGCGGTCCTCTGCTCTTCGCGGGTATTCCTGCCGGCAACATCCCGTCGTCTGCCGGTCTTTTTGGCAGCGCAGCCGCGAGCACAAGCGCAGGTCGCGGCGGTTCGCTCTTCGACGTCGCTGGGAGCGCAAACTCGACGCCGAACGCGTTCTACCAGCCACCTGCGAGCACGGGCCAGAAGCGCTCGATGTTCGGAACGCTGAGCGCATCCACGAGCGCTCGCCCGCAACCAACATCCGCGTTCGCCTCCGTCTCCGCGCAAACGAGCGCGCAACATAAAACCTCCGGAGGCGCTGCCGACTCCTCTATCCACGGCCCGCACGACGCGGATGTCAGCATGCTTTCCGAGCTTTCCGAGCCCGAGTCCGGGGCGGACGCGTCGTTATCGCGTGCGGAACCCGGCGCGGAGGAGGAAGAGGAGGTCTCGCACGCGGGCTTCGCGGCCTCGGTGTTCGGGAACATACCGAGCGCGCACACGCGGCCGATCGCGACGTCGACGGGCTCGCGCATTGCGCGGACGGAGACGGAGGCCAGGATGCCTCCGGGCGCGTTCCTTCCTGACGACGATGAACATGACGGGGCGGACCAGGAAGCGCAGGAAGAGGAACAGGAGCGGCGGGAACAGGCCTCTGCTTCGGCGGCGCGGGCGCGCGGTGGGAGGAGCACGCGGGCATCGGCCTCGGCCTCGACGTCGACGCGCACACGGGCTCGCGCACCACGCTCGCCGTCTCCGGAACAACAGTCGTCATACGCCCCCGCGCTCTCGACGCGTACGCGGAGGGCAGTCAAGGATGCGGACCTGGGACGGAGCATCCCTGGATCGCTCATGGGGACCGACGACGACGATGATGATAATGACGAGAACGACGATCGCCGCCGGCGTGATCACGAGCGGGACGAAGAGGAGGAGGAAGAGGACGTGGTTGCACCCCTGCCAGCACCGACACCTGCCCGTCGCACGTCGCGCAAGTCGCGCGCCTCGAACGGAAGTCAGGTCGAAGCCCCGCGCGTGACCCGGCGGTCCTCGCGGCTCTCCGCCGTGTCGTCCGTCGGGTCGTCGTCGCCCGAGCCGGCGTCGCCGCAGAAGCTCTCAGCGAAGTCGAGGAGCTCAAGAGGGGGCAGGACGTCTACTGCGGGGGCGAGTACGAGTGCTGCGAAGAGCACGGCGACGAAGAGCAGCTCGAGGAAGAAGCGGACGTAAACGATCGCCGGATATCGGCCGGTGTGCAGGTATATTCCCTGTCTAGAAGAGATTTCGGTGCTAGGTACGGTGCTCTAGAACGATCCCTCATCGTGTTGTTGTACTCGCTCTCTAAAATCTCTAGTGGCTCGCCATTGCAAGCCCTCTTTTTGGATTGTGATTTCCTCTGCTGAGGGGTGCGCAGCGTGGTGGCGGTGGTTTGCCCCCGAGTATTCCCCGCAACCTACCACTCCTGCGCTGCATGAGTCCACGCCACAATACGACTGCTTCTTTCTCCCCTCATCTGCGAGCACTATGAACAAATGACCGCGTTCACCGCAGGCGCACACTAGACAACTGTTCACTAACTGCCAACAGAAACGTGGCAGCTCGAGGAGCCATTCACAGACAACGAGCAATAGATTCTGGGTATGTATGCCCCTCACGCGTGCAACAGCGCTCGCGATAGCCGTCAATCGAATTCCAAAGTCTCTGTCATGAGACTATTCTAGTCCGCAACGTGCTCAGTGACCGGATGCAGTGCAAACAATTTCCCAAGGTTGGTTCTTTTACATCCTGGCGTTCGGTGACACGGGCAGCTGCCCGACATGCGAGGTTCGAGTCACCCCAAAACGGACGGTAAGCACGAATCACGACTTCCTCTTTCCGACACGTCTGATAACGCATGCGCGCAGATCAATCGCGTTCCACTGCCCATCACTCGCAGTGCTCGCGCGCATGCAAGGTGCTATAAGACCCTAGACCTCGCGACCACGGTCACGGTATTCCCAGGCCCGATGGATTCCTCTGTGACCTCCGTACCTCCCGCCGACCAAGATACGGTACATGAAGCCGCTCCACCTCAAGCAGATAGCGAGAAGGCCTCTGAAAAGGTCATCTGCATCGACACCGATGGCACGCGACCGCCGTCGCTGAAGGATGTGGATGCGGCGGTTGGCAAGACGCCTGCGATGCGTCGCAAGGCGCGGATCCAGTTTGCCACGCTGTGTTGGTCGATCTTCGTCGCAGGCTGGAACGACGGCACCACTGGACCATTGCTTCCCCGTCTCCAGGAGGTGTACCACGTCCGTCTGTTTCACTGTCTGGCCTTTCAGGCGATGCTGATACACATGTGAACTACAGGTCGGATATGCCCTCGTCTCGCTCATTTTCGTGGCCAACTGCGTGGTATTGCTTTCACCTACGATGATATGTGTTGTGTGTGCTCATCAGCGGCTGGTATGCTGTCGTGAAGGGCTTCCTTACAGGAGCATCGTCGTACCTTTACCTCACTGACCGTTTTGGCTTTGGAAAGGTGCGTACGGCGCACGACGTCACTCCCATAACCCCCATAACCCCTAGACTCATATCAGTTCCCCGACGTTCGTAGATGGTCGTATTCGGTATGACAGCCGCGGCTTCCACAACTGCGATAACTTATTGAACCGTATTTGCAGCATCTACAGTAGCCTTAGTTGGTTTCTCACTGGAAGCCTCCGTGCCACCGTTCGCGGTGTACGTGATCGGCTTTCTGTTCAGCGGATTCGGCGTGTCTTTCCTGGTGAATGCATATCGGTTCTCTGGCTGCTGAAGTAAATACTCACGGGCAAAGTAGGATGCTGGCTCCAGCGCCTTCGTCGCTAGCCTCGCCGAAGACTCGTCCAGCAAGATGGGGATCATGCATGCGCTGTATGGCGTCGGGGCGATGTGCGCGCCGCTCGTGTCGACGCAGTTCGCGCGCTTTGAGAAATGGTCCTTCGTCTACCTCGTTCACATTGGGCTTGCACTCATCAACATTGTGCTCCAAATCCTGGCCTTCCGTTTCCGGAGTCAAGAAGGTACGTCTCCCGACTTTGCGTATCTTGATTGTAACGAAACTCATGCAATTCAGACTGCCTGCAGGAAACCGGCCAAGCGCCACCCGAGAAGACGAAAGCGTCGGACGGAGGAGTGAACAAGTACACGCAGATCTTCCGCTTGCGCGCTGTACACCTTATGGCATTCTTCATCTTCACTTATGTCGGAGTTGAGGTTACTATCGGCGGTGCGTCTCATCCTTCATTCTGATAATAGACTGTCTCAACTCAACTCATCGTAGGCTGGATCGTCACATACGTGATCAACGAGCGTCATGGAGGTGCCAACTCGGGATATATCTCGTCTGGGTTCTTCGGAGGTAAGCATTCTTCCTGAAGCACGTCGTTGACAACGCAGATTGAGCCGACGTGTAGGCTTAACTCTGGGACGCGTCGCTCTTCTGTGGCTGAACAAAAAGGTACGTCTGATTTTCGTAGCCTCGGGCTATACAGCGTGCTGACAACCCGCTCGCTGCTTTAGATCGGAGAATGGCGTGTCATCTTCCTGTACATCGCCTTTTGCCTCGGGTATGTTCTTCCCGCCCTCTTGGCCTCCTGTCCAACTAATCACCTACGTCTCGCAGCCTCGAGCTCGTCGTGTGGCTTATCCCAGATCTGCTCTCCGGCGCGATCTCCGTATCGTTCGTTGGGTTCTTCCTAGGCCCGATATACCCGATCGTCATGAACCACGCAGGTGCCATCTTGCCTCCGGAGCTCATTTCCGGTGGCGTAGGATGGATTGCTAGCTTCGGCGGGGCGGGTGCTGCCGTCTTCCCTTTCATCGCCGGGGCAATTGCGTCGCGCACGAGTCTCGCGAGCCTGCAGCCGTTGTGAGTGCACACCGCATCCGTCGCCTCTCGTAGCCGTCCACTAACGTCGCGTCCCAATGCCGCAGATTGATAGCGATGATGGGCCTTCTGCTGGTCATCTGGGCGTTTGTGCCGCGCATTCGTGTGGATTCAAAATGAAGGGGGTTACTCTTTATATCAAGCGGTGAGGTGGTGAGTTCAGTGGTGTTCTAAGATACATATCGGCGTCACCAAACTCCACGTACCGACCCCAATTGTCCAGGTGCCTTGATGGCATGATTTCGACGACCTTATACGTGTCGTTTGTACAACAACGCTTCCCTGCAATTATCCTGTTTGCGCCATTCAGTTTTCTTCATAGGTTTTCGTCCTAGCGCTTACTCAGAAGGCATGTTCATGATACTTATTCATAATCGCCTTGCGCGCTGCATTTCCTGTCGCTCATTATATGCGTATGTTCTGCACGTCTCAGGCGCGTGAAGGTCAGCTTGAGAACTACTTTAAAGTCGAGACTCCAATCGAAGAACGGAGAGCGCCGTGCGCGCACGTGCGACGCGACGCGACGCGTTGAATTGTCGGAGTTTCATTCCCCGAATATTCTCCGCATCCTCCTACACCTACCACGACACCGTTTTTCCTCTCCGCCCCTCCACGAACTCTAGCTAAGCTATCCATTGTAATCTTACTAAGCCGCCTAACGATATGCCAAAGTTACGCTGAAAACCGTCCGCTCGAGCTTCTGCAGTTGTACCACCACCGGTATCCGTCATCCTTAAGCTTCTTGACGCAATCACCGCAATGAAACAGCGTCCTTGCGATCTCCGCACATCCCACGAGGCGACTCCTGGTCGCCAAATTCTGCATCATGTGTGCTCTTGCCGACCTTGCGGCACCAGAGTTCACATCCGCGCAGAGAGCCTCGATTGACCTCGCGTGTAATCCAGGTTGAGTAAAACATGGCCCCTTTGCGCTCCAGGCGTCTCATAATGAAACTGCAAGGTCCGTGAAGGCTCTCCCTGATGGATCTCTATCTCACCACCATACTCCCCTCCCACCGGGATGCGGCTCCTGAGGGCCAAGTAGTCATCTCTCCCTTGGACGATCGGCCCACTGGCAACGAGAAGGTTTCACAAGATGTCGTTGACAGCGAAGCCATATTACGACCCCCGTCGTTGAGAAACGTGGATGGATGCAAAATCCCAGCGATGCGTCGTAAGGCTCGGGTCCAGTTCGCCACACTGTGCTGGTCGATCTTTGTCGTGGGTTGGAACGACGGCACTCTAGGGCCGCTCCTTCCCCGCCTCCAGGAGTTTTATCACGTCAGTATCCGCTACCCCCTCTTGGAAGTAGATCTTACAACATCACTTGTAATCTGCAGGTTGGATACGCCATCGTTTCTCTCATTTTCATTACCAATTGCGTGGTACTGCTGTGCTTATGATACTAGCATACACTAACAACTCAGCCTCTTCGCTTTCATCCAGGGCCTCCTCATCGGCGCAACAACCTCACTGACCGGTTCGGCTTTGGAAAGGTGCGTTGTGCGCTCGTCGCGATAGTCAACCGCTGCGCATATACCCATGTTCGCAAGCCCCCAGATGGTCGTCTTCGGTACGACAGCCACGGCGTTCAGGGGTCGACATTATACTTACTCGTTTCTACAGAGTCCGTAGTGGCCATGGTGGGGCTCTCTATAGAATCCGCCGCGCCGCCTTTCCCCGCGTACGTGATCGGATACCTCTTCAGCGGCTTCGGTATGTCTTTTCTGGTGAGTGCAACCTTGTTTCTTGAGTCTCTTGTCCTATCGTATCCGATGGTAGGCTGCCGGATCCAACGCGTTCGTCGCCAGCCTCTCCGAAGATACGTCTAACAAGTTCGGGGTGATGCACGCGCTCTATGGCACCGGGGCAATGTGCGCGCCGCCGGTCTCGACACAGTTCGCGCGTCTGCAGCGGTGGGCGTTCGTAGACCTCGTGCACATTGGCATCATGTTCACCAACCTCGTCTTCGAAACCCCCGCCTTTCGCTTCAGGAGTCAGGAGGGCAAGTTTCTCGACGTCATTGTTCCTTGTCTGCGTCAAAACTAAGTCAAGTGCGACGTTGCAGACTGCCTGCAAGAGACTGGCCAAGCACCGCCGGACGAGACTAAAGAGTCGGAGGCGGGTGTAAATAAGTATAAGCAGATCTTCCGCCTGCGTGCCGTGCATCTTATGGCGTTCTTCGTGTTCACATATGTCGGAACTGAGGTTGCCATCGGTGGTGCGTTCCATCCCGGCTCCTAAACTTAGTCGACGCTCACTCGTGTGCATTCGAGTATAGGATGGATCGTCATGTACGTGATCAACGAGCGCCATGGAAGCGCGAGCGCGGGCTATTATTCTTCTGGGTTCTTCGGAGGTACATAGATTCAGCGACACGTTGAAATCCGAACAGGTGTTGACCTTTGGAACGCAGGTTTGACTGTTGGGCGTATCGCTCTACTGTAGGTGAACAAAAAGGTACACTCGATACATCAATATTCAACAATGCGGGATACCAATACCCCCCCGGGTCGGCGAATGGCGGGTCGTCTTCCTATACATCTTGCTCTGCCTCGGGTATGTTCCCGCTACCCTTAACCACATTTCCCGGTCCCGACCGAAACTGACTACCTCGTAGCCTGGAGCTCATCGTATGGCTCGTCCCGAATCTGCTATCCGGCGCGATCTGCGTGTCCTTCGTCGGCTTCTTCCTGGGTCCGATCTACCCCATCGTCATGAACCATGCCGGCGCCATCTTTCCCCCCGAGCTCATCTCTGGGAGTATTGGCTGGATTTCGAGCTTTGGAGCGGCTGGCGCTGCTGTGTTCCCTCTCATCACGGGGGCGATCGCGTCAAGTACGAGCATTGCAAGCCTGCAGCCGCTGTGACTGTTGTGTTAATAATGCGCGTCGATCTGCCTAGTCATCTGCTGATTTGCCCGTCATCGTGACCGTAGATTGATAGCGATGATGGGTCTTCTGCTGGTTATTTGGGCGTTTGTGCCGCGTACTCGCGTGAACACAAAGTGAAGGGTTTTTGTTTATCTTCGGTGGTGAGTCCATCAACCTTCTATGACACATTTCAGGAGTCTTAGTTTCTCGCCTATTCGCCACAGTATTACCGACGTATCAACGACAGTCTTGTACGACATCCGTTCACCACTCGCCATTTTAGTGCCATTTCTATGTAGCATTGGTTTTCTCATTGTCAGACGCCCATCGTCTGGGCTCACGTTTACTTATCCCCCTCCATGCACGGTACCGGAAGTCCTATCTACTCGACCACGTTTTATCCATATGTTCCTGGAAGGTCTAGGTCTTCCAGCCGCGCTAAGTAGCCGGCCACGTGGCGAAGGTAGAACACCGATAGCACCTTCCGCCACTCACGTTTATTTTCCGACACGAGCGATTCGGAGGATCGGCACTCCTAACAGCCTGACGCCTCTACATTCTAGATAGCCTGCGTCGTCTGTTCCGGTCTGCATCCCCGTAAGTCGACCCTTCCTCGAGCGGGACTGTATGTAAAAGACTTGTCATGTGTGTCAACCCCAGCTGACTTCGGGCCACAGTTCCGTGTCCCAGGCGGAGCACCGGTGCACCTTAAAAAGAGACCGCACGCGCGACTGGGGATCCCAGGCCAGGCTACCATGTCGCAGGCTCAGCCCTCCATTCCCTCGACCCCCATGGCAGGCAGTGGCGGCGCAACTACGCCGATCAACGAAAAGGGCGACTCTCACAGTGCAGGGGGTAGCAAGGAGCCTTCGATCTCGGATGTTGTACAGCTCCCCGAGCTGGAGGATGAGACTGGTGTACGGACCCCTGCGCAGCGCCGTAAGGCGTTCATGCAGTTTGCGGCCCTTTGCTGCTCGATCTTCGTCTCTGGGTGGAACGACGGGACGCTAGGTCCTCTACTGCCCCGCCTACAGGAGGTTTACGACGTGAGTCTTCTATTGCTGTAAATACGTTCGAGTGACCTCTGATGTTCATGTATCGGCCTGTAGGTGGGCTATGCAGTCGTGTCGCTCATCTTCGTTGTCAGCTGTATCGTAAGTTCCTCTCATCTCCGAATGCCCTGCCGCCACAGAACTCATATTGATATTGAATCCTCAAGGGCGCTATCTTGGGGTCATGTACATTCTTGTACTTGACCGACCGTCTCGGATATGGTGTGGTGCGTGAACCTACTCTCCTATCCCAGGGTGTTTAATTTTGCTGACGAGCAATTATCGCTCATCAGGTTGTTGTACTCGGTACGATCTATCCAGTAAGATCGATAAGATCGAGAGTGTAGCTCACACTTTCTACAGCTTCGCTCATGATGATGGTGGCATACGCGCTGGAAGCCGCGGCCGTGCCGTTCCCCGTCTTTGTCGTGGCGTACTTCTTCATCGGTTTCGGCAACTCGTTCCTAGTTCGTCGCCGCAGCATCCCCGCGTTATGTATGATAGTGCTGATTGTCATCGCAGAACTCCGGCTCAAATGTCTTCCTCGCGAACGTATCCGTGGGTAAGGCTTCGACGAGGTTTGGTATCCTCCATGGTTCATACGGTATGTGCTCCTCTTCGACCTGCAGTGCGCTCGTGCCACTGACAGTGGCATGTGTGGTAGGACTCGGGGCGATGGCCTCCCCGCTGATCTCGACACAATTTTCACATATGCGGCACTGGTCCTTTGTCTACCTTGTGCATATCGGTTTGCTGGTGATTACGGTCACGATGCAGACCATCACCTTCAAGTTCCAGAGTCAGGAAGGTGTGTACTGTTTTGTCCCCAACTCATCTATGGTCGTATGTGCTTACGACTCTCCCAAGCTTGCGCGCTTGAGATCGGGCTGCCCCCGCCAGCGCAGGAGCCGGTTTCTCTGTTGGAGCGTTACAAGCGGGTATTCCGGATGCGCGCGGTACATCTTATGGCCTTGTTCGCCTTTATATACGTTGGCATCGAGGTGTCTATCGGAAGTATGTGCCCATGCCTGCCTTTCGTCGCTAGATGTCATGCTGATGCGACCCTTCAGGCTGGATTGTGACATATGTTATTGATCTTCGCCATGGAGGCCCGAGCTCGGGCTACATATCCTCGGGATTGTTCGGAGGTGCGGTAGCGTCAGTGTCTATCATGGTGTGGTGCGAACGCTCACTCCATCTCAGGCATCATGGTTGGGAGAATTGCTCTCCTACCGATTAGCAAACTGGCAAGACCCAGTCTACTGTCGCACTTGAGCCGATCACTGACGAGCATTCGGACCTCATAGATCGGCGATCGACGGGCCATCTTCGTATACATCCTGGCGGTTATCGGGTGAGTGCGCGCCACTTGCGTGTATCCCCGCCTTCTACTGACTTGATTTGGTTTGCAGGCTCGAGCTCGTCGTGTGGCTCGTGCCGTCGCTCATTGCAGACGCCATCGCCGTATCATTCGTCGGGTTCTTCCTGGGACCCATGATGCCGATCATGACGAACCACTCGGCGCGCATCCTACCCCCCGACCTGATCTCGGGCGGCGTGGGCTGGATTGCGAGCTGGGGCGCGGCGGGGGCGGCGGTGTACCCGTTCGTCACCGGGGCCATCGCATCGAAAACGGGCATCGGTGCCCTGCAACCGCTGTAAGTGACGCTGCCAATGCGTGACGGGTGGGGACGCTAACGAAGGTTTTGCGTGCAGGGTGGTCGCGCTATCGGGCGTGCTGTTCGTCGTGTGGGGATGCGTACCGCGTAGCCGGAAGCAGATCCAGGGATGAAAGGGAAGGTCTTCTCTGTAGAGTTTTGGGTTACTACATAGATGCGGTCAGTTCAACGCTCCTGCGCACATTTAGTGCGTTTATGTCTTTTTACGCTTTCACGACATAGATGAATCTCGATGTACCATTTCACTTTCCTTGATTGCTGTGTAGCGCTATCATCACCCACCCGTTGTCTGTCTGCTTCCTCGCTCAAGGCGTTCCGTACTATCACGTCTCGCCTCGGTTATGATGTAAGCAAGTGCCGTGCGCATTCAACGTATCATACTGATGCTTGCCCCATCTTCAGGCTAGATGGCCACTCGAGACGGATCGCGGGGGATGCTTTCGACCGACCGTGAGTACTTACTCATACCCACTGCCCGGGATGTACTAATATGATAACTTGTCTCTATCTTCCGCCCTCTCTACGTGGCACATTCAATTGAGTGGCAAGCCGGCTGATGTCCAATATTTCAAGTCAATCACCATCAACTTGCAACGGTCAACCAGCGTAGTGCGACAAGTGCCATGGACACGGAGCCACGCTATGCTGCTTACAGTAGCCCGTGGCCGTGTCAGCGGCCATTACCCCAGAAAGCTTCGCGGCGTCAAAGTTCGCTACAGAGGCCGCAGAGATGCAACGGATCTACACCAGTATCGCTGTTCGATTTCCCAGAGGCGACCCAGGCACTGGAGACTAATCCATGCGTACCTGCTGGGTCTCCCACCGGTTATGCTAACCTATACGAGGTCCGATATTCAATTTCCAGCTTGCCGTATGCGCTCCCGCGGCCATGGGAATACGCACGGTTGAACCTCCCGTTCCAGCATCAGCTCAATGTCCTTGCGCACCCGAAGAGGGGCCGACGATTGATATCATACACACCTGCCATAATCACAGGTCTGTATCGTGGTGTATGCGACGTCTAAACTATCAAGCCACTAACGCACGGCATGCCCAGGACGTCGACGGCGATGCGCGCTCCGCTCCTACCAATGTCACCGGGCCTGACTTCGCTGCAATAGGCTCGCGAGGAAGCCACTCGAAAGTCACCGCGCAAGTCCTGTGGCTTCGACGCGTGGCACCCCTCCCCAGGCTTGAATGGGCGGGTGTATTGGGATCACGCCGCGTGGCGACGCCGTCGACGGTCTCCCTCAATGGGCCTCCCTGCTCGCCAATCCTCAGAACGTTGCAGATCCCGTACGAGGTTGTTACCACAGCTCCCGCGCAGGACGAGCGGTGATCCGACTCTTCTCCTCTAGGCACTCCCGCGGCGAGCGATCGCGACCCTCATCTGTGCACCGGGTCCGCGCCGCGCGCACCGCAGCGTTGATTCCGCAGACCATCGCTCCGTGAGAGTCCGCACACGGTATGGCGAGGCTCGCGGGGAGCTGCATGCATAGTACGAACGTCGTCAGGCACAGAAGTCCAAGCAAGTAGCCGATGTCGCCGTCGTTCCCAACTCCCTCCGGCGCATCTACGCAATTAGCAGTGTTCGTGAAGTGCTCATGCCAAGCTCGCGCACGCCACTGCCAGCACCGCTGACATGCTGCTGAACTGAAGTCCGCCCGCGGCGACGTGATACCTGATAGATGCGGCCTCGCCGTCGTGCTGCCTGATGGACGGACGCTACGCGGACTTGCATGGAGTCGGGACTCCGCCTCGCCCTGCACTTGGTTGTGGGCGCATCGTGGCGCGTGGGTACATCGGCGTATCTTGAGACTTTGCGTGCTTGGGCGCGGCCGCGCGCGTCCATCAGACATCCACAGACGCGGGAAGTCGCGGCCCCCGTCAAATCCCCCTCCTATTCAAGCCACAAACAACTCGCCGAAACAGGCAAGGGGGTAGAACAGCAGTGGGTGCTCATGCGATTACACGGGTGGGGTATACCATAATGCCTGCGGGTGCACAATTCCTATCGTAGTAGCCTAAGATGCCTTCAACCAAAAATGTCCGTTATGTTCCAGAATCTAAAAGAGCGAAGGTGTTTGTGCAAAACGAGTGGACAGCTATGGAGCAGCGACAGTGGGTGGGTGGGCCCCGTGGGTGGGTGAATCTAGATGGGCGCGGGGAGTCGGGGAGATGCCGGGCGCAGTTGTGGTTCGTTGCGCAGTGCGACGGGGTTCGAGAAGGGTGCGTGGACAGAGCGGCGCGGAGGGAGCAAGCACCGAGGGTTCGACGAAGATTGCAGATTGAATGTGACGGATGACGACGATCGGGCGCGCAGTTCATTCGCAAATGCACCGGTTCAAGTTCGCAGATTCACGTGTACGGGTCGATATCGGGTCGCAGCAGAAGAAGAAACAGAACAGAGTCTCAGCAAACCGCACACACGCTCACGCAGGAGAAACGGGAGAGAGATGAGTAAAAAGCGCACTTTTTATACACAGCAAATGTACAGAGCATTGAACGAGCAGCCAGCAGCCAGCAAGCAGGCGTATCTTCCAAATTCTCCAGGGTCCTCCGGGGGTCGACTTTTACGGGGCAGGGTGGCGGTAATGTGAAGTGGTATGTGTCGGTGTGGTGTAGGGTAGTAGGGTGCGATGCGATGCGGGGGTATTGCAATGGATACCTGTCAAAAAATGAAGGCGCGCGCACGCGCTCGCAGGCGGCGCGGCGGCTCGTTGGCCTCCTCGAAGGGCAAGCGCGGTTCCCAGTGTAGTAGAATGAGGGACTGGGGAAAGGAGTGGCACGTCTCGCGTGCTCTAGTATGGCGGCCGCTTGAACTCGGCGCTGATCTCGGCGTCGCCCATCTCTGGGTCGACGACCTTCGTCTTCTGGCCGTCGCCCTCGGAGTTGTAGTCCGAGAGGTGGTCCTCGTCCGCAACGGTGAACGTCTGCATCTGGACGTGGACGCCGTTGGAGAGCTCGGACTTGTGCTTGATCGTGCCGCGCGTGGGCATGCCCGCGTTGATCCCGATCGTGTTCGCGGTCGTTGCGGGGTGCGCGACGCGGAAGCTGTGCCCAGTCCCGCTCGAGCTACATCGCACACGCGTCAGTACAGCCCACTGTGTACAAGAAAGACGATGCGACGTACAAGACCTCGGGTCCCCGAGTGGAGAAGTTCGTCAGTCGGCGGACAGCGCGGCAGGCCACGATCTGCGGAAGGGGATTGTCAGTGATCTGCGCGAAGGGGAAGGCGCGAGAAGTGCGCGCTCACCGTGGAGAAGATGGCGGCGGGCACGTTGAAGATGACGCTCATGATCGCGTTGAGGTTCAACATGATGAACACGGTGGCCAGCAGGTTGGACAGGAACCTAAGAAAATCACGCGCGCGTCAACATGGGTAGCGCGGACGAACGGGAGAAAGGATGCGTACGCAATGATGAAGTACACGAGACCGTCCTTGAAGAGGAGGGTCATGAGCTGCGAGCGGCCGCCCTTGACGCCGATGACGAGCTTGTACATGCTGAGGAGCAGGATGATGAGGTCGAAGCACATCGAGTAGATGAACGTCGCGGCGAGGATGGTGTTGTTCGAGCCGGTGACGAGGCAGCCCTGGCCGTCAACCCACGAGGCCTTGACGAGGACACCTGCAGAGTCACTGGTAAGCTCAAGCGCAGAGTATAAGCGCAACGAAGACCTACCCTGCAAGATGAGCGACCAGTGACCGAGGATAATCACGATGATGGGGATGACGATCCAGCGGTGATGCGACCAGAGCGCCATCCTACGAAGGATCGTCAGAATTCAGACATGATCATAAACCCAAAGGCGGACGTACGTGCGGATCGACAGGTTGATGCTCGCGAGGCCGGAAGCGGACTGGCCCATGATCTGGTTGAATGTGTACAGCGACTGGCAGTTGATTTCGCTGTGCGGTCGGGTCCGTTAGGTTCGGCCCCGAGCGCGTACACAGGAGATCCACAACGTGACTTACGTCGTTGTATCGAGCGCGATCAAGCTGCGGGCGCGGGTTGGAATGAGTGGCCGGAAACGGAAGGAAGTTCGATTTGTGACTTACATGCCGATCATGGTGAACAACAAGCAATATCTGTTCAAGAAGTAGAACACCTGCGAGGGACTGTCAACTACTGACGTGAAAAAAGGGGTATATACGAGTCCACGGTAGGCGGCATTCGGTGAGGACTGTGTCGCGCGCGCTCTGCCACTGCCACCGCAACAGGTTACGACGTATCAAAAGAGTGTCATGGTTGGAAACACGTTGGACTCTTACTACCGCTGGACTGGTCGCTTCCCGTGCAAAACGCAGTGAGAGACACGTACCGCGGGGTAGTGGAAGCGCTTCTTGCCGGTGAAGAAGCCGAACTCGAAGTCGAGCGAGGTGACGAACTCCCAGCTGGAACGCGAGTCGCGTCAGAACGCGCCCGGAAAGGCAAGGACGCGTCGGAGATGCTCACAAGTACAGGCCGGAGAGGGCGTGCATGAACTTGAGGAAGACGGCTATGGAACGCGACGCGTGATTAGCATGATGAACACGACGTGAGAGCAAGCTAGGAAGCGGAGGACGTACTGGAGTCGAGGATAAGCTCCGTCTGCGAGTTCCAGTCGACCATGGTGGCGGCAGGGGAGGGTGAAGGTGGAGAGAGGAGGTAAGGGGTAAAGGAAGGGACAGGAAGTGAGGCGCGACCCGGAGGAGGAGGGGGCTCTGGGGCTAGATATCCGGCTGAGGAGGCGGATATTTACATGGGCAGGGTGTCGCTGGATTGGAGCCGAGGCAGGAGGCTTCGAAGCCCCTGCACTGAATTCGGGAAGGATCAGAATTCAGGCAGGGTCCTCCCACGGCCGTACGGGAACGTTGCTCGTCAGCTCTGTCCCCCGGGCGTCCCCCAGCTGGGCATAAGCGAGAGGGATCCACTCCTGGTCCGCCCTTTCCCCTCTTGGGCCTCGCCTTCAACCCATCACTGGCGCTCTCACGGCCACACTGAGGCACACGAGCGCTGCCGCCCTTCACTCGAGGCTCGAAGGCGTCGGCTGCAGCTGGCCCGCGATCACGCACGCCCCGCGGCCCACATGATGCGCTGCGATGACGGCGAGCCCAAGCCCAAACCGCAACCTACACTGGCAACGGCGCCCCAAAGAAGGCGGCGAAAATACAACGCGCGCATCCCTCCTGAGCGCCATCTTTCTTCCCCAATCCGGATGTGTGTTTGTCTCGCCGGCACTCCCCGCGCGCCACGCGTCTGGGCCCGCTCCTGCCTGTCGGGGAACTGGGGTTTCCAGTTAATTTAGACTTTAATTGAGATACGCCTCGGCAAAGGAGGGGTTATGCGAGCGCTGTGCACCTCCCTTCACACTCACCCGTACGCGTCGTTTGCGATATGAGTGGTCTGCGCCCAGCGCGCGGGGTGCCCGGCCTCGCGCTTCCGCGTCCGCCCTGCGCGAGACGAGATCTGGGCGGATTGCCGACGCGTGCACGGCGCGAAGGAGGGGCCAGCGAGACCCGCCGAGACACGTCCGCCCGTGCGCGCGCGAGAAGCTGCAGAGGCGATTCGATTCGCTCGCGGACGCGGCGTGGGTTAACGTTGCCAGCAGCACCCAGAGCTGCTTCTCCGTCCGCCGACGCGCCGTAAGCCCCGTCAGAAAAATGCTCGCGACGGCTAGCCTCGCTTTGGGCATATCAGCACACTCCCCCGCCCCTCCCCCACCGACACCTCTCCTCCCTCCACTGTCAGCTCTCCCGCCCCCGGGCACCCGCACACAAGTCAAGTCCAACGCCCGCTCCGGGTCGTATTCCACGCTCCTTTGCCCCTCTTCTCTTCCCCTCGTCCTCCTCGCCCCGCTTGCCGCTCCGCTATCTCGCCTCCGCCCAACATGGCAGCCACGTTGCTCTCCTCCCCACCCGCCCTCCTCCTCTCCGTAGCTGCCTTCCTTTACATCGTCCGCTGGCTCGCCAGCAGGAAGCGCCAGGACGTGCATCGCGTTCCCAGCGCCGTAAGTCTTACGACACCTTCCCCCCAGTACCCGCTCTGACGCAATGCACGGTGCCCCCTGCAGCCCCCTGCGCTCGCGCACTGGCTCTGGGGCCACGAGCTCGCGACCTTCCAGGGCCAGGCGACCGAGACGTACACGAAGTGGGCCGCGCTCTGCGGGCCCTTCTTCCGCGTCAAGGGCGCGCTCTTCCACCCGGACATCGTGAGTGCCGCGCGCAGGCGTCCGATAGCCTCAAGCACGTCCGTCCGCCCTCCGCTGACACCTCCCTGCAGATCGTCGCGGCAGACCATGCGGCCGTCCAACACATCTTCCAGAACGCGGACGACTACGGTCAGTGCCTTCGCCTTCTGCTCTTCATCAGCATACAGTACCACCTTCCTCCGCGGCGGCCGTGTGTACTGTGTGGCTTGCGAGCGCCCGCGATACTTGCTATAGTTTATCGCATCCGATGACACACGAAACGAGCGGACGCTGACGAGATCTTGTCCCACAGTGAAGTCTCCCGCGTTCAGACCTCCCGTCGCGAACGTCCTAGGCAAAGGCCTCGTATGGGCTGAAGGCGAGGACCACAAGACCCAGCGCCGCATCATCGCCCCCGCCTTCTCGTAAGTATCCTCCTCACCCTCGCGCGCGCGCCCGGCGTACGGCGCACTTCGCCTCCGCCCGCACCCTCTGTTCCCCGCCGCCGCCACAGGTGCATGTGCGGGCCAGACTCAGGGCGCGGCGGAGGGGAAAACTGAGTGTACAGAGAAGGCCGTTCGCTGACTTCGCTCCGACACAGGTCGGAAGCCATCAAGGGCATGGCGGACGACATTTCAGAGTGCTCCGAAAAGGCAGGTCACCTTCCCCATCTGGCAGGTGTGGCCCATCACTGATCGCCCGCTTCCCCACTCCGCCCCGCTCTCCCCCCGATCGCTCGATCTCCCCGCCCTCTCGTCTCCCCGCGCTCCCGTCCCCTCTGCAGCTCGAGAGCAGACTGACGAACCATGTGCTGTCCGCGGGCGGCGCAGCGACCGTCAACATCACCGAGTACACCTCCACCTGCACGTACGTCTTCTCCTGCTTGCGTCAGCGGGGAGCAATCCGTGCTGATCAAGTTCTCGCTCGCTTGCGACCTTCAGGCTGGACATCATCGGGCGCGTTGCCTTTGGCCACGATTTCAAGGCCGGGCAGAGCACCGAGGCGAAAGAGATCCACGCCTCCTGGGAGGGCCACGTCAACACCGGGCTCGGGTTCGGCGGGTTCGTTGCGATGCTCGTGATGCGCGCCGTGCCCTTCATCACGCTGCTCCTCACCAAGCTCCCCGTCGAGGCGATCCGCGCCGGCGGGCGCATCCGCGAGATCACCACGAAGCTCTCCATGCGCCTCCTCGAGAGCGGCTCCGTCTCCGAGAAGGGCCGCGACATCATGAGCATCCTCGTCAAGGCGGAGCGCGCGGGCGCGTCCAAGGGCGGCGCGGCGCTCACCCCGCAGCAGATCGTCGACAACGTGAACACGTTCATCATGGTCGGCCACGAGACGACCGCGGGCTCGCTCAGCTTCACGCTGCTCGAGCTCGCGCGCCGCCCGGACGTGCAGGAGCGCCTGCGCGACGAGATCCGCCGCGTCGGGCGCGACCTCAGCTACGACGACATCCAGCGCCTCGAGTACCTCGACGCGGTCGTCAAGGAGGGGTGCGCACCCTCTCGCCCGTCTACGTCCCTGCAATCGCACACTGACGGGTTGCGCCCACAGCCTCCGCCTGCACCCCGCGTCGCCGCAGACGGAGCGCGTCGCGCTCCGCGACGACGTGATCCCGCTCAGCAAGCCCATCACGACCGCCTCCGGGGAGACGCTCTCCTCCATCCGCGTGCGCGCCGGCCAGGTCTTCCACATCCCCTTCACGACCATGCACGTGAACCCCGCGGTCTGGGGCCCGGACGCGGCCGCCTTCGACCCCGCGCGCTGGCTGACGCCCGGGCGCATCCCGCCGCCGAGCGAGATGCCGCACGGATGGAGCGGGCTCGTGACGTTCTGCGACGGGCCGCGGAACTGCATCGGGTACCGGCTCGCGGTGTTCGAGTTCAAGGTGATCCTGGCGACGCTCGTGCGGAGCCTGGAGTTCCATGAGACGACGGCGGTGGTGCTCGAGAAGATCTCGCCGACGCTGCAGCCGGTCGTGGACGGCCGCGGGGGGCTGCTGCCGTTGCATATCACGCTGGCGCAATGAGCGTGGCGCGTGGATGCGCCGCTTTTGTGTATATGGTGGACTTGTTAGTCCGACCCTCACCGCCCCCCTTCGTTGCGCCACGCTCGCTCGTACAGGTAAGCCGCCCTGCCCCGCCCCTCGCTCGCCCGCGCTCTGGTAGACCATCGCCCGCCCCTCGCTCCCGCTCCCTGGGTAGATCCCCGTCCCGTCCCGCATGGCCCCGTCTCCTCTCGCCCGGTCCCGGTACCAAAGTCGACTCCGAGTCGCACCTCGATGGACGCTCGCCCCGCCTGTAAAATACGCACACGCACGCACGCATACACGGCCCCGCCCGGGAGGCGCGCGGCGCCCCGCACCTTACACGTACTCGCGCCCGCGCCCGCAGGGGTCCCGGTAGTAGCAGTAGTAGTAGACCACCTCACTTCACTTTACGCTAGGCCGCTGGCCTGGTGGCTTGCATAATCAAAAGAGTTCTCTTTCTCTCTCATTCATATGTTTTGGGGTGTGCGTTGTGTGTGCTTTTGATTTTATAGTGGGTAAAGTGAATGTGCTAACTCACTTTGACGTCCGCGAGGTTCCTGTGGCGGCGCCCATGTGCACTCCGCGAGTATTTCTGGGTCGCGCGCGGGATCTAAGGCTGTTGCGCGCATGTGTGTAGTGTGTGCTTACTGCACAGGTGTTCACGCTTATTTTGACAGCAGGCTTGGTGGCGGGGCCGCCACCGCGACTGTGCCCCCTGCTGCGGTAGCCTCGGGGAGATCGAGCAAGGCGGTCGCGGAGCAGCACGACCCCAGTCTCAGTATTATCGAGCATTGGAATTTGGCACTGGTATCCCATAGAGTATACCGATAGCAATCCGGTTACATTACTTGCACCAGTGAAACCCGGTGATCATACAACGCCGCCTACCAGCCCATCGAAGTATGCACGCTTCCTCCTTCAGCGAGGCCGAGGTCGAGACCGCAACGCCACATCCGTGCCTCGCAGTGCGGGTAGTGCTGGTCTTACCCGACGCGGTGGAGGCTGGAGGCGGTACAGTCTGCTAGGAGGAAACTCGCCAACCTAGGTTCCGGGGCTGGTGGGGCGTATACTTATTTGCCGCGGGGAGCGGGCCCGGGGACATGGCGGCTGAGGCGTATCTATACCCGGAACCATAACGTCAGAGATGCGTCGTCGGCATAACTGAGGATTCGACGCAAGAGGTACAAGGAAATGTTGCCGTTAGATGGTGAATAGAAAATATTCAGGACATCGCGACAAGACTTAGCACCCACACGCGGAGAGCATACGCACATCCGCCACTCCCCGTATTTTCATAGCCCATGAGCGAGAATATCGAGCACGCCGCCCCGAGCCCATAATGAGCCTCAATGAAGGCTCAATGGACGAGCGGAGGTTAAGTGCTTCACCATTACCCCGAGTGACCACGGGGGCTCTAGTACGCCGGACCCTCCTGGGAAGGCGATCGTCAGCTGGCGGTTCGCGAAAGTTAAACTCTATTCGCAGCGCACCTCAGTGGTTATAGAAAGCGTACATGCACCGATGAGAGCACCACAAAGGCGCGAGTGCGGGGCAGAACCCATCGAGCCTGAGCGCGTCAGAAGTTCTCCCGTACGAAGGTTGCAGCGGACAGGCTAGACCCCCCTGCTCGCAAAAATCTCCGGCCCATAGTACGCCCAAGCACCTAGCAACAACGCAACCTTAGCCCCCACCGAAGTCGAAGCCCTCCCGAGCTGCGCAATCTTCGAGCCCGAGCGCGGAGCGCAGCGGTAGCAGTCAATTGTATGCACTTCTTCGTACTCACCGCCGTCGAACCCTCCCCGATTCGGCCGTTCGCTTGTAGGACGAGCGCCACGAACCTCTCGCCCCGGAATAGCGCTGCAAAGTAAGGTAAGTAAGTGCTGGAGCTTGCCAAACGCGCGCGTGCAGTGCGGCGCGCGGCCGGTCTTCTAGCTGAGATGTTCATCAAGCTTACGGGTGATTTTGTATTTTCAAAGCGCCTCAAAGAGGATCTGCGGGCGCCTCACCCTGGCCCGACGATACGAATGTCGGTATCGATATGAAAGATGGTATCGTCCCCGGCGTTCTGAGGGTACACTGTAAGCACTTTGCTCCGTCTCGCTCAATACCCGCTGAGCACCTCGCCGCGCCATCCCCGCCGTACTTACTACTTACGAAGCCCGGCCACCCGGCGACCCCGCCCCCGCCCGTGGCGCCCACGAAGTCCACGAAGTCTATATGACGCTGTCCGCTTGCCCACCTCACCCGCTCACCCACGCGACGACATCTTCAAAGTTCAGAGCAATGACAGAGGCGCGACGTTCTCCCGATGCCGAGAGCGAGGGCCCGTGCGTACCTGGCTTTATTGCGCGAAGCCGCCCATTACGGTACGCACTGATGGCCGTCCCACGCGCTCTCCCCGTGCTTCGCGGCGTCGCGTAAAGCGTAAGCATGGCGGGCGGGCGGCCATCTCGCTGCGGGCGCGCGAGGGTTGGAAGATTGCACGAACTTCGAAATTTTGGCGCGCCTGCCAGTGCCGTACGCGAGGTCGGGGGATCTGGCCCCCTCTGTGGATGTGGTCCTGGAATTTGGAAGACGAGGTTCGCGTGGCGCACGAGTGGATCTCGACTGTTGAGCAGACTTCAGATTTGATGCTAGCAAATAGAGATAGAGGGAGAAGCTTGACGCTACGCAGGCGAGGGGGGAATCCACCGCAACTGCGAAAGTGGCCTCAGACCCAGGGGCCAGCGAGCCCGCTGCCAGGGGCGGTGGCAGCTTCGCGCGATCCCCCGCCGCCGCCCGCGCGCACGCCTGTCTTGCAGCTGTTGATGCGCGTCGCCCGATCACTTTTGCCTTGAACGGTCGAGGCGGGACGCGAGCTGCGCGACCCTGCACGCTGCTGACGGCGACGGCGACGGCGACTCGTCGGAACGAGGCCCCTCCCTCCCACCGCCCCCGAAATGCCAGCTGCAGGGCGCATCACCACGTCAGCGGGTGGGAGCGCGAAGGCGAGGGGCGCTGCAAGTTCTCGCCTTCGCCGCAGCCTAAGCCTGAGGGCGGCGGCGCACATTTGCCGCACGCGAGACATCGCACTGGCAGCCACGGCGTACACCAGCGCCCACAAGCCTGTCCAAGGGGCTGGACGCCGTCGGCGGTGTCAAATATCCTCGCGGCTCGTGGCGCGACGCTGCCGACGCCGATGTCCCGCTTCGCCGGAATCGGGCATGGAGCGGCCGCCCCGATCAATTGAAAGATGGCTCCCGAGCCCCAGCGCGCCCGAGCCGAGCCGAGTGACGTTTTGGGGCGCGTCGTCGTGGCCATGGCGCGGGCACGACGCGTCGGGGAGCGTGCGTGCATGGTGTGGGAGCGCGACGGTCGACGGGGGCTCCGACGACCAAGGGGCCGACGGTGCAGCGATCTGGGCCGTGGCCGTGAGTGCCCTGAAGCTGGTGTTGGCAAATGGCCTCCCGCGGCGGACGCTGGGAGGGGGCGATTCGCGCCTCTCTGATGCCTGCATGGGACGGGCTTCGGATGCGTGCGCAGCTCGGTTGCGGGGGACATCACCGCAGGCCTGGACGCTGCAGAAAATTTGCAGGAGGAGCGCCTTGCGAAGACGCGTGTGCTAGGTTGCAAGGTGGCCGTGCGTCATCGTTTCTTCGGAGGGAGTGCACGGCGTCGCGCGTAGCAGCGTTCTAATGGCAGCTGAGAGGCCTAGGATTGTATACGAGGCCTTCTAGAGACAAAGGAAGGGATACTAGGGTGGTCGGAAAGCAGGCGTGCTCCGCGGGGATACTCGTCTTTCCCAGGTGGTTGGCTTGGGATGGCAAGAAGATCACCAAAGTCGGTACGGTCAGGGTCGGACTCTGTGCAATATTGGAGCCAGTTGTTCCGCATCGCAGCGTCCTGTAGAGCGTGACCCGCGTGCTGATCAGAACTCGCGCACCCACATGGATGGATAGGTGGGTCCTGGGATGAGCTGAGGAAGAAAGGATGAGCAGCAGAGATACAACGCTATCGCGGAGTCGCGGTTACCGTGGACGAGCGAGACGCGAAGTGCGATCGTGTTTCCTATGTGAAGATAACCCTAGATAAGGTCGCAGAATAATTACCACATGCCAAATAGGGGCATATCGGGGTTCCAGGAGCAGATCGCAGATCGGCGCCTGCGCAGCTCCGCACAGTCGCGATCGACCTGATCAGTTCTGAAGCAAGAAAGAAGAAGAGCATCACCGACGTCCTGCCCGGTATGGACTCAGACTGCTATACGCCCGTCACATTGCACATCACCCCCGTTCTTTTCAGGAAGGATACGGAGTTCATGGCAAGTCGTGCGCCGTTTCAGCGGGAGTACGCGGGTGCGCCGTGGGGCGTACATTGAACCTTGTGACCAGAGCGCACACCAGTGGACGACGTCAGAACGCCAGAAGGGCGGGGAGAGGGGCGGAGAGGGAGGTTCGGAGCGCAAATGAACTGGAAATGAAGGAGAAGAGGGGTGGGTTCCAGACGAGCGACCTGCACGTCGTCCCGAAATAAGCCGAGCTGACACGCCTTCCAACCTTCGCAGACTGCCTCTCCCCGAGCAGCGATGCGCCTCCCGCTCTCTCCTGCCATGCGCCTGGCGCCATGCATTAGGCGTTTGCGCCGTCTCACCTGGGGTGCGGGGCGCGTTCTCGCAGCCTCGTGCGCGCGCTGCGCTGGGAGCAGAACGCAGGGGTGAGAATCCAGGACGCCATGAGGGAGGCGCACGCGGCCGGCGCCTGGCAGACTTGTTCGGTTTGTTCGGGCGAGGGTTGTCCTATGGTAGAATGTGATAGCCCAAAGTCAGAGAAGCAGCTTCGCAGGAAGAAGCATGTCCCCTCTACTCGCGGGTCCTCATATATCGTCGTGCCTGCCTCCCGTCCTCCACTCGGCCCCTCCATCACCGCCCACGTCGTGCCGCCGCCCCCTCCGACCACCCCCCGTCTTCATCAGCCCCACCACCGACGCCGCAGGGAACATGGTCAACTGGCAGTCCCCCGAGGAGATTGCGAACGACGGAGGTACATGTTCCGAGCCCCGTGCCCAGCTGCGCGTCTGATAGCCTCGTGTGCAGCCGCGTTCGACAAGTTCATGCATGTCTTGCTCGGCCTCTACATGTGCGTGGAATGGACGGCCCCCCGCCCCCGGGGAAGTCGTGCACACCCTGACGAGAGTCGCACACAGCTGGGAGTTCGTCACCTCGCTCCCGTTCGACTGGCAATTCCTCAGCGGGAAGCGGAAGTTCAAATGGCCCCTCGTAAGTCGCCCGGAGCGCCCGGGCTTGCGGAGATGATCGTTGACCCGTTTCATTATCACAGATCTTTTACTTCTGTGGACGTTACTTCCTTTTGTTTGCACTCATCGGCATGTGAGTCCGATGCGTATGCCGCCTGTATGCGCCGTGATCTGACTATATGCGCCTCGGAACAGAGCGATTGCTTTGAATGTCACACGGTATGTTCGCGTTCTACTCAAACCGTGTCCTGTACTCACTGTGCGATTGTAGGCCAGTCAACTGCCAATCGTTGTACACGTACAACCAGATCTTTGGTAATGCGTCGATCGGCTTTGCGAGTATCAACCTCTCCCTCCGAACGTAAGTCTAAGCCTCATCAGCCTATCTGGAGCAAAGACTGACGCCATCATAGCATGGCCGTCTGGTCACAGGCATGGTACATCGTTGCACCCCTCGTCGTTGTCATCCTCGGGCATTGGTCCCTGTTGTTGCATGGTATGTCAATCATTGAGCCGAGAGTGTATCGTATCATCCTCAAGGTCGTTTAGGTATCCTCCTTAAGGCCGCCTGGATTCCGGGCCAGGGATGTGCCATCACGAATACCAACAACACTCTGCTGGCCGCGACATTCATTTACTCGATGTGCTTCGACTTCACGGTGCTCGCCTTGACGGCATTCAAGTTGGGTATCATCTCTGTGCCGCGCAGGGACCGGTCGAAGATCGTGCGCCTCATCTTCGACGACGGCCTCATCTTCTTCATCGTCGCGTAAGTGTTGCACTTCGGGCTATCGTCACGCGTAACCTAACCCTCCATTAGCTTCGTGGCAAACACAATCGCTACTGTGAGTAGCCCACCGGTCCTACCGCGACACGTGAATATTGATTACTGTGGCAGGTGTTCATGTTGATGAACCTTAACGCCGTTATGTCAATCATCGCAAACGTACCGGCTGCGATTGCATCGACGGTATGTGGCGTTTTTCCTCACATGTCGTTTTGTCCGCTTACAAGCTCGCATCAGATCGTCGCCTGTCGAGTGGTGCGGAGACTTACCAACTATACCACGGAGGGTGCCGAAGTGTTCGGGTACGTCTCTGGAACCGATGCATTTAACTTCATATACACTTATACATCACGGGGCTACAGCACAACGGAAGCCTCCACTTTGGCCTTCCACAAAAGCGGTCGGTTCAGTCGCGGTGGCATGTTGTCTGTCAGCGAGAAGAAGCCAGACGGCGTACATGTCCAGGTATGCTTGCTTGACTTTTTCCTGACGGACGCAGTGTGGCTGACGTTGCCCAGATGGAAACATTTGCTGCAGCTCCCGGAGAGGTGTCGCCCTCCGACCTCTCATATATCCGATACGACGCCGCGGGTAACATCATGAAGTCAACGGACATCGACGCGTTCGGTGACGTCGAAGCCAACTCGCCCGTCGAATTCAAACGTCGGGATTTCCAATAGCTACTCCCGAACACCCACTCTCCTTTCTCTCCGCCTCTTACACGCCTCCTACATTGTCGCTTTCCAGTCGTCGCTCTCGCATCCGCATCCCGCATACCGTTGAAACCCCATTCTCTCTCAAACTCTCACGCTCTTTCCTCGCTCTGGTTCCCATCTCGGATGGCTCACATATCCTCCTGTTAGTCGGGCACAATACAGCTCTTCTGTGTACTCGACACCTTCATCGCGGGATCGTCAGCTCTGTCGTATCTACCTCACCAACCCACTCCAAAAGTGCCTACACCTTCAAGGCTACAGCTGCCGATTCTCCTTCTGAGCCTTCGACGTGTCAGTCCGGCACGTCCGGCCCTGGCTTCGACTTCCCCGCGGGCTCGCACGTTCATCCCCCCGGCTTCTCGCACGCTCCCTGCCTTCTCCCCCCTACTTATCGACCTTTCCGCAGAGCGTCGAGAACGTGGAGTTCATGATGACGGACGTTGGGAAGGCCTCGGCGCGGACGTCTTCCACCCTCCTCATCTCCGTCTCCGACCGCGTTGTCCCCGTGGGTACGTACCTTGCGCGCGCGATGGATCGCGGTGCGTTCGCCGTCCGCGCGCCATCGTGGAGAGGAATGCGATGGAAACAGGGAGCGTCGCTCTGTGTCCGCGCTGCGCTCACGTCGTGTCTTGGTTAGGTTATGTTGGACTTCCTTTTCTGTCTTGCGAGCATGCGGGCGCATCTCCACTCCTCCGCGCTACTCGTTTCTACCTCTCGTCGTCTACGTTATCGATTATCTGTATCTGTATCCCGGTCGAAACTGGCTGTATAGCAATCAATGATACCATGGCTTGTAGTCTATGCCCGCGTGCCGTTTTGTGTTATGTCGGACAAGCTGGATCGGCTGACCCATCACTCTAGCTTCGACAAATTCGGACGCGAATTGCATTACGGTATACGTCTGCGCCGCGGCGTCATAGTTTGATTTTCGCAAGCAAATGTCGGGCTCGGGCCCGCTGAATGATCACAGTCGCGCGCGGGAGCTCGCTGACGCTCTCGGAGTTGGAGAAGTGGCAACTTGCCATAGGATGGACGCCGAAATCATTGCCGCTCCTGTCAATGCGGTTGTGCCCGAGTGGGACAGAAGGTGCTCACGCGGGCTCTTGACCGAGGGGAGCGTCGGCGCCAGAAGAGAGTTCATTTATATGATATGTTGGAAAGTCAAGTGGCGAACTTGAATGTTGCGCCGCCGATGATTGTCGCTGGTGAAGCTCAAGGGCGCTGGGATGTGGGGATCATGCTCACGGTTCACGGTTCCCTCTTACATCGAGGTTCTACGTCTTCTGCGGGTCGGGCATCGAATGGCGTTGGTTGCCACAGTCGGATGCGAGTCGGAGGAAGACAGGAAGACAGCAGGCCAGGTGCGCCGGGGGTGTCCCGCCCGGGGCGGCAAGAAGAAGTCGAAGTCGAAGTCGTCGTTGGGTGAATCGTCGCCACTGTATACAGTGGAGTGGCAACTGGGATGTGGGTGGTATCAGAACGGTTCTGGTGGGAGGTGGTGCAGAGAAAGATGGAAGAGCGCGAGGCTGTCACTCATACAGGCTACCATCGCGAACCGCGTGAGGCCTAGGTGTCGGTGCCTGCGCGTTCGGTCGGGGCCGGCGAGGTCGTCGCCAACAACTTCGGTGTGGTTGTGGTTGTGGTGGGGATGCGAAGTGTGGTCGTTGCGTGGGGTAGTTAGGTCGGGGGCGCGCTGTAGATGCTGATAACAGTAGGGCTGTGTTCCTGGTCTTGCCAGCGAGGGAAGAGAAGAAAGGGCTTCGGTTCGAATCAGTGCGATGAGCATAGTACTGCAGCTGATCCTGCCTGAACGGAGGATCATGGCCTTCTAAGCAAGAAGAGTACATGCGCGGGGGGGGGGCGTATCCAGGAACACAGAGGCACGTAGGGTGGCCCGTGCAAAAAAGACGAGTCGACTATGTCGGTTCTTGCACCACCGCACTGGTTGAGGCGGTCGCTGTCGTCTGTCGAACCTACCTTGCCTGGTCACGTTTACGAGAATCTAATCGTTGTGTTGAAGCCTTCAGAATTCATACGTTCCAGATACACGGAGGGTGCCAGAGGCCTTTCAGTCAATGCGTCGCGGAGTGCTCGGCACCAGCACCCACAGGAACACCATGAATCCCATCATAGATACCAACCTGTGCGAGAGCCAGCGTAAGTTCGATCGCCGTTTCAGGATCTCGACCACAGATGTGCTCACAGAGGCTGGAGACTCTTGATCCCGACCTTCGATGCGAGCGCGCCAGTGAGGAAGGGCAGCGCAGCCGAGCCCGCCTGGCCGAAGCCGGCGATCCACCCGATGCATCCTGTGAGGAGCCAGGGAGGCAGCACGCGTCCAGCGTGGTTCATGACGATGGGGTAGATGGGCCCGAGAAGGACTCCGACGAAGGAGACGGCGATGGCACCACCGACGAGGGAGGGAACGAGCCAGATCACAAGCTCGAGTCTGTACCGAGTGGGGTCAGTGCTGTCCGAGTCGGGGAGATGCATAGGAATGTGCGCACGAAATTGCGAGGACCGCATACATGAAGATGGCGCGTCGTTCGCCGACCTAGGATAGGTCAGATGCCATGTCGTGACCTAACTCGGAAGCTCGAGGCTCTATGGTAGCGATAATGGTTGACGCACCTTTCTGTTCACCCAGAGCAAGCCGACACGGCCTAGAGTCAATCCTGAACATCGACGTGTGTTAAGACTCTCTCCATTCATACATAGGGGGAATGGGCGTACCTCCGAAGAAGCCAGACGAGATATATCCGGACGACGCGCCTCCCCCACGTAACTGTATAACGTACGTCACGATCCACCCTGCTCATAGGATCCATAGTCAGCGACTGGCACGGAGTGATCACTCTATTGGCGTACCTCCGAGTGTAACCTCGACTCCGACATAGATCAGGATGAAGATCGCCATGAGGTGGAGCGCGCGCAGTCCGAATATCTGCTTATACTTATTGTTCGCATAGTTGCCGCTTTCATGGTCCGGGGATTGCCCTATCTCTGCCAGACATGCTAGGGCACGGCATGGGCGTAAACTAGGGGTACAAAGTGAAGAGTGGAGGATACTGACTGTCTTGGTCTTTGAAGCGGAACACCGCGATCAGGGAGAATGTGTTGGAGAGTGCGATGCCGAGCAGAACAAGATAGTGGAAGGACCAATGACTGCGCTGCGCGAACTGTGTCGCGATGAGAGGGGAAGAAAACGCGCCGACACCTAGATATATCTCCTTGGTCAGAATCCCGACTGTTGTTCGACGGGGCTCGAAAAGGAGACATACCATAGATGGCGTGCAAGATACCGAATTTTGTTGCAGTGTTTTCCTTGAGGGCAGCAACGTATCCATTCGATCCCGCGTTCTTCAAGGCGGATAGGGTAGCGTTAGCCGTAGCTCCACCACGATAGTATGCATGCGTACTGACTTGTAGGGCCAAACCAAAGCCGTTGATCATGTATCCCAGAACGAAGACTGGGAACGGGGGAGCAGGAGCTTCCAACGCATAACCTATGACCTGCAAAACGGCGCCTGACATATCACTCAGCCGATATACAGTTCGCAAATCGGTCGCAAGCCTTACCTACGACTATGACCTGATGTATACGGATAAGACCAACAGAATCGTGACAGCGAGGCACAAAGACATACCCTGCCGAAGCCGAAGCGATCCGTGAGCCAGACGTTCGCAGTAGCGCCGGATACGAAGCCCTTGCGAGTCCAGTGAGAAAGACTGGACGAGCTCAGGAAAATAGATGACATACGACGCAGTTGAACACGAATATCAGCGACACGAGGAAGAAGCCGATCTAGCTCATAAGTGACGTAGTATCGATAGGTTAGCCAGAGTTTGGTGAGACGCCTACGTGATAAACAGACTGGATGCGAGGTAGTAGAGGACCAGTGGTGCCGTCGTTCCATCCGGCGAGACACATTGACCAGCACAGAGTGGCAAATCGGATTCTCGACTTGCGTTTCATCGCGGCTGTCGACGCCGGGAACGTTGTTGACGGCAGTGCACGGTCGACCTGTGAGCCCCCCGCCTCCACAGCGTCAGTTTCGACATATTCTGTCCCCTTCCCGTCGTCTGCTCGGTCCGAATTCACGGCAGTAAGCTCAACGATAGCATGGGGAGTCCGGGAGTGCGTTGTAGACAGTTCTATCTCCATCTGTGACGAATTCACTTCAGTGAAGGCTCGTATCGAGGGAAGGAGAACTCGTGGATATCCAGGAGGACACTGCGGTTTTGTGTAAACTTGAGGCTGAGTAACGCACAGTGGTCCCAAGACCCTAAGGCCTTATCGCCGACGTTCTTCCGGCGCCCCGATATCTCGAGTGTGAAAATCTAGTCTTCCTGGGTAGCCAACGCCTCCATGATACGGGACTATAGACGCTATAAGCGTCATAAGATACCGAAATCGACTCATTCCATTCAGTCTGTGCGACGCGGCGCGTTCGGTACCAGTACCCAAAAGAGCACCAGCAAGCCCATCATAGACACCAATCTGCGCACGAACCGTCAGTGCAATCCCGACTCCCATTAGAGTAGTAAGCGGCACGCACAGGGGCTGCAGGCTCTTGATCCCGACTTTCGACGCGAGCGCACCGGTGAGGAAGGGGAGGATCGCCGAGCCGGCCTGACCAAAGCCGGCCATCCACCCGATGCAGCCGGAGAGGAGCCATGACGGGAAAACGCGACCGGCATGGTTCATGACGATGGGGTATATGGGGCCCATGAGCATGCCTACGAGAGAGACAGCGATAGCACCACCGATTAGCGAGGGGGCGAGCCAGACTACCAGCTCGAGCCTGCGTAGGGTGGATGGGTGGTAGGAGAAATAAGCAGAGGCAAATCTTGAACAATATAGAACCGTACGAGATTGCAAGGAGTGCGTAGAGGAAAACGGCGCGCCGTTCGCCGACCTAAGGCATGTAAGCAGGGGTGATGCGGGTTAGAGCCTTATATGTTCGCACATACCTTCCTGTTGAGCCAGAATAGGGTGACACGGCCTAACGTGAGTCCTTGGTGTACGACGTCAGTAGATCCAAAAGAGAGAAACAAGGGAGGGATATACCACCAAAAAACCCAGACGAGATATAACCCGAGGACGCGCCTCCACCGCGCAACTCGACGATATACGTGACAATCCACCCTATTGATAAAGCACGCAATTAGCCACTACCGCCGGCTGCCGGGTGCGTTATCCACGTACCCCCAAGAGTGACCTCGATCCCAACATAGAGCAGGATGAACATCGCCATGATATGGAGAGCGCGTAACCCGAAAATCTGCTTGTACTTGTTCGCGCTGCTTCTGCTTTCGCGATCTGGCATTTGACCTATTTCCGCCAAGCACGCTGAGCCACGGACGATAAACCTGTATGTCAATGAGGGGAAAGGAGACGAGACGCGCATATACGCACTTTCTTGGTACTGGAAACGGAACACCGCAGCTAGCACCAGTACATTGGAGAGCGCGATACCGAGTAGCACCAGATAGTGGAAGGACCAACGACTGAGCTGTGCGAACTGCGTCGCGATGAGAGGTGAACACACCGCACCAGTGCCTACAACAGTACCCGCGAAAATAGGTCTGTCTACTGAACAAGGAAAGAGGGGGGGCAGTGCTTACCGTAGACGGCGTGCAAAATGGCGAACTTCATCGCGGTGTTTTCCTTGAACGCAGCAACGTAGGCATTGGATCCTGCGTTCTGCAATCGAAATCATGACATAAGTGTCATCCCCAACACTGAGCCATACTACGGGTCCTGACCTGGAGGGCTAAGCCAAAGCCATTGATCATATACCCAACGACGAAGACAGGGAAGGGAGGGGCAGGTGCTTCCACCGCGTAACCGGCAACCTGCATTGCGGAGCCTGCAACCATATGAAAATACGACGGTCAATGGAAGACCAGTTTGCGCCTACATAGTCCGTGAAACTCACCCAACACCATCACCTATTCAGCAATGAGTCAGACTGGGTTTGCGTCCACATGCAACGGGTATTGAAACGTACCCGCCCGAACCCGAAGCGATCGGTGAGCCAGACGTTCGCTGCAGCGCCGACCACGAAGCCCTTGGGTTAGTTGTCAGCCTAAGGACTCAAAGGCACAACAAGTGGTAGGCGACGTACAAGACAGTTGGACACGAATATCAACGATACGACAGCGAAGCCAACCTGCGATGCATGATATGTAGCACTGGTTTGTGAGCTCGACCGAGAAACGTACGTGGTAGACGGCCTGTATGCGAGGCAGTAGAGGCCCCGTTGTGCCGTCGTTCCATCCGGCGAGGTACAGGGTCCAGCAGAGCGCGGCGAACTGGATCCTCGCCTTGCGCTTCATTGCGGGCGTAGAGGCTACGAAAGTCGTCGATGGGGCGCGGCTTGCGTCCCGGACCTCAACCTCGACTGCGTTAACTTCGATAGCTTCCGTCCTCTTTCCATCGTTGACACTGGCCAGTGTTGCCACCGCGGTGTCGGGCGGAAGGGAGGACCGGGAGTGGATGGTGGATAACTCTACCTCCATGCTGCTACGGTAGGGGGTAAGATTGTGAGCCGTGGGGAAAGGAGACCCGCTGATGACTAGGATTAAAGTACGTACTGACTAACGGCATACAGCGCCCGTGTGATATCAACACTATGATGGATTTGAATTGGGTTACGCGCATTAGCTCCAACACTAAGTCTCGGTTCTAGACCTTCTACGGAAGCCCTCCCACCCCTCGCGTACGCTTATAAACCAATAGAGCGGGACCTCAGCGCTCGCTAGAAGGGATGGGAAAGAGCCGCCCGACATTCTCAGCGCAGTGCATAGTGTACTATTGCACTTGCAGACATCAACGTGCGAGTTCGAGGCCAACCTATGAAAGCAGCGAATGTCATGAGGTCCGATTAAAAAACGCTTCGAAGGGTACTGGCGTCTCACCTTCAATCATGACTTTATGTATGAACAGCTGTGAATATCGCGAGGGTCAAGACGAAGGAACAGGAAACGCCACGGTCTGGCCTGCAGCACGGCTGTACGCCCATTACGTTGAACAAGACTTGAAGCACCTCGCAAAGGAAACCCAACACAGAGCCGGAGAATAACAGATAAAGCAGGAGGACCTTACAACATACACATAGTCGCGCCCATACAGGGCACTCGTTCCGCGCGAAAATCAGTCTACCCGGCGCGGGGTACGCGGCACCAGCGCCCACAGGAAGACCATGAAGCCCATCATCGACACTAGCCTGCCGCGCATCCGCTCGTGTTAGCCACGCGCTCTTCCATCGTGATCAAGGAAAGGGTTTGAGGGTCCACTCACAGAGGCTGAAGACTTTTGATACCAACGCGCGACGCGAGGGCGCCGGTAAGGAAGGGGAGCAATGCAGAGCCCGCCTGACCGAAGCCGGCAATCCACCCAATGCAGCCGGTGAGTAGCCAGGGCGGGAGAACGCGCGCGGCGTGGTTCATGACGATGGGGTAGATGGGTCCGAGCAGGACGCCGACGAACGAGACGGCAATGCCGCCGCCGATGAGGGAGGGGACGAGCCAGATCACGAGTTCGAGCCTGTAAGAGAGGGAGCAAGATTTGAGAAAGTGAAGCGGGCCGAGTGGCACGAGACGTACGCAATAGCCAGAATGCCATACACGCAGATCGCGCGTTGCTCGCCGATCTATAAGCAATATGTGTCAGGGGAGGCGAAGCGGTAGGTGCAATGAGCACTTGTGTACCTTCTGATTTACCCACAGCAGCCCAACGCGTCCCAATGTCAACCCTAGATATGTCATCGTCAATATGTCTGGTCCCTCTTCTTCCTTTCTTTTTCTTTTGAGGACTACTCACCGCCGAAGAAGCCGGACGAGATGTAACCGGAGGAAGGGCCACCACCGCGCAGCTGAATGACATAAGTAACGATCCAGCCTATCCGGGTACCCGAGTCAACCACACGTAAAATTTAGGAATGGTGTTTAACATACCTCCCAGCGTAACCTCCACACCAACGTAGATGAGGATGAAGAACGCTAAGAGGTGAAGCGCCCGCAGGCCGAATATTTGAGTGTACTTGCTGTTTGTGGTGCTCTGTTCATCGTGGCTCGGTGTTTGACCGATCTCCGCGAGGCAAGCTAGATGTCATACTATCGATGAGCAAGTATGTAGGCAGAGCACCATATGGTAGACACAGACTGTCTTGGTCTTTGAAACGGAACACAGCGATGAGGACAATGACGTTGGAGAGCGCAATGCCGAGGGACACGAGGTAGTGGAACGACCAGTGAGTGATCTGGGAGAACTGCGTCGCAACGAGAGGTGAAGACAAAGCGCCGACACCTACGGACGGGCAGTCAGGATAGCAAGATCAGCCCCAGCGTCTGTAGCCGTTGAGAGGAAAGAACGTGCCGTAGACAGCGTGCAATATGCCCATTTTCGTGGCGGCGTTGTCTTTGAGGGAAGCAACGAACCCGTTTGCGCCCGCGTCCTGTAGAAAGTTTCAGACACATAGTGGGAGAGTCAGAGAGCTTTAGAAAGTCGACCTGGAGAGATAATCCAAAGCCATTGATCGCGTAGCCGAGAACGAAGACGGGAAAAGGAGGCGCAGGGGCTTCCAGAGAATAACCGACAACTTGCGCAAATGCGCCTAGAAAATTAACGTCAATGAATGCGCATACACTTTGAAGGTTCCTGTCGCAACGTACCAATAACCATGACCTAGGCAATGTCGTGAGTGACGCTAAAATGGGCGGACACATAGCGGACGCACCGTGCCGAACCCAAGGCGATCGGTCAACCATACATTTGCTGCAGCTCCTGTGACAAAACCCTGAAGATCGGGGTTAGCGGAGTCACGTAATAAATATAAGCAGATTCGGACGCACAACGCAGTTGAAGACGAAGATCAAGGACACGACGGCAAAGCCAACCTGCAGCGTACTGTGTAAGGGACTCGTCTTGAGATTTGAACAGAGAACGTACGTGATAAACAGATTGTATGCGGGGCAACAGAGGTCCCGTTGTGCCATCGTTCCAGCCGGCCATGAATAAGCTCCAACACAAGGTTGCGAACTGTATTCTCGCTTTGAGTTTCATGGCAGGCGTCGTAGCGGGGAAAGTGGTAGATTGTGCACGACTGGGCTGCTCGCTGTTCGCTGCCGCGTTAGTCTCGACATATTCAACCTCTTTCCCCTCATCCACGGCTGTTGCCGCTGGTGTGGTAGGGTCGTGAGGAAGATGGGGCACCCGAGAGTGCATGTTGGACAGCTCGACCTCCGACATGCTGAACACGCTTCAGCAAGACTAAGGCTGAGTGGGGAGTGCTGCTCTCACCTGGACTCGGAGTACGTCCTTTTATCTAGACCCGTGAGTGCGTGAAGCAACGCACTTGCACTGTGGAATACCGCTTTCGCTCGCCGAAAGATCGTTATACCGAGGTTTCTCCGACGCGCTGAAGAAGTGCGTTCATTTGATATTTAGCGTCATTTGCCTGCGGTCTTTGCACACCGCGTTACGTTGTCTAGCCGCCAGCCAAGACGAGCACATTGTGAGGGATATATTGCTCCACGTATGCATCCACGTAGTCGCAGCAGAGATGAGTTGTTTTGGACGAGACGGAGCGCGAGCGCAGAGGCGTCTGAAGGCGTGGGTGATGGTGATGACTTCGGCGACACGCGACACGTCGTGGGCGCTCTGCGCGAGTCCCAGGTCATCTACCTCTCCACCGTCACCCATCATCTAGCCTCCTTCATCATCCTCCAGCGCGTTCATGGCCTCCCCTGCTCAGCAGCTGCCCCCAGGTTGGGCGGCCGAATGGTCAGTCAACCCTCGGCGTATAGATTTGGCGGTGATTGACGGTAAAAACAGGGACCAAAACGCCCAACGTTACCTCTTCATCGGTGAGTCTCTCGTATATTTGCGCAGACAATGTCGCCGACTCGTACCTCGGTGAATCCTGCAGAGACCGCGACTGGAAGGACGCAGTGGGAACCTCCCTTCCCTGACCCCGAAGGCCTCAACCCCGCACCGAGTGCATCTCCCCCACCCGCACAGTCCCATAACACAAAACGACGTCAGTATGCAGCCGGTCAGACGCAGGCGTACTACGGCGCGGACACGATAGCTCCTCCTGGTCCTGCGTACGGCGGCGTCCCTACGCAAGCAGGACAGCAGCAGCCTCAACTGTTCACTCCGGGTCTCGCGGGAGACGGCCAATTTGCGCAGCAGCAAGTGGGTGCTCAGCCCGGACAGGCACCATACTATGGGCAGGCCCAGCAGGAGCCGGAATACATCAATGCACCCGGGTTCGGGCAGGGCGCGACGTACCAGCCGCCTGGCGTTAACGCGTTGGCGGACCAGTTCTCTCAGATGGGTGTGGGACAGAAGGGCCCTCGGCTGTTCACAACTAACCTCCTTGCTGCTCCGCCGGACCCTCTTGAGCTGCATCGCCCGCCTCCGGACATCTTCCTACCTCCCAACTCTTGTCTATCCAACTCTCCCATGGCAAACGCCGACTCTTCCTACCAGCGGTGTACGCTCAACACCATCCCTACCTCGCACTCCCTCCTCCAGAAGTCTAAGATCCCCCTTGGGCTCGTCATCACGCCATACCGCACCGTCAAGGAGGGAGATGAACCTGTTCCGCTCGTAACGGACACGGTTATCGCCCGATGCAGGAGATGCCGTACGTATATCAACCCCTACGTGCAGTTCATCGATGGCGGGAACCGGTGAGTGACCCTCTTTGCCTAAGCCTTGACCGAAACATGACTGTATGCAGCTGGCGATGCTGCATGTGCTCGATGTCGAACGAAGTCCCGCAGCTGTTCGACTGGGACCAGGTCCGGAATCAGCCCGGAGACCGGTGGGCCCGTGCAGAGCTCAACCACGGTGTTGTCGAGTTCGTTGCGCCTACGGAGTACATGGTCCGGCCGCCACAGCCCGCGGTGTTTGTCTTCCTCATCGACGTGAGCCACAACGCGATCCAGTCGGGCATGGTTGCGACCGCGACGCGCACGATCCTCGAGAACCTCGATCGCATCCCGAACGAGGACAACAGAACAAAGGTCGCGTTCCTCGCATTCGACACCTCGCTGCACTTCTTCTCGCTCCCGGTATGTATGCGCACATAACGCCCCCGCTTACCCACGTATGCTGACCATTACGCGCAGGCGGGCACTGCGGATTCGAGCATGCTGGTCGTGTCAGATATTGACGATGTATTCCTGCCGAAGCCTACAGACCTGCTCGTTAACCTGACGGAGAGCCGTCCGGCGATCGAGAGCCTGCTTACCAGGCTCAACGACATGTTCCAGGATAACCACACCATCGGAAGCGCTCTCGGCCCCGCGCTACAGGCTGCGTTCAAGTTGATGGTATGTTGCGACGACCCGAATCAATGTTCCATGCGGTGCTAAATATCGTTACAGGCACACATCGGCGGTAAGATCCAGGTGCTCTCCGCCAGTCTGCCGTCGGTCGGAGCGGGTGCTCTGAAGAACAGGGAGGACCCGAAGGTTCTTGGAACGTCGAAGGAGTCGGCACTCCTCCAGGCAGCGTCCCCCTTCTACAAGACGTTCGCCATCGAGTGCTCGCGTGCACAAGTGTCGGTCGACATGTTCCTGTTCAGCTCTGGCTACCAGGATGTCGCCACGCTCGGTGAGTACCTTATGAAGCGACTCCCGGAACATTTCTAATCAAGACACGTCCAGCCTGTCTCCCTCATTACACCTCTGGACAGACGTACTTCTACCCTGCCTTCAACGCCTCCCGTACGGAGGACGCGATTAAATTCGCGCACGAGTTCGGCGAAGTGCTGGCAATGCCCATCATGTTGGAGGCAGTTATGCGTGTCCGTGCATCCAAGAGTGAGTGTTCGACCCAACACGAGTGGTGTGTTACCCAGTGCTGACGGCTGTATTACAGACCTGCGTATGTCCGCGTTCCACGGAAACTTCTTCGTGCGGTCTACGGATCTGCTGGCCATGCCGTCGGTCCCGCAAGATCTGTCGTACGCCATCGAGATCCAGATCGAGGACAACATCACCGCGCCGTTCGTCGTGCTGCAGACTGCTGTCCTGCACACCACCTGCTACGGTGCGTCTACTTCTCATGGTGTTTTACTCGTGGGAGCAATGACTGAGATCTACCACAGGCGAGCGCCGCATTCGTGTCATCACGACCGCTCTGCCGACCACGAACAATCTCTCCGAGATCTTCGCATCTGCGGACCAGGTCGCGATCGCGACGCTGCTCGCGAACAAGGCGGTCGAGCGTTCCCTCACCCACAAACTCGAGGATGCGCGCGATGCTGTGTTCAACAAGATGGTTGAGATTCTATCTGCATACAAGGCGAGCATGACCGCGGCGGGCGCGGGTGCGAGCGCGCAGCTGGCGATTTCAGAGAACATGAAGATGCTCCCAGTGCTTCTCCTGGGCCTGTTGAAGAATGTACGTACTTCATTGCGAGTAGCGTGGAGGATAAAGTGAACTGATAGTCGTCGTGCAGGTTGGCATCAGGCAGAGCGCGCAGATACCGCCGGACCTGCGGGCGTACGCGCAGTGCCTGCTCACGACGCTGCCGTCGCAACTGCTCATCCCCTACGTCTACCCGACGTTCTACTCCCTGCACAACATGCCACCAGAGGTGCGTCATATTTTGGGGTTAAACTGCTGTTAGATTTCGCTCAACATGACTCGGTAGTGCGGTACTGTTGGCGAGCACGGAACCATCATGCCCCAGCCGCTGCCCCTCACGTCAGAACGGCTCGAGCGTCACGGTCTCTTCCTCATCGAGGACGGGCAGACAATCTTCCTGTGGGTCGGCAGGGATGCGGTGCCGCAGCTCATTACGGACGTCTTCAACCTCCCCAACTACGAGGTCCTGCGCGGTGGCAAGGTATGGTTTCCCAACTAACATCCATACCCTCATACCGTGCTTACCCCCCATTGCGTGGCGTGTAGACGACGCTCCCTGAGCTCGACAATCCATTCTCGCAGCGGCTGAACGCGGTGATCCAGAAAACGCGCGAGATGCGGCGGGGCGTGTACTACCCGCACCTGTACGTCGTCAAGGAGGACGGAGAGCCGCCGCTCCGGCTCTGGGCCCTCAGCTGCCTCATCCAGGACCGCGCGGACGTCCTGCCGAGCTACCAGCAGTTCATCTCGCAGCTGCGCGACAAGGTGAGTTCTTCCCCGTTATCGTTGCGCGTGCATAGGACTAGCGTGCTCATTGGGCCGATGTAGGTCAACGGGTCGAGCTATTAGGCAAAGGAGGAGGGTTAGGTCGGCGGCGGCGGAGGACGCGTACAAGAATTGGAGGTTTCTGTTTCCGTTGTGTTCAGTATACGTAACGTATGATCAGTTTTGTCGAGCCTCGAACGCTTGCTATCTATATTAGATTTGGGAGAACCGACCGCGATGGTCGAAGGGCTCATAGCGCGAGCGGGTGAATGGTAGGTTCGAGGTTCCACAGGAGGGCGCTTCAGCTTGGCGAAAACGTCCATCTATGACTTCATCGCTGCTACTACGAGTCATTCTTGGTACTCGCCATCTCTTGCTTTCAACCACTACGTACCACTGACCTATCTAGCGTTTACCATTGTACGCAAGCATGTCCGTCCCACTGACCACCCATCTCACGTCCCTCTCGACCCCGCGTCCCTACTCTGCCGCGACCGAGCACGCTTTCCTTACCGCGGCCGGCACCGGTGCCCTCCCCTTACCCCTCCTCTCCCTGTACCTCTCGCAGGACCGCATCTACGCCGCGCACGCCTACCCGCGCTTCCTCGGCCAGCTCCTCGCGCGCGTCCCGTTCTCCTCCCAGGACGCGCCCGACGCGCCCACAGAGCGTTTCCACGGGGAGATCGTGGGGGTGCTCGCGGACGCGCTGCAGAACGTGCGCCGCGAGGTCGCGATGTTCGCGGACGTCGAACGCGCGCACGCGCTAGAGTTTGGGCGGTGGCGCGAGCGCAAGGCGACGCGCGACTATACGGCGGAGATGGCGCGCGTGGGCGCGCTGGGCAGCTTCGAGGACGGGCTCGTGTTCCTGTGGGCGATGGAGCGCGTACGTGTCCGCGCGAGTGGTGACGGCGTGTGCACATTTTGCTGACTGTTTGGGCTCTCGCTACGCAGGTCTACCTCGATGCGTGGAACTATGTTAAGTCGCTGCTGCCTAACGCGACGGCGGGTGCCGGGTCGGCCCTACCCGCCGTCAAGGAGCTCGTTGAGAACTGGACGAACCCCGAGTTCGTGCGCTTCGTGGACGTGCTGGGTGACCTTGTGAACAGGTAAGTGTTTATGCTCCGAGCCCGAAGCGACGCACAGTCCATTGACCGGATATGCAGGTTATCCATCGCGCCAGGTACTCCTGCGTTCCTGCGGGCGGAGGAGATCTGGGCGAGGGTCGTCGAGCTGGAGGAGGCGTTCTGGCCTGTGGTCGGGGAGGAGTTAGCAGCTCTCTCTGTATGAAGTGGCCGTTGGGGAGAAGTCAGCCGCTCGCACTTAGTCACCTTACGAGTACAACTAGTAGCAATTTAAGAAGTGTCCAAACATTGGAGGAAAGCATGTTGTATAGCGAGTCACAGAGCATTACACACAACTGAGCAAGTCGACATAGCAGATCCACCAAGAAAACAATTGACATCACAAAACATCTATAGAGCAGACACCCGCCCTGGTGAAAGATTGAGAAACGTGTACACACCATGACAAGAAGAAAGGGGAAAAGGGTACACACCACGGTCGCCTCACAACGGAGACTCAGCGGGACGGTGCTCTCTCTTCACATGCCGATTAAGATCGTGCTTTCGGGAGAACGGCGGGTGCCCGCACTGCTTGCAGGGGAACCGGCGTCTGCCGCCGTGGACGTCTTGCAGGTGCTGTTCGCAGTTCCACTTCCGCGTGAAGTCTGGGAACCCGGAACACATAGTCAACAGTGCAAAGCGAGAGCGTCAAGAGTACAAGTGCACTCACCCCGCTGACATTGTGGGCATACATAAGGGCCAGTGTTTGAGGTGCCCCGAAAGGACACCTCCATTGGGAGGGTACCCTGCAGGAAGAGCAGTCTCAGATGTGAGCAAGGCGGTGGGATCCTCCACTCACTATGTATGGGTTGTAATTCCCCATCTGGGGAATTGGCACCATGGGGGTGGCGGGGGCGTATTGCCCGAAGAAATCGAGGCCTGGGGGATGGTCAGAGGTGACCATCGGAGGGGGGTTGAATGGAACGGAGGGGAGCATGGGCGGAGGGAAGGCCGCGTTGATGCCGCGGTAGTTTGTACCAAGATGGGCGGAGTAAGGGGGTTCGAAGTGGGCAGGGTAAGGGGGCCCGACGTGGGCGAGGTAAGGGGGTTCGACGTAGTCGGGATACGGGGACCGGACGTGGTCGGGGAGGACTGGAGAGTCCTGCTGTAGAGGCTGGCCGTCGCGGGCTAAATAATCTGAGGTGGTCGCATCAGCATGGACTGCACTGAACATACGGAACAGGGACTCACCTGGGATGGACGAGCGTCCACTGATCCAGGTGCTGTGCACCTGGGGGTCCTCAGAAAAAAACAGCCGAGGTAGGGCCCCCCGTTGGGGGCCCTGAGGAAGACTCTGAGAAAATTGTCAGCGCAGAAAGCAGGAACTACGGGACGATGAGATAGACGTACCAGTAAGGGTTCGTTTTCGTTTCGGGGAGGGATATTCTCCACCGAGTGCTCGTTGGGGGGCAGACGCTGCCAGTGGACGCCGGAGGCGGTCTCGAAGGAAGCTTGGAGGAGGGTGTCGTCCTGGTAGGGGTGCATTCTGGGTGGGGATGGGGTGACGACGAGGGTCGAACATAGCGCGGGGCGTCGCGCGCGAGATATGTGCACTGGCCTTCATAAGGAGCTGCAGTAGGGAAAGTTTGGGAAGATGCTGCAGACTCGGCAGGCGCATCGCATCCGTATGCGGTCTGCAGCACGGAGAGCCCTTACAGCGGCCGCGCTCCTGCGGCCGAAGCGCGCGCCGGTCATCTGTCGCAGCCTCGCAGAATAGAATACCATGGATTCAGCAACTGAGTCATCCCGGCGTGTGGAAAACGTGTATCAGGACTGGCGCGGACTCCGTCGTCGGTGGCCGGAAACGACTGCTGGGGCAGGACGTGGTACGACTCGGATGGGCTACCCGGGGGAAGTCGTTGGACCTGACAATGGCAGCGATAACGCAGTTGCGTGGGATGCGGAAGATACTGCGTTTGTATTCACCTCTGCGAGAGCGATCGCATCCGCCAGGCCGAGCGGCGACATCGACGTCGAAGTCGAAGTTGCGTCGCAGCTTGTGGCTGTACGCGGACGCAGTGCATGGGCGTCTGCTTGTGCGCATCTGCCCTGACTCGACCGTGACCCCGTCTTGCCATCTGGTAGGCCGCCCCAAGCACTTACCCGATCGTATATCCACCGAATACGGATACACGCATGGTGGTACGCATGGTGGTGATATGTGGATATGCCAACCGGGAGGTACAGGCGATCGGAACATACCTCGCGCGCGGGAATACCGCGGCCGCGGCGGGACCGCTGACTGCGGAGCTGCGGTCATGTCGAGGGATTCCCCAGCTGACCGTCATTCGCAGATTATGAAAACAGCATGGCCATAGTGTTTTTTTTCGGTGCATTCCTATCAGATAGTGCTGTTCGGTGGAAGATGACGCAGACAACCCGGCTTCAGGCGGAGCAAGTGAGGGTTTCCGAAGCTCACCTGAAAAAAATAGACACGAGGAAGCCGCGGTTATAGAAACAGCATACAGCGATCGAAGTGGCGATGAGACTCTGGGGCATGTCAACCGGAGTCAGCCGGAGAGGACAGCCATTGATGTAGAGTACGGGTTCGCGGCAGAAGCACGCCCGACACAATAGCACAACACCGGCGCGAGAATGAGACTGATACCCTGAGCCCTCAAGAAGGAAGACTTGTAAACTCCAGCAGAAGACAGTAAACGTGTGCCACGAGGAGATCTGAGTCAGAGTGACAAGCGCCTCACGCTGAATGGCTGTATGTGCCTCGTGTCGACGTCGGATTCACGCAGTAGATGACCTAGGCCACAATGTAAACATGTCAGAAATAGACCCGCTGTAGATGACACGACGCCTTACTCATGTCTGCGAGTATAGAGAGTGGGCCTAGGTCATCGAGCAGGACGCAGCCGCTGTGTAGTTTGACAGTTCCTGCTCGAATGGAACTCCGAGGTTTCAAGTGCGCAAGGTGGTTCAAACACCTGCGTCGAGTGCTCCGGATCCCATTGCGGCGAGCGAATATCAGCGTCAGATCTCGTGGGGTTCATCCGACGGCCGAGAGAGGCTGAATGCAGCACTGCAGACGACCTAGATCACATAGAAACGAGCGTCAGTGATATGTATAGCCGCAGTAGAAGACCCGAAGGCTCATCATCGCGACGCCATGGGACGCGCACGGGCGCGTATACTCGGCGGAGGCTAGTGCGCATGCCCCCGCGACCCCCCGCAGTCCACAGCCAAGTCGAATGACATATTCATAATGCCAAAGTGCTCGGGGCGAGCTGCCAAGACGCGTCCCTGGGGTATTATTCGTACTGATATATACCTAGAGAGCAAAACAATCAGAAACGAATGGGGTGAATGTTAGCGCATAAGTGTCTCGTATCCGCGACGAGATCTTGGAAAAACAACAATTATGGCAACACAGGGAACTTGAAGGTAGGGTGGGAGACGACTCGCCTGACGGACTCACGGGCGATAATGCGATCAGGGTGGAGGTAAAGGAGGTGGGTGACTCCGAGAGGAACACCTGGAGCGAGGGAGGGCGGACCAGGAGTGGTGAATTGGCAGCCACATACGACCGTGAACACGGACGGGTGCAGATCAGATTCGGACAAGCGCGATTCCGAGTCAGAGGCTGTGGAGACAACTTGAGGCTGGGACAGGGCGGCGACTGAGGCGACTAAAGTGGGACGGGAGGGGGAGCAGAGGACGCCTGGAAGCCTGGAATTCTTCGAGTACGACTTTCACTTGGCCGAGCTGAACGCTTATCCTGTCCAACCTTTCGATTGTTCTGTCGGCCATCTTGACCATACTTATTACTGACCTTATTGTCGGCTTTCTCTATGGAATCCTCAGATTTGTCCCTTATGGGCGTGACAGAGGGCGAGCGATCTTTGAGGCGCTTAGTATCAAAGTATCGTTCATCGACATCTAGCAACGCGCGTGAGCTAAGAGTGCGAACACACAGCAGGCCCAGCGTACACGCACCTGTTCCCTCAGACACTGGATAGAAATCATTTTGTGGGTTCAAGGGCGAGCTGGACGTGGAAGGAGTGTGTAGGAGTAGAAAATGAGATTTCAGGCAGGGACCAGGGTGCCACTGGCAGTGCCGCGGCGCAAAACTATACGCGGCGCCCTGAGATCTGCTTTTTCGATCTGCTCAGCCTCAGCCTGAGGATCTGTAGGGGCAGACGCCGTGGTAGCAAAGCATGAGACGCTCTATCGAGACACAGTGCGAAGGAGGCGATTGACTGAATCGCAGCAAGCGATTCGCTGAAAGTTCAAAGCAGTGAGAAACTGGGCGATCTTCTCCGAGTCCGAAGGATCAGCTCCGTTGGGCGTTGTTTGGTCCCTCACACGCGCTCCGACGGGCGCTCCGTCGTTCCGCGCCCCACTGTCCCCGTTTCGCCATAGACGTGGGATCAGGCGGAGTCAGATGCGTACAGGATCAGCGGGTATAAACAACTTCAAAGGATCGAAGAAGGTAGCGATCGCTCTGATGCTCGTATGGAGTATAGTGTACATGTTTACAACAGCGACGGAAGGCAAAATCCACGAGGGCCTTAGCCGGTGTCCCTGGCCCTGCCTGTGGTATATATCAAAGCGGAAAAGCAGAGAGAAAGGTTGGAGGGATAGCATGCGTAAGGGGGTCTTGAGTGAGAACGAGGGTGAAGAAACTTGAGAGAGGGATTCGAGCATTCAGAGGCTACCCAGACGCTATATGGGGAGTCAGAGAGCGCCGCTTGCTAGAGGCTCACTTCTACCGGCTGCGGCTTCGACCCGTATGGCCGCAAACAGCCGCAACATCCCGGAAGGGGCAGCCAGATCCGCCTTGAATTTCTCGATGTCATAGCCCGTCCAGGTCGCAAATGACAGCTCTCCCGTGTCCAGTTTGAGCTCCTTGGCGTCAGCCCCGATCTCCTTCAGGGCTTTGTCCATCTCCTCGACGCCTGACCTGATCACGTTGATGTGCTCCTCCACCGTGTCGACCTGGGCGATAACGGCGGGGGCAGTGAGCCGCCCTACCAGATCGAGCAAGACGTCCCTTGGCATCGGCGATACAAAGTGGGATGGGAGGCCGAGGGACTCGAAGCTGCCCATCAGGGACGTGGAAGCCTCCCGCAACAGTTTGGCGCGTTTCGGGATCTCCTGGGTGAGCTGTGTGACTCTCGCGAACCGCTCTCCGATCCTGTTGATGGCGGCCGACGTCACGCGTTGTTTCCCCAGTGCCTTCAGCATCCCCGAGGCGTTTCCGGAGGACGTGCCGCGACGCGCGGAAAGGCGGTGGGGGGCTGGTACCGCGCGCGGCTGTCGCGACGCTTCGGGCGCGTCGGGGTTTGCGATGGGATCGACAACTAACGGGACGCGTCAGTTGGGAGTGCGAGAATAACAGAAGCCGGGCGCGCACGCACCTATCTCTGGCAGAGCGGATGGTCCGTCTCGAGCGAGAGAGTGCGACTCTGCAATCGGCTCGACGTCCATCGCTGGAGTGGGGTCCGAGGATGAGAGCAAGACGGTGTCCGGGAGGACGACATCATAAGGCGCTGCGAGGCCTGGTGCTTCGATGTCCTCCGGTTTTTTCTGAGGGATAGATGTCATTCTGGGCGAGCGCAAGATGGCGGGTCAAGACGAGACTCACTGGTTGTCAGAAGTTGGACATCGTAGCTGGGCAATCGGATCCGTTGGGCATTGTTTGGTGTCTTCACAGGCTCGCAGCACTCAAGCGGGTTGTTCTATTACGTCGACCTGGGACGCATTATTTGCTGCATTCACCATTGGAAGTAGGACCATGCGAATTTGCGCGTGTACAACTTGAGGTCAAGAACCAAGAGGGCCTACGGCGCTTGCCGCAGGAGGTGGCGCTGAACTCTACGGTTATTTGGTCTTGTTGTCCCGGGCACCATGCCCCGCGCAAACTCGCCCAAACTGTTTCTGGAGGTTCCTCTCTCTTCCCCCTCCCACCATCGCGTTCCCGTTATTCATCCACGTAAGAAACATACACAGAATGTCTAGATCCTTGCATCTTGAACACTGAGCGCACACCTGTGACGAGCATAGGGCGCCAAAAATCCTGGGGTGGCGTCCGTTCCGCCGCGCCACCATGACGATTCACGAACCACAGGACTTGCCTAGGTCGGAACAAGTTGGGCCCGTCGCGATCGCAGTATCCGCCCCTCACGGCGTCTCGCCACAAGAGAGGCACACCCCCTGACCAGTGACCGCATCGGCCGGCGGGGTGCGGCATGATACACTTTCCGCGGTACGTGGGGCGGGCACCCAGCGCTGCGCACAGGATGACGACGGTCGTGCGGAGGCGCGCCCGCCTAGGCACCCGCACGCTCGTCATCTTGGAGCGGTGGACATCCGCCCCCTATCCACTACGCTGCGGGGAAGCCACACCGCAATGGTATATATACAACGAGCAGACGTGTGGGTAGAGCACACCGCACCGCACCTTTATCACTCAACCAAACCACTTGTAACCACCCCTATCCATATCAACTCAATCATCATGCCTCTTTTCGGAAAGCACAACAAGGTATGTAGTATAAACATCGTCGACTACATCATAGATATTGACCCAATTCTTACAGAACAACGACAAGCACGACGCGAAGCATGATGCTCGCCGTGATGCCGAATTCAACGACAACCAGAACATGGGTCAGCCCGGCTTCGCCGGCCAGAACCAGAACACCATGCGCGAAGGCCAGCCAGGCTTTGCGGGCCAAACTGTGCGTACCATCCTCCGTTCCCCCATCCATCAATGCTAATCCCTCCATCTCCCAGGGCGCCGGCATGAACCACGGCATGCACGCTGACCCGTACGCCAACCAGACCTCCGCCCCGGGCACCGGGCCCAGCGCGCCCGTCCCGCCCGCCTCGCATATCAACGCCGACCCCGCGCACCGTGGCGGCGGCGGCGGTGCCTCACGCCTCGCCGGAAAGGCCGAGCGCGCGGCGGGCGCGATGGTCGGCAGCCAGGCGCTGAAGGAGAAGGGCTACCAGAAGGAGCAGGAGGCGGGCGTGTTCAAGATGCAGAGCGCGGAGATCGCGGAGGCGGAGCGCCTCGAGAAGGAGGCGCTGATGCGCCGCGAGCGCGCGGTCGCGCACGGGGCGCACCCGGATAACCGCCATTTGGGCGGGATGCAGAACGCGAACACGTTGTCGGACGTTACGGGCGGGCAGGCGGGGCACCCGACGATGGGTGGGTCTGCTGGAGGGGCTGGGTACTGATTCGGCGCACACACCGCCCAGTCGATGGGCTTGATTCGGACCTTGTAGCATAGCGCGACGTTCACTTGTATAATTGTATCGCTAGGAAGTTGATCTCTATCATTTGGCACTTATTTCCGGAACTACCTTGCCCAAGAGCCTGACAATACGGAAGGGGTGCAAATTCCCCTAACCTCAAGGTTGCCACACTCTCTCGTACTGCGAGGTCTCCGTATATGCCCGTATGAATGCGATTTTTTTCGCGACTCAGAGCAAGCCATAAGTGTTCGTGATATTAGATGTAAGCAGAGGAGCATGACGCACTTATCCTACCGAATTCTCTCGTTCTACTTCAAATTCTCTCAGACCTTCCAAACCTGTCTGCCGGCGAAGTCTACACTTCGAGACAGTGTTTCGCCTCCTGGTCAAAAACACGTCTCCCCTCAAACGCGCCAAGCTTCACCACTCTCGCCTCCCCATCTGCCCTATCGACACTCCACACCGTATGCCCCGACAGCGCAGTCGTAATGGCTATGGTCCGTATCGACGCACAGGCCCGTGCCAACTCTCCGGCCACAGCCTCTGAGGCTGTCTGTCCTTTGTGGGACCCCTCCGCGCGCAAGTCGAGAATGTCCTGCGGGTCGTCCGAGTCTGACTCGAAATACTTAGCTTCGGCTATGTGCAGGAGCTCGACGCGCGACGTGTGCAGAAGGGGGCGTATCCAGCTCTGTTGGCGGACGAGTATATCAGCCTCAGGATGAGCGCCAAGTCTCACAGTCATAGGTCGTGCGCAGTGCTCACAAAGAGGCTCGTCTGCGTCGCGGGCGGAGAACGGCGCGTGTGCGCGGGGGTCGCCTTCACGAAGAGGTGCTTCACGCCCGCATCTTGGGAGCCGTGCAACAGCAGGCTTGGGGGTGCGCCCGGAAGCACCCAGTCAGGGCCACAGCGGAGGTCAAGCGTAAGTTTCGAAGCGCGCAGGCGCGCGATGGACGCTGTGAGCTCCTCGTCCAGGTTGTGGTCGCAGAACCCCAGGCTGAGGCGGCGCACCGGGCACACGATGCCGAGTGCGCGGATGAACGTTGGGCACGCACACAACAGGTCGAGTGCAGGCCAGCAGTGCCCGGTGCCCTCGTTCTCGATTCCTGCGGCATGGGTCTCGTCCAGATGCCTGTGGAAGTCGATAGATAGTTCGTGTACGTTGGGGAAGGTGCTGCGGATGTCACGGAGCTGAGGAAGGTTCTTGTTGAGATTCAGATGCAGGGTGCGGACGGCGGAGAAGGTAAGGCCCGGGGCAGTAAAGGTGGAGAACTGCAGCGCGAAGTCTTCCAGATGACGATGGGCTCGTGCCACATCTCGCAGCACCTCGACATCCATGTTCATAGAAAGGTGGAGCCCACGAAGGGAGGATTTCATGTTGCCGACCATCTGGAGGAGAAGTGCCTGCGATTCCTCGCTGTATATGTACGTGACTGTGGAAAGATGAGCGAGGTTCGGGAGCGCGGAGATAGCCTCGGGTACGACGGGTTCGTCCATGAAGAGCACGTTGCACCCTTGAAGGTCGAGTTTCCTGAGGTTCGTGCAGTGAGCGAGGACGTGGGCAACCATCTCTCTGTCTTGAGAAGAGAAAGGCTGATCAATTTTCTCAATAGTGAGATTCTGCAGGCAGGATAATTTGCCGGGGTCACCGGAGAGTGCGAATTGGCAGAATGTGCGTAGTCCGTGGTTGCGAAGCAGCGAGACGGGCCGCTTGAGCATCTCCTTAGTAGCTTCTTCCCGTGCGAACTTGGAGGCTAGCGTTATCTTGAGCAGGTCCACGCGAGTGACGAACGCCAGAATCAGGCGGAAAACGTCGACACTGATTACAGTGGGAGGTTGGTAATGGTACGGACGGGGGTCCATATGGCATATGCAACCTATGCCCAATATATTAGTGCAGTGTGCAGTGCAGTGCATCGTTCGTGTTGATGATTCAGAAGTACTCACTCGATACGTAGGTACTGCTGCAAGTCTAATTCTACGGCGACGACCAATGTTGTGTTGTGATCGACGCCCGAGATGGTGGTAAGAGTGAGTGAGCACCTGCGCGCGATACGAGGCTAGATCCATCCGGCATATCCCGAGTGCCAATCCCGAATGGCTCGCACGCCGCCCTAGTACTTAGTCGTAGTAGTGCGACCCGAGCTGAGTAGCATACGCGTTCGCGAAGAGAAGTTGTAGACAGACACTGCATATGAGAGGCCTTGATATCAATTGCACCCCCGCGCGCAAAATGCCCAGTGAGGAGAGAATCCTGTGCAATCGAGTGTATGGCATGCTAATCCGTACATACAGCGCACGCCCACGCAGGCACCGCGCGCGCGGTAATAGGCTCCGGACATCGATCGCGACAAGTAGCTACCAAGGACCGAATGTGTTGTGTGTTTGGGATATACCGCCTCCCCGCCCGTAGACGCGGCCGGGAGGCAAAACTATATATGGCGTCTAAGGAAGGTCGTTCGTCTGTCTGTCTCAAGTCTGTCTGTCCGTGTCGCACCGCCGGTGCGTAGAGAGTCCGTTTTTGCTGCGATCGTCCGTGCGTTTGCTTTTCCTACATTCCTCTCGTACATCCTGCCTGCGCCCACCCGCGATCCGCGGCGTCGCACTCGTCCTCGTTCTCCCCCGTTGCCAGTCGGGCGCGCCACGGAGATGGTAGCGCACGTTCGACTGCGGAGCGCTTACTCGGTCGTGACCGACTTCGCCCTAGAAGACGCAAGATCTGTTAGTGCTATTGTGGGGCAACCGCGAATGCGAGGGTACTCACAAGTTCCGCGGGAAGTCGACGTCGAAGCCGTTCCTGACCGCGAGGTGGTACGAGAGCAGCTGCATCGGGATGATGTTCACGATGCCCTGCAGGCAGTCGACCGTGCGCGGCACGCGGATCGTCTTGCAGCCCTTCGGGATCGCGTCGTCCTCCTCGTTGCACACGACAATCGGCTGCGCCTTGCGCGCCGTGATCTGCGCGTACGCGGACTGCACCTTCGGGTACAGCGAGTCCTGCGTCATCACGATGATCACCGGCATGTTCTCGTCGATGAGCGCGAGTGGCCCGTGCTTCAGCTCGCCCGCGAGGATGCCCTCCGAGTGCATGTACGAGATCTCCTTGATCTTGAGCGCACCCTCGAGGCACGTCGCGTACCTAAACGGGGGAATGCGTTAGGAGGGGCACGTTAAGCCATATGCGGGGAACACTCACTGATAGCCACGACCCATGAGCAGGAGACTGCGCTGGTTCGCAAGCACACCTGTCGCAAGGTCCTGGAGGCTCTTGTCGCCCTCGAGCACCTTCTTGATCTGGCCGGGTAGTGCGTGCAGACCATCGATGATCTCATTGCGGCGCTCAGCTAGCGAGATGCGGTCCTCAGAGAGCTGGAGGGCGATCATGAGCAGCGCAATGTACTGCGAGGTGTACGCCTGTATGCCGACTATCAGTGCCCGCATTCAAGGATGCATAGAGCGCATTACGTACCTTCGTCGACGCGACACCGATCTCAGGACCCGCGTTGATGTGGACACCGCAGTGGGTTTCACGCGAGATGGTCGAACCGACGGTGTTGACGACACCGATGCAAAGCGCGCCGCGCTCCAAGCAGTAGCGCAGTGCGAGAATGCTGTCCGCGGTCTCACCGCTCTGGCTCACGAACACGCAGACATCGTCACGGAAGATGGGTGTCTTCCTGTCGAGGAAGTCCGACGCCAGCTCGACGCTGACTGGGATCTCCGTGAGCTCCTCGAAGATCGCGCGCGTCGCGATCGCGGAGTGGTAACTCGTACCGCACGCGCAGAACACGATGCGGCGGCCCCGACGGATAATGTTCAGGTACGCGCGCAGGCCACCGAGCGTGATGCGGTGCTCGTCAAAGTTGACGCGACCACGCATGGTGTTGACGACGGATTCGGGCTGCTCGTAGATCTCCTTCTGCATGAAGTGGTCGAACTTGCCCTTCATGATCTCCGCGAGCTCGATCTCGAGCGTCTCGATCGTGCGGTGCTGCGCCTTCGGCGTCTGGCCATCCTCGTTCCTACGGAGACGGTGGATGTGCAGCTCGCCCTCGGCGATATGCGCGATGTCGTCGTCCTCGAGGTAGAGGACGCGCTTCGTGTGCTCGATGATAGCAGAGGCATCAGACGCGACGAAAAACTCGATGGGCTGGGGCATGCCATCCTCGGACATGAATGCGCGAGACTGAGTGCGGAGAAGACTGGGGCCGGCGGAAGGAGGAGCAAGGAGACCGCTGGAAGTGGTCGGAGGAACGGCGACTGATGGAAATTGAGTAAATGCAATGCTTCATGCGCTCGGAATGGGACTCACGCTTGTTCGAAGCCTCGTCGGGGTTGGTGAACTCGACATCGACAAAGTCAACCTTGAGCTTCTTCTCCGTCTTGACACCAATGAGAAGGGGAGAACCACGACGAGCGGTGACGATCTCGTTGGGGTAGTGCATAGACTTGAAGACGAACGCGAAGGATCCCTCCAGCTCCTTCAGGACGGTCTTGACGAGCTCGGTGAAGTTCATGCGCTTGTCGGGTTGCGAGTCGTAGATGTACTTTGTGAGGATGGCGACCGCCTCGGTGTCGGTCTCACTCTCGAACTTGTATCCACGCTTCTGGAGAACGAGGCGGAGCGCAGCCGCATTCGTGACGATACCATTGTGGACGACAGTGAACTCGGCCTTGGGGTCGGACTTGAGAGGGTGGCAGTTGACAATGGAGGGAGGGCCGTGAGTCGCCCAGCGGGTGTGGGCAATCGAGACCTGGGAGAGGAAAGTCTTGGTGGTGTCGACGTCGGACTCGGCAATCTTCTTGCGGAGACCAGCGACCTTGCCGACCTCCTTGAAGAAGAGCATCTCTCCGGGCTTGTCACCGTCAATGCCGATTCCGGCGGAGTCATAGCCGCGGTATTCCTGGCGAGCGAGACCAGCGCAGAGGATCTCGCAAATCTGCTTCCGATCCTGGTGGGCAGAAATGTGTAAGAATTCCGTCTATATTGCACCTCTTCCGCGACGGTAACGAGCACGTTCCGGAACTGTCCAACCTGATGGATGAACCAACGGCAAAGATATGTGCGTGGAGGAGAACACACATCCCATCGTGATCGCGACAAACTCGCGCGAACTGATCATATGGCTCCTCGGTACAGCGACTGTCACTGTGGCCACGCATTCTCAGTGAGAGTCGTTGGTACCAGTGAGAGACACTCTCATAGATATGGTATATACTCGAGGATCATCGCTCTCACCGACGTGGAATAGACGCGGGTTCCTGAGCGGGGGTAATGCCGTCGCGTTGACCGAAAGCGAGCGAGACAGCGTCCGAAGACATGATGTCATCACCGCCCATGCGCCCACCTTGCAGAAACGTTGCTCCCGATAGAGACCAACATGATCCTTACACAGTCCGCCTGCTCATTTGTCGGCGATGCGGATTGCAACGGTAACGCCCCAACTGCCGCCGCAGGTGAGCGGTTCTTGACCATCGCGATGTCGCCCGTGTCCATTTGCCGATTTTCAAAGATTCATCCCAACCACAGCACGTAGAGAGACGCAACGCCCACGACAGAAGGACTATGCTCACCTTCTCCTGGAGGAAGCTGCAGTACGCGAAGATTCCGCACATGATTGGGTACGATGTCTGATTGGTGGGGTAGGTGATTGCGGGCGTTCCTAGGCGTGTACAAGCGTCCTGGGCGTGTAAAAAAGTGACTGAGGAGGAGAGAGGGCGTAAATGCGGACAGACAAGAAGAGAGGAGGGAAAGGAGGATGTGTTGGGACGATAACAAGAGGGAGGAGTTTATATTCGCTTCGGACGCGTCGCAACTGAAACCATACATGGAATCTTACGTAAGCGCGGCGGTGTGCCAAAGCCTGTCGCCACCTCCGCGCGCCCGCTCGCGCCCGCCGTCCATCGTGCCCCTGCCCGTCTCCAGGTTTTTGCGACACTGCCTCTGCGGGATACGTGCACCGCTCCCCGCACCCCCAACGGCGGGGAAGTCCTTCCGACGACGTCGATAACGGACCTGAACGATCGCTGCCGACGGTTGCTGCATGCCGCACTCGCACTCGGAGGCAGAGCGGGCTGGCTTCCAGTCGCGAGGCCCATCCACGACCCTGGCGCTCTCAGAACTCGCTCCAACCCCCAAACGTGCGCAATTATGGTTGGACTGCTCGTGGGGTTCCGGGCGCATCACCAAGGCTGAGCTATCACGTTCGAAGAACACCGCTGACGCCAGTGCGCAGGACAGCAAGGCTGAGCGCCGTTTCCTGAACATCCTCTGATCTCGCACCCTCCGGCCATTTTTGCCACACTAGGCTCGCCCGATAGCACTCCTTCTCGCCCTCCAATCTCACACGGGGACGTGTCCCCACCAAGTCTACGCGTTGGCATGTCGGACTTGGTTCTCCGGGTTCACAACGCCGCAGCTTCCCCCGCAACATCCAACTCAGTGGGACCTATATGTGCTGGCAACAAAGACTTCTGGCGCCGATGCAGCCTATCTCGTTAAACCATACATCCCTCCGACGTACTGGTTTTCTGTTTTAGTGCCGTTAAGCCCGCGACATCGTGGCCAGAAGATGGAGCTGGCTTGTCTAATCTCCGCTGTCCCCACCGGCTACCTTGCTCTCGACTGTACTTGGCCGTGCTTCCTCTGCTCTGCCGCCCGCGGTATTTGTAGTACGTCTTCCAATCCTAGTATGTCTCCGCAATGATGATCCTATCTCGGAGCAAACCTACTAGGCTTCCCGTCTATTCCTGTCACCTCAAACGAATGTCCTCGATCTTCCCTTGTGTCCTCGACCTTTCGCTGCGTTGCGCCGTCCAAAATGAAACCTCTGTCCAGCGTTGTGATCTTCAGCACCAAGCTGGCTGCCGCAATCCGACACCGTCATTTGACTGCCTCGCTGTGCCAACGAGGCAGTCTTGTACGTATGATATGTGGCGAGCCTCCGTTTTCGCTCGGGTGTTCTGCGCTTAACAAACTCGCTCTCAGGTAGATCAGGCACATTGAAAGTTCGAGCGGTACACGAGCGCACCCTTGATCTTCCGGCCACACTCACTGCCGGGGTCGTATAATGGTGCGATACTGAGTCCTCACCCAAACCTGCGCAGTAGTACCCCTGCAGTGATGAGAAGTCACTGGACAGTGTAGCTAGCGATGTCGAGCTGTAGATGTTACCATGGCATTGCAGTAGGCATCATTGAAATGTACACGCAGCCTCGCCCATATGAGACGCTAATTCCGTGCGCGAGGTCAGTCTACTCTGCGCGATGCGCGTGGCACGAGTGCCCATAGGAAAACCATGAAGCCCATCATCGACACCAACCTACCGCGCATCCGTTCGCGTCAGTCACGAACTCCGTTGGCATTAGCATATAGAAGAGGTCAAGAGTCCACTCACAAAGGCTGGAGACTCTTGATGCCGACGCGCGACGCGAGGGCGCCGGTGAGGAAGGGGAGCAATGCAGAGCCTGCCTGGCCGAAGCCCGCGATCCACCCGATGCAGCCAGTCAGGATCCAGGGAGGAAGGACGCGCGCGGCATGGTTCATGACGATGGGGTAAATGGGCCCGAGAAGGACGCCGACGAACGAGACGGCAATGCCGCCGCCGATGAGTGAGGGGACGAGCCAGATCACCAGTTCGAGCCTGTAAAGGAGACTCGCGTGAGTTATGAGGGTAAAAGGAGGATAGGCTGAAGCAAAATGTACGCGATTGCAAGGGTCGCGTAGACGTAGATCGCACGTTGTTCGCCGATCTATAGGTGATATAGGTTAGAGGGGGTGATGAAGTGGTAGGTGCGATGAAGATTTGTGTACCTTCTGGTTGACCCACAGCAAGCCGATGCGCCCCAGTGTTATCCCTGAACGCGTTGACGTCATTATAATTGATGCAATTTCGCGAACTCAGGAACTACTCACCACCGAAGAAGCCGGACGAGATGTAGCCAGATGAAGGACCGCCGCCGCGCAGCTGAATGACATAAGTAACGATCCAACCTGTTTGGGTGCCGGGTTTAAAAACGGGCAGAATTTCCGGAAGCGATCACATACGCACCTCCCAGGGTGACCTCGACGCCAACGTAGATGAGGATGAAGAACGCCAAGAGATGGAGCGCCCGCAGGCCGAATATTTGAGAGTACTTGCTGTTCGTTGTGCTCTGTTCTTCGTGGCTCGGTGTTTGCCCAATCTCCGTGAGGCAGGCTTGAGGCAACATTGATGCAGATAAGCGAGTACTCAGTATAGTGTCAAAAGTGAACACGGACTTTCTTGATCTTTGAAACGGAACACGGCGGTGAGCAAGATGACGTTGGAGAGCGCGATGCCGAGCGATACAAGGTAGTGGAACGACCAGTGGGTGATCTGGGAGAACTGGGTCGCCACCAGAGGCGAGGACAGCGCTCCGAGACCTAAGGACGGGCGGCCCGGATAGCAACATCAGCCCTGGTCTCTGGATCAGTTGAAACAAACTAAGGAACATGCCGTAGATAGCGTGCAATATGCCCATTTTCGTAGAAGCATTGTCCTTTAGGGAGGCGACGAAGCCATTTGCGCTGGCGTCCTAAAGAAAGTTTCAGATGCATGGCAAGAGACGCAAAATATTCGTAAAAGTCGACCTGGAGAGATAGCCCGAACCCGTTGATCGCGTAGCCGAGGATGAAGACAGGGAAAGGGGGCGCAGGCGCTGCGAGAGAGTAACCGACGACCTGCACCAACGCGCCTATAAGACCAAAGTGAGGGGACGCGCATGAAAGTTGGAAGTTCACATCGCAACGTACCAATAACCATGACCTGAAAAGCTACCGTGAGTGTCTCTGAAATGTGCAAACCTATAGCGGACGCACCTTGCCGAATCCAAGACGATCGGTTAACCATACGTTTGCCGCGGCTCCGGCGACGAAACCCTGACGGTCGAGGTTAGCGGAGGCACAGATTCAAATGAGGACTTTTGGACGCACAATGCAATTGAAGACGAAGATCAGGGACACGACTGCGAAGCCGACCTGCAGCGCACTGTAAGAGGGACTCGTCTCAAGAAGTGAATGAAGGGCGTACGTGATAGACAGATTGTATGCGGGGTAACAGAGGTCCCGTTGTGCCATCGTTCCAGCCGGCCATAAAATGGCTCCAGCACAGAGTCGCAAACTGTATCCTTGCTTTGATTTTCATAGCAGGCGTTACAGCGGGGAAGGTCGTCGACTGTGCACGACTGGGCTGCTCGCTCTCCGCTGCCGCGTTAGTCTCGACATAATCTATTTGCCTCCCCTCGTTCGTGGATCCTGCCGCTGGAGTAGCCGACTTGTGAGGAAGATGGGGCAACCGAGAGTGCATTTCGGATAGTTCGACCTCCATGCTGGAACACGATTTAGCAAAGCTAAATTCGAAGATGAGAGGGGGGATCTGAAGTGGCCACAATATTGTGCTCACCTGAACTGGGAGAACATCCTTTTATCTTGCCCCGCGAATGCGCTGAGCAATCCGAGCACGCGATTTGCCCCAGGGGTCGCGCATGGCCCACTGCTACGGTGCTGTAGGCCAACTTGGACTGGACGGGGTGTAAGTACAATGTAAGTACGTCGTTAAGTTCCAGGTAATACCGCTTGCGCAAGAACGTTATACCGAAGTTCCTCCGACACGCGTTATACGGGCGCTAGGACCGGGAACAGCCGAAATCCCGCCCTCCTCCAAAAACCAGCGTCAATACTTCGTCCTCCTCCGCGTCCTTGGGCCTCTCGTCCAGCAACGCCCACCCTCTAACGCCATCCTCCTAACGCACCGTCTATAGCTGCTCAACCTACACGACTGATACGACCAAGAACCACTACGCTTTGATAGCGTCAGACCACATAGCTGTTCTTTGTTCACATCAACACCCCTTCTGGTCTAGCATTCTGGTGGCATCACGAGCCCATGGCGCACGCGCAGAAGCCTTCCGTGGACAGCGAGATCCACGAACTCAACGCCGAGGCTGACTTCCTCGAGGCGAAGACGACCATTGTCCCGCACGGCGTGAACGGCGAGGACACGAAGCTCCAGGCCCACAACTCCGATCCTGACGCACAAGCCATGGTCATCGAGTCGCTCCGCGCCCAAGTTCAGGACCTCTTCTCGCAAGTGACACAGCTCAACAACAAGCTTGTGCGGTCCTACGACCGCGTCTCGGATCTCGAGGATGAGTTGCACGTTACTTCGTCGAACCTTCGCCAAACCACGCTGAAGATCTCGCAACTCGAACTGGAGCGCACGCAACATCTGTCCGCGTTGAGCACAGGTCTACTTGTGGAGAAATCGCATGTCACGACGGAACTCAACCGTCTCATGGAGAGAGCAACAGAGGAGGCTGCGCGGCGGGGACAGGCAGAGTCCGCGCGGCATGAGATCGAGCAGGAGCTGGACGACCTCAGTGCGGGCTTATTCAACCAAGCCAACACCATGGTTGCTGAGGCGCGTATGGCGGCGGCGCGGAGTGCCCGTAAACTCGAAGAGACCGAGACGGCACTCCGGGGAGCCGAAGAGATCGTCGGCGTGCTGCAGGCGCAAATGCAGGCTCTCCAGGCGGAGAAGGAGCAGGCGGACGTGCGGGTGGAGGAAATGCGCGGGCGGATGGGCAAAGGCAAGTGGGTCGATCGCTCACCAGACGGCGGTCGCCCGCATCGTCCACGCCTTCTGTCAACGCACGTTCCATACCACGAATTCCTTGTCTTCATTTCTCACCTCCGAGCTATTCGTCCGGCATCAGCGCAACCGCCCGCCATGTCCACCCTTCTTCCGCTACCGCTGCTCGCGCGTCTCGTTGCAGAGGACTCGTACGTTACTTCAATTTTGTGTACTTGGACATTAGCTGAAATATTGCGTTCAGAGATCCGACTGTTCGGCTGGACTTGGCACCTTCGCTCAACTGGCTGTCGAGGCGGTCCGTCCTTGCAGCTATCCACAACGGGCAGCTCACAGTGGAGCCTATGCAATTTGCGACCCTTTTGGAAGAGCTCGCACCGCCCAGTATACCCGCCAGCTCCCATAATACCCACATCGTTTGCGCCCTCTGCGGCATCCCAATCTACAGCAACAGCTCTGATTCTCCAGCGACCACACCCACCACCCCAAATGCTGCTCGTTCGGGCTCACAGAGCGCTTCCTGGTCGACGGCTTTGTTCAAGAACGTCCGTGCAGGGGACATCACCCTTCCCACTTCGTTCACTGGCAACGGCCGTCACTCCGCTCAGTTCGCCCTAACAAGTTCCGAGCCTCCCTCGCAGGTGTACATTTTCCGCCTCGAAGGGACATCATCGGGGCTCCCAGTCTCTCTACCCCTCTCAACACAACCACCCGGTACGCCGACTCGTCAATCCACCATTTACCCGCTGTGCACGTCAGGGTGGTGTTTGGCGCGCTTGCGTATGACATGTTCCCTATGGGCATTCGTCCGAACCGGTATCGTTGAGAAGGTCTGGGAGGAGCCCCCCTTTACGGATCGCCCGAACCCCGCCCAGCTCGCCATGAACGGTGCCGACAAGAAACACGACGGCACGAATGGCGTTGGGCCTGCTCCCGCCATTCCTCCGCGCCGGTCAAAGATAGGCCTGGGATCGATTTGGGGTTCGATGCAGCGTAGCCTGAGCGGGACGCGCGAACCGGAGAAGGACGCTGCGAAGCCGAGGGAGCCGCCGAAGGACGATGTGCGGCCAAAGCTTCCCCCAAGAGACCCGTCGCGCAAGAGCCTGCCGCCTCCGCCGCCCGTACATCCTTCCATCGCGTCGCATGCGCCCACGAAGTCGGTCGGGGGACAAGTCCATTCCGTGCCGCCACCGCCGCTCCCGAGGCGGAACAAGGGACGCGATACGACGCCTGCCGTCCCCGAGCCTGAGCTTAAATTGGCTGAGGCAGAAGCCCCGAACGGCCAGGCACAGCCCGTGGACGAGGCTCCCGCAGCTGAGCCTCGGGCGAGCACCGAGGAGCAACCCAAGGAGGCACCAGTACCTCCCACAACAGAGCTTCTTGTCCCTCCTACACAAGTCTCCCGCACGGAGTCGCAAGACTCATTCACGACGCCCACCGAAGAGCTCGCGCCACCGTTCTCCGTTTCTCCCGCCCCCACGGCCGTACCTCTTCCGCCCTCCCAAGCTCCGTCACCCGAGCCTCAAGAGACAGAACAACCACCCTCGGAAACAGCGGAAACCGGCACCCCGTCGGAGGCAACCCCCGCGCCCACACCTGCACCTGCGGTTCCGCCTACAGTCACAGATGACAAGCCGCCCTCGCGCACCGCGTCCCCCGTACCCCCACCTCTCCCTCGGAGAGCTGCTGCGCGTGCGCGCCCGTCGTCCGTGAGCGTCCCGCAGGCCGCAGAGGAGGCGAAAGCCGCTTCCGCAGAGCCTGCGGCGCAGGCGTCGGAGGGCGAAGCGGCAGTCGAGAACGGTGCCGACGCGTCTGTACCTGCGGAGGGTGCTGCGCAGACCGAGCTGTCGGTTCCAGTAACGGAGGAGCCAGAGCCCATCGCGTCTGAGTCCGAGGCAGTGGAGCCTCCCGCCCAGGCCGACGTCCCAGTGGTGTCTGCGGACGCGAAGAGCGAGGAGAAGCACGAGCCCCAGGTGAACGGAGACAGCGTGCCCCCCGCACCGGAGTCGGACGCGAAGGACGAGCCTGTGGAGGCGGAGGAGGCGGAGAAGGAGAAGGAGGACGAGGGCCAGTACGTGGGCGATGCGACTTGGGAGGAGCGCACGTACAAGGAGCTCGTGCGTCTGCGCGAGGAGATGTTCTGGGCGCGCGTCGGCGCGGTCGTGCACTGATGTGCGCGCGGTCGAAAACTGGTTGCCGGGTGGCGAGGGCGGGGGGCGTTGTGATACCCAGTCTATGGTGGTGGCAGCGGTGGTGTTCAGTGGGTGATTGTTTCGGTGGGTGATCTTATGCGCAGGTGGTAGATGAGCGGGTTGGACGAGGGCATCTAATATGTCGCTTATGCTAGTATTACTGTTGTACGGAGTCCGGACAGCATGCATATAATCTAAACGGACTGTCTTCATGTCACACTCTATCGTAGAAGCTGCACCAAATTCTGAACTTACGATGATTAACCATGAGACGTGTTAGTCAGGTTAAACACCATAAGATACCATGGCTGCTGGGCGGACGCGCGAGCGTGAAGCAAACATTAGTTCTGATCAAGTGGCCAAATCTGACTGTGTTAACGTTCAGCGTGTGTCGTGTTCGATAATGCTCGCGATGTTCCATTCAAGCGAGCGCAAGTACTCTAAAGACAGTCTGATATTACAACATACCCATCACGCTGGATACGTGAGCGTTGAGACACGGATATATAGGTCCGACTCAGTACCTGTCCCTGCGCCTGGAGGAGTCGTACTTGTCTGTCGAACGGTCGCCCCGCCGATCCCGCTCCCGGTCGCGGTCCTTGCGGGACGAATCGTAGTCGCGGTCGCGGTCTCGACGAGAAGAGCTCTCATCCCGTCGCCGTTCGCTGTAGCGGTCCCTGTCCTTTTCCCTCTCGCGGTCACTCTCGCGATACCTATCCTTGTCCCGGTCATCGCGCCGGCTGTCCCGGTCCCTCCTGCGGTCTGGTGATGGCGACCTCGAGGGCTTTCCCGAGCCGTGTCTCGAGGAAGGCGCAGGTGAGCGCGGCCTCGACGAGACCTCCCGTCCACTTCCGCTTCCACTCTCGCCCTCGCCGCCGCGGTCCTTCTTGATGACGGGCACGTACCGCCGCTCCGGACGCGCCTTCCCGCCCCGTTTCTTGCTCCCATCGTCGAACACCTCCTTCTCCTTCGCGCCAATCCCCAGGAGCGCCGGGCGTGACTGCGGGAGCCACGGCTCTACAAGGCCCTTGCCGCGCTTGCTCGCCGCCTGCCCCTCCTTCCAGCCCATGCCGCGGAGGAGCGCGGCGCCAAACTGCGCGACGGGCACGCGCTCGTAGTCGTCGAGCGACGCAGACTCGGGCAGCTCCTCGACGTCCTGTTTGTACACGTCGTCCTCGCTCGGCGGGGGTATGATCTCGATCTGCGGGCCCTCGATGTCTCCGCCTGACGCGGCAGAGGCTAGGATCGCGCGCAGCGCTCGCTGGTCGTCCGTCTCCTCCTCCTTCTTCACTTCCTCGGCCTGCGCGGGGGCGTCGGCAGCGGGCATAGGCTCATCCTCGGCATCGTCGACCTTGAGCCGTTTCTTCATCTGCAGCCCTGTGAGGACGGGCCCGGAGTTGATGGTGTCGCGCGTGCCGAGCCCGCCCACGGAGCCGTCCGCGCCGGTTACCGCGGTGGCCCCGGGCGGGACGTACAGCTGCTTGCGTTTGCGCGCGAGCTCGCGCCAGTCTTTGTTTTTCAGCGCAGGGATGACAAGGGGGCCTTCAGGCTTGGGCTTCTCGCGTACGCTGTCATATGGGCGTGCTGCTGTGAGTTGAAGACCCGCACAGTGAGAGGTAAGGAGAGGACACACCGCTGTACGCCGAACTGGTCGAACCCGGTCACGAGTTCATCCTCGTTTCCAGAATCTTCATCTGAGCTGTCGCGCTCGGTGTATGTGCGCGAGTGCTGCTTTGGAGAGGGCGGGGAGCTGCGGGCTAGAGGGCTGTTGGGGGTGCTGGTGCCTGAGAGATGGCGGGGGAGGGTGGGGACTTTGAAGGACGAATCTGAGTCAGACTCAGCGCGGGATGATGGCGTGGGTCTGCGAATCGTGAACGAGACTTTTGCTGGGGGCGCGGTCGACGAGGACATGGCGGTTTAGGGTAGAGAAACGCTCACAGCTCTTGCGGTATCGAAGCGTGAGACACTCATGTGGGCGTCAACGGCGATGGACAACAAGGCCAAACAACCCGCTGCCTCCTAGACTCGATCGCCGCCGCTTGCTTTTCTACTACTACGACTGCTGGTGGTCGCTCATTGTTTGCACCGCCCGTGGACGCGCAAGGGAAGCGGTCAGGACGGTAAGAGTCAGACTTTGCAACGAAAGACTGAGCTGACTATATTGGCGGAACCAGGATGCAGCTTGCTAATTTACCACCTTACTTCGAGGCTCCGGCTTCCATGCGGCCCAGACCAACGTCGACGTAGGCTACGATCCAGGCGTTACGTTCACCTTCTACTCTTTTGCTCCTACTAGGGTGATGCTCTCCGTGCTGGCAGTGTGAGAACGGTAGGGGGCAGCTCAGGGAAAGTAGCTGTGGGACACGATTGACGTAAGTACCGCTCTGGAGAGACGGCGCCAGCTGCTGTTTCCTCGATTCTTGACTACGCCCACATGATTCCGTATGATACTCCCATGGCTGCACTAGATATCCCGGATCCCAGGACTGTGAAACCAGACCGCGAGCTTGATTGTGGGTTCGCGAAGTCGAAGGGACCAAACAACACACTACGCATCTGATAGTTATAATCTGGCAGTCGCGTCGCTCGACCTCCTCCTTTCTGCCAGTCAGTCCCCCCTCTCAGCTCTGCCCTGACACGTCCACTCTTGCTCGCACGACATGGCACCCAAACCCGCAGAGGTCGAGGAGACTGAGAAGCCGGACCCCAGGGCGCCGCGTATCATCCTGCGCACCCTCCCCTCGCTGTCGTTCTCAACCCCCACCCACACGGTCCGCATTCAGCTGTCCATACGCCCTCAGGCGCGTGAGAAAGGTGCGTACACTCTCAGCTCAAACATCCTCTCCACTCCCCGCTCATGTTCCCATCTTGCTATAGACCCCCGGAGCCGCGCATGGCTCGGCGCGCCGCGACCCGAGTCGCACGCTGTAGACGCCGGGATACGGGAGGCTCTGGTGAAACAGCGCGCAGCCATTTCCGACAGGATCAAAGAGAGGAGCAACAGAGTCCAAACACTCATGCCGAAGCTCTCGAAAGACATCGAGCTGCTACCGGATGCTCTGGAGTCCCTATTCGCCGAAATCGACCCTACCCTTTGTCGGGCCGCATTGTCTATCCCCTTCCCACAGGACTCTACGCTCGTTCTAGCAGCGCAGGTCTCCTCCCCTGCCGTCATCGCCAAAGCCGTCCAACTAGAGGAGCTCGTCAATGGGATCAGGGCAAGCATGGCGGAGATCGAGACAGCCCTCAAGGAGATCCAAGCTGACGTTGGGGGGATCAAATTGGACCACATCGATATCGAGATGGCGAGCGTCGTGGTGAGCTGGGCGGCGCGCGTCCAGGTGATGAACGATCGTCTCGATGGGGTCGCCAGGACGCTCCAGCTGTATGCGGCTCTGCGCGTCGCTGCAGCCCGGATCCAGCCTATGGGAGGGAGCCGCTAGCAAACGGCACTCTCTCGCTCTCTACAGCTCGTCGCTGTCATCCTGTTTGTCTCCATATGGTCAGTGTCAGTATACGTACATCTCGATGATACACGCCATTTTTACTCATCCGCATATTTCCGCTCTAGCCGTTTGGTATCTTGCGCGCTCTTGTTGTTTCCGAGTTCACTTACGTCGCTCTCATTCACGCCCGCTCTACACATGCTCTCTGAGTCTCTCCCTCTCATCTGGTTGATGTTTTGTTGTTCTCCAGTATACTTTGATCAGTGCTGTCGAAACCCGCGGGCGCCGTTCTCGTTATCGCTTGCTGATGATGTTGTACACTACGTGTAGATTTTCCCAAGGCACTGCGCTATCTATCAAATACAGGGTCCGTGATGAGCCCAATTGAACTTTGTCACTGCGTGCCTAAAGTTGTGGATGAGTGTCTTGCAGTGCAAGATGATCTATGCGCGTCGATGATCCTGACCAACAGCGCCAAACACTGGGCGCCACAAATACACTGTACAGGAACATGTGGCGCATCTCTCCGAACCTAGCTCTCTCGAAATTCGGACCTCTGTCTATGCATACTGATCCACTTTCACGCGCTCAACTTCGCCTATTTCTGCCCCTGATGGAGAAGCCGGGAAGCTGAACAGACCCTTACGATGACTCGGACAGTGCGCCCGCCGGAAAGCGCGTGGCCACTGCGGCAGGCCAAATAACGCCCAACGGTACCGTGCTCGCTCGGTTCAACCCTATTCGACCTCGAGAGTCGCGCGACGCACCCTCCCGCCGACGCGTGCTTGACACTCTTGGAGGCGAGTCGGACACATACTCTGTTGGTTTGACGCGTCATCTGCTTGGCTAGCATGGCGCATCTCCCTTCTACGGAACCTGGCGATTCAGACCGGAGCCTCGATCAGCCAGACCTCAGTGCACCACCACGTATAATCCTCCACACCCGGCCCGAGCTCTCATTCTCGACCCCGACACACTCGATACATGTTCAGCTGGCCCTGGAGTCAGACTCTGACGCGCGAGATGAGGCGTCTGGAACAGGTGCGTACGCGCGCGGCTCTGTCAATGTTGACAACAGGCTTTCGTTCCCCACTCACGTGCCCTGATAGCTGTGGTTTCCCGGAATCGCGACGCGTCCAACGCGCAGCAACAAACACATCCGATAGACCCGAACTTCCTCTGTGCTATACCCTCATTAACTGAGGCGGAGCAGCTGCAGAAAGCGGAACGCCGTAGGAAGCGCGCGGCCATGAAGAAGCTGAGGGCGAAGGTTGCGAAAGTCGAAACTTACGTCGGAGGGCTCGCGACAAGTTTCGATCAGCTCATGAACCTGGTACAATCCATACTTGCCCGCCTTAGCACCCCTCTCGGACCGCAGGACATCGCACCGCCCGCCCCTACCTCCGAATCACCCGCCCCTGCCCCTACCCCCGAATCACCCGTCCCTGCCCCTACCTCCGGTTCACCCGCCCCCACCCCAGCTCCCGCTCCAGTGCAGGTTTTTCTTGCATCCATCACCGCCGACCTCATCAAAGCTGGAGTATGCTTGCAGGGCATGAAGGTGACTATCGAGGAGACCGAAACAGCGCTGGACGAGATCGAAGCCGTCATTGAGGAGATCAGGGTCAACGGAGTGGAGGTCGAGGTGGTGGACGTCCGCGGCACCCGGACGAGCGTCTTATCGATCAAGGCGAGGCTTGGTGGCTTGGAGGGGATGATCCCGCTACTCGTTGCTGCCAGCATGGGAGTCGGAGCCCCAGCTGCGGTAGCATGAAGGGACGGAGTTTGGGTTTGGTGTTGTCTGGTTTCCTCATGCATCGTTCTCGTGCCCCCATCCGTTGCCGTGCGCACGTCGTGTTTCAACTACACTTTCGTGACTACTCACTCCCATTCACGCCCATCGTCCTTCTTGCTTGTATCCATGTTGCTTCGTGCTCTCGCCCTGCTCCGCTACACTTGCTTTCCGTCACATCGTCCTCTCGCATGCTGCATCTCTTCATCATCTTGTTTCGCGCTTTGTTGTTCTCGAGTATACATTTACATTGGCACCGCGGACACCCGCGTCTAGTCACTAGTATCCGTGTGTGTTATCATCGTGTCAGAGGTGGCGTCCAATCCCAACTTCAATGCGCTCAAGCTCAAGTTTGTCCCCTTCCTCCTTCTTGAAAAGAGGCGCGTTCCACTAACATGGGCGAACAGATCCTCGACGTCAGTTGTGGGTCCGCGTCCACCACACGGCTTTCACCATGGCCGATCGGGCGGCGATGCACTGGTTATTGCTGGCGAGTGACGTGTCGCGCTGAATCGCGTACGACGATTTCCGAAGCCGGCGGCTCAGACGCGCCCGCCTCCATACAGCTCCGGGCACTCTCGCCCGCCTCCATACAGCTCCGGGCACTCTCGCCCAATGCGCCAAATATGCACATATCCTTGTTTCCACCTTTCTGGTCGGTTGGTCGCGGAGGTCTGAACGATCAGACTCCCAAACGCACCGGATCCTCCGAGTCCGGATCGTGGCGGTGTTGCCTTCTTCGACTCTTCCCTTGTATTCACTAACCACGTGTTTCAGGGCCTTATCCAGCTCCGCCTGGTTGCATCTCCAGAGAACGTGAGAGATGACGCGAGAAATCCAGCTGCTGTTCGCCAATGTGCGTCCGGCCAGGGAAGGCTGCGGACTCGGGGCTCCGAGTCACCAAGTCCCATTCAAGGGGGAGCCGCTCAGGTCGCCACTCGCTCTCAGCAAGTTCAATCTGGACCATCTCTCTCCCCGCGCGCTCGTTCTCGACCTCCTCGCACTCGGTACGCGTCCGGCTGACCTTCCGCCGCATCCTCAGAACGGATCAACCGCTTGCTCTTCGTCAGGCAGGTACGTACACGCCTGACGCCACCGTCCTCTCATTCCCCGCTCGTATGTTCCGATAGCTGTTGAGTCCCGAACCTTCACAGCACGAAAGCCGTGCGCTGTACGGGATGTCAACGCCTCTCCGCACACGCACCTGCGTCCCTCGTACGCCCTTTGGCGAAGAATGGACAGCGCGCGGAGACGCGGGGGAATGCATGGGTAGGGGGCGCCGAGAAGCTCGATATCAGCATCGACAAGACCCCAGTGCAAAGCAACAAAATCTGGAGAGCCTTACGGAGATCCAGGAGAATACTGCGGAGATCCCAGAAAGCTTCGACCGTACGACGGCTGACATCAAGGGTCTCGAAGCAGACGGCAGGATCGTGCAGGAAATGCTCCGGATTCTCCTTGCCCGCGCGCTGCCTGCCCCAGGCGCGGGGGCGCAAACGGTGGAGGATGCGTACTTCCTCCGCAGATCGCCCCCGCTCGTTCGCCACCTCCCGGCCGCTTTCGGGTGCCCGGTGCCTCGATGTCTTTTGTTGTCTCGTTCGAATGGTCTGCTCCCACCCTAATACTCATACGCTTGCAATCCACCACGTTGTACGCGTTTCCGGCGGACGTATAGTTCCCGTGGTGCTGTGCATCCTCAAGGACCCGGAGGCCTCTCGCGTGCTGGCCCACGTCTGCGGCTGCATAGCCTAAGGGCGATGCGCCCGTCCGATACCAGGGTCGTGGGCGACTCACATGACATTATCCGATTTTCACTCATAACGCGTGTGATATGGCAGGCAGAGGTCGTGGAAAGAATGTTGCAACGTCTCCTGCCTTTCGAGGGTTAAGGGACCCGGCAGATTTGGACGGGTATCGCGAGCTAGTCACGCCGCGCTCAGCACAATCGGATGCTGCGCGGATTGAAATGCACGCTGTAGGGAGAGAAACACCGACGACGTCGACAGTACATCGGTACCTAGTACAATGATCTGTGCGTCCCGCAGGGAGAGCGCACCGGTGTCAAACTAGCGTCGTTAGCTACAAGCGCCTATTGTGGCGGACAACAAGGGCAAACAATAAACCGCCTCCGCCGGACCCGAATGTTGCTTGTCCGCAGTGCGAAGGAGGTGGGACTCGACCGGTTGCGGTCTTCTTCGAGCCTCTATTCGTACACGCTGATCCGTGCTGTACACACCCAACTCCGCCTGGTTGCACCGCCCAAAACAAAACATAGAGATAACGGAAGCCAGGACGACGGAGCGCCGGCCGGACCGCTAGTGTGGGAGCGGCAGAGGGACCAAACAACGCCCAACGCGGGTGATCGCCCACTCCCGTCGCGCTCACCTAAGGCAGGTCTTGCTTGTATCCCTTAGATAGGATGATCGCTCGTGTGAAAGTCATCTGAGAGATACTTGGAAACCGGATGATGGCCTGCCATTCTATATATAACTCACCTTATCGGGCACGGAAATCTTAAACAATGTTGTGAACTACGATCCGATTGTGAGGGAAATGCTCCTACATGGCGCAGACAGACAGATTACTAAATCCGGCGGTAATCCTATGTGGCGCGGGCGGCTCTATGCCCATCTAGCGCCCGCCGTTCCCCTCGTTCCTGCGCTCGTTCTGGATACCTTGACAGATCTACGACGCAATGGACGAGTCATATACACTTCCGCCGCCTGCTACACCTCCAAGACGACCTCCAGAAAGGTCTCAGCAGCCAGTTGGGGCTCAGTTCGCCACTCCGCAGAAGCGACGTCCACCCCGCAAGGACTCGATCATCGTCAATCGACCCGGCGTGGCATTGCGCCAGCAGCGTTTAACACAAGAGTTGCACGCTTTGATGCGGACCGATGAGCCATCCTCGAGCCAACTCACCCCCACGTTGGCCGACGCCGACATTGAAATGCATGATGTCGAGGGAGAGCATGACGATGGGACGGAAGACGTGGGCTCTCCCGCAGTGGACCAGTCGCTTCCACAAGGTGATGCGCGGCCACGACGACTCCTCCCGGACACGACTACCGAGAAGCTCTATGCCACCTGGCTCGCCCTCGTCCCGACTCTTGTCCCCGCCTACCTCAGCTACTTGCAAGCGAGTCAAGCACGTATCGGCCAACTTCCCGCATTACGGCAATGGACATGTGAATCCAAAGCGTGCTTGAAAAAGGAGTTCACAATTTTATGCCTGCATTCACACTGTGAGAATGATTTAAATCAGCCCGGAGTCGCCATACTGAGAACGTGAGATTACAGATTTGGAATCGAATATATTCCAAGGATGCGCGTGCATCAACGTCGCCCAAGTACTCGTCAAAAACGGCCTCTTTCCTACATCTCCGACCTATCCCCGTGTCGCGGTATCCATCGACTTACTGGACTTCTACTTCGCGCTCTTCGAGCGCTCCGCCGATGCCGTGTCCGCGTTGGCGAGCGCCCTGAAGTCCATATACCAGCGGCGTGGTTTTCCCATTCTGAACGAAAAGGTGTGCAGTCCGCTCCCCGGAGATTGTCCCAGCTGCTCATATATTGTTTGCACTCACAGGGAGAGCCTATCCAAGACCCATTTCGACGAGGAATTGGGCATGCAGTCCAATGGTACGACTGTCTTCGCAACCGACCCGAGGCTATGGTAGAGTCCGCAATAGACGAATGTTTGCGCTATATAACATCGCACGTCGTACGTTATGCGTGCAGCATTCGACCCCGGATTGCCCTCGTTCACTTATATTTACTTTTAGCCAAGTTCTGAGTCCGCTGAAGGCAGTGCGTCTGACTCGGTTACATTTCCGTCGCAGCAACAAGAAGCTACGCACAGCGGAGGCAAGTATCGCTTCTTCCTGACTCCCGCTAGACCATGCGCTCACCAGGTATCCACATTTGCCTTTTTGAATGTTACACTCATCCTTCAACACAACCACAACCCGAACGGTCGTCAAATGTATCGCTTAACGTTATGCACAACCCTGGATCAAACATACAACCCGACGGTCAAATGAATATTGTCAAATATCTACCACTACATGTTGGGGAAAACGTTCTGACGAACGACATTGGTGACATACCTCCGCTGGTTCGGGATAACTTCTGGCATAATGTTTCGCTGACGGTCGGGCCATACCTTCTGCTAACAATCGCGGACAACATAACATTGATCGTTCCGCCAATCGGTTGCCTCAACCTTTGCCCTACAAACGCACTGAACATGAACTACAATGTTCGCCCGGTTGTCCCCTCCACATATCCACTGATCGTCAATCACAACGCGCACGCCAACGTTTGCCCGACCTTTTAGGCGACCGTTCATCGGGCTACCCAGGAGAGCCCCCGGTAGGCACACCTTCGAGCGGGGAGCCTCCTCTCAGTCGGGCGTCCGGTACCCAGTCTGCGTGAGTATATCTTGCCGAGTTAGCCATGCCGCCGACACTAACATGCATCGTACGTACAGCGCTCGGAACGCTGAAAGTCAGACGGCGGAGGATTCCGATCCGAAGGCCGCCAACGTCTTGAAGCCGGGTATGTGCTCCAGGCTGCTGCAACAACGCTGCCCCGCCTGCTTCGCGGGATCGCGCTTCGGGAGTACATTCAGTAGGTATGTCAATCCCTCCCACCGGAACGATGCGAAGTAGGCTTATGGTGAATCATTATTCTAGCGATGGTGGAGACATTCACGTCGCGCTGGATGCGACATTCAGCCAACGGCATAACATTTCCGCCGGTGAGAGTCCCTGGTTTTATGAGCCCAAGTTCTTCCTCTCCAAAGAAGAAGTGGATGCAGTCGGTGTCCGTATCACTGCAGCCCGTAAGAAGCCTGCGCACAAGCACCAAAGCCAGGTCCCTGAGGCTGCTCTGGACCAGTGCGAGAAATCGTACCAAGCCGCTGACGAGAAGAAGGAGAAAACCCACGGCACTAAGTTCGACGATACCGGCCTCATGGCACTGGTCTGCAGGCATGATATTGTGCTGTTTCTCGCCAATGTAGACACCCCGGGAGAGCAACAGAAGTACGGCATTGCGCTTCTCGAACACTTGTTTCAGCATGTGCCCCCAGAGGCCACGGTGGCCGCGTTCTATGACATCGGCTGTGTCCTGGATCGCAGCATCCACTCGGTGTGTATAACGTGCTCATACATGTTCGTTGTGCTAACTTTCATGTGCAGTACGACCTCTTGCCGGAGACTATAGTGTCTCGGCTAATATTCGCGACTTCGGTGATGCATGCATACGGTCACCAATGGGCCTGCCAACTGGTCTACAACCCCCGTCTTCGGGAGGGCCTGGGGCTTTCGGAGGGCGAGGGCACAGAACGAGTTTGGTCAAAGTTCCGAAAGCTCATTGGAGTAACGCGGTCTTCAGCGGTAAGCAATATCGGATACATCGGGTAAGCAACACTGACAATTATGCAGAGGTCGCGCCGGATCTGGCTTCTCGACCGCCACGCCGAGGCGATCAACATAAGTGCACGTAAAGAGCTCGGTAACTGGATACGGGGCCGGCTACGACATGGAGTAGAGGGGAAGACATCAGCTGCAAATAAGGAGCTCGGCGAGCTTGGCATTAGTGTGGGCGAACTCCGGATACAATGGGAGGCTCAGCGTAAAGCGCAGCTCTCACTCCGTCAGCGTAAGTGTCCGGCGTGTGTCTTCACATGCCTATACTGATGTGTACATATCACTAGATGCACCTGCGCGGCTCAAGAAGGAGCTTGACGCTGTGCTGAATCTCCAGGTAGAGCTCGACACTGTAGAGGTCTCCTTAGGCCGTCTGCAGACCATGGTAGGCACCGACGAAGACCATCCCATCGTACACGACTACATTGCAAGCCTCAAACGCACGCACACACGAGCTATACAGAAGGTGGAGACCCTGTATTCCTCGCTCAACGTCCCGCAGGATTTCCCGGAGTTACGAGGGCTTCCTTTGGAGTTCGTTCGCACTCTTCTCATGGCACGGGACTTGAAGGTCAACATCCGCAAGCGAGCGATCGGAAGCTTCTTTGAATGGGACAAACTCAACCGCGCGGCTGGCGGCCGCGATCAGCCCCTAGGTATGTCACTCTGCTGGGTGGTACTTTGATTACACCGCTTGAGCTAAGCTCCTGGCAGGTACGAAACTGCACCAACAAACTCAGAAGGCGATCTCGAAGCGCACACCTGCGCTCATGACCGCGATCCGCAAGTTCAACAAGTACTGCGATGAGCTCGAGGCGTTGTACCAGGATGAGTGGGGGTTTCCTTTGCCCCAGGCCCTTCCGACCGAACTCGGAGCACTTCGCGACGAGCCCGATCTCTTGGCCGATGTTTGGATCTCTCCTGTAGCCGGCAGCACCCCGAGATGGCTGGAGGACTCGGACACACGACAGGGTATCAGAGCTATGCTAACACTCGATCGTTGTCGAGAGGAACGGCGGCGGCTTGGGAATGAAGCCGACAACCTGTGCCGCTGGTACGGTCGAGAACTGTCGGCCGTTGAGTTGGCCCTACGGTCACAGAATTGTGAGTGTGTTCTATTTAAACTAGCCGCATACATTTCATGCTGAGAATCCCCCGAAGTCGCCGGGATATCATTCCTCCTTCGCCAGAGGAAGGAGGAGTTATTGCTTCTGCAGATGCTCTGGAGGACGCCACTGGTCTCCGCTTTGCGATTCCAGTTCCATACCGAAGAAGCCTCCCGTATCGCGCGGCGTCTCTCCGGATCAGAAGATCCACTTCCTATACGGTGGGTGCACGTTCCGAGCTCCGGAGAGCATATGGAAGCCACCGACCCGTATGATCCGGACAGCACCGCGGCTGACGAAGAGACTGTTCTCGCCCATGACGCCCTGGACGAGCTCTTTGCTTACGACGACCCTGATCCCGCGGACTCTGCGGTAGTCGCTCCTTCGCCTCTCGGCACCGCGGCAACAATCTCCGAAGCCGCAATGCTCGCGCGTACGCTCGCCCTGAGCGACGATAGTCCGGTAAGTCCTGAATGTATGTCGCCGTAGTTGAATACTAAAGTAAGGTGTCATCAGGAGGGTACGCTCGTCGCTGTTGTGAACCCCTTGCCCGAGGCCTCCGAGTCATCGCTGCTCGTGTCGAAGTGCACCGAACGTATCCTCCCCTCGTTAGACAACACTATCCGCTTCATCATCCCCGCGAAGGATCTCGAGCGTCTGCAACAACCATACGCCCAGCTCAGCGACGACTGCATCAATACCGGCGCGCAGGTCCTGCTCCGCGAATTCGGCACGGGGTCTCTTCTTGGCGGCAATCTAGCCATCTTCTCGACCCGCGTCGTGAGTATGCACCGCGCGGCGGCGGACGACAATCTTATCTGGCGGGACTGTGCCCACACCAAGTTCTGGGACAAGAACGTGTGGGTCATACCCATACACCATCTCGTTCCCTCGCCCCACTGGACCTTAGTCGTTGTGTACATGAGGGAGCGGCGGATCGCATATTTTGATAGCTTCGCGAACCAGGACATGTGGGAATCAGACGCGGCGGTGAGCCTCTTTTACCTCTTTGTCACCGCGAAGCTGTGAACTCACACTTTTAATGGCTGTCCAATAGGCCGTCTACCAGCTGGTCTATAAGCTGCATCGTTTCGCCGAAGACTACAACCACGGGCCATTTCAGCTTGACGGCGACTGGGTAAGCTACCCGCTTCTGGTGAGTAGTGTCCCGGCCCCTCGCACCGACCCGCTGACCGACCCTCGTGATACAGAAGAAGGCCGTGCAGAAGAACGGCTATGACTGTGGCGTCTGGGTCCTGGCATGCATCGCCGCCATACTCCGGGGATCTCACACGGTCCGTTTGACGTCTGAGCAGATTGCCCAGTTTCGCGTGAGGCTCTTTGCCCTCGTTCTCACTTTGACAGAGCCGGAGAATTCTGTAGATGAGGTTTGAACAATATGTAGTACATTGTATGATAGGTGTTACAATTGAGCATGTACTTCTTGCGAGCAAGCCAAGCGATACAGCTTCACGGCGGCGGCACTGCTACCCCCCTCCACAGATGTACTTGGACGGGCTGACAGGACAAGGTCTGCGTCGTCCCGCAACTCCCTTACAGGCGGCCGTGATGATGCGGGGTCAGGCATAGAAGCGAAACACACACCTGTGGACCCTCGGAAGCATCATTCGATGCTGCAGGTACATAGACATAACCAGGAACGAGGGAGGTCATCATTCTCGCCGCTACATAGACACTACGGAGGTGCTAGGAGAGATGAGACTCGCGCGTGCGCTATCCGGGATGCAGGATATAGAGATATATTGAGGTGGGGAGTGTGCACAGAACGACGGTAGCGTGCCCTCGAAGTTCGGTGCACGCGGACAACTACCAGCATGTAATATGTCCGCTACGTCCTACGTAGTCCTCGTGGGGTATTTGTAATGTGTCTATCAATCTGTGGAGATATCATCACTAGCACAGAACACGCGAGGAGCTAGTATGCATACCTGGGGTTTACTCCCTGTCCGTCTCCTTCGACCTATCCTACCCAGTTGTTATCGTCGTGGATTGTTCTGTCTGAACATACTTGACGATTCGAGTGCGAGGCAGTAGATGTTGCCCTAGATGTACGATAAGGGATGTTCGAAGCGGGGAGATCGGCGAGGAGTCGCGACGACACCATGCGAGACGAAACCAAGTCCTTGCCAGCTCGCTCGAAGTATGGCCAGCGCTTCGATCGGGTGGCACTATTTGGGCGGAGCTTGAGCTGAAAGTAGACACGTTGCTCCCGGTTCTGTCCCCGTTCCGATCCGATGAGTCCTGGTGCTACGTCGCACTTCCGACTTCCCTCTCAGTCTGTCTTGAACACATATGCCGCAATCGGTGTCCCCTCTTTCATCTCCATCGCTCATGACTCCTTACCTGCTCCGTCACTTTACGGGACAGCTCGCCAGGTACGTGAACCTTTAGTCCGAGGTCCGAGGTCATCCCTCATACGATGCCAGAAGCTGATCCCAAATATGACATTGTAGTTCGGAGCGGACTGGCTCACTCATCCAGTCGCCGCCCTCCCTATATAATCGCTGCTGGTACTTCAAGTCCCTACAACGTTAGGGAAAATATACGACGGTATGGGACATAGCCCCCGCCATGAACTGCTCGTGGTGAGTATTGTCTGGCATGTACTTGTACGAAGGAGTGTTATTCACTGTACATACTTCTCCTGTTATTCAGGATAGCAGGTAATCGTTCAAGCGACTGGGCCAGGCTGTGTCAATATAAGAGCTCATACGGACACATTTCGATGCAGACTTGCTCGAGTGAGTCTTGTTGATGTACGGAAACAAAGGCGAGCCCAGGTATGCTCATCATGCACCTTCGTCCCTCTAGAAGACGAGCACCACGCATCCGCGTCATGACGGCGGCGCAAAGATTCCGCCTGTTGGAGGTGTGGCAAGTCCGCAATGAGGATCTGATGTGACAGGCAAGGAGCCATTTGGTATGCTTCACTTGTTCTTCTGATCGTCAGCCATATGCAGCAATGTGGTCGTCCTCGTCCCGACGCGCTGCGTCGATATCCCCCTCCTCAACAAACAGGACAACGTTTGACCCCTCCTTTTGTGAGTGTCTCTACCGCTATGAGCATGCACTATGTTTTAATCTGGATATATTCAGCTTTCCACGTCCGCGTGCAGCGCAACTCATGTCGATGCAGCCCGTTTGTGGACCTCCCAACCACTCGGTTCAACTCAGCTCACGACAGCGAGGGCGTCGTCCAACAATCCTCGTGTCCCTTTGCTCCTTGCCCCCATCCCTTTCGCCCCCGCTCTCTCGTCGCCCCCGCTCTCTCGTCGCCCCCGCTCTCTCGTCGCCCCCGCTTTCTCGTCGCCCTCAACCGCAAGCCTTCCCAAGTACTCTATCAGTATCAATGCCAAAAAATAAGGTCAGTTGTATGATTACGGCACAAACGTGGAGTTTAATATGCTGAACAATCACGACACAGAGAGTCCCGATGACGGAGCGAACCCCCGGTCGCGCTGCGCATCCCTACTCAAACCCCCCTACTCCCCAGCCTGGCGAAAGCCAAGATGATACCCATGAGCTCGCAACTCCCCGCACGCGTCGTTCGGCGCGTTTGCAGACGCGTAAACCAGCCGCGCCCGTCAGCGTCAACGACTCCGCGACGCCGGTACAGAACGCGCCCCGGATGCCTAGAAACGACGCGTCTGGGGACGACACCACGCTGGGGAGCGGTAACTCGTCGGGGAACGACGCGTCTGACGACGGCGACGTGTCCGGGAGCGACAACACGCTACTTACGCGTCCGTGCAACGCGTCACAGTCCGACGACGTGCTCCATACCCCCACCTCATCTGTCCCGCGTCTCGCTGCCACTAGTACACGCCACGCAGTGAGTGCAAGTTTATATCCTCCTTTACACGCCCCTCACTTCAGGCATAGCTTCTTGTGAACCACGCCGCTCGTGCATCCTCCGCGGCCCCGGGCGGGCAGCCGTCATCTCCGCTGACGGAGCTCACATCGGGTGAGTACAACCCACCATGCCACGAATACGACGCGTCCTCATTTATCTTGCGTAGACGTCGAGTGGCAGACTGGGTCTGCCTACCGTGTCAATGCGCGGTCCTCGCCGCGGCCTGAAAACTCCTCGCGCCGCGAGCATCACTTTGATATACCGCAGCTCACTGGAGCGTTAGCGTCGCCGTTTGCGTATGATCGTGATGTTACCCATGTCCCCAGCACCTCGCGGGTGCTACGTGATATTACCTCCGCTGTGCATGAGCGGGTGGGCGATGCAGCCGGTCAGCGTCGCTCGCGTACCCCTGAGGAACGTCTGAGCTCTACGTCCACCTCGCAAACGGTCTACACTCAGGCTGAGGAGGTGTCTGGCGTCCCTCCGGCGCCTCGTAATGTCTCTGCTGATCTCCGTCGCGACGTTCCTCGCGACGTTGGCTCCGACGTTCCTCTCGACGTTGGCTCCGACGGTTCTCGCAACGTCGAGCCTGACGTCCCTCGCGACGTTGACGCGAACATTCATCACAACGTCGGGCGCGGTGGTCATTGTGACGTTGGGTCCAATGGCAATCGGAACGTCAGATCCGACGTTCCTCTCGATGTCGAAACCGACGGCGACCACAAGGTCGAGAACGTCGTTCGCCATGACGTTGAGAACATCGCCGACCCCGACGCCGAGAACAACCCTCGCCACGCCGTTGAGGCAAGCGCCCACGACCATGCTGGGACCAACGTTGTCTCGGACGTCAAGACAGGTGTCCTCCACGACGTCATGGAGGGTGTTCGCCGCAACGGCACCGCTGAGGCTGAAGGCCACCTCGTCACTCAGTACAACGGCGGCACCAATACCACGTCGAACACCGAGGGCGACCCTCTCCGCGTTACTAGCACCGCCCCTCTCCCCTCTATCCATCCATACTATGTCGGCCAAGATGTCCACCGCAACGACGGCCGTGACCATGTGCCCTCCCATCCGGGCAACCTCTCTGCTCCGCATGACGCCCACCCACATCGCAGTGCCGGCCCCTATCCTCCCTACAGCCCACTTCCCGAGGCACTCTCGTACGCCCACCACGACAGTGCTGGCTACAGCCAGGAGTCGATCGACCCGCACAGTGACGCGTCCGTACAGTACGAGGCAGGTGCGGACCACCGCGGCGGGTATCCAAGGCCTCGCCCGGTACGCAGGCAGCAGCAAGGCGTGGATCAGGTCAGCCAAATCGTCCTTCGAACCTTTGCATAAACGTTAAACACCTCATTTGTCCACTCGTCTAGCAAAACGACCGCTCGAACAATCAAGACGAAGTTCGGCCCATCAGTCCACGGGACGATGGCAAGAACGTTGCGCAGAACGTCGAGTGGGACGTCAGCCTCAACGTCCAACGCACGGAACGTGTGGATCCTCGGTTCGACTTCAGGTCGAACGTTCCTCGCGGACCCGACATTGTCCAGGCCCAGGACGATATGGTCAATGCCGCCCCGTACGTCTCTCCATTTATTCTCCAGGATATTATTGACATAGTAGCAGCGCTCGCGAACACCCCGTCGACGATCTCAGACTTGTCTCGCACTGCATCGCCCCCGCCCCTGCAGCTTTGGCAGGTCCATCCGCTTCGGCTCATCTGCACGACCAAGGGGTCACGCTCTCCGATCTGACGGAGGACGTCGACGACGTCGCGGACGATATCGAGCTCGACGCCGATATCGATATTGATGCGCCTCGAGTTCCGGGCCGCATCTCGAACGAGAACCAGCAGATACTCCGTGACGCGTTTGATAGCATGTACGAGAAGATTAAGGAAGTTTCCGCCATCACCGGGCAGGCCAAAAGCCAAGTACTTGACCAGTTCTTCGCCACGACCCACACTAGGGTACATCTTAAGCACAACGCCTGGAATACCTACAGCACGTACTTCACGGCGAACATGGAAGCTGAGATTGCAGCGCTTCCCAACGCAGAACGTACGTGTATGGACTATACGCCTACGTTGTTTACTAACCACACGTTTCCAGGGGTCCTTCAGGGTACGTCCCTCGCGTCCTCTATTGTACTCCAATCGGGTAGCTGACGATTACTCTGCAGAAGCACCATTCCGCAACAGCCGCATGGTGCGGAAGGCGTGCTACGTTGCCTTCAAGGCTCGTCACGGCGCGAAGGCTTACGCCATCTTGGACAAGTTCCGTTCTCTCGAGGAGATGGTCGCGGGGCAGAATCAGACTGTCGCGCAGCGCCGCACCGAGTACCGGAAGAAGTTTGCGAAGCTCAAGGAAATGGTGGGTGGATACTGTCCTCCCCGTGTTTGTGTCTGCTAACGCTGAATTGGTGACAGATGGACTCGTTCCAGACGATCTACGGCATCAGCGGAGCCTTCGCGCTTCTCGGCAACGTTGTGAACTCCGATGCGGCACTCGCGGATGTGTATGAGACACAGGATACGCGAGGGGTAAGCCCATACTTCGTATGCCATTTACCTTCCATGTCACTGACATTGCATAGTTCTTCGAGTCGATCTGCCGTACTGACTCCGACGGCGTGATCGCGCACCTCAAAGCACATGTCTAGTATGTTCACGCCGTCCCTGCGCGCTGTTATAGTCCTCATCCTATGCTATAGTAACAGAGTGTCGCTCGATAATGTAGCCCTCGCTCACGGTGACAAAGACGTTGCGTCTCCGAACGTGCCCGGCCCGTTGCCGAAGAAGGCTAGCACTGGGCGCAAACGGGCCACTAAGCCCAGCAACTCTCAGTCCGCAAAGGGATCCTCCGGCAAGGCCAACAAGCAAGACACCAACAGCGATGGTGATGGCGGCGCCGACAACGGTGACGACGAGGACAACGAAGTTGACGCCAAAAACGACGACGACGACGACGACGAGAGCGACGACGACGACGACGACGACCTCACCATCATCAAGGATCGCCCGAAGTACATCATCAAGCGGTTCCGCAAGATGCTCAGTAAGTATAATCTCCCAATCAGCTAGTGCTTCTGTGAACTCACCGAACAATTTCCAGGGGCGATCAACGCCGGCCACATTATCAGCGAGTCTATGTTTCCGTGGAAGAAGCTACTCAGGAACTTCGCCGAAGGCGGGGTGGTTATCAGGAACTGGCCCGAGAAGATCCCGCTCCCTCCCCTCCCGAAGAGTGCGAAGCAGCCCGCGCAGACCAAGACCAACTCCTACTCGAGGGGCATAGCCGGCATGCCGACTGCGCTCCAGGACGTCTTCATCTCCGCCCTTCGGGATCCCGACCTCCCGCTTCGTTTTGAGCGATACTCCGGATCTAGCTCCGGTACGTCTACCTTGTGACCGTCGCGAGGCCTGCTAACCGATGTCGCGCTCTGGATAGATCTGCTGCGATCGCGAAAGGCCGTGATCCACGGTGCGCCGCCTACGCCGACTTCCAAGCACAAGGCTGGGCGACGCGTGTTCGTGAACGGTACTGTCGATCGTCAAGGGGTGCCGCGGCTCCTCAAGGCACCGGAGAGTGATGCAAAGAAGACCGGCTCGAAGACGCTCGCATCCGAGGCCAAGGAGGGGGACACTCCGTCGCCCGAGACTGCCGTTGCCTCCGTACCTGACGCGGAGCCGGCCGCAGTTTCTTCCAGCCAGAAGACGCGTACCCGCCAATCCAACCCTACGACCTCCGGCCGCCGTCATGTCACAGTACTCATCCAGACCACTCCGAACAGACGCGCACCGCGACCCCCGCCTAACCCCTCCGAGATCCTCGGGGTGGAGTCCTCCGCCGACTCCGGGGACGAGTACATCCCTTCAGACAGCGCCGCCCGTCCGCCTCAGGGCAAAAAGAGGAAGGCAAGACAAGAATCGATCACATTGCTATCATCCGACTCTGGCTCCGACAGCCTACCTGCAGCGCCCTTCTCCAAGCGTCCTGCCGCCGACACGAAGGGCAAGGCTAGGGCTGACGACGTTGGGCGCCGTACGCTTACGCCCCCTCCGTCGAAGCCCCACCCCAAGACCGACATCAACGAGGTTAGTCGACATCACGACACCTCGTCCGCGCACGCGATCAGCTAATGGCCGCTTCCTCCCGTGTCGTTCGTAGCGTGTTGCACCTGCGCCGACGTCGCATGGTGCTGAGGACGCTCACAGGGCAAAGCAGCGTCGTGTGGAGTCTACGGAGGCCCACAACGCGCGATCTGGGGCCACAACGGTAGGGGTACAACCTACACGCCCCCCCTCATCAGTCCCCATCCGTACGCCTCAAGACGCGCACAACATGCGACCCGGTGACCTTCAACCAGCCGAGCACCCCTCCGTGAGTAGAACCGTCACAGTGCACGTTCTACTTCTCAACCTAAGGGGTACCCAGACAACGGCGTCGCAGGCCGAGAACACCGACATGAAGCCTCCTGTCGGCCAGCAACATCTCCAGAACGCCGATACAACGAGCCAACTGTAAGCGGATACAACGGTTCAATATACCGCAATGGCTGACGCGTCTGTGCCCGTTCCAGGAGCGGTAGACCGTATGGTACCGCAGGCGAAGGACCCGGCCAAGAGGCAAGTCAAGTAGTAGTAGCACGTCTATCAAGTACTAACACGATGCCACGCTCTAGTATACAATCCCCGCGCGCGGCCTTTACGTGCCTGAGGGGAGCGCAAGTGGCCCGGTCGTAACGCGTGTCGGCGATCAGCGTGCGATGGACGTCGATGGTTCCTCGCGCGGTCCTTCGGCCGCGTCCATCGGCACTGATCCCAACCAGCGCGAGTACGTCATGCAAGCCCCTCCTAACAATCATGCCAACTGGTACCCGCCCTCCGACGCACGGGTTCAAGGGAACAACGTGCCGTACGCTCGCGATCCTTCCGGTGCCCGCCCTCCCGCCCTCGTTACGCATGGTACCAGCGGAGGCGGTGCTGACAGCCTCGGTCAAGGGGTGCCCGCTACCCACACCCAAATGCGGAGGGATCTTGGAGAGCTCCCGCCTGCTCAGGGTGCGCACGGACAACGGGCGATGTTCCACGGTATGTGCTCCGTTATGCGACATTCTATAAACTAACCAGTTCATGACGCGCATGCAGACGAGGAGCATGCTGCAGCGCCGCCGCCGCCGCCGAACTACGGCCACTACAACGCCGGCAACCAGTACCCCTATGGGTATCACTACGCCGATGCCTCGCCGGCCCGGTACCCTCCTGGCATGTATCCGCCCGGTCCCTACCCCTACCAGCCTCCTTCGAACACGTACGGCTACCCCGGCCCCGCTGGTTACTCCAGTGGCTTCCCACAGCCGCCGCCGCCCCGGGGAGATCCCCGCTACATACCCTCGCAGCAAGGCATCGCCCATCCGACATCCCCGGCTGTCTATCACCCCCCCGCGCCGGGCTATGCCAATGTCCCACCTGCAGGTGTGCCTCATCGTCCTACGGCGCCGTCGTCACCCTCGTGGCAGGGCGCGCCCCACCATGCTGCGGCGGGTCCTGCGCTTGCACCTCCGTTGCCCATGTCAACTCCGAGTCAGCAACCCGAGGCTGGCCCGGGTTACTTCGACGCAGGGGAGCGTCGGGGAGGGGCGCGCGCGCCGTAGAATCGGACTGTAGCGATTCCCGTTTGCCGTCTTATCAGTTCTTGAGTCACGGTCCGCCCGTCTGTTATGTTGCTGTATCGTCTTCGTGCTAGGTGTCCTCGGCTACTTCGTCTGACTCTTGCTTCGTCCATATAAGATATCTCCCGTTAGTATATGACCTCCGCCCTCGCTGCTTATTACCATATCACCGCCTCTCTCGCGCCCCTCTCTTGTTGTGTAGTATTATCTGTATATACATGTATTATTCGAGCAACCTTGTCAATGGTAGCATCTCGATCTCTCCGTCGTCATGTATAAGTCCACTTGCATCTTTGCTCAACCGTTCCTTTCAATGTCATCATGATTCAATGTGATGACGTTCGGTTGGGTAATACCCTGAACAGTCAGGAGGACATTGCTGTGGATGACTATACAAACTAACCCCATAACTATTCAAGGAACGTCTCCACAGACCACTGCAAGGACAAACCGGCAGATGACAGATCGAACAGTGGCACAAAGATTCACCCAGTAGTTTGCCCTGTAGTCCGCCCGAATGATATTCTCAACGGCTGCTCAAACAATCAATACTCTATTGAAGACAACGTCAGCACCGACAATCAAGCTACCCTTTCTAAAAACCATCCGGCACACGTTCGTCCAGAGTACATTCCTATTTACCACCCAAACGAATAACAGCTCGTCAACAGTAACATCAGTGCCGACCATCCGAGCATTCTTCGGAAGAATTATGAGGTACACGTTATGCCAGTCGTTGTGGTCGAAGTACAACGCAATGTTCGTTGGGAAGGCTAACCAAACATTGTTTCAAAACATCATCCAGAATTATCGTGAGATGTCTGCGCCGACATTCAAGGATGATCCCAATATATAACGAGTGGCTGGCCGTGTAAATCGATCAGTTACCATCGGAGCTCGTGCATACTTGTGCACCACGGGCGTGCCCAGCAGACCCGCCATATGCGGTTTTATAAGGACACAACGGGGAGCGTCTTATCAGGGTAGCGACGTACGCTATACAAGGGGAAAATGCATTCACGGAGCCTTCGTGAGTAAATATACATTCCTGACCAACGTTAGGTGAACGTTCAAGCGAAAGTCGAGGGTTCGCATCTGTCCAGCTGCACGCCGGACAATGCCGAGCCTACCGCGTTTGGCTCCCAGTGTGAATTGTTCGAAGCGACAGAGTATCTCTTAGAACAGTTTCCCACGATCATTCAACCTATCTGAGAGATACTTGGGGGTCCTGCCTGGGGTGGTCGCGCTACTCAACCTCGCTCCCACCTCGTGCTGGTTGCTTCTCGCACCGAGTCAGTTCCCTCCTCCCCGTTTTGTCTTGACGCGTCGTCTTTTGTTCGCCCAGCATGGCCCCTGCCCCTAGAAAGTCCGAGGCTGAGATCGATAAGCCGGACCCCAGGGCGCCCCATATAATCCTGCGCACCCTCCCCTCGCTCTCGTTCTCTACCCCCACACACTCGATTCGCGTCCAACTGTCCTTCCACTCCCCTCCGCCAGTCAAGCAATTCCCGATGTCGGTATTTGGTACGCAGACGAATGGGACGCTGTCTTCTTTCTGTACTCATTTTCTCCGATAGGTGCCAGCCTCGATTCCCACAGTATCATCTCTTCAAGCACGGAGCGTAGCGCGCCGTACTCTGGGAGCGAGGAGAGTCGTCCTGGCTCGCGTCTCTCTGGGTCGAACTCCCCCATCGATTTGCCGACGTTGCGGAACGCTGTGAACGAACTGAAAGCTTGCCAGGCGACGAAAGATGACGTGGGCGCCGTTATGGCGGTACACAATGCGTTCCAAGAGACAACCACTACTCGGTTCGATGGCGTGGACCAGAGTATCGCTCAGTTGCAGGGCGAAATTGAATCGACGAGGGAGAAGCTGCAGAGGCAGATCCGAGCAGTCGACCAGAACGCTAAAACCCAACGGGAGGAAATCTACAGGAACTTCTCCATCATTCAGAATAACCAAGTGAATATGGACTACAACCTGAGACAGATTGGTACAATCCTGAGTAAGCTCGCTGATAGCGAAATTACGTTTCTCCCTCCCCCCGCGCCAATTGTCGCTGTTTTGGAGCCGGAGTCACCCCTGGACCCGCTCGACTTTGGTCACGACGCTCGGAGTGATGATGATACCACTTCCCTCAGCCCTTCCTCTCCCACAAGTCCCTCCTCTCCCACAAGTCCCTCCTCTCCCACAAGTCCCTCCTCACCTGCGAGCCCTTCCTTCCTTACCCGAGCACGCAGACGTGTGACGAAGAGCGTGGAGGACTTCAAGGCCAAAAGGAGCACGAGCAGGGGCGCGAAGCTCCCCACACCGCGTTTGGAGATTGTCCCACTTCCTCCCCTCCGCCCGTACTCCGACCCCGAGGAGGACGAATCGCCCGTCGCGGGTCCGTCAACTCAGATCCAATCGCAGACCCCCGCGTCGCCGACCGTGCTGGGTGAGCCTATTGTGCGCTATCGGGAGTAGATGCACGCTGGATGCATGCAACGGTACGTCTGTGGCGCTCTGAACACCCTCGTGATATCTCATTGATGTCGTCTCCCCTGGTTAGGTCGCGGCGGTATGTGCGCAACGAATGTACCCGCGTGTCCCGCAAACTGCTATACACCTCCCCGCTCCCTCGTCCATCAAGTGGCAACCCACAACGTCCTCGCTTTCCATTCGCCCATCGACTGTGTCTCGTTTTTGAATGTTTGTACTGATAACCGCTCTCACCCCGCTCGTTTGCCCCTGCTCTATGATTCCCGCATTCCTCGCACATGTTCTCCGTCTCTCCCCGCCTCGCCTCGCCTCGTCCAACGCTCTGTTATTTTCCAGATTCCATCGCGGACACTCGCGCGTGCGCCAACATCCGCTCCACACTCGTTTAGCGTTCATCCTTGTATACTCCGGATAGATACCCCCAGAATGCCACGCTGGTCGCTCCATCATGGGCACTATGGTGTTATGGATATGATCTCTTCGCTTGCCCGCGCCCGCCGGGCGCGGCGTTCCTACATAGAAGCACTTGTATCCGGTAAGAAGCGCGGCAGGCACCCTCGCAGAAGAGCCCGCAGTCTTTCCTCGACCTGCCTATCCTTGCCGATTAGCAGTAGATTGAGGGCGTGTCCCGACCACGGTACGTGGTCGTCTCTTCCGCCAGCCCCCGCCACAGATCGCCCCTACGCCCTACCGGCAGACCGTCACTCAATACGTTCATAATGCACGCCGACTATCTTTGCGTCTCTCGTTCCGATCCCAGTCCTTTGCTCTCGCCCTTCAAATTTTCAATATTTTCTCTCCGTTCTGTCCTTTCCGCTCACGTTCTTCCTGTCTAGATCTCGCTCGCGCGAGTCTGTGAGACTCACACATGTACCGGCTCCGTGCACATCCGCGCACGCACCATTGACATCATTCGCCCATACGGTTGCCGTATATACTACGGATTCCAAGGACGTCGCACCGCTATACGAGCGCCATGGCATCATAGATACGGCCGTGACTTTGGGGTATGCCGCGCTTCGCGGAGGGGATTCGAGTGCTAGTTTTACTCGGCAACATCGGTTCTGCCCTTCAGGGTCTTGTCTGCAATCCGCAGCTCGTACATACTCGCGTCCGCGGCTATCGAGAACTCTGGTATGCGCTACCACCACGGTGCTGTCCCACAAGAGCAAACAATGATTGATGAATTGTCATCTTCCAAACGCTTGTCTACAGCCGTTGAACTGAACTCGACTGCTTGCCGCCGAGCTCTCCCTGCACACGCACCATACACACACTCATCTCAGCCGTATACATCCATCTTCATCCATCTCCGCCTGGGCCCACCGCCCACGGCAAAGCGGAGAGATAACGGATCCCAGGACGACGGAGCGCCCGCCGGACCGGGTGCGTGGGACCAAACAACGCCCTTAACGCGGGTGATTGCTTCGCATCGGTCGCGCTACTCACCCTCGCTCCCACCTCGTGCTGGCTGCTTCTCGCCCCGAGTCAGTCCCCCTCCCCGTTTTGTCCTGCCCTGTGTCGCCTTTTGTTCGCCCAGCATGGCACCTGCCCCTAGAAAGTCCGAGGCTGAGATCGATAAGCTGGCAGACCCCAGGACGCCGCCGCATATAATCCTGCGCACTCTCCCCTCGCTCTCGTTCGCTACCCCCACACACTCGATTCGCGTCCAGCTCTCGTTCCAGTTCCCCACACCGCACAAATTACTCGCCATGCCTGAACAGACAGGTGTGTGTATCCGCTCTGCCCTAGCATCCTCGCATTCTTTGCTCACGTGTCCCCCGACAGCTGTCGATGTACAACATACCCCGGATCCTCGCTATTCGTTCGGCGGGCCGGCGCAGCCATACAACACCGACCCCAGCACTCGTACGCAACTGGACACTCTCCAGGAAAGGATGGCCACCAAGTATGCTCTCGATTCCTTGATCAAAGAGGTGGATCGGCGTACGGAGGTGACCAACGGCAAAATCGACGCCATCTCTACCGCGTTCGACGAGTTCAAGGATACCACCTTCAAAGAGTTTCAGACTAAGAGGGAGGTGTTCGAGAAAGAAACCAGGGAATCCCTCAGAAGCCATTCCACCCAAATCGCGAACGTTTCACTGCAGGTCGGGGGCCTCAGGGAAGAGGTAGAGGGCCACGTTGAGGGCCTCAAGGGCGAAGTGCAGGCCCTCCAGAACAATATGAACGAGAGGTTGGATGCTCTCATGGCCATTATCTTGCGTATTCCTGGCGTCGAGATTCCAGCCGCGTCTCTCGCGACAGTTGCTCCCCCCAGCGTGCCAATTGTTACCACCACACCCTTGCCACGCAACCGCGAGTCTCCAGTTACCTTCCACAATCCGCATGATTCCGACACCTCTAGCCTCCCCGATTCCCTTCTGTATCCTCCCCTCGAGCCACCGAGTCCATCCGGCCTGAGTCCGTCGTCCCTCAAACCGCCTTCTCTGCGTAAGCGGATCTCGACGGCATCTATGAACAAGGTGACCAGTGTCACAAAGACCGTCCAGGGAGTATTCAGCCGGTTGAAGACCGCAAAACACAATATCGAGGACACGATGCAGGACCTGGACGCCATGACGCAGATGCTCCAGGCGGGGCAACAGCAGGACGACGCGCTCCTGCCGTCTCCTCAGGAGTACGAATCACCCGTCGCGGGCCCGTCGACTCCGACGGAGACGCAGACTGCTTCGAAGGGGAAGTCGAAGCTCAAGTTGGGCCAGCCGATCCAGCGCGACCGGCAGTAGATGCAGGCAGTACGCACGCCGTGGTACGTCTGGTTTGATGGTCTTGTTGTTGCGTTGCTCATCAACGGCCTCTTGATCAGGTTGCTGAAATACACTCGCGAGGAGCACCCTCGTATACCCCGCGAATCGCCATCGCGCGCTGCTCACCGTCTCCCAAGAGACTCCCACTTCTCCGCAACACGCACTATGCTTTCCGTCCCCCCGCTTATCAAATGGCAACACACAACCTATCTGTTTTCCATCTGCCCATCGCCATTCCCTCGTTTTGTATGTTTGTACTGATATTCGCTCTCGCCCGGCTCTCCCATCCCTGCTCTATCCGTCCCGTCTAGTCTTCCTCGCACATGCTATCCACCTACTCCGCCTCTCGTTATGCGCACCGTTATTCCCCGGATTCCTCAGCGGAGCACTGCGCCTGCGCTAACATCCGCTCCACACTCGTTTGAAGTCACTGTTTGTTGTTTACGTGTACACTACGGAAAGATACCCCAGGAACGCTGTGTTCGTTGCTCGCCCTGAGCACCATGGCGTAATGGAATTCATCTCTGCTTGATTATGCGCCTCGCGCGACGTTCCTGGTGACATTTGCTGCCTACTATCCCAATACCGAGTTCACACAGGTAAGAGGGCCGACACAGGGCGGCGGCCGGACGCGGGTATCGCCGGCCAGGGCTTGCGTCGGACACCCCGAAGCTGTCGGCGGCGAACTACACCGGTGATCAACAACAGTTGTGTATCCCTCGCTAACCCATCTCGTACCCATCTCACGTTGTGGTCGTTGTGCCATGCATAAACTGTTCTCAGACGTACATAACAGAGTCGTGATATATGAAAGAGCTAGATGAAGCAGACGATTTGCAGACACCCCTTACGTCGGCAATCCTGCTTCGCTTCGGCGATAGCAGCGTGCGCGCCGGCACGTCCACCGCGCCCACCCCTGTCCACCCCCAGAACCACCGTGACCCCCGCGCGCCCACAACCTGCAAGCGGCAACCTGCAAGCGCCACGCCCAGCGCACGCGCACGCCCGCCGCTACCCACACACCTCCCAGCGGCCCTTCCCCACACACCACAGCCGCCCCTCCCGTCTGCCCCACTCGAGCGCCTCCTCGACCGACCACAGCCCGACGCGCGCCCACCGCTCGTCGCTGTTCCGCAGCCACGCGAGCAGCTCCGCCGCCGTCGGCCCCACCGCAGCCTGCGTTCCTCCTTCGGCGCCCGCCTCTTGCGCGCGGAGGCGCTCGATGAGCGACGGGGCTTGCCTGGGCTTGGGCGTCGCGTCTCCGGATGGCGCTGGGGCTGGGGCGGCGGAGGCCTCGGCGACGAGGCTGGCGATGGCGCGCTCGAGGACGCGCGCGAAGTAGACGGGCGTGAGCGGGACGTAGGCTTCCTCGCTGGGCTCGGGGTCGCTGAGCGGCGCGTCCTCGTCCCACTCGTCGTACGCCGGGAAGCTGCGCGACGTTCTTGACGATGAGGTGGTTGTAGACGCGGACATCGATGCGGAGGTAGAGGAGGCGGTGCTGGTGTTCGCCTTCCAGAGCGCGGAGGAGAAGGAGGAGGGGATGAGCGGGTCGAGGGCGGGCATGGGTAGCGGGCGGATGGGCCCGTCCCAGAGGACGATGCTGCCGTCTTGGAAGAGGGTGCGGATCGCCTGGCGGAAGAGGCGCTTCGTGGCGGCCGCTGCAGCCTTCGGGTCTGCGAGGTCTACTTCTTTCTTCGACGCGGTAGACGTGGAGGCGGACGTAGATGTAGAGGCGTGGGTCGAGCTCGACTTGGACTTGCTGCGACTTTGGCTGCGTTCGGCGTCGACCTTCACCTTCTTGCGCCCTTCCTTGGCGCGGCGGTGCGCGTCGGCGTGTATGACGCGCCGCGCGAGGAGGGCGAGCTCGGGCACGCGACGGAGGTGGGAGAGCGTGTAGCCGTAGACTTGGTCGTCGTCTTCCTCAGGGCCATCGAACTCATCTTCTGTGTCGGTATCGTTGTCAGAGGCCAAGGATGAAGGTGATGATTTGTCTGCATTGAAAGGGCGAAGTCGAGAGGGACGTGGAGTCGCGTCTGTCTCGCGCGCAGACCGCCCCCGACTGGCCTTCGTAGGCGTCTCGAGGGCATCTCGTTGACGTGCTTGCGAGGACTGAGGGGAAGGCGAGGGTGAGACGGAGCGAGAGTCTAGGCTACGCCTTCGGCGGCGTGTGGGCGGTGGTGCGTTGTCCATGTAGTGCTTGATGTATATGCGCAGAGTGTGTACTGTTACATCGCGCGTATGTAGGCGCGCAGGGTGTCGTAAACGGATCGGAGACTGTAAGGAGGCCTGTAAGTGAGCCTGCCCCCTTGCAGACTGTCACTCGACTTACCGGGGGTTTATCACCAGCCCCAGAAGCCGGCGACGATGTCGACGCGACAGTGCTAGGAGAGGTGTTGGTTGACGCAATGGAGCGGACAGATGCCGGTGTCCCAGGCTCCTGGGTGTAATGCTGGGTCCCGTGCTTGGATGGAGATCCCGGCTGGTTTGCTGCGTAGAACTGCGAAGTGTAGGTTGAAGCGCTCGGTATCGGCGGTGGGACGAAAAGTGGTAATTTCTCCTTCGGATGATAGGTTGTGCGGTGCAGTTCCGATACAGCTAGCCAATGGGCAGGCTCATCGTTGAAGGAAGTGCATCGAGCTGAGAAAGAGGAGATGGTTAGCGGCCTGCTGTACGAGGCATAGCTACGCTTCTTACAGATGTCATCGACGAGAAGCATTCGAGAGTCATATCTGCTAACTACACGTCCGACGACTCGGACGGACTGGCCGACGCGGGCGACGGGCTTGGGAGGCGGAGGTGGTTCCAGTACAGTGCGCCTGGCGGCGGCGGCTGACACTGACGTCGTAGCCCTTGGTGGCGGCAAATAGTCACCGAAGGATGGACCGGTAGCTTTGCTTCTGTGCCCACTTGGCGCCACCTCCTTCGCTCGGGGTTTAACGGGACTAGGAGGAACGATCTGCGCATGTGCATGGGCGCAGTCGATCACTGCCGTCCCGTCGTCAATCGTGTACACCGTGCGCTTTTCCCACACTTGTACCCCGACAACTAGGCCAACGAGGCGGACGGTCCTACACGGGATACGTCCTAGCCAGAAGAACTCCATATCTGTTGGGATGAAAGTCAGCTACCCAACATTTGGTGTATACCGAAGAGTCTCTGACCCCTGGATCCACTTTCGCGCATTTTGAGGACGTCGCGTATGAAGCATGGGGCGACAGCTGCTTTCGTGAAGGTCCATCGGTGAATCTCAGCTGGGGTTGCTATGGGCGCGCCCTCGTCGTCATGTACAGTAGTTTGGGGCACTGGTACTCCTGCTGCATCTTTCACCACGGCATCTGGGTGTGGCGAGCCCTCAATCGTGCGGCGCCGTTTTGAGGGTGACAGCAGAATGGATGATGTTGACCGTATGATTGTCGTCTTCGTTGTAGTTGCACTCATATGTACACTTGATTCGAGAGCCTTGCGCTTCAGCTTGACGTGATGTTCGTGGTGTCAGCTCGAGCAGAGTCGGAAGTTTCCTAGGGCGACGTTTGCAGTTCAAATTGATATGTCAGAATGCAAGCTAGGCATTGGGTGGGCGCAGGTAGTAAAGGTATATTCCTGAACAGATAGGCTTAGCGGCAGAGGCGGCGACACGGAGCGAGAGGAGGAGGGGAGGTCGCCGGAAGAGGACAAGAAGCAAACGAAACCTCGCGCGCGGCGCGCGGTCGCGTCTAGCCACGTGACGGTCCCGATTCGGTCACCTGACTTCCTCGCGTGGAGACGCCCCGCGGGCCCGCGACCTCTCGCCACCGCCGCAGTGCATACCGGATCCCTCATTCCATCCGCCTCGCCTCCTGCAGCCCACTATCGATCGCTGAAACATCCGGAACATGCCAATACTGCGCAGCGAGCCTCAAACATGATACAACTATGCAGAGCGGAGGACGGGTCGGTCGTGCAGCTTCAAGAGGTGTCGATGTGGGACTTGGAACGGTACGTATACCTTTGCAAGCTGTATATATGATGCGCACATCAAGAAGGTCCCCAATCTCTCTGAGTGGCTCTCCGTGGGCTGCTTAGATGATCTAAACTTTGACTCCCTGGACCAAGTGCCAATCCCGATCCTAGCCGTTCATGCTCCATTTTGTTCAAGTGCCAGAGTTTAGAGGGGTTAACTCTCGCTTTAAACCTTGAGGTGCGAACGTACTCAAAGTGTTGGCGATAGCGAAACAGCGCTCAGAAATGGGAGAACCTCCCACCTTTCGATCAAGTTGTTCCGCGGAGCATGTCGGTCGAACGTGTACCGCGGGACAACGGCGCAACCACGAACGTTACCCACGAGCCAAAATGTGTTCAAGCCGTCGCGGAGAGCCATCTATTCCGCGATATGTTTCCGTAACGTCTGCGGCTGCTGCCATTCGATCGATTCACCGGACCATAGTACCCTTAACTCACCCCGGTCACTCACCGTTGCATTCCAGGTTAAACGATCTCGACCAGTTCATTTCCGAGAAGACGGGCATCCCACATGACGCAATCTGGGCGTACCTCTCGGATGGAAGGCCATTGCGCAACGACAACATTCGCGACCTGGCAGGAGTAGAGGACCAGGTGCGTAGCGTCTCGCTCCGGCTCCTCGCGCCCACTGACACGGTCACAGACAATCTATGTGTTCAACAAGGCATACCTCAGCATGGACACTGAACAAGTACTAAATGATCTCCATTCCGACATAGAGCTGCAGCCTCCTGTGGAAGGTATGTCTATGTATTACCGGACTTCGCGTACGTGCTGGAAGTTGGTACAGATGCTATAGCTTCTACACCACCCTTCCGAATATCGCAACTCGCGGGAAGCTACTTGCAAACCGCCTCCGTTCACCTAGAACATATCAACCGCACACTCAGTTCCCTCCACTATCAGCAGAATGCGCTCCGAATATCCTCGGGAGCACTCGATCTACACATACTTGCTACTTCCGAAGGCTTTGAAGCGCTTTCCAACATCGCACAGCGCGAGCTTGACCGTCAAGCGAAACTCCTTGGCGGCATCAATGCGGACCTGGAGATCGTGAGCCGCGTCAAGGTGCACAAGGAGTTCCTCAGCGCGTCCGTGCGGAAGGCCATGGAGGCAGGGGACAGAGGCCGCACGCTCGGTGACTATGTGAGCAAGGTCAAGATGGAGCAAGTCGCAAACAGCTGCATGAACACGCATGAAGACTTGCGGGCACGCTTTGAACAAGTTCAGGAGGCTATGTCCAGGCTCAGCCTTGGGGGCGATGAGGTGAGGCACGCCGTCACGAACCTCAGGTAAGTCGACCGTGTCCCACTTTGTGTGATGGTAACTGAAAGCATACAGCTCACTCGAAGAGGGCGAAGCCAGTGCGCGGAGGGCACATGAGGCATGGGAAAGCATTTCGGCCATTAATGCTTCTCCAGAACGTAAGTCTCGGGACTCATTGCTGTGACAGTTCTAAACAACCTCTCTAGGCCCAGGATCGTCCTCGGAGAAGGCCCTACATGGTATGTGCTGACCTGCATAAGTTCAAGTGATTGTTCTAATTAAGGGCAGACTTGCGTCAACTCGACGCTGTCTTGCGGACTGAGGTCCAATTCATGGTGGACGTCAAGGTACGTGTAGAGCATACATTGGTAATCCATGGTTGACCTCGTTTTCGGTCATAAAGAACACGTATACCGAACAATGTGTCTACGCTATCCAGCGCATCAGCGAACTCAACACGGAGCTTGTAACGTTACCGTCTGCGTTATCAACGCTTCAAGCGAGCTTCAGGGCGAAGACGAGCTTTTCGCATATCTCCCGGCTGCACAATATGCTCTACGCCTATGGCGCCACGGTGATCGAAATCGTGAGGCGAAAGGAGTTCGGTGCGTTCGGTGAGTTGGGCGATTGCGACTTCAACTGAAGAGCGCGCTCTACAGCGCGGTTCTTTTATCAACGGGCCCAGAGTATCCTCGAGGTTATGGCAAAGCTCTCGTAAGCCTGTCTCCTCCCGAGACGTAAACCTGCTGAGTTTGTCGTCTCAGGTCAAACGAGCGGAAGCGTCGACAAGCCCACAAGAACGAAGTGCAGAATGAGCTGCCTTTCGAGGTCAAAGCGCTCGAGGACCCTGTCCCACATATCGACTTCTCTCCACAGGGGAGCACGGACTCGCCGTATTCCCTGGAACGTCTGGACATTGACGGTGAGCACCTGACTTAGGTTTGGTCATAATGCGCGAAGCATACTGATCGGCGGGGTCTTCCATAGATTTTCTGCATGTCCTCGACGATCTTGAGCACTTCGCACAACAGTCTCAAGATACCGCTGCGCTGGACTCCATTGCGGAAGCCCGCTCGAAACTGGACAGGCTGATCGGGAAGATGGATAGCCTCGAATCTGGGTTCGATCGGATTGCTGAACGATCCCGTGTGTGCCTACGCCCGCCGTATCGCCGTTGTCGCTGATCGTTTCGTTAGTGCTCTCGTCTTCTAGGCTACTGAGCCACCGACGCAGAGGTACGCATTCATTGACGAACCCAGGTGGATGACGCGCCGCTGACCGCATGCCGACATACAGCCACGGAGGACGACCAGGCGTACGTAGAGCTGACGTCCCAGCTGCAAGAACTCCGGCAACAGAAGACAGATGCAGACGCCGCGCACGAGCGCAGCCGGGCCGCTATGGACTCGGAGATCTTCCAGCTGCGCGACTCGCTGCAGACGTCCGAGACGGCCCGAGGGCAGCTCGAGCGTGACCTGCATTGTGTGCGCGCGCAGCTGGAGAGCGAGGCGAATGCGCGCCGCATTCTCGACGAGCGGAATACGGAAATCTCGGCGGAGGCCGGAAACAAGGGCGAGGAGCTCGCCAATGCGTTGGCGGAGGCTACCGAACAGGCACGCGTCGCTGAGCATCTACGACATGAGCTGCTGCAAGTGCAGGAGGAGTTCGAGGCCGTCAAGTCGTTGGAGGCACGGAACGCGGAGAAAGTCGCTACGCTGCTGGAGGACCAAGCGAATACTCTTCGGCGTCTGGAAGAAGCCAGGGCGCGTGGAGAGGACCTGGAGACTCAGATACAAGACGCGCGGTCTGAGAGCGATGTCGTAAAGCAAGCACTCGCCGAGGCGAGCAAAGAGAAGGACCGTCTCCTTCGCGCTCAGGCGTCAGAACACGACCGGCTATTGCGGGACCACATTGCGGAGGCCGACGGCGACCGTGCGGTGCTCGAGCATCAGTTCTCAGAGCTGCGAGCGGCACTGGAGAACGCGGAACGCCAGCTCAAGGACGCACGCGCCCAGGCCGAGATGGCGAACGCCGACGCAGTGGGCCTGCGAGAGGAGTTACAGCGCGTCGAACACCAGCTACGAGATGCTCGACGTGATGAGCGGACCGTGCGGGAGGACCTCCGCGCCGGACGGGCGTCTCAGTCCGAGTACGAGCACCGGCTCGAGGAGAGCGAACGGCTGGTCGCGCAGCTGCTCGACGTCGCATTAGCGTTCCGTAACGCGCACGTCAAGGCACTCACCGCCGTGCAGACTATGGTCACGCATCCGGGCAGCAAGAACGCTGGTACTGTGAACCTCGCAGACTCGACGCACAGCAACGGGCGGCATGCTATCGTACCTCTGTCTGGCGAGCCTCTGCCTATCGACCCATCCGACCCAGTCGGGGCGCTCGAGGCCCTGCGTGCGTTTGACCACGACCACTTCTTGGAGGCGATAAGCAAGGCTGGCTCTACGATTCGCAAGTGGCAGAAGCAGTGCAAGGACTATCGCGAGCGGGCGAAGGGCAAGATCTCGTTCAGGAACTTTGCAAAGGGCGACCTGGCCCTCTTCCTACCGACGCGTAACTCTGTCTCGAAGCCGTGGGCCGCGTTCAATGGTGAGCCTGGATGGTGATGATCAGCAAATTTCGTGTGGCTCTAACGTCCGACAATTCTCCCTGGTCGTGATTGTTGCCCAGTATCATTCCCGCACTACTTCCTACAAGCGACAGGGCACCTCGCGGAGCAGCTCAAGACGCGCGAGTGGATTGTTGCGCGGATCACCTCCATTACGGAACAGGTGGTGGATTCCAAGGTACGTCAAGGCGGCGCCTAATCCCACCGACTGTCTTCGGCTTCTCAGACCGTGGCCAGACCTGACAAATGTTCTTCTTGGGGACCGACGTGTATACAGGACCCGAGCACAAACCCGTATGGCCTAGGCGATGGCGTCAAGTATTACATGCTCGAGGTGGAGGACTGGACGCAGCCGGCTTACCCCTCGAAGCGGCGGGAGTCGTCCAAGAAGATTCCAGCGGCCGAACCTCCGTCGGAGACGTCGCCCCAATCCTCTCCACCCGCCGAGGTCCCGGCGCCCATCCCGGCGGGCCCACCGGAGCCGGAGGTGGAAGAATCGTTCAGCGTGACGCGCCCGCCGACGTCGCGCCTCTTCCCACGGACACGCTCGAACTCCTCGCCCACGGCGGGCCCGTCCTCCCTCTCCCGCCTTCTCGCACAGGCTGGGCCTGCTGAGCAAGGCGCCGCCCTGCCGTCGGAGGCTGTCGACCTTCCTACGCCCCGTCCTGTAACACCGTCTGAGAGCGCGAAGCCGTCCCCGGACACGCCTCCCACGGCTGCTGCCCTGCCCCCACCTCCTGTCTCCCCCACACGTCGCAGCCCTGGGTCTCAGCCCCAAAATATCCACCTGCCGGCCCAACCATCGCCACTCCGCCCTGGGTCGCGCGCGTCCCGTGGCTCATCCTCCTCGCAGTTCTCGAGGGGACGGATCCCGTTCGGCGCCACGCCCGGCGCGGCTGCGAAAGCAATGCCCACGACCGCTATTTCGGAGCAGGCGGTGTCGACGCTGGCGTCGACGCCGTCATCCGGCTCTGGCTCCGGCTCAGATACAATTGGGATGCCCGGGGCTATGGCTGGGTCGTATGTTCCGTCCCCGGAGGATTCGCCTACGGGTGGAATGGTGAGCTTATTGTCCCAGACGCAGCGGAGACGGACAACGTCGCACTCTGTGCTACCCACTCGCAACTCCATCGGGGCGATGCCGTCCCCGGCCACGACTTCATCTAGCTCCCTGGCCGGGCTTGGGCTTGGCGCCGGAGTGGGGGCGGGGCCGACTGCGACAAGTCGCCTCGCGAGTTTTGCCGGTAGCTGGGGAATTGGATTCGGCCGCAAGAAAAAGCTCGAACTCGCGGAGACTGCGCAGTCGGACAGCGGCTCGTCCCCGTCCAAACCGACGTCCCCCGCTGCGCGCGGAGCTGGGACGTCGAGCCCGATACCAGAATCGGTCACGCCCACCTCGGACTAGCATATTGATCGTCTCACCGACAAATAATCTTCTCTATCGATGCTCTAGCACGCTCCTTGACACCTCATGGCCGTTCCTGTACACCACGCTCTCTTTGCCACGCTGCTCGACTTGCTTTAGGATCTGGAATTTGTATATGACACTGGAAGCGCAGTCGTTGGATCGCTGCTCGTATCTTCTCCTGTAAATTAATTGACGTGCCGCATCGATTCTAGAACGCCTTGCTCTTCCTTTGGACTACGAGGCGACCGTCGCGCCTGCATGGAATTTGGACTAGCCAGGAACCGAGTACGTACCTTGCACCCCCCTCGAAGGTGACCAGAGGGTACCCGAAGGATTCATGTGGCCAGGTATGCATTGTATTTGGCTGCTTCGATATGATACAACTTTGTGATTGTAAGTATTTGTGGACTGCCAGCACCATAAAACATCCGACGTTAGTGACCTCGCATCTGGTTCGGTGGCTCCCCTCTGTCGCGACGCAGCTTCATGCTGCGGTCACTTCACAGGGGTTTACGTGCGTGGCGAATTTGACCGGATGAGGCGGAGGTTTGAAGATACTCCGAAGGGCGCCCTCCAGCCCGCGATCGCGTTACGTCGTGCGCGGCCCGACATGGACAGTGGTGGCGCAGGGCGTTTGTCTTGGCCGCGGGGTTTCTCCAGAATTTCTGCGGGGGCGGCGCTGGGCGGCGGGACGGCGGGGCGCAGCGGCGCGCTTGGAGGCGGGATTGCGCGCCGTGCGGGGGCGGGAAGGTTCATCCAAGTGCACACATTGCCTACTGAATATTGATCCCGCCGCGCTGATGTCCTTACTAGGAACGTACTAGGAACGTCATCGAGCGAATACTCAGAGGGCTTGGTACGGCGTCCGCGCCGCTACCGGAAGAGGTGCCGGGGCAAATGCATCGCATTTTTCGTGGGAACGATGGTCAGTATGCAGGAACGGCGATCTTGGCTTGGCCAGGTGCAGCCAGGTGACAGAAAGTGCTGCCCGACGGCCCGCCCCTGCCCGCCCTGTTGGTTTCCTGTTGCGTGTGACTCCGCCTGATCTGGTCGTTATTTTGGACTGAAGGGCGGGCGCCGTCGCGCAGCATCCCATGGCATCCCATGGCGACGTTCGAATTAGCCTTCGTTTAATGAGCGGTGGCTGAGCTCCGTTCCTCAACCCGCGTGAGTGTGCCTTACCGTCCGTTCTTACCCCACGCCGCCCCGGGCGGGTGCCGCAGCCCCGTGGGGTGAAAAACATTCCTGCCGGCGGAGAGATCATTCTTGTTAACCAAATGCGGAAGTGCACCCGATCAGATTTGGGCCCAGACGCCCGACCCCGCGGACAAATGGTCACACTCTCGCTTCCACCACCAACCCACGACGGCCCCCGACCCCCTCCGACATCGCGGGTCTTGTCGAAACTGGCTATGTGCAGCTCCGGCACGCTGAAGGAAACTCGGAGGCATCGCCTGTCAAGTCCTCACCGGACGTCGGACCTGGGCGACGGCTGGATCTAGCCTAATCACAAGCTCGAACGACCGACGGCGGTTGCAGTATGTACGTCTCACACGGAATGCGAAGGCCCGCCCGCTTTCGGAGTGCTTAAATTCCTATCAACTAAGAAGATACTGGGCAGTGTGCGTGTGTTTGGTGGTTGGAGTCTCGGAAACGAAGCGACGTCTACGCGAGGCGCGTAGAACGCGGCGAGCCAGGGGAAACATCTCGCCAACGGACGCGCGCGGACTCGATGGCGTTGGTGCGTTCCTGGCGAGATCTGTCGGGGTCTGTGGCGGACCAATGGGCTCCGTGGATCGAGTGCGGGGCAATCAAACGCGCGGGGAAACTGGAGAATCCATGGAGAAATCGTCCACATTCGTTGCCCACTCGGTCACCTGTCCCTCCCCGTCCCTCTTTTGTGATCGGTTCTCGTATAAAGCCTCCACTCTCGTTTCTGCGCTCCTTCAGCTTCTCCCAGCTCGTTCCTGTATCCGACACCAAGCCACTCTCGCCAGCTCATCATGGCCGTCGGTCCCATAGCCACCGCTAGCAATGCGGTCGACTTCATGCACGTTGTGGATCCCAACAGGAAGTGGTACAACAACCGGAGGTGCGTTGTACTCTCATGGTTGCCATTGCCCCCGATGCTCATGCCGCGACATTTCTCCAAGACTCATCGCCCTCCACGGATGGATGGTTCTCCTGTGAGTTCCCTTGCCAGATTTACACTGCAGCCTCGGAGATTTACCGTCTTCCCCTTCTCAGGCTCATCACCTCCTCAACGAACGGTTACGATGGCAGTTTGATGAACAGTCTCCAGTCTATGACCCAGTGGAAGGACTTCTTCAACAACCCCCAGGGTGGCACGCTCGGTCTGCTTAACGCTATTCAGGTGAGCCGTACTGTGCCGCCCTCGCGAGAGTAGCTCACTGACCCGGGCACGCAGAACATCGGTTCATTGGCCGGATACCCCTTTGCCCCCTACCTCTCCGATGGTATTGGTCGTCGGCCGACCATCTGGCTCGGTGCCATCTGCATGTTGGCGGGCGCAGCCCTCCAGACAGCATGCCAGAACATCAACCAGTTCATTGGCGCACGGTGAGTACGGTTCGTGTCTGGGAAGGCCCCCCTTCTGATGAGCCGTCAGATTCCTCCTCGGCTTTGGTCTGAGTATTGCCTGTAAGTGCACCAGCCGCCCATGACGTTTTTGCCCCTCTCACGCCGTCACGCTATGTTTAGCCAACGCCGCGCCCATGCTGGTCACGGAGGTCTCGTACCCCACCTACCGTCCCCAACTTACTTCGCTCTACAACACCCTCTGGTACTCCGGTAACATCATGTGAGTCTCTGCGGTCAGCGGCAGAATCTTCATCCGGCTGAAACGGCATCACTAGCGCCTCATGGACCGCGTTCGGCACCCAGAACATCAAGAGCGAGTGGGCATGGCGTATTCCCTCCCTCCTCCAGGCCACTCCCTCCGTCTTCCAGTTCTTCTTGATCTGGTTCGTGCCCGAGTCTCCCCGTTACCTCGTCAGCAAGGGCAAGGACAGCCAGGCTCTGCGTACACTCGCGTACTACCATGCCGACGGCGATGAGCAGGACCCGCTCGTCCAGTATGAGTTTGAGGAAATCAAGGCTGCCATCCGCATGGACAAGGAGAGTGAGTACTTAAAGCCAGAGTTTCTTCCCGGGACGGTCCCTGACGTCATTCATCAGACTCGAAGAACGTCGGCTGGAAGGCACTCGTCGCGACTAAGGGCAACCGCAAGCGCATGGTCATCATTATCGCCATCGCTTGGTTCTCGCAGTGGTCCGGAAACGGTCTCGTCTCGTACTACCTGAACAAGGTCTTCGACACTATCGGTATAACCGACACCTCCATCCAGCTCCTCATCACCGGTATCCTCGCCATCTGGAACCTGTTCTGGGCCGTGTTCGCATCCTTCCAGGTCGAACGCTGGGGTCGTCGGTTCCTGTTCCTCACCTCGGCCGGTGGCATGCTCGTGTTCTTCACGCTCCAGACGATCTGCTCCGCAGAGTACGCGCTGCACGGGTCGAAGTCTGCTGCGCACGCCGTCATCGCGTTCATCTTCCTCTTCTACGCGTTCTACGAGTGAGTGCCGGTCTGCTTGATGCCTCGTAATATCGCTGATAAAAGCTTCCAACAGCTTGGCGTTCACGCCTCTCATCGTGTCGTACACGCTCGAGATCCTGCCGTACTCTCTCCGTGCCAAGGGCTTCAACGTGTTCAACCTGACGATCTCCGTCGCGCTGATCTTCAACCAATACGTGAACCCCATTGCCCTCAAGAACATCGCATGGAAGTACTACGTGCGTCTCCTTCCCTTGTGCCTCGCTGATCGTCAAGTGCTAACGTTCTTCTCACGCATCGCAGATCGTCTACTGCGCGTTCATCGCGTTCGAGTTCGTGTTCCTCTACGTCTTCGTCGTGGAGACGCAGAACCGCACACTCGAGGAGACCGCGGCGCTGTTCGATGGCGACGAGCTCTCCAACCTCCACCAAGCGACCGCGCGCGTCACTGAAGTCCGCCACGAGGACTACGACGAAAAGAGCTCTGATCCGGGCGTCAAGGTCTAAGCCTCTCCCCCTCTCCCACTCTTGGGCGGATGGACGGACGCGCCGCGCCGCCCTCGCGCTTGTACGATACACATTCACGCACGGATCTCTCCTCCCCCCTCTCATCCCCATCCGCACTTTCCCCCTCACGCACACTCCACGCCCGGACTCCGATGCCCCTTCCTCTCCTCCCAGGGACGGAAATGTATATTACGACCCGCACACACTCCCCTTCGCTGTCTCTCCTACGGTCTCTGCTTCTTGTTATCCTTTTTGGTCCTTATACCCCGCGCCGGGCTGCGACGGCGCACCGGCCGGCGCGAGGCTGTACATCACACGGTGCGTCGGCGGACGACACATTACACGCTACTAGCTACTAGCGCTCAGCATAGTCCTACAATACATCTCTTGCTGCCCTACCTGGGCTTCTGAACCTTCGTGCGTGATAACGTGCCCCTGTCGAAGTGCAGGGGCCGGTGCGAACGTGTTCGGCGGGTGTGTGGGGCCTGCGCGCACGCGCGCAGGCCTGATATTGGCGCGAAGTATCCGTAGGTTCGGGTCGTGCTTCGCGAACACCTTCGGTGTGGCTATTTGAACGTATCTGAATGCGCGTGCTAATTGAATGCGAGCAGGTGACGTACGGCGTTCCGCCAGGAGAGGCACTCGAGGGAGAACCTGCACTTATTCGATTCGATGCACTATCATCGTACCATTCCTCTGCGACTCCGACCGTGCTCGGGGGGAGTATACGTATGCACGGGGCTATCGCCGCAGTCGGCCTGCGCTGTGAAGGCCGCTGTCAGCCACCATATGGCACTGTACCCTGGGCGTCGCGCCCACGGGCCCGGGTGTGCAGGCGACGCAGCGGGGCCTGTTGCAGGGGGGCATAAAAACGCCGAGGACTGAATGGTTGGGGTCGTGATGAGACTACTGGGCTGTTCGAATCAATGCAGCTCCGCTGGGCTCACGTAATGGCGGTGTGGGACTTGTGGCTCATTGATTTGGAGTGGAAGCTTGCGACATGTGTGGCCGAAAACGGAATGGAGAGGAAGCGGGTGGCACGAGCTAGCTACCGAGCAGACGGTGGAGGTACACTTCTTGCCACTCGGACCGCGCGTGGGTGGACTGGGGTGGAAGGACACCTGACAGAGGAAGGGATCAGGCTGCGGGCGTTGCGGTGAGTTCTGGGCGATAGCGAATAGAGCCAGGGTGTGAGAGAGTGGGTACGCCGTGCGGAAGTTTGAAAGGGAACGCATCCGGCGAATGTGGACGCTCTGCGGCACAGCGTTCTACGGCCGCATCTAGATATAACGTATGGGGTGAGGCTGTTTGATGTACTTACACGCCGCGGGCGCGCGTCAAGGTTCAGGGGAAGCGATACGGAGATACGAAAGAAGGATTACGGGCGTAGACCGCGAGCGATACGTACATTTCGTGTATGCAGTCGAGGTGCACCCCGGCCGCCCAATGCCCGCCGATCCTTGGTACCCGCGATGCCCTATCTGATATATGGTGGTTTCAACTGCAGGTTCAGGGCCTGGATCTATGCATGCAACAGGATGCGACTCTCACGCGGGAGTTGGCTCGAGCAGATGCAGCCCTCAGCTGACCGGCGAAGCAAGGAGCATGCTGAAGTGTAGCACATAAGGCCGAACTGCGATCGACAGGTCGGCGTTTAGAAAGGGGCGCCGAGTACATCTGCAAGCTAAGAAGGCGACGTACCGAGCTTCCTATGAGAGCCAGCTAGTATGATTGGAATGCGGATGGCCGGATAGGGATACTTTCTGGTCGAGCCAGTGGATTGTTATATCTCCGGGCGTCGTCGGCCGGCGGCGATGCCGCACAAGCAGTTCGATCGGACGTCGCACCTGCAGGATAGAAAACGTCGAAGGAGGCTTCCATGACGGCGACAGACAACTTGTGTGCATTGGCAGAAATCCAGAGTTCTGGCTAACCGGGAATGACCTGTAGATGGGCCCGTATCGCAGCAGGAGGTTTGGAAGGTCTCCCACGATCGAAATGGCATAACACCGTCGATAATCTTCGTTTCCTGTGTGTCCTATCGTGGATCCGGACGCGTCCCACGCCTGTCGTAATGGTAGCTTGTCGGGGAGTACGTGTGCGTAGCTGACGATGCATTACAAGGGAGAACAACTAAGGATACAGATCAGCACACAAAGCATGGGATGTTGAAGCATGTCCTGACGTACAGATGACACGGAGACGTAAGAATGGAGCCTGAGCACGGAAGGCCGAGTAGGATTGAGTCTCAGGGCACGAAGACTATGAGTACTTACCTGTGCGGGAAAACGTTGAATGCCGGAAGCTGCGTATACAGACGCTTCAGGGGATAGAAGGCGGTCGTTCCTGTGAGCTTGCTATTTTTGACCAACACCATTGGCGCCGCGAAAAAACCGAAAGGACAGACGGCCGTCGGGCATAGCTTGCGTATATAGAAAGCGTTGCGAACACCAATAACGCGTAAGTGCATCACATTAGGGAACATATGAGCAGTAGAATGAGCAGTAGATCGAGGGGCGTCGCTTCGCCTCGTCCCCTTGAATGAGTTGAACATCGGATAGAAAGCCACACACGGAGTCAACTAGAGAAGAAGGATGCGTACCATTAGGTCAAAAGGTAGACGTTAGCTCTGGGAAAGTGATATAGTGCATCTATAGCCGGCAACTTGACCCAAACATAAATGTCGATGGTTATGCAGAGAGAGGGAGAGAAATGCACGCACGGGGATAGTCGGACCGACTCGGATTGATCACCCGAGAGCATCCGAGTTGCACGACCGAAGTCTCAGACGCCTCAAGTTACCTCGTGCATTCGTTCGACTCACACCAAGTGCACGCGTGCACGATCCAAGATGTAGAGGCTTGATTGTGTAAGTGGTACATTCCATTACAGCTCATCAGATGAGGCAGGTCCACGGCGTGAGCGGAGCCGGGGGAAGCCTCCTAGAACGTCTCCTTAGACTCCGAGTCGTCAATCTGACATCAACGAGTCAGCTTGTACGGCGGGAAATGCACACGCCTTCTAGTCACTTACAGCATCCGGCTTCGTAACAACAGCATACCCGCCCTCGCTGCCCTCCCGGACGATGTGGTAGCACAGCCCGAACTCCTGCGCCGCGGCCTCGACGATGTGCCGCTGCGTGGAGTCCATCGTGCGGGAGAACGGGAGCTCATCGCGCAGGGGATCGTCCTTGAATCCTTGGACGAGCGAGTGGATCGCAGCTGCGGCCGGCCGCAAAGCGGCGGGGTTCCTTGCGCTAGACATGCCCGTCCTATGCAAGGGCCCCCGCCTCGACGACGCCCACGGTGGAGATAGTTCCGACGTCGATATAGTAGAATGCTGTGGTGAAGAGAAAAACCCCATTGTGGATCGCGGGGACGCCTGGGAAAACGACGGGTACACAGCACCTCCGGGGATAGTGTCGCCTTCGAGCACTGGCATATGGACTGCCCACGGGCCCCCCGCGCGTCGGAACGCCTGCAGGTGATGAGCAGTAGAGGTCCCTTGGGGTGATTCTGTTGTATCCGTACCGTGCTTGTATCGAACACGAAGTGGGCGGCCGTGCACCTCAAGGCCTTCGAGCGCCGTGAGCGCTGCGGCAGCGTCAGCCTCTTGGCTGTAGTAGGCAAACGCGAGGCCGTTGAACTGGCCCAACTGGTCGAGATTGTACTTCAACAAGACGGGGGTAGGGATCGACTTGGAAGCCTGAAAGGGACGTCAGCAAGCCCTGGAAAGCTATAGATGTAGACATGATCGCACAATGATTTCGAGCAGGGCCTCGCGTTTGGTGGTGTATGCGATGTTCATGATGACGAGTCCTGTCATCTTGCTGCTGTCGGCTGCTTCCATGAAGGGTCCTTCTGGGGCCGTGCTGAAGGAACCCCCGTGAGGTGCATCTCCGCCGTATGCGCTGGCGGGCACTTTGAAGGCATGCACGGGAAGTGTGACGACTACAGCCAAGGGTTAGTTCGTCTGCAAATCGACAACAAGGTAGAGACGGTACATGCCTCCACCTTCGTTCAAAAGCAACGCAGGTTGCTCTTGCATCAGTGCAGCGTGCACATCGTCAGGCATGCTGCCATTCTGCGGCTGGATGTTAGAGTGAAAGACTACTGTCAGAGTGTCTGACGGGAACGCACGGGGAACAAGTCCGCGAGGTCCCCGTCGGTCGCGATGGCGCATTCCGCGCGCGGGTCCTAGTAGCTCATCAGCTTCAACCTAGGTTCAAGCGAGCGTCAAAAACACTCACGGCCTGTAGCATATAATCCAAAAGCGCGACAACAGGGTCGTCGACCTTATAAGTGTCGGAAATAGTAGTCAACTCTCGGTGTCACTGCACATGTAGCAGACTTCGAGGATCACCTGCGATGGCTCGTCGGAATCAGATCCATCCCCCTCCTCCATCACGACATCCTCTTCAGAGGCATACAGGGATTCATCCAAAGCTTGCGCCGCGACGACAGGGGCACCTGCATTGGGTTGGGCCTCATGAGGCCACTTTAGGGAGTGCGGCCCGGCTTCTGCTCGTATAGACTTGATGGGAAGAAACTTGTTGCGCTTCAGCTTGTAGTAGTGCAGAAACACGCATTGGTCGAACGCTGGCGTGCCCTCCGCAGCGGAACTTGAACCCGCGGGGCCCGCCCTAGATTCGATGGACATGCACGTCTCTCTGTCCGTCCGCACAGAGAACACAGCAGACACGGCAGACGAGAAGTTGCCGGAGAACGAGAACTCGCCGCCCTTGGCATGGTGCGTCGCGGCGGCGACTGCCCACTGCCCGGTCTTGACCCAACCGCGCACGAAGATGAGGTCCTCCTCCTTGATGTCGAGCATGAACACGTCCCGTGCGAAGCGGTACCAGCTCTGGTGGTTGATCTTGATGTATTCCGTGAGCGTATCACAGGGCAAAATCACCTCCCGGGTTCCCTCGTGCTTCATAACGAGGACGGCGCCTTGCTCGTCCAAGCACTTGAAACTAACTGCTGCAGACGCAGCCGTTCCGACGCTCCTGTTGCTGTTCGGTTAGCACGTTACGGACCATACAGGCAGACGGGCAACTCACAGCGCGCCTTGTATCTCGTTGATAGCCACGTTTCGGCTGCAGATGGGACCACGTCCTATTGCTTGAGCACGACGCTGGCGGAGACAGTCCGGAAAGATGGGAGGTTTGTGTCCCTCTGGGACACCGTGGGGTTGGTTGAAGGAGTGATCAGGCGGAAGCATGGCGTTGAATATCCGGTAGAAACCGCCGCGGTAGATATGGCCGACATCGCCAATGAGGACCTCCCCTGCGTCCTCCGTAGGCTCGGGCTCCCACAAGGGATGTCCATGGCCGCGTTTGAAAAGCAGTTTCGTGTAAACGTCGCAGGAAGAGCCCATGGCGAGTATGGGGGCACGACGTTCAGAAGGCTAGGGTGCTCCCAGATGATGGCAGGGTATTACTATGTGTCCTGGTTCATTGTTCGTGGTAATTGGTAAGGACTCGGCCGATAGTCTCATGACGAGGCTGTGAGCGCGACCCTGCACAGTCCAGTGATACCCGGTAGCAGGAATACAATGCGTGCTCACAGCATTAGGATTAGCTTGAACATATTACGAGGTAGTTACATCGGGACTCACGTCAATCCGGAGACCGCGGCAGTTTTTCACTGTTTGGGAAGGTGTAGAGGTCCAGCGGAGTTTCAACTTGATCTTTGCCCTTTCTCGCGAGTCGCCGTCTTCTGCTAGCACAAGGGGTGCCAAGGCCCGGCCTAAAGAGCGTTCATGGGTATGCAGGCGTGCGCGGTGGGATGGTTGTAACGTGTGTGCATGTATGTATACACCAGCGGTCGGGTCGCAAACTTGAGGCGCGTTGATTCATCGTTCCGGCCTACATTATGCGATAGTTAGGTATCATTCGCATATTCATTGTGAAGTACTTACTTCCTTTGGTACGCACATATATGGTAGTATGTTGTTGGGATGGTAGTGGAGGTGAAGATGAGCGTCGATTATCCTGGTCCGGGTAAGCAGCTAAAGCGAGTCTGCGGCTGTATGGAATTCACTGGAGCTATAATTTCTACAGCAACTTGACGCAGTGGAAGCGTGCAGGGCTCATAACCCTGAAGTCCCTGGATCGAAACCAGGAGTTGCTATTTCCCACTGTCCAACAGGCATTTTTTCCCATCATAGTGCGCTGCCAATGTACTACGTGCTGCACGACGCGCTTGACATTCGAAGGGCTAATTTCATATATATTGGTACATCCCACCAAGGCCCGTTATCGGAAGAGCTACGCGCTATGTTTTGGACTCGATTCAAGATCCAGCACACAGCGACGGGCGCTTACATGTCTGACCTATTACGTCACTTTCGACGATCGAAGAAGACCTCGACGTCGACACGCCTCTACTGAACTTCAACTTTGCACCACAACCAGCTAAGCTTATTCGCTTCACCCAAATCCGCCGATCTGCCTTCCTTTGTGGCGTCTGAAATCTGATCGTCGACCATGAATAACCCCCGATCCATGGCAAGTCCGCGCAACGCCAACGCCGTGTACGTGGCATCTTATAATGGTCTGACGTGTGCTAGTTGCTGGGCTGGGGCAGCCTGATCGTCGCGGCGGGCGCGAGCTACTACTACGCGCGCAAGTCGATCAACGAGCGGCGCGCGGTGCAGGAGGCGCGGGGACAGCGGCCGTCGGAGAAGCTTGATTGTGAGTGGTTTCAACGTGAAGCTGCGCGTCCCCGATCTGACATGTCCTGACATGACGCGCGCCAGGGCGCTCACGAATAGAGCAGGACGAGAAGAAGAAGTCCGGCGCGGGCTCTGACGCGTCCCCGGACTCGGGCTCTGTCCCTGCCGCTGCGACTGCTGGCGGTGCGCGGGACTCGGAAAAGGGGCCCTCGTAAAATGCCAGCGGGATAGTGCGCTCTCCATGGTAGTGCAACCTTCACTGTAGCTCTGGTTGAATATTTCAGAAGGAATGCTACTTTTCTGCCTTCTACAGATACACTAACTGCTTTTGATGCGACACACTGACAGAAAAGCACTTAGCAGGAATTCGAAGTCGCTCGTTGGCGATGGACGTTATCACTCCGCATCGCGTATATCTAGCGTCCGTCGCCGTCTGTTTGCGCATGCGGCGCCGCAAGTGGGCCGGGATCGTAGGGCCACCCGACATTTCTGCCAAGCTTGGGGCTGAGCTAGTTTCGGACAAAGCGCCAGGAGTGCGACTCAAAGTGTACTGCCTGGTGCGAAATCGGCTTCGTGCTATCTTTCGGATGAACCTACCCCATGTCGGTGAGGCCTAGTGCTGGGAATAAGTATTTGTCCCATTTCCCAGCCCATTGGTCTGATGAAAGGTAAGTACTAGTAGCCTGCGCCGCTGTAATCTAGTTGATTCCAGCCGGCACAAGAACATGGACAACCCGGGATGCGTTTTGAAGATCCTGACAAAATCGGCATGTCATTTCTTACTTGCTGAGTTGAATTCATCCTGAAGGCCTGACAGACGCTCGATATTCCACTAGTACCTTCGGCTTCAGGCATTTTCTAGAATATATCTTCGGGGTCCCAGGATCGTCCGCTTCGCCCGCGCGCTCCCGGGAGGTGCGCACCAGGAAGCGCGCCCGAATAAGGCAGGTGTAGTAGACGTGGGCGCACCAGATCGGCGGTGACAGCACTTGCGCGAGTGACGCTCCTGACATTTCCCTTCACTTTGTCTTTTTCCAGATGTTCGCGCGCGGGCCGTTTTCCAGGCCGCCGACACCAGAACCTGTGTCTCTTGTTCGCCGACCCCCACCTTCTCCCCCGGCGCGTTGTCATCGTGCGTAACAGCGAGCTCCCTTTTCCTTATTTGCGTTCGCTCACGGTCTCTCCGCTTTCCTACAGACACGACACACAAAATCGACTACCTAGGCCAACATGTCGAGCACAGGCTCCGGCGTCGCCGATGGTCTACCCGCTAGCCCTTCGTATCCGCGCACGCGCTCGCAGACCACCAGGCCTCAGCCTGTTCTCAAGCGCAAGGGGTCCGACATCACCAGGGCGAAGCCGCAGAAAGCCGCCAAGATCACCGGTGCGGGGCCATCCCTCAGCGCGACGCCATCAGTGGACACGTCCCCAGAGGCCGCCGTAGAGTCCCCAGTCGACGTGCCCGCGGCAGCCACCGCTCGGACATTATGGCCGCCCGAGGTTCCGCGGTCGATGCTCTTCACCTTCCGGGTCGGGCCCTCTGCGTTCCAGATGTACGACGGTGTCAAGCGGAGGTCTGCCTTGGATGTGTCGTCGGCGTCGGACACCTCCCAGTTCGCGGCTACGGGCTCGGAGCCTATGTTCGACAACTCTTGGCGCGTCTCTTTCATCGAGTCCGCGCATTCACCCCCGCAACGCACGAACATCGCCCCGCCGAGCGAGCAGAGACGCATACACGATTCCTCGAGAAGATTTGTCAGTTCATCGCCTACCTCTTCGCGGCCGACGTCTACTCCTTCGTGCTCGACGATAATCTCCCCCAGCGTTGGCTCCGTCTTGCATTCTGTGAGACGTGATGGGAGAGTACGTGACGAGAACGCCTTCCCTATGATACGCGGTCTGGAGCTTGTTCGTGTCGATGCCCCGAAGCATGCCGATGACGACGACATGTTGCCACCCAGAAGAAACCCCCCGACGCCCCTGTCGCCCTCCAGAAGTCTCACTCAAAACCGCCAGCACGACCTGCAATCCTTTTCGGGCGCTCACTCCGTGTTTCCCTCACCTATCCCCCTCGTTGTTTCCGGCGGCGGTCTCGTACCCGTTGCTGAGAGGATGCCGCACGGTGGGCCGTTCCCAACATACCCGCCAGCTGCATCGTCAAGTCCATCGCTACTGTTGTCGGGAGTCTCGTCTGGGGTTGGCTCTGGCGGACCTCCCTCGGTTTTCGGCCCTTGTCCTGCATTCTTTCCGGAGCATACGCCTTCACGTCCGGCACACTCTAGTCCCCCAATGACTCCACTGAGTGTGGTGGCTTGTGCTGCACCGTCGCTCCGGCGCGCGTCGCGTTCGGGCCCGCCATCGATGGTAACTCACGCTAGCACGTCTCATCATGAGCCGCATATACCCATGTTCTCACTTCCGCCTCACCCTGGCTTATATCCCACTCGAGCACGTCCACCGTACCCTCCTTTCGGTCACCATCAGCCTTCGCATATACCCGCGATCCCTCACGCGCAATCTCCTTCTGTCAGCATGGGGGTAGAGGGCACACATCACGCCGCAACTCCTAGCGCCCCGACCCATGTCTTTCAGCCTGCACCCATTCCGCTATCGTACGGACACCCGCGTGGCACACCCCCTATCATTCTGCCTCCTCCCGTTCCTCGCCATTCTACGCAGGAACGGTCCTCGGGACCAAGCGCACCGTGGTCTATGTTCTACGAGTGCATCAAAAACGGGCGGAACGCTCTACGTGGGCCTGGAAAGGGCAGACGCCGTGCTCATCAGGCCACGAACGAAGGTCCTCAGGCCCAAGTCGTAGACCACGATCTCTCTAGGTTAGAGGCCGCAGTCGACTCGCGTACTATGGGGCCGTCGCACAAGTGTCCGTTCTGTCCCCGGACGTTTCCCCTCGCCAACGGCTTGACAATCCACTTAAAATGGCACTGGGGCGCGAGTGGGCTTGAGTGGAAGAGAGGTAAGTTTTGCGTGGCCTTATATGCCATGCGAGTACTGACATCGCGCAGGTATCAGTCGCACCGGTAAAACTATCGATCGTGCTTTGCGCGACGCCGAGCGCAGGCGTGAAGAGGCAGCTAGACAGCAGGACGAACTAGACTTTCCCGGGATCCCGCCCTCGATCAGCACGTCCTGCTCACCGCCGCGTGCTTCGTCGAGTTCTCAATCATCAACCCGGTTATCGAACCAGGAGATGGACTACTCGTTTACGATGCCCGTCATGGCCCAATCTACCTTTAACACGTTCGGCTTCCCGGTCTACTCCTCTCGCTCGTCGACAGCATCAGAGAGCCCTTACCCTTCGCCCATCGAGGGACAGTACCCGCATATGTTCCAGCCGCCGGTGGTCGCGGCACCAAACATGTCCTACAACTCATTCCCACACACTCCCGAACTACTCGCGGACACAGGGTCGACGAACAGCGCAAGCACCGGCCGTAGCTCGCCCACTTGGTCTGAGAACCTCTTCGGCTACGGGGAAGAAGACGCGGAGGGAGACAGTGACCACGACGACGATCTGTTCGGAGACCACCCCGATCCCCGATGCGAAGCAGCCTCATGTGCCACGGGCAACGCGGCGAGCGCAGGGTCAGCAGTGCGTGCGCCGGTTCTTTGACCTCTCGCGTCGCGTTCTCGCCGTTGACACGCGACCGTCGCAGGTGCGCACGTCTGTCTGCATCTGCCGTCGTGAACGCTCCGTGGCAGCGGTCGCGTGTAGGGGCGGGAACGTTGGTGGTGGAGGAGGCCGGCGTCGCGCGGTCTCCGTTCGCGTGCGTCCGTTGTTCCTCCGCGCGCCGCGTCTGGCTCCCCTCAGGCTTCCTGCGGCTTTCTTCGACGACGACGACGACGATGGAGGCGAGGATGGAGCGTCTCGTGTGTCTACCGGTGAAAATGGTGGCGAGGACGACGACGATCCGTTCGCGATGCGGGGTTTCTCGGCCCCTTCCGACGGCCTCGCCCCGCTGCATGGTCTTCCGCCTCTCCAGGCGCTGCCCGAACTAGATGCCGCGTTTCAAAATCTCTTCGTATTCTAGGGCTCTACGTTATCTTGATGTTTCTCTTCTCACATCTCCGGTTCGGGTTCTTCCAACTTCAGCGCACGTATCACACGCAACGTAATGGCCATAGATATAGCATCCCTTATAACATCGCAGTACCGTACATCTCCCGACTAGTAGCATTCTTTCCGAGCTCGGGGTCCCCGTTGTTTCGAGCGAAATGTATCTCCACATCCACTCATTTTGTAGAATTAATGATTACGGCTCTTGTCAGACCAAGTACACAGTTCAACGTTCAACGTTCAACATTCAGGGCCCCATGTATCGACAGATGGACAGCCAGCTTTTGTGCGTACGAGCCGGAGTCTCGGACATACAAGTATACGTAGCCTAGGATGAGGAAGACCGGTCACTGTACTCGGACGTCTTCGATAGACCGGCTCGCCACCCTCCAACTGAGGCGCCAGGGCGACTACGTATGTAGTACGAGGCCGGTCATACGACAGCTATCAGGACCGTCCAGGTCGGAGTATATTTCCCTCCTGATCGGGATTGCCCACAGCTTCTCGATCCGCCCGGCGCCGTCGTCAGCATCATAGTCAAAATTCGCACTTCCACAAAGCCTCCCTTCCTCCCCGACTGCTTCGTCGTCGTCCAAGCTGCTACGCTTCGAGTGCCCGATCTGGCGCCATGGTTGCGGGACGGACTGTAGCACCATGCGATAGCCTCCAAGATTGTACGCCACTTCCGGTGGTAAGTGAGGATGTAGTGGTTCGGACGATAGTTGGCACTGGAAGACTGCCGCGCGCAGGACGAATTCAGGGTATAGAGGTGTAACTTTGCAAAGAACGACCTCGGCGACCTCAAAGTTGTCTTCCTGCCATAATGGCTCCGTCCCGTCGGGCCAGGACACATTCCAGTCAACGGCCGCCCACGACCATGAAGGCGCGTTCGGCTCCGCAGTGCGATGGATAGACGTATCGGGAGTGGCGTATTGGGATCAGAGCAGGTCACTAACCAGCGTGTTGCGCCACAAACCTGCCAGGTAGTCGGCGCCTAAGACGCTGTGGAAGTGCTCCGCAATCGCAGCGCATGCGACCAGCTTGTCCCGCGGGTCGCTGATTTTGCGGCCGGAGTAGTTGGACACGGTTTTGCGCCAGACTTCTTGCATAAATAAATTCCGCAGGAGGCTGATCTCAACTGCGGTCTGCTGCCTGTGAATATCAACATGATCTGAAGACCTAAATCAGTTTCGAAACACTTGGGCGTATTGTGTGCTCTCTCTGCACTGCCACTAGTCTCTTCGAAGGCTTATTCCAGTTTGCCCGTCAAAGTCATGCATCTGATGTCATATTCAGCTCCGCGATCGATTGTAAGAGTTCCTATAGGAAGCGGATATGGAGACAGCGAGTCCGTGGTCGTGATAGTGAACGATAAAGAAGAAACAAAGGAGGCGCGTGGGAACGGGTCGTCGCGTCCAACACGCTGCGCAAAAAAGAGATATCCAAACTTGTGAGCGACGCGATCGTCGGAAGTCCGGGTTGGAGGTCTGGCGGTCTAGACTCTAGCGGATGAAGAAGCTGTGGCAGACAGCGAGGCCGCACGCGGCGGCGCACACGAAGAAGCCGAGTGGGTAGCCGGACGGGCCGTCTTGCACGCTCTTGGACCATAGCTGCCAAGGAACGCATCAGCACACACAACATTGAAAAAAGAAACGAGCAAAGGAAGAGGGACACGCACCGTACCGCCGAGAATAGGCCCGATAAAGCGTGCGAGACTGACGATGCTCTGCGCAATGCCGTTCGCAAAGCCAACGAGGTGCGGCGGGGACACTGTACCGGGCGCGGTTAGTGAGCAGCGCTAAGCCGGGGGATGTCAAGGGGTGGCGTACTATAGTTGAGCAGGACGTTGATGGCGGTGTAGCTGAAGGTACTGCCGCAATACCGGACGGCTCTGAGAATGTGAAAGTGAGCGGGGCTGGATACCGTAGCGATTGAGAGCTACTTACGTGCTAAGCGCGAGAGCTAGACGGAAAAGTGATAATCATGTTAAACATGGGCATAGGCTGGGAGGGGAGGCTAACACGTACCTGCCATGAGGACGAGGTTGCCATCGTCGCTCGGGCTCGCAAATACACGGTACATGATCACGGTAAGGTACGACGGGATGAACAGCAGCGAACCGAGCCGGAACATGGAGAGGTGGGAGAATCTGCCTCTCGGCGGTCTGCCCAATGATCAGTATCTAGGAATGTGCTTGAAATTGGCGACACATACCCGATGTTACTAAGTGCAAAAGAGGGCGTGAGTACTACGGCCAGTGAAGATGCAGGGAACGAACACATACGGATACAGCACAAATTGGTACGCGATTTGCGCGAGACACATCAAAGCAACTACACAAAGCGATCAGCGGTCTGAAGCGGCATCCACAGAAAGTCAACAACGCACTCAGCTGAGAGAAGTGCCCCGCATTCAAGTTCAACCCTCCCGACGGATACTTCCTGCACCCCCAGTCAGCAACCAACCCCCACCCCAAAGACCGCATGAAGCACACTCACGACACAAGGTACAAATAAAACACCTGATCATGCGTCGTCGAGTGCAGCGCCAGCCACCCATACTGCAGGATAATCGCGATCGGCAGCTGGCTCATCAGCGACGGCTCCTTCTCGCCCATCCCCTCCAGCGGCGGCCCCGCCGGACCCGCCCCGCGCGTCTGCGTCTCCGCGATCGGCGCGAGCGCGTCCATCTCCTCCTCCGCCTCCGCCTGCGCGAGCTGCTGCTGCGCCTCGAGCACCGCGGGCGGCGTGCGCACGCCGACGTGCTGGAAGATCGACGGCACGCCTGTCCCAGATGCGCGCCGGTGCGGGAGCTCGTCGGTGGAGTCGGCCCCAAGGCGGAGCTGCGAGGATGAGTTGCGGTGGAGCGTTGGGGGGCGGCGCTGTGAGCCTGGACGGCGCGGGGAGCCCCCAAAGGTGGATGGGCGCACGCTCGCCATGGAGGGCCGGTGCGTAGTGTTGAACGTGGCGTTCGTGTTGACGCGGCGGGAGAAGCGGTTGTGCCGTGCGGCCGACGGCGTGCCAAAGATGTCGTCCTCGTCAAGGGGAGTCGTCTCGAGCGCCTCCTCTGCATCGATTTCGTCCTCGTCCTCGTCGTACTCGTCGTCGCTCTCGAACGGGTTGTCGTTGTCCGCGTTGATCGCGGCTGCGACCCACAGGTCCGCGATGTTCGTCACCGCGTTCTCGTTTGCCATGAGCAGCCGCTGCGCGAAGTTCATGTCGGCCCCCGTCGCGACGCTCGACGGCGCGCCTTCGTGGTCGACGTTGCTCTCGCGGCGCCGGCGGATCGGGATGCCAAAGCTGCCCCGCCGGGTCGCCATGCTGGCGGCGCTCGCGAGGCGATTCCGGTACGAACCGGCGTACCCGTACGCCGACCCGCCCCTGCTCACGCGGGAGAAGGCGCGGGGCTTCGCACCGCGTGTGGGGGTCTCGACTAGTGGGACAGCGGGCTCTGGTGGTTGCGAGGGGCCGGGCGAGGCGGCAGCTTCCTCGACGGTGCGTCGCGAGAAGTAGTCGGACACTTTGCCGCGAATAGACCCAAATGCGCTGCGACGTTCGGGCTCATCGAGGTGTGGCGTCGAGGGTCGGGACTCCTCTTCTGGGATGCTTGTCAACTTCTCGGGAGGGAGACGAATGGCTCCCTCACGTGGGCCGCAATCAGGAGCGAGGAACAAAGACAATATCGAGCCTAGTAGACGGAGTGAGTTGAAAGCCAGCTACGAGCGTATAAGTGAGCCTCACCTGTAAATGTAACAGACGCCGCGACACAGCACGGTAGTAGATAAGGATAGTTCACGAAGAGCGGTACGCTCGCGAACACGCCGGGCCACTTCTTTGCGGGAGACTCGACTGCATGACATTCTTAAACCCTGACCATATGCGCTTGATCAAGAGAGAAGACTCACATGTTCCTCCTACAATGGCGCCTGAAACACCACCGAAACCCCAGCAGAACCTGATTGAACGTAAGCATTCAGGCCTATCCAATGAGGTTGATAATTACCCTAGAATGGCGTAAGCCCGGCCTTCGTTGCTCTGGTCCGTTACCGAGGTCACGCAACCACGCGCTACCCCAATGGCTCCCGCGAACACGCCTTGGAGGAGACGTATTGCGATAGCTTGTTGTATTGACGTGGCCGTTCCGAAAAGGCAACAGGTGACAGCGCTTCCCAGGAGAGAGATAGTCAGAACGAGTCTTTGATTATGCTTCGCGGCAACGGTGGCCTATTCCCCTTGACTTTTAGTGTTGATACGATGTTGAAGACAGTTCGTACGCACCCATAGCAGCGAGGTCAGAAACTGAGTTAAGAAGAACGTCGATACTTTCGGACTGAGGTCAGTGATGTCCGATACGAGGGCCTTGAATCGAAGACCGCCAGACAGGGTTATATCTCTGCGTCTGGGTGCACACAACAGCGACTTCTGCTTTCACTGTCCGCATACAACCCCCTTCAGAGGCGGTTACATGGACAGATTATCGCGTGAAGGCCGCACTACATTGGTGGTCTTCGATCATTGTCCTGCTGACTCCGAAAACATACCTAGTAGCCCAGTCCAATAGCCCACTTCCGACTCGTCGTGAAATTGATCGAAACCTGCAGGGCACTGAGTGTTTGCAGATAATATCTGCACTCTATTAGACATACCTTCCACCATGAAGAGCAAGAAGGGAGCGGATACGTTGGCGGAGAGGAATTCGCCGAGCATTGTCTGAAAGCGCAGCGCTCAGTTCCGCAGGCGCGGGCGCAGAGAGATTGGAGGAATGGGCGTACAATCGACAACACGATCATAGACAAGACTGGTAGAGGGGTGGCGTTTACTTCTCCTGGGGGCTGAAGTGCACTTGGAATCGACGGCCGTTCGGGCGTTTCGGTTGTGCCGCTTTCCTCATCGCCCGTGCGGCTCCATCTGCTCAGAATGCTCGGCTTGTGCATCAGACGAGAGAAAGACACCCGGCCACTTGGTCTACGCGCACTCAGGGATGCTCCAGGCTGTGTTTCTGCTCCATCCTCATCGACGTCTAGCGCGGAATCGCCTGGTCCAAATACTCGTCTAGGAGGCATGTCGCTGCCCTCCGTCCCACGAGGCCGGTGGATAGAAGTTACAGCTCACTCGCTCGTAGGTAGCGCAGAAAGAACGTAGGCCAGGAGATGACTAGGAAGCGGAAGAGACGGAGAGAGACGAGGGGAGCGATAGCGGATGAAGCAGTTCAAGACCAAGGACCGCGCACGGCGCATCCCGAGTTTGACGCGACGCGCCCAGTGACGCTGATCACGTGCCGTTCATTAAGACCAAGCGCCCACGGTGAGTTGTTTAGCGCTCGGCGTTCAACTCCTTGTCCACAACGTTCACTGCTGCGTACCACAAAGTCCTACTATATGTCGCGGCATACACAATCAGGGTATATATGCAAGGTGACCGGTGAATATGGCATACATCGTCCTTTTAAATATGACTGGAAGATGTTGTCGACACCTCCGAGAGCGATACATCCCAGAGGCCTTCAAGTTCATGGAAAGTGTTGCTTGAGCTATTGGTACGCCTACATCATCGATACTGTGAACTAACATAGTAGGGTCTGAATATAGCAAGGGGGGACATGACGATCACACAAATGCACTTCGGGGCGAGCTACAGCAAAAAACGAACAGTAGTCAAGTATACCAGTTACGCCTTCATAACAGGTGAGGCTCGGTAAGAGCCTTATCGCCTGTGTTGATGTTCCTGACGGTAACGAGAGCTTTCTTCGTCGGCGACAGCTCGTCACGAGATAATCGGACCCCCAGTGGGTGTCCAGGGGCCGCTACGGTGCGTTACAATCGATTTTTTGAAAGACAGTAGACCTGGTCACACCAGTGGTTCGCAGAACGTCGCACTTGAGCAAACCAGAGCTTGCAACACGATCGTGGTAGCTATGATCGCAGCACTGCCTCTAGAGCCTCTCTAAGCTCTCAAAGTCATCTTCAACGCTCCCGCGCTTGAAAGGGCGGGCTTCAACCTTTCATCCGGTGCCGGTCGTCCTGTTTCGAGCTATGCACCCTGAAACACCGCTCTCTGTCGAGAAGTGCGCCCTGCATCCAGGCTGTACTGCGATCTTACCATCTTGACGACCCAGCTTTAGCATCTGTCCGCTGTTTTCGGTGTTCATCAAGTCCTTGCGGTGACCGTGCGGCGATTCTTCGCGGCTTCTCTCTGCTCACAAGCCCGCGAGCGGCCACTGCGGGGCGAAGGATCGGATATATTTCTCGCCCGTCCGGCTCCGTCTTCGCTGATCATCGTCTCTCGGCCATATTCTCGGGCCCGCCTTTGATCGGGCAGAATATACAAGAATATATCGCTCCGCACGTCCTTCGGGCCTGGTCAAGTCTCGGATCCGACCCCGCATGTGCTCGACGTCAGCGAGTCACTGCCAAGCAGCGAGGATGTTGAGAGGCCAACAATTGCACATGAAGTAGATCTTTTTGGATTTGACACCGTGCGTATAAATTTCCTTTTTCTCCGCCTTTCCCATCTCCTCCTAAAGTCGGATAGCGATCCAGAACAGCTCGTTCCTAGCACGTCGCTACGGTACGGCAAACGTGACACGGTCATGGCCGCCGTCCGCGCATCATATTCCATTATGACAGGCGCCGTCTCCTTGGTCTCCTGCGCAGACTCAGGAACGGCCCTGCAAATTGGACGACGTGTCTGGCTGGCCGCTGGCGTTGATGTACGCCAGTAATGATAGTTTCGTAACATGCGAATGCGATGCACAGGCACCTTGACAGAGGACCCTTCTCTGCGGCCGAACGGCAACCATTGCATCCCGTCACTGTTCAGGGATTGACGGTCGCTCAAGATGAGTAAGCTCTCGACGCGCGGTATCTTCTCACGAGAATATTGAACGAATCATCCTTTCAGCCTGCCTATCGTTCCTCGGAACTACCGTGGATACTGCAGTATCGGACTCGGACGTCGACGTGGATGAAGGGTGCGTGATGTCAACGGAGTCGCTATGGATTAACCCTTTGCAGCGCTAGCCGAGTCGGAGGGCAGTGACCCACTTTCGCGTATTTGAGTGAGATCCCACCAGATCTTGTAAGGGAGATCTCCGACGCCCTAAAGCCGCCGCCAGCCTCCCTAAATCTGGAGCCGCAGCGTCCTCGAAAATCCTGGGGGAAATTCCGGAGGAGCGGGCAGACACCCTCAACCGGGTTCGTGCAGCCACGTGGCCGGCTTTGCCTGCAGCATCTGGAATCTGCTTATTTCACCGCTAGACGGAAGCCAATATTGCTTGCGGAGGTTGCTCAGTGGGTACGGGCCGCCAAGGCCATAGATGGCCATTACGCTTGAATCCGGCCACCGAGCCTCTGCTTCTCAAGGGCCTTCGATCAATGGGGTGCTTCCTGTGCATGTGAGTACCGAGCATCTCTCCAGAAGTGCCCCTGCCGCCGCTCACACTCCTGCGCATCCTGCGCTGACAGAGCCTGCCACCGACGTGCTTGGGGCTGCCGTACCTCGGAGGCATCCAGCCAGCAATTTCCCGCGCGCGTTCCGGGCTTATTGTCATGCGCAACACCTCCCGCCGCTGCGCCCCTTCGAGGCGTCGTAGCCGACCCTCCTGCGAATCCGCGATCTGAAACGCAGGGCAGGATCTCAGCCCGGGCAACGCTCCTCCCAGTCGGTCGACCCGCTAATTTCTCCGTCGCTTCGAGATCTCACCGCGGCGCGGCCCCCCTTTTTCGCAGTTTTATCCCTGGATTTCGGCGGGTTTCTACCAAGAGCAAGAGGTGCCGCCAGCGACGATGCGCGCACAGCTTCGGGCGCGGGCACTTCAAAAGGGGGTCCGCCCTCAGCGAGCAATGTCGCATTCCTTAGACCCATTCCCTCCTTTCTCCCCTCTATCCACCTCCTCTCCTTAACCGAGCCATGGCCGTCATCGCCGCCTCACCTCGCCCCAAGAGGATCTTCTTCCCAGACCTCATCGCCCACTGTCCTTACCCCCTGCGCTACAACCCGCACTGCGACGCCGCGTCCGCCGAGTCCAAGGTCTGGCTCATGTCCGGATGCCGGCTGAGCAAAAAGAAGCGCGCCGCGTTCCACGGGCTCAAGGGCGGGCTGCTCACGGCGATGGTGTACCCCGAGGCGGACTACGACCAGTTCCGCGTGTGCTGCGACTGGATCAACTACCTCTTCCACCTCGACAACATCTGCGACGAGATGGACGACCGCACGACTGTCAGCACCGCCGGCGAGATCATCGGCGCGCTGCGCGACCCGCACGGCTTCCGCCCCGCGTCCGCAGTAGGAAGGCTGACGCAGAGGTGAGTATCCTCGTGGTCGGGACTTCCCATTCAGTGCACCGGGCGCATTGCTGACGTCCCACGTCCCGGTTCTGCACAGCTTCTGGCGCCGGATGTCTGCGACGGCGTCGCCCGGCGCCCAGCGGCGGTTCATCGAGACGTTCGAGCTGTTCTTCCGCGCGGTCGCCCAGCAGGCGCGCGACCGCGCCTCGGGCAACATCCCCGACCTTGAGTCGTACATCGCGATGCGGCGCGACACCAGCGGGTGCAAGCCGTGCTGGGCCCTCATCGAGTACGCGAACGACGTGAGTACCAGCGCGGGCATCGCCGTCGGTGTGTATATATGGCTGATGATGGGCCCCGCCAGCTGGACTTGCCCGACTGGGTCATGGACCACCCATGTGTGCGAGGCTTGGAAGAAGCCGCGAACGATCTGGTCACGGTGCGTGTATCTCTTCTCCCTGGCCCCGGGACGTGTGCGTGTACTGATCGAGCCCTGCTTTGTACTAGTGGTCGAACGTACGTCTTCTCCGCGTTTCTCCGGCGCCCTTGTGGGTGCTCGGCCGGACCTAGACTCACGCGCCTTCTCTTCCCTGCAGGACATCTTCTCCTACAACGTGGAGCAGTCGAACGGTGCGCCTCCCCCAAAGTTCTTTCCCTCCCTCGTACATGCGCTGACACTGCCGGTCCCCACAGGCGACACGCACAACATGATCGTCGTCGTGCAGGCGCAGGAGCAGCTCGACCTGCAGTCCGCCGTCGACTACGTCGGCGACCTCTGCCTCGGGTGCGTCGACCGCTTCGAGACGCTGCGCGCCGCACTGCCCTCGTGGGGCCCGCAGATCGACGACCAGCTCGCGGTGTACGTCCAGGGCCTCGGCGACTGGATGATCGGCAACCTCGTCTGGTCGTTTGAGACCGAGCGGTACTTCGGGCGCTCGGGCAGGAAGGTGCGCCGCGCGCTCGCCGTCGCCCTTCTCCCGCGGCGCAAGTAGCTGCTGTCTGTCCGGCACGTCAGGCTTGAAGGAGAGCGTCGGTTGGCGGTAAGCCGTTGTGACGCCGTGGGAGGAGGGGCGCGACTGACTGATGCGCGTCCCACCAGATCTCGCGCTACGCGAAGCCTATCGGTTCCTCTCGCACCCTGCACCCCCCTCGGACTCTCTTCGTTCTCGTCGTGGTGGGACTCTGCCCCGCACGCGGCAACCGCCGATGCGCAAGAAGCGCGAAGGCAGCGACGCGGACCTTTTTGTGCTATGTGGCGCGGACACGGTAGTGCGCGGCGGACTTCGGGACTTCGGAGATGCTTCGCATTCGCAGTTACCTTCCCGCGGGCGCGTCTCATTCGACGCCTCATCCTCCTCTTCTCATCGGCCGCCGGCTATCCACACTCCCTGGTTCCTCTTTCCTGCTTTGTTTATCGCCGCTACACCCCGCTCTATACAGTAGGCACCCCGTCGTGCGTCCTAGATTATTATTCACTCGCTGTAGAACTTCTCTTTCCGTCCCCATCGCTTCGTCTCGTTCGTCGCTCTCATTCGGTCTCTCTCCTTACCTCGCGTTCCCCACTCCTTCGCTGCTTCCACTTAGACACGCCGGTCTCCGGATACACACCCTCCCTCCCTCGCCGCCTCTCGCACACACTTCGTTCCTTATTCGCCAGCGTTCTCGCCACCTGTAGCATCTACCTATTTACCACGTACCGCCCTGCTAGTAGGCCTATTATTTCCCCCTCGGGGCAATTCGACTCAAATGCCCCCGTGACCCCGACGTGCCCCGTCAAACGCGAAACACCGTCCGTCTCTCCCTCGGCGTCGGCGAGGAGACTCTTGACCACTCGGACGAGCTCGCTTTCTCTCCCGACGCCCTCCCTTCGCTGCTCGTCTGCCCTCCAGTTAACGCTCTTGTGCAGCTCTAGCCGTTGGAAAACAGTGATGGCGCATGCAGGAGCCCGCCTGACGCAAAAAATGACACAGTTTTTCCCTAAGGTGCTACCAGGGTTCGAACCTGGGTTTCGGGAAAGTCGATGGAAACACTGGGTACATCAAAATCCCGAGTGATAACCACTACACTATAGCACCGATGCCGCGTACCGCGGGCCGCGTTTTCCATTCTGCAACCGTGCACCCATGCAACGTCGTGTGCAATGAGTCTGAGGCTGGTGTCCAGGAACCGGGATGAAAAGAAATAGGCAGACCGTTGGGCATGCGCTGTTAGCGGCAACGGCCCCGCACTGAGACACTGTGCGATTGCTGACCGGACGTGAAAAAAAAAAGATCACCCGACACCGGCGTACATAGCAACTCCTGGTTTCGATCCAGGGACTTCAGGGTTATGAGCCCTGCACGCTTCCACTGCGTCAAGTTGCTGTAGCATCCGTCCGGTCGGTAAATCATTGCCATCTCCCTTGTTGCACTGGGTGCACGTTGTACACTTTGTTTCCAGCTCGCAGACAGCGGGGGGCCATATGCATATATATTCGTCGACCCTGAAGTCCACGCAGCGTGCATCGCCGTCATGCATAGCAGCGGCTGTTCGCGCGCGGGCAGACCTGCGGTCCATGCAGGTCCGTCCCGAGAACGTTAACGTTCTGATAAGTACAAGTCGCTGATGATATCTGAATCGAGTCCTGATATGATACATGGCAGCCCGGCGGTACAAATACAATCCATAGCGCAGGCGGCCCTTCGCGAGAATGGTGCACGCTCCCTAGCTGTCCCTGCGGTAGCCGTCCTTGTAGTCCGAGTTCTGCGCCATGCCCGGGTCAGACGAGAGCTCCGCCGCGACGTCCAGCGCCCACTCACCTTCGTGTACATCCCACCCCGGTCGTTGATGCGCCTCTGGTCCGCCGGCTGGCTCACCGGGCCCTTCGCGTCCGCCGCGCGCTCGCGGCCGCTCCCCTGCAACACCCACGTCCGTCAGCCCCGCCCCCTCGCGTCGTCTCGCCCCAACTTGAAAGCAGCACTCACGCTCAGGGTGGTCATGACCGACGCCACGACGTTCCGCACCGGGTGCGCCCTCTCCCCTTGCGCGCTCTCCTTCACGCCAGTGTCCACCGGGGCCGGGACGCTGTCCACGGCCTTGGACTGCGCGAACGACGCCCCAGCGGCCTCGGACTCGGGCCTGTTGGATTCTGCGTGGGTGCGGGACACCATTCCTGCGCCGCCCGGGGTGCTCATGCGCTCGTTGAACTCGGGGACCTGCTGCGCGTGGCGGAACTGCCCTGCTCGCCCGCCTGTGAGTATCTGCGCGGCAGGAGAGAAGGGGGGGGGACGTACAGGTAGGCATGTCGGCGGGGTTCTTGGATGCGTGGCTGCGGTTCTGCTTCGCGAACTGCAGGCGCCAGAAGCCGTAGAGGCCGAGCGCGACCCCAGCCATGCCGAGGAACATGGTCTGCGGCGAGGGGGCGATGAGATATTGGGTTCGTACATGCGAGGGGGGTGGGAAACGCACCTTTCCGCTTCCGCCTTGAGGGACCATGGGCATAGGGGCGGTCGGCCTCGCCGCGCGGAGGTTGGGAGCTTGTCCAGCGTTCACAACCATAGTGATCAGCAAAGGAACTTAGTCAAAGCGGGGTGTGTGTGTATAGTGGTTATGGTGGGAGTGTAAAAGCAGGAGAAGGTAAGTGGGGAGCGCACGGGCGTTCCTCCCTATGTTTATGACCTCGCGCCGTGCGGATGACAGCGGCGGGCGGGATCGATCGCCTCTATGAGGCGCACCCTAATGGCATCGGGCGCGAACCAACCCAGTGGACGGAGGGCCGTTTTGGGAAAGTGGCTGACCATATGCGGATGTGGGTGCAGAGCTCGTCGCCCGGTTTGTGGCGGGGACTAGGCCAGTAAGTTCTTTGATGTTGGTAGTATAGTATTTTTTCCTGGCTCCAGGACTATGACTGAAGCCAATCGAATTACCTTGCTACGGCATGGTCCCTGGAAGGGCTGCATAACGTGCAGGGTAGGCGGAATCTGGCCTGGGCAGCTGCTCCTGCCATGCTCTCGGACCTTCTGTCAAACTCCCGTTAGCACGTATGACGTATGGAACGAGGAATTGGCGCGTAGGGGCGAAAAGACGTACCTGTCACGATCGCGCTTGACCGGTGACCACGGGATTACCGGCCCCTTTCCTGCGTGGGCTAGAGTCATTTGCATCCGACCGGTCGTGCTCTCGAGGACGCTATGCGTCAACACCACGACACTATGCGGGAGCTGCATAGTACTTGAGGAGCGTGCGTCTGGTGTAAGCAGAGACGCGGTACCGCGGCAGTGGGGGAGCGCGTCTTCACGAGCACGTGATCGCGTCTGAACAGCGCCACAAGCTCCAGCGACGCGACTTCGAGGGCGAAACAGGATTCAGCATGGCCTACACGACGTAACTGATACATTTTCAGCCCTTTTTAGCGTGTAGTACGATGCATAATATGGCTACCGGGAATCCTCCAGGGTCCCGGCCCCATGCAATGCACTATCAGCGTCTTCATCCCATTCGTCAGGCTCCCCAGGTTACCCGTCTGCTGCGGCAGACCTTCCGTAGATATCGCTGACATCGTCTGCCATGCGTGAGACAACGCTTGGCCGTCCCCCACTAATCCTGAAAACAAGCGTGTCCTGCTGCCCTGCTTGTGAGATCCCCGGAAGCTCGCCGTGTGTGATCGCGCTCCCCGCGGAGGACCGCGCGACTTCGTGCAGGTCAAGCATGAAGCGATACGTCATGATCGCAGTGAAGCTGGGCGAGCGGCACGGGGCGTCAGTGTATGCGTGCGAGGCGATGGGAGAACGGAAGGGCATACGCTGCGGTCCAGGTCGACATTGGCTCAATGAGCTGAAGGGAGGAGAAGAGCGTGAGCACTAGGGAGGTGAGCTGAATGCGGACTGGGAACACCTCTTCATTCTTGCCAAGGCCGAGGCCTATGATGTTCACGGCGGAGATCACGCTAGGAGATGGGTGAATTTCTCGTCGGCGATCCGTACATTCGGCAGCTGTGCTTACAGAAAGTATACTGTGCCTGTGGAGGCCCCATTGCGATTCAGTACGAGCATAGGGAGGATGATTGGCGAAGAACGTACCGCTTCGCATCAATGTCTGCGAGAACGTCGTCTTGACGCCCAGCGCCGAGCCATTCCCGCGCGCAGACCAGGTATTCAGAAGGGTGAGGCCGAGCACCGACAGGTCTGCGACCACCGTGCACGTCCGCGCCCCAAGCATCACTGCATATAGCGCCAGGGTAAATTTCTGTCATTACACGCGGTTCCGAGAGACACGTACGTCTATGTTGCAATATGAGTTTAGGGAGCTGGGACTCGACCAGCGAGATACGTACTTTGCGTAGTACGCGTCCGAAATGGTCGTCGAGAGGCTGCAGCTCGTGAACAGCACCGTGCTCACGCCCGCCGTCGACTGCGTGAACGTGTACTGCGTCAAATAGTCAGCCTCACCGGTATGAGTAGCGCCCTTGGCGTGAGACGCAACGCACGATGGAGATGGCGGGGTAAACCAGGCCGAGGGCGAGCGTCGCGAGGAGCGCCCAGCGGTTCCTGTTGCAGACCGCGTATGCGCGCAGCGCAGAAAATGCTGCGGATTATGTGTGATGAGCTTTTAGGCGCTATTCATAAGGAAGCAATGCTCACCAGCAGCGGACAGGAACAACAGAGCGCTCAGCGCCATCTCGAGGCGTATCAAGAACGCACAGCTGCAGCCGCACCATCGTCAGGCCCTCGTCGAATTTGTGAAGCCCATGTAGCGCATATACCTCTGCAAGTGCAAATCAGCACCGCGTGAGTAGAGATTCGACGGGAGACGACGGGGACGCACGAGGTCGTTCTGCCCCGGCCACTCCGTGACGTCGAGCACGATGAGGATGGAGCTGAAGAACGCGGCGTAGCGGACGACGTAGAACAGCAGCGCCGGGCTGCTGAAGCGCGCCGCGCGCCAGATGATGCGGACCTCTTGGTCGAAGGTCAGGGCGTAGTCGTAGAAGACGAGGACTGCGAGGGTGCATAGAAGGAGAGGAGGGTGATCATAAGAATTCGTGAGCGACTTATTTGCGAGAAAAGGCTTACCGGCGGCGGCGATGTTGCAGGTCACCACCGTGATGCTAGACGGGAAGCCTGTGTTAGCCCGACGATCCCGTTCGAAGAGGATCAAGTATAGGACCGAACTCACACTGTGCTGTATGCCGCAACGATATCTGCCAGGTACGCCGCGGCATCGCTCGCTGAGTCTGCCATATTACCGAGTCGCCTTGTCGCGCGTGTATACGACGTGGGATGAAATGGCGGCCTCAGACGACCTGGAAAGTGGTAAGAAGAAGTGGCAAGAAGGGGGTGGGCAAGTGTGAGCCTCGCGATGCCGGACCCGAAGGTTTTGTACGTCGACGTCGATAAGCTCTTCGGACGTCAGATCGTCAGAGCCTAACGTACACCTGTCCAGTGTTTCAGGATTGCCGGTAGCCCCGCTGAGGTTAGCGGACTTCTACTCGAGAGACGGTCACGGTAGATCTGTCAAAGCTTACAGCCAAACATACCGCCGGCCGAGATGCTCGAAACACGTTTTTGAGATGTACGATTGGCTATATCGTGGTAACAGCAGTGTCCGACCGGGATACCATGTAGCTTAGCCCACGCGGCGAGCGCCACGCTAAAGCACAGCAGGACGCCCTGGACGCCACTGGGAAGATAGACTTTATGAAGCTGTGCCACGTAGATACTGCTGTGCCGCGCAGATGTTGCTGTGCAGCAGAAATGGATGCGCGGACGATCATGACCCCGGAGTCAATGGCGATCGTGTCAGAGGATCCTGTGCGTAGCAACAGCTCGGCTCCCGGACAGATGGGATGACGAGTGCACGAGGTTACGAGTACCGGCGGCGTGCGCGCGCTCCGCCGATTCTTCTTGACAGGTGGGCGGCGTGTCGAGACAGTATGGGACCGATTGGTGGCGGGCGGGGGGCGACTGGTGGAGAAGTATGACCACTGTATGCGCCGACGCTGACCCCGTATTTTTGTGGTGGCCTCACCCGAGCCTGTGTCGAATCCGAAGAGTCGGATCTGTGCAGTGGGGGAACGAGCCGGCAGCAATATGCATGGACAGTGCAAGGAGCATGTTCCAAGAGCCAGAGAGGACGTGTCTGGGAAGATTCCCCCTATGTTGGTAGCAGATCACAGCGTCAAAACGAAGGAATTTGAAGTTTGAGAGACGTGGAAGCAGGAGGAGGAGGAGGAGGAAGACCATTAGCGCCTATATGCGGTAATACAAGAACATCGCGGTGCTTGCCGGTATCTTTCAGTGGACGGTATCGAACGCCTGAGCATGCGGCGTCCGCCATCTTTATCCTCTTACCTTCCTTGCTGTATTCTCCACGGTGTTTGGAGGCAAAACATCGCACTATATTGATTACTAAGGTATGATGTAACGGAAAGGTTCGAGGGTCGGCATGGGCCAGGGCTGTAACTAGTTACGCACTTGGGATACCGGTGGCATCCCCTTGATCTTCTGGCGATGCTGAAGGCGACGTACACGATATACTACACTAGAACTGGACTCACAGAGTTTTCTACGACGCATCAGCATGACTCAATTGGTTGAGAATCCGATGAATAACGTGCAGCAAGTTGTCCATCCCACTCGTCCTCGACGGTTTCCCCATTCGCCACGGATGCCCCGCTAACCTCGTCTGCTATGCGCGAGACGCCGTTTTGCTGGCCCTCACTTGTCCTGAACACCAGCGTATCATGCTGCCCCCCTGGAAAGGTGATCGAGTAACCTCCTAGTGTAGCGACGTTTCCTGCGGTGGAGCGCGCGACTTCGTGCAGGTTGAGCAAGAATCGATACGTCATGATCGCGGTGAAGCTGAATATGGCTCGTTAGCAGGAGGAGAGGAGGTATTGACCCAGCGAGGGGGCGTACGCTGCTGTCCATGTCGACATCGGTTCGATGAGCTATAGATGATACAGTCAATGTTGATCGAAGAACGGGGAAAGAGGATAGCCCGTAATGCGGAGTCCGCGCACCTGCTCGTCCTTCCCAAGGCCGAGTCCTATGATGTTCACTACCGAAATGACCCTGATGCCAGATGTGTCGTTACCGTTGCCTATGTAATGGGGCAGACTATGATTTGCGGAAGTGCTTACACGAAAGAAAGTGTGCCTAAGAACGTGCCCTCGCGCGTCAGTGCCGACTTACAGAGTGGCATACATGCGCAAATGACGCACCGTTTCTCATCAAAGTCTGTGAGAACGTCTTCTTAACGCCTAGTGTTGGGCCGTGTGCGCGAAGTGGCCAAGTATTCAGCAGGGTGAGGCCGAGAACCAGCAGATCCGAGGCCACGGTGCACGCCCGTGCCACAAGCGTCACTACATCGGGCGTCATAGCGAGAATTAGCCATTGATAGATACGGGTTCCCGGAAGGGCCTTACATCTGACGAGCAAGTTGAGCGGGAGAAACTAGGGCCTCGCAAGGAATGCTACTCACTGTACATAACGCTTATTAGAGATCGTCGACGAGGAGCTGCAGCTCTGGAACGGTACAACACCGACACTCGATGACGATTGTGTAAACGTGTACTGTAGTAATTGTAAGTATCGCAGGCCGGCTCGGCACAGGACGTGACACACCAATGATATAGCTGGGTAGACCAAGGCGAGGGTGAGCGTCGCGAGAAGCGCCCAGCGGTTCTTGTTGCAGACCGCGTATGCACGAAGAGCTGAAAACGCTATAACATAGATGCGTGGTTAGCCCGTGGACGCTCAAACGGTGAGCTCGCACTTACCTGCAGCCGCGAAAAACATCAACGCGCATAAGACCATCTCTATATGGATCAATATCGCACATCTAAAATGTTGTCAGAGATCTAGAAGGAACCGATCTAATGAAAACGGTACGAGGGCCCATACCCCTATAGAATTTTGACAGTAACATCAGGACACACTTGATTAGCAGTTAAGGAAAAAGGAAGAACATACCAGGTTATTCTGTCCAGACCAGACCGTTCCGTTCAGCACGATCCAGATTGAGGTGAAGAGCGCGGCGTAGCGGGCAACGTAGAACAGAAGCGCTGAGCTACTGAATCGTATCCGCCATATGTTGCGGACCTCCTGGTCAAACGTCAAAGCATAGTCGTAGAAAACAAGGGCTATGGGTTATGAGACAGATGCATCAGTATTCACCAAGACCTACTAGTCGCGACGGTGTACTCACTGACCGCAGCGATGTTGCAGGCCGCAGCAATTGTCCTAGACGCAAAAGCATGCGTCAGCTCGACAGCGTCGCCTAGACCATACGTCTCGTCTCACAAGACTCACGCTGTGCTGTATGCTGCAATGACTTCTGCCTGGTGGAGGTCGGCCATATGACCTGTTGTGTCTGTACAGGTGGAGCACTATGACGGAGTTTCTGGAGAGTAACAGAGAGGAGAGCGAGTGATCACAATGATGTCGCAAATGAGATTTATAAGTTAATGGGCGCAAAAAAACCATTGATCAGGATGCCTATGTTTCGACCACACGGGTATGGAGACACTCATACGTCAGCGACGTACCATATATGGGCTGTGCACGGCGTCCAAACCAATTTCAGCCCAGATTGCATGAGCTCGACCTATCCTGAAAATAGTACGCCCACGAAGATGGACTGCGAGCTGAACGATGCAATGCTGTGCGATAGGCGCGGATGAGCCGACTCGGAGTCAACGGCCTTAAGCTACCGGTCAATGGCGATGGGGTTAGAAGGTTCACCAGCTGATGTTTGCCCTGTGTACCGCGAGCGCACCAGGTTACGAACATCTGCATCCTCCAGATCTTCTTGATTCATGGGTGGCGATCAAGGTTGGACACCGGAGGTGGACGGGGACCGAGGGACAGTGCATAAGTACGACCACAACATGTGCCGACGCCGACCGGCACCGCATATCTCAGGCGGAGACATTGGTGGCCTCACTAGTCGGGGCAGAAAACCAAGGGATATATGATGTATGACCCCTACCATCACCGCTACAATGAGGTGATCAGTCCGTATGCTGAACTATAGGGAGTGAACGTACCAGTGACTGCGAGTTGCGCCCGTGCGTCCTAGCAGGAGGCCCGCCTGAGAACGGTTTCATCTGTGCGTCCCGGTGCGTCTTAAAAGATGAGCAGCGATAGCATCAAATGTAAAGAAAGAGAGAGCGGACATAAACCAAGTGATCAGGGTTGCAACTAACAGGTATGCGCCGAAATGAATCACATTTCACGAGGACAGTCATACGGTGTTTACAGAACTTCCTGCAGGTCGAAGCTTATGATATCGTCAGGCTTGGGACTCCTAATGAAGCGAAGATACAAATGTCAAGAAACTTTACAAAACAGAACAACATACCAGGGGACGGCCCTTCTCACGATGTCTTCTTCTCGACCATGAACCACTGCGGAGCAGGTGCGATCGTGTTGAGCACCCCTCCAGGCTCCTTCGCCGTCGCCACGGTCGCCAAGTGCCCGGCAATCATCTTGCAAGGGAACGGCTGCCCGTTATCGACGACCGTCACGTCCACCTCTGCGTACCCAGCTGGGATGCTCCCGACGTCAATAGTGAAGTATGGGACACCGTCAAGAGTGTAGGATGCGGAAAAGTCGCCTGAAAATAAACGTGCGGTCAGCTTTTCCGCGCTAGCACGAGGCGTGCTTAATTGACACTGACCAACTGTGAGGATACTCTGACTGGAGGGGTCAACGTCGGCTTCCGTGTCCTCGGGTTGAACCTCGACTGCCTCATCGTGTTGGTCCGCGTCATCTTCAGTTTTCCGGCGGCGCGCTCTGAACGGATCAGAAATCATCTTCGCCAGCCGCATGCGTCGGGTGGGCTTGGGGGTGGGAGTGGGAGTGAGAGTAGGAGTGGGCGTAGGAGTGGGAGTGGGCTTCACAAGTTCCGCACGGGGTTCAAACTGCACGGCAGCCGGGTCCGGGCGGGGAATTGCGAGCAAGGGATCGAGCGGCCCTGCCTTCCATGTGCCTTCCTTGGTCCACACGCAGAAGGCCGTTAGCCATCCATTCAGGTCGTCCTGCCCGCAGTACTCCTCCTGCCGGTACACGACGTGCTTCCAAAATGCCGTGTCGGGTTTACCATCGAAGGCAGAGACAAAGCGGCGTAGGATAGGATAAAGCATGTTGGCCCACGCAGATGGCTCGTCGCCGAGCTCATACAGACGCTCGAGTCTCTTCACGATGCGCTCCCAGTCGGCTTTGGTGCCCTCAAGCGTGACGGTCGGGATGCCGCAGGTGATGCCCATGAAATATTCAAAGTACCTGCTAGATCTGTAAGACATAGATGGAAATGCGCAGAGTGGAAGGAATACGCACGCCTTCAGAGTAGACATCATCAGAACCGAGCAGATCGTGCTGTCCTTAATGGTAGTGGTGGTAAAGTCTGGCAGAATCCATTCGGCTAGCGTGCTGTCGACCACCTGGATGCACAGCGTTGAGATCTATCCAGAGGATTGACACCACAATAGCTTGAGCGAGTCCTTACGTTCTTGTGGATCTCTCGTGTCATAGCACGCGCGAGCCGTCCGAAGTCAACACTGTGGCGGGTGCCCACGTCTTCAACGAGGAGCCTGCGGGTGCCCTCGTGTGCAACGAAGTAAGCGCGGAGCTCCTCCGCATGGGCGTTGACGCTGTATGTTGAGGTGAGTCCGCTCATTACATTTGTCTCGTGCTCATTATCGTGGCGACTTACTAGAAGTTCAGTTGAGTGAGTATAGCGATCCACACGTCGTCGGGACTGCCCAGCTGTCAGTTCGGCGTCCTGTCGACGGTCGATGTGCTGCACATACCGAATGACGAGGTGGTGATGCGTCGCGTACGCATTCATCACGGCATGCACGAATCCGTTGTTGTCCGGGCAAAGCGCGAGATGCTCGTCTTTGCCGATCGAACACTGCAAAAGCGCAGCCATGTCGTTCGGCGGCGGATTGCAGGCTTGCTGCAGTATTTGAACGGGAGGCTGATTCCGGTGCGTGCGAATCTCGCAGGGAGCCACTGGAGAGACAGCGAATGTCACTGGCATGTTGGCTGCAAGTCTCTGCCTTCAGTAAAGACAGGAGAGACAGCACTGAAAGACCACTTACCGATGGCGTAGACGTGGGAAGGAAGAGATGACGGGAGGCTCAGGGCGCAGCCACACCAAGACATGTCCTTGAGACCCATATAAGTACCTGGGGGGATGGCGTCACGCGCTCCCGATGCTGTGCGACAAACCTTGATAGGCTGCGGGAGCACAAAAGGGCAGAATCGTCGAGTAGAACGACCTGATGATTAATTCATATCGCTGGGGTGGGAAACGCAGACCGAGGTTTGGCCATAGAGCACCGCTTCACGACGCTAGCACTGCAAAACGAAGAGCAAGTTTACGGATCGCAGTGTCGAGTTATTAGCACACGACAAACGGGAAAGAAAGCCAAATGAAGACAACAGGCCAGTTCATAGCTCCCGCAGACACCGCTGTTATCGAGAGATGAGTGGAGATATTCGCTGGACTATCCGATGTTTCGACCGCTCCCACCGGCGGTATCCTGGCATCAATGCAAGATCTATGATACAATTACCGCACTAGTACTGCCCATAAGTACTTTTACAACCTACAGCACTGAGAGATTAGCTAGGTTGACAAAACGATGCAGCAGGACTACGAACTATATCAAGACGGAGCTTCAGAAGGCGCTGATCGCCTGCTGCGCTGCCGAATCGTCCATCTCAACGTCCGTGTCCCGGGACTGTTTGACCTTGAGCTGGTCGATAAGGTAGTCCAGCGTCGACCGGTTCTCCTCGCACCTGCAACACAAAGCGTCAGAACACCATCCCCACAAGCATAAACGAAACCAACGCACAATCGTGAAATGAGCTGCTCAAAGTCCGACAAGCCCTTCTGCAGCGCCCTCAGCACACTCGCATACTCCCCCGCCCGATCCCGCAAATGCCGTCCATGCGCGCCCAGCAGCGCGCTCGCCCACAGCAGATCAAACTCCACATGCGGGCTGCGCTCCATGTGCTCCGCGACGAAGCGCAGCAGCTGCCCGACGTACACCACCGGCAGCCCGCGCGCGACGAGCCGGATGTCCGCGCGCGGCACGCTCTCGTACGCTTTATGCACGAGCGGGCGCTCGTTCAGGCGGAACGCCATCACGAGCGCCTTCAGGTGCTCCCCGCGCGCGAGCACCCCGAGCAGCGCCTGGGGGGTGAGCTCGAGGTCGAGGTCGAACGGGTCGAACGTCGTGGTGTCGTCGACGGAGTAGATGAGCAGCCCTTCGGTCGACGCGGCCGCCCACGCGCGCCCGGTGGGGGCGAAGCGCACGCATTTTGTGCGCGCCTCTTGGCGGTAGCGTCGTTTTGACATGTCGCCGTGCTGCGCGCCGGGGAGCGCGGTGTCGAGGCGGTCTTCAAGGTCACTTGCGTCGCCGCGGTCGTCGAGCAGGTCGAGGTTCCCGGCCTCGGTCAGTCTGCGGCTGTCGAGGAACTCCTCGGTCCCGTCCAGGCTGAGGTTCTGCGAGATCTGGAACTTCTTGACCATCACGCCCTCGCGCACGTCGTAGATCACGACGTATTTGCTGTTCCCGCCTGCGATGATGCAGCGTCCGTCCGCGGTATACGCGAGGCTGTTGAACGCCTTGCCCGACGCGTTGTTCGACGCCGCCATGCGATCGTCCGCCTTGCGTCCGCCCGAGATGTCCCGCCGTCCGTCGATGAGGTTCGTCTGTTTGCCGAGGCTCACGTCGAAGAACATGACCTGGCCGTCGAGACTCGAAGCCGCCAGCTCCTTGCCATCGGGACGGAACGCGACCGCGAGCACGTCCGAGCTGAGCGTGAAGGGCTCCACAGCGCGCGACCGCCCGAACACACTCCAGACGCGCACAGTTTTGTCCCATGAGCCGCTCGCGACGATGTTCCCAGTCGGGGAGAACGCGAGCGAGCTGATCGGTCCCTCGTGGCCAGTCAGGACGTCGAGGAGCTTGCCGGTCTGCACCGACCAGAGGAAGATCTCGAACGAGTCCGTTGACCCTGCCGCGACGACCTCTCCACTTGGGTCAACCGCGAGGCACGAGAATTGCACGGGGGTGGGGGAGGTGAACGTCCGGAAATTGCGATAGCGGATGAGGTCGAACGCGCGCACGGTACCGTCCAGCGACGCGGAAAAGAGCACCTGCCCTTGCTTCGCGAACTCCACGGCCGACACCGCCGCAGAGTGCTCCGAAAACGTCACGAAGCAGAACCCGGAGGTCGTGTTCCACACCTTGACCTTGGAGTCGTCTCCCCCAGTGGCGACGTGCTGGCCGTCCGACGCGTACGCGAGCGTGTTCATGTCGAAGAAGTGGCCTTGCTGCTTGAGGACGTACGACTCCGACTGCCACTCCCACACGAGGAGCTGCCCGAGCTTCTTCGCCCCGAAGGCGAGCCACTCGCCTGACGGGTTGATCGCGACGGACGAGATCTTCTCCTGTGAGATGCTGAGGGTGTGGATGTTGGAAAACGCTGGCATCTCCCAGAGCCCGAAGACACCGGTGGAGAAGCCAACGACGAGCAGGCTGGACCCGCGGTGGAACGTGCTGCAGACCACCTTCGTTCCCGGTTGGTTGAAGTAGTTGCGTTTGTGTACGCCCCACCGCGTGTTGGCGATCTCATTGTAGAGACTTGCGCTCGAGGTCGACGCGACAGGCTCCTCGTCGTCACTGTCAGAATCGCTCTCGTCTTCTGAAGGCTTGGCCTTCCACGTGAAGACGGCACCGTCCCGGCTGACAGTGTATATCTAGCGGTGCTTCAGAACAGATGCGAGTATTCGCAAAAGGCGGATACTCACCGTTTTGCTGTCGGCGGAGAAGAAGGCGTTTAGTACTGCGTCCTTGTGACCGGCGAACGTCTTCGGTCGGAAGCCCTCGACTGGGTCAAGCGTAAACAGCCGAGCAGTCATGTCGCGCGAGGTCGTGATAAAGCATTTTGAGTCGGGAGACCACTCGATGCTGAGTACCTCATCATGGTGACCCGTGTACGTGCGGTGCAGATTGAAGGGCGCGAACTCGCGAATAAGGTGGTTCGGTGTCCGCCAGACTTGCACGTGTGTATCATGCGAGACGGCAATGTACCTGTGGGAGAAAGTTAGACTCATGCAGGTACCGATAAGTTGTCATCACACACTTTCCATCCGGTGAGAATTTGAGTGCCTTGACCGGCTTCTGAAAGTTGAAATGGTGCAGGACGGCGCCCCTCTTGAAGTTTACGAGCAAAGCTCGACCGTCTATACAAGCATAAAGACATCAGATATCTGACTCACAGCCATACGCAGTGCAGTGTGAACGTGTCAAAGGTGCCCTGTCCCAGTCCCCGCTGACGGTAGCTGAAACCTCTGCGTACAGGAAGTATTTCACCGCACCTTCGTCCACGCTCAGCAACACATTTGCATCCGGGCTCAAGGCAATCGCAGCGACGTTCTTGCGGTTCTCGAAGGCGAAAGTATGCGACTTGTTGCTGTGAATGATGAGTACAATTCGAACGCGTCCCGATGGCACCACTCACTTGACAAGGTCAAATACGGAGACTCTGTTCCCGACCGGACTCAGGACTGAATTCCCATCTGGAGTGAAGACAATGTTCCCCTGTCTATAGACAGTACCGCAAAGATTGGAGAACTGAGAGAAGTGAGCATACATCGCTAGAAGCAGGGAAAGAAAACACACCTTGTAGTTAGCCTTCATTGAGCGCAAGACTTGGGACCTCAAGGAAGGAGGCCTGATCTTCTTCTGCGATGTCCAGTAAGAGTGTCAGACACAAGCTTCTCTATCCGTAGAAAGCGAGGGCGCAAGAGAGACGAGTACTGCGAGGGAAGGAGAGGACAAGCAGGAAGACCAGGAACTTGGAAGACGGACTCGAAGGCGTTAAGCGCCAGTAAATTCCTGCCCAAAATTCACGTGACCGCATGAGATCACATATGGGCGCTAAACCTGCAGCGTTCTTCTCCCGGTCTCCTCGTCCTCGTTCTCCTTCATCGACTCTCCTACCGCTACGCCTCGGAAGATACACCTTGCATTGTCCCCGCCTTGTTGCTCAAAGCCGATTCAAGTACCTATGGACAAGGCAGCGGGGAATATGTGTGATAACTCTCCAGTGTGAACGTTCAGTCCAACACTGGCGAATGTTTCTGTCCATCATCCGAGTGTAGTGGAAAGCACAGGAGATACGCGCCGTATCTGCAGTCTCGTCTTGGGTTTCTGCCTCGTCCATCATGCGCTAATGCTCCTACGCTGCGATCAGTCTCCCGCAGTACTTCCTCTCAAAACCGGTATTAGTATAAGGCCAAATCTCGGCCTTCGTTTCCCAGCCCAAGGGTATCAATCATGGTATCGTTCTAACACGATACTCTATCCTCTTCTGCTCACGCAGTCTTTAAAAATGTCCCGCACAGCCTTTCCACCACATGACACCATCCTCTCAGGCACATGCGGGTCCCGAGGACATGTCTTGTAGTGGCTGCCACCCTTAAATACACACTCGAGAGCCTTTCCGTTATCTTCTCCGACCTCGACCACACTCTACTAGCAAGCACTTCCTGGTATCACATCTACGGTGAGCAGCCTTTCATGTATGCCCTTCTGTCCCTGTTGACGATGACCTGCAGCCAGAATGCCGGTCACTTTCGACGTCTCGCCGGTGACTCCCAGCGAGATTCGCTGGTATGAAACTCAGAGGCCCGTAGATGTACTCAGGACGGCCTGCAATCCACCGCCAGCCGACATGGGTCCACTCCTGCAGAGCTCGATTAGCAAAGACGAACTTCGCACGCTCTGCCCCCAAAGCAACGGATTTGTGCACGGCGTGATGCATGCATATGCGGGCCACCACCACCTGGTCATTCGGTATGTGTGCTGCCTCGCTCATTGATAGCAGGTCTGATTTTTGATTGGTCAGCCCTGACGACGTATGGATAGCTATCCTCACTCAGCTAAGCTTCTAGTAAGTTACCATGACCATACACACGAGCAAATATTGAAGTGAGCTTATTCTAACATTGGCACACAGCGTCAACGCCCATGCCGAGGAGCTTCGCGCATATTTCGTTGCACACGAGGGCACGCGGAGGCTCGTCGTTTCCGACGTGGGAACTCGCCATAGCGTCGATTTCGGACGCCTCGCGCGCGCTATGACCCGGGAGATTCACAAGAATGTGAGGACTCCCTCATGTCGCCTCGTCGTACTTTTCCGCGTAATCACTCACGCCCGTCACTGTGCACTTAGGTCGTCGACAGCACACTGGCCGAATGGATTTTGCCAGATTTCACCACCACTACCATCAAGGACAGCACGGTCTGCTCGGTTTTGATGATGTCCACCCTGAAGGCGTACGCATATCTCATACTCCCATTCTCAATTCTGTCTTACAGCTTAACAGATACTTCGAATACTTCATGGACATCACCTGCGGCATCCCAACCGTCACGCTCGAGGGCACCAAAGCGGACTGGCTGCGCATCATAAAGAGACTCGAGCGCCTCCACGAGCTCGGCGATGAACCCTCGGCATGGGCTACCATGCTCTACCCAATCCTACGCCGTTTCGTCTCCGCCTTCGACGGCAAACCCGACATCGAGTTCTGGAAGCACGTTGTGTACCGACAACAGGCGTATTGCGGGCAGGACGACCTCAACGGCTGGCTGACCGCCTTCTGCGTGTGGACGAGCGAGGGAAAGTGGAAGGCGGGGCCGGTATATTCCTGGGCCGCCATCCCTCGTCCGCCTCAGACTGTTGTAGCGTCTGGCCCCCGTCCTGAGTTTGTGAAGCCCACCTCCTCGCGGGGTATGCGGCTGGCGAAGATCGTTTCCGCGCCCTTCAAGCGACGCGTCCGGAAATCCGTAGACGGAGCTTCGTTGGATCAGCATCAGGAGGCGACGGCCTCGTTAGAGCAGCCTGAGGGGAAGGCGCCGGAGACAGTAGAAGCCGACGGTAGCACCCCCGTCAGCCAGAGCGTGCTCAGAGTTGGTAAGTGCCCGCGCAGCCTGGTCCGTGCCGGAGCTGAGCGCTAATTTATGAAGGCATGTCTATTTCGTTAGATAAATATACGACCTCATATACTCTCGACGGCGTCCCGTACTTCACCATCGAGGTCGGGAGCATCCCAGCAGGCTACTCCGAAGTGGACGTGATGGTCATCGATAACGGGACGGAGGTCCCCTGCAAGATGGTCGCGGGGCACGTGGCGATGGCGGCGACGGCGAAGGAGCCTGGAGGGGTGGTCAACACGATCGCGCCCGCGCCGCAGTGGTTCATGCTCGAGAAGAATACGGCGTGATTGGGGTCGTGTTCTGGTATGTGGTTTTGTTCGTTGGGTTTCTAGTCATGTGTACCTTCGCGCTGCAGCGTTATTACTGTGATCCAACTCTGCGAAGCATCAAGTTCTGTGATCGAAGTCAAACCTTCAGCTCTATATCAACAGCACCTGGTGTTCACTCGACGTTCGTCTCCTTCTCATTACCTCAAGTCGTATGTTGGCGCTGCCCACCTGCGCAGAGGCACCGGGATGCACGGATAGACATGTAATCCTTCGGAACCGGTAAGTATTTCCTTCTGTCATTTAGTAACGACTTCTATGCTGCGGTCTGTCTGCTAAAGGTATTTCATCGAATACCTGTCAGAGTCTATCGCACTGCATGGCACTGTCTTCGCACGCACCTAGGCGCACCCGGAGACGCCTCATCGTGGCCGAACCTTAATTGCGACATGTTATGGGGGTGGCCCCCGCAACCCCGCAACCCCAGACTCCCCCCTTACTCCGGCACTCGCTCGCAATCGACGACTCTGATGTGAGCAACTCTTGAACCCGTTTCTCTTGTCCCTACTGAAGTCGCTTTTTTGCAGTCAGCATGCCAGTTACTTTCGCAGTCTCGTCGGTAACTCCCGGCGAGGTACGCTGGCATGGCATAGAGAGCCCTGCTGGGCTGCTCTCACAGCGGCCAAGGAACATGTTCGCTACATCGCAGCGCTCTATCACTGTGGAAGAGGAACATATACAATGCTCTGTCACCGAAGAAGAAATGCCTGTACTCATCGCACAAAGAAACGGCTTTGTGCACTCCATCCTAGAGGCGTACGGAGCGCACCACCACCTCGTTATTCGGTATGTGTGCTACAGTAATTGCCTAGATAAGGTCGCATTTACGCCTTTTATACAGTCCGGATGATGTATGGATAGCGATCCTCACCCAATTGAGCTTTTAGTAGGTTACAGCAGTCGCATGCACAGCTTCGCTGTGTACCTGTGGGGACGGCATTTAACAGAACTCTTGGTGCATAGTGTCAACGCTCATGCGGGGGAGCTGCGCAACTACTTCGTCGCTCATGAAGGAAAGCGAAGGCTCACAGTCTACGACGTGGGTACGCGACACACCGTCGATTTCGGACGCCTCGCACGTGCCATGACACAACAGATTCACAAGAATGTAAGAACCAATTGCCGCCTCTTTCTTGGCCCGTAATCGGTATTGAACATTGTGCACCCAGGTGGTCGATAGCACGCTGGTCGAATGGATTCTACCCGACTTCACCACGACGAGTCTGAAGGACACTACAATTTGCTCCGTCATCATGATGTCTACCCTCAAGGCGTGCGTCACTCCTATTCAAGTTGTCAGTGTGGTTCCCTCCGTGTCTCACTTTCCAGCAGATACTTTGATTTTCGTGTGTGTATTACGTGCGGCATCCCGTCAGTCACCCTCGAGGGCACCAAAGCCGACTGGCAACGCATTTTGAAGAGGCTCGAGCGCCTACACGACCTCGGTGACGAGCCGTCTACGTGGGCTACCATGCTTTACCCCATTCTTAGTCGCTTCGTCTCCGCCTTCGACGGCAACCCCGACACAGAATTTTGGAAGCATATGGTGTACCGCTCTTCGAGAGGATGTGGGACTGACAGCCTCGATGGATGGCTGACGGCCTTCTGCGTGTGGACGAAGAAAGGACAGTGGAAGGCGCGACCGCTTGCTCCTCTGCTCGCGACACCCCGCCCGCCTCCATTCGTTGTGGACTCTGGTTGGTTTTCTGGTTCTGGAGATAGGGCTTCGCTGTACGAGCAAGGAGACAGCACTGAGAGTGCATCTGTTGATGGCAGCACTTCTAGTCAGAGTATCCTCACATTCGGTCAGTGTTGGTGCAACCTGATTCCCACTGCCGCTGACGTCATATTTATCCTTAGACCCATGGCACGGCGCATCCTACACCCTTGACGGCGTCCCGTACTTCACTGTCGATATCGAGAGCATCCCAGCCGGGTGTTGCGAAGTGGACGTGATGGTCGACGATAACGGGCAGCAGATCCCCTGCACGATGATTGCTGGACACGTTGCGAGCGTGGCGACGGCGAAGGATCCCGGAGGGCCGCTCGATACGCTCGCTCCCGCACCGCAGTGGTTCATGATGGAGAAGAAGTCGTCGTGAGCGGGGAGGTCGCGCTCTGGTATGTGGCTCTGTCTTGTAAAGATGTGTATTTTCGCGCCACAGAATAACTTCTGCGATTCCGCTCACACCGCACAGAGCCAATTTCTCGAAGTGAAACTTCCACTGCGTGTGACTTGAGGCTCCCTATAGCCCACCATAGATGCTTGGTTCATCATATGGTCAACCGCGGTGTATATCATCAGGGTATTTGAGTTCACTCGGTGTTTGTCCGCCTCGCATTACCCCAGGTCTCACGCTGTCTTTCATCATCTGTCAGGATGCACCAGAACGCGCGGGCAGATCCGTACAAAGTGAGTCATAGCCGGGCGTCCGCGTTTACTAGTCCAGCAACCAAATTCCGGGGCGGCGCTCGATCGCAGTCGGGTGACCGTAGCATTCGTGCCACACAAGCACTGTCTTCCCAGTCACTTGAGCGCATGTTAGAAGTGCCAGCACTGAGCAGACGAGACACCCTATTACCATCACTCTCTGATTTCTTCCTTCCTCCGCTGCTCGCCCGCACGTGTCAGATCTGCTGTGAGCGGTTCTCAGATCCCGTCATCCCTGCCCTTATACTACTAAATAAACGTGTACAATCAGGTAGTCGACAGCACGCTCCCTGAATGGATTTTGCCGGACTTCACCACGACCACTGTGCAAGACACCACGATATGTTCAGTTGATATGATGACGGTATCGAAAACGTGCGTCGCTCTCGTTGTCAGCGCGACACCCTATGTGCCTCACATCTCAGCAGATACTTCCGACCTATTATAATGTTCACGTACGGCATCCCGACCATCACCCTCGAAGGAAGCAAAGCCGACTGGGAGCGAATTATGAAGAGACTTGATCGCTCTCCACGAGCTCGGAGACGAGCCCTCCGCCTGGGCTAACATGCTCTACCCTATCCTGCGCCGCCTCGTCACGGCCTTCGATGGCAATCCCGACGCGGAGCTCTGGAAGCACGTCGTACATCGTTCTGGCCCGATCTGCGAGTACGACGTATTTGACGGCTGGCTGGCCGTCTTCTGCGTGTGGACGGACGAAGGGCAGTGGAAGGCAGGGCCGCTTCCTCCCTTGCTCGCGATACCTCGCCCACCTCCACCAGTCGTAAGGCCTGGTCCTCGCCCTCAGCTCTTACAACCCACGCGACGTATGCGGCTGGCGAAGATGATCTCCGCTCCGCTCAAAGCACACGCGCGGAAATACGAAGCAGGACCTTCGATGAAACGTGAAAGCCAGCTTCAAGAAGAGGAAGCCTCAGCTGATACTACAGCTGACGATACCCTCTCCGGTCAAAGTATCCTCACCGCCGGTAAGCGTCAACACGGTTTGGCTCGCGCTAGGGCTGAAATCGTCTCTATCATCAGAAAAGTACTCGGCATCCTATACCCTGGACGGTGTCCCATACCTTACCGTCGATGTCGGGAGCATTCCTCCTGAATACTGCGAGGCGGACGTGACGATCGTCGATAATCGGGCGACGTCCCCCTGCCAGATGATTGCTGGACACATGGCCAGCGTGGCGACGGCGAAGGATGTTGGAGGGCCGCTCAATGCGCTCGCACCCGCGCCGCAGTGACTCATGGCCGAAACGGCGACTGCAGGATGTCACTCCCTTCTTTGACGTTCGACAAGTACGATGTGCACCTGTCAGTGCGCCTTACGGTATCCTCGCTGACATTGTGCCAGTGCTCGTCCGGCGAGAAATAGCGTGTACATGTATGTGGATTTGACTAGTCATCGCGGAATCTCTACTGACTGGGCTCGTTAGCCAATTGAGATCCGGTCTCATACGGTCAGGAGGCCAGATCGACAATGACAACAATTGACGGGTGCGCCGGGCGTTCCTGGATTCCATATACACAGCTTGCCTGTCATTTGGTTGCACCGCCTCAACTCCCGATATAAGGCTTCCGGCGGGGCCGTCGACGCGTTAGAGTCACGCATCTGTGTATATCTCTAACGTGGGCTAAGTAAGGCGCTGCGGTCCCCGCACACCCGCTGAGAATGATCCCTCAAAATAAGAAAGGGACGGGCAAGAGCGGTACCAACGACGTGATATGCGGCGAAGCTCCGAGTCGACACGTCGCAGTAAGTACTTAGTAAGTATTTAATTTTGGGCTCGTGAATGTAACGTGAAAGATTTGACATTGGCAGGCTCGGAATCCGCTGCTCTCTAGCCTTGCGAGCAGCAGTCTCTCGATACGATTTAAGCCGCAGGACGTAGGGACAGCACAATAAGTGCACTGATTCACTGGCAGCGACGCGGCTGCGTTGAGTGTGATACAGAGAGGGGAGAAACGTGGACGCCACGCGAGCCATTCCCATACAGAGACCGTGCGAAAAATTGTCGCCTTAGAGGTACAGCCACACAGGCAAGGGACCAAAAATCTCAACCCCGGGATGATAAGCCGAATAATCCTACGGATCATTCTCAACTAGTACCGTCATTCTGCTTGATCAACGTTCCGCCCTTCAAACCTGTCTTCCAAGTGAGAAGCCGTCCAGGTGAGCCGCAATTCAAATTTCTGCCTACTTGGAATCACTGATAGAGCCCTTGTGCTGTTAGCAATGACGGTGACCTTCTCCGTCTCATCCTTATCAGTCTCCACCCAAGAGACGACGGACACTGTGCAAGGACCTTTGAGTGACACCAAAATCCTGGGAATGGCTTGCGGCCCACAATCTAGACTGTGCCGCGAGATGCTGCAGTCCTCGATCACTGACGACGAGCGGCCCATACTGTCGCCGAGAACCAACGGATTCGTACGCTCTGTGCTGGCGGCGTACGCGGGGCACTATCATCTTCGCATTCGGTGCGATTTTCTCCTTTCTCAAGTAGTACTATTCCGTGTGTGGCTGACATGTACGTTACCACAGTCCAGATGATGTGTGGATCGCTATCCTCAGCCAGCTGAGCTTCTAGTAAGTCGTCAGGTTGTGCATTCTGAAGAGGTCGCAGCTCCCCTCTGCCAAGATTACTTCGAAGGTCGCGAAGTCTGGAGACGACCGGAAGGCGGAGGACCGGCGTACCACCGGAAGCGTCCTGAGCATGCGTAGGGCCCGTGAGTTAGGCTGGACATGTATTACCGGGACAACTGAAGTCAATCCCTTCCCCTCTGCTTTTAGACAAAAAATCGATAGAGTACACCCTGGACGGTGTCCCATACTTCACGATCCCCATCGGAGACATTCCTGCCGGCTATTGCGAGGTGAACGTCACGGTCAACGACAACGGGGAGGTCTTCGACTGCATGATGGTGGCTGGACACGTCGCGAGCGTCTGGCCGTCGTCGCCGAATGCGGGTCTGGGCACATTCGACACGATATCCCCCGCGCCGCAGTGGCTCGTGTTCGTTAAGGTGTAGGAGTAGAGAACAGCGCGCGCTTAGTATAGCGTTATACCCGTTGTGTGTTGTACGTTACGGAGCTCAAATAACGAGACCTGATTGAAGACGTGGAATGCGAGAAGTCGTTAAGATGCTAATTGTACAACATTGCGAAAGATACAAGCCGTGTGTGTCGCAGGAGCAAGGTTAAGCCATGTGCTCGATCTGGGCTTTCTCCGAGCCCTTTTCGTCCACGACTTCTTCCACCTCCGCGCCTTCCGGCACAAAGACCTTGCCTTGGCGCAGCTCCTCCTCGCGCGTCAAGCCGTCCGGAACGTACACCTTTGACCCAGGCACAAAGATGGGCACGCTGGCAAAGTAGGAATCCAGCTCTGTCGGCGAATGTTTCAGGATACCTCTGACGTATCGGCTAGGGGGATGTCCTTACCTTCGAGGGGAATGCCCTTCGTCTCCGGAAGGAAAGCCTGCAATCCAGGAGTAGATTATGAGCACTCAATACGTATGGTAAAGCGAGGATAAGAGCGTACCCAGAAGAACAGAGCATTCGAGAATCCGCAAACGGCGAAGACGAGATAGAATCTCCAGCCTGTCGGGAAAACCGGGGTCAGAAGAACTCAAGGTGCAATGTTTTGTGAAGGATACTTACCGACGTGGTCAAATGCAATCGGGGTGAGCTGGGCGATCATGACTATATATGACGGTCAGATTGCATCCCTGAAGCGTAGCTGGTAGGGACATACAGTTAGAAATCCAAGCCGCTGAAGACGTGATGGCGGTAGCTTTGGCCCGTGTCGCGCTATTGAACATCTCTACCGGAATCTGAGCGAATTATATGAGCTACGAGGTAAGCGGACGGAGACGCGAGGACATACCGCCCAAGACAGAGGCCCGCAGCACGAAGAGAAGACCAAGTTGAACTGTAATCGTCCATCCCATCAGCATGAGAGTCACGCCTGTGGGTATGTTTACGCACTAGCCAAGTCATGGCGACGAACGTCCGGGCCGCGTTGTGGTTGTTCGCCTCGGCCGGGAACACCGCGATGATGATCGTCCCAATCACGAAAGTCAGCCCCGAGAGCGCGTTGCCCCAGATGAAGGGACCGCGACGGCCAAGGCGGTCAATAAACCAGATGCACAGGCCTTCTCCGATAAGCGCGATGACTGAGTTTCCTGACTGGAGGCCCAGCGTTGTAGACGTGTCGATACCAATGCTCTCGAAGATGCGCGGGGCGTAGTACTGGATGACACTGACACCCGTCATCTGAATACTGAGGGCACACACGAGACAAGTTTAGCATATACATAATGCCAGCCGTTGGAAAGCCAAACATACCTGAACTGAAGCGCGACACCGAGTACTAGTCTGCGGAAGTTGCTCCTGACGAGGAAGAGCTGCGACCACGCGTTCCGGGTTTCTTGACGCTCAAGCTGGACTTGCGCAAGGATCTCCTTGTGTTCGCTGACGACAAAAGTGTCGTGGATGTCGCCGTGAGCGTGCAAGCGGGCGAGTACCTGCAGAGCTTCCTCGTTGCGGCCCTTCATGGCAAGGAATCGGGGACTCTCCGGAAGGAGCCTAGACGCACCCCGTTAGCGAGGCGCAGACCCGCCGCAAGCTCCGACTGGCACTCACAAGACGAACAACGCGAGAGGGATGGCGGCTACGTGGAGGCCAGATGAGGATAGCGATACTCAATGCGTGAACACTCTAACTTACGAAGCAATTGGATCGCTACGCAGGTCGTTAGTTCATGGGTTTCGTATCAAATCAAAGAGACAATGCTTACCCAAAGGAATCCTCCACTGCGCCTGGCCAGTCAGACCGTGGAAACACCCATATCCAATGAACGACGCAATAAGCGCGCCAATCCCGAGCATGAACTGCTGCAGTGTCGTCAAGCGCCCCCGGATACTCGGATGCGCAATCTCCGCCTGGTACAGTGGCGCGAGCATCGCGAGCATGCCGATGCCCATCCCCGCGAGGAACCGCCCGCCATACATGTAATGGATATTCTGCGCCGCGGCCTGGAAGGAGCCCCCGATGAGGAAGACGACGCAGCCGGAGAGGATGGCGAGGCGGCGCCCGACTGCGTCCGCGAGCGAGCCGACGTAGATGTTCGACGCGAATGCGCCGAGGAGGAGGCAGCCGACGATGAGCCCTTGCGCGGTGGAGTCCGGGTTTCCGGTCGTGGCGAGAAAGTCTTCCGAGGGCTGGCGAAGGACGCGTGAGTTAACATGTTCGGTTGGGGGCTTGATACGTAGCACTCACCAAAACCGAGGCGATGATACCCAAGTCATATCCAAACGTGACAGAGCCCAGGGCGGCGAAGAAACCGCACAGCCAGGTGTATACCTGGCGCGCGACCCCGGTAAGCGACGTGGAGTATGCCACATAATCAACTCATGCGTACCTTCGGAGAGATTGCCATAGCTACTACGTCGTACGACTGTAGTTGGAGCGGTGGACAGCGGATAGCGACTTCACAGAGTTGAAAGAAGCGCACCCCGCCTGCCGTAACGCTAGAAGCGGCCCCGCCCCGTTATATACCCCGTCCGAAGGTCGCTGCGGTCTTTCGGGCATTCCTGTCGATATCAGGTACCTGAAGCGCGTGGCGGGTCCCTCGATTCTGCGGCACCGTGCTAGCGCAGGAGGCTACGCGGTGGTTCAGGTGTTCATGTGATGATTGCACGGGCCGCCAGGGGAGCGGTGACGACATGTGTTGCTCGGACGATGACTGAGCGAGAACTTGATAGACTTGGCCTTGCGGCGTCGTGCCCGCTATTCAAGTACTATCTTGCTGTGTCTACCCAGGCCATGGGAAAACTTGAGGTCAAGTCCGGACTGGCGATCCTGCTTGTCGCTGCGGTAGGAGCTCGTGCAGGGCCATCCACTTTCCAAAAATCAATGCGGTGCTTGTGCGGGGGGCCCCAGGGCCAGAATGTGGGGAAATTGATGCGGGGAAAGACGCCCATAAAGCGACGGGCCGTCCAAGACCGTCCATGATAGCCGGCAGAGCAGGGCGGGCCGTGCCACCCGCCCCTACCCATACCGAGGAGGTCGTCGCAGCCCCCATGATGCAGCCACCGATGAGGCACGACAACGATGTGCAGCGATACGACGTCGGGAGGCCGCATGTGTTAAGAGCTAGGGACCGTTGAGATCTCGTCTTAATGAACCTGAACCCGGACACTCACCGTCGTCACCGACTCCCGTTCACCTCACCTCGCGTCGCCCCGAGTTATGTCCGCACCAGCAGCAGACACTAGTGCGCCCTCACGCCGACCTGCGCTCGACATCTTCCCCTCCGCACCCATCGCGCCCGTCTCGCCCTACATCTTCTCTGGGTTCCTCGAGCACCTCGGGAGATGCATCTATGGGGGCATCCTGCCTGCCTCGCGCACGACCTTCCCGCACACACCGCGCGCACCGTGCCCCGACGCGCAGTTCACCGAGACCCCAAGCGAGCTGCTCACCCCGGAGGGCTTCCGCGCGGACGTGCTCGAGGTGCTGCGCGATGAGCTGCACGTTCCGATGGTGCGCTGGCCCGGGGGAAACTACGTGAGCTCGTATAACTGGAAAGACGGGGTAGGCCCGAAGGAGGCGCGCATACGCCGCCCGGAGCTCGCGTGGGGCGGGGAGGAGAGCAATCAGTTTGGGACAGACGAGTGAGTGCGCCTGCAGCTAATGCGAGTACGCGATGTTGAGAGGGTATAGATTCATCGCCTGGTGTCGCGTGGCGAAGATCGAGCCCTACGTCGTGTTCAACATGGGCACTGGGACGCTCCAGGATGCGCTGCATTGGCTAGAGTATTGCAACGGTACCGGCGATACGTGAGTGTCTTCGAATGCGCACAGCGGACCTAGCTCACCAGTGCATCAGTTACTACGCGAACCTGCGTCGTCAAAACACTGGCCGTGACGAGCCGCATAACGTCAAGTACTGGGGACTCGGAAACGAGGTGTGGGGCGAGTGGCAGGTCGGCCAGCAGACGGCGTCGGCGTATGCGACAAAGGCACGGCAGTGGGCGCACGCGATCCGCCTAGTCGACCCTACCGTCATCTTGATAGGCTGCGGCGAGACAGGTGTTGACCACTGGGACGGCGTCGTACTGGACGAGCTGGTAGACAAGGTAGAGATGCACAGGTGAGCGCGGTGTGATGCGGAGGAGGGATACAGACACTGACAGGCTGTAGCATTCACCTCTACACCGGGTTTGGACCTCGAGATAGGTCGCAAACAGAGAGGGAGTATGGGCGCGGAGTATACGGACCTGACGCCGCGGAATACTCTATCGAGGTCTGCAAAGGCCTGATTAACAAGGCGGTACGTGTGATCGTTGCGAACATCAGTCATAAGCTGACACGTTGGATTGTCAGCGGTTTGCTAAGAGCGTGAGCAAACCAATCAAGATCGCGTTTGACGAGTACGGTGTCTGGGACGAGACTGTTGGTAAGCGCATATAATGATGTTACGTCCAAGGATGCTTACCTTTGCACTCCCAGGTACTCCGCAGAACGGCCTCGAGCAGTTCTACAACTTCGCCGACGCACTGGCCATGGCCTCGTGGCTGAACGTCTTCGTGCGACAAGCCGATGTCGTCGACATCGCATGCATCGCGCAGAGCGTCAATGTCATCTCACCGCTGATCACAAGGTACGTCGCGCGCGTCCGTATTTCCTCCGTCGCGAAGGCTGACCGCGCCCGCAGTCCGACAGGACTCTTCCGGCAGACGATCTACTGGCCGCTCTACCTCTTCTCACGCTATATGCGCGACGGCACCGCGGTCAAACTCTCGCTTGACTCACCCACATTCGCTGGCGAGACCCTACCGCAGTGGATCTCCACCGTGAAGGGGCAGCCCAAAGACTTGGACGCGTCCGCAGTCCTGCACGTGGATGCGGGGACTGGTGCGCGGAGCCTGCGCGTCGCGGTCGTGAATCGGAGCGAACACCAAACCTACGACGTCCCGATACGCGTCGCGTTCGAGCATATCGGTGCGGAGGTGGAGGCGCATGAATTGTGGCATCAGGATGTGCGGGCGCGGAATGGGTGGGGGAAGGAGGACGAGGTGAGCGTGAAGACGCGTACGGCGAAGTGGGACGGTCGGTGGACGTTCAGGGAGCATTCGTTCACGCTGCTTCTGCTTAGCTTGCAGTAGTTTCTTTGCATGCAATTTCTCCTAGCAGGACGTCCAATAGAATATACGGACGTTGTCGTTGGTTTCAACTAGTCATTCAACTGGTCAATATGGATAGACATCGTCCCACTGCAAAGATGGACGCACCAAGGTCGCAACTCGCCTCAACCACTCCCGGTAGAGGTACATGCCATTCTCGCTTTCGTGAGGGATTCTCCGTCAGTTATACGGATATAGCAGAGGCCATCAGGGAAGGCCGCTGTTCAGTGGGCGAGGATGATGGTGATGGTAGAAGAGAACGCCGATCCTGCAGCAGCTCAATGGGCGTCTAAGATGAGTATACATACCAGACGTCATATTCCGTCCCCTCATCCTCCATCCCCCTCATCTCTTCGCCTTTACTCTCGTCTTCATCATGGGCGACATACCAGACTCAAGCTTCAGCAACAGCGTCTACAGCTTCCTCTACTCGAGGCAAGCTTATTCTCAGCAGATCGTAGTTCGCCCCTCCCGTTGGGGCGAGCAGTCCTCTACCGCGCTCCGCGAGGACGTGCAGAACTTCGACCGGGACATCGACGCGACATTTGAAGACGCTCCCCCGGAAACGATCAACCCTGCCCTCCTGCTCCCCATGGCGTCTCAGCAGTTCCCAGTCTACTACCCGCCGACGTCGCCCTCGACCGACACGGCAACGGTATCGTCTACGACATCCTGGTGCTTCAGTGAGGTTTCCTCTCCTCCCACGTCCCCCGAGTATACCCCTGGCGAGGATTCGTGCGTGGATTCGCAGCAAACCGAGCTCTCCGTCGACTTCAGCCAGCAGCTCAGCGAGGAGCAGCTCCAGCAATTCGTCCGCGACCTCTTTGGGGACAGCCCGGTCGGCACGAACACCCTTGACACTGGTACGCCTTCGTTCGCCTTACCACAGCCCGCGACAGCACCTGCGTATCCAATCGTCGACACTCGCCATGAGCAACCGCAACAGCAGCTCCCCGGGGCAGCTGTCGCGGATGTTCTTGGTGCGGGGGCGGGCATGCAGGTGACCGCGTTCGACCCCAACCTTACGGGCGCTTGGCGCGCAGGGGGCCAATATTCTCTTGCCGTCGAGCAAACGCCCTCGACGTACCCCTGCGCACCTGTGGAACCGGTGAAGCATGCGCCATACAGCCACGCTAAGGCGGCGCGTTCTCCGCGAAAGGCGTCGACCAAGAAGGACCTTGAGGAGAAGCCGCTGAAGTGGCTGCCCTGTCCTAGACCGGGTTGCACAAGCGGTGCGTCTGACATCTTGCTTTGGGTCTCTGGTAGCCCTTAAGTCCTCTGAAAGTGTTCGATCGATCTTTCAACCTTCGCGAGCACATTGACAAGAAACACGACCAGAAACGTCCCTTCAAGTGCAGCGAAGAGGGGTGCCCGAAGGCGACCGCGGGGTATAGCCGGAGGTTCGACCTAAACGTCCATATCGCGAAGAAACACCCCACTGTCCCTCTTCCTGAGGCCCAGGTGGGTACCACGACCCCGGTAGGTCTTTTTTGCAACCTAGTTACGCGCATCGCGCGCGGCGCGGCATACATCGCGTTGGGAGCGGGTATACGCTCCCATTGTCCTTCGCTGACATTAGCTTTCCAGGCCGTTTACGGGCCGGGTGCGCCCCCCGTGTAAGAACTGTCGGGGAGTCGGGTCGCGTGTCCCGGGGAGCGGTGGGCACTCGATCTGACACCATCGGACGACTCGCCTGCGCGGCGCGCGGCGAGGGAGGATACGCGTACGTTTCTGAATGGGGATGGCGCTCCGGGCCCGTGGCCCGGGGAGGTCCCCTTCTGAAGCGTATGCGAGAGCGGGGATGGTGTCTCATGTTCGGTCGCGCGTTTCCATTCGTTTGGTCTTGTTTGTCGTGCTTGTTTGATTATGGCTTTGCTTTTCGCGTTACAGCTCGTTCTCGTTTGTTTTCTGCATACGCATCGTCGGCTCTCGCTATATCACCGGCCGTTACTCCGTTCTCATCAGTGCTACGTTTGGTCTTATGCTCTCACGTTATGCTCACTTGCCATGGTACGATACCGCTCTCCGCACGCACGATCTGTTCGTTTTCATATCTGTCGGCTCTTGCACGCTTGTATATTCAATCTGGTCCATTCCGCGGTGTCATTGTCCGATGTTGTGGGCTGCGCCCGCCTTGTCCCAGCTGCTTGAAGATCATGCGGAAGTCTTGCACGTTTGACTTAGATGTCCTCGAGTCTCGCGCGTCGTATTCTTCATGGCCGCACGGTGCCCAGGCTTCGAAGGAGGGGTGAATTTTGCGAGCCGCATCCCTCCATGTGGCCCCCATAGCGTGGGTCCCTTTAACGCTTTGCCGGGCGCCCGTCACTCGTGCTGCAGCACGGGACGGGCATTGCTTCCGCGAGCGTACTGCAACTGCGGTAGGAGGCGCCCACGGCGGACGGCGGGAGCCACTGCGGTAGACACTGACACTGCGGTAAGGAAGTGGGCGTGCGACGGGCATGCACTGCGGTAGGCGGCTCATGACGCGGCGGTACTAACGCGTTCCAGGTACCCCAAGGGCCAGTTGGCGACGCCGAACACTCTGGACTGGCCTCTTGACTCCACTCTGGTCACCAGCGCTGGGCTCTGTGGTCTCACTGGATCATGTCTACCGCTGTCCACTCCTTGCTTCTTCCTCGTGTGTGGTCGGGCGCAGCAGCCTCGTGCGGGGCGGGTGTCTGCTGCAGCTAGCGTGCAGAAACCCTATCATCTTCGCTGCTGCGGTAGGCTGCAGCGCTGCAGCAGAAGCCGTTTCCCATCCGTGTCAATGGCGACGTGCGACCAGCGTACGGATTCCCCCGACTATAATATAGATGCTTTTGGCACTGCTTCGACAGCCCTCCCGTTCCACACTGTCCTTCTCCTCCCCAAGCTGCGCCCTCCATGATACTCTTTCCCCCCGACGATGACATGTCTGAGGGCACCGTCTGTACTCCGCCGCCGCCATCCGTATCCCCGCCACCCTTGCCTCCGCCTCCGTATTCGCGTTTCGACCCATTGAGCCTCCCCGTTGATGCCATAGCGTCTCTGTCCAGACAATTTGCGACAACAACACTCGCGGCGGCGCCGACGGTCCCAACTAGTACTCCGACCCCTTCGTATGGACTATACTACTGTATGTTGTCTCTAGCGCGTGACGCGCGGACCGTCTAAGATGCTAACACATATTCCAGGGCCTCCCTCGGCACATCCAAACCCCGAGGCACACGTCCGCATAGCCCACCCACGCGTCGACCGCGCGTACCCCTGTACCATGGACGGATGCGGGCGGCGCTTTGCCCGTCGCTACAACCTGCTTGAACATGTGCGAAGCGTTCACAGTGCTAAGCTCACCGAACGCGGCGCGTTCGTACGCGCACATCGTCCGCACCAATGTACTGTGGACCATTGTAGCCACAGTTATGCTCGTCAGCGTGACCTGCAAGCCCACATGCGTAACGCTCATGGTGTCGTGCCTCCCGAGCGTGCGTGGACGGTGCACGACCGGCTCTTGGCCACCGGTGGGTGAGTGTACCGTCCGTTCTCGTGGGTTGGAAATCAATGCTGATACCGCGCGATGCGACCTGAACAGCAGTAGGCGCGGAAGGTACTAGGTGACGGCGGGCTGCCGATGCTCGACGTCCGTCAAGTTGTACTCTCGTAGCTTATGTGTATAAATAGTATTGCGCTTGTGTTAGTTGAACGACGGCATTGAGAGGCGCTATTGCGACTGACTGCATGCAAGGGACACGAATCCCAGATCAAGATCCGGATCGTAGCAGATCCGATCTGGGCGTAGTGCTACGCTGGGGATTGTGGCGGTGGCTAACGGTGCGCACTTGGCCTCCGGCGCCAGCTTGTCTTCTTGCCAATCATGCTATCTCCGGAACAGATTCACTGAAAAAGACGGCAGATATGATTGGAGCCCTAAGGCCACTCATGCGCCGCGACGCATGTAGTAGCTTGTAGTAAATTGAAGACTCGGCATCACACCGTCGCTTGCTATATCCACCGCAGCACGGCCGGGGGTGTGTTAACGGTGCCTTCGAGGTAAAGACACTTCGAAAGAGAAATTACTGCGGCAGCTGAGTCACTGTACCAAGGCAAGAAGAATGAAGGCGATCGGTAGAAGTACAGGAAATCCGGGACCAGTACTTTTGCCCCTCATCAAAGACTTAAACTTTGGTTATATCCAAACCCAACGACATAAGGTGCCCACGGCCGGGCCTCAGGCCTCAGCTACTCTCACGAGTTCTACATATCAACGCTGCGGTAAGTTGCTGTGGCAGTCGCTATAAGCCGAAGCATCTGTATCGCTGCGGTAAGGTACGGACAGCGAAATGCTGCAGGATGCCGCAGCCACACCTCCACGGTATAAAGTAGACTTTTCTGAGAGCTGCATCCTCACTTTACCAAACTCCTCAAACACTCTCCTCCTTCCTTCCTTCCTTTTATTTTTGCCTCGATGGCCCATTTGCGTCTCGATCCCGCTGGACGGGAAGTCCCTACGTGTAGCGCCGCGGCCGCACTCTGCCTTCGACCTCATCGGTACGTGATTCCAAGGCTCATGTTCTCGTGTCAGGTACTTACAGATACTTACTAGGGTCACATGCCGTTCAAAAATTCCTGGACGGCAGGATGTAGCGAGGATCCGAGTGTTGTAACGCGGGGTAGGTTTTCCGGAACGCCTCGCTATCACAATGGCTGACATCGAGGCCGTCTCGTCATTCTCCCCTTGATATTTACATTACGCTCCGTGTATATTCTGCCTCCCGTATCTGTCCGGTAGCTGCATTAGCAATTTTAATATCTGTTTAATCAACGTAGCCTCGCGTCTGATTCTCGAAGCCTCAATGCATGACCACTGCTCTGTCAAACAAGGGGACAAACTACTCTTCTGAGCCAATTCGAGCCTACCGCCAACCGTTCCACCTTACTGTGCGACCGACCTCCGTTCCACAGGAAGTGGACGAGGCTTGAGCCGCCGCCACCGTATCCGAGAATGTTACGTCCCGCGGAATGCATCATAACGTTGATCAAGGTGGTATACATGATGCGAGAGAAGCAAGGATATTACAGGAAATGGCACTGTAGTTATACGTGTACGAAAAAGTGAGAAGTAAAATATAACCAAGATGCAAAGTAACTAGAAAGAAAGAGCAAGCGAGGATCGCCGCGCGCGTAGAGTTGAACAGCCACAAGGGATATTAATCTGGGTAACTTTCCCAACACCTCCGCGGGCACCGGCAGGATGTGGCGGGCATCGCGAGTGCTGCTGCTGCATCAGGGATCCGCTAGCCGTCGTGTGCGTCATTCTGGTGGATAGACGATGGAAGGCGGAGTGGGGAGTACTGTAGTGTGCGGGTCCGGAGAATCAGTCCATGGACGCCTCATCTGTGAGCGACCGTCCTTTGGGGCGTTGCGCAGGGAGCTAGTCTGAGTCTAGCAAGCCCTCCTCCGGCTCTGAGTCTTCGGAGTCCTCGGATTCCACATCAGGCTCATCCGGAAGAACTGTCCAGCTCGAAGATGAGCACGCCAATGGGCCGACGTCAGGGAGCGACAGCGCTGGGGTACGGCGCTCGGGAGAGGGAGAGGAGGGCGCCGACGGTGGCAACACCACAGGTCGCGCGGGCGCGCACTCTTTCTTCCTAGGGCGGCGTGGAGCGGATTTGCCCTTCTTGTCCTTCTTCAGCCCCGGCTTGTATTTGTAGTCGGGATACATTCTCTTGTGCTCCTCCTGCGCGGCTTTGGCGAGCTTTTCGTATTTCAGCCGGACTTGCGGAGACTCGTCTTTCCACCGCTCGCCGACCGCTTTGGACACTAGGTTTTGCCGGAAGGATTCAGCGCTCGTTGCCCTCAGCTGGTTGTTCTGGTCGCGCCGATAAAGGAAGAAGGCGTTGAGCGGGCGAGGAATGTGAGGTTCTGCGGTCGTACTAGAAGACATGACGGATGGTCGGAGTTCGTCGGAGCGGCCGACGTAGAGGATGCGCGGTGGGTGAGTGTGAGGGCGTCGTAGTAGAGACGATGGTGGTGGGTGACTGGGGTTAGCCGTTGCTGAGTGGTGAAAGGAAGACCAATCCGTTGTACTTATTATATACACACAAGAGGAGCTTGGACCTGGCAACTCGAAGCAAAGCGTAAGTCATAAAGTCCAAGCGGAGAGTGGCGAATACCTCGGTCTATACCGCCGAAGCAATCCCTCGACACGCCCATTGTCGTTCGTTTGCGCCAACGAGAGCATACTAGACGACTCGGATATTCAAAAGGCCTTGTCAGAATTCAAAGGCGTATCTTGGCCTAGAAGTGTTCAATGGTATTCAAAGGTACGCATACCATTAGCCAGCGGATTGGGCTTGGACTTTGTCCCAGTGGCGTTAGTGGCGCGCTACAAAACGGCATTCCTCCAGGGCCCAGGCCAATGCATACCGTTTAAGTCCAGTGACTCAACTATGCACTGAAAAAATACTAAGTACTTCCTCAAAGCAGCATACCATGCTAGTACGCGTCTTCAATCATTTCTCGGCCCCATTGCGACTCTGATATCTGCGGCCGGGCCTTCAAGCTCAAGTTCGAGATCAAGCCCTGCTTGACGCTGCTGAAGACGTGTCAGTGGCTGAAACAAACGGTGCATATGATCTCTTACACGTCAATATTAATGTGCTCAGTCCATGCCAATTGTGGGTCATGCAAGCGCAGATGGTGACCAAGACGCAAGGAGTCGCATTTCGGACTTCTCGGAGAAGAGCGTTGAGTAAAGAGGCGCGCGGCCTTGCGGCCTGCCCTGAACCAACCTGAACTCACCGCCGAGACTGCTTTCTGAAATTCTGAGTGCAAGCTTGAGGACGTGGCTACAAGTTCGTTGGATAGTATTATAGCATGCGCGATGGCCGAATATACTCCTTTCAACGCAACAAGTTGTTATACGAGCTCGCTTCTCCAAATCGTACAATTATAGATAGATATAAGGCGAAAAACGTGAAAGTACATGCAAGACAATTGTCGTTTTAAAGCCACAGGAGCGCCACGGGCGGTCGTTCAGTAGCTATCCCGAAAGTCGAACCACGCCTCCCCCTCTGCAGATGCGAAAGCCACCCCGTCCGAGGCGTACCCCGGGAGTTTCGCGTACGGAACGCCCTGATACCGGCGCGGACGAAGATCCTCGAGCGGCCGCTTGTGGCACCTGCAGCCACGGGGGCACCGCTGCGGCGAGACGCGCTTCTCGTCGTCGCGCGCGTCCGAATAGTACATTGGGGGTTGCTCCATGACGGAGGCGGGCATCGTCAAGCCGAACGGGAGGTGCTCGGGCGGGAGGAAGAGGCCCATGGACGTCCCGTCCGGAAAGAACTGCTCTCCGTGGAGCGTGCCCTCGGCGAGCTGGTACGCATACGGTCTGGCAGGCGGAGAGCGCCAGTCCCGGAAATGCTTTCCGAGCTCGGAGGGCGTGTGCAACGACGCGTCTTCCTGTTCAGAGCTGGAGCTGAAGGAGGAAGACTGCGTGCGGAGCGCGGAAATGCTCCTGCCCGAAGACGAGGAGGACGTGGGGGAGGGGAGCTGAGGAAATGATGGCCGCACCATATCATCGAACTGGGAGGACTGCTTCGGAGTCCACATTTGGGGCGAGCGTGGCGAATCACGATGTGGACGGGAGAGCGTCGGTATCTGTGGCGCCGCCGCCGCCGCCGACCGACCAGAAGCGTGCTCCTTCTTTGTGTGGGCGCGGCGCGCAACGGGCTTGTTCTTCTTCTGCCCGGGGTTGTAGCGATAGTTGGGGTACATCCGCTGGTGCTCCTCCTGCGCCTCTTTGGCGCGCTGCTGGTACTCCATCCGCACCTCCGGGGGCTCATCCTGCCACTGCTGGGCGACTGCTTTGGACACGTCCGCCTGCTGGTGGGATTGCTTGCTCGTCACCTTCATCTTTTTGTTGACGTCGCGGCGATAAATGAAGAAAGCGTTGAGGGGGCGAGGGATATGGGGTTCTGAGGTCGGAGTGGACATTGTGGCGAGCTTGAGCCGGCCGGACGGTGGGTAGAGTGTGGCGATGGATGGCTGTGGCGGGCTGTCGTCGAATGGAGAAAGAGAAGACTAACCTCTGGCGACATTCATATACACGCAGGAGCTTGGTCCTCCCGAGCCAGAGCATAATGCCGGCCACAGGAAGTCAAAGCGGGAGGCGGGGTGGCCACAGTTTGTCGTCGAGCTGGGTTGAGTGGGGGCCACACGACCCGTAGGATGAATGTTCCACCGACACAGCCCAGCGTACCTGCAGTGTGGCCTAGCAGTCCTCGACGCAAGGTAAAGTATACAACCCATCGATACGCTTGGACGCCTTCGAGTGGCGCGAACAACGCGATACGCCCGGACGCTCCTCAAACCAGTGCGTATTGCTCAAGGAGGACGTCCCAGATATGCGAGATGGAGACTTGACCTAACATACACACTACCCACCTTGAGGGGACTCACCAATCGAATGCGCAACGACGCGTCCACGAAGGTGACTTGCGACTCTCCATGATGGCGACGAAACAGAGCCCGGTTCCAGCCCAGATTCGAGTCCCTTAGCATCACGTGTGTGCAGTTGCGAACCAGTTGGAAATCGAGTAAGCCAGACGAGTTTTCTTGCGTATGCTGCGCTAGCCGTTCTGCAAGGTGTGGGCGGAAGAGTCGCACTTCGGCCGTCGCAGTGCCCAGGGAGCAGGCGCCCATCTTCTCCCGATGTGGAACGGCATCGCGACCTGCCCTAAACTCAACGCCTATAAAACTTTGCGGCCCTGCATCGTTGACTCCTTAGAACATACTCAGCTAGGATCTATTTTATAGGTACTAACTCGAGTCTCGCATGTTTACACATGCCACATCCTTCTTATCCAGCCGATGACCTCCGCGCCCGCTCGTATAACCGAGAACATGGCCGCTTCGGCGGTCTCGAGGACGTTTGGATCGTGTCGACTCGCCCTCTTCGGAGTGGCTTGGAGCGCGAACCAGCGAGCCGGGCGTATGTCTGATGGATTCCTTTTGTACGTTTGCTTGTTTTGTATATCTAGCGTTGTGGAATACATTCTGCTTACTTGCATCTACCTCGTGCTACAACGGCTTATGCTATGGCTTCGATTCTGGTCGATGAGGCACCCAGACGGTGAGGGCTCCAACATGTTTTGACGGCGCTGGTGTCCCCTCGTCATCGATTTGCAACGCACCTGTTCTCGTCCGTAATGTATCTCTCCCTTCCTCGTTAAAAAATGTATGAACTAACAAGAAGTTTCAGGCCGTACTTTCGAAGCCACTCCATGGATCTGATTGGGACACACTCCGCCTGTGCTCTCGCTGAGTCCAACGGCAGAGTGTTCCGGGTAACCTGGCGTGAACAAGGTTCCCGGATCCCGCTGAGCAACCTCCTTGCACTTCCTCGACATGTGGAGATCGTTTCGCAGAGGCTCAGCCTCATCGACACCCGCGTATCCTTCCCAGCCATGCTAAATGGCGTCCCACCGGAAGAAACGGTCACGACTACGGTGGCCGCCCCCGCCGTCTGAACTCCCCGCACCCAGAGGCGCAACGTCTTCATGGCATTTCCTACGCAGTGGCACCTCCGCGACGTCCACAAGCACTTCGCCTACGCGTCCGAGCCTCCAGGATACCCACGAACGCGTCTATTGCCAAGCAATCCGCCACATCGACTTCGCGCGGCCTGCAGTCTTCTTGTACGGAGTTGTCTCCGTGGCGACTCTCAGGGCGCATTCACTGCGAGGGGTTTCTACTGGGGACAGCTAGTATCGCGTCGCGCTATGACAGCGCGTGCCCCAGAACCTAACGGGACCTCTTTCCTATAGCGCTGCATCTACGGAGCGGCGGGAATAGCAGACGGCAGCATGCATCTCGTCGCGTTATTTTTGTCTCATTGTCATCAAACGCTACTGTTGTTTGCGAACGATCTGCAGTCTGACTACATCGTTCCGGATCCCGGTCGCATGGCTGCTGACACTGCGCGACGCGGATCCATACCACGTAGTGGCTTCAGCCATCCACTATGCACCCCTTCGAGGCAGTGCCCACACGACTGTCCACTGCATGGACATGCTGCGGGTTGCGAACTCTTCTTGAAAAGAAAGATCAGCGCAAACGACGCGGCGCGCAGCACTGTATAGCTTGGAGCAGGCCATCCGTTGTCGCGCCGTTTCGCGTTGGAGACGAATTCAGTAGGTGCGGATAGGACTGGAGACAATGATTGAAACTGCATTCGTGGAGGGGGGCCAAGATGGGTTAGGAGAGTGGTGTTGTACAATGCAGGGGCAAGTAATGAGATACAACAGGCGGACGGGAGCGAATATCGTACACGACGCGACAGACAACGTTGGGGACGAAAGACAACCAAACTAAAAGCCAAGAAAGATATGACGAGAAGCATACACCGAGACACAAACCAAGGCTCCAGTCCACAAACCCGACGCGCATACGTCCCTGACAGGGCGTCTCCCCCGCTGCCGCAGGAAAGTCGACCCCGCCGAGCGACGCACGCGCGATCCTCCCCAACACCAGCCACATACCCGCCCTCTTGAGAGTCGCACGCCAAGGCGAGCGCGCAGCGCGTACAGGTGTACGCTGCGCGCTCAGTGCGGGCGCACGACTCGAGAAAGAGTATGCTGCTGCTGCTCGCGATTCTGGGGTGCCTGTGTGCGGCGCGTCAGTCGTCAGCATAGAGGTAGGACGGGAGCACAGGAGGGAGGGGGAGGGGGGAAGGATACGCACCAGATCGCAACCTCAGTGGTGCGCTACTTCTGCTTCGTCTTCGCCTTGGACTTGGACTTCGCGGAGGCGGCGGCCTTGCTGCGTGGCGAGCCGAGGTTCGTGTGCTTGCTCTGGAAGTGCCGGACGAGGTCGTGCTTGCGCCCGAACGCCTGCGCGCAGCTCGCGACCTCGCACACGAACGAACGCTCCTTGTTGTGCACGGACGCGATGTGCACTTTGAGGTTGTGGCTGCGCGCGAAGTCTGCTGCGACAGGGACAATGGTTTCATCGGCGTGTACGTGCGAGGAGAGGAATGCGACTCACGTGCGGTGCAGCCTTTGTAGGGGCAGGGGAACTGCCGGGTGGTGTCCTCGCGTCGCTTGCGCTTGGCGGGCTTCTTCTCGACGATGACTTCGTCGCTCTCCGTGGTGCTCTCGGCGCTCGAGGAGCTCGCGACACTGAAGGAGCGTTTGATGGACACGGGAGAGGCGGAAGACTGTGACTGCTCCGGATAGGGCGTGGGGGATCGCGGAGAGAGAAGATCATCGTACGAGGAGAAGGGATCGAAGTCCATCTTCGCCCCAAGGCCGTCGCCATTGTGGTCGTCGTTCCGAGACGGGACCGCAAATTCGAACGCGAAATCGAACCCATCGTGCACGTCGGGGGCGAATGGCGTGGCAGCGAGGCCAGTTGTCCCATAGTTCGGAGAGCCATAGGGGTCGCCAGAGGAGACCCAGTCCTTCGCAAGCGACGGCGAGAAGTCGCTCACGAGGGTTGTGTCGGAGACGGGAGAGAGAGGCGCCCAGTTGGCGTCTTCCGAGACCACCGTGGCAGGCGGTGATACCGCCGGGTGTGGGACGGAGGGAGCAAGTGCAGCGGTCCAGTCGATCGCGCTGAACGCGTGTGGATCAAAGTCGGGGAGGGTGTGCGAATAGCCTCCGTCGGTGCAGTCGGAGAGGAATTCCTCCATTTCTTGTTCGAACTCCTCCGGAGACGGCATGGCTACGTCTCCCCCGAGCAACTCGTGGAGGAGGCTGCGGGAGTCCGCGCGGGGATGGATCATTATGTCGTATGGGAATGGGGGATCGTGCGGTTCGTCGCCGGGGAATGCGTGCATGATGAGGCGGCGTGAGTGGATGTGCAGAGAGGTGTGGGGATGAGGAGTCCTCGAGCTGCGGGAGGATGTACTTAGCTGTCCTCGGGTCGAACTCAATCAACTGCAGCAATGCTGCAGATGGCTGCTTCTTCTTCTCTTCTGCGAGCTCGCGTGGCGATCCCCCTCGAGGATGGCCTTGGGATCTTCCATGACGAACGGGGCAGTCTGCGGCGACATTCTGCACCCACGCACCCACACCGACAAGGTTTAATACCGGAAAATCCGCCGCGCTGCAGCATTGCTCTGCAGGCGCGCGTCGTTGCCGAGATTTGTCTGTGTCACCTTCCGATCAGAGAGACTGGTTTCTTACGCAGATAGATGTTGCAAAGCGGTTTGAGAGGGGTCCAGTAGGCTTAAAGAGGGTCTAGGGAGATGGTGATGGAGAGACGGAAGAAACGCGCGAGTCGGGACGAGTCGGCCGGGCTGCAGTGGCGTCGAAGTTCACACGACACGCGTAGGTTCGCGCTCACGTGTACCTGCCTCGCCCCCGCCGCCGAGAGACGCTACTGCAGGAGACGCTAAAATTGGTACAGTCCTGTGCGCGAAGCGGTCAGCTTGACAAGAGCGTCAAGTACCTCATGAGCCTCGTTTTCTGCCAGCTCCCGGTGGTGTCAAATCTAAACGCGTGCCAGGGCGCTCTCAGGTCAGTACTTCGGTACCAGGATATCCCAGACCGCGGTGTTGCTGTAACCCTTGATTATCGTGCAATAGTATATGGAGAAGCGGGACAGGCTGCATGTTGAGATGTAGATGCGATTCTTTGGAGGTAAATGCAGTACGTCAAGTAAGAACTTACTTTTGAACATAAGTATCCCCAAGTTGACTACACTGCAACGCCAATATCTTGTCGAATCCGCTCTCCATCCTCTCCCGGGACTGAATCGATACCCTCGGGGGTAATCTCCGCGTTTCACTCGCCCTCGCGCTCGATGGTCGCTGTCGCGTGCGTGAACACCATCCCGTACACCTCGCGTGTTCTCGCGGAGCGTGCACGCGAAGCCGTCGCCGACTCGCTCCCGCGGAATATCAGGGTGCCGATTTCGCCACCTTGAGGGGTGTCGCCCGCCACGCCAAGCGTGTCTGCTGCGCGGTGAAGGTCGAGGATGAAGCGCGAGGTCGGGATCGCTGTGACGCTGGGCGAAGATAGAGCAGAGGTACTCATGAGCACGAGGCAGCTGGAAGGGGGACAGAGACGCGCTCACATCGCTATCCAGGTGGACATCGGCTCGACAAGCTGCATTGAACGGAGATGCGCGTATCAGATGCAGATGGCGGTGTGATCTCAAAGTTGACTGACCTCGATATGTCTACTGAGTCCTAGCCCTATGAGGTTTGCCGCCAAAAGAACGCTGCATATCTTTCTATTAACATCCCGTGCTCGCGGTTTCAAACGAGACACGGCAGCTTTACGCACACAAAGTACATAGTACCTGCATTTGCGTTTTAGCGTCGATCTGAACCCCATGGAGGTCGAGAAACTTATCATTTCTCATGAGGATGGTGGCGAATGTGGACGTGAAGTTGATACGCGCAGCCTCCGCCCACATAGACCACGTACGCATCAATGTCGCAATGAGAACGAGGACGTCCGCTGCGACAGACGCCATGCGCGTACCGATGATCCCTAGCGGCGGCCGTCATTTGTGCGCTAGTCAGCGACATACCAGATGCTAAGTGGGCATGCACGTACAACTAAAAGAAGAAACGGGCGTCATAAATAGCGTCGATACGGATGTTTGCGAGCCCGCTTACTTTTCGTAGACGACTACAGAGATAGACGACAGCCAGCCACAGGCGGTCGGGCGTGTCTCACTGAGCCCAGGCGACATCGTTGCGAACGTATACTAGCATTATGTTAGCTGTCAAGTCCCTCATTCCATCACCCAGGGCCGTGGTGTCTCACAATGGATATCGCCGGATTCGCCATGCCTAAGAGCAGGACCGCAGCCAGAACGCAGCGGTTGCGGTCCCATAACGCGTACACTCGTAAGCTTGAGAACACTATGGAGGGCCATGTGGTGAGTAGTTTCCGCATATGTGTGTGGATCATACACACCGGCTGCAGCAGTAAGGAGGATGACGTTGAGAGCCATTTCTATGCGTGTGAGAATCCCACAGCTATGCGATGAGTGCTATGTTCAGTCGAATACTTCAGCAGCCCGAGTACTCTCACCTCTGCATATGTAAGTATCAGCGAGGATATACGAGCAGAAGTAAGGCGCAACTTACTGAGATCGACATGCCCTTGAAGGGGACTATATCCAAGATCACAAAAATCGTGCTGAAGAAGGCGGGGTACCGGGCAGCATAGAAAAGAACCGTCGAGACAGAAAGGCCACGCTTCCATACGAAATCGACCTCTCTCCCGAAGGTCAAGCAATAGTCGAAACAGAATAGTGCTGCCGCAGGCGGGACGCGACAGGTAAGTCAGTTCTTTGTATGGACGTTTGTATGCGCTTGAATGCGAAGATACTCACCAGTGGCCGCTATGTAGTTGACCTCAGCGATGTAGCTGCAAATTTAGACTTCAATGGGGTGTCCAGTGCGGCAGATCAGCGCTCAGGAGGATGACTGACATGGTTTGGTAGGCCAACAGAATCGAGGATGCATCGTCTGCCATGACTCCGGACTCGAGGGCGCACACTGGCAGCCAGTCTGCGGTTACCGAAAAGATCGAAAAACTGACTGCGGTCGCTGGTGCGCTGAAAGTTCGAATCGAGATGTCGTACTAGAGTGGAATGGGGAGTGGGATGAGAGCGAGCAATCCACCGATGTGGACTGTACTTAAGTTTGCGTCTTCTGAATCCCGCGAATGACGCGTGTGGGGGTGGTCTGTTCTTGTTAGAAGAAGCTATGATGGAATTCAAATGAGAACTTGTCCTTTGCGATGAAAATTCGTGCCGCTGCGATATGGTTTGTGATTCGTCAGGTTATTAGCATCGCTATGTTAAGTGAGCGGTACATACCGAGCGCAGCCGAGTGTCGAGTACAAAGCAAGGTTACCAGGAATCAACTCTTCAGTTCTGGATCGTGGTCTTGCAGAACGAAGCCATGGTTAGACAAGGCTCGCTCCTTCACAGTGCCTGGGGTTCCTGCACGGCCATCGGTGAAGAAGAATACCGGCGGCAGATGGGTGACCTGAAGCATCAATGCATGTTGTCGACAACAAAGTCAAATGGCAGAATTTCAATGATGTTCAGCATAATCAGGCAGAGTTGCAGCCTCTGTGAGAGCTTGAAGGTCTGTAAAGAGGATGTCTTGTTCGCGGCACAGCTTCATGAAAGGATAAACGCGTACGATTCTAATTTGCATGAGATGAGAATTTTTGAACGTGCTCAGGCATCCCGAACTTCCATTGTTCCGTTTTTGCAGGTAATTTCACGCCTAGGGAACGTTGTTTTGGCGCAGAGACTCGAGAGGTGTGATTCTGAAACGTACGAGAGAGCAGTCGAGTCCGGATGCAAGGAAGACCCGAGGCACTCGCGTGGCAGCACAAAGCACTGCCACCAAGGAGAGCCTGCCCTAAAGTTCCTTCAACTCGTTCGTCTCCATTGATCCCAGGATCTTTCTACTCACAACCACTACCACTCAAGCTGCATCGTATCTTCTGGAAAATATAGCCTCTCTTTTCTAACTTGGAATTTACGCCCACTGACAGCACCCGAGTGCCCCCGCGTATCCAACTCGACTTCAATTGCGAAACTGGGCCGCTCTTCAAGCTGCTTCCACTGCGTCTCCGACAGGAGGATTCCCCAGCTTGGGCAGTGTGCTTGGATAGACCGCCTCTATAAGAGGTGCTTGATACGGCCCTCGGAGTAGGATGGTGGTCGCTGCGTCAATGCTAGAGCGTTGAAACATGCAAGGTCCGTAACTGCTGCCAATGCTCGTAAGCTTAAAGTTGAGTAAGAGCTGCCTGAATTGCTACGAAGACGTACTAAGCGCCGCGCAGGCACGCGTAGTCTGCGCCTGTGCAGGATCTAAGTCCAATCTGGTCGACCGTGTCACAGAAACGCCAGATTTCCCGGATAACGGAGCGCAATGGGGCACTTGAATGGCTTCGATGCTCGCCGGGCTGCGCCTTCTGCATGCCGAACCTTGTATGCCTCGTATCCTGCAGCCCCTTGAGGTCAATCTGTCGAATCAAGGGCCTGGAGAGACCCATGGGAGACGAAGAAGCGCGGCTGCGTCGCGCGCTCATGCCTCTCGTGTGGTCGTCCCGTTGAGAAGAACGTCATTCAGAAGGCGGAGGCGGTGGAAGCGCAGACGTGCTATCTCAGAGCGTTATGCGGGATCCAGAGTCAAGATGGCGCCGACAGAGTACTATAACACTGTCGGATCCTGTCGTCTCGATGCTCCTCAGGCTTTTCCTGCGCCCCTCAGCGTCCCCAGGCTCGAGCCCGTTATGTCCTCTATGCAGAACGACAACGACAATGACTATGCTTCATATGTTCTCAATCGTTTTTCCTGTCCAGTCCCTTGCGACTCGGACTGCTTTTCCTCCGGGCTAGCGCTGCCTCTCCGCAACGATCAAGGAGAATTCTCGCTCATTGACGACGGCTTTGTCGCCAACACGGTATGTCCTATGCCCACTTTCCCGCCAGACTTCCCACCAAACACCGACCTCACCGATCAGCCTGAGGGTCTTTACCCGGCCGAATACGGATACGAGTCTAACCCGACTCAGTGCGGCGCGCTGGCCGCGTCGCTACCAGTGACCCCCGCTCCTTCCGGCACCACACACTGGCAAGCTTTCCCTTCCCACTCGGATCCGCTCGCCTCCCTTCCGCGCTCTATTTGGTACGACAACACGTACTGCAATCCCTCCCATGCAGGAATAGCCGATATGCTGTACTACTCGCCCGCGCAACAGGTCGCCGGTGACCAGTGGCCGTGCGCGCCGCCCAACATAGGGCCCTCAGCTCTCCAGTATAACGGCGTTGAGCGCGCATCGCTTCCGGCGCATCCTCCATGGTTCTTCGACACGAATGGAGTCGGCGCGCCGAATTCCTCACCGTTCCTTGGAACCGCCGCTGCCACATTCGTCCCTACTCGTCCAATGACGAGCGAGTCTTTCGATAGCTCTAGTACTAGTTCATCCTGGACAGATACGGGCTCCTCTTCGACTTCCGTGCCGACTCCGATATCATCCTCGGACAGCATGTTCTCGTCACCCTCGCGCCATCTTGCCCCTTTCCCTACACTTCAAGCCGTGCACGACAGCGTCGCCGGGCCTCCTCTTGGCACTCCGCTCGAAATCGGCCAACCCGTAACCTTTCAGATCGTCACCATAGGTGGTCGTTCTTATATGGAATCGACGGAGCACGACTCGAAAACAAATCGCCTTGTGAAGAGATACTGCTGTGCTTACAACTTTCCCGGCTGCACTGGACGTGAGTTGCTTGGGACGCTAATGTGTTTGAACGGTGCTTACCGTTAACCCGCCCCATGCAGGCTTCAGCAAGCCTGGTAACCTCAGAGCACATCAGAGCGGCCGGGCACACAACCGGGACCCTATACGCTGGAAGTGCGACCAATGCCACTGCTCATACTCGCGGCAGGATGCCCTACGGAAGCACGTCGGCAAAAAGCACTGTCATAAACGTGAGCCGCATACGCTCCCTATCAGCTTGCATCGTTCTCATCATTGATCTATTTCACGCAGGCTACCGTAATCGCCCCGGAAACCTACGGGAACATCAGCGCGAGGCGCACGACCCTACCTTTACACAATCGCAGTGCGCACAATGTGCCTGCTCCTACAGGCGGGAGCGGGACCTCCAAACACACATCAAAACCCACCACCAGGGAAATGCTCTGCAACACGCCGGTACGTCTCCGTCTCCATCGTCGTCTTATACAGCTATACTGACGCTCCATGATCCTGTGTACAGTGAGCCCCTTCGTTTGAAACCATCGCTGCTTGGCCGTGTATAAGCAAAGAGACTGCGCAACCCTCAAAAGGTTGCTCCGTCTGGCTGCTAGCGTGCACCTCCGACCTCAATGGCCCAGATCGGAGAAGTATGTGGCGGCGGCGCTGGCGAGGCACGGCACGGACTCGTCCTTGTCGTCGACCTCTGTCTCTTCAAGTGCGCCGCCTCGAAGACCCGGGTCGACCCCCCTTGGACTAGGACCCGACCCGCGCCTTCGAGGCGGCGCACTTGAAGAGACAGAAGTCGAGTCCGTGCCGTGCCTCGCCAGCACCGCTGCTGCATCAGATCGGAATGTGGATGCATGCATGAACCCTCGACTATCTCTCTCCCGCGCATCTCTCCCACCTGCTCAATCTCATATGCGACGCCCCCAGCCGCCTCTCCAATTGTCCTCTCCTCTCGTGCTGCGCCGCGCCTCCACCATCACCATTTGTTATGCGTTCGCAAGGCGGCCTTCCATACCACTACGCCCGCGCCCAACGTCCCCGTCGCGTCCATTCGCGTCCACTCGCACCTGAACATCTCCGCTCAATACTCCGCGTTTCAACACGCCTCCAATCGTCACACCGCGTGTCGCTTCCCCTCGATTACCTACGCCCTCAACGTCTGTGCACCCGCCCGCGTTCAACAACGCTCGCCCTACTCCTTTTCCTCTTTCTCCTTCATGCATTCTTTGTTGATTTTACGCTCTCAACGAGGCTGTAGAATAGTTGTCCCTGTCGCGCTTCGACTACGCATCACAGCGCCCCCTTCTTCTACTTCGCTTCCCTATCTACCTAAACACTTCTTTCCCTCCGACTGGCCTACCGCGCAGCTCAACCTGTGCACGACTCGTACCCATGATATCTACTTACCTACGATCTTGTCCTAGCTTCCAATATATATTCGAGTCTTCCAAGAGAACGCGCTCGGAAGCGGTCTGAATATTGATATGATCTTCCGCATTCGAGTGACATTAGAGTCGCGCATATCCGCTCGCAAAGGTCATTCACATATACCCACCCCTCTAATAAGATCCTCTGTACGCTACCAGGGGTACGATATAACGATAAGATTATATATGTACAGAAGTCTACGGTGTCTACGCCGAGCAGCTCATTAGCGTATCCAGATGACGGAGTCCACATCGCCGCGTCGCGACACCACGACACCCCGTCCGTCTGTACCCGCCTCCAGACAGTTTTGACTTCGACGGACCTAAGAGACATCATCAACGCGACGTAGGGATATAGGAACTCAAGGCTTACCTGCCAGTGCCATTCCGGCGCGAAGTGATCGCACTCGGCGACGCTCCTCCCATCTTCCAGGCTTTGGTCGAACCAGCCAGTGTCAGAGGTTCCGGTCCCCGAGGGCGGGGAACGCTCGGAGTCGAAGCGCGGCGCATGCTTGGATGTGGCCACGAAGATCAAGGCAGAGGTATCGCCTCCACCGGCTGCGGTGGTCAGGTCTTCAAGTTCGAAGCGCGGATCCGCTGCCTCGTGCAGGTCGAGGATGAAGCGGTAGGTCATGACTGCTGTGAGTCTGCATGCGGTGAAGTAGGCGGGAGACACACACGGAGGAATGGCCAGTGAGCGTCAGTAGGGACGCGCTGAAGTATGAGAGAGGTCTGAGAGGAGACGCACATAGCTATCCAGGTGTTCATTGGCTGAATGAGCTGAATTGCGCAAGCCTTCAGCGATGGGACTCGCAAAAATTAAGGTTCTAGAACTCACAGCGAGAAACCTAACGAGGATGAGTCCGATGAGGTTCGCGATCAAAAGTACTCTGCATCGAGTAGATCAGTTTCTAGAATGACACGAAGGTAGTAACTTATAAACTTACCCAAAGTATAGTACGCCTGAGAGCACGCCATGGAACACGCCCGATCAGAAAAAGTATCACCAAAGGGATGAAGCATGGCCTCATACAATACACACCGTCTCGCATCAGAATGCTCATCATCGTCGACTTAAGGCTAACCTTAACGCCTTGAACTCGGACAGGCCGTGCTTTGCAGATCGTGATACCGAGAACGACCATATCCGTAAGTACGGCTGACGACCGCGCGCCTATAATCCCTGTAAAAATAACTTCGTTACACCTCTCATCATGTACACATGGTGCATGTAAGCCGCAGGAAGCATACAGCTGCGTAAGGCTGAGTGTGAGTATTATTGGGTAACAGGCTGCAGTAAAACCTGCAAGAGTCACACTCACATCTCGTACATGCCGTCCGATATGTCTGGTGCAACCCCACACCCCCGGGTCGGAGCCGCGGACGTGGTGTAGAAGATGTCTAACTTTGCATACGTGTACTGCGGGAATGTCGCGAAGGCACGTCAATACGTACACATTTATGCAGAAGAGTAAGAGGGCCTACGGCGTGGATAGCGGGAGGTATGCAAGCCAGCAGCAGGACAAACGCGAAGACTCGCTTGTCTTTCCAACACAACGCATAGGCCCTGAGGGCGGAGAACACTGATGCAGAAGGTGAATGTAAATATTGCCGTACAAAACACACTGAAAGGAGCCTTACCGGCAGCAGCGCTCAGAATCACCACATTCAGTATCCATGCGACGTGTACCATAATTGAGCATCTGCATGCGGAGCCCAGGAGGTCAGGGCGCTCAATACACAGACAAGGTTTTAAATGGAGACGCACCTCTATAGTGCCGGAACGTAACGGTAGGCGCGGACTGTAGCAGAGATTCTCAACGTGTGAAGCGACATGTACCTTGTCGGATATGCCCGTCCGTCCCGTCTCCACCAGGACCACGAACAGCGTGTTGACAAGCCCAGAATACCTGACAAGACAGAACAACATAGCTGAAGGGCTGTACTCGCGCTTCCAGATGTGTTCGACCTCCCGGGCGAATGTGAGAATGTAGTCCATGCAGAAGAGGGCTGACGAGGCACAGCTCAGTTTTCACCGATGTCCGTGTATCGAAAACAGCGAGTGACTTGCCTGTGGCCGCAATGAAAAGTCTGAGTTCGGCTAGCCTATCAGCCGGCGTCAATAAAGCATTCCAGATACACTATTGACGAAGCTAGACTCACGCATTGTCGGTCGCATGGACTATCTCCGCGATCTCCTCCGGGGATAAGGGCATGGTTGGAACAGAGACTCTGATAACACCACCGAGAGTTCAGGGGAGGGGTGCTAATGGGGATGAAGACTCGCGAATGATATACCGCTTGGCGCTGCCAATGGTCGAGAGGCCGGCCATCTGCTATTTATATGATTATGTCAGTTGAAGGCGGTACGTTACGTGAACTGCAGGCCAACATGCACATGAGCTAGAGAACACGAAGCTCGGTGAATACGACCCGTCCGAACACGTTTTGATCGTATGGCGTTTTGGCGCCCCGTATGCATAGCATGCACTGCTCCTTCGAAGATTTGTGAAGAATGTGAATACGTCGCGCAATAGATGCGATGACTGTTCTAGAATCACCGATCGAAGAGATGCGTCAAAGTTGCCGAAGTTGCGGCGCATGCATTGTCGGAGCTGTCCAGCACCATCTAGCTCAACGATAAGTATGCACACAAGCGTCACGGTGCGCATAGCACCGGCGAACGCCTAGACGCAGAGGCTCGTCACTGTATCCAGATAACGGACTCCTCATCACAGCATGGCGACCCCATGATGCCCCGTCCGGCGATATCCGCCCCCGAACAGCTTCTGCTCAAACTTCGAGAAGGCTGAGAGCCGTCAACAACACGGCCCAGAGATGTACGAATTTGGACTCACCGAATCCCACTTCGCGCCCTCAACTCCCGCGCTACACGCAGTGTTGGTGGTACTTGAAGGCGGGTTGAAGTCGAAGCAGGGGGCGGGTTTGGACGTGGACGGGAAGACCAGGGTGGAGATCCCGCCGCCGTTGGTGCTCAGGTCGTCGTAGTAGCGTCCCGGATCTGCTGCCTCGCGCAGGTCGAGGATGAACCGCGAGGTCATGATGGACGTCAGCCTGCACATAGCGTGGCAGGTGGGGCGCGGGAAATGGAGAAGATGATAAATGTCGGACGAGATACGCGGAGGTATGAGGGGGTCGTGGAGAGGAGACGTACATGGCTATCCAAGTGTTTATTGGCTGGATAAACTGTGGTGCGCCGGACGTCAGCTGGGGAACTCGCATGCGCCGATCACTTTGAAAACTTACAACGAAGAATCGGACGATGATGAGCCCAATGAGGTTCGCAATCAGGAGTACACTGCATCGACCGCGTCAATAATCCGAAAGCTAGCCTCAATGACGGGGCAAGAACATCATCGCACCCGAAGTAAAGTACACCTGGTAGCGCGCAAAACGTCTTAAACAAAATGTAATAAAGGGTGTGAAGAAGGACGTCGCACGTACCGTCCCGCATTAGGATGCTCGTTACCGTGGACTTGACACCAAACTTGACGCCTTCAACCCGGACCGGACGAGCTTTCCAGATTGTGATACCGAGGACGACCATGTCCGTGAGTACGGCTGATGATCGTGCGCCTATGGTCCCTATGATATACCTCGTTATACTTCGCAGTCATTACGACCCCAACATGCAAGACATACAGCTGCGAGATATCGCCGCTTAGCATAAGTATCGAAAAATGGGTAGTAGGAGGTGTACTCACTTCTCATACTCAACGTCGGGCATGTCTGGGGCAAACTGACATCCCCGAACTGGAGATGTTGCATAGGAGATGTTCAATTTCACGAACGTGTACTGCGGGAGGGTTGCAAAGGCATATAAGGTACATATTTTGTTAAGGGAGTCGAGGGACGTACGGTGGTGATAGCCGGATTTATGCAAGCCAACGAGAGAACAAAGGCGAAAACTCGCTTGTCTTTCCAGCACAGCGCGCAGGCTCTGAGTGCCGAGAATACTGGTGCCAGAGGTGTGAGTGAAGGCGGAAATCGGGCAGACATAACGCAGAAATTCACCTGCGGCCGCACTCAGCATGAGTATGTTCAGTACCCATCCAACGTGTATCAGGATAGAGCAGCTGCATACGGAGCGTTAAGATCAACTCAGAGCCTCTCAACATACAGGGTGGTTGTCAAATGAAGACGCACCTCTATCAGCACAAGCGTCAGGAATTCTCGACGTGGACACAACAAAAAGCGACACGTACCTTGTCAGATATTCCCCTCCAGCCCGTCAAGTTCAAGAAGATGTTCAGCGCGCTGATCATCGCCGGATACCTGACCAGATAGAACAGCACGACCGGCGTGCTGAACTCGTGCTTCCATATACGCTCGACCTCCCGTGTGAATGTGAGACAATAGTCGAAGCAGGCCAGGGCTATAAACGTATCGCTCAGCTTCCTCCCATATATGATGTTGACCGCAGGCAGCGATCGACTTGCCTGCGGCCGCAGTGAAGAGTCTGAGTTCGACTGCGCTGTTACCCCGCGTGAATAAAGCGGCCGTGCGCGATCTGCGATCAAGCTAGACTCACGCATTGTCAGATGTATGAACCAATTCTGCGATGTCATCCGGCGACAAGGACATGGCTGATCAGAGGCTCCAGTAACGACTTGCGGTAGGGGAGGGGAGGTGATGAGAGCGAAGTGTGCCGGTGTATCGCTCGGGGCTGCCAGTAGGACGAGTGGCCAGGTGTACAGGGCACGTTAGATGAGGTTATCTGGTCTGAGCTGCAGGACACAATGTGCGCGCGCGGCGCTGAGGACTGCGGAGCTCGGTGGACAGCTACGCGTGCGACCACGACCACGGACAATGTTGAGCCCCCGATGTGCATAGCATTTCGAAATGATAGGAAGCGATTTGAATGTGTTGCATATGGCCGCGCTGGATGCGATGAGCGTTCGGGCATCTCGATGAGTGCGGCGTTGTGGTAGCGCCGCTCAAACGTGCGTTTCGCAGGTCCGGTTTTGTCTCCTTACTAGTGACTGGTTGAGCTGGTAAGGGTCAGTTATAGGAGTTGGCGCGGCACGTATGCTGACTGCTCACCGCTCGCGCTCACACCTCGAGTATTGCTGTGCTAGCGCTGCCGGTAGGCGCAAAGCTGCTCGTTCCGCGACAGACACAGCTTGAGGTGAGGTGTGTTATCGACATATTCTCGCCCTCCGGGCGATGGGCTCCGATCTCATCTCAGCAGACCTCCACGAGGCAAAGAAAACAAGGTAGACTTTGATACGAACTGCAGAGCATGCGTCCCAGAACTGCATCGTGGACTACATCGTGGATGAGAACAAGATGCACAGCGCCGCAAACTCGTGGCTCGGCGAGTGGCCGTCTGTGGGCGGGGGTCTAGCAGCCTACACGGACACGTGGTGTGGCCAAGCTCACACGGGACCCTCCTCGATCGCGTTCAGCGCGTGTTACGGGCGCCTCTGCCCTTTCCAAACTCTGCCTTGGACGCGGCTCCGGATTCTTGACTGTTTCCCTCTCGTCTTGACTATATGCGTCTATGACTACCGCGGGCTCTTTCAGCGGTCATCTCGTCGACTCCTTCATGTCCTCACATCCCCCAACGGGCCCTTTCGGCCAGCCGCTCAGCATCTCGTCTCAATGTCGTCATCGGGGAACTGGCAGCTCACGTCTGACGTCACGCGCCAGAGCTCTCCATGGACGGCGCCTCTGCTCTCTGCTCGCTCTCTTCCATCCACACCTCGCCGCGTCTTCGTCGACTTGAGCTGACCGTCTTATGCCTCCATATACACGCACTCGCTGTCCGACGTCTCGTGTGCACCGCCGTCCCCCGCTTGCTTTGGCCCCGGCCGCGCTACAACTTGGCAGGCCTGTGTGTATCGCATGCCGCTGCCGTACGCGTGGCTCTTAGCTCTTCGCGACACGATCTCCGATTTACAGCTGACTTAAGCGCGAGATATCGGCCGTGCGACTCGGTGGGTGGCTCACACTGAGGGCATATGTCATCCAAGCTTGTCACCAGCGACGCTCGCAGCAGAAGCCCAAACTCCATCGTCGACCACTCATTCACCAGTAAGCTCGAGATATTATTGCGTTGCTTGGGTCTAAACACACATCTAGTAGACGCTGCTGACGCGAGGCGACGACACTATCAATCACCCGACAGCGCCGCGTGCGTTCCCCGCGCTGGGCGAGCTGCATACCGCCGCCCGCCCGCCTTTTGCTATTCTCGTGCCGCACTAGCGCACTCGCATGTCGTGAAAAGTGCCCATTTTCGATAGGTCCAGGGGTCGTCCTTCACTGTGTGAATTTTCAGCCGCTCGCGAAACGAACTTCGCTCACAGCTTCGGATTTACAGCCCGTTCACCCGCAGAATCATCAATACGCACCCCCTGATGGCCGTGACAGACGGTCTTTGTAGACAGAAAAACGAACGATAAAGTGGGTGGGTACGCCCGTGGAAGCGTTTGCGAGTCACGGCAGAACTACGGGAGGAGCGACCATAATGCTGCCAGTCTGGAGGTCACGACTCGATCCCGCCAGATCGCGCGCATCGCGCAAGGAGTGCTCACGTCGCACAGTCTATATGCTCTACGTACCTCCGTCTACGACCTCATTGATCAAACGAAGGCGCCGCGAACGTTCTCCGCTCCCCACGCTGCCGCCCCGGTGGGGCTCCCGAAAAAGCATGCTCCTGTCCCGGCATCGTGTCCCACGGGCCACCCCTCGCGACGTCTATGCCATATGACGGATACCTCGTCCGTCTTACATCTCGTAAGTTCTCAGCTCAATCGGACATGAAATACGCTGACGGCATCGAATTTAGAGTTCGGTTTCCCGGAATAATCGTCTATTTCGAGCTAGGACGTCTATCTACGGGTACATACAGCGACATGCGGCCTTACACAGCCCAGGCCACTCACGCAGGACTCACCATGCGGTCGGAACGGACACAGGGAACGCGGCACGGACGGTGGGCATAACCCCACAAGATGCTGTCCTGACGGCTCGCCCCCAGCGCGTCCGACTTCGTGAATGCGACACGCTGCTCCCGCGAAGCTAGATACATGCATGCGGTAAGTTTCAGCTCATTCGGCGGAGGCAAAATATCACTCATCTAGGCCTCATTTCGTGGGTGTTTCCGAAATATCGTAGCTTGCAGCCCACCATCACCTCGGCGGCAGTGCCATGCGAGATACACGGTTGCGGGGACTCCTGCGCCGTGCTCCGTCGCGTGCATGAGTGTCGGGGCCTACCGAAGCGGGGTCAGGTAGTGCCGGATGCGCTCAGAGGACGTCATGGGCTCACCAACGCGGTCCGACGAGACCTCGCCGTGCACGAACGTTGCGGAATCGCCTCTCCCATCTACCGGGGATGTCGACGCGCACCCTGACGTCCTCAGACAAGAGGAGAGAACACGTCGAGCAGCAACACGCCGAGCCCGCCTGCAGATGCAGGTGAGCAGACAGCCATTGCACCGCATGACGGAGAGGGTACTCACCCACACCCACCACCGCAGCAGATGCAGCAACGACCGGCGACAGTGCGGGGACCACAGGAGGCGAGGTGAGTGGGGAAGAGGCAAGAAGGAAGAGGGAAGAGGCGGGGGACCACGATGCCAGACGCCCCCCCAGCAGCGCGCGGTTTATGTGCGCACGCAGGCGCGCAGGGCACCGCGTCCCTCGACTGTTGCTCGTCTGCCGCCTGCGCGCGCACGCCGCGTCTCGTCCGCCCGCGCCGTTTCTCCGGAGCACCCGCGTCAGCATCCCCAGGACGCTCTCCTTCCATGCCGGTGAGTTCTCCGAGCCAGGCGAACACTGAAATCTGACGAATGTGGTCAATATAGATGCGCAAGCGAGGCAAGAGGAGAAGCAGGGCGTACAGCTGTCCTCCTACGTACATCGAACGACACTGCCGAGCCCGACGTCCGCTGTTGCCGACGGCGACCAAGCCCACAACGCGCCGCACACACGCTGTGCATGAGCAGTCAGAGCATGAGCAAGCAGAGAGGTCAACCGCGGCGAGGCACGTACCGGACAGCGCGACGAGGCAGACGAGTCGGGTGAGATGGAGAGGGGACGGCATGGAAGGGATGGGGGATGGGGGATGGCTATCCTCCGCCCACATTTTCCAGGTTTTAAATGACTCGCAGACGCTAACAGGCCATGCATTCCTCCTCGCCATTCTCGTCCACCGCGCTGCGCGCTCCGTCTGTTCGGTTCGCGTCGAGCACGTTTCTCCGCCGTCGGCGCGTGCGTGCGTTGCCCTCGGACGTCGGCGCCCCGCCGTGCCCACGCTCTCGTAACCTTGACGTCCCTATTTGGTGCAGAATACTGCGCGCTCCGCGTCGGGAGCACCGCGTCGAGCCCTCTACATCGGCCTGCGCGGGCGGCCCGCTTCGCTGCGCTAGCCACGCTGCAGCGCACTCACCTCGACCTCGAAGACGTCTCCGCCCTACCACCTACGTTTCTCTTCACGGGCACACCGAGGTAGCATTTTCTACGCTACGATTGCGAGGGGCTCGTCGCCGCGAGCACATGTCAACGGTACGTCCTCATTCCTGCCCAATGTTTACGATTTGATGCGCCCTCAGTTAGGCAGCCGAAAACGCAGCCAGGCATTCCCTGCCTCCGAACGCCATCGGGGTGTGTACCACGCTGCTGGTACCCCGCTCACCGGTGCACAGCGACATCCCGCACGTCCCAGGTGGCGCACGGCGCCATCTTCTCGTTCATCGGCAATACCGCCGACGCCCTCTCTTGCAGCCCGTCCGGCGTCGTGACCACCACGGCCGCTCACTCGAACCAATATTCATACGGCCGATGGGCTCCAAACCAGTAAGAGAAAAATACATCATCATTTGTGACACGATCCTGGCCAAGGGACACCGGCAGCGGGGACCGGAACACCCAAATCGCGAAATCCCGCCGTCCTGTGCGATCTCCTCTGATCTCCTGCACCGCGTCTCCACCGGTACGTCCACCCAGAGGATGACATGCATTACCTGCCACGCGCGACGCTCCGGCGTGTGTCGGATATCCGACACCCGACAACTTCGCACGGAGGCGCCGCGCAATGCGGTGTCCGAGTCTCTCAATGCGGTCGAGACAACGTCAGGGCACGACACACGATGCTGGGAAGCTCTGTGAGCGAGGAGACATGCCAGAACGACGGAGGGGGGATGTGCCGCGTGCGCCACGCCGCGACTGTGCACGGCGGGAAGCGCTGCATCGTGGGGGCGGGGGCGCACACCTCGCACGATGTCGAGTACACACGTCGATTGCGCTCCGGGCAGCGCTGAGATCGCGGCGAGCATGGCGGGGACGTCGACGGCGTGTTTATCACGCGCGTCGTGAAGCTCGGGGGCGGGGCGCTCGCGTTCGCCTGCGTATAGGGCATCGTCCTTGGCACGTGCGACGGTGCGGGCGACGCGAGGATGGACGTCGGGTACGGGCCGGAGCCCTTGAAGTCGCGGCGGACCTTCTGCTCGAACTCGGTGAGCGCCCTGGGGTCGATGTTGAGCCGCCACTCGAGGTAGGAGCACATTTCGCGCTCCATCTGGTTGACCTCGCGCAGCGCGAACATGCCCTGGCCGACGATCGACCTCGACTTGTTGGAGTATGTGTCGTCGCAGACGACCTTGCTCGCGATAATGAACGCGCTGATGAACGGGCGGTGGCCGGAGCTGCCGCGCGCGGCGGGGAAGCGCGCTTTTAGGCGTTGCAGGAGATAGAGCACCGCGGGCGGGATGGAGGTCGACAGCGGGGCAAGGTCCAGACATGTGAACACTCTATGCACAAGGGCGTGTGCGGTGCCACCGCCCAGCGATTCGCAGTGCTGTATGGGGGAATCAACCTCACACGATTGGTATGCGTGCGGACACTGCGGGACGAGTATGGAGTCTCACTGCACCGCCGTTCTCCGAATGCATGCACTCGCCAGAACATGGCTGCGAGTGATTTATGTCGCACACCACGAGATTCGAATGTGTGAGTCGGTCAGTTGGTGACGTACCCAGCCTGTTCGTGCAGTCGGCCGAGTCCGTGTTGTTTCTCCTCCAGAGAATTGGCCCTCATGCGCGGACGTTGCGCCGTGCTGTTTCAAAATCGCAACACTACATGTTATGTACCAGGGTGTATATGTACAGTGAGTTTCAAGTGTGTTTGAGAGAATCAAATCTGGTCCATGTGCATTCTGATGGGGGCTGGCGGCAAGGGCGCACACTGGACAACGTGTCCAGCTCGCTCACAAAGGCATCCTAGACAACGGCCAGGCTATGTACAATTGCGACTCGATGCATGATGGCAGTGTGCATGCACCCAGCAGGTTTCAAGAATCCCTGGGCACACGCCGGCACTCGGGGTGTCTTGCGCCATTTCATGGGTTCCGGAAACCCGGCGAAGACAGAGTTGTGCGAAAGCCCGTCGTCTGTAGCGTCTTCCTGCTTCGCGCACGTATCAGCAGTTGTTTGCGAAAATCTACGTTCAATTCCTGATGTGCCCGAGCGTGTGCAAACCATCTAACCTCGACCACCCTGCGGGGCATAGGAGGGTCCCTTACAAATTCCAAGAACTCGATAAATTGTGAATTCCTCCCCGTCTGGGCATATTCCTGAGCTGAAATGTGGGATGTACTGTCTTATATGTATTGTGAGGCGTTCTTGGTTATGAATATGTACACATAACTAGTTCGACACTGGATAATGGTGCGGAGAGGTGCTCCGCAGATGTAGCAACCCCCACCATCTCCACGACGCCAAGCCACTGCGAAATCGTGAGGATACGCTATATACACTAGGGCCCATAGTCTCTGTCGTTTGTAGCCGGATATGTGAAAGTCAGGAAGCTCGAGGCCATGTCTTCCGCCATGCTTATGCACCTCAAAATCATTTGTCGTCAGATAATCTCTCATAAAGGTGCCTTGCAGACGCAGCAACCTCCTGCGCCGCCGCATTTTCGCGCCACTTCCAAATGGACACTCGGCGTTTCTGGAGCCGTATATTACATGCTCCGCGAGTCTCAACTTGATCCGATGGAAACTCCAAGTTTGAGGCAACTTTGCACGTGTTGAAGCAGCGACTCGGAGGGCACAAATTGAAAATAGCGCGCCCCAGCCATTGTGTACACCACGCCACACTGTGCTTTGGAACACATACGCCTGCACGCAAGTGCGTCCAGCTGACCCCAAACCTGCGCAAACATATGTGGAAAATCCAATTCACCCAACGAGTGCAAGATGGCCAAGCATACCGCACCTACAGACTCGGAGGCCATGGCCAAGTGCCGATGTACCGCGGACTCTGCACTGCCGCTGCGCTCCAGCACGAATACAGCCCATAGGAAGGCAGGCTCATGCGCAACCACCCTGTCTCTGAGCCATACCATACGCCATCTTCCCACCAACGCAAACATTCGAGAGTGTCTGTAGATATCTGTCTCCCGGACTACAGCACACGCGCGGTCAGACAAGCATTGCGCACGGTAGGATGCGCGAAATCAATACTGCGTCTCCAAGTGCATCTGAACGACGCGAGCCCATCGCGCGCTCAAACTCCGAACACGAAGACACCGTGCACGATACAGAGCTCCGCATGCGACCGAGTCGAGCGTGCAATGTGCCCCACCGAGCGCCGTAAAGGACAAACGTACCCAGGCTCGGCCACGCCGGCCGTTCTTGGACTACCAATCCGGGCTGCTTCCATACGTCCTGCTCACCCATCGTCCTCGCGACGTAGGATGCCGACGGGCGCTCGACGTGCTTCGTGCCCCGCATAACAAGCTCGAAAGCGAGATCTACGCACTTGATGGGCGACAGGCAGGGAGATGCCCGATGAATGACGCTCGCGGGCGCCAGCCAGCCCCAGTCTCGAACAGCGTGGTTACGTACGGTTCCAGCCGTGCGGAGTGCGGTTCCCCCGATATATTGGCGGCCGCCATCTGTTGGTGAGATTGCGCAGATGGACGCTGTATGAGTGCTCCTAGAGTTGTGTAATAGAGCGTGAAGGAGTCAGCGTACGTCTGAGGGTTATCCCCGGGGCCAAAGTCGCGCGTTGTGCATGGTACGATATTGCGAAGCCAAATTGATTGAACGAGCGTGATGCGCTGCGGGAGGACCCTTTGCCCGACGACATACGAGTCTAAAATTTACCTGTGTGCAAGCCGATTAGTATGACAGCTTCGGAGTTGACAAAATACTCAGCCTCGGCGTCGGACGGCACGTAGAGCCTCGTGCGCGAGGACTGGACGGCGAGAAGGGAAGGACGAATCTGCTATTCCCGATTCGCTCACGCCGTACCGTGCACAGGCGGGGGACGTGCAGGAAATGGCACAGCCATTACCAGGAGAGGCAGTGCGAGAGCCCGAGCCTTGCCTGCGCCATACCTATTGTATCGAGGGGGGTTTCTGTGCACTGGCAGGGACGGCCGTGACCGAGCTCAGCGATGTCCGGGCAAAATATTACCCACACCAGCTAACTCCAGATGCCTGTGAGGTTGAGGGAGTGTACTGCGCAGGTGGGTTGCCTGCCATGCTAGAGGGGAGCTCGTAGTGGTAATTCGGGAGTGCATTATTCAGAACAACTTACCGTAATGTCCGTGTCCGTGATTGAATTAGTCGTGTAAACGGGAACCTTGTTGTACGCGAGCCATATTTAGCGGGATGCCTACCGCACTCGTCCGCGGTAGTAATCGTCGAAGGCTTCGGTCTTACCGTTTCCGCAGAGAGCCAGCCTCGCGTGAGCGATAACCTGCGAGAAAATGTCATTGTGGCTCACGCGATAGAAACGATACAGAATACGCACATAGGCCGTCTTCGTCTGCCCTCTCACCCATAAAGACGTGGCTGCGGATGTCGAGAGCGCCAGGGCTTCCCTGCACCCGCTTGCCACCGCTCTTCTCCTGTCTCCGGCTATGTTGATGGAGCTCCCCACTGCCGCATCCGTCTTGAAGCCTACGAGTCCCGTGACTGTCCGCGACCATGCCGATGTGGCGCCCCGTGCGATGACAGATGTTAGTTTCCGTGAGTGCCAGCGGCCCGCACCCGCCACCATTCCACCGCTCACATCGGGCACTAGTGCACTCGGGGCCCGTCACTGGAGATTTGCGTGTCAGTCTCAACAGCATGGACAGGGCGGAGGGCGACCCGAGCACCAACCCCGGCGCACCTGCAAGCGAATCGCCAGTGCCGCTGCCGCACATCCATTGTGGCAGCACCAGCAGGGCGAAAACCCGCCAAAAGCACCGCTTTATCCCGTACCCGCAGAGACAGTACCGCAGTGTCAGGAAGCGGGCAGCGTGGCGTAGCTGCGACGAGTCGGAGGGATCCTTGGGCAAGAACCTGCCTGCTGAATCAGCATTGGGCGTGTCTGTCTTCCTCGGCTCACCTGCATTTGCGCCTCATGGAAACCTTGACGTCCCTGCACTGTTTACGGAGGCTGACAAAATCAAGCCGGCCTCGGAGCATGCAGTGGGGGAGGTCAGGTCGGGTTCAGGGGTGTCGGGGCGAGCTGGGTGAGTGGACGGGGTCGGGGGCCGTTGTGGCTGGGGCTAGCATTCTTGTGCGTGCATTGTGGATCATAAACGCATAATTACATATTTCTTGAGCAATTTTGGCAGAGCTGTCGAGGTGTGGTGGTGGCGGAGGAGAGAGAGCGGCGGGCGCCTCAGAGGACCAGCCTTCCCGTTTTGGGAGATTGATCAAACTTGGGTGGCAGAGAACTGTTCCTTCGTTCTGCCGCTCATTCAATGGCAAGGCCTGTCGCCGTGCTGCGCTCCACTTGTCATCCTGCATGCTCGACTGGATCCTCGCTTGGCGATGTTTCTGGTATATTGTCTGTGCAAGTAGTTCCTGCACTCAGGCTGTTTCAGCCAGTATTTGGGCTTGTGCGCGGCATAGCTGGGGGCTGTCCTGGAATGTGCGCAGCATAGCGAGACGTCCGACCAATGGCAGGCTCAAACGTGGATCTCAAGCGACTAGTGCAGCCTGGCACTCCGCTGTGTCAATGCAGCGTTGACGTCCGCGCTTTGCTGTGCTCGAGGCCGCCGGTCTCGGGTACGTCAGCTCCAGGTTTGATCTTGCATTAGACAGGACGCTGACATGCGATTTCAAAGTTCATGCATGGGAAGTCCTGTGCATCTGAGCACCCGAGCATCCCGTCCAAACACGGAGGAACTGGGTTTCCAGACTTGGCATCCAGGTGGATGGCCCGGAGCACCCGCTGCCCGCCCACTCGTTCGGCTGCCCGCACTATATAGGCCTCGAAGCGGACTAGGGGGATTTTTGGCCCCCATTTCCCCCACCCGCTATTTTCGTTATTTCTGTCTTCTGTCCTGTCTCTGCACTGCACGTCTCGAACCCGCTCCCAGCCTCGAATCTGCTCTCGGCCTCAAACTGCATCAGCTGGCAATATCTACGGCAATGTCCATGTCCCCTCGCCTTTACTTTCCGGACACCAGACTCGCCCCACCATGGCTACGTTCTATGGCCGAGCGGATGGCCCATTAGGTGCGTGAACAGCGACTGTTGTGGTGCCTGCTTCGTGATCAGGGCGGAATCCATTGAGCGCGATCATGGCGAGGTGTTCAGTGAAGCCCTTGCGAGCGAGTGCACCTCGCACTCGAGGATCTGTGTGCAACGCCGAGTTGTGGGCCACTGCACCTCCCAAGAGTCTCAATTTCGCACGCTGAGTGTCCTGCCGCCGAAGATACGTGCATAGCGCGGAGCTCGGGGGTAGATCGCACGAAGAGACTTGGTCTCCGGGAGTGCGGGCACCGTGATTGGGTTTCTGTTTCTCCTGTTAGTCTTTGTCTTCGGGCGGCGGCGGAGCGGTACGAGACTTGCGCAACTAGTGGGCCCAGCCGGCCTCATATGAGATCAGTGGATGGCGCAGAGGGTAGCTGCTGGAGACATTGTGGACGATGCTTGCGGCGGGCTGAGGCAGAAGAGGAGGGCACCCCGTTTGATGCATTGTACGAGACGACTCGCGTCTTGCGCAAGCACGCACAGAGGCGTCGCAGGTGAGCACTTCGAGAAGGTCACCCCGGGCTGTGCATTTCGCGTTTATTCGAGCTCGGGCTCGTTACTCATGAGCATCGCGCTTGTCTGCATCCCGGCACGGCAGTCTTAACACTCGACCGCAATCCAAATGGACTGAATACAGCTTACGGTAAGTTATCATGCCCAGCTGCTCAGGAACAGGCTCTCCGCTGACGTGCACTCGCAGGAATCTACCAGCTGATATTGCATCTCCCGGGCAGTGGTGTTCTCCAGAATGCGGATGGTGCAAAGGTACGTACTTGTTCTTCTTGTATCGTTTGGGCGTTGATTCCGCTTGTAACAGGTACGCGTCTTCGGTTGCCCCGTTAAGCAGCGATTTTGCAAGGGTATGTTCGCCCGACGAATGTCAGTGCGAAGCGCAACGTGCCGACATAGTTTGTTGTACAGCGGGATCGAGGGTAGGAGGGCGATGGGCGGGGCCAACTTATGGGCACGTGGGGAATTTGAGGTGTGGCATGCGAGCGAGTGCACAGGGTCAAGATCAGCCATGTCACGAGGATAGTATGTATCGAGGCAGTATATGTACTTTTCATGTGCGGCATGGCGTCCTCAGGCTCTCCGAGTGCTCCTGGGCAATCAGCCCGTGTATGCGCCAGCCGCGACCCGCTGCCTCCTCGAGTGTGCCCACCGTGATGTCCTGTACGCCCCTGCGACGCTCTGCGCGCCAACCATGAGCTACTGCCCTCCCATACTATCTCTTTATTTCCCCAGCCTCTCGTCGCTCAAACGGGTCTTGGAGGGAGAGACGGGCCGGCGAGCGGCGAGGTTGAATCGCGAGGCGCTGGCAGGATTAAGTGCACACGTAAGGTTCACGGCGCGCATAGCACCGGCGAACACCTAAACGCAGAGGCCCGTCATCGTATCCAGATGATAGACTCCTCATCGATGCGTCGCAACCCCGCGATGCCCCGTCCGACGACATCCCCCAGCGGACAGCTTTGGCTTAACCTTCTACGAGAAGGCTGAGAAAGCCGTCAACAACACAGCCCAGAGATGTACGGATTTGGACTCACCGAATCCCACTTCGCGCCCTCAACTCCCGCGCTACACGCAGTGTTGGTGGTACTTGAAGGCGGGTTGAAGTCGAAGCAGGGGGCGGGTTTGGATGTGGACGGGAAGACCAGGGTGGAGATCCCACCGCCGTTGGTGCTCAGGTCGTCGTAGTAGTGTCCCGGATCTGCTGCCTCGCGCAGGTCGAGGATGAACCGCGAGGTCATGATGGACGTCAGCCTGCACATAGCGTGGCAGGTGGGGCGCGGGAAATGGAGAAGATGATAAATGTCGGACGAGATACGCGGAGGTATGAGGGGGTCGTGGAGAGGAGACGTACATGGCTATCCAAGTGTTTATTGGCTGGATAAACTGTGGTGCGCCGGACGTCAGCTGGGGAACTCGCATGCACCGATCACTTTGAAAACTTACAACGAAGAACCGGACGATGATGAGCCCAATGAGGTTCGCGATCAGGAGTACACTGCATCGACCGCGTCAATAATCCGAAAGCTAGCCTCAATGACGGGGCAAGAACATCATCGCACCCGAAGTAAAGTACACCTGGTAGTGCGCAAAACGTCTTAAACAAAACGTAATAAAGGGTGTGAAGAAGGACGTCGCACGTACCGTCCCGCATTAGGATGCTCGTTACCGTGGACTTGATGCCAAACTTGACGCCTTCAACCCGGACCGGACGAGCTTTCCAGATTGTGATACCGAGGACGACCATGTCCGTGAGCACGGCTGAGGATCGTGCGCCTATGGTCCCTGTGATATACCTCGTTATACTTCGCAGTCATTACGACCCCAAGATGCAAGACATACAGCTGCGAGATATCGCCGCTTAGCATAAGTATCGAAAAATGGGTAGTAGGAGGTGTACTCACTTCTCATACTCAACGTCGGGCATGTCTGGGGCAAACTGACATCCCCGAACTGGAGATGTTGCATAGGAGATATTCAATTTCACGAACGTGTACTGCGGGAGGGTTGCAAAGGCATATAGGGTACATATTTTGTTAGGGGAGTCGAGGGACGTACGGTGGTGATAGCCGGATTTATGCAAGCCAACGAAAGAACAAAGGCGAAAACACGCTTGTCTTTCCAGCACAACGCGCAGGCTCTGAGCGCCGAGAACACTGGTAGCGAAGGTGGGTGTGAATGCGGACATCCGGCAGACATGAAGCAGATACTTACCTGCAGCGGCATTCAGCATGAGTATGTTCAATATCCATCCAACGTGTATCAGTATCGAGCAGCTGCATACGGAGAATCAGATCAACTCAGAGCCTCTTGATATACAGGAGGGTTGTCGGATGAAGGCGCACCCCTGTAAGCGCAGGCGTCATGAATCCTCAACGTGGAGATGGTAAAAAGGGATACGTACCTTGTCAGATATCCCCTTCGAGCCTGCCAAGCTCAAGAATACAATCAGCGCGCTGATCATCGCCGGATACCTGACCAGATAGAACAGCACGACCGGCGTGCTGAACTCGTGCTTCCATATACGCTCGACCTCCCGTGTGAACGTGAGACTGTAGTCGAAACAGACCAGGGCTACCAATGCATCGCTCAGCTTCTTCCCATATACGTGGACCGCAGGCAGCGATCGACTTGCCTGCGACCGCAGTGAAGAGTCTGAGTTCGACTGCGCTGTTACCCCGCGTGAATAAAGCGGCCCTGCGCGATCTGCAATCAAGCTGGACTCACGCATTGTCAGATGTATGAACCAATTTTGCGATGTCATCCGGGGACAAGGACATGGCTGAATCAAAGACTCCAGTAACGACTTGCGGTAGGGGAGGGGAGGTGATGAGAGCAAAGTGTGCCGGTGTATCGCTCGGGGCTGCCAGTAGGACGAGTGGCCAGGTGTACAGGGCACGTTAGATGAGGTTATCTGGTCTGAGCTGCAGGACACAATGTGCGCGCGCGGCGCTGAGGACTGCGGAGCTCGGTGGACAGCTACGCGTGCGACCACGACCACGGACAATGTTGAGCCCCCGATGTGCATAGCATTTCGAAATGATAGGAAGCGATTTGAATATGTTGCATATGGCCGCGCTGGATGCGATGAGCGTTCGGGCATCTCGATGAGTCCGGCGTTGTCGTAGCGCCGCTCAAACGTGCGTTTCGCAGGTCCGGTTTTCTCTCCTTACTAGTGACTGGTTGATCTGGTAAGGGTCAGTTATAGGGGTTGGCGCGGTAAGTATGCTGACTACTCACCGCCCGCGCTCACACCTCGAGTATTGCTGTACAAGCGCTGCCGGTAGGTGCAAATTGCTGCTCGTTCCGCGACAAACGCAGCTTGAGGTGAGGTGTGTTATCGACATATTCGCGCCCTCCGGGCTCTGGGCGACTGGAGCTCCGATTGCATCTCAGCTGACCTCCACGAGGCAAAGAAAACAAGGTAGACTTTGATACGAACTGCAGAGCATGCGCCCCAGAACTGCATCGTGGACAACATCGTGGACGAGAACAAGATGAACAGCGCCGCAAACTCGCGTGCTCGGCGAGTGGGCGTCTGTGGGAGGGCGTCTAGCAGCCTACACGGGCACGTGGTGTGGCTAAGTTCACACGGGACCCGACGCGATCGCGTTCAGCGCGTGTTACGGGCGCCTCTGCCCTTTCCAAACTCTGCCTTGGACCGCGGCTCCGGATTCTTGACTGGTTCCCTCTCGTCTTGACTATATGCGTCTATGACTACCGCTGGCTCTTTCAGCGGTCATCTCGTCGACTCCTTCATGTCCTCACATCCCCCGACCGGCCCTTTCGGCCAGCCGCTCAACATCTCGTCTCACGGACCCATGTCTTTCGCGCCCTCCATGCACGGATCAGCCAACAGCAGCTTTGGCACGCAACAGTCCTTCTTCTCTGAGGCGTCGCTTATGGAGATGTCGGAGGAGAGTGCGAGGAAGATCGCGACGATGCAGGCGAAGCTGAACAAGAAGCTGGGCCCGGAGTACATCTCACAGAGACCAGGGCCAGGCGGAGGGCCGAAGTTGACGTATGCCGAAGGTCAGTCTCCATCGATCCTGCGTAGTAGGCTCATACTGAACATTGGGTTCCAGGATGGAAGATTATCAATCTCGCCAACGAAGTGTGAGTGCACCAGTGATGAAGCTGGCCGCGGGACACTGACTTTTCCTCCTCAGCTTCGGTTTCAACGGCTGGAGCTCCAATGTCGTCAACATCACGACCGACTTCATCGATTACAGCGAAGAGTCCAGAAGATACAACGTCGGGGTCACTGCGATCGTGCGAGTGACACTGCGCGACGGCGTGTTCCACGAGGACGTGGGCTACGGACTGTTGGAGAACTCGAAGAGTAAAGGCGCGGCGTTGGACAAGGTGGGTAGCTACTGCTACCTTACCCTAGTTGTCTTCTCACGTGCATATAGTGCAAGAAGGAAGCGGTTACGGACGCCGTCAAGCGCACACTACGAAACTTCGGCAACCTGTTGGGAAATTGCCTGTACGACAAGTCGTACACGCAGGAAGTCATCAAGATCAAGGTCCCTCCAGTACGTACTGCGTATATTACTCCAACGTCCATATTGACACCATGCATCTATAGCCCAAATTCGAGCGCAGCGAACTGCATCGTCGTCCAGAGTTCGAAGAGTCCAAGCCAGCTATACCCTCTACCGCATATACCCCAGCACCAAACGCCTCATCGAACTTCTCGGTACCTTCTACATCCGCAGCGGGCCCCTCGAATCCTCGAGTAAAATCCGAGCCCACGACGAACATGCCGCCTCCGCCCAACGTCCCTTCACACTACCCACAACATGCCCAGAACGCCCAATCAACATCTCACTCTGCGGCCAGTGTCCCAGAACGCCCCATCGCCGCGTCCACACCCAATGCCAAAGGAAGGGCACCCATGATTCCTGGCGCCCAATACACAGGTCTACAGGCACCCCTGCATACCCCGGCCGGCCGACCCGCGCAAGGCGGCGGCGGGGACCGGATGGCGCAGAACCTTGCCGACAGACACGCCGCGCGTCTACGGCAGATCCAGGAGGCGCAGGATGCACAGCGGCAGGAGGAAGAAACGGCACGCGCGCGGGCCGTGCACGATGAAGCCGCAGCCTCCGCAGAGAGACGCGTGAGTTTCGCACCGGCGGCCGAGCAAGCAGGCGCACCCGTTCGCCAGGTGAACGGTAGCGCGGGACCGAGCGCTGCTGCACCAGCGCGCCCATCTCCTCCACAAGTCGTCCCAAGGTCAAGCGATACAGCGCCCGACGATACGGAGGTAGACGAGTACCACTTCCCGTCCGAGGACGACGCGTTCCTCGCGATCCTCGATCTCGAGGCGCTCGACGAGGGTATCGGCCGCCCGATCGACTTCGAGGAGGGCGTACGCCCGGATGTCGACATGGACGCGGGACCCGCCGCGGACGCGGACGTTTCGAGCGCATACCAGCAGGGCCAGCGTGCGCATCAGGAGCAGCAGCAACGAATGAGCGCGGCGGCTGGTGCGGGCTCGGGCTCTGGCGCGCAAGCACGAACTGGACATGCGGATCAGCGCGCCCCGCCAGCGCGCTTTGGGCAGGCTGCTTCGGGGCAAGGCGGACGGGCAAGGACGCCGTCCATGGGGGGCGGGTTCAACTTCGCAGCTGAGGATGTCACGGTACGCACACGATCCTCCCTCGAACTGCGTGTTGTATACTCATCTGTTTGTCTCTTAGCCAAGCACGAACGCTCCGGGTGCTAGTCGTGCCCCGTCCGTCTCGAACCAGAACCACCAGCACGGCCAGCCCCGTGCCGCGCATGCGAACACGGGCGCACACCAGGGCGGGGCGACGTCTTCTGGTGGGACAACCGTCAGCCTGAAGCGCAGCGCGGACATCATGCAGTATGTGTACGCCTCCGCTCTTCCGATTGCAGTAATCTGATACTATTCCGTGTCTGACAGAGGGTACGCCTCTGCCCAAGCGCAACAGCGACGGCCCGCCCAGGGCATGGGTTTGCAGCACGCCGGTGCAGGGGCCCCGGGGGCAAAGCGGGAGCCGTTCGCGTCGCTGGAGATGTCGGACGGGGGGAACGTCAAGCGTCTGCGGAGATGAGATATGGATGAGCCGCTCGCCTTTGGATTCGTCTTGATTTCGACAGTGTGCGTTTGCATGCGTATAGGTACAGGCTCACGCTTGCTTTCCCTGGCTCAGGACTCGGAGACGTTCATCAATTGTAGCATTAGCAGGAATTTGACTGTAGGAATACCGTTTGTATCATATCACCCTCCGTATCATATGCGCAGCATCGAGAGTCGGAGCTAAGTGCTGAGCGCTGAGCGTTAGCTCCGTGGACATACTACGGTCGCGCAATTACGATGAGTATGTGCACATAGTAGTGCAAAGACGTGCCTTATTCATGCGTATTTTACGACAGAATTGCTGAGTCCTCTGAAGTCTGTACATGCATGGGTCTGGACTCCAGACTTGCAGTGTGTGTGGGGCGCGGGAAAGCCGTGGCGATGTTCCCCACGCGTAAATTTACACAAACAAGCGCGGGGCGGAGGGACTGCGGCGCAGGGCTGTGGAACATCTGGTTCTCGTCCACTGCGACCGTCACCGCGAACATCTCTGTGCCGCATGCTCTGGACCTGGTGTCGTTCTCTTCCTCATTATCTTGCATCGTGATGACCGACCTAGGTCCGACCTGAGTCAAGCCGAGGGGCGTCGCGGTCAACTTTCAGCGAGAGGTCAGTTGAACATATAGCCATTTGATACCGAGTTTTGACAGGTCAGTGCTCACTGGCAGAAGCAGGAGACCGCGTATAAAAAGCCAGAGGACTTGCGAAGCATCATCTGGGGCCAGTACAGTCTTCGCGCCCTGGCCCGGTGCACCCATCTACGGCATATTTATATCGCTTCTGAATCATCTTCGAAGTACTGGAGCATGCCGAGCACTTAAACTCCCTACATGGCCACTGTACACTGAGCTTCTTATCCCCGGATGCTTGTGCATCCGAGATGTCGTGCAGTTCAAACCATAAGTATACCCTCGGCTGACCTGCTGGCATAACTAGTAGATACCTCGTATCTCGACCCACAGGCGACGCTCAGCGACCCAAGTACTCCGTTCACATTACCTTGCCCCACACCCATCGCATTCCGATTCGCCCATGGCAACGGCGCTTATGAGGCCCTCTGCTTCAGTCATGCCATGGTCCCCGGAGATGGCGCAGACAGACCATGCGTCCGGCGAAAATACGTGAGTACAGCTTGGCTATACGTCGTCAATGATCGTTTTCATTGACACGTGGCGATAACAGTGTAGCCCAACTCAGACTTTACACTGCGGCAATAGGCAAGTTGCGCGTTGTCTTAGTCTTAGTCTAAGCCTCAGTAAGGTGAATGGTAATAGGGGGATGCTGAACGATGTATTTTCAGCGCTGTTCTGCTTCGACTATAGTCTCACATTTACACGGGAGGTCGAGCGTATCTGGAAGCACGAATTCAGCACGCCGGTCATATTGTTCTACATCATCAGGTATTCGGCGATGATCAGCGCGCTGCTCGTAATCTTGGATTTGACAGGCTGGAGGGGAGTATCTGACAAGGTATGATTCGCTTTCTGCTGTCTCCACGTTTAGAATTCCTGACGCCTGCGTTCATAGAGGTGCGAGTTTGTCCGACAACCTCGTGTATGCTGAGAAGCCCTGAGTTGATTCTTTGGTTCTCTATGCAGCTGCTCTATTCTGATACACGTTGCATGGGTACTTAACGTAATCATGTTGAGTGCTGCCGCAGGTAAGCTCTCCGTGCCTGCCGTGCATCCGTATCATTCACCCACATTTTCGGCGCCAGTGTTTTCAGCGCTCAGAGCCTGCGCGCTGTGTTGGAAAGACAAACGGGTGTTTGTCTTTGTCTTGTTGGTAGCCTGTATGCATCCCGCCATCGCCGCCGTAAGTGCTCTTGCTCCCTCAACAAAATGTGTGTTCAGTGATGCGCTTTCACGGCGCTCTTGCAGTATACGTTCATAAAATTGAACATCTTCCACACCACGGCCCCTGTTCCGGGATGTGGTTTTGCGCCGGACATGCCGGATGCGATGTACGAGAAGTGAGTGCGTCTCCTACCATCGCAGCATTTACTCGGTACTCATGCTCAGCGGCCATCTTTCGCAGCTGTATGTCTCCGTCGCCTCAATCGCGTGTATCGATGAGAGGTATATATTTTGCAGGGATCATAGGCGCCCGATTGGCAGCCGTCCTCACGGATATGATCGTGCTCGCTATCACGATCTGGAAAGCCCGGCCAGTCCGCATACAAGGCGTCAAGCTTGGTGTTAAATCCACGATGGTGAACATCCTGATGCGGGACGGTATGTACGAGGCTATTGCCAAAGAGTTTCCTCGATGACATTCTGATCTGACACGCGTTGCGTGACTCTTTCAGGTGTGCTATACTTTGGGTGCGCTCACCAGCGGTTCCCTTGGTAATGAGACGCCGAACTGGTCATTGAAACACTCGACAGGGTACTCTTAATCGCGAACCTCATCGGGCTCATACTCGTCCGCCTCTTCATCGTAAACCCCAAAGAGCTTCACTGAAGGCGAACTTCATCGCTGACTTGTTGCGTACCACAGTTTATCCAGCCAATAAACACTTGGATGGCCATGTACGTCACCTCCTCTCCCCGATCCCTCGTGTCTGGGAATCTCACGCTCCATGCTCCGAACCACCGCCAATTTCTTCTTGTACCTCACATTCTATCACACTTCGTACAGGCTGACAGCCATTATGACCTCGCGCTTCATCCTCGACCTACACGAAGCGGCAGATCCACGTTTCGACGGCCTGAGCACCGACGGGGGCATTTCTACCTTGATCTTCCCAGCCACATGCAAGCACGCTCCGCGCGTCGACCGTGACGTGTCCTCGAGCAGCAGCGCTGCGGGGACGGGCTGGATAGAGCAAAACTCAGAAATAGGGAGCATGGAGGTCGGTGAGTGCGATGACGCTGAGTGGGAGGTGAGTATAAGCCCGAAGATCACTGCACCGTGTTGGTTATTGACGTCTCTCAGGTCCTTCGGAACAACAGCTACCTGGTGCAGAGTACAAACACACGTATCGCTGCGGCGTCGCGATGCGAAGATGTCGAGTCCGTCATCTGGATACGATGACGAGCGGCCCGGGCGTGCAGGTGCTTTTCAGTGTCATGCGCACCCTGTGTATATCTGGTGGTGCCGCAACCCAAAAACTGACCCAAACAAACGTGTGGCAGTCTCGAGCGGTCTCACTGCTGTACCTGATGGAGCGCGGCTGTTGAAATGCGCTCCCAGCACGTTCCGTCGCCGCGTCCACACCCAACACCCAGTGTCAAAGAGAAGGCGCCCATGGTCTCTGGCGTGCAACACCGCAACACACAAGTCTACGGGCATCTTGCACACCCCGACCGAACGGCCTGCGCAAAGCACCGGCGGAGGCCGGATGACGCGGAGTCTTGCCGACCGACCCGCCGCGCGCCTCAGGTAGATTCAGAAAGCCCAGGGTGCACAGCGTCAAGAGGAAGAAACGGCACGCGCGAGCTTCGTACCGACGGCGGAACAGACAGCTGCACCCGCTCATCAGACGAACGATAGCGCGTGTGCGAACGTGGGGCCGAGCGCTGCTGCTCCAGGGCGCCCATCCCCTCCGGTCCTATGATACGGCGCCTGATACGGAGGTCGGAGGTTGACGAATATCACTTCCCATCCGAGGACGACGCGCTCCTCGCGAGCCTCGATCTCGAGGCGCTCGACGAGGGCATCGGCCGCCCAATCGCCTTCGAGGAGAGCGTACGCCCGGACGTTGACATGGACGCGGGACCCGTCGCTAACGCAGACGTCTACGAGGACGATGGGGGGCGGGTTCAACTTCGCAGCTGGTGATGCTGTGGCACGCATGTTATCTTCCCTTGAACTGCAAGTGGCATACTCATTCGCTTGTCACTTAGACGAACACGAGTGCTCAAGGGACCAGCCGCGCCTCCTCCGTCTCGAACCAGAACCACCAGCACGGCCAACCGCGTGCCGCGCTCGCGAATACGGGCGCGCGCCAGGGTGGGGCGACGTCTTCTGGAGAGACAACCATCAGCCTCGAGCGCAGCGCGGACATCATGCAGTGCATTTTCTCGTTTCCGTTTGTCCGAATCGCAGTAACTGACTGCTCTGCCGTGTCTGACAGAGGGTACACCGCGGCGCAATCACAACAGCAATCACCTGCCCAGGGAATGGGCCTGCAGCACGCCGTTGCAGGGGCCGTGGGGGCGAAGCGCGAGCCATTCGCGTCGCTGGAGGTGTCGGACGGAGGGAATGTGAAGCGTCCGCGGAGATGAGAGGTGGATGAGCCGCTCGTCTTTCAATTCGTTTTGATTTCGCGTGTTTCGGTGCTCGCGCTCGAGTCCGCCAGCGCCCTGTTTCAGAATTACGTACGAGGCACGTTCATGCATTGTACTAGCACTAGCAGGAATTTGATTGTAGGAATACCCTTTGTATCATATCCCCCACCATATCGCATGCACAGCATTGAGAATCGGAGCTGAGCGTTGAGCATTAGCACCGAGGCCTGGGGACGTACTACGGCTGTGCAATTACGATGCGTAGTATGTGCGCATAGTAATGCAAAGAGGTGCTTGAAGCTTCATTCGCGTGCTGCATATGAGCGCGGGGTTGGCACGGCGCGGGGTTCCCGTGGCGGTGCTCCCCACGCGCAGATTCAAACAAGCGCGTGCATGGCCGCCTCGTTCATCTGGTTCTCGTCCACGATGATCATTCACGCGAACATATCTCCGCGGCCTGCTCTGAATCCTGTGTCTTTCCCTCGTTATCTTGCATCGTGATGGCCGAGCGAAGTCCGACCTAAACCAAGCCGATCACTAAGTAAGTACAAGGCGTGAGCGCGAGCAGCGAGAGGTCAGTCAACTTGAAAATTTTGATACGTCCGCTTGGTACTAGTACCCAGTTCTGACAGATCACTGATAGTTAACGGCAGAAGCAGGAGACCGGATGTGGCTAGCTAGATGACTGGTGAAGCAGCACTTTGAGCGGTGATGCTAGTAAGTACAATCATCGCGCGCGAGCCCGGTGCTTCCATTCACTGCATATTCAAATCGCTTCAGAATCTTCAGACTGCTGGCGCATGCTGCGCTCTCAAACGCCTTACAGTCACAACGTGGTCTGATGAACACTGCATTGAGAGTCCGGTTCTCCAGCGGGTATGCATCATGCAATGCAGTTCACACCATGTGTCCTCAGCAGACCTTATGGTATAACTAGCAGATGCCTCGTATCACAACACACTGGCGACGCTAAGCGATACAGCTTCTCCACTCTCGTTACCTCGCCTCCCACCATCCCATTTCAATTCCCGGACAACACTTATCGGAAACTCTGATCCGGTCATGCCACTGTCGCCGGGGACTGCGGATATGCCAGTGGTCCGTGCATCCGCTGACGACACGTGAGTTCAGCATGCTTATACGTCGGTCTCGATCACTTTTACTAACGTGGGATTATAGCAGCGTAGTCGAACTCAGAATTTACACTGCGGCCATGGGCAAGTCGCCTGTTTCTTGATTTAAGGTGATTGGATATCGGGGGAACGCTAAACGATGCAAATATTGTCAGCCCTATTCTGGTTCGACTATAGTCTCACATTCCCGCGGGAGGTCGAGCGTATCTGGAAGCGCGGATTCAGCACGCCGGTTATATTGTTCTATCTCGTCAGGTATACGGCGATGATGAGCGCGCTGATCATAATTCTGGACTTGGCTGGTTGGAGGGGAAGATCTGACAGCGTACGTGTGGTTTTTTTCTGTCTCCACGTTGAGAATTCCTGACGGCTGCGTTTTCAGAGGTGCGATTTTGTCCGACTACCCCCGTGTGTATTGTGAGGCCCTGAGTTAACCTCCGGGCTCTCTATATAGCTGCTCCATTCTGGTACACTTTGCATGGATACTGAACGTAGTCATGCTGAGTGCTGCCGCAGGTAATCTCCTTGCGTGTCGTACGTCCGTATTCACCCACACCTTCGGCACCAGTGTTTTCGGCGCTCAGAGCCTGCGCGTTGTGCTGGAAAGACAAAAGGGTCTTTTTCTTTGTCTTGCTTCTGGGCTGTATACATCCCGCCATCGCCGCCGTAGGTTCTCTTGCTCTATTAACAAAGTGTATGCTAATTGATGTACCGTCCTCCAGTACACGTTCGTGGAATTGAACATCCGCACGTCCCCAGTCCCGGCATCATGTGTGTTTGCAACGGATGTGCCGGACACTGTATATGAAAAGTGAGTGCGTCTACTTCTACCACCGCTTGTCACTCAGTACTTATGCTCTGCGGCCAACTTCCGCAGCTGTGTGTCCCCGCGACCTCAATCGCATGTCTTGATGAGAGCTATAACAAATTAATTTGCAGGGATCATAGGTGCACGGTCGTCAGCCGTCCTTACGGATCTGGTCGTGCTCGGTATCACCATCTGGAAAGCGCGGCCCGTTCATGTTCAAGGTGTCAAGCTTGGTGTCAAATGCACCATGGTGAGCATCCTGATGAGAGACGGTATGTACGGGGCTACTGAAAATGTTTTCCTCGGTGACATTCCAATCGGATGCATTCTACGGCGCTCAAATATCAGGTGTGCTATACTTCGGGTGAGCTCACTGGCGGCTGCTACCTTGGTCAAGAGACGCCGAACGGGACATTGATACGCTCCATGCAGGGTACTCTTAATCGCGAACCTCATCGGTCTCACACTCGTCCGGTTCTTCGCCGTAAGTCACCAAGAGTTCTCGGATTCTCATTACTGACGTCCCGCGCATCGATCGCAGTCTATCCAACCAATATACACCTGGATAGCTATGTATGTCTCCTCTCCCCGACCTCTCATACTTCCGAATCTCTCGTCCTAGGTTCCTTATCGCCGCCGTTCTCTGAGCGCCTCTCACCTTTCTATCACCCTGCATACAGGCTGACGGCAATTATGACCGCGCGCTTCATCCTCGATCTTCACGAGGCGGCAGATCCACGCTTCGGCAGCTTGAGCACCGACGGCGGCATCTCCGCCTTGATTTTCCCAGACACATCCAAGCACGCTCCGCACGTCAACCACGACGTTTCCCCGAGCAGCAGCACTGTGGGAACGGACTGGATAGATCAAAGCTCAGAAAACGGTAGTGTGGACGTCGGCGAGTGCGATGACGCGGAGTGGGAGGTGAGTCCAAGTTCGAAGATCACTCCGCCGTGTTCGTTATTGACGTCTCTTAGGTCCTTCGGAATAAAAGTTATCTGGCGTCTGGTACAAACGGCCGTACCGCCACGGCGTCGCAATGCAAAGACATCGAGTCCATCATCTGGATACGATGACGAGCGGCGTGCAGGTGTTCTTGAGTGTCATACGCACCATGTGTATATTCGGTGGTACTCGCACCCACAAATCGACCCAAACAAGCGCATGGCGGTCTCAATCGCGAGTGGCCTTGCTGCCACGTCTGATGGAGCTCGGCTGCTATGGCGCTCAGCATGAGGCTCATTGTGTCCGAATCCACGATGAGCATCCCTGCAAGCACGCCTAGTAGGTGGCATGCTCTGGACATGGTGTCCATCTCTTCGTCGTATTCTTGCACGGTGGCGACTAACAAACCACGCAGACGGCTCACAGACCCTGACGCAAACTCCAAGCCGTAAGGCGCCTCAGTAGCGCGCGACGCTACTCCGTTTCTTATGCATGAATTGATGTCGCTAGTAGGAGGGCAAGAATAGGTGTGGACAGGAGTCCAAGGGCTTGCGAAAAATATTTCAGAGTCGCAACTGACGATCGTGTCTTCGCAGATATCGCTGGTCACGTTCACTGCAGACACTCCGAGTCGACGGTCCACGTCGCCGTGTGCCCGCGGGAATACAATATGTCTCACGGCAGTTCCAACCGTGTACATGCCGTGCCGACTCCAAGTCGAGTCAGACACGGGTGGCGACTAGCGATGCCTATCGAGGGGCAACGGCGGGACGCATCCGGGCCACCCGGGCCACCGTTGCGCGCGAATTTGGACCAATAAGCGCGTGTACATCGCCTCGGCCGGCGGCTCCGGTGGCGTTCATTTTGCTTCTGGACCATGAGCACCGTCTTTGCCAGCATATCTGGGTTGCATGCTCCGTATCCGTTGTTAGTTGTGTTTCATCCTCTCCACTCCAGATATGATGGCTACTGACAACTGAGCTGAGTTCAAGCCGCTTCATCACGTCCAGTGCGCTCAATCACGATATATTCACATCGTTTTTCAAATCCTTGGAGTACCGCTGCTGAGACTGCGGCAGTGCACGCAATGCACACCGGGCACTCAAACCTCCATACAATGATAATGATGTAGTCGGAAGGGCGCTGTTCACTGAGCTCCTTCAAACTTCCCAGCCACTCACCATGCCCGGCAGTTTTACCACTGAGTACTCTCCGCTGGCCTCATGGCACCGCTCTGATCACACAACTAGCAGACATCCCTTATCTCTACCCTCAAGCAGCGCCGGGCCGAGCCATATATTGGCACTCGTAGTTCTGAACCCCTCACCCCTCCCTCCTCGACAGTCGTTATCGGCTTGGACTCTCATTCAGACATGTCCTTGTCCCCCGAGGAGATCGCGGACATTGTCCAAGCGACCGATGATGGGTGAGCATATTTCCGTTATAAGCTCTCCCAGGTCACTTTATTGATGTGCTCGGGCCGATAGCTCAGTCGAACTCAGACTTTTCATTGCGGCTGCTGGCAAGTCGTTTGCCGTTTATCTCATAACGCAAATCAGGGGACGCTGAGTAATGCGCTAACAGCCCTCTTCTGCTTTGACTACAGCGTTACACTCTCACGGGAGGTTGAATACATTTGGAAGCGCGAGTTCAGCACACCGACTTTACTGTTCTACCTGGTTAGGTATATGGGGCTTATCACCGCGGTTTTCGCGGTCATGGAAGTGACCGGTTGGACGGGAATATCTGCAAGGGTACACTTCGCTTTTCACCGATTCTAGCTTGAGAATTAATGGCGAACTTCGACGTCTATCTCTTCATATTCATAGAGGTCAGTCTTTAACCGAATCGCTGTGCGTGTAAAGAGCTCAGCTGACGTACTAGGGACCATATACAGCTGCTCAATTGTGGTACACATCGTATGGGTTCAAAACGTAACGATACTGAGTTCCGCTATAGGTGAGGCTTTTCTCCACGCCTGACATACATCCACATTCACCCAATCCTTTTGCACCAGTGTTCTCGGCGCTCAGAGCATGCGCATTATGCCAGGGAGACAAACGAGTCTTCGCCGTTGTTATGCTGCTGGGCTGTCCTAATCCCGCTATCGCTGGCGTGAGTATTCATGCTCTGCGAACGAAACGTAAACGTGTTGATGCGCCTTTGCACCCTTCCCACAGTACACGTATGCCAGCTTGAACTTCTACACCACGTCTCTCGCTGCAGGATGTGGGATCACGCCGGACATGCCGGACGCTGTGTATGAGAAGTGAGTGCAGCGTTTCCCTCTACTACGATCTATAACCTATTACCTATGCTCAGCGTCGATCTTTCACAGCTGTATGTCGCCCGTAGCTTGTACGTGCGCAATGAGAGATGTAACGAAATATTGCGTAGGGATCATAGGCGCACGATCGTCGGCCCTGCTCACAGATATGGTCGTTCTTGTTATCACAATCTGGAAAGCCCGGCTGGTCCAAGCTCCAGGCGTCAAGCTGAGTGTGAAGTTTACGGTGGCGGACAGCCTGATGCAAGACGGTACGTATGAGCCCCTTGCTTCATATCCTCTATAAGATACTGACTACACATGTGATTTGGCGCGCTATTAGGTGTGCTATACTTTGGGTGAGGCTATTAGATGCTACCTTGTTTAAGAGACACCGACACATTCTTCACAGGGTACTCTTATTTACGAACCTTGTTGGGCTTATCCTTGTTCGGGTTTTCATTGTAAGTGATCAAGAACTTCAACTCAAGCGAGCTCCATTGCTGACGCCTTGCATATCACAGCTCATCCAGCCGCTGAGCACTGGGACGACCATGTAAGTCTCCTTTCCACGACCCCTCATGCCTCTAAGTGTCTCGTCCGATGCTCATTTTCACCACCATTCTCCGCGCGCCCCTCGTGTATGCCAATCCGTGTAGACTCACGGCAATCATGACCTCGCGCTTTATCCTAGACCTGCGCGAGGCCGCAGATCCGCGCTTCAACGGGCCTAGCACCGGAGGCGGCAACTCCACCTTGATCTTCCCAGCCACATCTACGCATGCCCCGTGCTTCGACTCTGACTTGTCCTCAGGCACCAGCACTTCGGGCACTGACTGTCCCGACCCCAGCTCAGAAGATGGGAGGAACGCGGCGGAATTCGCTGATTGCGATGACCCGGAGCTGCAGGTGTGTCTGAGTTCGCACGGCATCGATGCACGGCGTTGGTTATAGACACTTCCTAGGCTCGTCGAGATCAAATGTGTTCGACGGCAGATGCAGACGGTCGGGGACTTATAGGATCGCGATGTGACGATGTCGAACCCGTCATCTGGATACGTTAACCCGGAGCCGCGTGGCGTAGGCAAGGTGCTGTAGACTTCTGTGTATACATAGTCTTATCATCTCGGTAGATTGTATGCCTGGTAGCATACAGTATATCTTATCAATTAGAGGGGTATACGTGAATGACCTTCGCGAGCGACATGCGCGACTGCAAGGCCACTGAAATCGCGAGATTTATCAATAGTTACACGGCGTCCGAGCGTGTTTTCTTCGTAGAGTGGAATATATATATTGGAAGGTATGACGAAAGCGTAGGTAAGTACGAGTACGAGTCGTGCACAGGTTGAGCTGGGCGGCGGAACGATAGAAATGGAAAGGAATATCACAGTAGACACTGGGACAGGGAAACGAGATAGGGAAGGGACACAGAGACGCGTGGTTGAAACGCGACGAGGACAACTACTGTACAGCCTCGTTGAGGGCGAAGATCGAGATGGAATGCATATAGGAGAAACTCGGGGAAGGGGATATTAGGCGAGCGTTGTTGAAACGCGAGCGGGTTCGCAGACGTTGAGGGCGCGGGGAATTGCAGAGAAGCGAGACGTGGTGGGACAAGAGGCGTGTTGGGTCGTGGAGTATTGAGCGGGGGTGTTTCGAAGGTGCGAGTGGACGCGACGGATGCGCTGGGCGCGGGCGTAGTGGTACGGAACGCACTCGCGAACATGTCACAAGTGGTAGTGATGGCGGAGGCGCGCCGCGGCGCGTCATGAGAGAGGAACAGGATCGGAGGGGCGATCATGGAGGTTTCATGCGAGACTGGGTAGGTGTGGTAGAGAAATGCGCCAAAGCGAGGTGGTCGAGGGTTGATGCATGCGTTCACTTTCCGATCTGACGCAGCGACGGTGCTGGCGAAGCACGGCACGGGCTCGTTCCTGTCGTCGACCTCCGTTCTCTCGAGTGCGCCGCCTCGAAGACACGGTCGGGTCCTCAACGAAGGGGGGCGGTCCGGGTCTTCGGGGCGGCGCATTCGAGGGGACGGAGGTCGACAACAGGGACGAGCCCGTGTTGTGCCTCGCCAGCGCCGTCGCTGCATACTTCTCTGCTGTAGGCCATTGAGGCCGGCGGCGTACGCAGAAGAAAGGGAGAGTGACCTCTTGAAGGTCACGCTGTCTTTCTTCCCGTACGCCGCCGAGCGGCGATGGTTTCCAGGAGAGTGGCTCACTATGAATAGGTGAGTGGTTAGTGACGGGAATGCGAAGGCGCGGCAGGTGAAGAGGGGCACGTACCGGTGTGTTGCGATGCATTTCCTTACGTGTGGCGATTTCTTATGTGCGCCTGGAGGTCCCGCTCACGTGTGAAGGAGCAGGGGCATTGGCCACACTGAGAGCGTCTGAAGGTGGGATCGTGGGCTTCGTGTTGATGGTCTCTGAGGTTACCGGGGCGAGTGCGAAAACCTGCATGGAGTAAGAGAACGATGAGAATGGTGCAAGCACGCACACAGCGTAAGTAGCTCACGTTTGGGGCAGTCCGGGTAGTCGTGGCTACAGTAGTACCACACTATTAGACGACCCCCTTCGTATTCTTGGGACGTCTTGTATGTTCGATCGCCTTTCTTGACGATTGTAAAGACGGGCGCTCCTGGTGGATTGAAGGGTACCCCGGACGGCGCGTGCCAGTCCAGCATGGGAGACGGAAGGGAGGGGGCGACGACGAGACACCCTGGATCGGGAGAGTATGTTCCGTTGACGGGGAGTGACTGAGGCGACATGGAGGTGTCCCCGGTCGTCCCGGAACTGAAGGTAGGGAGAGGCTCGCGGTGCGGCATTGGCTGGTACGGTGCCTCTTGATCTTCGGGCTCCGTGAAAGCGGAGTTGTCGGACGGGGATGAAACCGTTGGGCGAAGCGGCATGTCGGGGTTCCCCGAAGGGCAGTGGAAGTGGGGTGGGTTCAGCTCGAACCGGGGGTGGCCAGCGTAATCCTGCCGCGCCGGAGCCAGCCCGACGTGCACAGGTTGCCGGATCGTCCAGTCCCCCATACCCTGTATCGGGAGCAGCGACGATTGTCCGACCAGATGCGCGCGGGGATCATCGTTGCTCGATGTCGATGTGGTTTCCCAGCCAGGGTGTGGGAGAGGGGTCGACGAGTCGTTCGGAAATACGACATACGTGTTGAAGGAGCGCTCCAACGACGCGGCGGGCGGGCCCTGCTGCCTCGCCGGTGGGTCCACCGCGACAGGCCGGGGCGTCCACCCGCCGACGGCCTGCATCAGAGCATGGAGCTGCGCGTCGTCCAGGCTTGCCAGCCAGACATAGATCCAGTCGGTCCTTTCGCCGAGGGGTAGGAGGTTGGCCGGAGGACCGGCGCCAGGAAAGGCGCCAAAGGTGTCGAAGCTCGGCGGCGCGGCCTGCGCGTCTTGACTGAGAGCGGGATCATGGTCGTGCCAACGCGGCCCAGGGTCATCGAGGTTAGAGGAGTACCCCGGGGAGGCCGACGGCGATGTCGGGTTCATAGCATCGTCGCAGTTGGCGTCGGACGACCAAGAGTCATCGGGAGAGGAAGCCGGCGAGGTGTCGCAAGGAACGGTTTGATCAACAAACCTTTCAGTGGAGAAGGATAAATGAGCATCAGCGATGAATTGAGCATCGCCGTCGTCGTTGTCGTCGTTGAACATAGACATATAGTGCATATCTGGAGGCCAGGGAATGTGGGGGTGCAGGACAAGCCTAGGGGGCTGCAAGACGGCGCGACTGCGCGATACAAGTACTATCAGGCAGGGTGGGAAAGTCTGCGACATCACGTCCGTCGCTTCCGGAAGCTGTCCCAGTAAATGCGACTGCCACACGAGGGCCACGAGACGAGGACTGCGAGCGCGCGTCGCAGCAGCTTCTTTCGACTCCCACGAATATCTCCAGTGTCCTATCCACGTTTCACCGACCCCGCCAGGCGGTAAATGGAGGGGCGCATTCAATTGACGCAGCATAGAGAAAGCCGCACCTACATGCAGACCGAGCGTGGTCGGCGTGGTCGTTACGTCTAGAGTCGCATGCCGACGGCTTGTGTGGGCTGCACAGGACTTTCCGTGCGCTTGTGATCCTCGGTCTTGCCGTAACCACAGAGTGCAAGAAAGAGATAGAAAAAGCACGAGCAACACCAGAGTATCCCGAGAGACAAAAGACAGTCCTGGTATGAGTGCCATGGCCAATGAAACAGCGCGGTGAGTCGTAGACTCGGAAGCAAGCTCGTTTTAGATCCAAAGCACGAGACGTAGATTCGGGGCTCCTAGTCGCGCCAAGCCTCGGTAGTCCTTTACCTTACGATTCTGCGTTCTGTCCTCAGAGGCCCGCGCGCGATGAGGAGGAGAAGGAGGAAAGAGTGAAAGTGAGAGAGCGGAATTTGGCAAATATTGATTTCGGCCGGGAGTTGCCGCGTTCAACTGACGAGCGCCCTCTCTTTCCTCAGTGGGCACCCACTGCATGCGCTGAAGCAGCTCGAAGACCGCTCCTCCCATATGATATGCTCTCGTGGCAGGGCTACCGTATTGACAACATCGCCTGGAAAAATCGAACGACAAGCAGAGCCCCGCCAGTCCTCCGTAAGTCTTCAGAAGAGCCCCCGACTCGCTGAGGACGGAGCCACACCAGCGGTGGCGGTGTTGTGTGTCCACGCCACTCAACGACGTCGTTGTTATAACCCACGTTCACGCAGGCGCATGTATGATCAAGATGCATAGCAAAAAGCGAGAACATAGAAAGTTTGGTGTGGACGGATGGTAACGGGATCGAGGAGACAGCATATGTACGGGCGCAACCCGGACCGATATCGTACACGCCGCGAGGAACCGAAGGACTGGAGTAACGTTCAATCCGAGGTACAGCAGAGATGAAGAGGAGCCAGAGAAAACAACATACAGCAGACGTGGCACCGATCGAGACAACAAAACAACGCACAAGCCAAACTCACAAGGCGGGCAGACACACAAACCTACACATGTACAGCCGAAACAGAAGCCAAGATATACAAACCCAGTCCCAACGCGCATACGTCCCTGGCAGGGCGCCCCTCCAGTCCGCCCGAGCACCGCGCTCCAGGCAGAGAAGAGCCGTCCCCGGCCAGCGACGCACGCGCACCTCCTCCCCGCACATCAGCCACATACCCGCCCTCTTGAGAGTCGCGCGCCAAAGCGGGCGCGCAGCGTGTCGAGGACGCTGCACGCCCAATGGGGGCGCGTGACTCGAGAGACGGTATGCTGCTGCTGTGAGCGATTCCGGGGTGCCTGCGCCGCGTGTTAGGGGCGCGAAGAGGGGTGAAAGAGGCGCACTCACGGTATCGCGACCTTGGCGAGTCAGGCGCGCGGCGGCGCCTTCTTGCGGGGAGACCCGCGCGTGGTGTGCTTGCTCTGGAAGTGCCGCGTGCGGTCGTGCTTGCGTGCGAACGCCATCGGGCAGCCTGCGACCTCGCACGGGAAGGGGCGCTGGTCCTCGTGCGTGGCGGCGATGTGCGCCTTGAGGTTGTGGCTGCGGCCGACGATGACTGCAGCGAAGAGCGTGGAGTGAGCGATGATGTTCGCGTGGCGAACAACAGAGACTTACCAACGCCGCACTGCTCGCACTTGAACTGCTGGGTGCTCGGGCGTCTGCGCTTGGCGGGCCGCGCTGGGGCGGGGTCGTCGATGTCCTCGATGCTCGATGCCCTCTTCGCGCGTACCGGCAACGAGGGGGACGCAGGCTGTGCAGGCGACGGTGGCTGCGGGGGAAAGATGGTGTGCAGGGAAAGAAGACTGGGCTCCGCCGTCATCCCAAGTCTCGGACTATGAGCGTCGGCAGCAGCAACACGGGTGTCGTGCTGCAGCAGCTGTAGCTCATAGCCGTTGTAGGAGAAAGGGGACGCAGGCGTGCTGGGGATCTGAGATACGTGCATCTCATGTTGATAGGTGAACCCAAAACCTCCGAGGTCGTTGACGATCGCCGAGGTGTCGGTCGGGCCGAACGTTGCAGCGTGACCGCCATCGTCGAGATCGTCTGAGAGGAGCCAGGATTTGGACAGCGACGGCGAGAAGTCGCTGACGAGAGTTGTGTCGGATGTAGGGGAGAGCAGAATCGAGCCCGAATCGTCTGAATCCGCAGCAGATGGGGATGGGAGAGACGGTGCGTGGGGGAGGGCGGAAAGAGCCGCGGCCCAGTCGATTGCGTTGAAAGCAAATGGATCGAAGTTGGAGGACGTAGGCAGGGGTTGACCGTAAGCATAGTTGTCCAGCGACCTCTCGACGTCCTCGTCGAACTGCTCAGGAGGCGGCATTGCGACGTCGTCGCCGAACAGCTCTTCGAGCAGACTGCCAGAGTCAGTATTGCGAGGACTGATCGTGTCACACGACGAAGAAGGATCGTATAGGTCGTCGCCAAGAGATCTGCTCATCGCGGAGGATGTGAGCGGTGGTGGTGGTGGGGAATGGTGGGGGTGTGAGACTGAGCGGGGGGACGAGGGCGTATACTTGGGTGTGGCAGCTCTGAACTCAATCAGCTGCAGCACTGCTGCAAGACGCGTCTTCTTTCCTTCTCTGAGCTCGCTTTGCGCCTCGATGCACGCCTCGGGACGTCCAATTCCCCAACGGGGAGTCAAATGCACCCACGCACCCTCGGACAAGGTTTAATCATACAGGTATGCCGCCGCGTTCTAGCCGTGTTCGCCCCAGGAAGCGACCTAGCAAGACAGACAATAGCTAGGACCCTTATCCAGTGCAGACGCGTTGCAAAGAGACCGAGAAGGTCGCGACGATTGAAGGAATCCAGAGAACAAGAACGTCGCATACACCGCAGACTTGATGGGGAAATGGAGAGAAGAGAAAATGGCCATGGTCGTTCAAACTATAAGCGCCGATTTCGGAAGGCGCCGATCGGGGCCGAGGCGGCAGCTTCGCAGAGCGTCGCTGCTGCCGCCGCTCTCCCAGTCTCCTCCATGTTCCATACTGAGTAATCGGTCTAGCAGCAGCAAAACCACCAATTTATCGTTATTCGCGTATTACAGAGGTTCCGGAGCTACGGTGTGTCTTTTCAGTGGTCTGCATCAAGCTACGATACAGCGCCAGTGCTTCGTTTGACGAGTACGAGCCGGTGAGTAATTTCAAGTTCTTGCAATGAACATCTCGGGAATGCTGAACCCAACTAGGAGCAAGCTTTCTTTTGAACTAGATGATGTAATTCTTTCTATGCATCTCCCGAAGTCGGAGAGGCTGGCTGGAAGTCAACACCACAGCCGATGCAGCGGAAGACGGATCCGCTCAAGAACTACAGACGGTTTGGGTATGCGGCCACGCGTTATATGCGTATCGTAATGGGAATCAAGGCATGCTTCCTACTCATGATTCTACCCTCCCGATCCAGAGCACATCTGCACTGCTACGTGCTGTCCTGATGGAGCCCATACGGCTGTTCAGGCAATGCGACACCGTTTCTTAGCTCGGCTCCGCGGCGCCGCCGCCGTGTACGTGTGCTAGAGCGTCAGCCTACACAAGATGGTAGTTGCTCTACTACGCGAATATTAGAGGACGCTGATGAGGGTCATGAACGTCACCCGAAGACTCGGCCGGAGGTTTGGCACGCGGAGTGGCACAACACCCCAAAGTGAGCATCTGTGGACTGGTACCCTCTTCTCTTCTTTTTTGGAACGCTGAATTTCTACCAGTGGCTACTCGGCCGAGAACCAAAACCTGATATATAAACTGGAGTCGAGCGCACAGGCCGCGTTGGCCATCCTTCAGCTCCAGATATGTACGCCAACTCATTCGCCGAGCTCCTCGATGGTCGGTCTACTAGCGCCTCCATCATCGAGGCGCTCTTAAAAGACATAGAATGGATGTCAGTACCGTCTCCTCTTACTGCAAAGACGCAATGTGTACCGTCGAATTATACGAGCTCACCTCCGTATCTTCCAGTCACCTGAAAATGGCGTTGTCGGTAGTGGTCTCCGGTGAGCGCAGTACCTCTCTCCATTTGCCCACAAACACTGAGTCGCCAAAGTCGTGGTGTGCTATGAGCACGTACTTACCCTCGGCCGCGAGATCAACTACATCTGGATGGGTCGCTTCTCTGGCGCCACGCTTCTCTTCTACGTTATACGATACGCTGGCCTGTTCGGGGCGGCATTAGTGTGCGGCAACGCTCTCATCAGCAGCGGAGTAGTCCAAGCACCTTCTCCAGTAAGCCATGACCACTAGCGAGTTTCTCTGCTACATAGCTAAACGGTGTCGTTCTTCCACAGAGGTATGCGAAGCTGGCCACCGGTGTCTTCCGTCTGGTCTCGTGTGTATTCATGCGGCAATAGTGTTCTAGTAGACATGACACTCATCGGCTTGTCGGCCGGCCTCCTGATCCCAATTGCAGCGGCAGGTGAGCCAAACCCATCGGCTGAAGTCCAGGTATGCTGACTACCTCACGTATGTAGTGTTTGCCGGATTGAGGGCGTACGCTATTTCCGGACGGAACAAATGGGTGCTCGCTATCGTGCTCGTGCTCGGCCTCGTTAACCCTACCGCCTACATAGTAAGCTGTATTCAAACCTGTCTTGTGGAAGAAACGTGCTCAGCAGGCTCTGCATAGGTCATGTATTGCCAAGTCTACCGGATGTACGTGGACGGCGCGCAGCTAGAAACGGCCGATATAATTGGAACGTAAGCCGCGATACTGCATCCAGAGTCCAGTAAAGCTCACTACTATGATAGCTGTCCGTACCATTTCATCGAAGTTCTACGTTCCGATACTCGCTGCTGATGAATGCGCAGTCTCGCCAGGAATCACCCTCGCCCGAGTATGCGCTGTCGTCGCCGACATAGCGGTTCTGGTTGTGACCTGGAGGTACATGCGACCTGCGATCGTCATACCCGGTGCATCGCAGGTGGATTTGCCGCGCGCGAACGGAAACGCGATAGGGAGCCTTGCCAATGTTTTGGTCAAAGACGGTGCGCTCATACTCTCACGCTGTGTATCTGCGAACCCAGCTCAACTTCGTGCTGTCTAGGCACGATCTACTTTGTGTAAGCTTCGCTGGCCCCACGGGCACCCATCTGTGGTGTTGTTGCTGGTATCTCAGTCGTCGTGCGGCAGCAGCTAACGGTTCTCGTAGTGCGCTTCTTATTATCAACGTGGCTGCACTCGGCCTGAGCAGGGTACACGAGGTACGGTGCATGTGCAATGTAGCCCCTCAACGCCTTCCAGACGTCGTGCTTAGTTGCTCAACCCTTCCAGCTAACGAGTTCCCTCGTGACCTGGACCTCAGGGTACGTCCTCCCAGCCATACCCGAGCCCGAGATCGCCGCGCTCGCAAGCGGCTGCCCTACATGCCATCGTCCGAACGTCGCCCCGACGCTCATCTTCTTTCTGCTACGCAGGCTTATATGCGTTCTCAACTCACGCTTCATCCTGGACCTGCAAGAGGCGAGCGCTCCCCCGGATAGCATAGATACTAGCATGGGGGCGTCGAGTCCGCGTTTCACGGTACCCGGCAGTGCGCCGCTGTCGTTCCGTGGCCGACGCTCGCAGACTGCGCCCGCAGAGTGTCACGAACTCGAGGACACTCAGAGGATCCCCGCTATTAATTCTGTTGAGGTGTAGGATGCACGGGTCTCGGATGTATGCTTGGAGGATTTTGAAAGAAGGTAAGCATTTACACGGTCTCGAGCACACGTTATGATGACACTGAAGTCTTCACCGGACGCCGGTTGTGCTAGTAGGAGCTTGGACTACCAGCGTGTGGACTATGGGCGATGATGTACAGCGAGCAACTGGACGCATATATATAGCAATCATCAAGCCAAACCTGCTAGTCGACGTGCCGCGGATCGCGATCGGGTGCATGCGACGCACTGCTACGAAAGCGGGTGTTATCGTGTGCGAACACTACCAAAAACGATGTATACTTGGTAAGAGGATGGATGAGGACATTATCTGTGGCGGCGCGTCATATTACGAGAATTCTGATATCCGATCATCAGCCGAAAACCAACAACGGAGGTCGTATACACATGTTATGCTGGTGCAATGATTGGCTTGAGAACCTCAAGGCATGCTTGATAGACTTCCATGTCGGGTCCCGGTGAGTACTCATCATTTGACGTCTCGATCCAAAGCACATCTGTGCCGCTGCGTACTGTTTACGTGACGTACTCAGCTGTTCAGGAAATGAAGGCCGTTACTCGGCACAGTCTTGCGACGCCACTGCCATTCACTTGACCACAACGCGTCCCGGGGTGGTGCGCGGACGTCAAAACCCGCAAAGGAGCAGTTGAGGGTCATGAAGGCTGCCCGAAAGCTTGGCTAGGGACCCACGCGCGTACAACAAATGCCCCAAAGTGAGTAACTGTGCATTAGTGCCCCCCCCCCTTCTTGTTGAATGTTGGATTAGTATAACCCGATGACTAGCCGATCATTCACACCCAGAGTATAAAGCTGCAGTTGGGCGTCCGCATCGAAAGCCTCGGCCCACTTCCGCCTGTTAAGTATATCCACAACGACGTTAAAAACCCTACAATGTCCGACATGGACGCAAGACCCTTCGCGTCCCCTGCTGCCTCTGCGGGCGACAGTGTAGCAGCGCTCGTGAACGATTTGCAATGGATGTGAGTGCGGACACTCAAATTGTAACGCTGCGATACGCATGGTGTGCTGAAAGCTCATTTCCAAATCTACAGCTACTTGATCATCTTGCTATCGGTCGTACTGGCCGGTGAGCACAATGTTCAGTGCGACTATCTTCTTCGCAGCTAAAGCGTCTCGAAGTCGCAATATGTTATGACCACATACTCACCCTTGACCGCGAGATCCGCTATATCTGGAAGGGTCGCTTTTCAATCTCGATATTCCTATTCTACAGCATGCGATACTGCGCCCTTCTCGGGGCAGTGCAGATATTTTGGAATGGTATCGTGAGCACGACGATGGTCAGAGCTCCCACCTCGGTAAGTTGGGCGTCAAGAATATGAACGCCTTACCTGACCGTGGTTGTCTCAATACTAGACGGATAGTAGTTTTCGGCTCATACCGGTCGCCATCAGCTCATCTGTGGGCGTCGTGATTTCTCTGGCAGCTGCAGGTCAATCAAACCACCTACCATACAATGGTGTCTATGCTGACATGACTTCACCTATATAGTATTCGCTGGGCTGAGGGCATATGCCATCTCTGAGCGGAAAAAATGGGTGCTCACCATCGTGCTCGCTCTCGGCTTCGTCATGCCTGCGATACAAATCGTGCATGGCAAACTATCTCTTCCTAAGTCCTATGGGCTCAATAGGTACCACGCAGGTCAACATGATTCGGGGCTACCGCCTCTGTGGACGAGAACCGCCGGTACGGTGACGCGAACTGACCCGCATCCGGTTCCTTTAGCAACGTAAGCATCTTCAACGCCGCATGGAGAACCACAGCACTCACTTCTGTCGTGAAAGCGGTTCGCTCCAGTTCATTATTACTACGTCGCCGTGAACGTTTCTGACAGATGTCCAGCAATTACAGAGACCTTGGTCACGCGAGCGTGCACTGTGTTCGCGGATCTGGCGGTCTTAGTGGTGACTTGGAAGTACATGCGACCCATTGCGACGCCTCAAGCTTTACCTACGGACATTCCGCGCGCAAACGGAAATATGTTCGGGAGAATAAGTAGCGTCGTGGTTAAAGATGGTGCGACTGTCTCTCGCTATTGAATTTGCATATCTTGATGATCAATTATAAGTAGTCGAGGCGTTAGCTAATGTATAATGGCCCGGCACTGGTAGCGCTCTCCTGCTCCTAAATGTGGTCTGGCTCGCCTTGACTAACATAAAGCAGGCACGTTATAGCAGCAGCGCTCATCCCATTTCTCGACTAAATCAACCAGTTTACTTCTAGCTCAGCTCTTCTCTTGGTGTTTGGGGCTTCGGGTACGTCCGTACCCCGTCTGAGGGCTGTCTACCACTGTGCTCTGGACATCGTCACTCACGCGTTATCGTCGTGGGCCCATGGCTCTCATGAACTGCTTTATATAGGTTCACTTGCGTGTTCAACTCGCGTTTCATTTTGGACCTGCAAGGTGCCTCAACAGTGCCACGGGCCTCGGTGCGGGCACAGGGGCCACAAGCCTCGAATTCGCAGCATCGCCCGGCAGCGAACCACCGTCACTCGGTGGCCAGAGCTCGCACGTCGCGCCTACCGAACGTGTCGAGCGAGGGGTGCTCAAATCGCCGAAGTATGAAGAAATGCTTTGATAGCATTTGGTGAGCACAGCGGGTGTGCGGACGTAGCAATAACTTGAACTCTAACCGTTTGCCAGCAGGGGATCATTATCTCACAAGGGGCCACCGAGTGAGGCAGTACTTCTCACTCCTTTGGTTCGTAAAGCCTTGCCATTGTATATTCCGTCCCGGATCCAGACATGCCGGGCAGTGAACTTCTATTGTGTTCCCTTGACCAGCATAATTGAGGACCAAGCGTTACGGCCACTCGATCAACGTGGCTCACCCTGATCACGAGCAAGACACCACAATGCGCTTTGCGTGCGCAAAATTTCGGTGCAACACGGCCACACACGAGATGTCTAAGCGTCCTCATGATATAAATATCCCCCATCTTCCCTACCATGGACGACCTGACATCTCTCCCTCAACCCGCAATCCTAAAGCCGCTCCACACGAATTTCACCATGAACGGCAAAGGTAGGTTTTTTGAATCATACCCCGTCAACCGCCTCTTGCTAACCCCCGCCATACAGAAGGACACAAGTTCCACCAACTGCACAAGATCTGCTTTGAGGACGACCGCACCGTCGAGCGCAGCCTGTCGCAGTACTATGGCTCCCCGCGACTCAATGACGCTCTTCGGTAAGATCCCCAACGCGTGCGTGTAGCCTGCGCGTCCTGACGCCTCTCCGATACAGATACCTCTCTGGGGCATGGGCCCCGTACTGCCCGAGTGCCGAGGACTCCGCGCTTGAGCACCTCCGAGTCGCCGGTCTGCTCCAGCTCCCATCGGAGAGCTCATGGGGCAGTCCGCCCGACGCCTACGACCCGCAGGTCAAATCCCGGGCCGCCCGCGCGCACTCGCTCGCCGCGTACGCGTACTACAAGAAGTACATGGCCTGCCCCTCCCCCCGCGCCGGTGTTACTCCGTCTACAGAAGAGGCCGCCAAATCGAAAGATGCGCTCACGGATCTCATCGAAGCTGCGCGCCACGCGAACCAGTCGGTGTGCATGCAACTCCTCACCCCTGCGGTGCTCCTGGCGGGGTTCGCCTTCCGAACCTTCGTGGAGGACCGGCAGCTCGACATGCGGGACTTCCTTGAGCTGAGGCCGCTGTGGCGCGAGCTGGAGCGGCGCAAGGCGCGGTGGCCGGAGCGTGTAGGCGCTGCGCTCAATTTCGACTTCCCCTCCACGAAGGATCCCCGAGCGTGCGCCGCTGCGGGATGCAAGGCGGTCATTCCTGTGGGAGACGGATCAGTCGGGCAGGATATTGGCAAATATTGCCAGCTCTGCTCCACGGAGGAGACCCCGTCTTATTGCAGCTCGGAATGCCGCGAGCAGGTATGTCGTCTCTCCCTGAACATATGGTTCCAGACCTCACCGCTTCTGTAGGACTGGGCGACGCATCAGATGGAATGCCGGTGCCCGGGCACGCTCCACGGGCCACTTTTCACATCCTACGCGTGTCTTGGACAGCAGCGCGACGTGCTGAAGGGCATGGCTGAGCGGGTAGGATATTGCACGCACGTCGAGGTGATGCGTGACGACGAGGACAGGCACGACCTGCTCAACGGGTCCGTGGTGTGGGAGAAGATGATGCCGTGTCCGTTGGGGATTCCTCTGAAGGTGGTGAAGATCGTATTGAAGGAGTATAGCAAGTAGTTTGTGTTCTGATGCATGGCTGGCGAAGGACGGTGTACGGAGTAGTAAGTTAGCAGACGTTGTCAACTCGCACGTACCTCAATTGTTGGATTTTGGATTTCAACATGAGCGACCGCCTGCTGACCGGCACTTTCCGAAGCGTTCAGTGTTGTGCGCGCCGAGACCCTTTTTTGGCGCTGTCTGTTTGCCTTCGTACCACGACGTAAGGGACAAACAGAATTCTATTCTCTTTTGCTCCTGCCGACTCCATTTCTCGATTGCTACAACCCCACTAGTAGTCAAACACTCATTGTCATGACGGACGTTCGAATAGCTGACTCATAAACCTCCTACACAATTACTAGAAGCCTGCAAAACAAGAACACGTCTACCATCAGGGTTTCCGATAAGGAGGCAAGACGCGACATCCATGGCTAGATCCGGTGGGCGCAGTCGCGGTCTTCACGAGAGCAAGCCGTGAAAATACCGGCGGTATTTTTGCGGACATTAGGCTGTCGACCCCACGGTGAGATATTTACTTAGTACGTGCAAATGGGTCGACGCCACTGTACGTTTTGCGCGCCGCCAAAAAAGATCAAAATACTGATGCAAACAAAGTCGAGAAATAACAAGAGGTATCGAAGACAATTTTTGGCGACACAGGCCCCCAAAAGTTAGAATAGACTCGATATGCCGGTACCCACCCCCCCACCCCCCAAAATATTTTTTTCCGCGACAGCTAGGATGACCGACCACCCCACCCCACCCCCCCTAAAAACGTTTTTTTTGCTCAAAGTGTGCGTGTACGAGCTCGTGTATATATGATCGCAGAACAATATATCTACTAGTTCTTACGGGCACGTTTCCCCTTGCCTATGACATCTGCCGCCGTCTCGGATTTCTTGCGCTTCCCGCCGGAGACCACACCTACCTCAGCACCCAAACGCACACGTTCTTCCTTAGAGACACGATAGGAGTCCTCGAAATCCGCATCTAATATGATCCCGGGGTGCTTTCGTTCGATATGGAGTGCCATGTTGTACGACCAGTGGACACAGGTGTTGTCGAATTGAGCCTCACGAGGAGGAGCCGCGCGGCGGCAGATTATGCATGCGATAGGCCGGTTTGTGCTTGGACCACTCTTGGTTGACGTCTCGGCGGGCGCGAGGCTGAATTTGGTCGCATACGGGCAGTCGGACCACGGTACCAATACCTTTGCAGGTTTCCGAAGTCCGATTCGGCATGTACCTGTCCGCCCGCAGAAGCCGCATGGACTGTCGCCAACCTGGGGGCACAAGAGCGGTAAATATGCGAATGCGTAGATGGCAAACTTGAAGGAGGAGACTAGGATGGTTACTCACTGTAATGAGATGCTTTCCAGGTTCACGTATGCCGAGCTGCGCAGCAAGAATATGCCGTGCAACATGCTCGCGCATTTTCTTGATCGGGACCTCTGTATCACAGATGTAGCATTTCCCGTGGCCGTCCTTGGGTCCAGCCTCGATGACTGCGGTGCCGGGTGCATTAACGAACATATATGTCCCTGAAAAGTATTGCAAGTGTGACATCAATGAAGGGACTCGCAATATGAGAGCCAAATTTGCGCTCACCATCGGATGTGCGCGGTGGGTATGTCCGGGTTGCTTCAAAGGACAGCATGTACTGGCGGTGACTCTTCACCTGGTCCCACATCAGCTCGTTGAGTGCTTCAAGGGAAGCACCGTCGAATGCACGCTGGAATAGAGGCGGCTGGACCCCGGCCAACGTGCAGTGACTTGATGAGCTTGTATTGCCCTCAGTGCTGATCTCTGGAGCTGTCCGAATGAGGCGTGACTTGACAGGTTGCGTGATGCATGCATGGAGCTCGAGCAATGTCGACTTCTTGGATGCAGCACGGCTTGGCAGCGGATCAGTGCTAGAGGGGTTGAAGGACTCATATTCACCGATCCAGACCCAGGTCAAGCCTTCCGATGCTGGTGGTTTGGAAGCCTGGTTTTCCGCTGTCCTAGCTTTGAGAGTGAGGACTTGGCCACGCAGGATGACTTCGGGGGATGTGAGTGCATCAAGAGGGATAGAAGCAACAGAAAGCTTCGCTTCGGTCCGTATCTCACTGACACGAATGACAGCAAGGCAGGCAGAATTCTTGACACGGATGAATGTAGCAACAAAGTCGCCGAGAAGGAGTTGTGGCCCGATAATTGAATCGTCGTCAAGCCGAGGTGCCGAGGGTGCACGAGAATATGTTCGAACTTTCAGGACTCCTTGGACACGGGAGTTACGGTCAGTCGATTTGCGGCCACCGTCTGGATGATTAAGAAAGCAGCGAATTGCAGATGCCTTGTGGACAGGCTTCCCGTCGATGTCAATCCAGAAACGGTCGTCGCGGCGTACATGGTCAAGGTCATCATTGCCCGCTTCCGGAAGGACATCTTCCAGTTCGACAAGAGCGTCAGAATTGCACTGCTCCATGTCATGCAGCGAGCTGGTGTCCAAATCCGTACCCGGGGCAGGCTCCACGACTGAATCGGCCGCGGCGCCACCATCAATGTAGTTGAAGTCTTTGTCAGTAAGACCAACAAAGCTCGCAAATGGGCGGAGGAGGTCGATGTCGCCTGGAAGGTCCTCGATGTTCTCAAATGGCACATCCAACGAGTTGAGCAGTGTCTTGACGGTACGCCATCCATTCTTCCAAGATGTGAGGAGACTGACCGAGCGGACCGAGACGTCACCCTTCCAGGAGCGTGGATTTGTGTGGTCCACTCCATCAACTCCTTCCAGACGTAGCCGCTTATGACCCCGATCCCACTCAGGGTGCTTCGTGTAGATCTGTGCGATGCCTGCTGCCAGAGCGGCGCGATGTCCAAGCTGCAGAATATCGACATTGTTCCCGGGGCCGCTGATGTCCCGATAGATGCCGAAGTTATTTTCCAAGCGGTCAGTGCCATCGAGGGTGAGATGATACTCGGACGAGGGATCAAGAAGCTTCTGCTTCGCAACGGTGATGAAGATCGACTTGATGAGCGACTGGACATCGTAGTACCACTGCCCCGGGCAGAAAGATGTGCGGTTGCGGCGATAGAGGATGAAGAGCATATGTGCAGCAGCAGAGAGAGATGAGAGCTGCTCGGAGAGAGACAGGGTCGGGATAGTGAATGGATCAAGTAGAAAACCAATGAAGCGTCCAAGGACAACAATGGCTCGGTTTTCCAGGGGCTGCGAAAATTTGGGCTCTTCGGAGAGCATCCTGACTGCGCTTAGTAGGGAAACGGCGTTCGGGACGTTCTGGTGGTCTTTGTTATCGAACAGTCGTGTCAACTTGGCGGTACTGTAGTTGAGAACTGATCCAAGTAGGTCTCGCAGACGGACAGATTGGATATGTTCATCGACCACGAGGATACCGGCTGGAAGTCGCAGAAGACTTGCAAAGTCTGGGGACGCAATCATCAGTGTACATAGAGAGCTTATGCAATCAGGACTTACTTTTGAACTTATGCTTGTAGTCTATCGACAGTGTGCGCTCCTTTTTGCCACAGCCAAGGTTAAGACGCAAGAGGGGCTTCAGGAGGTCATAGATGCTCGGAACGGTAGAGTCAGCTGCAGGTTTCAGCTCCATGCACATGAAAAGCCGATGAAGTGCACGCCGTCGTGTTGCATCACCGTCAGATGCGATAGACCAGACATCCCCGCAACCTTCCTTGTCCCATGCATCCAAAGCTGTCTGAATCCAGCGTGCCTGAGAGAGGTCGTCTTCACTCTTGTTGGTCCCAGATATCATGATCGGGAAAGCAGCGTAGTGCTCCGAGTCGAAGGCCGCAACTGTGAGGACCGTCGCCTCTTTTGCAATTGTGAGGGAGCCCTCCTCCAGCGCATCTGCAGCAGCATGCAGAGTCTCAAGAGTGACAGTAGACAGGTCGCATGAAGCTGCGTCCTCTCGAGCCATACCAAGGATTGCGTCACGGCCGCTGTCGTAGCGTGGTCGCTCCTCCAAGGCGATCTCGTCAATCTGGAAGGAATATCCACGAGTCTTGAGCGTACCTCCCAGAATACCAACGCTGAAAAGCGCGTCAATATTCTGCGAGATTTCTGCAGACGTGGGGAATCCAATGGATGGGACAATCTTGGGCGTATCGGAGTGCTCCCTTGTCGTAGAGATCGAGGGAAGGTTGAGGGCCTTTGAGAGCGAGTAGGCAAGACGAGGCCCTCCTAAGGACAAGACCAAGCGTTGGACCTCATAATGCTTTTCCTATGCTTGAAACATTGAGCCAGATCACAACACTGTCGTCCGTATGCGTACAGACTTACCTCAAAACTCTTGACAGCATACTTCCCCTCGATTGCGAGCTCTAAACGTCTTAGGATCTCCCGTGGACCTTTGTTGTTGTTCAGTGCCACTCGTACTAGGCGGGTAACACCTTCGACATCGCCGAAGGCGACAGCATCCATGAAACGCTCATGGTCTGAGAGGCGTGCAGTTGTGGTGTTGTAGCGCCGTGCCATATTCAATATCTAATATCTGGGTTAGTTTACAGAGCTCGTGAGAGTGGGGCAGCAATACCGTCAATTTGAGCTCATTCTTCTCCTCGTTTTTCCGTTCAAGAGCATCCCGCATCTGCTTGTGGTTGTAATACTTCCAGTTAAGACCAATAGGTACCGGATCGACTGCACGACGTCGCAGCCGCTCGACGAGTGCACTGGTGTTCACGCTTGCGCACTCAGAGCACGAAAGTCCTCCCGTACGAGGAGCACGATGACAGGACTTGCTGCGGATAACCAAACGAGCGTTGTCTGTCCAGTACGTGGGGATGAAGTCGAGGTTATCGAGCAGATGGAGTTGGAGGGGGTACATGGTAATGAAGGGGTCCGGGAAGTGGAGGAGCGAGCCAGGGCAGAGTCCAGAATCGACAAGAAGTACTCGCAGCTCGCACTGCAAGAAGTCCGGAGTCAGCGAGTCTGAGTGGCCGGTACCTGGCGTGGGGACCCCATCGGAGATGTCAGCTTCATTTACGGACGAACTTGACGGCATATCTGAGGTCTTGTGAGTGGCGGTCTTGAATGTTGCAACCAATGGCCGAAGCTGAGGGTGTCCTGGAAGTGTTGAACGCGAAGGTTTGCGTGCAAACATGTCGTCCAAACGACGCTGCCCAATTGCCTTGTGCCGCTGCCTAGCCGTCTCCTTGCAACGCGCAGACTCGTAGTGTGAGTTATATGCATGGAGGGAACTCCCATCGCCCAGGTTCACCAGCTCCTCGCATTGCGTGCACCGCTTCAAACGCAACCAGCGGACGGGCTTTCCAGCTTCGCGTCGCTCATCCCAAAAGACCCCGTCTGTGTTAGCCTCGGCCTCGCCAACCGGTCGTCCTGTAGCAACAGGACTGGACAGAGCGGCTTCAGAAAAATGCTCGTCAGTCACCTCGGAGTCCACATCATTGCATTCTGCACCGTAGTCCGTGCTCGGGGGCCCATAGTCGATGTCTGAGGTGTTGTACTCTTCCGAGTCATCAGGGACGCTGATGTCATCGTAGTCGTATAGAGTGTTTGCATGGTCGGAGAAATCGTAGTCGTTATCTCCATATGAAAGGTCATTGTCGGGAGTACGCCTGTCCATGACTTGAACGAGCCTACTTGCTCTGTAGAGCTGTCCAAGGGGTGGCGGCGGTACCGAGTCACGAGCCATCGGGGTAGAAGACAGAGCTGAAATCAGACATAGCCATCCCCAGGTAGTATATATAGGTCTGTCAGCTAGCCACAGTCCGTGGCAGACGCTCATTCACGGTTGAGAGTTCGTCCATGGCGTGTGCCAAGGCGAGAGACAATGAGCGTTCAGTAAACTCGCCGTATAGGCGCCCGCCGCGGGGTCCCAAACCGCCCTAATCGGGAGGGTCGGACCTTTTCCGCCGTCCCTAGGACAAAATATATTATTGTCCTACCACCCCACAACCAGGGCCCCCACCCTCCTAGGGCCTGTGTCAGGTCTCGCAGACGCCGATACCTCTTGGAAATAAGCTCTCAAATTCTTCGTACAGATCTATACATGCCACCGCTCTTCGCCAGACGCGGCACACGAGACTTCGAGCGCGAAACGGTATGGGTGTTATACATCGTGACGCAGAGAAAAGCAATCACGTTCCCAAGAACTTACTGGTGGCATCGCAGGCCGCGCACGCCGTTCTTGAAAACAAAACAAATAAGTCAGCAACAGACTCGACTGGACACAAGAGCGCTCAAACACACACGTACCACTTGCTCCGGTCAGTCAGACGGCGAAGCGACCGCGAGCGTCTTCCCAAACGCGTAGTGCGTCTGCCTCTCCGCGGTGAACTTCACGTGCGCGCCCGCCTGGAAGACCATGACGATGTCCGAGCCGCCGAGCTGGAAGTGCGCGATCTCCTGGCCCTTCTGCACGGGGTCGCCCGCCTTGACGCCGAGCACGACGGACGACACCTGCGCCATGCCGATCGGGAGGACCGCGACGAGCCCGAGCACCGGGTTATTGATCAGTACGAGCCCGCGCGCCTGGATGACTTGGTAGCCCGGGTTGTCTGGGGCGTTCAGGCTGTCCATCGGCTCCGCCGCGCGCGGCTGCATCTTGCGCCGCATCCCGAGGCGCGGGCGCCCGCCGCGCTTCGGCGCGTCCACGTCGTCCTCGACGACCTCGACCTCGAGATAGCAGAGGCCCTCGATCACGCGCGCCTCGACGACAGTGCCCGAGACGGGCGCGTGCTGGCGGTGGTAGTCGTTCGGGCCGAGGAAGGAGTGGCAGAACGTGCCGCCCGCGAACGTGGCCCCGAAGTTCGTCCCGCCACAGCGGTCGTCGAGGAGCTGCTCGATGCTCCATGGGATTTACCCTTTGCGTCGAAGCGGCAGGTCGCGGAGCCGTCGACGGGCCACGAGCCGTCGAACGTCGCGTCCGCCGGGCTCACGATCACGGTGTCGTCGCAAGGGCAGTCGATCGGGCGGCATTCGGGCTTGATGTGGCGGGCAAAGAACTGGTTGAAGGTCTGCCAGTCGACGCGCTCGTAGTCCTGCATGTGGTAGCTCTTCGCGAGGTAGAAGGTGTCGATCGCCTCCGGGGTGATCGACTCGGGCGAGTCCATCCACTTGCCCATCTCCTTCGCGTACTCGATAATCCACTCCGAGAGCCAGGTGTATGGGGAGTGGGTGCTGGGATGGATGGGGCTCTGGCGCCGGACGAGGGGCAGCATATCGAGGACGAAGTAGAACATGCAGATGTGGTACAGAACGAAGGTGCCGTCCTTGTTCTCCGACGGCACCCACTTGAGGAACGAGTCGTAGTAGTCCAGGTAGTCGGCGAGGGTCGCGATGCCCCACTCCTCAAACTCGGGCAAGCCGTAGCTCTTAGCCGTCTCGAAAGCCTCCTCGAACTCCGCCTTGAACACGGGGTCCTCGTCGAGATAGTCTCGGAGCCGTTGAACGACGTCGAAAGACATGCCTACTGTATGAAGCAGATGAGTTACATCACACTCTCTGCGTCCAAACGTCCACATACCTTAGGTTCTGACATCGACGGTCGAGCTGTAGGCAAGTATATATGGCGGTATGCTATATTGACGGTATAGGTGAGCGCGTGGTCTAGGGCAGGGGAAGTAGCACGCACCTGTGGTGCGGTCGTCTGGAGCTGGGGACTTGCAGTATCAAGGCCGATGCCTTTATACCACTCCCATCGCCACCACCCTTTGAACCACAGGGCCAGAAACAGAAGAGGTTCAAACCTCCGTTGACAAAGCGTGCTTGAGCGGCGGTATGGATGTGCCTGTTCCGATGCTCTTCTTGACGTCGCTGAGAGCCAACTTGAAGTAGCCGTAGGCGCTATGACCCCGTTACTCTACCATTAGCGGTCGGCTCGTGTTGACGAAAGCGCGGTACGAAAGGAGCCGGGCGACGACTCTGGTCGAGTGCGTGCAGCCACAGTCCCCTTCGACGCACGCAGAACATACTTCCAAGACTCGATAATGCACAACGCCGTCTCAACCGCCGGAGAACGTGCAGGAGGTTGTCCACGAGGCTGAAATTACGGAGGCCGCTGCGTTTGAGCACGTGAGCAGGGAATCCCTGAAGAGACCCCGGTGACGGCACGGCCGGAGTTACTATCCCAGCCGCACCAATAGGTTGCTGTATATATGGGACCCAAACGCGCTGATATCGCGCATGCATGGAAACCTGTATCGGCTGAGGGCTTTGGGCGAGGCCCCCGTCAGGTGCAGGGTACTGCTGAGGTGTGTCAATGATTACATGTTATACAGCCTGACGACGTGGCTCGACAAAAAACTGACGCACCGACGAATGAGTGATATCCATGACTATAGTGACAAAAGCATATTATAGAGGCCCTCCGTGTCATGATTAGTAGGCTGGGGCCATCGAGCCCCGAGGGCGTGTTGGGCATCGATGTTCTTGAGCGCAACAGTAGCGCAACACGCGAGTCAAATGACACAACACAGGGCTAGATACTATGCACAAGGAAACTTACGGTATGTATGTACATACGGAATCACACCCATTCGACCCACCACCACCGCCACCGCCGCCCACACTTACGGCGGCCCGGGGCAGGCAGGCAGGCAGGCAGGCAGGCAGAGAGGCGTGCGCAGATGCGAGCGACAGAGGAGAACAGCAAGTTGAACAACAGCAAAACAACATGCAGCAGCGATCAGAGAGCAAACCCCGCCCCACCCGACCAACGACGACCATACCCTACCCGCCCCTTCCCACCACCACCACCCCCGTGCGCCATGAACCACAAGATAGAAGACCCCACTTCGCATTCAGCAGAGATTTTATACTTTTGCTTCGACCCGCACCCGCACCGCACCCGCTACACCACCGCTACGCCGCTCATTGCTTCGGAGGCGGGCCACCACGACCGCGACCGGGCCCACCGCGTCCCCTGAAGCCGCCACGTCCACGGTCACCGTTGATGGGCGCGCCTCCACGGGGACCGGGACGCTCGCCGCGCTCCTTGCGGGTCTCGACGTACACACGCGCCTGGCCGGCGCCGCCGTCCGTCTCGATGCGGATACCGCCCTCGCCGCCCTGAGGGAGGGGCAGCGACGCGGCGATCGCGCGCTTCGCGGCCTCGAGCTGGTTGAACTCGAGGAACGCGCACACCTTGCTCCGGACGATCTCGAGCTCCTTGACCGGCCCGAAGCGTGCGGTAAGAGTTGTCCGGAGTGCCGCATCGGTGATGTTCTCAGTGACGCCCTGGGCGAGGAAAGCGACTATGAGCGTTGAGGCCACTAGAGATGACAATTAAGACGTACCTTGATGAAACATTGCGCTGTCTGGACGTTCTGCGCGGCGATCAAAGCGGGATGCGCGTCTTGCCGCGCTAGTGGCCGCGTCGTAACGTGAGGAGCGGGCGACTGCGGGCCGCTCAAGGGAGCGGGTGACGCACTGCTGGGCGCGGGCGCTTCGCTGGTGCCGCGGGACTGGGCGGCGACGGCGGTACCCCAGCTCTTCGCGCCCGTAGCAGCGAGCGACGCCCACGTCTTCGGAGCAGACGGTGCGGGCGCAGCGGGTGCGG